ATCGACCGAGTGTCATTGTGCCCTCACGAACTCTTTCAAGACGAATGCCTTTAGGCACCATAAAACATACATACTGTAGATGCAATGGGCCCCACGCCATAAATGCATCCGGTGAGGAAGAGGAGCAGGCTGTGGAATTATTTGCATAGGCTCTGATAAACTCTTTAACATCGCCACAGTGGGATAATGAACAGGGTAATTATGTTATCCTTAGCGAGTACAAAGAAACAATAGACCCATCAATTAAAAATCCTCAGGACTGCTCTTGTTTAGAGCCATGAGTGTAACAAAGTGAATTGTCCGCCATGATTTTGGCTTTTTGTAAACGTCTTAAGCACAGTAGATCTGATGAAACTCCAATTTGCCAGTAACCAGTGCACAGGGGCACAATGAAGTATTCTAGCATATTGCTTAAACCACGGCCTCTGAAAGCACCACTAATTGCATCTGGGATTTGGTTATCCAATCCCACAGTGCATTGCAGCCGGAGGAGGAGAGAGAGGGGGGGGTGAATTAGAGGCTGGCGGGGTGAAGCTCCTGCTTGCTGAAGCCTTGACAGTGCTTTGTACTGAATGATTGTTCTCCAGACAGCTGACGGAGGTAGCGGCGCACGCAGAGTTGTTTGAAAGCCCGAAAGGATATGCGGCTGCATCATCAAAGTCCAGCAAGTCTTCCATGTGTCAGGGAGAGATTAAGCTCTTCCAGAGAGGGCAACGCCTCTGATCACTCCATTCAATCGATGGGATTTGAATAAAGGAATAAAAGATCAGGCATTGTGTATCTGGGTGCTGTGCAACCGCTGGATGGGATTAAGGCATGTTGGAGCTGTAACAGTGACAGACGCCATCAATCACAAGTTCCCCACACTAGTTAGCTAAAGTTGATATTAGCCCTAAATAGGACACATCTGTTTGTTGCTGCACACTCTCTGACTTTAATTAATTCTCAAGTCATTTTATTTTTAGGCATGGGGGTTTTTTATTTGTTGCTGCTCCTGTACATGTGCACAAAAATGTAAATTGCAGCCTTCCTTTGCTCACAGTGAGGGGCTCACGTACACAGTGATACTGCAAATTAAGCACGCACACATGCATGGCGCAACACACACACACACACACACACACACACACACAAACAATATAAAAGTCACAGAGCAAACAAACTTTGGTCTGGTGGTCTGCTTCGGCCTCATTTTCCTGGCTGAGCTCTCTATCATCGCCCCGGCGTCTCCTCCACAGGCTCTGTCAGATAATAGCTTCCTTTCTCCACTTTTCAACAGAGAATGAGTCTATTCCCTAGAAACTGAGTTCAAGGGCAGGTCTGTGTTACCCAGAGAGACAGACTCTTGCCAAGACCTTGGCTTCAGATCCCTGGAAATGGCCCTAACACTTTTTATGCCTGATTTGAACATGCACACAGCACTGACCAGGAGAGATCTCTGCCTCCCCTGCACAGGCTGAGCAGTACTGATCCAGTTCAGGTACTTGGACTGTCCTTGCTGTCTTAACCTCTAAGTCGAGTCCACCTCTAATTGATCTGGCTGTCATCCTCTTGCATCAGAAAAAGCGGTAGTGGTGATGCCAACTTGACTGATGCTCTCGCTTGTGCTGTTGATTCCCCGACTATTGTCTTCTCTCTTTTAGGCCCTCTTTTCTCTCCTCTCTTCACCCATCATGTCCCACAGTGGGGCATAATTACTAGAATCCTTTGCCTGGCTATGCTCTCCTATTATTAGCCTAGCGTTCAAGCCCTCTCCCTGGTCAGATGGTCAATGCTTGAGGGCGATGTGTCACACTACATGGGCACAAAAGGTAGCCAGACAATGCCTATTGAGGACCAGGTGCTATTGCAAAAATACCATTTGGCAACCATTCACTATTGTGGTGCGCGGCTCACGTTGTTACAGTACATTAGTGGTTTTAAGCAACCGTCTTAATTAATGCAGCCATAGACAAGGTGTGTGCATTCAAGTGTCCATAGAAGGCATCATGGCGGTCGTCTGGATCGTCTCATTGGCATCCTTGAATGAGTCATATAAAGACACAATGACAGAGAGGAGAAAAATACGACCAGACCCGACATAAAAGAATACACGCTAACATAGTTGTGGCATCATTACCATGGCTTTTCATCATTATACTGCATGAGAGTAAGGCTCTTTTATTTATTTATTTTATTTGGGGAGGGGGGTAAGGGATTCTTGGCGATCAAGCCGGCCTCTTTAATGATGTTTTGGAGCTTCGTGCTCACTGAAAAGAATGAATTTGATTGGTATTTTTGACATTTTGGCTCTCTTTCGCTTTTTAAGTGGATCTTTTATTTTTAACATGGTATGACGTTAAGCATCAAAACGTACTGCAGCTAATGCTGTAAGAGAATAATTGTTGTTTTAATGAGAATACGGTCATTCTGAAACAGTTACACTACGGACTCATAATGCATGCCTACAGCTGTGACAAGTAAATGATAATATTTCATGTATTAAGGCTGTATGGGCAATAATGTGTTAATCACTCTGACTTATTTATTGATTATTATATGACCGTTTTTTTCATCTTTACATTACACTCTGTGGCTCTACATTTCTTGGCCGATTGATTATTTTAATATCTACATTTATAACCATTGTCTCAAACGAAAGTGTCCTACACCTTGTCCTTCTTTTAAGCAACTTTGTAAACTGCAACTTGTCATCTTTCATTCCCCTGCATCGTAGCGGTGAGTGGCAGCTGGCCTCAGTAAAAAGGGGTATACTCCTTTGACAGAGAAGTCATTTTGTAATGAATACTAACAACTACTAAACCTTGAAAATAAAACAATCTCTCTTGTTTCAGGTGTACTCCAAGGAACAAGGAACCCTGTCTTATATTCATGATTCATACCGTAATTTTTCAGGGTGTTTATCTGTGGATTTAAAATGTTGCTTGTAGTATTGTCATACAGACTTAATGTAGCTAATCTCATCTAATACCTCTGTGCATTTCCACACTTGTTAAACTTTCACTTATTTGTCAGGAGATACCACTTTGAAACTTGAACATAAACTGTTTATAATGAACTTTACATTGTCACAGCTTGCAGCCTTTAAAAGTACAGATGGAGAAATTTTTCAGGTGCTGCCCTTCATTTGTTGTTTTTTAAAATTTGTCTTAATTTTTCTGGCAATGAATTTGGGTGGATTTTCTGCGCCCGACACAGGCTCTAAAGGTAAAGGTGAGGGTGGGCTTAAGAGGATGGAGGCCTCTGTAGGTCTGGGTCAGACCTCATGCAGCAGCAGCTTGGCTCCTGGGTAAGAGCAGCCGACCGCGGTCTCTTTACTTACAGCCCGATGGAGCAAGAGGTCGACGCACACCTGAACCCTTCCCAGCACACAGCGGGGCCGCGGGGCCCCAGTCAACACACAGGACGGCCGACCTGCTTTGACCTCTCCTCAGCTCGGGGCCCCCCTGGGACCCCCGCCAATAAGCTCAGGGACTCCTCACAACCTCTCTGTTAGCACACTCTGCCCCTCCTCAGCACCTCAGCCAGAGAGTGCTGCACTCTTCAAAAACACACACACACCCACTCAGGCACGTTCACTGTACACATAAACAAAGAGGCACGCTCAAACAGTATACAGGCATCACATACTGCCTCGTGCAAACACAATCTGTCACACACAGCCATGTAGTGCATCTCTCGCTCTGTCTCTGTCTCTCTCTCTCTCCTCCCTCAGTCTGTCTGTTTCATGAGGAGCCAGGTGGGAAGCTTTAAACTGGTGAATATCTCCATCTTGTGGACACTGTTCCATTACAACAGATTTAATGAATAAAATATTATCTGTACAAACACTGGTCATGCAGGGTCAGAAGACTGAATACAGCAATTTAATACAGGTTACAGCAGTGCACCAGGCTGAAGTTTCTCAATCATTTTCTCAAAATTAGCACAAGAGCTAATAGTTTGTCTTGTAAACAAAGTATGTTCATGTGTGAAAACAATTTGTCCACAGCCTCCCAGGGTCAAAGAGGCGGCAGGGTGACTTTATCTTGAATGTCACTTTGTTTTTGCTTGGTTAGACACTACCCTCTCTTGGATTGGCTTCTCGGATGAAGGCACAGGTGAGGCCCACAGAGGAGCAGCCCTCCTCTCTCCACAGCTTTCTCCTCTGCTAAAACAGCCCTACATTTTAATATGCAACATCTGTGCCGGGAGAGCCTTCCAAAATGGCTGCTCCTTAGAGGATGACGGTAGAGTCTGCTCAAACTTCGAGGTTGGGGCATTTGGTACTGCGAGGTTCTGCACAGATGTTAGCAATCGCAATGTCACCGCGTCCTCTGCTTCAGTACCCAGGGAGGTCTATTTTAAGGGAGGGTTGGTGTGTTTTCTTCCTTACTTCCCTGAGATCACTTTATCTGTAACTGTCAGTGTACAATTCTACACAGACCTGTTCAACTGCTGGGACTGCGGTCTCTGATCAGTAAGGTATGAAGGAGCTTTCTGTGAGTCAATTTATCATCAAGTCTGGTGCTAAGATGGACTTGTTCTTTGGGGTCGTAAAAGACACGTTGTATTACAATAATAGATAGACTGATAGACAGAGCTGCTGTTGTCTCCAAAATCATTTTAGTAGCATTCACAGAGGAACGTTAGCTCAGTCGCACAGAGCTGTGTTTGTGCTGTGCTCTCACAAAGAATTGGGAATATTTTCTGAACAGAGATGCCATGACCTAAAGGCTTCTTGTCAGTCGGATTATTCAACTGATTCTCCAACAACATTTTAGACAAGTCTGCGAAGGAATCAGAGAGGGAAAGAAAGGGCTAAAAGAGAGAAGAAAGGCAAAAGCAAGGAGAGGGACGTGTAGGCAGCCTAATGCATTGCTTACACAAAGAAGATGTTCATATTTAATGCTCATCATTAAGGCAGGGTTTGAGCATGGAAGACGCTTCTGCTATTTTCCCACACCCCTTGAGCCAAGTCCTTGTGACAGCCCTCCACTGCATCCCGGCAAATTATCCGCATGAGCTGCGGCGAACAAAAACAGCCCAGTGCGGGGGAAGTGAGGCCCAGCCTCAGCTCCACTCCTGTGATGGGGAGACACGTCACTTTGCATCAGCTCCAGCCCTCCAAACCACATCATCTGCAAGTGAGAAGAACAAGACCGCTCCACGGGGAGAGGACAGCAGAGGAGAACAAGGCCAGTAGGAATGAAAGAGAGAAGAAGAGGGGGATGACGAGAAGAGAAGAGAAGAGAAGAGAAGAGAAGAGAAGAGCTGAAGCTTTAGGTGAAGTCGATGCTAATCAGTCGAATTGAAACATTATTAACCAACAGAAACATGATACTCAATTCTGTACAATGTTTTGGCCAAATGGTTCACTATAGCCTTGGGCTTAAAACTGCGTGACAAATGAATCATTTAGATTTGCTAAGTGAATACAGTATTCCCCTGAGCATCCATGTACTCTAGGTGTGAAAAAAGTAATTAGACACACAACAAGTACTTGCAGTGCATCAGTAAGCAAACTGCCTCTCATGTTTAATTTATCTCCTTTTATTGTGGATATACATGCTCATAATACAAATTACATTAAGAATCTTCCTGTAGGTATCAGTTTCACTCACTGTGAAGCTGCTGAAATGTAAGATGTGCCTTGTTAGCGCCAGCCAGAGCTTTGCTTGTGAGTGTTTAAACGGAGTCAGGGCACTCTCTGCTGGACACTGCTAAACTTGCAGGACCCAGTACACTGTGGATGATACACAGTGTAGGTTTCACGCCACACTGGTTGCTGCTTGATTTTGGATGCTTACAAAAGTGGAGACGCCTGTGGCCTCTTTCTCAAGGATATACCTCGACGGCCAAGGAGACTTGAGAAAAATTGAGTTACACCAAAATAAACCTGTCTTCCAAGATGCATGTGCTCCAAACCTAAATTGGCCTATTTAAAGGCATAACCATAGACAGCCTTTGAATAATATTGACTTGCAAACTATGCTAAGGTCAAGGACAGCTAGCTGGAACATGTTATTTGGTACATGAATGATGGGAGGTAAGCAAGATAGATCAAAGACTGCTGCAACATAAAAATAACAAAAAGTGAATGATTGGATGTTTTGATGAAAGAAAAAAAAGCTTACCGGAGACAAATACATGAATATTTTGCACTGCTCTGTCACAAAGTTTAATCACTAAAGACTTAATTATCATGACTGAGGATTAATTATATTTTATATTCAAAGCAGCTTAGTGCTCACATTTTTACACTTCATTCCTGCATCACCAATCTCACTTCTGTTGTGTGGTGGTGCTATTTTTGCAAGCTCTAATGATCACAAGAATTATAGTCCTTAGAAGAGGATAAAAATATTTCAGCAAGCTACAAACCCTAATATGGTGCCAACGGAGGAATCATCTTATCCACATGTGCTTCTTGTCCCGGGTAGTGCTCAATGAGATATTTGTATTTTTCTCATTTTTTGGAGAAATTAAGAGTTAACTAAATTTATCATCTGTGGCTGGATTTCACCACAAGAAATGGTAGCTGCCACTGTCATCTTCAATTTGAGCCTTTGTTTGAATTTAGGGGGAAAGTCCACATTCAAACAGGCAGAGGGCGCTCTGACTGTAACTTGACCTTGCACCACATGCACTGTAGACCTCAGTAAACTAATACAGTGTGCCTCTCACCAAAAATGGATGAGGTGTGGAGTCAATGTCTTCCTGAGTAGACAATCACAACGCCGACAGACTTTCCTGTAATTCTATTTACGCTGTTGTATTTAACTTAAAAAGACAGTGGCTGCATTTGTGTGCGAGTTTGGATATATTCAACCATGAAAGCAGCTATATTTAAGAAACATACTGTATGAAATCATTAAACCGCTTATATTGAGGGTACATGCTATTCTTTAAAAACACTGCTCTCTGTAATAACAATGTTGCAGACAGCATATCCTCCTCCAAACTTTGGGTTCAGACACAGAATGGTCTGTTTTTGTTTTGGTAGAAGGTTTCAAAACGCCCCCATACAACCGTTTTAGACGCCCCCAGAGTGCCAGATATGAGACCGGTTACAGGAAAGTAAACTAGTTCTGATACCCTGCCTACACAAGCGTCAGCATTTTCTGAAGAGCTTCAGACCAGGAACATAGCGAAATTTATATAAATATTAGAAATGCTTCTTAAAAGATGTAGAGAGTCTAGAGCGCAGAAAGGTTTCAGGACCAGTGCAGAGCTGGCTAACTTTCTCCAGATGAGCAGACCGCTGACAGGTAAGCAAAAGATACCTTAATTCTGATTTATCATGAATACTAGTAGGGACAGGCAGCATATCAGGGCTTTGAGTAACATTATTGAACCAACAAGGCTGGTAAAGCAACAATTTAGCTTGTCATTTTTGCTCAGACTTGCTTTAATGGTTAGGAATCATACAAAGTCACACATAGCGATGTACATCATGATTGACTTGTTATCAGTCAAAATTAGCACAATGCTACGAGGAGACTGCCAGTCTCTCCACAATAGGGAATTTTAACAGTATCAGTTTTTCCCCCCAAAATATCAACAGGCTTATCAGCCACCGTACATGCAGGTAGAAGAGGCCACTGTTAGTCAAAACTTTAACCCCAGTTAACCTTTAATCTGTTTGCAAAGATTTTAAGGGGGGAGGCAGCCTGTCCTGTGCACAATGGTGATAACATTTGCTGTGTCCTATATGGGGCAATAGTTAAATATACTTTAGGAATATGGAATTATTTTCCTGCATTACATGGGCCAGACTTGCAAGAATTTAATACTTATTGGGGGATACCTGCAATACTGCTGAGAAATTCAAATCCTGTAACCCATGTGCAGACCAGCCCTAGGGAGGAGAGGGAGGGGGAGACAGCGCTCTCCAGTGTTGTGGATGTGGACTGTAGTACCCTTTTTAAATGCCTTTTTTTTTTTCAAACTTAACACTTCTCCTTTAATATGTCATGTTCTATATTCTTTGACCTATTTTTTTAAGTGACAGCCCTACAAATTGTACAAAGGTAATTTTAAGCCTTTTCACCACAGTGTTTAAACATACGTGATGTAAAATTGAATAAAACCAGATTTCCATACTGCATGTTAGGCCATTATTCTTTCATACTCCATGTCCAATATTCCTCATGTTTTTTATCCATTCTTTTTATTCCTTGAAAGCTCAATGATACTCCAGCACGGGTCCAGTATTTATTGAACACACACAGAGGACGTGCAGCCCGTCTGTCTGAATCATTGCTCTCTTGCTGCAAACCACTCTGTACAGCAGAGCACACTATCCATATTCATGTGATTTTTGCTGGGAGGCATTGGTGTCTACTAAAAATAGCTTGGTGAGAGAAAGGGTCTCTCACAGTGGATCCTAACATTCATGAGCTAAAGCACTGTGATTGGCTGTAAACATGTGTCTGTTTGCTGGGGCTATTCTTCATGTTGTTGAGTGAGCAACTCTAAACAATTGCTGTCAGACATAATAAAGAGACTCTAAAGGTGCAATAGAGTCATGCGTTCTTCATATTTAATTTAAACGTGCACCTTAACAAAAATATGTGAGTGGTCTATGCATTGTGTTCTGGGCTTTAACATCTAATTGCCTATGGGTAAGTGTGTTTGTCTGTGTCTTTGCATGTAATATTTGAAGTTTAATTTTTTGCACAAGGTTGGGTTGTTACAGGAGTGGACTGAGTACATCTAGCTGAATAAAAGTATGACTCTTGTGCTAGGTTTTCACCAACTCAAATGAGTCTGGGCTTAGATTGAGTTGAGGCGGATTTACCAGCAGATGGCAGCACACATCCAGTTGCTGTTAACATGGAAACAGACAGATACTGAGAAGAGGTGACCAAACTGTCAAGCTGAATTGCCATTAATTAACATAGTCTGGGTAAGTAAACAAGTGCATCTACATTTCAAAATGACCACAACTATACAGGAGTTGAGATAGATATTAAATTTGTCAGTAAACATTATATGCTCTACTTTCAGCCAGTTTAAAGTGTCCATCTTTATTAACATCATGGGTTGACTACTGGTGACAATGAAAAACACAACATTCTGAGCCAGGCTGGTGGTAATTTGTTATCCTTCAACAAGTACTCCAGTTTTCCTGGGACCAACCAGGAGTGTGTGTGTTTAACATGTGTACCGGCATTCACTAATGTGGCAAACATGCAGGTCATTTCCTTTTTAAAGAAATAAAAGGCGGTAGTGCCTGAGGCTACACTCTGATTTCACTGAAACCGGACATGGAAACTGTGACAGTGTGTGTTTGTGTGTGCCTGGGAGAATAAAGAGGTGGCTGAGGGGGCTCTATTAGCCGGTAAAGACCTACGAGACCACAAAAGACCAGATAAAGCCAGTTTTCTCTTCTATGACAAAACCAGTCCCATTAATTTGGCTCATGATAAGACTAGAGAGACCACATCCACCTGCTACAAAGAATGCTAATGATGCAACTTTTACTACAAAAATGACTGATTACAACACATTTTCTACTGAACACTGTCATAATGAACAATATCAGATAACACTTCAGATTGTGAGTTTGGAGCTGGTTGAAATAAACTTGAAATGAATAATAATGTGAACTGTACGTTTTCTGCTAAATTTGCTAATAAGAGGCAACTATCACGATAAATGAAGGAAAGATATTTCAACTTCAAGAATTCAATATTTCAACTGCCCACAAATAGCCAAAAAGATCAGCAACTCCTGATTCAACAGAAATACAAAGTATTTTTTCTATTAAAATTGATTATAAATTAAAATATATAAGAAACTAATAATAAGAAAGGAATGACTCATCCTTTCGCACCAGCCATCTGTAAATTCATTTTTTTGTTGTTTGTTTTTGTGCTGCTAAATGTGTGCAAACAAGTGACTTATGCTCTTTCACTACCGTAGCATATCACATTGTGGCCCCCTTACAACAGTGTAGTTCCGACATGTGTACCAACACATGCAGCCTCACATGGTGAAAAACATGTGCCCTGCTGAGATCTGAGCTTTGTGCCCTTTGAAACTCTCACTTTCAACTCACTGCATGAAGCAAAGGATGCCCTGCTGGTGAAAATATGTAGTATTGTAGCTATCTGGCGATAATAATTCTCTGATTTAGTCAATTACAGTTATGATCACAGAGGAAGGAAGTGATTCACTAAGCTTCCAGCAGATTAGCAAATCTGTATTGCTCATCAAAACACCTTTTTTTCCACTGTGTTTTGCAGAGCAGAAAATAATTATCAAGCACATCACAGATACAGAGATGGTGTGGGAGGAAATGTGTTATGGGGGATTTGTCAAACGGAATCAGTCTGTAGTCACAGCTGCATCACATGTCTTCTGATTTATTCTTCCTGACTGTCAGCTCACTGTTGCAATATAAATATAAACCAGAGGGAAACAAGAGTGCTAAGTCAGTTGATAGTATGGTTAAATTGTTGTTTACTGATTTCTAAACAGTAATTTAACAATTTTCTCAATAACTGCAAGAGGCTGCATAATTTTAAAGAGTTTTAGTTTTAAGTTGTAGCATGGCATAAATTGACAACTTATTTTTGTCTTAACAGCTTTTAATTAACAGACTGTTGCTAAATACTGGGAAATTGGACTGGTTTCATTTTCCTCCTCTATCATTACTATTGGTAACTGTTGAATAAGTCTTGCTAAAAGCTGAGAAGAGTATTGAAAATGAACTAATAGCCAGTATGACCATGACTATCCAGATGAAGTCTAAGGTTGACGCAAAGTTGCTAAACGTTTATAGATGTAATCTGAAGTAAGATGAAAAAAGAAAAAGAAACTCATGTGGACACACATTAAGGCTGTGCATGTGGTTGATCTCATTTATCTTGGCTTGATTTTCATTTTTGCAAAGGTAAGGCAAGTTTATTTATATTGCAACATTCATACACATGGTAATTCAAAGTGCTTTACAGATGCTAGCAGAAACTTTGACTTGCATCAAAAACTTTCCTCCCCAAAATAGAAAAAAAATTATCGCAGCCAAGATTTAGTTAGGCTGGGTTAGGGTTGAAGGATTTTAGGAAAAGATCGAATTGCGATTTTTTTGGCAGAAATTGCAATTTCAATTCGATTCAGGATTTTCTTTAAAGCAAGCTTCAACATTCACAATGTGTACAGTAACATTTACAAATCAAAACATAAAAAGCCTTTACTTTAATTCAAGAATGAAAACTAAAGGTAAGAATTGTGGATGGAAAGCCAATCTTCACATTTAAAGACAATTGAGTCATCCCATGTGGTCATGTGCTAAAGACACTACCTACACCACAAAGACTTGGTGGTTTCACCAGAAGAGAGCATAAGTTCATATTCTCTTGCAGCTTTGTCAATTGGTTTAGACTAGAATTGCAGCTGATTATGTTGTAAACCTGCTCATGTGGCACTATAGGCCTTGTTATAGAGAAGTGGGCTATGATGTTGTCAAATATTTCAATAAATGTTAAATAAGTAGTTTTGTATTGAATTGGTCTAACTTTTATATAGCATTACTGTTTAAGGTTAAAATGATGTGTTTTACTTCAATAATCTATGGCACAACTTATCCCAATGTATTCTCTTCAAAGGCACATTTTACCTCGCACTACGGTTAATCTAAAACTATATTTGTCAACCAGTTTGTTTAAGCGATTGTTCCCATGGATGCACCACATCCTTAATTAAATGTACATATTTTAGTTAGCGGTATTACAGTCATCCCTTTGCTTTGAGGATGCCAAGTAAAAACTGGCACAACTCACCCCACTCTCCCCTATTGTGTCATAGCAGTCGTTATCTCCCGGTGTCTCCGGCTGCTCTTGTTTTATGGGCTTACACTGGCAAAAGATGTTGTAAACAATGGGCCTGAGACTCATGTTTACTAGACTTTACACCGGACCTTTTCGTCGTGCAGTCCTCATGTAAGCGCCGTGGTGGTTTCTCAAGTGCCGGTAAATTCGTTGTGTTTCCGCTAAATGTAGCAACTTTAGCGCGACATGTTTTGCACAGCAGCCTACCTGTTTCTGGTGCACGTCTGCAGCCTCAAATCCAAAAGACATCCCAGATAATGGCCACCACTTTTCTTGGGGATTACATCACCTAATCCGTTTGTGTTGTCGCTGAAGCCATTTGTCAAAAACCGTTCACCTTTCAAACCAGGAGAGCAGGATACTGATTGGTTAAGACCTGTCCAGGAGTAGCATATGCCGCTTCTGATTGGTGCGTTTGAAAGGACGGTGGGAAGACGGTGTGTATATCTAACATAGTTGACACAGATCCTAAGTCAGTCATGAGCGCAGCAAAAACAAGTATCAAAAAATAAATAAATTAATTAATTAAAAACGCATCTTTGGTGATCACATGATCGTGTTGTCTAAACTCGCAATAAATGTTCTTCCTTGAGCTGCGTCACCCCGCTGCAGTCGATTGACTCGCCCGGAGGTTTCCGTACAAACAAGCGAGTGCTAGGAGAGAGTGGGTGAGTTGTGTTTAGTCTCTTTGCTAAAGAAATCAAGCAAAGCTAAAAAGATGTTTGGTGGCTAGTGCTGTGGCTGGGGCCCTATATGTACTGTTGATGAATAGGTGCTGTTCTGGGCGTTATTTGTGGCTAGAGTAGCTTTTTGGTTGAGCATGTGGCTCTCTGTATTGCTATCTGCGGTCGTTACTAAGGTTGGTATAACTTGATAAGCAAGCGGTCGGCAACATTCATCTCTCAATGGGGTGTCTAACTCGGTGTTCCGGTGTGTTTGACCCTAACTTAATTTTATGCCGGAAGACCCCTGTAATGCAGTTTACAACAGCCCAGCCAAACATTATGAACACCGGAGCAGTCTAATACTCCATACCACAGAAAATATTTAAGGATTTTATATTTAAATTACTGTGGCACCTGTTGAAAAAACTATGGCAAAATGTATTGAGTGTTAAATGCAAACAGCTCATGCTAACAAGTAGCTGTTCGGTTGCTATGGCTAACATTAAACCAGCACACATAGCACAGACAAGAGTAGCTATATTTAAAATCAAGATGCTAACATACTGTTTAAATCCAGCTCGGCATGATGGTCCTCTCCACCACCATCCTCCTATTTGTCCGAGTTATTCTCCTTTTGTCACTTAAGGGTAGTCCTCAGTAGGCTAGCTTACTTTAAGCTGCCCTCAACAGCCTGTGAATGTTGACTGAGATAGTCCAGTTTACCTCCTAGTTTTACAAACCAATAAGAATAAACTTCTAGGATAGCCACCAGCGACTTTACTAACTGATGAGTTGGCTACACTGGTGAATACACAGATTGCAGGTTGGTCAAGGAAATGCAGACTTCAACTAAAGAATGCCCACCTGAATGATCTCGAAAGATACCTGACATTGTCCAAAGCCTACTTTACAGATAGTTAAGTTAGGTCTTTCTATTTCTTGGTCTTGTGTATGAACGTACACTCAGCACCTGTTTAGACACGCTGCGAACACGGCAGAAATGTACAAGGAAATTCCACTACAAACACGGTATCCTTCCATAAATGGGATATCGCCCATAAAAATGGACCCCAGAAAAATAGCGAATTGAAGCTTGTCTTGTGTCTCAATTATTCTAGTTATAAAGAGAACATGCAAACCATTTTATGCAATGAGACAAAACAAATATACTTCTCAGAGAACATGTCTTATTTCCTACTACCCACAAACTACGCAGTACAGTTTTGTGCTTCACAGTTAGTGAAGATGACATTAATTGAGTGAAAATAATAGGAGATGCGTAGATTTGACAGCATTTGTCAGACCAAGACAGTATTTGTTAGAGTTATTCATCTTCAGATAGAAAAAGCTGAAATCTATCCATAGACAGCACTTGATTTCATGTTTCCACACTTGACAGTGATCTAAGATAGTCTTATCTGTTGTGAAAATACATGTCAAATGATAATTAAAGCAGTGCAGTTATTATTGTACTCACACTCGTCAGAGACACAAACTTCTCTTCCAAAATTGCATATTGTCTTTAAAGCCATTATTTTAGATGTGTTTTGTTTTGTAGAGGATTCAGAGTTAAAGGTATTTAACGCTACAAGTCCTCTGGGGCAAGACATAACTCTGACACTTCATGACAAGTACACTGTACAAAGATGTAAAGACCCCTAATTTAAACAGAGTTTTGATTGTGTTGGAAAAAGCAGCACTCACAAGCTCTCAACTTTAATTCATATAACCAGCCCCAAGACACCTCAGTCTGTACCGCCTTGACATCAACAAACTGAAGCAACACTTTGCTTGCAGCCTGAGTTAAAACATTTACTAGCCCAGTATCAAGACCAACCCTCACTTTCCTGACCTTAAAAGTGTAGCCTCACAGCTTAAAAAATAAGTGCTTCACCATCAGCTATCTTTCCCAGGGCAAAGTCTTTCTTTGTGTAAAATCTCACTGCAACTCACCCTGGTCTGTATCAGTTGGTATCCAAGTAAACCAAACTGGCAAACAAAGACCCATCACCTAGCTTCCATGTTTACCCTCTGTTAAATAACATGACTTGAGGCCGTGTACCACTTGTTATCTAAAGTCACTGATATGTTTTTATATTTACAGCCCTGTTATGAATCATATGACATTACATCATGTCCATGTCAAAGGGAAATTGATTTTCACAGTCTGTGTGCTTCATAATGTTTATTAGGGAAGATGTCAAACTAAAACAAAGCCCAAATTAAAGCATTGTTATTAGATGAACCCCTTTCAAAGACTGATGGCTGCTCAACATAGTCAGTTTTTGTGAGGTCCTTGTTAGACACTGCAATGATTAAAACCATTTACTGGATTTTTTTTTAATGCAATATACATGTATCTCTCTTTCTCCTTCAAAGTAGGCTCATTTGTATTTTGAGATTATAGAGCGCAAATATTATTGATTTTGTCCTCTTAACTATAACAATTAAGTTTGTAAATAACTGGCTATCATTAATCTATTGACAACCCCCAAGTAAACAATCAGCTTAACAGTCAAAAACTTTATAATATTACCAGGTCAAGGACAAATAAAGTTGACCAAATCAGGCCTGTGAAGCCCCTCAGTAGTTTGGAAGTCGATTGTGTAAGTGGATCAGAGTAAGTAGGACAGCGAAAATGACATAGAAAGGCCTAGATGTGTCTCATTACCTCTCCCTCTCAGGGACCCTGGTCAAGTACCAGGCGGTGTAAATAGACGAAGCAGACAGGTTAAGGACAGTAAACATATCAAAGGGCCTGTGTCATTTTTTATCCATTTGAAACAATCTAACAACAAACAAAAATAATCCTGAAAACTCAATAATTGAGTGATATTTTACAAATAATGTCTATTTAGATAAATAAAAACACACTTGAGTCAATCTAAAGACTGTTATTTGTGGTTGTGTCTCCTATAGGTAATTTTTGGATAAAAGTATTCAATGTATTAAATCAGTAACTTGTTTAATCCGTCTGTCAAAGTAATAATATGTCTTAATCAATTGCCCTGTGGGGATAAATAAAGTCCTTTTATTGCATTGTGTGCATGTGTCTCGGAACTTGATGGAATATTCTTTGACTTTGTCTTCACTTCATTTCACATGTACAGGGTCTAAGATCTAATGATGGCTGGCTTTGGACTCAAGGAGCCACACGGAGCTGCATCTGAATCAAACAAACAGGGACAGCCTCTATCAACCTATGTGTCCAAATAAAAGCATCTTTGACATGAAAGGCAGGATCTCCATGGTTTCCCCCTGGAGCTGGGCCTCGTTGCCATGGGAGTGGAAGGCGCTACTGGAGGAGGAAAAACACAGAGAGTATCTTCTTTCCATGTACGGAACCTATTCATGCACACTTTATTTTGCCTTTCGTCTCTGCACATAGTCATTGAGAAGCTAATAATACATTCAGATTAGTTTGAAGTTATTTTATTATTTTATTGATCTTACCAGCTGCTTGTGTTTGTTAAAATGACCTGAAGTTAGTAAAACAAATCAGGCTGTACTTGAATGTGCCCAAGCATATGACGTGTCCTTTAGCACACTGATTGCCTAATTGTTTAATGGCTATTCAAATAATGTTGTGCAGGCCCTGTTCTGATTGTCCTAATGCATTTAACCATCCCAACAGCATGTGCCTGTCCAGGAGTGTGATCAGACCCTAGGGGCAACAGAGAAATTAACACAAACAACTGACGTGTTACACAAGGCCTCCCGGTGAGTTATTATTAGCCTTGATTTTATAATGACATGCTGTGGAGATAGCAGTTACCAAAACAGCCATGCTACTGAGTAGATGCTCAGCAGAAGAAGAACAAACACAGTGGTTCTGTGCATATAAGTCTGATCTGATTTTAGGAAGTCCAATCTACATCAGTGAGCTTGTTATGTACTGAACAGGTCACGCTTGGGCTCAGCTCCATACAGTTCCTGGGGTGACTGAGTGGGTGGTATAACACAGGGCAGGTGTGTAGGCTAAGTGATGAGTCTGCTACGTGCAGATGCAGCATGGCTTGTTCTTGGCCCTACAAACGGTGGATATCTTTACAGATAAGAGCATGCAAGGCGGTTACATCAAGTTTATTAGGTACTGTTGTCAAATAGATGTTGTAACTGACGACACAAAGGCAGCAGTTGTGGATGGTGAGACACATGAAATTCAAAATAAAGTGGGGTTTAGATGTAGTTGAATTAAATATTTGGAGAAATGTCCTTTTTTCCAGATTTTCACAAAATCTCAACAAAATATACCCTCACAAGTAAAGACAAATCACATCACATTGTGAGATAAATACTTTTATAAGAAACATAAGTATTTCTGTGTGTTTTTTCTCTCAATATTTTGTCTAAATACTTCAGACTGTTGACAGTTTTGTGCATCATGAGACATCACCTGGTTGTGTGTGAGTCACTGCGTGTCTGTGTCACACGGCTCTGTTTTATTTAAGTCATGTGACATCACCCCATGTAATGACGCAGCTTAAATACAGCATACAGCCTGCTCGTAACTTCATCTAATCTGGCGCAAAATGAACAGCAAAGGCAGTGTTTGCTGATTGCAGAGCTGAGTGGAGCTGTGAGCACTGATGTCATTGCTTTAAAAAAAAAAAAAAAGGGCACCTGAAGCATCACTGCTGACATCATGGAATTTTTTGATCTCTCTCTTAATCAGTCGCTTTCATTGTAGTTGTTTCATACTGTGAATAAGGATCAAGTTTGGCTTTTAAACAGATGAACCTACCTCGTATCAAGTTCACACACAGTATGAGATGTATATATGTATGAAATGCAGCCGATTTAACTAGATAATAGTGAGGGATTTTTAATGATTATTAAGAATTTGTTGTTCAAAATCCAAATGCTTTGTACTGACTCCCTGCTATCTATGAATGCCAGTTCTGAAAGGCACTTAATAGATTGCAATGAGAGCTGAGTAATAAACAAATTACAAAAGAGGTTCACTTTCCTCTGTCACTTTCAACTCCAAAGCTTTCCTTATCTTAAGAGCTTAAGAAACAGGAATAGGACCTACTGGTGATTATTACAGTGGTCAAACAATGATATTTTAAAGCATACTCAATGTGTTTTGGAACAATACTGGTGCCTGGTAAAACAGAGTTTAAGATAAGGAAACTGGTTTGGACAGGCTTATTTACATAGGAAGCTTTACATCAGAGGAGTGAGATAGGGTTGGGGAAGGGAATGGCTCAGTATGAAAACATTCGTTTCCATTACAAGTACTACCTCACAAAGTTTTAAGGGCTGACAGAGCTGAATGGAAACCTGATACTTCTTAGATGCAGTTGTTGTCAATTCCATCTCATTACTTTGAAATTGTAAATGCACATTAGCTGGGCAAAGGCATCCTGGTGAATGGTGGTAACTAGGCAACTGTTTTCAGACACTTGAGATTAAGCCAGTGCACTTCCCCTGTTTTGCGTTTACATTCATGATGCACAGCTTCAGATGTTTCCTACAGATAATATGAAATCACTTGAAGTGATCACTAATCAAATAAAATCACTACAGAGAAAGTATAAAGAGCGTTAACTTGTGTCTCAATTTTTGAGTGATCCGGTGTACCTCTTATGTAGACTATATTCTGTATAAACAGTAAGTCTGATGAAAGTATTTCACACCATATTCAGAATTCATCTCTCTTATTTTGATGTACATATTTCTTCTTAGAATATGCCAGAGAGTAAAAAAGAATATCGTGTGTGCACCAATAAGGAGTAAATAGCTAAGTAAGGCCTTTATTGGTGTAAATGTCTTCCCTTAAAATACAGTATATTTGATGACTTTGTTAGGTAACTTTGGTGGACAGTGACTTAACAAGACTTTCCTGGAAACGGCTTCCTTCCCGAAGGTCCATGTACCTGTGTCATATGATCTGACAGTAAATATGAAGTGCTAATAAGCCACTTTTTTACACCTGATATCCTAACTGTATTGATAAACAACATTTTTGTATGGGCGGCAGTAGCTTGGATGTAGGGCGTAATCCTGCTGTAACCAGGGGATATACGAAAACCACTGACCAAAGATAGATCTGTGGAAATCCCCTCTCAATCCTATCAGTGGTTGACCAGCACTGGAAATCACAGGTAATTCTAATTTATTACAGGGTATTTCACAGCTGAGTCAACACTCAGCACAAAAGTGTCCAACAGTATCAGCCTCTTCACAGGATTGGAAAACACAGGGGTATTGTTGAGCATTTTTAAACTGTTGGTGACAGATGTTAATTGTTTTTGTGGAAGGGCAGTTTTGCACAAACACAAAAGCTTGTGTATAAGGGTACTCATATTAAAAAAAACACAAAACCCTTATTTTCATCGCAACAATTGAGAAAGAATTGCAGCTCTTTATGGCTATAAAGATATAAAATGGATCATGAGCTATATTTGTCCAAAGTCTTTTCTCGGTGGCACAATCCAAACTTTAAAATCTTGTAAAATATTAGCTTTATAAACATGCCTTATTATAGCCACTGAGCTCTAAAACCACTCTCACAGGAAGGTATTATTGTAGCTTCGACTGTAATAGCTATTTGTATGTGTTTCTTAATGGTTCTCATCTTTCACATTACCATATGTTGTTTTGTCATACACTGTATAACCAGCAGTTGCCAGTCCCATGTCAGAGCTTTCCTGAGCCCTGAGAAACCTATTAATCTTTAACTAGGAGCTATAATGGCAGGCAGTGCTTTTAAGCCTGATCTTTATTGCTGAAAGCAGCAGGATATACTTGACTGGAGTCCACATTTAGAGCTGCTGCTCTGTTCAGTTGGGTAAACATGTATGTATATTGCATAGAGAGATGCTGTTTTCTTACCTTGAACATAAAAGACTATGTTTTGCTCTACAGTTGTTTGAAAGGTGTGTTTGAGATCATTCTCACACTGCCTACAAGATAAACAGTGGAGTTTAGCCTGAAATTATACAGGTTTATTCATCATTTTTCCATCCTCCAGCTAATTGAAAGGACAACTCTAGGTTTTACATACGTTTTTACCCAGAACTGCAAGTAACAGGTGATAGATTTGTCAGATTTATTTGAGCACTTGAAAAAAAGTGCCCAACACACTAAGAGAAGCAGTCCGTATTAAATAATAAACCTCTAGAGCCAAGTAGAAGAAGGTTTTATAGATTCATATCTTCAAACTAAAGTATACCTCATTTAATTTGTGAGAGTGGCATATTAGAGCTAGAGTTCTATTTTGGAGGTGTCATGATACAACAAATGATTTTGTATCCAAATACAAAAAAAAGCTGAAAGGGGCTCTTTGTACTCTGACTGAAATCATGCATACTTAACAGTGAAAACTCCCTCTAAGGTTACCCGTTCCCAGTAATATTTTTAATCTTTGGAAAGGTCAGGAAGAAAATAACAGGCTTAAGAGAAACATGAGATGGCACTTGTCTTGGGCCAGTAATACTGCAGCTACATTGAGACACCAAGGAATCAAAAGTCTATAAATATTAATAATACTGATTTCCTTTTTTTTTTTTCTTTTTTTTAAATTTTTGCTTTGTTTATTTTTTATACTTGGTTGTTGCTTGGTGTTTTTGTATTTTGCGTTCTCCTGATGCTGAAAATGCTCACAGAGAAAGTTTCTTTAATTCTGTGCCGACACAATTCATGATACTAACAGGAAACCAGTTAGCTTATTTTGGAATATATCAATGACAGACAATTGTAGGGATATACATAATTTAATTATTATAAAATCTAATTTTACAATACAAAAATGAAAATAAATAATGCAGTACATAAATAATCTGGTAAAGAGTGCTTCATAATGCCACAATGCTAGAAAGAGGCAAATCACAGTCACCCAGGAGATAGTCTCTCTTCAGCGTGGACATTTTGTTCACCACTTTGAAGCGAAGGGAGCGTTGGCCGAGGTCTTCCTCAGAGATAGCATCAAAGAAGAAATCCTCATTGAAGATCGGGTTGCGGCTCTTTCTGATGACCGTACTGCGTTGCTTCTGGATTTTACCGGGAACCAGAGAGAGGCTGACACTGCAGTTGATGATCTTGGGGTCTACAGAGAGAGGATAAAGGCCCTCAGCACTGATCAATCGAACCCGCAGTCTTTGGTTCTCCAGGCAGTACTCCGCTGAGAGTCTCAGGCTGCCGTCTTTCCCTATGGGCACCATTCTCTCCTTCATTACCCGTTCTCTGTGCAGAGTCAAGTCCACAGGGAAGATGGTGGGCGGCGCGAGGCTGTAGCTGCTAGGCAGGCCTTCAACTAAGCCCTCAGATGCCCTCCTCATGACATTGGGGCTATTGTCAGTGGAGCTGCCTTCATCTGTGGACAGGGAATTGTTTCTGGACACCATTGCCTTCCTCATGTTCCTTGACAACAACAGTTCATGGCTCAGCGCTTTGAACAGGGAAGACTTGGCAGGGCACCTGGTCAGCAGTGGCGAGCTAAAAGGCGAGGATTCAGTGGAGGAGGTGGTGTCGCTGTCTAGAGTGGCCTGCCAGTTCAGAGTGTATCCTTTTGGGGAAAGCCTAGATGTCAGGGAGTTAAGGCTGAATGATGAAGGAGAGGAAGAGGGCGAGGTGGTGGGGGAGACTCTGGTGCACACACTGGAGCGACTCCTGGGCAGCAGCAGGGGAGAGGAACCAGGATCGGCATGGAAGAGGGATTCCTTTCTCCTAGTATGGGGACTCTCCAGTAAGGTGCAGAAGCCGTAGCAGGTCTGGGCTTTGGCCAGATGCGGTAGGGACAGCGCAGCCTGGCTCTGAGGGTCAGCGTTGGTGGTCTCCTCATCACTGCAGCCCTCATAGGGGCTTTCATCCACACTCTCCACCTGAATAATGTGTGGGTTGATGGGCTCATAATGCATCACCTCTATTTCAGGACTCATCCTCTCACAGGGAGACCCCTTGATAACTCGAGCTGCTCGACTCAGCTCTGTATTCTTCATCTCTTGCAAAGACGGGATGGTCGGTGGGATACAGAACTCTGGGATGTTGTCAGGGGTGATGACGTTAGGACAGAGAGAAATCCTTTTGGCTTTATCAGCTTTTTCTCCAAACATGATGTGACCGATCTTGAAGCTGAGTTCAGCTGATGGAATTGGCAAGTTCGATCTCTCCACAGATACACGGATCTTTTCCACCACCCACATGGGTCCTGCGTTAAGAGCGAAGAAAAGCTGTAGAAGCAAATTAAACAGATTATAAGTATCTGCATTGTGCTTTAAAATCAATTGCACATATTAAAGTCTATAAAACTAAAAAAGGGGGCTTTATGTATGATCATTGTTTTCTTACCTTACACAGAAGATTCGGATTATCAGTGAAGATGTCCCAAACAGGTTAGAAAAAGTTCAGGCTGTTGAAGGTAAAGTGCACAGCTCTCTTGGCAGCAGATGGAGGTTCCCTGTTGTCTAGACCAGCACATCTGTGGCTGTAAGAGAGACGTAGACAATATAAATCAGGCAGAAAACCAGTGAATCTAACACCCGCCCCCCTGTGCTGCTTGAGCAGGATCCTCCCTCTCCTCTTGGTCTTTAGTCCCCATGGAAATAACCAAACCACAACAGAAGTCCAAGCCCCAGCTGAAGCAACCGTAACTGTTGAAAATGATCAGTTACAACAATACATTACTAAAATGCTAAACTGAAGTGAACAACTCTTAAAGAATCATCAATAGACCTTTTTTATTTTTTTACTCTCTTTTAACAAGATGATGTTTATAACCTGAGTCCCATTCACTTTAACAAGATAGCAAAATAACAACTCTTAACACTTTTACTAAATTGGAACTTTTCTTATGAGGAGATATTAAGATTTTTTTTTTTTTGAAGAGCTGCACGAATATGAGTTATCTGTGTAAAAAAATGAGATCTCTTGTTACTGAAATCTTTGTGGTTTAATATGAAAAGACTTTTTGTTGTTGTTGAACCGTCTAGTATAAATATAATCTTTGTAGTCCTCTGCTTAGATCTACCGGATGATATACTTATCATATCTAAAAAGACTTAGATAATTTAGTATGATATGGATGTATTTTAGCTAATTGTTTAAATATCTATGTGTCCTAAAGTAGATTTTATTCTTGGCCTTGAAATGAACAAAGTTGTGCGTCATTATTGTTTTCGATGAATTTTTAATAGTGTATAAATGCATGCTGAACTCAGTGCCTTGGGCCTTCAACCTTTATTCAAACATTGTCGTGTCAATACTACCCTCTTGTGGTGGAACGTGTAGCAGCTTTATTATTTATTGTCACTGAAATGTTTGACATGCAGCTGAACTGCAGTGGGTCTCCATTGGAAAATCTGTTTTTGTTTTAATCAAATATTTGCGAATCGTATAAAAAATATGTTGAGTCACTGAAATAGTTTTACTTATTTAACAGGTAGTTTGATTTCAGCTCTTTGTGTTTTAACATGTTTATATTAAGATTTTGACTCATGGAGGAAAGTCCCTTTGGGTTTGTCCCTCAGCTTTCCTTTGCTCTCCATTTAGAAGTGCTAAGGAACAGGCATGGAGGGGTCCTGCCCAAAAGCTCCACCCTGTCTTGGCCAAGGTTCAAGTGGTGTAACTCAGTTACCATGTGTCACCAGGCACTCAAGAACATAATGATGTCATTGCTAACATTATACCTGGAAAGTGTCCTAAATGGGAGGACTTTCTCAGAACTGTTTTCTAAAATGTGCAAGTCAGATTATTTGTTTAGGCGTACCTTTTTAACACTTTGTACCTAACACACTACTCGAGAGTACACAATGATCTTCAGGAGACCACTACAGTGGATGGGTTGGATGAATTCTATGAAAAAAGGACATAGTCAGTGTATTCCACTGAAAGTGCAGCTGATCAACCTCACACGTGTTCAGACATACTTTACATCCCAACTTTGGGTCTTCATGAGTCTGCTTTGTGTTTGACCATAGAGTAGCAATCATGGATGGACTTGAACTAAACTTGATACAGCATGTGTTCCTATTGACAGGAGAAAACTTTGAGTGTTGCCTAGTTGTCAAAAAGGGCGGCAGTAGCTCAGGAGGTAGAGCGGTCGTCCAGTAACTGGAAGATTGGCAGTTCAATTCCCCCTATCCTGAGTCTGTCTGTTATGTCCTTGGGCAAGACACTTAACCCACCTTGCTCCCGGTGTGTGTCCTCCACTGGTGTATGATTGTGAGTGTTGTGTGGTGGTGGTTGAAGAGGCTGTAGGCGCAAACTGGCAGCCACGTTTCCGTCAGTCTGCCCCAGGGCAACTGTGACCACTAAGGTAGTTTACCACCATCAGGGTGTGACTGTGTGAATGAAGGAATGATGTATCTGATATAAAGCGCTATGAGGGTCTCTGATAAAGTGCTATATGAAAGCTGATGCATTATCATTATTGTAAAAACAATGGACTTTTGGAGGTAGGTCAGCCTTGTCAGGAGTGCAGAAGAAAGGCTGTAGCATAGTATCTTTCTCTGTAATACTTTTAAAAATTTAATTTAACAAATACAAAAAGGTAGATTGCACAAAAATGTGTAAACAATGTCTGATAAAGTGAAGAGTGTGACACTTGACATTATAACCCCTATTGTCAGGTGTCTGGATTTAGCTTTGCGTGGATGTCCATAAGGGGGCAGTATATGCTCATGTTGGAGAAACAGCAGCACACCCATAAAGAGAGATGTTAGTGTGATCTGAAAATTAAAGGGTGCCTTTTTAACGAATAATCCGTACAGCAGAGTGTCTAACTAAAATGAAATCATCTACATGGGTTTCAGTATCTTTAATGCTTAGAAAGCCCTTCATAATAGACATGCAACCTTTTAAAAATCCTGCCATGATACATGCTTTTTTCAGATGTCATTGCTTGGACATGGACTGCATAATACCGAGTAATGTATCCTCTCAGGTGCAGACAGAATGCCAGTTCAGACATAATCTTCCTTGTGCCATTGATTTTATGTCAAAGTGGAGTAAACCATGGGAATACGGATTGTTCTCCGCTGACGGTAGCTCTCGGCAGGTGTACTTTACTGCACAAAATCAAAGTCTTTTCAAAATAAGACACAAGTCAGTCATTCAAAGATTTCGTGCGTGGATGTTAAAGAGAGTATATATCGCACGCTGGGTCATTATCGTGAGCCAGTGTGCGATCGGATCGGATAGTTTTCGACTCCTTCATTTGACTCCATGGATGAGTGTCAGAAATCGTGGGGGAGTGTGACGCCGCTTCCTTTTTCGGCGCATAGATATGCGGTCGTCCTTTTTCTTTTTTTTCTTCTTCCCATCTCTCTCCACTGTACGATAAACGAGGAGGGGCTTGATGCCGTGGAGGAGGGAGGCAGGCAGGCAGGCAGGCTGAGCTGACCCGCTTGTGGTGTGTGTCTCCTAGCCTACATCCAAGCCAGGTCGCATGCATTAAGGAGTGACAGTCATCAGGTAGGATTTCGCCTTTATTCTTCAACGCTGTGTGTGTTTGAGAAGCCTGGCGCTCATTTTAAAGGTGCTGCTCCTCCTAAAGGGGGCTCACTACAGGGAGGCGGACCACTCTGTGTTGGCTCAGCAGAAGAAGCGCTGAAAACATTTCATGTTAACAGTCTGCAGGCGACCTTTTTCTACATGATGTGTATGATGTTTTACCACTTCGTGTTCTCTTTGCTTCTTTGTGGATTTGATATATGTCGGTTTGGCTTTATCCGGGGCGTTTTTAGGAGCCTGTCAAACCTATGTCTTCGCCTCAAATGTCACTGACTGCTTTTGACATTGAGAGATAAGAGAATATTTCATTGACCTACTTGTTTGGCGGTGCTGCTGCGTGTGAGATGTGTAGATTAAGTGCCAAGAATTGTGCTAAAATCGGTAAGAAATGCTGCCCAGCTTTAAGCATCTTTTACTCTGCGAAGAAATGTGCAGCACAGTAACTTGGACTTGACCTGAATGTTATCCTGATGGGCTCGACATCAAAGCTACATGGGCGACATGAGAGTGGAGTGCGTGTGCAGGGATGTAAGCAGTGATGATGTACAGTAGGAGGAAAAAAATGTGAAAAACAAGGGATAGGCTGTAATGGTCAGTTGGATCAACTTCAATTATACTGCTGATGCTTTTCAGTACAAAAAAATTGCTTTTTTAAGGATTCTCTTGACACCTGCCTGCTTGCAGACTTCAGGGGGCATAGTCACCTCACTATATTACTTCCACCCCAGACACCAGTAAGCAGGCTGCCCACTTCCTGACAGGACATGTCTCCTTAACTGCCCAGACAGATGTGTATTTAATACTCTTGTGAAAAGCTATTTTATGAGCTGTAACCTGTGTTTCCTGAAGGTGCAGGGCATCAAATGTTGAACCAACATAGTCAGAGCCGGTCCAAGCCTCTATGGGGCCCTAAGCAAAATTTGATTTTGGGGCCCTCTATTTCTGCCAATAATGTTGATTGTTGATCATTCACACACCTTCATAAATCTCTGATTAACATTGACATGCAAACATACCTTTTTCTTGTTGTATTTCTCTTTTTTTCTCTTTCTTTTCTCTGCTGCTGAAGGATACGTCCTTTTTTGTGACATTGTTTTTCCCCACAACTACCTGTGCTTTGGATGCTCAGTGCACATTGCACAGCAGAAGGCACATAACTGTAGCCGAGCTTTGACATAGTGGCGGTAAGAATCATAGGTCTATATCAGCAGAAGCACTAAAATGTCTTTATTTTATTATTATTATTATTTTTTTTTTACAATAATATATATTTGATCATACAGAAAGCATCACTCATACATGCAAGAAATAAAACATATTTAAATTATTATTTTTTGATTGCTCTCTGGGGCCACTATTGGCCACAGGGCCCTAAGCAGGCGCTTAGTTCACTTATGCCTTGGGCCGGCTCTGAACATAGGTACTGTAGGGTCAAGGGGTCACACAAGGCCTCTGTATCAGTTTTACACATAACAGTGTAATTTGAAGAACATATATAATAATAATTATACTAATTATAATAACAAATTTTATTTATAATGCTCTTTTACAGGTGCTTAAAGATGCTTTACAAGAATAAACAATTAAAAATACAGAAAATTATAAGTAATAAGACTAACACTGTAAAAGGTTAAAAAAAAGACACAATATGAAAAGACAATAAAAGAACATTTCACAGGTTAAAAGTCAATTTAATAAGGTGTGTTTTTAGAAGTGGTTTGAAAGTATGGGGGTCTGTACAGTCCCGGATGGGTTTGGGGAGTGAATTCCAGAGGGTGGGGGCAGCAGCGGAGAAGGCTCTGTCCCCCCAAGTTCGGTGCTTGGTCCACGGGGGTAAGGCAAGGAGATATCCCTCTGAGGATCAGAGGGCACAGGAGGGGGTGTAGTGGTGGAGCAGGTTTGTGAGGTAGGTGGGGGGCAGGTTGTTAAGTGATTTGTGAGTGAGCAGGAGGATTTTGAATTGTATGCGGTGCAGTTTTTGGAGGATAGGAGTGGTGTGTTTTTGGGAGTTGGTGTGGGTGAGCAGGCGGGCTACAGAGTTCTGAATGTATTGGAGTTTATTGAGGACTTTGGATGATGAGCCGTATAGAATGCTGTTGCAGTAATCTAGGCTGGATGTTATAAATGCATGGATCAGGGTTTCAGCAGTGGAAAAGGTGAGTGAGGGGCGAAGACGGGCAATGTTTTATCCTCACCATTTAATGATATCCACATTTACCAGCGAAGCTTTCAGCCTCAACTGTTTGCAAAATATCCACCCCACCCTACTACAGTAGAGCAGCTGAGAGCTTTCTATGAGAGGCATCTTGAAAATTAAGGGTCAATCCAAGGATACTTGTGGCGTGTAAGGGGTTTCAGGCTGATGACACGTTTCTCCGAGTGATGTATCTAAAAAAAAGCTGAGCTGTATCAGCAGGATGTAGACAGTCTCTGGATAGCTTTATACAGTAAGACACGTGAGGGAGGGGGCTTTGGGCACAATTCCAACTGGGAGTACTCACACTAAAAATGTACTCCCTGGTGGTACTGTAAGGCACCAGTAAGCAATGTGAAAAAAGCATCCTTCATTCACACTGGATGAAACGGTATGTGGGTTTGGTAGCAGTGACAATGTTGCAGCTTGTTGTTTAGAATAATTTCTATTATGAATTGTTGTGTTGTACTTTGACAGAAAGTACAGATGTGATGCTGCGTGGCTGCACAGTGGTTTGTTTGGTTGCAGCGTACGTTAAGTGTCTTAATGAGTTGGATATTAACAGTTGGAGATATCAAGTACCACTCATTTTCTATTTGGGCTTTAGTCTGCTTCCTGTTTGATGCAAAATAAATGCCAGGTAGCTGCTTTAAGCAACAAAATATATCTGTGGTAACTGGTAAATGCTGACATGCACCGATCTATGTCTTCAGTTCATCTGCAACCTTTGTAATGATTGGGTTTAAAACATTTTCTGTATCTGTAAGTATGTCAACATCTATTAAAAGGGTGAGATGTAGGATCATGTGCATGCCTTCCAGCTTGTACAAAGAAGATTTGTTGAATGGCAGATTGGCAAAATGTTCCAATAGCGAATAATCTTCCGATTACATATTGCTGGAATGGCTTTATGAATAGTGAATATCTTTTCCTTGTTATAGAATTGAGCTGAATTGTCAGTAGGATTACTGTGTTTATGTTTAGACTGGCCACAACAGATTTGCTTATTGTTTGCTTTGCTTATTTATGTACAAACATATTTTTGCTCTTTGCATGGCTGGAAGGATACAATGTTTGCAGTGACAAGAGCAAGTAAAATATGAATACTTGTATATCATTTTGTGGAGGTTATTCATTCTTAGCTGTTGAATCGCAATATGATTTATTTTTTGGCCACGCTTAACAAAGAAGTGAAGGCTTTTTATACTCCAAGCATCCACAGCCAACACTGTATATTTTCATGCTGCATGGTATACAGATAACACAATGTCACAAGCTTATATGCTGCATGTATCTGCCAGCAGGAAGTGATAACAGCGAACTGCTCCGTTAAACAGAACACTCTATGCTGTTCACAAGAATCAAGGCTGTAAAGGTGATGCCCACTATAGTTTGAAAGGCAATGTAAATATAAATTAAAGTTAACCCATTCAGATAGTCTCAACATTTTCTCTCACCCAAGCTTTTAAGCCATTGTATCCTACGACTTTTGCTTAGCTGTAGTAATTAAGACCAAGCACTATTTAAATGCTTCCTTTTCCCCATTCATTGCCAGCTATTGAAGAGGCCATTACCACAGTGATTCTGTATTATGGGAAGCTATTAGGGCTATCTCTGCTGCAGCAGCTCTAGTTCACACCTTCAACAGAGCGCATCATTTAGTGGGAATCACATGCTCCAAATATTGTCTTAAAACATTGGCTGCATCTTCTCATGTATAACTTTTAGTCCAAAATTTGCTAAATAATAACAGCAAGGTCATGAATTCTAAAGTAGCAATTTGAGGAGACAGAGTCTTTGTATTTCCGTGCAGTTCATTAGAAAGTGATTTTCCTCTCAGCTGCTGTAGCTGCTCTGTCATCAAGAACACGTTCCTGGTCGGAATTCCCCAGGAAGTGTTCAGCTGGAGGTTGGGAAGTAAGGGCTTTCAGAGTCATCGGAGAGAGTGATTGTTGAACCATATTTAATGCATGACTGTGTAGGTGGTGGAAACTAAAACACACCCCATGCTGTGGGCTGTGACCCAGCCTTTGTGTTTTGTGTTTACAAGGGAATTACAGCTCGCTTATGTATTTTCTTTTTTTCTTTGCGGCTGTCTTTGTGATCGCAGCCTTTTTGGGGGGGGGTCTGGCTTGCCTCCAGATCTGTTTCTATGGAATGAGAGGTAGATGTTTAAGCTAGCTGCCAGTCACACTCCTCCACTGGAGCGTCAATCTGAATGCATAATCTCCTGTATTTTTCCCAACAGATGATGAATGTGGCAGGAAGTCAATAAGTGAGAGCTGCAATACCTATGGGGTTGTCTTTTTATTATTAGCAATCACTTGACTGCATTTCCACTGTGCCTTCAGATTTTAAGTAAGGTTGATCACACATGTGATTAAAAACTCTAATTGCAAGAGATGAAACTGACAGCATAGTTGATTATTAATGGCTGACTATAATGTCAAAGATTATCCACAGGTCACTCAATTGTAGTTCCATAAATACGTAACAGCTAAATGCATGGCAGTGCTGCAGTACTGTTGTACTTGCAGACCTAGTATAGTTTATTGTTGCTTTCTAAGTTAAAGTAGTGAATAGCTGCTTCATCCTATGGCTGAGCAGAAATCATTGACAGAGTAGGACATTGCATTATTTATGATAGTATTAAACGAAGACAAGCATTACTCTAAGTGTTGCTCAATCCTTGAAAAGCTGACCAGAAGTGGGTGATACAGTACGGCACTGAACTATTTACTGTACATGTGGTCTAAACCAACGCCGCTGTGCGAGTGATGCTTAAAGCAGACTCCAGAAGTAGGTCAGTAGATGCTGGCCTGGAGCGCTTCAGGTCAGAGGCAAAGGCTCAGCCTGTGGCACTTTTCATCAGCAGATCAAATGAGACGCTGTTTTAAAAAAGCAGACAGGTCCGACTGCATGACACGTCTGACTTCACTGGGTCCCAAAACTGGGTTAGTGGCATAAGAGGGAAAGATGTTTGATCTTAGGGTTCCCTGAGCACCAGCTGTCAGCTTAAGTAAATATCTGTCTGCTTACCTTTGGCTATGTGGCCGCTTTTAAGCACCAGTGTTCATCGGTTTAGCCATACTTTAACATTCATGGTTGATTCATTTCCTATTCTTTCACCTAATCTCTGTGCGTGTGTGTTTTGAGGTGTGGCAAATTGGTTTGAGATAAATTTAGCAGTGGATAAATTTGTGGTGAATGAAAATAGATGAAGTACTATGAAAAGCTGTGCGATTGATGCTACTGAAATTCAATCAGATGCAGAGATAGTCTGTGTGGTTTAAAGTTCAATGTGTCTGTGTGTGACAGAGGACTACTGGAATGAGCAGGACCATGACCTACTCTGCCTGGAGCAAACTGATTCTAAGTGGTACAGATCATGTGATATATATGTGCTAAAGACCATGTGATGTATAGCTTTGAAAACAGGAGAGGGGCTGAATAATGCTTGCTTGTCTTCGGCATGTCTTCCTCTGTACGTCTGGTTGATGTCGAAGAGCTTATTGTGCACAGACTTCACAAGGAGCTTGGGTACACTACTTTGAATAAGTCGATGTTTTCCCCTGTGTTCTTGCTCGCTGCTATCAGGTTCATTGGTCACAAAATCCATTCTCACCTGGTAGTCTTTGTTCGCATATAATAGCTGCTTGTGCTCTCTGAATAGTCACCTAGTCGTAACATGCCCAGTTTCTTTTTACGCTGCTGTAGGAATCATTTCTTTGAACAACTCTGGGAAAGTGTCACCTTATTAAAGACTGTGTTTTTTAAGTAACTCTCACTGAGAAGTTAATGTGCATTCATGCGTCTTCAAAGTTCCTCTAGTCTTACACAGATATATAGTACACTAACTCCTCTTCATAAAAAAGCCCTTTTGCTAGATAGTAGGGGTGGGAGGAAAAATCAATTCAGCGTAGTATCATAATATTTTGTCTGGTGATATATTGTATTGTCTCATTTACCAAGTATCAATTCTTCTAATTAATTGCTAATATGAACTCAAATCTATGATAATGGAAAAATAAAATCAACTGTTTGTCCAGTGAGGTTGGCAGAGCTGACATCATAGAGCAGGAGAAAGTTAGTACAACAAATAGATATAAGGTTTGCAAGATGTGCTACATTAAAATAAAATACAGCGTAATAATAAAACAAGAAGGAAAGCCAAATGCTAAATTAGCTAAACAGTTGAAAAAATTGTATAAATCGCAAAATATTGTATCGCAATACTCGCTGCATTGCAAAATGTTAAAAATCGCAATGATATCGTATCGTAGCCCAAGTATCGTGATAATATTGTATCGTGGGGCCACTCGTGATTCCCACTGCTGCTAGATAGAAGTCCCTTGCTTTTGTTGGGTTTAGCTTGTATCACATAGACAGCACATTGAAGGTGAAATCTCAAACTCTCTGATGTCTTTCGTCAGCATGCATGGAGTGTCTCCTGGTGTCTCTCAGGAACACCACAAGAGCCAGGGGTCAATGACAAAGAGGGCACAGATCCTAGTGATCCTTTCACTTGCCATTGATTCTTCACTAGCTGCATGATAGAGTTCCTGCACCACAGTGCACGGCTAAGACATTATTTACTTGATTACACTTGAGCTGGATTTTTTCATGTATGGCACTATTATTACTGACAAAATGACAGAGCAAATGCTTAAATTAATCATTCGGCAAATTGGCATAAATGGGAAGGTGTCAAGAAGTTCAGAGGCTTACACAGTTTTCAGACTGATGGAGCAAAGGCAAGCTGTACAGGGACAGAGGTGAGATGAAATAACAGAGAGATAAAGCAAACAAAACAATATCGCTGTTGAAGGGCACTGTTGATCTTATTTAGCTAGAATTGACACATCAGTAGTATCACATGTAGGTTAAATGCAGGCCAATGGATGCTGTGTACTGCAGCTGTCAGTGTGGTTTTATAAGGGGAAGGGGCTCTCCTGTCTGAACAGCAGCACTAAAACTACTGCTACCCTCTCCTCTGATCCTCTGCAGGCAGCAGAGGTTGCTGACCAAGTGAGATCGCTCTCTCCCCCCGTCTCTGTTTTCCTCTCTCCCTTTCCCCCTTTGCTCAGGGCTCTGTAATGTCAGCACCTTGAATCTCAAAAGAAGAACTGTGGACTGTTCTCGCGCACTGTTGTCCGAAGGATTTCGTTGTAATGTGGCGGAAGTGCATTCAGCAGCTGGAGGGTGAACTACTTGAGCGATTGTGTTTCTTTAGCCCTGTATATCTAGCTCATCAGCAGTGCACTGACCTTGTGTTAAAGGCAGAGAGATTCTCTGGTTACCCCCAGTGGAAGGAAACACCTAGGATTAGATTGCTCTGTTTTTTGGGATGGAATGATACAGTTGACTCAGGTGTTCATTGCATTAATGTATTCATAGACTTAATAATACTTATTTATGAATATTAATATTATACCCACCAACTGGAATTAATTGCCTGATTCTCTTTGAAGCTGCATCAAATATTTTGGCTGAAACAACACTTCAGAGTCAGTCAGCTGCAATAATTAAACTAAATAATCAACAGACTTGTTGACTAGCTGATGAACATTCTTTACATTTAGCCACAGCAGGCCCACATATAGTCATGTATGTAAATTTACCGTTGGCAGAGACTCCAGCAGTCCTACAAGAGAAATGGAGGAACATGGACTTGAATAAACAGGAGGACAGAACCACTAAACTCAAACATATCAATGCTAACCAATGTACAGACCTACAACCAATCAGACTAACTTAGCATGTGATGAAGCAACAATAATGTCAACAGAAAGCAGCATGCAGAGATAAGAAACCTACCTTTCCCACTCTTGTTTTTATGAAAATACATCACCAGGCTAGTTCCAAACAGCAGCCATTGTGAATTTAAAGGTCACTCCAGCAGCAGAGGGACCAAACATGCAATTGGCACTAAAAAGATTCCTACAATTGTTAGGGGTGGGCGATAAATTATTGTTAATGATTTATTGTCAGAAAAATCCTTCAAGATGAATATTTGGCATCTCATGATAAATGCGATCAACTTTTCTTCAAGATTGGTGCTAAGACGAGTGCAATTAGTGGATCTGCTGCTGCTGTTCACTCTGTGCAATAAGAGTTTTGAATAAATGGTGAAAGTAGGGCTGGGCGATAAACTGAAAATTTACCAATACTGAAATTTACGACAATGATTGACATCATTTTGCCCATATCGATATATTTAGGGTTTAAAAAAAATAAATAAATAAAAGTTGGTTTTGGACGTGTGTAGGTAGGCTATGGTCTCATGTCCCTTTAAGAAGCTGTCCTACGTCAGATGTGACTCCACCCCATCCAGTCCGTGACAAAGAGTGAAAGACAGGTGAGGAGATGGAGGACGGTTCAAAAGTTGTAGCGGTTGGAGGGGCGGCTGAAGTAGACAAAGTTAATGTGGGAGGGGTGAGCAGCTTATGGTGTAGTTATCGTCTATTTATCATTATCAAGGTGAACTACTCAATATATCGTGACATTGATTTGAGGCCATATCGCCCAGCCCTAGATGAAAGTGTTTTCACATTTCACACTTGTTTGATGTCACGAGTTTTCTCTATAACCTACCACTTAAACTTGTGGTTAAGTATCTTATTTGACTGTGCCCACTGTTAAGTGCCATCCAAAAACAATGATTGTGGGTTTCTCAAGACAGAAGGAATTAAAAGCATTGACAGGAATTGTATATATATATGTATTTTTTTTCATCATGACTTTTATCATCATCGTCAGAATGGCGCCATATTGCCCATCCCTAACAATTGCAGCTACTCTTATTAATTACAAGAGTTTCCCTGTGCAGCTATGATGCACCATTAGAAGAGAGTGTTTGGTATTTTGCCACGTTTCTTTGGAAAACAAAGGCTCATAAGTTCATTATCCAACATCTGTTAATTTCATAAAAGTTGCAGTCGCATGCCCTTGTAAATGTGTTGGCTTAACCTTAGTTGTTGAGCTGATCCTCCGGGTCGAGTGCGACATAAATTCTAAATGTTCGCCGTGGGAATAAGGTCATCTGGCCTGATGTCACAAAATCATTAAAAAGAGGACATTTTAATTCAAGTCAGGCATTAATTATACAAAATCCTGATGTTTCATGCTGTAACCTTGTTTGTTGGTAGGCTGTTTTTCCTCAGAGCAGAACAAGAGCTGAATATAAATGTTGACTTTCTTCAGAACATGCATTGTCTGGAAAATCAGATTCAGGGAGCTGACTCGAGTTTGTGTTCAATTTTGTTTAACTGCGTCAGCAGCCACTAAAGTGAGGAAGGAATCAACATTCTCTTGAGGCAGATTCCAATGTAATCTCTTCTCTCTGGGCATGTTTTCTTAACCCTACATTTTATCCTTACATTTCAGCCAGTTAGTGACATTTCGTGACATGATTGATCATTTTAACTTGTCTTGAAGATGGATTAAACCTTTGTTTTTCAGGACGGCCACCTAGATTTTGTGTAAGCTTTGTGCGATTTGACGAAAAAAGAAATCAGCGTGGCCCTTAGAGAGCAGGGAAGCGAGCATTCATTCATGTCCTGTAAAACACAACCTAGAAACATGTCATCTGAACTCATTGGGTGGGATAAAAGAGACTGTCACCCAAATATCATATCATATTATGTGTACGGTATTGTTTCCTCAACTATGCTCTCTAATTTCTTCCCCCAGGGCTACTCCTGTATGACACTGGTTCAACCTGCTCACCAGTTAGTACAGTACAGTGAGCTAGTCATCCAGCAGAACGATCATGTTATTTATAGAAGTATTGTTAAGCCTTACCCACAGCTCTGAGTCATGTTGTCACAGCCCGTCAATCACTGGTGGTCGTTGTCTCGATGATGTCCTGTCTGTTTAGTGCAACACAGCATGAATGGTCAGTGCTTTTTATAAACATCATCTGGAAAAGGCTCTGGACAGGGCAGCCACTATTTGCTTCCTTTATGCGTGTGCCTGCACTCTGTCACAGTTCGCTTCCCCAGCACTCAAGCTGTAAGAAGTGCTCCTTTTCATTTAGTAAAAGCATAATATCTGGACCGCTAATAGTTGTGTGCAGTATTAATTGGATAAAACAAGGGCTATTTGGACAAAGTAATAGCTGAGTAGCTTTGATTTTCAAACCCTTAATGAGCCTCGTTCTACGGGCAGACAGCAGCTCTGTCTTAAAAAAAAAAACGGTACGTGCTACCAATATAGCTGATGTTTACACAGGGAGGAATATTCTGGACCAATTACAAAAGGGGTTTTTATGCATATTTAAGGTTAATGATGAAGCTAAGAGAGTAACATTGGCACCAAACATTACTGTGGATGTTTGCTCTCTTTCTGCAGTAAAGAAGGCAAAAATCTTTACTTTGACCGCAGCAGCTGGAGTGCTGTTGGAGTTCGGCAGATTTGTTATCATCTTGATGGAATGTAGAGGCATGTTGTCATACTTCTGTCAGTACAGTTGGCATACATGTAAGTTTTTATGACTGAGGGGGCACCATGCAGTTTCAGTGTACCCAGTTCAGCTAAAAATGACTTGTTAGCCCTACACCCAAGGACCAGAGAATTTAATTATTTCCTCTGTCATAGAGTCATACAGTGCACATATCATTTCTGCCTTCCATTTATTCTTTTTATAATATCAGCCAAACATAGAATAGTTACAAGCATTTTGTATGTTTAAGGAAAAGAAATGCCTCAACATTCTGTCACTTCTGCTGCGTTCCAGTTACCTCGAAGTCGCAGCTGGGAATGACACTACACCCGAGTTGACAGTGTTCCAGTTAACGAGTTGGAAAACCAAGATGGACGCCTGCAGTTACCCGTTGTGCGCTGTTGTTTACAATTGTCAGCTCTCGTTAGCCGTTGTCAGCAGTTGTCAGTTGTTGTTAGCTGTACCAGTTGTAAACAACACATAACACAGTACTTTACTCTACAAACACCATAGCACTGTGTTCACAGTTAGACGTTGGGCCGCACAACATATACCACTTACTTAATTTCACAAAAACAAACAGAAGTGCTAATAAATAATACATCATGAGAGCTTTTACTGTTACTCTTTACTGTTGATGCACTGTGCTGCCATCTTGAATTATGACGTCGTCAAGTCGGGGTTGGCGAGGATCGTCGGAAATCTGACTTCAGGGGGGCGTTCCAGATGAATATCCGACTTGGAGCTTGGAAATCCCATCTTCAAATTACAACTGGAATGCAGCGTTAACCCCCGCATTCAGTAAATTAGAATAATCACATCTGATTGATTGAACACTCGCTGTTGTTTTTACTAAAAGCTTCTCATTCAGTTGGCAGCATTAGCTGACTCGCAACAAGAAAACATCAAAGCATTTTCGAGTACTGATAAATGAAGTTGTCCTCACCTCCACCAAATTTAAAAAAGAATTAACTGTGAGACTTTTCAAAAGACAGGGAAAAAACATCTAAATCATGCAGCAGAGCCTGAAAACTGTACTTTTACTGTAGTTGTACTGTAGTTCTTCTGTCACAGAAATGCTAAAGTTGCAGACATATATCTATTCTTCGCCATGCATATAGGATTAAAATGATACAGTGTTAATTTCTTGCCACCGCTACCATCTGTTCAGTTCACTATATGGCAGCTGTTTGCCCCTCTGTCTGTAGAGTCTTCAGTTTCCTCAGATGGGAGATTGATGAACCTTCAGCCAATTGGGGGGGGGTAGTTGCCCACCCGCAGTGGACATGCAACCCCTGCAAAGCTATACCCACGAGATCACACGCTCCTACTTCCCTCTGGTGGGTATGGAGTCATATAACATAGCCAGGTGTGAGTGCCAGCCTGAGGTCAAGGGTGAGTCTCGAACTAATGACCCGAGGGGTAATTCTCCCTTTAGTGTCTGTAAAGTGGTTGATGTGCGGCTCAGCGCCTCTTGCACTTCTTCATTTTCTCTGGTGTATTTCTGCTAGGTCTCATTTATTGTCTATACTTCTTGCCTTTTCATAATCCAAAATCAAATTTAGTGCAGCCACATGTGGGATTAGTGAAGCTGTTATTTAATGGCTGTCAGGATTCGTGCCATTTATTTCTGATGTACGGTCTATGTATATGTAGAGCCCATACTGGAAAACTTGCACTATATTTACAGTTTGATTTGATTTCTTCTAGCCCTGGGAAAAAAGGCCACCATAAATTACAAGAATCTCATGGAGTGAGGCTCTGTGAAGCTTTATAAATTTCCCTCTGGGAGGAGGGACAGAGAGCAGCGGAGGAGGCTGCGCTCTGAAAGGGCGATCTGTATGCAACTTCAGTGGGAGACAGCATCCTCGACACATGGCACAAGCTCAGAGGCATCGCTGAGAACGTGGCTGGCTTGTCATGTAAGGCAGCTCACTTTGCTCCCCGTTAGCTTTGACCTGCAAGTTCTCCTCGGTCAGCCTCTTTTAGTGTAAAGCGTGTGCTGTGGGTATTTTTTTTAAAGGAAATTGGTTTTGCTAGCACCAAGATTCCTGCTTTCCCCCCACAAGTCTTTCAGTCAGTTGGACCATCTGTAATTTAAAGCAACAGCACTAACGATGCACTGCCAATATCTTGCGTGCATATGCACACTAGGCCTACACATCCTGGATGTCTCGATACGATGGATATGCCTGCCTCTCTCTGGTGCAGAGCAGTGGGACTAATTGAATTACACATCCCCCTCTTTAGCTTCTCAGTCCCATGGGAGTGCACAACTAATCATTTGAATCGCTATTTATTTATTTAATTAATTATTTATTTATATTTCCAGAAATCGTGAAGAGTGGTGTACATCAGTAGATCTCTTCAGAACAGCCAGTAAAGCCATATGTGGTATACGTTTCCTTAACAACAACTCCGTAGATTCCATATGTAGTGGTAGATGTCGTCACAGTGTATAACCTTTGACCTCTTAAGGCTGTGTTGCTGCCTCAGCTGGTGCCCAGATGTACCTTAAAAAGGCTAAGTTGCTGGCTAATGAAAGCAGAGTTCAATTTAGGAAGCGGGATGATGAGTTTTCCCCAGAGTGCATTATTGAAATGAAGTATGACAGCGTGTATGACCTTTATCCACATGCTCACCAGGCTCGACCAAGTTGATGCGAGGATAAAATACTTTCCCTTTTTTATTTTCTTTTAGTCTGAGGACATTAAAATTTTTTTTTTTTTTCTGGCAGATTGAATCTCAAGCTCACAGCTATTGTGTATAGAATGTAGTGAGGAGTATTATTAACCCCAATTAAGCCCAGTTCACTTAATTGTAACAACGCAGAGCATCAGTGCCACCATTTACCGTACAATTCATAGTATATAATACAAACCTGTTGATAAAAATTACATGATTAGCTTATGGAGCACAGGGGAAATAAATACATCGAATGGTAATTGATTTTTGCATAATGGTTACCTTCTAATCATCACCGGAGGTCATATTTCATGTGTTTTCTCTGTATGCAGTCAATTGATTTTCTAAACACTTTACCTTCTATCATAATATGCAGGTAATAGAAAGTCACTGAATAAATGAAACCCTTTTGGAAAGGAAAGCATGAGTCTGTAAGAGAGAACATTTCCCCTTTTTTTTTTTTTTCAAACATTGGTAAAGCTTTGGCGAAACATAAGACACTGATTGTCCCTCTCCTCCTCTAATATGAATGCCTCCGTCTGTATTGCTTTCATCGCCGCTCTTTCATAAATCAGATTTACCGCTACATCTGTAGTGCCCATGCTAATGAAGTAACACCCAGCACAGAGACACAGCATTGATTTCATTTCCTGCCTCCCTTGCTGTTTCCTCGGTAGCTCGATGGAGATTACATGTTGATGTCATATAAAAGGAGAGATTAAAAAATCGGTATCCAACTCCAGAGTCACAGCTGTGTGCCCAGCCTTACAATTAGATGTACAAGTTTAATAGACAGCAGCAGAGGTGGCACTGAGTATCCCGCTTCCTCTCTTTTCCGACAGATCTTCAGAGCGTAACTTTTTTGCCTTGTTAACCCTGCAGGATGTGGAGGTTGGCAGGTTCTTTTCATTCCCACACATCTCTGCCAATGATTGGGATGATTCTCCTCCCTGTCAGGGATCTGCAGAGAGGCAACAGTGAAATGGATGGCTTGTCCAGTTATTATAAAACAGAGGAGGGTAGGTTTCGTTGCCTGCCTGCCGGCATGCTTGCCTCCCTTTATGTGCTCACCCAATCCTTGCAGTCCATCTGTCTTCTCCTATCAGTGAGTTAGAATGCCAAAACATGGGAAGAAAGAATAAGGTACTGATGTTCCCAAGTAATATTTATCATTGTGTCTTGTGGCATGTGAGGCAAAGAGACACTGATTTCAAAACAAATTCTGACCATTGTTTCTTTTTTAACATGCAAGAAATGTTCCCACTTACAGCAAATCAAGTTTATGTGCTCTCCTCTGTAGTTTTATTGATTGAATCAGCTTTTTTATGTTTGATTTTACCTCAAGGTCCCGCAGATGCACTCATATTTGAAGGGCATCATTGGATGCACTTAGGTCACATTACCAAAGCAAACTGCAAATCAAACACAAAAAAATCAGAGGCATCAATACAGTTTTGACTTATTTTCAATCAAGTTCAGAGGAGATTAGTTGAAAAACCTTTGATGTACTTTTCTTTCAAGGCACTGAAAAAAAACTGGGGAATTTGAAAACTTCTCATTCCCATGCTTGGAGCACATTACTGGGTTTTAACCGTTGCGAATGAGGAGCGCTCTTTCAATAATCACATAAGAGATGCCATTATATTTGTCACGAAATTGTGCTTTGTTCAAATGGTGAATTGTGCTCTCCTGATTTGTGCACTTTTTACCTTGAGCTCCGAGGCTTTTTGTGCCTCCTGACCAAGCGGTGACCTTCAGAGTGGAAAAATGGAGCCAAGGTGGAAAAAATACAAAACAGGGTAATTCCTATTAAGGCTGAACAATACAGACAAAATTTCATATCTCAGTAATTATGCCAGATATCTCAGTATTGATATGATACAATACGATACAACCATTTTTCGTTAAAATAAAAACATAATACGAATGGATGTGGAAAGGGCAGTTTTCTTGATTAGAACTTTGAGAGAATCTATATAGTTGATAGCACTGATTTTTCAATATTAATGTCTTGAATGTTCATAACTCGATATAGATACAATAATGATATATCTTTCAGCCCTAGTTCCTGGTGTCTACTTACGGCAGGCTGCAAAATCCAACAAGTCTCTGCAAACACCCATGTTACGATGCCCATTTTTACTGCTAAATGAAAGATGTCAACAGCCTGGTTCAAAAAAACTGCTCTGGTCTGAATGGCTAATTTCTTCATTGGTACGTATTTTCGGTAAGGGTCTTAAGTAAGGCATATATCTGTATAATTAGGAGAATGGCTAAAATGACTTTAAGGTAAAGTAACTTTTTTCCAAGAGGCTTGTGTCTTGTCTCAACTCCACCTGTAGCTAAGACAAGCAAAAGTTACGTTAAGTGATCTGCCCAATACGCTGACCACTCCTGACTGACTCAAAGATTCCTTACCTATTGGACAGGATATGCTGAAGTGGTCTCATTCTGAGCAAGTAAGGAGAACAACAATAGCATGATTACTGCCTAAAATGAAACAAAGGGACCTAACTGCCCTTAAATACTCAATTTCACTTACATTCTTTCCACTGTTTAAAAATTGAAGAGATTTTGCCGACATCGCTCCCCACTTTATTTCTGCTTTTTCTTTCAAGTGCTGACCATTTTTTTTCTGTCCTTCAATAAACATGAAAGGTGGTGGGAAATAAGGAGGCGTTAATGCAATGTTTATTCTGTTTGTTGCTATTGTTAGTGATCCTAAACATGATTAAAAAAAAAAGTCATTTATGTGAAATGGTTGTTTTTTATTGACCGGATATTTTTCAGAAAAGATGAAGAGACGAGTAGTTGTAAGGCTTTTTAATGAGGTCATGAACTGGTAGGAAGATAGAAAGTATGTATAAGGATAATAAGCTAGTGTTCAACTTCAACTCTTTGATGTCCGCTTGTTATGTAGAGGCTTTTTCACATTTGATGTCTTATACCTGATGTACTGTAGTCTCTACTCGGAAATCAAACCGACATGCTCTCTGTAGCAGATGATGGCGGCTATCACTTCGTTTCTCAGTTGATGATTAGGAACATAAAGCTGTGAAAACTTCTGTGTGTTTAGAGACTGTTGATGACATACAGTGTTTTGTTCATGGTAAATTATAAAATGTTAAAGTGACGTGAAAAGCAGATTTAATAAGTATTCAAGTAATCAGATGCCTGAATGCCCGCACTTATCTAATTAAAGTCCATGTCTATGGAAATGAGATGTGCGCTATACCAATGTGAATTTCATTGAAGCAATTACTGAATCTCTGAAATCATGACACTCCACAGCAAATCGCTGAGCTAAAACAGGAGTGGGGTCACTCAAAAGTGACAGCAATCAGCCATGCAGCGCTTTGAGAATGACCCACGGTGTTCAGTGACGATCACCCGCATGATGATGTTAAACTATTCATTATGCCGATTCACTTTTTTGTCACGCAGGGTGAAATGATATCATGAAAGTGTAAAGTCTGTGTACCGCATGTGTGGTGGGAAAATCTGTTCAGCCGAGTGAGCAATTAAGTTGCCGTAACCAGAAATCAGGAGCAGATGATGAGGATATGCTATGAAAGAGACGTTTGTGGTACTCAACATCAAAGTCACAGTCAGTTAACTGAAGTATTTGGACCTTTGCACGGGCTGTTCAGAACATGGAAAGTTCTGAAGCTGAAAGTTCAACTGCTTAGACAGATGGTTGGCAGTAGAAAACAGCTAATTGAACGGTGTACTTAGTCAAAGTATGGGCTGGACAAATGTAGCAAAATGAGGAATCTGCAGAAATACGATTGGCTCTAAAAGATTAAACCTGTGCAGAGTGGTGTTAAAGGTACAGTCTGTAGAAAATGGAATATTTAGCAACACCTAGTAACATGGACAAAATTTTGATTTCAAACGTAGGGGGGACACATGACTTGAGTACTGATTGTGGATCCAAGCGTCAATGTTCAGCTCAGATTTCTTTATTTATTCCAAAATTCAGTTCCTGCCTTTACATATAGCCTAGCAAACAGCACATCTCACACACTCAGTTACAGAGGAGGCAATACGGCCAGCGGGTGAATGGAAGTACAATCCCAATACAGGGACCTAAATGAAAAAACCTGCGATGAATGTGACGTTACAGAGGAAAAATGAACACAGCCTTCCTGTAAACTTACATCAGCGAACAATGAATGGGCGAATAGCGATGTTCACAGACCGACTCTTACGAGCAACTTGCAAAACACTAATCTGGGAGGCATGGAATGACTGAAAGCAGGGATAGCCAATCACACACACAAAAAGCGGCCCTGCTGCAGTAGAGCCAATCAAGGACCTTGTGGGCGGTACAAACTGAGGGAAACCAGTTTTCGGCTTGTTTTTTGTTCCAAGTGCCTGACCTGGTTTGCTATAGCATAAAGTAACATTGTTTTCAGATGGTTAAAACTGCAGGGGACCAAAACGGGCATTTGAAAAAAGTTTGTGAAATTATGATTGTACCTAGCAATAAAATGCTCCCCTGCTCACCCTGATGCATTATCAGTATGAACCTCCATTTGTCAAATTTTAACAATCAAAAATGCCTGTCAATACAAACCCTCTTGCACTTAACAGCTATTCTCTTCTGCATCCCCCAAAAACCACCTGGTTTCTAGTTCTGTGCTGAGGTAGAAATAGGGCAATATGAGATGCAGCTTCCATTAAAGGAGATCTATTCTTAAAGGGATATAAAAGGTTCCATATAAGTTAACAAAAAAATGATTTTAAGATTCTGGTGAATTTACACTGGTACAAACACATTTATGAATATTATATATTCTGATTCAATTAAGTCTGGTAGGACCGCACATTCAAGCTTAGTGCCAGTGTTAATATCGACAAAGCAAACATGCTTGTGTGTGCCCGTTTTTGTTAGGTCTTTGTTAGCACTTTAATTAGCTTTGAGCATGTTAATGTGATGACTTATTATCTACAATCATCCCAAAGGGGGAAGAAAAAAATCAGCGTTTTGACTTCAGATTCAAGAGGCACCTTCTTGACTGAAAAACAAACTAACAGGAAAGAGTCAACAAAGGAAAAGGAAAACTGCAGTTCTCATTGTAGCCCCTGAGGTTGCCTCCAGGAGTGAGTCAGCCCCATCCAATTAGACATCATTTCATCCTAATACAGAAAATGATCAGGATATTGTCTGTGTTAGTGGTTCCTGTGGATTTTTTCGGTCAAAGTGTTGGACAAATTTGTGTTGCAATGTCTTATTTCATGTTACATAGTGTGTGCCATTCTCACACTATATTACGGATATGTGGCAGAGAAACTGGCATGTTGAACACACTCTCTTAGCTTCTTTACTCTGACAAACTAAAAAAAAACTGTGGCCGTCTACTTCTTTCTGTGGGGTACACCATGGTAAATTAGCTCATTAGCCAGCTAATGAATTAGTCAGAGGCACAGGCTGTGTGGCTTTGGTAACTGTTTCAGCTCTGTTCTCCTCTCCAGCACCGCCCTTTTGTCTAAATGTTGTCACTGATGGTAATAGAAAACCTACTTTGTCCCTCTCTCACCCAGACCAGTGTGCATATCACGTCGGCTATGTCAACTATTTGTACAGCCTTGAATGTTACCAGTTAGGGGTGGGAGAAAAAATCTATACAGCATAGTATCGCAATATTTTGTCCAGTGATATATCTTATCGTCTCATTTAACAAATATAGATTCTTCAAATTGATTGCTAATATGAAGTCGTATTTATGATAATAGAAAAATAAAATCAACTTTTTGTCCAGTGAGGTTGGCAGAGATGACATCATAGAGCAGGTGAAAGTTAGTATGACAAATATACCTGATATAAGGTTTGCAAGATTTGCAACATGAAAATAAAATTTTAGGTGTAAATAGAACAAACATAAAGGAAAGACAAATGCTAAATCAACTTAACAGTTGAAAAATTGTATAAATCTCAATATATGGTATTGCAATACTCACTGTATTCCAAGATGTTAAAAACCGCAATAATATCATATCATGGCCTAAGTATCATGATACTATTGTATCGTGGTGCCACTGGTGTTTCCCACTCCTAATACCAGTAAATCAAAGGAAGAGTATTAGACAAATACATGGATTCATCGTGATGGCACCACCCATTTTAAAAATACATGTCATCATCCATCCAAATATTGCTGAGGTGAACAAAGTCGTGTTCCAACTCACCTGCATGACCAAAAATATGGTGAAATATATGCTTTCGCTGTACAATCTTTGTTCTGTGTGTGTCGTTAGTCAAATGCCGTGCTGTGTTTGTGAACTACATTTTCACTAAAGCATGTTCAGAGCCTCAGAGTCGCCTCGGTTCAAAACTGGGTTGCAGACAGAACTGATAAGGCTGTCTCTCCTAGAATTCAATTTCTCCGCTGAATAGCATTAGTCAGAGAGAGCTAACTGGTGTGTACAGAGTGACACGAGGCTTCAAGCTGCTCTTGTAAATGAGCCTCTTCCCCCATGGTCAGGACTCAGGGAAGAAAATGTGGGCTAGCATGACAGCTGAAAGGTAAACCCCAGAGAGAGAAAATTATATAGATTTTAAAGCTTGTGCATTCAAACAGTGTCTAAGGTTGACATTTATAGGAATATTATGGTGTGGGTGCGTATAGCGATGCTAAGTGTTATTTGACTGCATAGAGGTTGGTCACGGTTTTCTGTCAGCCAGTATATTGTCTTATATGAGAGGTGGAATGATCTTTTCTGCATCTTTCTGCCGTGTTTGATGTCTTCAGAATGCACATATTTTACTAATGACTTAACGAACTTGCATAAATCAACACAGAGGAGGGAATTCCTCATTTCATAACGAGTTTACCCCAAGATGCATGCTTTGTGTTTGTTTTAGTAGAGACACGGGGCAGACACAGATACACAGAGATAGAAAGAATTGTGAGTAATGTGATTCAAAGAACTGTTGCTAACTCAGACACTATGACAGGTTTGTAGATACAGTCTGTGACAAGCTCTCTTTTTGCTTGTTAGAATCAATCAAACCACATCCAACTCTGTTAGCCCTTCCAGGATGTATAGCTACCATCATGCATGTCTTTATATTGCTCACATTAAGACTGACTAGGTTCTTTCAATGAATTTATGGATTTTTAATCAGTGAGAGCCACAAAATGGTTTCTTTCAAGGACACAATACTCTCACAGCATCTGCGGATTTAAAAACAGAACTGTACTTACATACGCTTCGTCCTTCAACAAACGCTCTGTCTTTGACAGCCACAGTAACAGACTTAATTGCACTTGAATTGCAGGGAGGAAAATAACCCCTGTGAATTACAGTTTGGTCGTCCGACCGTTTCAACACTTTTCCCAGGTTCTCAGGAGGCTGTATACTTTTATCTGTTTATCTGTAAAGTCCTTGGTACCAAGGTCACTTACTGCTAAATGTAAATAATTTGTTTTAAAATGTGAGACCATTATAAAAGGTATGAAATGAACCATCTATCCACTATCTCCTTTGAAAACCTTACATGCAAGGTGACTGGAAAACATCCTTTGTACTTTCTAGTATAGTAAATGCGTAGTGTTTCTGCTGCAGCACTTCACTGAAACAGATAGAGTGCCTTCCATTCAGTTTTCTCCGACTGTGTAGTGTGTACTATATTATCAACAGGTTATTGGACTGTGCACAAGTTAAACAAATGCAATCATTCAGATTTTCAAAACAGTTAGGTTGATAAAAAAACAAACATCAGTTATTTGTTATATTTAATCATATGATTAACTAACACAGTTACCTGATTTAGAAATGCTTTGAACTAGGGCTTGGAAGATGTGCTTTTCTCCCGATTCGATTCTTCTACAATTTTTTGGATGCTGATTTGATTTAAATTGCGATTCTACGGTACTGTCGATTTTCTGGATTTTTAGTCTGCATTTTTAACACCAGTGAAATAGTTGAATGATTATAATTGTCTACTGACTACTCAGGAACCATATTTCCCCAAAAAATACACATCACATTTAGGTCAGTTTTTTAGATTTATTCTTAAATTTGAAAAAAAAAAGTTTTTGAACAAAAAAAAAAATTATTTAAAATTGTAAAACAAAAAATTGCGATACTTTTAACCAATCTTTTCTCCCACCCCTACTTTGAACCTGGGGAGTTCTCTATATCTTAGTCTCTTCCTTGGTGAGATACATTCAATTACTTGAAATGTCAACTATCTATTTATACACCCAGGGGAGGCATTACACAACTGACATCATTCATTTCTTGTTTTTATGATTCAGATGATCAAATAATATATCATTTAGTATGCGGTGAACGAGTCAGAATCTGTGTACTGTGTATCACAGTCCGGGGGCGGGGGGGTGGACCTTGATTAAGGCCTGCCTCGCTTGTTTACAAGAGTCACGTTATGGATAGAGTTGGCTTTGGAGTGTCTGTAGCTTAAATCAAGGTCTGAAGGTCAAAAGTATTTACTTCACAGAGAAGTAATAACTTACAGTGAGGTTTTCATGCATAAATTTTCACTTGGGCTCATATATTACAAAGTCTAATATTTGGCTCGGATAATTTCCTTGGCATTCTAACAACAGTTGTTGAAGCCACCGCTTAACCATGTTTCACCTTGAACAGAATAGAAATCTGCTGTTCTCATCTATTACCCTAATGGTTTTTATGGTAAACGAGCCATCCAGCTATGCAGGGTTTGAGCCTGATGATGCGCTGTGCGTTCAGCTGCCAGTGAGAGTTCACTAAGAGAGTAAGTGCAGTGTGTTTATCTGCACCAACATTAGATGCAGGGTATCCAACAGTCTCTAAGCTCATTACAGTAATCAGGTTAAAAAGAAGGGAACTGGGGAGCACTTGGCCTGTGGCATGTTTCCTCTGGACTTCCCCAAATGAGACAGAGAGCCTCTCCCATAGGCTCCACACGAGTGAGTGAGACCCGGCCCTGCAGACGCCTGCTCCTAACGATCGGCTCCCGCTGCTTCTGTTTGTATGAAACCTACACTTGGGTATTCAGCGGCACCCATGCTGTCATAATGACCAGTTTGTAATTGTGAATCCCCTCTAATATACAGCCATTCATTTGTAAGTTTAGAATCCATCCATCATGGATCACACCAACACATTTGGACAAAAGCGAAAATCCTTTTGCAATTGTCTGTGTTTTTGCACAGAAGAGCCATTAATTATGAGGCACCATTGAAAAACAGATGAGTGATTCTTTTCATTTATCTTCACAAAACTGCAGAAGTAGCACAGCCAAACTGCGCAGAGACTGTATTTACAATCATAGCATGATGGAGGAGCTTTGTGTTTGTTTCTTTTGGTTTTGATGAAGCTCACATTTTGCTGAATCACAAAAGCTGTGATTTAGCCGTAATAATAGTGTTGATTTTGTACAAGGTCCTGAGTTTTGTTTTGAATCTGACGTAATGTTTCTACTGAATTCTCTAAAAACTAACGGCTGAGTCTTTTATCATCTCAGCTGACAAGAAACTACAGAGCAACTCAGTAAACGGGATTCAGTCATACTTCAGGTGATGTGCACTGTAGTAGTGACAGTTTGTCTCTAAACACTGACTGTGCCGCTACTGAAGAATCCTCTGTGACCATCTGAAGAGATGCTGATGAAAGTCAGAGCCCCTTTATTAGCTTCTTTTTTGCAAACAGCACTGCTTAGAAAAGGCCCTGTTTTTCGTCTGAGCCGACAGAAGCCACCTGACCAGGGAATTGCCCCAAAACCAAGTTGCTATGGTAACCAGCAGATGTGGAGCATGAAATATACCGAGCCTGCGAGTCTTAAACTAAGCATGACGGCATCCTGTACATGCTCGGCTCTGTATCGTGTGGCTGCTCTGTCTCAGTATAGGTCCAGCTGTACAGTGAGGAGTGTCCAGAGGTTTATCCCTCCACGTCCCCTTTGTCCCCTGCGCTCTGAGCCGGAGGCATGCGCAGGAAGAATTTAAAGCAGCCAATGTGTTTGTTGTGAGTTGACCCTGTTGCACAATATGCTTAGGTTATGCATGCTGAGTGTGGGTGGGTGGGTGGCTGCTTGACCAGATGTTTGTGAGGCAGATTTAAGCCAGAGATGTTCCGTTTCTTTTAATCAGTATCACTTTGGTCGAGTTGAAAGATGGACATAATGAAAGAAGGGGAAAACTTCATACCTGGAATTAAAAGAAGACAGAATTTTACACTTAAATTTATCTCACGTCTTGCCTCAGTTTGCAGGTTCTAACTTGAGTTAAGGGAAGAAATCAACTGATAACAAGCTTTTGTCGCTGTGATAGTGTAAATATGATGCTATTACATAAATGTTGCTGAGTGAATTGGAACAAATTCTTGATAAAGTTATGTTTGCCCTGCTCTTTTTCCATTCGTTCAATATTTGCTGTCGTTGAGGTCAGATAGAGAGCATCACAATGAGGCTTTTAGCTCTGAGGCTATATTACTTTCTTCAGGATTTGTCCTGTGAGATAAGGAAACTCAAAACTAGAAGTACTTCTACTTTCTGTAGCACCTCTCCTCACCTCGGGACCATAGTTATAGGATATACCAGAGACCTGTCTTGTTAAAAACCACATACAGTATATGTCTTTGAAACTCTCTTCAGAAAAGACTCCCAATTTGTCGGCATGCCCTCCGCACACTGCCTCTACTTGAAAAACTTTCTGAAGTGTACAATGTTTGTTCGAGGGAAAGTTCTTGTATACCCCTTCTCTAGCCAATTTAAACATTTGATTCTCCAGCGCTTTTAGTCAGCACTGAGAGGAAAAACAAAGCTGCAAACAGGTTTGCAGTGATACTGTGCTTGGAATCTATTCCTGTGTCAACCAAATAATGGAGTTTTTCGTTTGCTTTGGCCCTGCACAGTTTGTTTTCTACTTTTATCGACCGCTCAAGATGTTGACCAAATCTTTCATCATTTGGATAATTGAGTGGAGCCAAAAGGTTCTTGCTTAAATGCTTCCTCTGTACAAACTGTGCTTGTTTTTGTACAGGTACATCGTTTTCACAACACTGTGGGGATCAATTCACCGTTACACCATAGACATTTTCTCATTCTCACAGTGCAGCTCCCCTCTCAAAGTGGTACATTATGTTCCCCTGCAGATCCGTCATCTAAGTAGAGAAGTGGCACTTCAGCAGAGTTTTTTTCATCATTTTTTAGACACTATCAAAGACTGCTCACTCATCCTCCATTCTTCTGCTCAACATCTCCGTGTTCTTGTCACAGTATAGCCACGAGACCTCTTTGTATATTCATGTACACACAGATAAAGCAGCCTTTAACACTGTCAAAGCACTGTTTCTGACCTGTCTGCTTGACATTTAAAGGCTGACATTAGCTCAAATCACAGAAGAGTGAACCCTCCATGCAGATGACCCTGGAAGCGGTCAGACCTGGGGGCAGAGTGGCTGTGGCTGCTGCTGCTGTCCAGCCTTATATGTCCAGGAAAAGGTGGGCACAGCAGCCGCAGCCATGGCAACTGTGGGCAGAGTCACTGATCTGGAAACAATGGGCCAACAACATGGCCTCCTCCTGAACCTCCTGTCATGCAAGAACATGGTTTGAACCTCTGTCAACTTAGGATTTATTTGTGAAAGACTACTGTGATGTGGTCCTAGATTAGCCGTAGATAAGTGTTATCTTTTGTAACACTATATTAAGTTAGAACTGCCCTTTAAATTGACATCAGTTTAACAGCTCTGTGTTGGTAACATATTGCTTCAGTTACGTGGTTATCTGCCACTTTAACCTGACACAGCCCACACACACAACCCTATCTCCCTACATCACCCAGCACTATGTGCAAGTCAGTGTTTGTCCGTGTGTTACTTACAGTTGACTTAAAGGGATATTCTGGTGTAAAATTAATTTAGGGTCAAACACACCGAGTTAGACACCCCCTCGACTGATGAATGTTGCCGACTGCTTGCTTCTCTAGTTATACCAACTTTCGTAACGACTGCACGATAGCAATACACAGCGGTCTATGGAACTACACACAAACCTCAACCAAAACGCCACTCTATAGCCACAAGTAATGTTCAGAACAGCACCTAACTTCATCAACAGTGCATGTAGGGTCCCAGTCATAGCACTAGCCACCAAACATCCTTTTAGCTTTGCCTAATTTCTTTAGCAAAGAGACTAAACACAACTAACCTACTCTCTTCCAGCAGCCGCTTGTTTGTAGTAAGACCTCAGGCCAGTCCATTATGGACAGCTGCGGGGTGACACAGCTCAAGGAAGAACATTTATGATCATTTCTTCATGGAAATGCAATCAGACCGAGACGCTAAGGCAGAAGAAGTGCAAAATGATTAATATGGTTATTATTACCTCAAGGAAATGATAAAGAAGCATGAGCATTACTTAAATATCTATTTAAGCTAAAAAGCAATGTTTAAGTGCTTTGTGAATGTAAAAAAGGATTGATAAAAATGCACTGTTGCACAACCCTTGTTGATTTTTGGTTAAATCCATTGTTATATTAACTGGGTAATAAAAAAATGAATCATAAGGATAACTGATAAATTAGTTGATAGATTAGTCGACAAATCGTAAAAAAATATTAGTTCGATTAATCAATAAAAAAATAATCATTAGGTGAAGCCCTACATTTTAGTGGCTGTGCTACAGCTCAATGACAACAAATGACTGACATTTCAGACCTACAATAATAAAGTACCAGTGGTATCAGAGTATTCCACGTGCTTAAATGAACTACACAGTCTCATATCAGATAGTCTCCTTCGCTGAATAGTATTCTCAATGTCATGCTCTAGAAACACATTAAAGATACGCTCAACTGTATTTCCCTATGCCCTTCACAATTAGTCAATTAAGTGTGCTGATGGTGTTCTTAGCAAAGTGTTTGGCTTTGCTCAAAGAACCAGAACAGTCTCTGTGTAGCAGGGTTTCTTCTTTTACAGCGTGCGAGAGGATATGAAACGCTGATAGAGTCCCCCTCGATGTCTCACACTTTTGGAGAGGAGCCAGTGTATGTTCCGTTCCACTGCTCCTGATACTGTAATCAGCATGCAAGTGGTAGTCAGCACAAGGCAGTCGGAGAGCGCTTAGTGCTGCGAGGGGGAGCGCAGACTGGAGATTGGTGTTGCCCTGATTTACCATCCATGACACGCCGTACAGAATATATACTGATGGTGTGAAAATGTCATTGAAAACATCTTCTAACAGCCTGCAGCAGGATGATCTATTTTAAATATTTAGGTTAATAAAACCTCTATGGGTGAATAGTAGAGTATATATGCAAACTACGTATGCTCTCCTATGTTCAACTCACCCTCTACCTATTGAGCTGTGTTTGCCTGTGCTAAGGGATTTCTTCGTACAGCTGATTAAGACTTTTTATTGTTTTGTCAGGCGCTGTTGAGAAGGCCCTATCAGTTTTGATTTTGTTGTAAGGTGCAGGAAGACAGATTGACTTTAAGACATGCAGAGCGAGGTTAGCATCTTAATTGTGACCTTTTGTAATTGTGGTGCAATGATTTCATGAGCAGACTCTGCCTTGTTCTTGCATATTCTCCCACTAATTACTGTCACATCTGTGTTGTCTTTTCTTGATACCCCTTAATCTTACTGTTCCCGTTTGTCTTCATTTGGTAGATTTCAGTTACTTTAACATTATTGCCTGCACTTTCTGAAGTGTAGAGGGTCTCCCTGTTGGTTTGAATGATATAGCTGAAGAAATCTATAGGTGGAGCGAGGCTCTGTTAAAATTGAGTTTAATTCTCCAACTGATTGAAAATGTTCTATTTTAGGTAGATGTACAATATGATGTAATTTGCTTTTACTGGAAAACCACAAAACAAGAGTACATAGCATTATTAAGACATATTAGTGCTCCCATTTTTGTCAAATTTGCACCCAATTTGCATTCACAGTGTTTCAGAGCTGCTATCCTCCACACATATTCTGTGAATACAATTGAGGACATTTTTATTGGGATTGCCATGCTCTGATAAAATTCAGCGAGAGTTTGGGGTATTAAATAGTCGCAGAGAATTGTAAATTAAAACACTGATCATAGACAGTACATGAGCTAGAGCTATATTTTGAATAATTAAGGAAAAAAAATCACTAAGAAACATGAAAGGATGTTAGGAAAATTGTGATACTGATTAAGTAATTATGTGTCATATGTATTATTCTATAGGGTTCCATGATTCATCTTTTTTTTGTGAGCTTATACCGATCACAGATGATTACCTGGTCGTGAGGATCAATGAGCCTTTATCCAGCCTCTGGGGAGTCAAACTGAGCATAATCACTGGACTCTTTTTCTTATCCCCATATATTATATATATGTGTGTGTGTGTGTGTCTCACTCAGGTCGTTCGGGGTTTTATTCCAGCCTGAGGCCTCTTTCCTGCATGCTTTCCAAATAAAGGCAAAAAAGCCTGAAAAAGGATATATTTAAAAATGAAAATCAGAGTAGGGCTGGGCAATATGGCTTCAAATAAATATCACGATATATTGAGCAGTTCACTTTGATAATGATAAATAGACGATAACTACTCCACAAGCTTCTCACCCCCTCCCACGTTAACTTTGTCTACTTCAGCCGCCGCTCCAGCTGCTACAACTTTTGAACTGTCCTCCATCTCCTCACCTGTCTTTCCCTCTTTGTTACGGACTGGATGGGGTGGAGTCATGTCTGCGACATAGGACAGCATCTTAAAGGGACATGAGACCATAGCCTACGTACACACATCCAAAACCAACTTTTATTTATTTATTTATTTTTTGACACCGAATATACTGGTATGGGTAAAATGGCGTCCATTATTGCCGTAAATTTTGGTATCGGTACATTTTCGGTTTATCCCCCAGCCCTAAATCGTAGGAGTTTTCCTTTCTTGTCAGCTTGTTGCACTGCACTTGGTCTTCTCTGTACGTATGGGTAGATTGAATGCATCCACCTACGTCATCAGAATGGGCATGCATGATTCTTAATTAGTTACAATAAACAACTTTTTTCTGTGGTGAAAATTACCAGAAAAATACATGGGAATGAAATGTTCCTGTTATTGACCAATAATTTACTCAATTGGCAAATACTGTGCATTCATCAGTTTTTAGCATCCAAGTGTCTTTATTTTAAACATAAACATTACTGTAACATTCATGCACCTATTTGCTTCCGTGCTAAGAGTCGGATATGTTCCATGATAAAATATCAAACTAACCTTCTGAAATTGAGTCACCTCAGTAAATAAAGCTGAATATTCAGTATCCACAGCCCATCATGCGTCCTTGTGATTTATGTGAGCCAGCTGTAAGGCTAATTGAACGAATACATTTAACTAATTGCAAACACATTTTATCTCAGATGCCAGTCACACTGTGCTTTCAGGTTGGTTTGTCTTCTTGCTCACATGTCCGTGGGTACAGATTGTTCTGGAGAGGATCCTGGATAAATCATTTCAAGTATGCCAAGTGCCAGAACCCTTCATCACTCAGAGTGTTCAGGAGGTTGTATGAAATATGATTCAAATGAAGCTGTCTTCTTGTTTGACTAAGACATAGGGAATGACAACCAATTGCTCCTGCTGTCATTCCTACACCCTTGCTGGGGATTGTGGTCCCCGAAGCATCAGTTCTGGACCCCAAATAGCCAGATGCATCAGATGGTGTTTTCTGCACGCAACAACGTGACCTTTGGTTTAGGTGCAAAAATATCTACATGTAGTGACCCTAACAGTAATCAATGAAGCTGTTATCCTTGATGTTTTGCCTTAGGTTATGTTAGCAGACAGAAAGGCCGCTGCCCTTTTGCTTTTTCCATCAGACCTACTTTATGCAGACTGTTGATTTGTTGGGAAGTTTTGGTTATGTAACAAGATTTCCATGGGTAGGAGGAGTAATATTCTAGGGGTAATAATGTTGGAAAAATATCTTCCAGGTTGAACATACGGAAGTGTGTTTAGATCAAACCATCCATATGGTCTGCAGTGAGCAGAACATAAATGCAAAGCAAGCCTGTGTAGTTGAAGTGGTTGAGGTTTTCCAGCGTTCATTTTGTTTGTAGATTTTTTTTTTGAATACACTTAAATGTTGTAAAAACGTACTTGAATATTTTTATGTGAGTATAAGGAATGTCAATTTAGAGGAGTTGTATATGCATGCTGTTCTATGCTGCAGGAATAGCTGAGACTGCTTAACTATGTGATTAGTTCAAGTATTCCAGACCCATACATCTTTATTTCAAAGCCAACAAAACTTTGAACTCAGATGATTTAATTCCAAAACTCTGAACTTTTGACTCCAACATGGTCCTTGTTTCATATCATTACATCACTCCAGTCAGGCAAAGTTATTGGTGAAAAGCAGATGCAGGCTAGTGGACCATAAGGGCAGCATACTGTGCATGCTCTCGGAGAGATTTACGGTTAGAAATCTGGTTAATAATGATAATGAAATCATCATGGGCTGTGTGCTTTGTTGTTTCGGGCTGATCTGCATCCATCAGTGTATGTAATAAAACAAAAATGTTTGGGCAACATCTGTCGGGGCCAACATGAACCACTCCCCCCCGTCTGAGACAGCGGGTTAACCCCACAGTCGGTAAACTGGCTGAATAAGGAGACAAAATCATTGGTTGACTGACTGCAGCTGCTGGGTGGAGCTCCCCTCCTCTGGTAGCTGTTTCTGTCTGCATTTATTAGGAAGCCCATTCTTCACACTTTTAAATGAAGGATGAGGGAGGCAACACATTTGTAGGACACAATAAAAACACTTTGACGGTTTGACAATCGAGGCCAATAATATCTCAATTGTAACATCTCTCTACCTACTGTCTCTTTACCAGATGATATGCTGTCAGATCTTCAAGATTTATAATTTTACTATTAATAATCCTCATCTGCTGCCACACAAGTGTAGGTGTTGGTGAATTCTTGTGCAGTTTATGAATAGGTGGAAATATTTCATGCACTGTTTCTGCTGTTACCCTTTTGAAGCGCTGCTGCTGGAGGACGTTCTTCTCCACAGGATATTTTTAGTGTAAGAGAAACTGCTCTCTCCCTCCCCGTGACAAGGGCAAGATTCATAATTTCTGTCAGTATCCATACCCTCAGATTGGTCTCCCAGCAGAGTGTGTGTAGCCTAGGAGCACAGCCTGTCGTCCAAAGACCCGGGTCACAGCAGTGAGGTTCATATCAAATGTTGCTGAAAAAAATGAGTCAGTGTAACTGTGAGAAGCTCTGAATTTACAACATGGCTTTGATGCCTTCTGTTTTATCTACATCCACAACCACTGCTCAACCAAAGCTCTATGAAGTGAAATAATACAGTGCAGACTACTTATGATGTGACTGAGGCTTGTTCATAGTTAGCCCGGTGAACTCAAAATAGCAAAGGTCAGTTCTGCTCACTGTAATGTCCTGTGATGGCTGTGTTCTGCAGGAGCAAGGTCTAATTAATTTATGAAACGAATGGAGGAAGTTCGAATGGCGGAGGTGAAAGCCTTTGACTTATTAATTATTTGAAATATATTCAGGTAGACTCCCGTTTAATTGGGAGTTCTTTAAAAGGAAATGAGCACAAGGACATCTTGATAAAAAAATAGAATTAAGTCTCCATGAACAAAAAGAGTGGAATTTTTTTGCAACATGGGATATGACTTCTTCTTTTATACCTACATTCTGAAAATACTCATGATCAACTTAACTGAGAATTCTTATTGTGCTTAAATGAATTATGAGAAGCCTGCATGTCTCCCATGATCTCATTAGAAGTTCACTCAGGCCTCTGAAGGAAGCAAACATGTAATGACCGTTCAGTTCATTAGGGCATACTCACATCTTTAGGTAACGAGGTGTGGTTGTTTGTCATTAGTATGAGTTTGTCAGAGTTGCACTGATGCATTAAGGCTGCGCAGTTTTCAGACATAGGAGCTGATTCTGATCTGTACATTAGAGTGTTAGGGATCATCTGAGCTGTAAGGGCTTTAAGTTGCATCTGAAACTCACTCAGGCTGGCTATGTGGCGACTTAGGAGATAATGGGGTAAATGTTTATAATAATGGAGAGCCACCCAGACTCTTTATCCGAGATGATGATGCAAACTCTTATATAATCTTTTTGGCCTAAGATAGCAGTAGGGCTGGGCGATATAGCCTCAAATCAATATCACGATATATTGAGCAGTTCACCTCAATAACGATAAATGGACAATAACTTCTCAACAAGCTGCTCACCCCCTCCCACATTAACTTTGTCTACTTCAGCCGCCGCTCCAGCCGCAACAACTTTTGAACTATCCTTCATCTCCTCACCTGTCTTTCCCTCTTTGTTACGGACTGGATGGGGTGGAGTCATGTCTCTGACATAGGACAGCGTCTTAAAGGGACATGAGACCATAGCCTACCTACACACATCCAAACCCAATGTTTATTTATTTAATTTTTTGACATTGAATATATTGACATGGGCAAAATGACGGCGGTTATTGTCGTAAAACGATAATTTATCGCCCATGTCTAGCGTTACATCATTTTGGTAGAACTGAACGCAGCTCTACTGCCATCACCTTGACAAACATTTGTTTACTCTGGCTGTTTTCATCTTTTAATTTCTAGTTTGAAACATGTATGCACTGTTAAGGTTGTAGCCATTAGGTTGCTAATACTGTCTGACTGACTGTGTTTATGCTTTTGCCTCAAAATGATATATTCCCATGTTGCATATGAAAAACATGTCATAATTTCCTGTGGTTGTAAATCAAATTATATCATCCTCTATAACAAGGTGTATTTATAGTGATGGATCTATGCGCCCTGCTGAGGTGCTATCAGTGCATGTGTTCTTAACAAAAGGTATGAAACACCTAGAATAGCACCCATCTTACCATTAAATATAGAAACAGCTCTCACATTGGGTGAAAATACACCTGACCTTGACACGTGTCTCCCCCTGTGAAGTCAAACGTTAATGTTATCCCTGCTCTGCAGGAATATTGGATTTGAATACGCATATCATCAAAACAACATCCATTGTTTGCTGTAATGTGAAACCTCCAGCGGACTGTATGTGTTCCAGGAAGACGTAATGGTCTTCAGAGACAGGCTCTGGTCCTGCAGGAGGCTGACCTTGCTTTCATTCAGACGAGGATTAAAGGCTGATGTCGTGCTCCGGGTGTGAGTGTGGGGATGCAAAAGAAGAGAGGGAAAGGAGGTGTGGTGTGGAGCAGTTCAGCCAATTAGCATTTCCTCAATGCACACATCCTTTAATCCTGCTGTTCTCAACAGTCCTGAGAACTGCTGACTGTGGTATTACTCTTAGCCCTCCATTCAATGCCACTGACATACTACACACTGAAATTAAACAATAATAATAGTCCACCAGGCTGGAGATAATGTGCTATATTAAATGCCAGTTCAGTATATTTGTGAGGTTAGTGAAGACTGCAGCCACGGTATTTTCCTGCAGTTTAATGGGCTATTACTTTTGAGCTTTGGGGTTATATTCAGTTGCATCTCAGCTTGTTAGAATCTAAATATCATCCTTTACAATAGGTGGGCTTACTTTAGAGTCACAATACCACTCTGCCTTTTATCCCTGCGTGAACGTTTTACACTCTGTTTACCACCACTGGCTTCATAAGTGAGACGAGATGTTTGCATCTGCATCTACATTATTTACCAATCCTCTTTCAGCAGCAGCTTTAGCAGCGAGGGCCTTGTTTACCAGAAAATCATTACTGTTCCTTCCCTGGTCTCACTGTGTAATTAGCTGACCATGAAATCGAAGCAAAATGTGGTGAATTGTCTCTATTCAGAGGTTTGAGAATAAAGAACTCAAAACATTTTGAACTCTTCTCTCTTCTCTCTTTTCACTTATTTACATTTTTACTTTTTTTCTCTTCTTTGTTATCTGTTGCCTGATATAGCTCATGTGTTACTCAAGACTTTGTATGTTCTTGAATTTCATTCCTTGTCTTTTCAGTCCAACCTTAAAATGGCAAATGAAGCACTTAATCTGTGTGCCATTGTATCATCTAGGGATGCACTGATCCGATATTTGGATCAGATATCAGCTCCGATATTAACAAATTAACTGGATCGGATTTCTGATGAATGATGCTGATCCAGCGTTCTGATCCAGTCTCCTTTTTTTTTAAAATTAATATCATACACAGGAACACAGCGATTCTGTTCGCTCTATATTCTATGTCTGTCTATCCTTTTGCAGTAAATGTTTACATGGAAGTCTTACTTCTTTTTGCTGTGTGCTAGTGTGCAATTGGATATTTGTAAATAAATAATATTACGTAAATTTATATCTGTGTTAATTTAATACCTTTTTTTTAACAAGACTAATGTCAAGCCTGATGCCTACACTCACAGGGAGGTATACAGTTCATTCATTCAATAGTAGTATTGGATCGGTATTGGATATCATCATTTGAGTTTGACACATGAAAACGGTCAAACCCTATTTGACTTTTGAGCAGCTGTAAAGAGCTAGTATTCTCTTGTAGTTGTAGTTCCTGGTAGCCTTGACATAGTTTTCTTTAAAGATCAGCTGATCATAGTTTTCTCTGTAATGAACAAATAGCAGCCATGAAACTGAAGCACCCCTGTTCAGTATTATTTGCATGCTGTCCTTAAAAATGTTATTTATCCTCATCCACACCCTGTATTTACTGCTCAAGAGGGCCACTCAGATTCACATTTGTCGTTCTATTTGAAGCATTTGAGGACTGGTCCAAACAAACAGCTCGGGCTCGGACCAAGATGGTGTTAGTATCTTGTCAGGTTGCCTCCTGGTTCTTGTGTGACAGACTGGTTCAGTAATCACGGAAGTTGTTCCTCTCGGGCTGTGAGCTGCTGCTGGTATCACAGTCAATCATTAGAGATGTATCCTCTCCAGATGGCTCCTGCCTTATCTGGTCTCTATTGAATTGTCCGTGTTTAGACTCCTAGCAAGCTGCTCTTTGGCCAGTTTCATCTTGTAATATTCAGAGTTGTGACCAAATTTAATTCAGACCAGAGCTCTTCTACTGATGATGGTCGGGGATAAAGTGTTTTGAAATTACATTTTAAGCCTACCTAGTGACCCAAAAAAACCGATCAGATTCAGCAGATAGTCACATGAGCAGTTTTACCTCATGCTCTCAGAAAAGGATCGGCCCATATTTGAGAGCAGAGCTTCGAAGGAGTTTGCTGCATCAGAGTGTTTGCACGAGGATCCTGGTGAAAAAATGTGCTCGCACACTACTTAAAGCTCAGGGATTATCATTATCCTCTTGGGTTTCATCATGCAGCTCCTGCTGTACTTACTCTCTGAAGTGACTGATATCCCCCACAACCAACACTAAAATGACTGTCGCTTTAAAAGAAGAGTTTTGAAATACCTGTTGTCTTAAGGTAGAGGTGGACTTGTCAGAGAACACCAGACTTTATAGTTGATGAATGTGGTCGATGTGAGTCTGCATATGTGCCCATGTTTTCCCTACCGTGCTGTCAATCTGGTGTCTCAAGCTGTTTCTCTACAAGAGAGTATCTGTGCAGGAACTGCATGACAAAGACGCGGTGGGGCTCCTCCACGAGTTCACATAGAGAAGAGCTCACGCAGCGCCATTACCTCGTCCTTTTTGTGCCTGTCTTTCCTACTTTTTGCGATGAAAAACTATGGTGGGGAGAGGGTGTATTGGAGGGGAACCCATGGCCATGACAGAGAAGCAGTCACAGGAGGTCTCATTCACAACTCCATCATTATAGAGAATTTAGATTTTCTCTGCTCTGGTTCAGAAAAGAGGGCCTTTGGATGAGATGTGGATCCTGAGCACAAAAAAACTCTTTGTCTTCAAGTGTGGCTCAGATCTGAATCGTGTCAGTGTGACAGTTTGAACTTTTGCCTTTTCATCCGGCCATGAGGGGAAACACACAAATTCCTCTTGTGTTAAATTAGAATTTGGATTGTGATACCAAAAAGTGTGAGCGGAAGGAATGAAAAGATTTCTGCACAGGTTGACTGCAAAACAGGAGATTAAATTCCACAACTTTCAGGGTCTTCAGTTGAAATACTTTCTGGTTTCCATGTCTTAAATGATATAGCTCTGGATTAAACTGTGATTTAGACCCTTGCTTTAATGAAAAAAGCAATGTTAGTATGCAAACTTGGTTTTGTAGAACTGTGAGGTAGGGCTGTGCAACAAACCGAAAATTTAACGATACCGTAATTAATGACAATAACCAACGTCATATTGCCCATATTGTAGGGTGACCATATTCTGACTTCCCAAAAGGAGGACACAACTACCAAGGGGCGGAGTCACGGGGGTCACACGAAGTTAATTTTGAGAGTTTTTCGGGTCGGATCGAGTGTCTTTTACGCGCTTCTAACTTAATAAGTCCACGTGACACAAAATCGAAATTCTCATAGAAAACCACCGACATTTGAAGGATTTTATAAACTTCCCCGGACAAAACTAGACAAGCCCGGACAGCCCCCAAAACAGAGGACATGTCTGGGTAAAAGAAGACGTATCGTCACCTTACCATATCGGTTTATTTGGCGTCAAAAAAACAATAAATAAATAAAAGATGGTTTCTGATGTGTGTAGGTAGGCTATGGTCTCATGTGCCTTTAAGACGCTGTCCTACGTCAGAGATGTGACTCCACCCCATCCAGTCCGTAATGAAGAGGTAGAGACAGGTGAGGAGATGGAGGACGGTTCAAAAGTTGTGGCGGCTGAAGTAGACAAAGTTAATTTAGTAGGGGGTGAGCAGCTTGTGGAGTAGTTATCGTCCATTTGTTGTTATCGAGGTGAACTGCTCAATATATTGTGATATTGATTTGAGGCCATATCGCCCATCCTTAGCGTGAGGCACAAATTATTTCCTAAGTAGTCAGCAAAGAAAAACAAAAGAATAAACAGATATTGTTGATGAAAAAGTTTATGAGTAGTTCTGTTCTTAGGTTATAGTTGACTCACCATTATCCCATTTAATGCGCTTACATTTTGAAGAAGGGATGTATTTGCGTCTTTATGGCGTCATACACTTTTGTTGAGACAAGGAAATAATGCGATTTTCTTCTTTGATGTTAAGTAAGAGGAATAAGTCATCAGGAAATAGAGGGTCCATTCATCACATTCATCTCTCGTTGTGTTGAAGCCAAGGTCAAGGAAAAGGAGAAAATCTATGCAGTCTTCCCTTTTTTTGTGCACGTATAGGTCCCAGAATACCTGAATTGATTCAGACTAATTGCAGCGTGTGACAAAGAGAAGAAGAAACTCCCACTGATTTATTTCGCAGCGAAGCCTGCTTCACTCAGAGAGAGAGAGAGAGAGAGAGAGAGAGAGAGAGTCAGGGGATGAGGGGATAATGATGCAGAGCTGGAATGTCATTTTCTGTGTTTTGACTCTGCTCCTGTTATTCTTCATGATTAGAGGGATTTGCACTTATTTCCTTTTTTTCTGCTCAAAGGTTATGTCTCTTGCCTTGGTTCAGCTAATGCTTCACACACTGCAATCAGGCGGGGGGATGTCTGCACATTTAACCCTTAAACATCAGCAGACTAGTAGTTATCAGCTGTTAAAGTTTGAGAGGTAGAAATGTTCCAAGGGACCATCTCAGTGTTCTGTATCAGGGATCTAACTTAACCAACCTGAATAGTCTTTTTTCTGTTTTCATATGTCTCAGGTGTGTAGGTCGGCGAGGCCAATATACTACCCACCAAGATGGTTGCTTTGTCGCTCAAGATCTGCGTACGCCAGTGCAATGTGGTGAAGACGATGCAGTTTGAGCCGTCCACGCCTGTGTATGATGCGTGCAGAATCATCAGAGAGAGAGTCCCAGAGGCCCAGTCTGGACAAGGTTAGTAAATTACTCAGAAAATGTAAACGACGACATGGAGATCCATGAGCAGCAGCTACATTTGCATGCTGTGTTTGTGTTCCAGCGTCAGATTACGGCCTCTTCCTGTCCGACGACGACCCCAGGAAAGGAATCTGGCTCGAGTCTGGAAGAACCCTGGATTACTACATGCTGCGAAACGGAGTAAGATGAAGTCATGTAGTGAGGGTTTTTGTTCCCCTGCTCGTCCTTGAATCTTCAGCTGGTTGTGGATGTCATTGAACATTTCCTACCCATGATTTTTCAGGATGTCCTGGAGTATAAGAAGAAACAAAGGCCGCAGAAGATCAAAATGTTGGACGGCGCGATTAAAACTATCATGGTGGATGACTCCAAAACAGTTGGGGAGCTGCTTGTGACCATATGCAGTAGAATAGGTATCAGACTATCATTGTTACTTGCCTTTTAACCTGTTCATCGATGAAATGTCTAGTTTTTTAATGTTTCTCTCTTATCACTCCCCCTAAGACGGAGTATTAGGGCCACATTAAGAAAAAAAAATGTAGACTTTGAGAATTCACGAGAATAATGTCATTACTTACGAGAATAAAGTCATAATAAAATCATTTCTTACGAGAATAAAGTCGTAGTAAAATCATTATGATACTTATGATAATGTGGTGCTGATGTGCCAAAAGATCCTTGTTTGAGAAATCTATTTTGAAGTACATTTTCACAAAATGCTCCACGGCTCTCATTTTAACAACTGTCATCTTAAACAACAGGTTAGAATATAAGGACATTATTCTGACTTTATTCTCGTAAATTAATGTCGAAGTCTTAATTTTTTTTTTCTTGTGGCCATAGTACTCCGTCATACTCCCCCTAACTTTCTTTGTTGATTTTATTTTTATCTACTTGACTTATTTTCACCTGCTCCTTTGTTGCCTGCACCTCAAGATCTTTGTATAAGGGTTTTCCTTTAAGGTGTTTCAGAGGGGTTAGGGCTAGGGAAATAGCATAGAATGAAATATGAATCCTGTCAGGACCGCTGTCCGAGGTTTAAATTATTCAACCTTGATATTATTTTTAGTCCAAGTCATGCCACTTGACTTCATGCATTCTTTCACAGCGTTATGTTGTTCTATTGAACCGAGCAACATCAGAGATGATTGCATCTTTGCCCTCATTTCTTTTTGTTTTGAGCACATTGGACATAATTTAACAAGCTTGTTTGAGATGAATGCTTAAGAGGTCTTCCTCAGTGCCATCGTTTCCTGCCACGGACATGTTCCCTAAGCGGTACATTTCAGTTATAATGGGCTGCTATCAAGCTCAATTGGGTGAGGAGGAGAGGGATGTGAGCCTGGCAGATAAATTTATTGGAAAATGTTTGTTTGGAGTAGCTTTTTTTCTGCTTGGCTTCTTCCACTCTTCTACCATTTTTGTTTGCTGGCTTTGCTCCAGCTTGCCTTGACTCCTGCTTCAAAGCCGAGTGAAGGAGATAAAAACGGAACAGCAGAAGAATTGCAGAAAGAATTTCTCTATCCTGGTTATAAGTCATTGTGTGCGGGTGTGAGGTTTTTCTTCGCCTCCTCTCGAGAGTTCTCTGACCAACTTTTTTCCCTTTTCAGGAATCACCAACTACGAAGAGTACTCACTCATTCAAGAGGTGACGGAGGAGAAAAAGGAGGATGGAATGGGGACGCTAAAAAAAGACAGAACACTGCTGCAGCGAGACGAGAGGAAGATGGAAAAGCTCAAAGCTAAACTCCACACGGATGATGACTGTGAGTGTGAAGCTGCAAAAACTTGATTTCTTAATAACTTTAATGTTTCTATCTTGTTTTCACATCAACAAATCATTATGAGAACATTTGATGTATCACTCATTTCTAACTTTTTGCAAAAAAAAATCAAAGTTTAATGAAATTCACACTGCTATCTTCACCCGGAGGACACCAGTTTGATTTTGAAATGTGTGAATATTTAAGTCATCCCGTGGTTTTGACTGAAAACTATTTTTTCACTCTCAGAATGAAAAATTCTGATGACTTGTTTACAACCTGTCAAGGTTTTACCATCTCTGCGATTACCATAATTTGGTAGATTTCTGTCTAAAATGATATATCTGCCAGAGAGTTCGAACTTCTGGTTAATTTCACCTTCAGCATCCTCCTCTACTGACATCGTCTGCAAAGTGAAAGTCAATTCATTTCGGTGCCTGTAATAACACAGTGTGTGTATTGATTGGACAGTGAACTGGCTCGACCACAGCAGGACGTTCAGAGAGCAGGGAGTGGAGGAAAGCGAGACCCTGCTGCTCCGGAGAAAGTTCTTCTATTCAGACCAGAATGTGGACTCGAGGGACCCTGTCCAGCTAAACCTGCTTTATGTTCAGGTACACCATTTGTACACACACACACACCCCTGTGCTGGTGCAGCAGTAAACAGAGAGAGAGACGATGACCTTTTGTACCCTCATATTTTTTGCTGTCACAGACTGCAATTTTTTGTGAGTAGTGCGTTTTTATTTCAGGGTTTGTTTATGTTTTTAAGAGAGAAAGGAGCGTGTTTGGTTCAATAATCTTGTTGCAGCTTGTACCTTGCTTTTGTTCTGGTGTGGCCAGACTGAAACATGAAATTCGAGATGCTCTTTGGCCAAAACGTGTCAATCTTAATCTTAGTAGGTCATGATTTTTGAAGACTAGTTACTTTTTTCTCAGTCGAGCATTTGGTACTCTGCAGGTAATACACACATAGGTCCACAAAAGCAATGACCTCTCATTAAAACAGCCAAAATGTGGTCAGGGATTTCTTTTTAACTATTATCTGAAATGAGCTGAGTGGGGCAGAAGAGTTGGGTGGTAATTCTCTGTTACACTGAATCACTTTTACATTCAAAATGGTCACGTAAATGATTGTTAATTTGAAGGCATTGAGTTACTGTAAGTTCTCTACAAATATATTTATCTTTACATCACAAGGTAAAATCTCCACCCAGGAATTTAGCATAATTACTTATTTTTTGCAAAGCTCTGACCCTAACTCCCACTGAGCAATAGACGGCTATTAGATGTCTCGTTTTTTTGTTTTACACCTAATTTCAACCATCTAGATTCTGTATATATTTTTAGATGGAATTTAGATGTTGCACTTTAACCCATTATTCAATAACTATTTATTTCAAAAAGCAACTGTGAGTTGCATAACTGATCTCCAAGTACTTAACCAAAATAATTATGATAGCCGTTGAGCAATAAACAGTGTAGTATAGATATAGCCCGGATATAAACTTGGTCTAAATTTAGACGTCTAAAAAACGTTCATTTTTAAACCTCTTTTAGACCAAAAAACTCTCAGTGGGTTTAGCCAGATGTTTGGATGTGTCTCTCTTGATAGTTGAATGATGCTGTGTGCTTCTCTTCTTTTAGATTTGTCATAATCTGCTCTGCATAATTGTGTTTGAGTCTAGCATCATTTTTAGTTGTTGCTGTTGTTTGCAGTTCACAAGATCTACATTTGATGGAATAAACCCTCTCATTAGTTACATCCATACTTTGGCTTCTCCTTTGTTGCTTTAAGAGTTGGGTAACCATTTTATCCAGGGGTGGGAATCACTATTTGCCCCAGGATACGATGTTATCATGATACTTGGGCTACGATACAATATTATTGGATTTATACAAATTTTTCAGCTGTTTAGCTAACTTAGCATTTCTCTTTCCGTTATGTTTGTCTTATTTACATAATATTTTATTTTGCACATCTTGCAAACCTCATATATATTCATGACACTAACTTTCTCATGCTCTGTGATTTCATCTCTGCCAAACTCACTGGGCAAACAGTTGGTTTAATTTTTCCATTATCATAGATTTGACTTCATATTAGCAATTAATTTGAAACTTGGTAAATGAGACGATACGATTTATCACCAAACAAAATATCGCGATACTATGCTGTATCGATTTTTTCTACCACCCCTAAATTTTATCCCAGGTACTTCACAGAGACACCGAGTCAGCCAGCATCAAAACTAAAACAGCATCGTCCAGAGTTTGAAGTGTCCAGGACTTCAGCTTGAGTTCAGTACCTGAACTCAACTGGGTAACATCTGGATGAGGCATTGTGTGTGTTTATTAAGTCTCTGTCTGCCTTTTTTCTGTCTTTCTGTGAATATGTGTGTGGGTCTCTACTCAGCAGGGCTTGTTCTAACAGATTAGTAGACCCTGCTTGCACCATAGGGTTCCCTGAGGGGGGTTAGCTGAGTCCAGTACACCACTAGTCAGGGTTTGCTCGTTGCACACATCGCTGCATTCTAATGAGTCCCTCTAGTCTAGGAAGGGGAGCTCCCCGCTGACACCTATTCTCAAACAGGAAGTATGCAAAGGCCCCCAAATACATAACAGGCATTGCAAATAGTCAGTATAGTGATACATTACTAGCATGAATGTTGCATGTCTTCCCACGCAAAAGTTGTGCAGGAACAATCCTCAGAGATGTGCAGACGCAAGTATGTCTGAAATATGTATAGTTGTTCAGCACTGACTCCTCTGTTGCTGCTGCTGCTGCTGCTTTGGGAGTTCCTGAATATGTTCATAAAAGACTTACAGCCACCCACCCTCCCAGCTGCTCTCCTCCCTTCTATCTGTCTATTCTTGTTTTTATCTCTTTTTTTCTCACCCTCTGTTTCCTTCCCTTCCAGTTCGCCTGTCTCCACTCCCTCTCCATCTCCTACACATTCTGACATAATCGCACACATCCCCACCCTGTTACCCTGGCACACATCACAGCACAGTGCACATCATCCTCTCCTCTAAACGCACACTCATATTTCCTTTCACAATAACAACCCCGCCCCCTGCACCCGCCTCCTTTTGCCTTTTTTTTTTCTTTCCTCCCCTCTTCATCCATCTCTCCCTCTTTCCCTCACTGACAAACACTCAGATTGTTACTCAGGCTGATCACAGAAACTCATTGCATGGCCGAGGCGCTAATTTGTCACTGTGTTAAAAAGGCCAAAGAGAGCCAGAAGAGGATCTTTGGCAGACTGGAATGAACCCCAGGCTTTATCATCTTATTTTTCTTTCCTTTTTTGCACAGCTTGTTACGCCCTTAGTTTCCTCTCCTACAGCCCTCACCGTTCACAATTCCTGTGATTCTCCGAAAAACTCAGCAGCGTCCAGTAATTGGATTCAGATTGTGCGGATGATGACATTATTGCCGGCCTTTCTTTGACGGAGCCTCTGTGTCAATCAGCAATGATCCCAAATGTTTATTAATGACATGTAGCTTCTATGATTTCAAACCCACCCACCTACACACACCCACACACACACATGCACATATAATGGAAGCTCTGCCAGTAACAGACTAATCTCCTTTACTACGCAGCCACTCCCTCTCTGTCATGTATTTGTGCTAAGACGAGGATAAACCAATACAGCACTAACATCACTGTGTCTCGTGCTCTTTCGCTTTTACATTTTCTCATGAGTTGACTCTAAAAATACACGATTTGTAACAAAGCGACAGAGAGAGGGTTTGTTATCAAAATAATCTTTATTTTCTATTTATCAAGGAGGTACCTGCTGTTCTGAAAACTTGAAAAAGATTTGTATAGATTTTTAAAAATCGTCTCAGTTACGCAGGAGTTTTTTTATAGCTTAAGCCTTTTAAGAGTTTATGAGGCATTTTTGCTTAATTGGAAAATGAGCAGCACAGAGAAATCAACAAGAAAGGAGACTCAAAGGTTGCATTTGAACCAAGGCCAGGTCATTTTTGGCTCTATAGCTAACAGAGCCGACAGGATATCCAATTAATCCTTCGAAACTGGAATATTTAGGATCCCTCCGCGATAAAAAATTGTATAATCTAGACCATTAAGTTGCTTGATTATCCTTTATTTGATGATTTCATTTGCAACACTTCCAATCAAACACTTTGTGTGATTACTTTCTTTAGTCGGATCTCTTTGTCAGCATTTATTTTAAAGGCTGTTTGATACTCTGTGTTCTCAGCTGGGCTTTGGTGGACTGGTTGACCTCAGTGTTTTTTGCCCCCGGCTGTATGTGTCACAGCTTCTGATGTCTTGTGCTTAGCTCCCACTCATGCAAAGCTATTTAAGGGTTCCAGTACCAGTTCCTGTGTCATTCTCCAAATCAGCTATGAGAAATTCAGAGTCTGTCCTCGCTGCTGTATCTGTCGACAAGAATGATGGTAGAATTATTCAGGCAGTCAGTTTACCTAATAGAAACGTGTACCTACAGTAATGCAGCTCAGGCTAGGATATTTATTAAACCAAAAATCGACCTTTCAACCAGGACAGCTAATGGCATTTAGAAATAATCAGTGTTTTTTGATGCCCATGCTCGTGAGGCTGATCCAAAAACAAACAAATAATGTCTCCAGACATTGCAAGCAGCCTCACAGTGTTTCCAGACATGATATGTGAACAGGATGTTCAATAAGAGTCATTATTCTTTTTACTACTGAGATTGGTTCCTTTGGCTTGTCACAAAGTCCACCGACAAACAAAAAACAACTCATACTAATGCTTTGGAACAGTTTTAGGCAGGTGCTAAAGACTTAGTTTTGATCCCTGTGCGTTCATTATAGCTCTCATGCACACAGCTGTTAATGTTCACCTAATTTCCTCATTAACCATCATCAGCATATAACATAATATAATCATATATCAAATTTTCCCCCAGGAATAAATAGAGTTCTTCTGATCTATTCTACATGATAATAGGTCTCCACCATCATGTATCCGCCTTAGATAACTGCTTTAACTAGATTGTTATGTGAGTGGAATAGTAGACTCATGATTTGTTTTCCATTTGTTATCATTGAACAATTGCATTTCCTCAACTGCTTAAAAGCAACAACATGATATCTGCATTATACGTCAGCCATCGCTCAACCTGCTCCAATTTTTGAGGTTTATCATTAGGGGTGTCCCGATAAAACTTTTTTTTCTACTTCCGATACAATACCAATATTGTAGCCTTCAATATTGGCCAATACCGATATTGATCTGATATTGGCGCAAACTTGTGCATGACAAATTTCAGCTGCAATGCCTTTTTCAGAGTAGACTGCTCATATTGGAATGCTGATATTGGGGGTTTTAGATGCAGGCCGATATAACCCGATATTTGTTTTTTGGCTGATATCGGATCAATATCCGATATCCAGTTGTAGCAGTAGTAGTATATATGTTTTTCAGCCTGTCGTGCACAAGAAGGATGCCCAGCAGCATGGGTATACAACAAACTAGCAAACAATACCAAGAAGAGCAAGAGCATAAGGAGACACAGAAAGATCAACTACATCACCCACACGTCAAACAAAGATCAGAAGTTATCAGAGACTGAGCAAACTGAAACAATTAGTGTGTGAACAGGTATTGAAGTCTGTCTTCAACAGACACCGACAGTCTCCTAACATTTTTCAAAGACTCTGACCAGCTAGTAACCATGGTGACGATCATTTTTGTTTCAAACTGCTAACTGCCCAACTAACCAATGAGTTGATAATGAGCTGGTTTTGGTGTCCAGTCACATAAATGTATCTTTTGGATACTGTTTCATGTTTAGATCATCATTACAGCTGTTGTCTTCATACATTTGTCTCACTGACCTGACAGAACGTCCACATGTTCTCATTGAAACTGTGTGTTGTATATTGCAGTCGACCACACTGTTTACACTATGGTGGGATCACTGCCAGTGTCTTATAAAGTCAGAGGTTTCTGCAGTCCACCCACCTGTACTGAGAATTTTCAGTTACTGAACATCTTGGACTCTGTTGTTAGCCAACAGCCTGCCAACAACAACAGTGCAAGTAACTGCAATATCTCATTTACTTTTCTGGGTGCTGTGTTAAAGTTTGAACTTGTCTCTCTCTTCTCTACCATATCTTTTAAAGCAAAACACATGGTTTATGGCACCTGTATGGGCATCTTGGCAAGAACAGTTGGATAAAAAGACGGTGCCTGAGTCGTTCTCTTAATCATTAAAGTCTGAATGAGGTCAATCCTCGAGTCCCGGTCATCAGTCTGCGCGAGTCCAAGTCTCTTCGTGAGACTGGAGGACTGAAGTCTGATTCCTGGACTCTGATATTCCTTTCATCAGCGTGCTGTGAAATAATGATTAAGCCCTATTCGAGATCTGAAGCCCTGTTTACATATTCAGTCACATTACTCAAATACTCTAAAATACTCATCACAACCACATGCTGTCTTACTTTAAAATTTTACTCACTACGTCTCTATATCCGCAGGACATATTGTAAACTTAATGTGAACCCACGCTGAGGCTTTTGCAACCTGAATCCTAGGGTCCCTTTAATGAAATCATAAAACCTTTACAAGTGCTGCACTCACCAAACAATCCTGATCTCACCATCTAAACTTTAACATTCAGTTCTCCCATTATTCCCAGTTTCTTACTTCACAATAACACAATCTCGTGAACAGAGTGTACCAGAGTGAATGGCATGTGTGAGGGCTAATTTTAGAGTGCCTTCTTGTATTCAGTAAGAGCTTATGCACTCCACTGTGAATAGCACTGGGTAAAGGACTTGATTGTGAGTGGGGGAGATTGTTGTCCTCATTACAGCAGTAAGCTGCTGCTTAGTTTTTCATTGATGTAATGGGACATTTGAATGAGCCAAGGTCCACGTCTCGCACTGATATGCCAAAGCTAAAAACACTGATGGGGCCGTTTTTACTGATAGCAAGGCCTCTTAGCTTTTGGAGCCATTAATTTTGCAGCAGTGAACTAGAAAGAGGAAGTGAGAGAGGGCAGGGAGAGAGAAAGAGAGATGCAGAGCTGACTGCCCTCTGGAGAAAACAGCAGACACTGACATCCATTTGAAAGATGTCAACAATGGCCTCTCCCTTTCCATCCACCTAAATGCAAAAGATGAAGTGGACAGCCCTGACTGAAAATGCATTGAAACATAACTGTTGTCTCAGCAGCACATCAAACAGCAAAAAAACATCCCTTCCATTATTCGACAACAAACTGAGGGCCGTTCTGTAATGCAGATGGGATTCTGCGAGGGTCTGATGCATTTCTCTAATGTGTTTTCCGTTTTAATAACACGTAATGGAGCTGTGATGACAAATTGTAGGAGCTGCTGCATCTGAAAGCAGGCAGAACGGCTTTTATTGTCACAAACAGATCTCATTTGTCTCCCTTGTGTGAATGAGTCTCAATTGGGATGTCTCTGCTCTGGATATATGCTACCTCATTCAGTTAGAGACCATATCCACTCCGAAGCCAGGCTGCATTCAGAACACACAAGTGAAGTACTCATTAAGGAGCCGTGTTGGCTGAGTTTTGGAAAAATCTCCTGCCTTTGTAGTCTCGTGCTTCAAACTTACTGCACCCCACCACTCTCCCCCAACCCTCTCATCATGTCTCCTCCAGGCTAGGGATGATATATTGAACGGATCCCACCCTGTCTCCTTTGATAAAGCCTGTGAGTTTGCAGGGATTCAGGCTCAGATCCAGTTTGGACCCCACGCGGAGCACAAACACAAACCTGGATTCCTTGAGTAAGCATCTTTTTTTTTCCAAACAATGCATTAACACAAACATTTAAAATAAAACCATACTCTGTGGTTTCATGTGATAAACCCACAGCTGTGCATATACAGCCGTTATCTACAGGCTGTTGCTTCAGGGATTTCCTCCAGTGGAAAGCTGGGGTGATGTCAGCTGTTACAACTGTTTTCTGATATGTAGGCAGTAGGGCAAGAATGACCTCATATGTTGAGGTATGTTAACAGAAAAGGAAATGCCTGTAGCTGAAAAGGGTAACCGTGTTAAATGTCATTTTTTTCTCCATAGCCTGAAGGAGTTCCTACCTAAAGAGTACATCAAGCAGAGAGGGTCCGAGAAGAAAATATTCCAAGTATGTACATGACATCGCTTGAATGTTGCATTTAAAGAAAATAATGTGTTTGCAACCATGTACTATGCCTGTGGGAATTATAGTAATTTGTTCTCTGTTGAAACATAAACATGTAGATCATATAACACATAAGGTATGTGATGATCATTCTGAGGTGGTAGAGATATCACTGTTGTTGTTTTTTGTCCAGGATCATAAAAACTGTGGAGAGATGACGGAAATTGAAGCAAAAGTGAAGTATGTGAAGCTGGCCCGTTCGCTGCAGACGTACGGAGTGTCCTTTTTTCTCGTCAAGGTAAGAGTCGAAAACCGGGGAAACTTAAAATACACATTTGTGGAATTATTTTAGCACGATATATAAGCATTGTAAACAATATTGTCAAACAAAAGCATCATATTTATGCCATTATTGCAGTTATAACTGGTACTGTCACATTAAGTGCATGAGTTCTTTAAATGCACTGACATCGCTAAATAAAGTCAACAAAGTGGAGAAACACAAACAGTCAGATGAGGCAGCAGGTTGTCAACAAACCCCAAAGTTATTATTCATTCATCTATCCATTTTACTTTGTTTATCCAGGGTTAGGGAGGCTCCAGACTAAGCTAGTTGTCCAAGACACATCCCTCTGCCCAGTAACATTTTTCAGCTCCGTTTTAGGATTTCCCAGGCTAGATGCCAGAGAGTGCCAGATAAAAACCAAGGACTCATCATAATAAGGTGCCTGGGAAGATCAGAATCTTGACCTCCTAGCTCAGCTCCCTCTCCTTTATATTGTTGCCCTGTTCCAATGCCACATTAATATTCAGTACGTTTACATGACACTCGAGAAAACTGAATTATTGCTTTACTCCAATTAAGACCGGACAACTGAAGTGCATGTAAACACCCTAGTCCGACTATAATCAGAGTTTGAGAACTCCGATTGGAGTTGGAGAACTCTGATTAAGACACCCAGATAATGCGATTGGAACTCAATTTTCTCTACCATGTAACCAGCGTAGTCGGAGTATGATTGGACAATGCATGTGTCCATTGCCCCCCGTAACCCCGTAACAAAAACACCAGAGGTGAGGAGTAGCGTGCACCTCATCTGCAGAAAAAGTAGCGCGTACACCATGTACGGCAAAAACACCGCTGTACTGTGCTCCATCTTCTTGCTCGAAAATGCCCAGCAGCAGTTGTAGCCACTTCTGACAACTTCCGTAACCACTATGGGGTCAACCGGAAACAGCACCGCTGAAAAGACCCATGTTGCCCCCTAGTTTTGGGGAGAAGGACACGTTCACGTCAATAAATCGATTTTCTCAACTGCATGTATACGCGGACAAGAAGTGAAGTCCAATTTGGCGAAAAAAATGAATAATGAGCTTAGTCAGATTAAGCTGTGCATGTAAACGCACTGACTGATGTTGCACAAACCTGTCTGTCACTCTAATGATCCATTTAACCCTCACTCACAAACAAGAAGTCCTTCAGACTCACTCCTTACCCAGAGGGGGGAAGCCACCATTTTCTAGCAGAGAACAATAAATAAGAAAGCCAAACTTATTTTGAGTAAAAACATCACCTTTATTTTTTCTTTTCACTTAGTAGATAATGCTCCTGCGCTAATAAATGATGCTGTTTCGCTACGCACAGCCCTTTCAAACGTTATGAATGCTCATTGAAAACACCGAAAACCCCATCGCACGACAAATGAGAAGCTTCAGAGTGCAATTTTGCACATTTGCAGTTCAGCCGCACACTCTCAGTGCTTTGAAATACCTGTGACAATGGCAATTCTGTCCTGCTCTGGTTTGGTGAACACAAAAGTGGAATAGAAGTGCAGCATATAAGCAGGATGAAGTCACACCAGCAGGTATTATAAAAGCTCTCTGACAGCAACCCATTTGGTAACTTACATGCATAAGAGAGGGGGAAAATAGGAAGAGTGCAGTTGTCAGCTAAGGTCCTAATGGACACTAAATGGAAGTTTGGCCCTGAAGTTAAAACAGAGTGCGGGGTTAAGATTTTCTTTGTGTGCCAGAGTGTGAATAGAGGGCTGTGTATGTGCATTTACATGAACAGGAACTGTCTGTGTTTGATGAGGAGGAGCAGTGATGGAGATGTCGAGACTCTGTTAAATAATTCACTCCAGCTGCACTCTCTTTTTGATGCCAGCAAAGCAGAAACGCAGACCTGGCTTTGTTGAAAAGAAATCTTTGGATTTATTGTTACCTTTGATTTTGCATCTGCCAGACTTTAATTACTAAACTTTTAAGGTTGATGAAAGCTCTCTATTGTCGTAAACTCATCAGATATGAAAATACTTAACGTGGGAAATTTATAACTCTAGGTGTGTACTTGTGTGCTTGCTGGAGCCATGCATGCAGGTGTGTACAATATACAGACCCCCTTCCATTGTGATCTTTGCGAAAGAAGAATTTCTCCTTGAATCATCAAGGTTATTCAAATTGAAATAATATAACGCACCAGCTGCGCACTTCAGATTAGAAAATCAAACTTCCTGCTTGAGAACAGCCTTGATAACTATGACGTTCAAGTGACATATCTTCAAACAATGTGGGTTTTTAATAAACCTCTGTATAAGGCTATCATGAGAACTGGGATAATGTTATCTGTCCTTGTGTTTAAAAGCCCTGAACCTCCAAGCTGTTCCACTTATTGGCCTTTGTTCGATTCTCAGAGCTCTCCATTTAGACCTGGCGATAAAAATAAAAAAAAAACACAATAGCCTGCAGACAGAAAATGTACGCGAACTCCCCCATCTCTTCAAACCTCTAATTTTTGTGTCATCCTCTGCACCCATGGAGGGGAGCCAAGTGTGGGCTCAGTCTCTGAAGTGAGCTGTAATAGTTTTCCAGTGGGCAGAAAGTGGAGTGCACTGGAGCCGGTCAGGCAGGGCGCTTGGTGGAAGCACCATGCTGGTGTGCTGACAGTGACTAAAGCCTGTGGAGACCCTGTTCAATAAAGCAGCCGTTAAACAAGGCTGAACTCTGCTGGGTCACTTCACAGCTGCCCTTCTCCGCCTCCATTTGGGGCTTAAAGCCACGGACACAGCATTTGTATTACAATCACACCAGCAGAATGACACAACAATTTCGCATTTGCACCTCCAATGAATCATCTGTGTAGGTGTTTCACACCGACTTAATGCCGTCTGATGTTATTCTATCCGACAGGAAAAGATGAAGGGTAAAAATAAGTTGGTCCCGAGGCTGCTTGGGATAACCAAAGAGTCGGTGATGCGAGTGGATGAAAAGACGAAGGATGTGGTGCAGGAGTGGCCTCTGACAACAGTAAAGAGATGGGCTGCTTCCCCCAAGAGCTTCACCCTGGTACTGTGTGACTTTCTGCATTGGTCCCATGTTACACACACACTCCCAATCCTGTGCTCATATTCAATTACCCTGTGCATGCTGGGATTTACATGGCTCTGTATCACATATTCAATCTTCTCCCAGTTTTCATTTTGCAACACAAACAGAGTCCCTTCAAAAATGTGAAGGTTCCCAGACTCCATTATTGACTGTTTTCAGAATCGTAGCTGGCTATTTCATCTGAGTTGACAATAGATGCCCAGGGAAGAATGTGCAGTATTTGGATGTTTTATTTATCTAAGAGCATTTTCAATTTTCTCAACCAGCTGTTGGCAACAGCGCTGTCTGGTTTTTCTTTTCGACTGGAGAAGAGCACTACATTTAAAGATTAATAGATTATGCAGATTTAAGAAAATACTCTACGGTATATTTGCCAATGTTGATTTAAGCTAAAAATATTCACCCTTACGTTTCTGCATAGAGCTTTGAAGTGAATTATGAGATTCACTGCATCTTATTTTTAATCAGCTCTTTAGAGGAAAAGGATGTGTTATAGAAGTCAGGGTTTTTTTTTCACAAAGGGCTGAAAAAAGAAAGGCTTTGCTAAGTTTATTCCAAACCTTAACTAAGTAAGGCAATTTTACTTGCAGGCAGATGGCAAGAGTTGAATAAGGTATAGGATGTTTCATCGTTTTAAATACATGCTGTAAGAGCGTCTCAGTGATGTTTTAATAGCACTGTTGGCCTGAATCTCTGCTGTCTTCTTTGCATTATAAAGGATTTCGGAGAGTACCAAGAGAGCTACTACTCAGTCCAGACAACAGAGGGAGAGCAGATATCCCAACTTATCGCCGGATACATTGATATCATTCTGAAGAAGGCAAGTAATAAAGTATTAAATGAAAACGGAATGTACGCCTAATTCTCCGTACGTGCAGCCTGCATTTTTTGACTGTGATGTGCGTTATTATTATCCCCACAGAAGCAGAGTAAGGATCGTTTTGGCCTTGAGGGAGAAGAAGAATCCACCATGCTGGAGGAATCTGTGTCCCCGAAGAAGTGAGTATCATTCATTTTTGTCATCTGTATCTTCTTTCTGTTTTAGAGAATGTGCAGGGGATGGATGACCGTTTTCATTAAGCGAGCACAGTCGAGGTATTTTTTTTATTTTTTCATGAATTTATACCTCGCTGTTTAACTGTGTGTGTAATTACATTCCTGCCAGCCCTCTGTAGTGCCCTGAAAGAAATGATATTCAAATTAAACTCAAAAATAGCACTTTGAATTCATCATATTAACACCTATATTATTGATGCTCCGGGCTACAATTTATTGAATTGCTGTCTCGTATTGTTTTTCTGTCCAGGGCAGCTAAACACAAAACCAGCCTCAGGGTAAAGCCACTAAATAATCATCTCCACACTCACTAAAAAAAACCGGCACCATTTTGGAAATTAAGATATCGCACAGGTCAAGATATCAACCCCTTTTAGCTGTTTTCTGCAGTTCTCGCCTCTTAGTTGTTTGCTATCCCTCCCAACTTTCTTAATTTATTTTAGTAACTGACGCAAACAGAGGTAATGCTGATGCTCTCTGTCACACACAGCTTGGAAATCTGTTGTCACTGTAGATCAACATGACTCTCAGTTAAGCCACGCGCTGGCAGAATGGGGCATCATATTCCTGCTGCTTATGGGCCAATTGACTCATGTTGTGGTTCCTCAGCACAAAAACATAATTGCTGCCTCTCAAAACAAGCCATAATTAACCATTAGAGTCAGGAGCATCTGTTGAGCTGGGCAGGAAATCAGACATCTTTCCACGCAATATTTTCTCTGACAATGCTTGCTCACTGCGGGAACATTTGTTAGCATCATAATTGTTTTAATTATAATTTTGTGACAGTTGCACTATCAGCTGGAGCAATGATCGGAATTCTAAGAGCCACTCTCAAGTAGCACAAAAGAAAATAGTCTACTGTAAGATATCTCTATAAGACTGTCGAAATCAGAGAAAAGCTAATATAGAAAAATCAGTTTGTGATTGTTTTAGGAGCCTAGAAATGTAGATAAAGATGTTTTACCATGAAGTTTAACATCTACTTCCTGTGTCCTTCCTACCCTGTAAGGTCCACGATTTTGCAGCAGCAGTTTAATCGAGTGGGTCGTGTGGAGCACGGCTCAGTAGCACTTCCAGGTATAATTCGTTCTGGGTCCATAGGAGGCCCTGACACCTTCAATGTGGGCATGATGCCCTCAGCACAGCAGCAGATCACCACAGGGCAAATGCACAGAGGACACATGCCCCCGCTGGTGAGTAGAAGATTTCTTCTCTTGTAAGCAAACGCAGTGTCCTGGACAATGTGATATGACCTGTGTCAGCACTTTTGTGGAAATTATATCTTGTTTACAGCTCTGGGCCGCTCTGTGCCATCAGAGTAATGTATGAGGGAAAAAACTGAAGTCAGGAGTTGGGAAACAATGTCGAATCATCTCATCTATAATCTTCATTTTTAAGACAAAGTAGTTTTGAGTTAAACTGTTCTTACGTTTTTTTTTTGTTGAAATAATGCACAGCCTTTGAGATGTTTCTTTGGTTGCTCATTAATAAATGTTATCTAGAGAACTGTGAGTAAAAAGCACATAAAAGATGTCCTTACATTATAAGATGATCTGTTTCCTGCTGTTTACAGACTTTAGACTGTATGGTGTTAAGTGCCTTAGTTCTTTGCTCTCTTTAAGTCCTCATCACTGATTGTTTTGATTGTGTGTCTCTGTTGTCAGAGTTTGGCCCAGCAGGCCCTGATGGGGACTATCAACAGCAGCATGCAGGCTGTGCAGCAGGCGCAGGCTGACCTGGGACACGTAGATAATCTGCCTCCACTCGGCCATGACTTGGTATTTCTCTTTTCCATTTGCTACACAGTCCTTAAATATATTTTTGGGCAGATAGCAGCATCGATAGAGACACACTCCTCCTCAAAGTCTAATCATTTGTGACAACTCCTTTGAGCTCTTCTCTGCTCTCCGATAGTACAGCCTCTAGTTTTGCACAGCAATGACAGATTACTCAGAAATTAGCATTTATAGCACATCAAAGTCCACCATATCTCAGGTATAATTAGGATGTAGTTCTGATGGTAAATACGGAGGCTGCTCTTCATGCTTGAGTGTTTCCAAAGCTGTAGGTGTTGTTCAGCCCTAGTCCTCTAATCCTGCATAAGAAAGTTTATAAGAGCTGAAAATCACCCACTGTGATGAAAGCAAATAGCTCTCCTTCTCCTCCCTCTCCAAAAGGCATCCAGAGTTTGGGTTCAGAACAAAGTGGATGAATCCAAACATGAAATCCACTCTCAGGTCGATGCCATCACAGCTGGAACAGCATCTGTCGTCAATCTCACTGCAGGTGAGTGCCCAGTAAAGTATGTACACAGGGAATGGCTGACACTCTCATTTTTTTTATTTTCAATTTATTTTTCACCAGATTTCCAGTTAGGAAGTCTCTGCACAACCAAGCCCAGAAAGAATCTGAAAATATTGTTTGTCTGAGTGTTTTTGAAATCCCAAGTCACTGAAAATGTCCCCCAACTAAATGTGAATCACTCACTCATGATAAACTATTACGATTTTAATTTTGTTCACACAAACTTGAATGAATGAATGAATGCTTTATGTCAAACATGCAGTAAGTGAACAAAACAGAATATAGGTAGTAAACATAGACTGTATATAGAATGGACGCCATCTGCCTCCTCGCTGGGTGAAGCCACTCCGAGAACAGCACCCTCTGTTGACGGGCTGCAGTATAGGTCATAAATCCCACATTCGGCCAGCAAAGCTTATGGAGCTGTGGACAAATTTTAGAAATTCATTACACAGAACAAAAAATTTTCTCCCCCCTGTTTGTGATGTTGACATGTAGTTATTGTTAGACTGGTTTGTGCTAAAGTCCTCTTTTTTCTGTGAAGCTCCATTTTTAAAAGTTATAAGGGGGTTCATGTTTTCTTTGATTGACACTTGATACAGCCTATTGGCGTTCAGGGGATTGCGTAGCTCTCCCGGGGGATACGCTGTTTGAGCCGAGTGTCATCACAGCAACTCTCAGCAACTCTGTACAAATGCTCACAGCGCTACTGCACAGCGCTGGTTTCAGGGAATGAAGAAATACTGAGAGCGATTTTGGCTTCAAATCCGTATACAGGCGGGAGGCGGAACCAAGTTGTCCATAGTATATACAGTCTATGGTAGTAACCAAACACATGCATCTACATGTTTGAAAAGGAGTAGGATAAAGTTTGCACTTATTAAATCCTACCCCTTTAATCAACAGTTCCTATAGTGATGTTTTAATATACACATAAACATATACATCATTCACATTTATACATACATAAATGTGTATACATATACGCATATACATATACAAATACATACACAAACATACATACCACAACTTAAACTTGTTCTCTTCAGGACTGACTTGCTGCTCTTACCTTTCTCTTCTCTCAAGCTGGCACAATGCCAGCAAAGTTCCCCTCTGCCTTTTGCAGGGTTTTGATCTGATGTTGCCATCTGTTTGGTCGCAGTTATTCTCCGTTCACTGACTGATATAAAGTCTGTCTTGTTTATGGCCACTTGCATCAATGTGCTCATCTCTGTGGAGCCATTTCCTCCTGGCTGTATTTATGACACCCACACTGATGTGCATGTTACAGTTTTTGAATGAAGGCTTATTCTTCAGTTGAGATTCAAAATCTCTTTTACAAGAGGGGCCGGGTCATGATTGACAGGAGCACATTACAATTGAGTGACAAACTTGAACACAGGTCAACGTATCTTGGCTCACATGGCAGAGAGACATCAGTCAGAGTATTTAGGATGTCCTCCAATGCTATTGAAGGTGAAGTTTGTAATGATGACAATCCGTTCTTTGTAGGTGAGCCCACAGACACAGACTACACGGCAGTGGGCTGCGCAATCACCACCATTTCCTCCAACCTGACTGAAATGTCTAAGGGTGTCAAGCTGCTTGCAGCACTAATGGACGATGAGGTGGGCAGTGGGCACAAGCTCATGGGCGCTGCCAGGATGCTGGCAGGAGCTGTGTCAGATCTGCTCAGATCTGTTGAGCCTGCAGCTGCTGAGGTGAGACGCCCACTGATTAATCTACTGGCTTGGACTCCATCCTCCTTTGTAATCCTCGGTAGCCACAGAGCCACATTCAAAACCCAATCCTCCTCCTTTTCTTTTTCATCCACATCCCAGTAAAGATAGGTTTGAATCCAGAAGTCTGTTTTAGATAATTCATGGAGTCCTCTGTGTGAGAACAGGCCAGTGTAATGAATGTGATGATGTCATCCTCATACAGCCCAGACAGACTGTGCTGACTGCGGCAGGAAGCATCGGACAGGCCAGTGGGGACCTGCTCCGTCACATGGGGGAGGGCGAGACCGACGAGAAGTTCCAGGTTGGACGCCACCCACTCACTGTTTCTATGACACTGCTAGCCAAACAGGAAGACACACACTGACTCTCAGGCCTGTAAAAATGTCAATACATGCTGAAGTAATCATTTCATACTCTAATATTAGGCTGTTACTTTATGTGTATCATATAACAATCTGTCAGAATGAAAGCTTCTAGTAGAAAAAGGACATTATGATGTCTCTTTGCCTGTGGTGTCAATCTCCAGAGAAAAGGACTCATATTCTGAATTTCATAGATTTTCAGCTGGTACTCTTTCACAACATGAAAATCAATGTGGTTTGTAGTGCAGTTGGCTGACTTAATACAGATTTAATTTATTTTTAATCTCTTGAAAGTCTTCATAACTATCTACCTCCTTATTAAAAATTTGATTTTGTTACATCGCTGTAATACTTTGAGCTTTTCGTTTGCCAGCACTGAGCAAAATGAGCTAAAAACATTTACTCTACTGCTGCCTTCATTCAAATGTGCGCAGCTGTGCTGTGTTTCAGTGAAGGACATTGATTAATTTGTTGTAGGATACCCTGATGAACCTTGCCAAAGCAGTGGCCAATGCAGCTGCTATGTTGGTCCTGAAGGCCAAGAACGTGGCCCAGGTGGCTGAGGACACTGTACTGCAGAACCGGGTGATCGCAGCTGCCACTCAGTGTGCCTTGTCCACCTCACAGCTGGTGGCCTGCACTAAGGTACTAATCTAAAACTTGTTTAGCACAATTTCCAAGTAGATTAAGGTCATATCACCAGGTAGGAAATCACCTTAAGGCTTATTTATTCTCAACATTACATACGAATACGGATGGATCTCTCCGTCCGTGTTTCGCGTTCTTTTCGTCCATATTCTTGAAGTTAACTGATATGGGCCAGACGGAGCAGTACCACCGGAAACTGTGGGGGCAGTGTTGCAACTGTCACTACTCTATATGCATCTTTAGAAAGAAACGAAGAAGACAATGGCGGTGCTTTTTGAGGATCAGCATCAATTTCTCTCATCGGTACCACTATAGAACAGTGTTGTTTTCGTCATATTTCGTCAACGCCAGCGTCAAAAAAGGGAAATATTTTCGTCAACGAGAACAACACTGGTTGTTTTCATTGACGGAAATATTTCCCTTTTCTTCCATGACGAAGACGTAACGTTGACGAGCCAAACATAAGTCGGAGATGACTAAAATGTGACGAGACGAAAGTGCGTTTACGTTGGTGGGACGAGACGAAAATGACGAACAGAGTTGCAAAACTCAGTCAGTTAAACGCTAAACATATAGGAGCAGCTTCAGTCCGCTCTGACAGCTCTCATCAGCCTGCTGTACTCCTCCAACACACAGACACACACGTGCACACACGTGGAGTTTTGTTTTCGTTGACGTTGACGTCATGGTTGACGGAAACAAAAATGCTATAGAAAAGAATTCTCCGTCCTCCAACCGCGAGGCGTTTAGTGGCCTGTCAGAAACTTTTGACTACGGCTTGCCCCCTGGTGGATGTTATGGTTAACATCCATGCTAACGTAAAGGACGCGTGCACGTGTGTGGGCAGTGACGGAACCATCGTTTGAAAGTGATGCATACATTTTCATACGTATGGCGAGCATAAATGAGCCCTAAGGGACAATTTGTAACACCAGACGAAGCAGGTTTGATTTAGCTCCAAATTTAAGAGTGAAATATCAGCTTTTTGTCTTTAAGATCAAACTTGAAATAAGTGAACTTTTGGTGCCATTCTAGTATTTGAATTAGAATGAAAGTGTTTATAGATAATGCCAATCTAAAATCTTTAAACTCCTGCATTTCATCTGACTTTCTGCCAATGATCTTGTATAACCCAGGTGGTGAGCCCAACTATCAGCTCCCCAGTGTGTCAGGAGCAGCTTGTCGAAGCTGGGAAGCTGGTGGACCGCTCTGTTGAAACCTGTGTCAAGGCTTGCCGCTCGGCCAGCGACGACGGCGAGCTGCTGAAGCAAGTCGGGGCGGCAGCTGGTGTGGTGAGCCAGGCCCTCAGCGACCTGCTGCAGCATGTCCGCCACTATGCCAGCTGCGGAGAACCCATTGGACGATACGACCAGGCCACAGACACCATCATGAACGTGACAGAAAACATTTTCACCTCCATGGGTGATGCCGGTGAGCACAGAGAGAGCTGGAAATGTTTGCGTTGAGGAAAATGTAGTGACTTCTCCGTTCAGTCAGTTTTCTCTCACCCACAACAAGCAACGTAAATATAAACCAATCAGGTGATCTCTAATGAATACCTGCTTTTACTTGACATACTCTCATGTGCTCTGACAGCACAAATTTGCCTTAAGATATTTTTGTCCATGTTAAGCGATCCAAAAAATCCACCGAGACATTTTCAAAGCTCATGCTGTTTGTTATGGTTCGAGCCATGAGGTTGAGGAATTTCCAAGCCAGGCCAATTCTCAAGGGATTGTGGGAAACATGACATCCAAAACCACTACAGTGCTCTCAATCTGGTCTCAATCAGTATCAAGGAGGCTTTGAAACTTAAAAGGAAACATATGACCTGGGCATTTTTTTGGAAGGGCAAACATTTTACCTTCCATAAATCAACGAGACAAAAAAAAAAGAAAATCTGTAGCAAAAACTCAGCCTTCAGTGCTTCAGGTTTCTTCCACAGAGAGTGGATTGGTTGAATCCCAAGGTCTTTGGATGTAGGTTGTAAAGCACCTGGATGTCTTGTCTCTCACAGTCTTCTCTAGGTGAGTTATTTCAAGCTGCAGGTGGGTGTTTGGGAAATACAGCTTTTTATAGCAGGTGTGTGGGGAGATGTTACATATATTCCAAAGACTTTTATTTGTGTGAGAGAGGATGACTCAGTGGAAACCTTCAGCTATGAAAGTCATGAGGGCGCAAACAATGAGACGCTCCAGGACTAGGACAAGTACAGAAATTCTTCAGCGGTGAACAAAGGTAGAGTTACGAAATGATATACTATGAGAGGCAGAGGGTTTGAATCATTAAGTAGCTATTGTAAAATATTTTTGTTGAAACTAAAAAAAAAGAATTCAATGTAAATTTTTCTACTGCAGTTTCTAATCGAGAGATTGTAGAGCTCTAGATATGTGTAATGAACCTTTTGGCCAACCAGGACACGAGGGATTATCGTCCATGATATGTCATCGGAAAAATCCTCCATGATAAATATGATAAATGCAAGTTGATGACGTGAGCGCAAGAAGAAAATCCTCACATGAGTGATTTCTTTCAAGATTGGGGTTTAGATGAGAGCAATCAGGTATGCCTGACATCAGACAGTGGATCTGCTGCTGCTGTTCACTCTGTGCAAGAAGAGTTTTCAACAAACGTTGAAAATGTTTTCAAATTTCAGACTTGTTTGATGTCATTAGTTTTCTCCATAACCTACCACTCAAACTTGTGGTTAAGTATCATATTTGACTACCCCAACTGGTGTTCTCAAGACAAAATGAGTCAAAATTGAAAATATTGGAATCATATTTGTTTTTATCAGGACTTTTATCGTTATCGCCAGAATGGCAATTCTCATTGTGATAAATTCTTTACCCCATATTGCCCATCCCTATTGGACACCCTGGCTGCAATCAAAACAAGGACAAACAAAGTTGGGGACTTGAAAACTCTCCAAACCAAACCAAACCTCCAGTGTTCAGGATAGCTGTAACCACACATTACTGACCTGATAGATATTTGAAAATACTGTCACTGTCTCACATGATTTCTCCTCTTAGTCTCGATTCTGATGATCCAAGACTTTCAGAAAGTTTTAGCTGCTGAGATGTTACAAATCAACTCCAACCTGGGAGACCAACAGATTACCCCACAAGTTAACAGAAGCGGACAGTTATGGTGAAACAGCTCTGCAGCACAAAATGATTTACAGCTGCAGCTCTGGCTTATCTTCAAACCGCTTCACTGGTTCATTGTGATGTTTGCCTCTGGAACAAACCGTGTATCTGCTGACCTAATGTTCTTCTGTATTGGTGAACAGGTGAGATGGTGCGCCAAGCCAGGGTGTTAGCCCAGGCCACCTCTGACTTAGTCAATGCCATGAGATCTGATGCAGAGGCAGAAGTTGATGTTGACAATTCCAAAAAACTGCTGGCTGCAGCCAAACTCCTGGCTGATGCCACAGCCCGGATGGTGGAGGCTGCAAAGGTAAGAGAGTAACAAGTATCACTTCAAATATAGTGCTTTAATTATGACTGATAATTAATTTAGATACATGAACTGCAAGTATACATATTTATCTAATTTACTTCCCATCATTCAGTGTTACTTTTCTCTCGTTTAATTAGCCCTCAATAGGAAGTTAAAGCAGATGAGCAATTTCTCATTAAATTGCATCATAAAAAAATAGTTTGATCCAGAAGTGTTAATTTATTCTCCTCAGATTTTCTCTCTTCGTACCACCACTGCTATGTTTTTTCCTGTGATAACTGAACTGGATCACTTTCATTTTAAAGAGTACACAGTTTGGCAGCACTGCACGCACAAGCAAGTAGCATGATTTCACATCTGAAACAAAAAAGGGTGCAGCATCAGCGGCTCTTAATAAGCTTTTGGCATTGGTGAGCAGGATATTATCAGTGTGAAGTACTGCGAGTGAAACGCTGCTTATGGCACATCAGATGTTTTTGATCTGGGATGCATTAATCACTACATCACTGCCATTATCGTAGAGGAAGTGGGAAGCTAGCCCTGATGGTTTCCCTGGAAACTGAAGCAGACCCAGCTAAATACCTTCTTTCGCGTCTATTGTACCACATGTATAAGCAGAGTTTTTCATCTTTCATTGCTGTTGTCTGATGGCTATTGTTTTTGTGTGTCACGATAATACATGTTTGTGTGTTGATGTGTGCGCGTGTGTTTTAATGGGCACTCAGGGGGCGGCTGCTTACCCAGAAAATGAGGATCAGCAGCAGAGACTCAGAGAGGCAGCTGAAGGACTACGTGTCGCCACTAATGCTGCGGCTCAGAATGCAATAAAGAAAAAACTTGTCAACCGGCTGGAGGTGAGTCATAGGAGTCGACATGTTTTCATCAGCATTATTTAATATTTTTTTGACCTCACTCTAAATGCAATTTTCCTTTTTGTTCCCTCTTTCTGACTGAGATGTCACCTAAACAGCTTTTACATGTTTTGTTACTGTTTCATAGACATTAAAGAGCACTTGAAGATATAAAAGGACAGTTGAGACATTAAGTTACCACCATGTTGATGCTAAAATTCAACAGCATCCATTTGTATAAATACAGTCCATTTAGAGTGCTATTTTCTTCCCTATTGCAGAGAGCTTTAAATCCTTTTAGCGCCGTGAGTGAACTATCAAAGTGTAAAGATCCGTGTTTAGCCTTTGGTATCAGTTTGCCCCTAATGACTGTCCCCTCTATGCTCCAGAGCGCCCAATGTTCAATTTTCCAGGCCCATAAACTATGTGTTACCCAGGGCTGAGATCAGCCTGTTATCAGACATATTTCAGCCTGCCTCTTCACTTCAGATGGTCACAGTAAGGGTGCTAACGGTGGCTTCCGTCATGGTAAAATGTGAGCCAATAAAGTGTCATGGATTTGAAAGCATGCACATCACAATAATAGCAATTGAGCTGATTGAAACACATTAGATTGAAACACATTAGTCTTGCTTGTTATGTCCCCACACAGTGCCACTTAGACGTGCTTTTATTCTGAAGTGAATTTAATATTCTGTACTTATGTGCAACAAAAAGTTAAAAAGGCCACTCTTGGTTATAATGTCTGTTCTGCATGCAGTTGAGTCCTGTTTTGTTTCTCTGTAGGTCTGGTGTTATCGTGTTTTCTTACTTTTTTTCAGACTCTCCTCATCAACTTAAAAAGGAATGTCTCTTCTCTCCCTCTGTTTTCAATCCTGTCATGACTTCAAAGCCAGTCTTGTGTCTGTGAATTAATGTGAGCAGAGCAGTATATATTTAGTCACGTAGTTTTGGAAACATCGCAAAGAGGGAGCAGCGCTCTCATGAAAACAGGGAATGAGCCATATAATCCCACCCTCTTCCCATGACTTATGAAACATTGAGTTTGTGACCCCTCTTACATTGATTACAACAACTCTGCCCGAGTCCAGAACAAGACTGCATCAAACTGTACAGAACAAAAGTGAAGTTACTCAAAGCCAGGCGCTTTCTGTTTCTTAGAGCCTAAATGATTTCCATTTGTATCTCCTGAACAGATTGCTGCTAAGCAGGCAGCGGCTGCTGCTACTCAGACCATCGCAGCTGCCCAGAATGCTGCTGCTTCAAACAAAAATACGGTGTCACACCAGCAGCTAGTGCACAGCTGCAAGGTATTAGCAAGTCCTCTTTCTTATGTACACCTTTTATTTTCACTTGTTAAGCAATTTCAGGTAATGTGCCAGAAATTTCAATCCTTTTAAGATGTATTGCCATACAAGATTTATGTTTTAGTATTATTAGCAACACTTTTTTCAATTGAGACGAAGTGGATATGAAGCAGATAATAGTTGTGTTTGGATGCAGGTGGTAGCAGATAGCATTCCCCAGTTGGTTCAGGGGATGAGAAGCAGCCAAGCCCAGCCTGAAGAGCTTGGCGCCCAGCTCGCCCTCATTATGGCCAGCCAAAGCTTCTTACAGGTGGGACCTTTCACCATCACTCAGATATTGACTTCCAAACTCTAAATTAGAGCGCACGAATACTGAACTTTTTCTTTGATTCTCTCTCGCCGTTTTCTCAGCCTGGAAGTAAGATGGTGACGTCAGCAAAGTCAGCAGTCCCCACAGTTGCTGACCAGGCTGCTGCCATGCAACTGGGCCAGTGTGCCAAGAACTTGGCTACCTGCCTAGCTGAGCTCAGGACTGCTACCCAGAAGGTTTGATATTTATAAATATATATATATGTATAATATTGTTAGCAGAATGCCTCCCACTCATTGAGGACATCCATTCCTATCGCTTGTGAGATGTGTTTGTTGTGAGGCCAAGTTTTTTGATCATCAGTCAGAGATACCACTTACTGCATAGAGACTGAAATACTGCCCTGGCTGTGTGCATTTGAGAAACATGAATTTGTTTTTACCTGTCGTCTGAAGGCCCATGAAGCCTGTGGTCCTCTGGAGATCGATTCAGCCCTCAAAACTGTTCAGACTCTCAAGAGTGAGCTTCAGGATGCCAAGATGTCCGTCATTGATAGCCAACTAAAACCTCTTCCCGGGGAAACGGTCAGTACACAGCAATTTTTACTGTGGAAAAAAATGTACCAAAAATATAATGAATGTTTGTGTAAATCTTATTTGTAAATCTAATGGATGATGTGTGTTTTTGGTTGATCACACAGCTAGAGAAATGTGCTCAAGATTTAGGAAGTACCTCCAAGGCTGTAGGCTCCTCCATGGCCCAGTTGTTGACATGCGCTGCGCAGGGTAATGAGCATTATACAGGTAAGAAGAACAGGGAGTTCTAGTCAAAGTCTTCATTGTTTATTGAAAGATTCTATCAAGAGTAATAACATTTCTTATTGGAAATATATAATAAGATTAAAAAACTGCTGACTGTAATTTTGGAGGGAGGAGTAGTCATTTCTCTCCTCACTCTGCCGAGTGGGAGTGTGAGGAGAAAACAGGCAGAGAAAATGATGAATACTACATTTGTGCTATCACCGCTGCCTTTAAACTGAACCCTCTGAATCCAGCATGCCTTGGCTGTGTTGGCGCCAAATTTGGCTCAATTTATGATCTCGGAGGAGGAGAGATGAAGACCGATAAGGAAAGGCATTTCTAACAATGAACACTCCAAGTCAAAGCCTCATGCTGTGGCCCAGGGTGCTGCTCACTACTCATTAATCTTATTTTCACTAGCTTTAACATTCCATCATCAAATGGCTCCACTTGGGTGCTTAATGTAATTTGATGCAATTTGCCACTTTTTATTCTTGGCTCAATGTATAATATGTTAAAGGAACCCCCCCAGTGAGCAGCAGTATATTTAGTTTGCTCATCAGTTCAAAGAATAAGGGCATCTCAGTTTCACAGTTTGCTCTAAGTGTGGGACAGTATGCTCCTGGCAGCTGGTAAAAAAAAAATGCTAGACTTGCTGCACCAACACCTACCTCTGTGTGGTATTGCTTTAATTAATGAGACTGAAATTAAAGTGATTAGTGAAGAGTCAGATTTCATTTTTGCAGGAACGTGGTTGCTTACTCTCTACGCACCAATTCTGACACAGCAGAATTCAAATTCTGTTGAATTCTTTGTTTATATTTAACGTAGTATTTACCACAGTTAATGTCTTAAAGGGATATTCTGACATAAAATTAAGTTAGGGTCAAACACACTGTAACACCGAGTTAGACACCCTGTAGAGAGATGAATGTTGCAGACCGCTTGCTTCTTGCTAAGAAACGACTGCATATAGCAATACACAGCGGTCTATGGAGCCATAAACAAACCTCAACCAAAACGCCACTCTGTAGCCACAAATAATGCTCAGAATAGCATCTAAATTCAACAACAGTACATATAGGGTCTCAGCCATAGCATTAGCCACCAAACATCTTTTTAACTTTTCTTGATTTCTTCACAACTCACCCACTCTCTTCCAGCAGCCGTTTGTTTGTAGTGAGACCTCAGGCCAGTCATTACAGACTGCAGCAGGGTGACACAGCTAAAGGAAAAATATTTATGATCATTACTTTATCATTTCCTTGAATTAATAATCACCACATTAATCATTTTGCACTGCAGACGTAGTAGTTTTTCCAGCCGTAACATCTCAGTCTGATTGCATTTCCATGAAGAAATGATCCTAAATGTTCTTCCTTGAGCTGTGTCACCCCGCTGCAGTCCGTAATGGACTGGCCTGAGATCTCACTACAAACAAGCGGCTGCTGGAAGAGAGTAGGTGAGTTGTGTTTAGTCTCTTTGCTAAAGAAATTAGGCAAAGTTAAAAAGATGTTTGGTGGTTAGTGCTGTGGCTGGGACCCTATATGTACTGTTGATGAAGTTAGGTGCTGTTCTGAGCATTATTTGTGGCTACAGAGTTGCTTTTTGGTTGAGCGCTTGGCTCCTGGGACTCATGTGTATTGCTATCGTGTGGTCGTTACTAAAGTTGGTATAACTAGAGAAGCAAGCAGTCGGCAACATTCATCTCTCGACGGGGTGTCTAACTCTGTGTTACTGTGTGTTTGACCCTAAATTAATTTTACGCCAGAATATCCCTTTAACTTCACAACGATGTAAATTTACACTTCACTGTAAAAACTGTGCTTTGGTTATTCAGCTCTTATTCTGTTTGTTTTATGGAATCCTCCTTTGCTGGTTGTTTTTCAGGGGTGGCTGCCAGAGAAACAGCACAAGCTTTACGGACATTGGCTCAAGCAGCCAGAGGAGTCGCAGCCAGCACCAGAGAGCCTCAGGCAGCAGCTGCAATGCTGGACTCAGCTCAGTACGTCATGGAGGGCTCGGCCATGCTGATCCATGAAGCCCATCAGGCCTTGGTTCATCCAGGAGATGCTGAGAGTCAGCAGAGACTGGCGCAGGTAGCACAGGTCCTGGTATTTGCAACCTGAAGCGGTGATATTCCTGTAGCAATCGCATTGTTCCTCTGAGCCCACCTCTCCTCTTCCCTTCTGCTGATTTGTAAACATTTCCTTTTCCATGGCAGTCATCTTCTGTAAGCGTTGCTATTTTCTCTGCGCTCTGCCTCTTGCCTGGTATTCCTCTCTCAGGAGTGGCAGAGTAAAACTGCTCATTCTCCTGCAGCCCTTCAGGGGAAAAACATGTTGTTTGGCATATATCTGTGACAGCAACATAAATTAGTGACACAGATTATTGTGCACTGGTGTGAGCCCAATTTGCATCGAAAATGTTTTCCCCTTGGAGCTTTGCTCTGGGCCTTCGTGTTGTGTCGGACATTGTTAGAATGACAAATGACAGTCCATTGACAGAGTGTGCTTTGCTGTGTTTCAGGTGGCTAAAGCAGTGTCACACTCCTTGAATAATTGTGTGAATTGCCTGCCAGGCCAGAAGGATGTTGACATGGCCCTCAGGAGCATCGGAGAGGCCAGTAAGAAGCTGCTGGTGGACATGGTGAGTCCTCCTTGGGCTTTTTTTGATGATTTGTTGTCATTTATCATGGTTTGTGAAGACGTAGATTTATAAGTAACACCTTTAACTGAACAGGTTTTTCCATCACTTTTTCAACATTCACTACGGTCTGCCCTAAATGATGTGTCTCTCGTCTTTGAAGCTCCCTCCCTGCAGTAAGACATTCCAGGAGGCCCAGACTGATCTGAACCACTCGGCAGCTGAACTCAACCACTCTGCAGGCGAGGTCGTCCACTCCTCTCGCGGTACGAGCAGCCAGCTGGCTGCGGCCTCGGGGAAGTTCAGCCAAGACTTTGATGAGTTCCTGGATGCTGGCATTGAAATGGCAGGACACACCCAAGTAGGTTTCACGATCATACAACCCCACTCTACAATCTATTGAATCAGGTCAGCGGTGAACCACTGAGACCAGTTTTATACATCATGAAGAGAGGTATTCAAACATTTTATAGACAAACGTAAAAGTCTTCAATACTGAGTGGATGAGCTCATTTTTTGTCGATTTATTACCTAAGCTATTTAAGTCATTTGTTAATTAGAGTTTTTCATCTAATTCACTTAGGCAAATGATTGTCCCCAAGAGCACAGATACAGTCAGATGTAATGAGATCTTGTGATGTTCTCGTTCTGGTTATTTTGCTCATTAATTTGAAAAGATCGTCTGGGATTGGAGTTGATGTAGCGTGACACCTGAGCTTTAATCAGGCTCTAAGAGGCCTGCTGAGTGAGGAAGGAAATGGAGGTGGTAGGGACACACCACATACCCTCTTTACAATCCATTACATTACAGACAGCTCTCACTGTTGCTGTTACGGTGAATAAAGAGTAGGCCTGGACGATATAGAAAAAAAGCATATCGATAAAAAATAAATCATATTGATCGATATCGATAATTATCGATATAATTATTATAATTATTTAACATATATTTTAATTGCAGCCCTGGATGTTTTATGCTATTGCTTAATGACCTACTTTTAATAAAGAACACACAAGCACTGAATTCAAATTCAAACCTTTATTCAACCACCTTTTTTATTTTACCACAACTGAAAGTTTTTTTAAAAAGAACTAAAAAAAAAAGAAATCAACTTAAGTGGCCTGAGTGATGTCAGTAAATACTGACAAACATAAAGACTTAAGTGACCAGAAAATCTGATAAATAAATATTTAAATAGTCTTTTGATGAAAATAAACAAAACAAACAAATATATAAATAAACAGAATAGCTTTAGGTGGGAATAGCATACTACCAGTTTTAACTGTGTGGGAAACTGCCCACAGCCTGGTGTCTGAACACTGAAATATTTCTCCCGGGGTCGGGAGATTTATTAATTATCATGTGATTGACTTAATACACAAACTAAGCACGAGAAGCAGGACTTATCCACGCCGGTGTTGTGTCGTAGAATGCACCCCTGCCGAATGCACCCCCTGCTAGTAGCCATGATCCAAATACTCGCGTCTTTGTAAAATATGAGCTCATTTTCTTCCACTTTAAGAAGCGAATGATTGGACGGGATGCAGGGGTGCATCCTACGGCAAACACCGGAACGTATTTCCTCCGCACCCTTCTCACCTTTTCAACCCCTGACCCGTTTTCATGCCTGAAGCGCTGTGTTTGAGAAACACTTGCGGCCGGGCACTTCATATCGCGGGTCGAGAGTGGCTAGAAGCTGGTCGAAGCTAGGCTTTTCAACGGTAGTTATTAGCAGTATGTCCCTCGCTATGGAGCATGTTACTGCATGGGTGATGTCCTTATGCCGCTCGGACGCTTTGTCGTATTTTGGCAAGAAACGATGTCCAGTTTGGTCTGCTTCACATGCTTTGTGCTGGTGCTGGCAGCGGTTCCAGAGGATTCCTCCTCCGACGACGTGGAGCCGCGGCGCGGCCGACACAGCTCGTACTCCTGCGGGTGCGATCGGTTTAGATGGTAGAACAAGTTGGTTGTGTTACCAGACTTGTTTTTTACTAATTCTCTGCAAATTTTGCAAACGACCGTTGTTCGCTTTTTGTCAGACTTCTAAAAACCAAAACACTGCCATGCTGGTGAACTACTGAAACCTTTTTTCGGGACAATGTCCTCCGCTTCTCCTTGCTGTATCATTTTTTCTAATACACGTGCTGTCTGTTGTGGTTTGATAGGGGCTGGGCTTGGTGCCGTAGCGTACCTGGGTCTGCGTTTGTGATTGGTTGGGAGGAAGCAATGACTGTAGTAAAAGCTACATGATAGGCTATGATGAAAAAGAAAGGGAAACTGTGTTTTTCTATCGAACTTTTTATCGACCCGTTTTTTTTCTATCGCACCACACGTCTATCGATCGATATATATTGTTATCGAATTATCGTCCAGCACTAATAAAGAGTATGTATTTGACTGCCTCTATAACACCTCTGAAGTCTGCATCTTTGAAAAGGTTCCCCCCTGTCTTTTATTTCATTTTCCTGCAGAGCAAGGACGATCAGATCCAAGTCATCGGTAATCTGAAAAACATCTCTATGGCGTCCAGCAAGCTGCTGCTAGCTGCCAAGTCTCTGTCTGTGGATCCAGGTGCAGCCAACGCTAAGAATCTCCTCGCTGTGGCAGCAAGGTGCGATAAGATGTTATTGCACCTGATATGTATCTTATACTCTCCTCTTTTCTCTTCTGATAAAAATGTGTTTGAATGTCTGTTATCTGAACCACCATGCCTCTGTAACTCCATGTGCACATAGAAAGTTATGAATCATCTGATCTTTCACTTAAAATGTCACAAACTTCTCCCCGCTGCATCTATATGCCTCTCCTAAGCTCTGTCTGTTTGGCATTGCTAGAGGGAGTATGAATCCTCATCCTAGTGAGGAGCCAAGCAGCTGGTCCCGCTGGGCTTTGGGCTTGACTGACTTCTCTCTGTCTAATTAGGAAGATGGAAGCCTTGGCTTGAGCTTGTGTGTGCTCAGCAAGGCTGAACACAAACTCAAGACAATCTCAGCTCTCCTGTGTGCGTGTGTTAGCCTACCACAGCGAGGGGCCAGCAGTGCCATGCTTGAATGGTGGAGCTAAAAGCATGTGAGAGTGAGTGAACTCAGGCTGTGTGTGCATGCAGAGGACACATGTGAGGACTAAAGGAGTCTGCTGTGCTTTTTCTGTGTTTCAGGGCAGTGACAGAGAGTATTAACCAGCTGATCACCATCTGTACGCAGCAAGCAGCGGGACAAAAGGAGTGTGACAACGCCTTGAGGGAGTTGGAGGTAGCCGCTCTCACATACACTGAACCCTACGCAGATTTCCACAGAGCCTGTCGTTGCAGATGCATGTTAAATTTAGAACTACAATATGAGCATAAGGGATACTGGTTTAAAAAAATGCACATTTGCATACCTGAGTCTTCACGCTCTTATGCACACGTAACAGTAAGTGACAACCAGTCTTAGCGCATTTACCTCTCAGGATTTGACAACAATGGTGTTTCCTGAAATTTCAGTCATTGTCTGGTTCTTAAAAGTGTCCAAAATCCAATTTAAAGTTACGAATACATTATGATTTGTGCTGACATCTGCTTTTTCGTCTGTGCACAGGCTGTCAGAGGACTCCTAGAAAATCCAAATGAGCCAGTCAACGAACTCTCCTATTTTGATTGCATTGAGAGTGTCATGGAGAATTCAAAGGTACAGTCTTTAAAAAATAATTGCCTGAGCATTTTTCTCGGTAAGCAGCTGAAGATGACACTTCTCCCTTTTCGCTTTAGGTCCTTGGAGAGTCGATGGCGGGCATTTCTCAGCACTGCAAGACGGGAGATGTGTTAGCCTTTGGGGAAAGCGTGGGTGTAGCTTCCAAAGCTTTGTGTGGGCTGACGGAGGCTGCAGGACAGGTGAGATCACAGCGTGATACCGAGTCACTTTGAGTTAGCACGTTTTTGTTCTCACATCAGCTGGATCTTGTATTTATTTTCGAGTTATTTTTACACATAGAAAAAAAAAACACTTTTCAAGATGATAGAGGTCTGTGAATATTAAATAAAAATAAATGGTAACACTTTATTTGATGCATATCTCTATAACGCATCATAAATATATGTATAATGCATTATAATCACGTTGTAGCACTGTATAACTGTAGTTATAAACACTCATAAATGATCATAATGCTTTATAGCAATAATCATCACACATTATCAGGCATTTTATCATGACTTACGAAATCAGGTATTAAAATGCATTAGAACTGTTAACAACTTACTGACAATGCCCACATAGATAATTAATTATACATATATTTATGATGTTTTAAAACTTGCATAACTAACATAAACTTGTATAACTATAGTTATAAACACTCATAAATGATCATAATGCTTTATAGCAATAATCATAACACATTATAAAGTATTATATCATGACTTACAAGGTCAGGTATTATAATGTGTTATAACTGTTAACAACTCACTGACAATGCCCACATAGATAATGCAATGCAACTGGTGTTAACAGTTATAACACATTATAATACCTGACCTTGTAAGTCATGATAAAATGCTTCATTATGTGATTATTACTATAATGCATTATGATCATTTATGAGTGTTTATAACTATAGTTATACAGTGCTATAACTTGATTATAATACAATTTAAACATATTTATAATGCATTATAGAGATATGCGTCAAATAAAGTGTTACCAAATAAATTCTGATATAATGTGGTTTACATTCAGATTGGAATAAAGACATTAGAGAGACCTTTCTTGGTTAAAATCTGTGTTGCAGAATTAAATCAGGTTTTGTTAAAGGTTTGAACGAGTCTAAGCCCCTAGAGCTGTAAAACAATGTCCCCACCTTCATGTACTATTTAGTGTCTTTGTCTGTTAAAGGACACACTGACAGATCTAGTGTTCCCTCTGCTATTTTCTGTCAGAGAATTCTATTATGCAACACATATATGATATAAATAAATCCATGTTTGTATCTATTTATGTTGTCGCCTGTATTTGTGTCTGAGAAGAAGGACGATAAAGAAACCTGTCCATCAACAAACATGTACATGAATAAAAATCTGTTCTTGTTTCCCGCCCTGTAGGCTTCTTATCTTGTAGGTGTGTCTGATCCCAATAGTCAGTCTGGCCACGAGGGGTTGGTGGATCCCATTCAGTTTGCTAGGGCTCATCAGGCCATACAGATGGCTTGTCAGAACTTAGTGGACCCGGCCAGCAGTCCCTCGCAGGTAAGACAGTTTATGTGGAGCTTGAGAATATTACAGGACTATTCCCTTCCATATGGAGACGGCAGTGTATATAGATCTCCTGTGAGTGGAATTATATGGCTCATTAAGTTTGAAAACTTTGAATCGACCTGAATGTCACAAATAGTTTAAACATCTACCTTGTTTTATACAACTCTGCTTCCTGTCCTCTGTGGGGTTTTGTCCGTCGGTCAGGTCTTGTCTGCAGCAACAATAGTAGCCAAGCACACCTCAGCTCTCTGTAACGCTTGCCGCTTGGCTTCATCTAAGACCTCCAACCCTGTGGCAAGGAGACAGTTTGTCCAGTCAGCCAAAGAGGTGGCCAACACCACAGCCAACCTTGTCAAAACCATCAAGGTCAACTCCCCAACTGATCAAAACGTTGAGTGTAAATTTGTTATTGCTTTTTTATCACGTATAAAGCTGCTGCGTTTGTCCGGATAATTCAGTAGCTTACAGAAATTCAACATGTATTAGTATGAATATGGTTTTCTCTTGTTTCAGGCCTTAGATGGGGATTTTTCTGAGGAGAACAGAAACAGGTGCCGTGTTGCAACGACCCCTCTCCTTGAAGCTGTAGAAAACCTTTCAACCTTTGCCAACAACCCCGAGTTTGCAAGTATCCCGGCTCAGATCAGCAACGAGGTATCCAACCTTTTTTATGTTTATTTGTGATGCCTCATAAATTTTGCCGCTCATTTTATGATGATTTATCTGAATGAGAATAAATTGCAATCTCTTATCGGGCCCTCTGTTCTGAGAAACACCCACTGAGTAATTATTTCCTCCCATCCTACAGAGGATCTTGAGACTTTTCCGCAGAGACTTAATGAATATGTTTGTGACATCTGCACTCAGTCTCAGTTTGATACGAGCCAACACAAAAAAGATTTGTGCGGCGAACACTGAGGGAATTGGATTTTGGTCCAATTTCTATTTTTTCTTTTAATGTCATGAAAAGAATTGAGGAGAAAGATGGATTTTTATTTTTCAATCGCAGCGGAACAGTTACTGCACAGTCCTCTAAAAGCTTTATGGCTGTAATCTTTCTGAGGGCAGTGTTTAACTGCACTCTCTCTCAGTACAGCTGCTCTAATCTTCAGCTTGTTAATCTAATTGTCGAGGGAGGTTTTGGCTCGGATCATAAAGACCGAAGGTGTTTCTTCCTGCATGTGTGTAAAGCTGCCTTTCTAATCTCATCCCTCCTTTGATTGCACCTTTGATCTCTTGAAGGTAGTCAAGTAACATTAACAACTCTGTCATTCCAATTTGGCAACCTCTACCTCCAGTGACGAGCTGTTACCTTGGCTGTTGTTTCACCTGCACTTCCTTTTTTGGTTCCCAGGGCTCAGCGGCGCAGGAGCCCATCGTGCGTTCAGCCCGCTCCATGCTCGACAGCTCCACTTACCTTTTAGAAACCGCCAGGTCACTGGTCCTCAACCCCAAAGATCCGCCCACGTGGTCCATACTAGCCGGCCACTCTAGGACCGTTTCTGACTCCATCAAAAGCCTCATCACCTCCATCAGGTCAGCATTGTCTCCACCTGCTGCCACATCCATCCCTGCAGGATTATACTGAATCAAAGTTTAGAACGGTTCACTCACAGCTGGGGGAAGAAATTGTTTCTGAAACCAAGAGGACTTATTCTGTGATTTCTGTTCAGCTGAGCAATAAATTGCCGCATTAGTTCATATCTGCTGAGATTCCTGCTGCCTTGTAATAGATTAGAGAACATTATAGAGCAGGAACGAGACGACAAGCCGCTGTGAATCTGAAACACATCACCTCCGTCTCCATCGTCATCCTCCAAAGCATAAACATGTTCCCTGTCCCCGAAGCAGCTAAGACAGCTCAGAATGGGCTGCATTTGCTTTTAACTTGGCCTGGAATTAACCAAAGAAGAAGAGGTTGATTACAATCATCTTGTCCGTATGCTCAAAATGAAGCTAAGCCAGGAGCTAATTTTCTCAGCGAAGGAAAAAAACCTCTTCCCAAGTCACAACATGTCGATTATTTATTTCCTTGTTTTAAGCAGAAATAACAAACATGCTGTAACATTTTTATCCATGAGCTTAAAAGCTGCTGGAAGGTGGACTTTTCTCACCCTTTTAGTAGATGGAGCAAGACCGGCTGTTTGTATCCCTTCTTTCATTATTTATGCTAAGCTAAACTAATCAGGCCCTGGCTCTAGCTTCAGATTTTTGTGTACAGATAGGATCTTGTTGTCAATGTCTCATTTTACTCTTGCCTAGAAAGTGGATAAAATATCACAGAAAGTTAAACTATGTCTTAAAAGTCAGTGTGTCTTTGTAACATAACATACTTCATCTGTATTTCTGCTGTAACGCAAAGATATATGATAGACATATGCGTCCTTTAACATTCCCGTTGATAGGGACAAAGCACCGGGACAGAGGGAGTGCGATTACTCCATTGATAACATCAATAAGTGCATCCGGGACATTGAGCAAGCATCCCTGGCTGCAGTTGGACAGACCTTGCCCTGCAGAGATGATATCTCCATGGAAGTGAGTTCATGTACCCCATCAGCTTTATCTTGTCTGAGAGAAAGGACTAAATGGGATCTGTAGTCTTTCTGTTGAGACTTATAGCATAATTCTCCACTGTTGTAACTCACCAGGCGCTCCAGGAGCAGCTCACGTCCTCAGTACAGGAGATTGGGCATCTGATCGATCCTGTCTCCACAGCAGCCCGGGGTGAAGCCGCCCAACTGGGACATAAGGTGATGGTCTTACTATATATCTCCCCCAATCCCCTCTGGATTTAGCGAGAGAAATCTATTTGGTCTGTTTTCTGTCCTGTGATACAAGACTTCCCCCTGACAGCTGTCTTACACTTGTCTCCGCAGGTGACCCAGCTCGCCAGGTACTTTGACCCACTTGTTGTGGCATCTGTGGGCCTGGCCTCTAAGCTGCATGACCACCAGCAGCAGATGACCATCCTGGACCAGACCAAGACGCTATCCGAGTCGGCCCTGCAGATGCTCTACGCAGCTAAAGAAGGCGGGGGAAACCCAAAGGCACTAATTACATCTGTTTCAATCATGGCCTGTGATGGTTAACTATATTTGAGCAGGGAGAGGAGGTTTAGGTCATGGCGAAGTCACGCCTTCATTTCTATTAGAGGTTCTTCCCTCAGCTCTGAGTCATTTTCTCATTGCACTCATAAAAACATAGCTTCAGGAGCTTTTGCTTGGTTTTATGACTTTTTATAAGCATTTAAATTGATCTAAAGATGTAAGAGCTCATGTTGGTTAACTTCTAATCCCATTCTCTAGTAATTCTGCTATTCATCAGATTTAGCTGCTATAAGCAGACTCACAACATAGTGAATGTTGTCTCATGTTGTCTCGCAGGATTGCCTGTTTTCCTCAGCCTTACTGTAATATTATTATTTTACATGTGAGCTTTGTTAAAATTCCACTTTAATTTGATTTATTGTCAAATACGTGGGTAGAAGTTCTCACATCAGCAGGAATCCAGCCTGGCAAAGTGCCTCTTTGTTAGTCATCGGGTACTTACAAGCATTAGAGCTGTTGTCAAGCTAATAGATTTAACTTTGGCTAAACTAAGACAGCGTCACAGAGGCATTAATCAGCTGACTGTGTCCCCAGGCATCCCACACCCATGATGCCATCTCTGAGGCGTCCCAGCTGATGAAGGAGGCCGTGGACGACATCATGGTGACTTTGAATGAGGCCGCCAGCGAAGTGGGCTTGGTCGGGGGCATGGTGGAGTCAATCGCAGAGGCTATGGGCAGGGTGAGTACTAAGCACGGATATGTGCGTGTTTAATTTGGAAAACATGTAAGTATGACACACCACCTCATGTGAGGTCTGCTCAGGTGTGTTTTACGGGTTTTAGGTTGACACTTATTCCTCGTCATATTTGTTCAGAGGTAAAATGAGCTTTTCCTCTAAGGCTAATTCCTCAGTGGGTGTGCTCAGAGTGTGTCCTCGTCGGCGACTCTCATTAGTCCAAAAGATTTAAACCCACAGCTCACTGGTGATGTTGGCTGTCACTCATCTTGCCTGGGGACATGTCACCGCGCTGACAGGGTAGTTAATAACTGCTGATAATCTGCTCATACGCAGACATGTGCTCTTGGCTGAGATTTTAACCTCCATTCTGATTTTTTTATGTGTTTTTTTGTGATTAAACTCAAACATAACATCGTGACATCAGATAAAATTTCATTCGCATATAAAATGCGGAGTGCTTAAGAGGAATGCATGCATGAAGCAGGTTTATATGTTCTTACAGATGGCTTTTTAATTGTCATGAATTATATAGCAATTAAGTAGTTGTACTAAAAAAGGACTTTGCGTTGCTTAATGATGTGCGTCTAATGTTAAGATTGCCAGCAAAGCTCAATCTGTCTTTTCAGGGGTCTGTTAAATGAATCACCCAACATTTGAACCTTGATTCACTGACATAATTTACCCGCTCAAGAGGGCTGCATGCTTTGAAAGATGAAGCACATACCTACGTTTGAACACTCAAAGCTGTAGACTTGAGTAAATTGGTATTTAAATCCAAGGCCGCCACATGTTTGCTATCACCAAAATCTGCAACAAGTTAATATTTGAGGATATGTATCCCCATATTACTGCAAAAATACTGTTAAAATGAGCACATAGTATTTAGAAGTGCGACCAAGACATTTCCTGAACTGAGTCTATTTTACTCAGTAGGGCTGGGCGATATGGCCTGAAATCAATATCACGATATATTGAGCAGTTTACCTTGATAACGATAAATGGATGATAACTACTCCACAAGCTGCTCACCCCCTCCCACATTAACTTTGTCTACTTCAGCCGCTACAACTTTTGAATCATCCTCCATCTCCTCACCTGTCTCTCTCTTTATTTATTTATTTTTGACTCCAAATACACTGATATGGGCATAATGACGTTGGTTATTGTCATAAATTTCAGTATTGTTATATAAAATTGTCTTCTATGTGATAAAGACACTTTTTCCAATCTTATCCTAGTATTTTGTGCTGCATTTGATTAATGAAAATCTTGCTTCAGTTTGGTCTTTGGTCCTTTTCTAAAATATTAAGGATTTAAAACGTTTTTTGGGGGAAAATTTACAGTGCATATCCTGGTATGAAAACTAAAGAATTAGCATTAGCAAGGGGATCAGAAAACATACTCCTTCAAATAATTTTAAACATAGACAGCCTGTTATACCGAAATCTCATCTGTATTGTTATGAATGCAGCTAGCGACAGCCCCCGCTTGTCAGGGGGTTGTGGTTGCTGCATCCAAAATGTAAAAAACCTACCCACAAGAAAAGACAGAAAAGAAAATCCTCCCTGACCATGAGCTGAGCGGTAAGCTAGAGGCGAATCAGTGGCAGTGGTGCTTACCGTCTTCTTGCCCGACGAGCCCGTTCTTCAGCTCCCATGAGCTGCCAGCTCCGTCTGGTGGGTTTCATTTAGGGTTTTAGAGTGGTGGTGGAGAGCTGGTGTGAGCGATGGTGGATATAAAAACATACGGGCTAACCTCTAGTATACTGTCTTTATGTTATTTTAGGCATCCATCTGATGTGCAAGCAAAAATTTGTCTTTTCAGCATCTCTGTCCTTGACTCCAAAGCTACTGAGTTCCCGCTCTCTGTTCAGGTGTTCCCAGTTCCACAATCAACAGGTCTTCATGCAAAGTGACAGGAAATGACGTATCCTCGTCGACCTGTGTTACTGGGATTTGTAGTCCTTATTCCCCCAGGGTTCACCCGACAAATGCATATTTACAACACCGCTGCACCTCTTTTTAACCAACTCATAGTTACAGGGAAAGAAAAAGTACAAAAGAAAAGATCCTAAACCTATTACTGACAGTATATCTATGTACACAGTATTAATGTATGTGAACAACTTTGCAGTGATGTATAAAGCCCTCATATGTAATCCTACTCAGTATAAAAACACAGAACAGCTAAATTAGTCTCAAGTAGATATTAAAATTGAAAACTACATTTTCAAAGGTGGATGAAGGAACACCTCCTGAACCCGAGGGCTCTTTTGTTGACTACCAGACCACCATGGTGAAGTTTTCCAAGGCCATCGCTATAACTGCACAGGAGATGGTGAGTGCACTAATGCGCTAGAGTCCGTGCCTGTCTCTGTGTGTTTTCCATTACATTTCCAATCTCCAGTGACCATATTTGTCGGCAAGGCTCCAGAAACATTAATCAGCCTCTGCACATGATGTATGCTCTCTGCTGCCAGATGACTAAGTCAGTAACCTGCCCCGAAGAGCTCGGTGGCCTTGCCTCTCAGGTGACAGTGGACTACGGACAGCTAGCACACCAAGGACGTCTTGCTGCTGCAACTGCAGAGCCAGAGGAGGTAAGAGGCTGTGATCTCTGTCCTTTGGAATAAGTAGAAGTTATTAAATATTTTAATGAAACATTAAACACATCATTACATACCCCTCTCTGCCATTGTGGCCCTTAGGACCAAAACATCTGCTTAAGATTCTGTTTCATACAAAACTAAAATTGCTCTGGGGTTTATTTACTCCTACTCTGATTAGAGAGGGTGTTTGCTGCTCTTTCATACAGTATGACACCTTATAACAAAAGCTGATTCTGTGAGATCAGACAAATATACTCCTCAATTATCCTCTGACCTTCAAGAGACACGTCATCACCTTAATGATTGTTTATAGTCCTGACATAAATAGGGAGAAAGATTGCACTAATAGGCACACAGCTCTTATATCTTGTATATAACGGGTTGACAGAAACCCTGCTGGTTACCATAGCGACATTGTGCCTCTACAAGTCTAAAAGCCTATAGTGATGCTTATAATGAAGTACCACCCACCCATGAATCTCAGTCTGGATATTAAAGAGGTAGTGCCAGTATTCCCTCATTGAGGGTGCTTGAAATCATTTCCCATCCACCTGACGGATAAGAGACATGCCAGTTTAGAGCATGATTGTAATTATGTGGTACAGTGACACAAATGAGGAGACACTCGCGGTGTAAGTCGATGCCTGCTTGTGCTCGTAGGTTGGTTACCAGATTAAGACACGGGTGCAGGAGCTGGGCCATGGCTGTATTTTCCTGGTCCAGAGGGCTGGAGCCCTGCAGCTCAGCCCCACTGACAGCTTCTCCAAACGGGAGCTCATCGAGTGTGCCCGCGCAGTCACAGAGAAGGTAAGCTAGACGCACACAAACTGTTTTCAAAAGCTGTATACTCCCTTGATATGACTTTTTGAAAAGAGCCTATTTTTGTTGTCAAAATTTGCCATCTTTGCTGTTGGAAGTTTTTGCTCAGCATTAGCATGTTTATTGAAATATTTTTCATGCATTGCTTAGTACAGTCGCTGTATATAAACACCTATTTAAATAAAGTGATATGGAACAGAGTGTGTGCAGTAGCAAGAATTAAAAAGGAGCAGCTCAGGTGTGAATAATTGTTTGTACTCTAGCTGTAGGGAATGATTTCTTTTTAATTACTTTCCGGGTTTGGCCGAAAGATTCAGTTAGAATGGACTTAAAGGTTTCAATACATGTTATTTAAGATAGGAATAACTGGTGCTTTACTCTTTTATTGTCGCAGTCATGCGGGTCATGCTCCTCTGACCACCCTCAGACTGTGCAGTTAATAATAATACTTACATCTGCCTGCTGTGACCCTGGCAGCATCTTACACATTAGAATCTCTCTACACTCTCAGGCTATGATTTGATTCAGCGCTCATATCAAACTTGAATAAATTGAGGTCTTATACTTTCTGATATGTGAAGCTTGCACCTCGTCAGGCTTTCATTTGTCGGTGAGGTATGGTCAGAAAACAGTCTTCATGGTTACAAAGGCTTTTGTTCTGCCAACAACCCGTAAAGAGGAAACCCTGCTGTTTAATCATTAGACATGCGCTATGTATATAGTAACAGGGGGTATTTTCAGCTTTGAAAACAGCATGTTTGAAGCGTCTCCCTCCATATTTAATGCTATGCTTCACATGTTCCAGGTGTCCTTGGTATTGTCAGCACTACAGGCAGGGAACAAAGGCACCCAGGCCTGTATCACAGCAGCTAGTGCTGTTTCTGGCATCATTGCTGACCTGGACACCACTATCATGTTCGCCTCTGCTGGAACACTCAACCCCGAGAACGAAGAGTCTTTTGCAGACCACAGGTGCAGTACCTCAATCTGAGAACGATCAGGTAGTCCAAGACTTGAAGTGAAATGAACGTTAATCATCATAACAATGGGAAGTAGATAATTTCAGTTGCTGAGTTTGTACACTCAAACACAGCAGCTCTCTTTTTTCATTTGATGACTCACTCAGGAATTGTGCGGTTTGCCAGTCAAGCTAGATAATCAGAAGCATTTCACATAATAAATGTAATCTAAAAATTTCTCCAAACGTTGAACAAACAATCTGTCGGAAAACAACAGCTTCCTTTGGTATTGCTGGTGCTTGAGTGTGACTGTGGAGCAGATTGTGACATAATGTGTCTCGTCCATCAGGGAGAGCATCTTGAAGACAGCGAAGGCGCTGGTGGAGGATACGAAGATGCTGGTTGCTGGAGCCGCATCCAGCCAGGAGAAACTGGCTCAGGCTGCCCAGTCTTCAGCCAAGACCATCACCCAGCTCACCGAAGTGGTCAAACTGGGAGCGACCAGCATGGGCTCTGAGGACCCAGAGACACAGGTAAGGGGGAAATTCAACACATATCATGGCCATAAAACAGGTGTTTTATGTGTTTACCAACCTGGTAACTTTCTGTTATTTTCAGCGTTTTATTCTCATATAGGTTTTTAAAATCGTATTTTCTCTTTTATTCTCTCCTAGGTTTCACTCTCTCTCTAATTATTACTTCATTAAGATCTTTTTGTGCTCTTTGTCTCTGCTTACGTGTGTATTTTACTCATCAAAAAGTACTCCGAGCTCTATTCCTTTAACAAAAAAACGCTGCTCAAGCAGTGGCGCACAAAACCTGCTATCATTACATTTTTTTGAAGCGTTAGTTATCTTCAATTATTGTTTTTTTATCTCTTGATACACCGCTGTTTGATTTCCTTTGTAATTACAGTTTCATCTGATACTGTGTGTGTCTCTTCTCTCCCCTGTGTGTACACCTCTATCTTTGCCCTCCATTGAGTCTGTACTATCATGACGAGGTGGGAGTGATAAGGGCTGCAGTGTTAAATCCTCTCCCTAGGGTGCTTCAGATAGACCGATACTCTGACCATTGTGTAGTATTGATACCAGCTCTGTCTCCTCAGGTGGTTCTGATTAACGCAGTGCGAGATGTGGCCAAGGCTCTAGCTGAACTCATCGGCGCTACCAAATGTGCTGCGGGGAAGCCAGCTGACGACCCCTCCATGTATCAGCTGAAGGGCGCTGCTAAGGTAAGGCTTATCTGGTACAAAACTGCACATTTATCGGCACCAGAGACTTCCATTTCTTATTCAGTTTATGCTCCTGTCTGAGATATGTTTTCTACAAATGCTCCCTTTGTATCAGTGCTATGTTTAGTTCATTGTGTCTTGCAGGCTTTTTCAAAAGACTGATTTGACAGCTCTTATCAGTGTTTGTGCAGTATTCTTTTCTAGCTGTCGTGTCTCTATGTGGGACAAGAACCATCCCTGTTACGTACAACGTGTGCATTCAGTCCTACGTGTGTATGAGGGTTGTCATGCTTTACTGAGAACTATCTTTAGGACTGTCTGTTTTGTGACCGTTGAGGCGGCAGTGCAGGTTTTTTTTAACTGATCAGAGTGAACTTTCAAGTACAGCTCAGCCTAGCAGTTCTTTTTGTTAAGTCAGTTTTATTTATACAGCTGAAAAAACAAAGGTTTTAGTCTGTCAAAAAAAGACTGTTTTCTTTAACAGAAAAAGAAACTTTAGAGATGAAAAAATGGGCAAAACCCTGGAAAAAGATTGAGATTCTCATCGAGTGAATGGCATGCAGACATGTAGGAACTGCCAGCTGTGATGACAAGTAGGGGAGAGTGGGGAAAGATGAGCCATTTTCCATATTTCGGATCACTACATCAAGGCAATCATAGTTTTGTTTCTAACTAGTGTATCTACATATATTTCAAGATGTTGTGCATCCCTGCAAACCAACAGAATGAGTGTAAACAGAACTGTTTTTTTTAATATAGCATGCCAAAAAAAGTGGTCTCCTATGGTCAACTTACCCCGTGTATGGGGTAAGTTGACCATAGGAGCGGGGTAAGTTGAGCCGTATCCCTACTACCCCCCCAACTCTACACCCCAGCCCTCCCTCACCTTCTCTCTCCCTAAATAACAGTCACTTCTTCACATTCATGTGTATTTTTATCTATTATACACTATTCAACTGGTACAATAACTCTTTTTATTATTATTGCATATAGCTGCTAAAAACTGTTTTATAAAAAGTCATTTTAAAATGAGAATGTCTTTAAGTGATTCAGAACATTCACAGCTGTATTTTTGAAAAGAAAAAGTAACACATTTCAACAATCTGAATGGTGGACTTTTATGCTAGGTTTTTGGCCTCATGTTGTAGCTCATAGATACCACAATTGATGTATAAAACAAATTTAAAATGATCTTTTTTTGGTCTGAACATAATTCTAATAAAACTTATGACAGACTAAATTCACTTTCAAGAGTGAAAAATGTTTTTTTGGAAATAAACGTCTAACCTCTTCACCCGTGTGCTTCTAACCTTCGCAGACTCCACGAATTGATGCCCATCTCCTAAATATTTGGTCACATGATCAATTTCTTTTACCATTTCCAAGCAACAGGGGGTGGCTCAACTTACCCCACTCTCCCCTACAGACTGACTAAACAGAACTGTGGAGAGAGCGCATGATTAAAAAAGCAAGAAAAGAATAAATTAGCACAATAATATTAATGGAATCAAAGTAGAACTAATCCCAGTAAGTGTCGGAGGGAATTCCTTATGGAAATTAGTTTGGGGGAAAAGATGTTCAGCAGCCCCCAGGTGCTCAGAGAATCTGCTCTGTGCATACACAAGAAAAACAGGAGCTGCCTTGTTACTCCTTTTTTGTCACAAATGTCACACATGTAAACCGCTGAAGAGTAAATAGTCGAGATCCAGCCTTTTGCAGCTAATTTTGGAGCATCTGTGATCACTGCAGAAAAGCTACAAAGTTCACGTTAATACGGACTTATATGAAGATGTTGTTTGCATCCATCTTCATTTTGTACATTTTTGATTCACTCACTCCTATCATCCCACAGACACTCAGCTTGTCACTCTGACCGTTCATGGGGCTTTCTCATGTTGTCTCATCTAAATGGAATTAGGGCCACCCATGGACCTGGTTATGTTGACAGATTGTTTCTGTTCCTCCAACATATGGTGACCTCCAAATGGGACCCTCTCAGACTCCTGGCGATCACGTTGCTTAAATTCCTAACCTAATAATGTACACTCTCCCAAAGGCTGTACGGACAGAATCGAATGTGTCACCATGAATAAAACCTGAATGTTTTTTTTCATCCTCTGTGTAAGTGAATTAACTGTATTGCAAGTAGCGTATCACCCTCTTTCAGTTTGAAATACACCCCTCAGTCTGTTCTTTCTTTAGCAGCTAATGTCTGTCAGTTTTATTAGATAAGCACCTTTTACACATGTAACTATAATTCAGGGAAATGGAATCAGTGAGGGGATATTTTTGAGGTATTTTTGTAGCCGAGGAGGAAGAGCTCCACCTCCTGGTTTGACTGCGAGCCTCATTATGCTCCATTATTTTTCCCTGACAGGTCATGGTGACCAATGTGACGTCTCTACTCAAAACAGTGAAGGCAGTGGAGGATGAGGCAACTCGTGGGACCCGGGCACTGGAGGCCACTATTGAGTGCATCAAGCAGGAGCTGACAGTAAGGGCGAATCTCTTCTTTACAGGCCTTTTGGAGTCAGTTGATGAGACTCGGCCTCTTTGCAAAGATGAGTCTAGAAGGATCAGGGGCATCTTGGTCCATTATTCTGAACAAAACACTGGAGCTTTTTGTTCTGTTTTATTTATTTTTTTCCCTCTATTATCTGTCGAGCTCCTTTCCTCTTCCTTTTGCTCTCAGCCCCTGCAGGTTTCACACAGCTCTTATCATGGGTTGGTAGCAGGAGCAGGTACACTGAGCCAGAAGGAAGATTTTAAAAGCTTATTTTTTTTTTTGTAATATGCCGTTAATCCTCACTGAAGGACCTCAAGCCATGTGTCCTCCTATATTTCTTTTCTTTGAGTGTCCCTGTCTGTGAAAACATATCTGAGGCTCCGCCGTGCCTTTATCTAACAGCATGTGTCTGTGGGACCTCATCCTGTCAGGTGTTCCAGTCCAAGGAGGTCCCAGACAAGTCCACTTCACCTGAAGAATTCATTCGCATGACAAAGGGCATCACCTTAGCAACGGCCAAAGCGGTGGCCGCAGGCAACTCTGCCCAGCAGGAGGATGTGATCGCCACTGCCAACCTGAGCCGCAAAGCCATCATGGATATGCTGACTACCTGCAAGGTGCTAATCCACACTGCCCTGCCAGAGCAGGCCTCACACAGACATCACAGGCTGCCAGGGAACATGTGAGGCCAGCACTGCTGAGAGCAGAGAGGACATTAGAGCCCAGTCTACTTTATGGCTGCTCCCGCCGGCTGGTTGTGACTCAGTCACTTTTCAAAGTCGTGCAGCAGAGCATCAGTCAGGATGTCCTTGAGCAACTGTAGAGCACTTGTAACAAGACAGAAACAGAGAGACACAGAGATCTACAGGCTTAAGTCAGTAAAAACTTATGAGTGTGTGAAGAATTTAAACTTTTACAGGTTATAGATGTGGTTTTATATGTTATATTAATGTCCATACCCATATATAAATGACTGAGGGCACTTCCAGACCTCAAATAGCACAAAAGTCTGCTGCCCCTTTTAAATATGTATCATGCACCTTTTTTTTCTCACACTTTTCAGCAAGCAGCTCACCACCCAGAGGTGAGTGACGAGTTAAGGAGTAAAGCCCTGCAGTATGGTACTGAGTGCACCTCTGGATATATCAACCTTCTGGAGCAAGTTCTGCAGGTAAGAACAAGACAGTCACATGTCCAATAAATGAAAGATACGGCAGCTTATATTTGTGTTTGTCTGTGTGGCACAATATTACGAAAGCAAGAATACCAGTCAAAGATTTGCTGTGGGTTTGAATAAAATAATGCTAAATAAAAAACTTTCATATTCCTTATCAGCTGCACTAAGAAGAATTAGGCCAGTGTAGGGCTGGGCGATATGGCCTCAAATCAATATTACAATATACTGAGCAGTTCACCTTGATAATGATAAATGGACAATAACTACTCCACAAGCTGCTCACCCCCTCCCACATTAACTTCGTCTACTTCCACTACAACTTTTGAACCGTCCTCCATCTCCTCACCTGTCTTTCCCTCTTTGTTATTGACTGGATGGGGTGGAGTCACATCTCTGACATAGGACAGCATCTTAAAGAGACATGAGACCATAGCCTACTTAGACACATCCAAAACATACTTATTTCTTTATTCATGTTATTTATTAATTATTTTGACACCAAATACACTGATAAGGGCAAAATGACGTTGGTTAATGTCGTAAATTTTGTTATCGATACATTTTCGGTTTATCGCCCAGCCCTAGGCCAGTGATAAATCAGGTATTTTAAAATGTGAAAAAAAGAAAAACAGACTTCAATCCATGAAGCCGGTTCCAAGATATCTTTATTGAAGTTTAGACTTGAAGTCTAGCAGAGAGGATAAAGTATTTTTGATTCATTTTCCTTCTCGATGAAGCATTTAACGTTGCGAAACATGCTTTTTATTATCTGCACTCATGCTTACAGCTTCTATGTTACTCTTCCTTCTTCCTTATGTTACTGTCTGGGTTTGCATGTATATCTATGCGTGTTTGGCTCTTGTATCTCCAGGTGCTGCAGAGGCCTGTGCCAGAGCAGAAGCAGCAGCTGGCCTCACACTCGAAGCATGTGGCTGCATGTGTGACAGAGCTCGTCCAGACAGCCGAGGCCATGAAAGGTGAGGCCACACATGCTGCTGATACACTCAGTCACACACTCTCACATGATGAATTTAAGCAAAAAAAAATCTGTGTGTGCTGTCAAAAGATTGTTAGCAGTACATTTTAATCTTAAGAGACAGTTAAATGATAGTGCAGAGTGAAAAACTGCAGCGAGAGTTAAAAGCTGAAGGATTCCCATCGGGGGAGCCAACTCAATTTGGTGAAACATAAAAAATGACAGGATTGTAGAGATGGCAGAGATTAGTCAAAAGAGTCCTAATCCTCTCAAATGAATAATATTCTGATGTTATTGAGTCAAGCCACCAAACCTGTCTGTGTCGGTATGAAAGATAGGTCAGGAAAATCACTTTGGAATATTGAAATTTCACTGTGCAAATTATTCCAAATGAAGCGCTGTAGGATGGTTATGACACAAACATACCGGAGCGTTTCCTGTAGAAGTAGCACTGCTGCATCTGACAGGAGTAATAGATTGTGTTTGGATGAGAATTAGATTCCAGCGTATAGCCGGAGACCCAGTGGGGCTATCCACTTCACCTCTCTAATGTCCCATGTGCTCTCTCTCTCTCCCTCTCTGTTTCTCTTTCTCTGCTGCCTCAGATGGAGGTAAGAGTGGGATGTGGTTGGGTGTTTTTTTTCCTCCAGATCACCTTTCATAAGAGTCAGTGGGGGGTAGAGAAGTGGACGGCGTTTGGAGGGGAGGAGGGGGTTGGGGGGGAACGCAGAACAGATTTCCCCAGAGCTCAACATAATCTATGAAAACATGGTTCCATCTGCTTTAGCAAGCTGTTCCCAAAGAGCTCCGTTTTACAGGCACTTAAAAACCTATAAAAAGAAAATGATCCATCAATGTGCATTTCTTCTAACTTTGAGTTTATCTTATTTAACTTTGACGGATCACGCTCATGCTGCCAACAGTTCTTTGTGTTTTGAAGCTGGCTGAGATACGGATGCCCTGTGAATGCTTGGATTGTGTTTAAGAGCGCGTAAAAGCAGTTGAAGCATGACATCAACATGTTGTTTCCTCAAATCCTATTTAGTCATTAGATTGATTGTGCTAATATGTTTTTTTTTTTTTTGAGCCTCGAACAGGAAAGTGTGAGACAATACCAGTCTGTGTTTGTGATGTTCACTTTCAGGATCAGAGTGTGTGGACCCTGAGGACCCCACAGTCATCGCTGAGACTGAGCTCCTCGGAGCAGCGGCGTCCATTGAAGCTGCAGCCAAGAAACTAGAGCAGCTGAAACCCAGAGCCAAACCCAAGGTATAAGTGCCCCTCTCAACCCTTTCCTCCCACACAAACCCACGCACAGCGTTTTTTGCTGTTAATCAGCAGGGGAGACCATGTGGGCCAGAGGTAGGAAAAGGTGACACTGACTTTGAAGTGGAGTCACTTTTTTCAGTGACTGAGCTGTTATCACAATATCATTAGAGTCGGGGAAAAAAAAAACCCTCATACCGTGTTGACTCAGACAGCTGGTCCGGTGAGCTAACATATGATGCTGTGGAAAACTTTCTTCAAAGGCACTTTTGAACATTATTTTGAGTTGTGTTGCCAGGAGACGCAATTATACCGCTGGGTCCTCAAGCTTATGCTGGAACAAGTTCAAATGAGTGATGAACTGTTGTGACCCTTTCAGAAGGCGAGCGCCTCTGCCTTATTGAGCTTACATCCTTTGTTTTATTGCAGTGTTCCTCATTGCTAAACTCAACCGAAGGGGAGGCCTGTTAGTCATCCCCCCCACGCTGAAGCACTGTTGCCTCAAAAACAAACTAACTCGACCACATCATGTGCTCGGAAAATAGGCAAATCACAGGAGAGGGCAGCGATAGTGCTCACGGAAAGAGAAACTGATTTCGTGTTGCTCAGTGTGTGATACAGGGTGGTGTTTGTGGTGTTTTACTGCATGATTGTGTTGTGTACTTGTGTGTCTCTGGAGACTGGATAGTTGGATCCTGGTGCTCTTCCCTCTGTGTCTGTAGTGCTCCCTACCCCCCTTTTTCTATACCTTTTCCTGTACGAAGTGACTGTCAGTCAAACCCTCTGCCTGTGTGAAGGAAATGAAGGAATAAAGCTCTGTCTCGCTCTTTAATTCTACAACTCTGGACTGTATTCATTCTGTCCCTTGTGCTCTTGGGTGGGGATTAGTGAGTAAACTGTGTGTCCTTTTTTTAGATGTCAGTGTCTCCCTCTAGTGATCGAACAGTAGACAAACCAAACAGCATTTAAAGGGGGCTATACCTCTGAAAAAATGACATTTCTGTTTAATATCATGCCTTACTTCCCCCTGTCTTAAGGATTAAACTTATTTGTTTACAATCTATCTACATGAGGCTCAACCAAAACGCAGATTTCCAGTCTGATATAATTGCAGGGATCCATATGTGCTTTCTTTACGAGTTATTACAAAGACAGAGCAAACCAAATAAATACTTTTAGTGGCCTCAAGCATCCATCCTCAATGTTTTAGGGTTGTATTTATTTGTCTAAAACAGGTTGGATCTTCCGTCTTCCTCCTCGTTTCTCCCTCTCTGTTCCTTCCTCCCTCCCACCCTTTCAAAGGAAGGAGGGCTCTCCAGCTCCCAGCATGCTTCCTTGCCCTCCCTCCTTCCCTTCCTCTCTGAGCCATTGTAGACCTGGAAGCCTTCTCTGCAGGGCTCTGTCTGATATGTTTGATATATTAGGTTGTTATTCAGTCCAACTATATATCAAACATATTCCTACAGTGTCCCGCCCTGTCTCCAGCCACGTGTGCCTTATGTTGTTTATGGAGCTCTGGGGTCAATCAGCAGAGATGGCCGTTTGTTAACTGTCTCTCAGCTGATACAGTGTGATTGTTACAATGGTTTAGAGGTCAGGTCCAAGATTTGAGACGTTGTAGTAGTCAGTGTCACTGAGGAATAGTCATTTAAATGTGCATTTTTTTTAAAGATAGATTTGAATATTCCAAGTTATATTCTCGGCAGACACTTGTGGATATATGTCTTCCAAAACTTTTTTATCTCTTTATTTAAATTCTGCTTTTATTCCAGGAAACTAAAGCAATAAGTTTGAATAAATGTTTTTCACTTTCAGCAGGCAGACGAGTCTCTGGATTTCGAAGAGCAGATCTTAGAGGCAGCAAAGTCCATCGCTGCTGCAACCAGTGCTCTTGTAAAGTCTGCATCAGCTGCTCAGAGAGAACTGGTGGCCCAAGGCAAGGTCAGTCAACACAACTACATACAAACTCTGCAACATCTTCTACTTATACAAGACTGTATATTTATTTTCTTATTGACTGTGTACTTTAGGTGGGATCTAACCTAGCCAATGCAGTAGATGACGGTCAGTGGTCTCAGGGTCTCATATCAGCTGTAAGTGACCTTTCAAACACTTTTATTCACTTTAATATCAAACTTTAAGTCACATTAAGTACAATAAAAATGATGCATGCTGTAGGCTCGTATGGTAGCAGCAGCCACCAGTAACCTGTGCGAGGCAGCAAACGCCTCGGTGCAGGGCCACGCCAGCGAGGAGAAGCTCATCTGCTCGGCCAAACAGGTCGCTGCCTCCACAGCTCAGCTGCTGGTGGCGTGCAAGGTGAAGGCTGACCAGGACTCTGAGGCCATGAAGAGACTACAGGTGACATAAAATCACATCATTTTGTTTCAGTACTTTTCATGCAGCGTTTGTGTCGGTACTAAATTTAAAATTGTGCGTTTTGAAGGGCGCTGGAAACGCAGTGAAGCGAGCTTCAGACAACTTGGTGAAGGCGGCTCAGAAAGCAGCATTTGACAAGACTGAGGATGACAGCGTTGTTGTAAAGACCAAATTTGTCGGAGGCATTGCTCAGGTAAGACAAAAAATCTCATAGTTATTCACCTGCTGAAGAAATTCTCCCTATCGTGCTGCTTGCCCTTTTCACTGCATGTTCGCACCTCTCTCTGGTGTGCCAAAATGCCACGGCTGTTTATCTGAAGCGATGATGAGCTGCTGCGGATAAACACCCCATCAGTTTCATTTCAAAGCTATGGAGCAGTTTCACCAGATGCCCACAGCTGCAAAACATCACATCTCATGAAGTGAGGAGCGCAGGCCTCCTTTTCATCTCCGCAAAGATTTGACAGTAACTGGAGAGTGAGTGTCTCTTTTTGTCAGAAGTAAAGGCTGCTGCAGGCAGCTTTGCTTTTCTTCCTGATTGATTGAAATCCTGTTGCAGTCAGCGGTGAACTCCAGCTGAGCATTAGCCTGTCCGGTTTTTTATCTGACCAGTTAAGAGTCCAGCTTCATCGATGTCTAATGACTGTGGCATTAAGGGGAGTCATGGACAGCATTCAGGTGTTCCAGTTGCTGAAACGTGTTAGTCTGCGATTGACCACTTATTGTTCTGTACATAAAGTTTTTAACACAGTCAGGTAATAAGATAAGATGTTACTATAATGATCCCCTTTAATAGTAGGAAATACCAAATTTACAGCAGCATAGTACAGACACAAAGAGTAGAAATTAAAGGATAAAGAAACTTAGAGTTAAGTTAAGTAAAAAATAGTTATGTGAGTCATATTTACATGTGTACAGAATATACATAATGATATGATTTATTGTACATTGAGGCTGCTGAGGTTTCTGTTGTGGAGTCTGACAGCTGCAGGAAGGAATGACCTGCGATACCTCTCTGTCACCCACTTTAGGTGGAGCATCCTGTCCCTTAAGGAGCTCCTCAGTGCAGTGAGTGTGTGTTGGACAGGGTGATAATACATTAATAATAATACATTTTAATAAACATAACAATAAAACATTAATAAAGCAAGAGAGAGTTGAAACAAGATTTCCAGAGACATGCTACTATCCTTCTACTCTTATGTTCATGGATCCTTTTTTATCAAATGTACCACAAGCCGTCCTTTTTTACAGTCAGATTCTGTTTCCTGTATATTTTTTTTCCTTTCTATTTTATGATTTGAGGTAACAGAGCGTGCAGAGTACCGTGCAGCTATAGGTTTTTCATATTGAGCTCCCCACAGGGATTAGGTTGAGTTGAAGGCACATTTTCTGTCAGCTGTTCTCTCTCTCTCTCTCCTCAGATCATCGCAGCTCAGGAGGAGATGCTGAGGAAGGAACGAGAGCTGGAGGAGGCACGGAAGAAGCTGGCTCAGATCCGACAGCAGCAGTACAAGTTCCTGCCTAGCGAGCTGAGGGAGGATGAGGGCTGATTGGCTCAGCGGACGGGAGGCGCTGTGCCGATGAGACCCTCTTGTGATGGGGAGACGTTGCCGATGTGTGATTGGCTGCTTTACTCTCATATATAACCGAAGAATATACAGCACTTGAAAACAGGCCTGTTTGGTGAGAAAAACAAGTGCCTGTGCTCTGTAGTGTATACGTGCGTGCGTGTATGTGTGCGTGTGAGGTGTGTTTGTGTTTGTTAGTGAGTGGCATTTACACTCAGAAGTCCTACGCGGAGAAGGTTGATGATAAAGGTATCATTACTTTGTGAGTGTTTCTGCGTCATGAGCATCGCTGACTGTTACAGTCCTGAATTGAAGCTGTTGCAGATTCAGACATCCTCTATTATCACTGAATGTTTTATAAATGTTGAAGGATTTAAAGCAAATATATACAGATGATACATCTGCAAGTGAAAAGTAAGAGTCCTTAGCTTGTACTCTTAACAGAAAATCTCTGAGGGTCATAATCAGGCGGGAGGGGGGGGTGCTTCATTTCACCACTGGCTTGCATGCACCATAATGTCTATACATATCAATGAAGCTACTAACCAATAGAGTAGTGTAGAGCGGAAAGCACTTGTATTTTACTAATAAAATGTGAAGCCGGGGTTTGCTTTCAAAGCCTTCTAATTAAACTATTAGCCAAGAGTGAGAGGCTGTGATTGGAGAAAATGGAAAAACAAACCCTGACCACTAGCCAACAATAATAACTCTAAAGATATTTATTCTTATCTGACATTTTATAAAGAACGTGCTCCTTCTTAAAGAGCAAACTTATCTGACTGAGAATCTGGACTGTATGTGACCAAATATGTCATGCTGCTCGTACGTTATATCACTTCCTGTAACCCCTCCAGCCCTTCCCTAATGTACACAGAGCCGTGTAAAGACTACATGTTTACATTATTTGTCATGTTTGTTATCTCTTTGTCGTCTCTCCTCTTTTACTTCCTCTCCCGTTCACACTGGGCAGATTGTTTGGATACCCACTGCGTTGTTCCCACACACACTAGAGTCATTCTCTGCCGGTCACTGCCCTTTCACAGTAAAAGCATTCTCACTTTAGACTGGCTGTCTTTAGCAATACATTACACTGAATACCCGAGTAAGATGATAACGAGACTCTGCGCTGTTGTGATACTGGTTGTGTGAAGTGATAATCGGGGCGTATGTTAGTTATGCACTGAAGTCGAGCACTAAAGAAGGCAATATAAAGCTTCCATGATACTAAATGTAGGATTTTCTGTTCAAAAAAACAAGAAGGAAAAAGATTCAAGCTCTGATAAAGGAATCTAATTCTAGGATTTGTTTGTTTCTTGCGTATATTGGTGTAGTATATCAGACATTTTTCGCACTTCATCTCTTTAGTCTGTCCATGCCAGTGTCTTGGACTGCATCCTGTACTAGTGCCTTACTCGAGTCTGCCCTTACGAGCAGCTGAAGATCAGGCTGGCTGGGAGCCTGAGCCTTGTCCTCTCTGGATCAGAACATTATGCCAGTCTAATCCCCGCCGGGGTCTTAATAAACTGTCACCTAGTCCTTTGCCATACTAAACAATGCCTTGTGGCTGGTGGCCAACTTGCCTACTATGTTATAATGCTGATATTAAAGGGCATGTGTGGACACTTTAGGATTTAAAGACCATACTGGACGACTAACACTAGACTGCATTCCATGAGCATGTGGCAATTTGTGTGTGAGGAAATAGTTGAACTCGTTATGCCAAGTCCCTCTTAAAAGCTGGACTAAACTACTTCCTCGTTTCCTTGTCTAACCACTATATTAAGTTTTTATCAGTAAATGTAAGAATTACCCTGAAGTATATTGTCTAACTGAGTTGTGCGAGTACTAACGGAAGTAGAAAAAAGTTACTAGCTCTGTTCTGAATAGGTGTTGTGCTTTTCTTTAACAGACTGCATTAGTTTTATGATTTTATGCTGTATGTATTATATTTATCTGGTCACAAAAGTATTTTTTGTATTCACCAAAAAATAAAGAGTTTCAAACAACCCTTACTTTTAACTTTATTTCGTCCCTTTTTAAAAATCAGTGCACAAAAACTGATGTCTGATTCAGGAACGCTATCCTGCATTCTTGCCAGCAGATGTCAGTGTCATTCCTCCTAGTTCAGTCAGAGGGGTCAGGGGATGTTTGAAGAAAATGTTCTTGTGGAAGGATTGGCAAAGGTGGACGGACCAAATATGGACATAGTGGATGTGGGTTTTTTTTTTTCCCTCCTTCTGGTTCACAGACCAGACCTTGAAGTATGCAGAGATTCCCATTTATATGTTTGGGTTCTCATTAACAGTAACACAGCCCAAACCTGTTAAGCTGCCTCTGTCTGTCTCCTATAGCTCTGCTACTGGCGATGGATCAGACATGAACTGGAGTTGGTTATTTTCTTTTCACTCTGAACTTTTTCCCTCTGAAGCTGTTCATCTCCACTCTGCGTTGGCAGCCAGAGTGTGAGAGGATGGCTCGAGGTGGCCAGCACAATACACTGAGTCTTTCTAATGAACACCATATTTGGTTGTTTGAGTGTTTTGGTCTCATGCAAGGCCAGGCCACACAGTGAAGAAGGGGAAACTGAAGCCATGTGTTTAACTGGGAGTGTCCATCTATTTCTCAGCTTTTCTCCTCCCTCAGAGCAGGAGGAAGTTTGTCTGGTTAGCTTTGGCACTTGTGTAGAGCTCTCAGTAGATGAATGATGCAAAGCAGAGACGAGGTCGTGTTGAGTTTATTCCTATATTATCCTGAGGTTCTTGTCTCCAGTCTGACTGCTGTAATCTATGGGATATTTCAACCCCATTCTTATTTTTCCTTTTAATTTTCATTCTGTATGACAAACATCGGGTCAAATTTAGATAAAACGTGTTTTCTCAGGAAACCAACCAACTCCATTGATTTCAATCTTTTTTTTTTTACTACTTGTTGGCATTTAATTTGTTTTTACCTTTTCATCAAATGGCATTTTCCTGGATTTGAAGTCTGATTTTCACAGCCATTACTCCATTACTCTTAACTTTTCCCCAACTTTTTAAATTTGTTGGGTTTCTTGTTCGGTTGTTTTTTATTAGTCACATGACACACGATCATTTGCATAATCGGTAAACATCCTGGGCTCCCTTGGCGTCCTCAATTTGATTCATGGGAAGGTATTTTTTTATAGTCACCCTGACTCGTCCCATGTGTAACCCAAACAGCCTGGCCGACATTTAGCCAAGGCTTTGTTCCAGGCTCAAGTTTAGGACGCCATATTTTACCATGCCTCCGCTAAATGATACTGGGTCAACTCTCCATTTTTAACTATCCCACAGTTTGTTGAATCAGCCATGATATCCCAACATCAACGCATGAACTTTTTGATCCTTTATATACAAATGTTTATGTATTTCTCAGAAGTGATACTGTGCTAAGAACAGCCTCAGTAAAACTTAGAGTTGTCACACTTGTAAGTTATGTCGCCAGTTTTAGAGTGTTAATAATACTCCTTTAAATGTCAGTGTTTTTCCAGTCCCTTATTTGTTTTGGAAGTACTCCCTCTGTAGATATTTGGGTAAACAACATTGATTTTTATTTTGTAAATGTTTAAAAATGGGTGTGAATCTGAAAGAAGAGCCCCGTGAACTGACTGTATTTGCCCATGTGTTTTTTTTTTGTTTGTTTTTTTCCTGGGTACCTTGTCCTGATAAAAATGTAAAACCTACTCCTGTGTATCAGGAGCTCTTTAATTCAGAGAGGAGAAGAAGAAAGTGCCTTAAGACATTATTCTTCATCTCTAGAAAAAAGACTTTGGAAGAGGAAGTGAGGTTTGGAAAAGAAATGCACATCAGGAAAGGCTTTAGGGTTTTGGGTTTGGTCATTTGTCCAATGCATGCTACTGAAATGTTCGTTTTTGTTTTTTGTTCATCAACAGCATCTCAGTCTAGCAGTGCCTTTCTTTCTTAGATTAAAACTTATTTTGGTTTGAGGAAGAGGAACTTTTAGGGATGCTTTAAGCTCTCGCCAATTAATTTCACAGAGGCTGATTGATTTTCAAAAAAGAGTGAAGGCCAAAGTTTAGCACTGTGTTTGCTTTGAATGCTCAGAAAGGACTGTAGGAATACTGGGAAAATAGTGACTATTGTCCGCTTGTAGTCACACATACCAGCTCTGCCTGCTCTGAGAAGCACCGCCGTTTAACATAAACCTGGGAGACAGCAGCTGATGGATCCAAGAGAGCATTTTCACTCAGGTCTGGAGCACATGACTATTTTAGGGCATCAGAGGGAATCTCCCTGCATGCTGGCTCCATAACCCGTCCGCTGAGCAGCCTCTTGGTCAATGAGAGTAGTAAACTGTTTGGGAACAGTTTTTGAAGCTGGTTAATGTCTCTGTGTTGTGATTTTTTATTTAAAACAGCATATGTAAACAAATTTTGTATTTGGCTGGAAGCTGTAGTGCTTCAAAGTGGATAGATTTTCTTACAGGCAGTCAACTACGATGGGTCTGAAAGCTTTTTACGGCCTCCAGGACTGAAAAGGGAAGCAAATGTGAAAGTGCTTTAACCTACATTCTCCTTTGATCAGCAAAAGGGCTTTATTTATTTTATTTTTCTTTTAAAGAAAGTTTTATTTTGTTTGTTTTTGTTGCTTTTATTGTGGCCTAATGTCTCTCCTGACTTTTATCATCTATTGTCTTTCTAGCTGCCTTTATTTGGCAAGTGGTGCAATGACAGCAACTGGTCAGACTCAACATTTGTAAGGTTTACAACTTGAAACACACCAGAATAATGTCATAATAACATATGAGCTGCCCACCCTGAGTATGATGTCATTTAAAAATGGCCACCATATAAATAAATACGACCTTTTACAAGCTCCTGAAACACCAAGACAGTTACAACGACCGACCAAAACTGAGGGTTTCAGACAAAAGACTGCAAGCAAATGGGTGACGTCACCGTGGCTGCATTCACCTTTTATGGTTTATGGTCTGTGGTAAAACAACAAACAAATTTAAATTCACACTCCCTACAGCTTCAACCTCAATGGTAAATAATGAAAGAGTGATATCTAGGGGGTTGTATTTCAGGAAGTGTCCCACATTTTGCTCTTATGTAACTGCACAGAAAAACAGAATTTACCTGTTTCCATGAGAGGACAGGTGGATGCAACTTTTAAGTATGTAAATTTGTTACAGTCATCCTCGGGGTGTCATCCTCTGATGAGTGACAACATTTGCTATCTATTTCTTTCATGATGGCAAAGTGAGTCCATCATGTAAGGAAGGCTCAGTATTTCCCTGTCAGCACTGACAGCAGAGCTATATTGGGGCCCAGCTGAGACTTAAACCTCGGGGGCTAATTTTGGACAGCACCACAAGTAACACAGGGGATATCTATCAAATCATATCATCTGACTCGAACACATGCTCCTCCAAAGTCAGTATCCCAGTGATTTAGAGTGGGTTTTCACACTTTTGCCCCTGCCTGAAACCTCGCTGAGAGTGAACTGAAGGACAAGGGGAGCCGTCCTCCCAGACTGAGCCGCCGACTGGAACTGATCTGCAGTGTCTCCTGGGATTTAAGCTGTCTAGAGTGAAATGTAACACTGGTCCATCCAAACCCTCTGTCTTAATAAGGAAACTTTGCTCAACTCTCGTTAGATGACAGGGAACATTTCTGCACAGAGAGAGAGAGAGAAAGTCCTCTGTGCTTTTCTTCTCTCGTTCTTTCGGCCTCCCCGCCCTCTGTCAAAGCTGAATAAACACTCCTCTCAGAGCTCAGCAGATTTTTCTCAACACCAATGCCAAATTTTTGAGAAGCTCTTTCGTAGGAATGGCCAAAATGATGAATAAATGTAACCTAATCTCACTCTTGCATTAAATAGAAAGCTGACCCCTCTCTTCCTCTTCAGATGTATCTAAAGACTCAGCTGATCACGTGGTGGATACAGAAAACTACAAAACAAAATCTCACCTTATTCCTCTATGGATACAAAAGTGCATGTACTCACATACAATTTTAGGTGCACTTTATATGAGAGCTTTTGGCTTTTTTTTCCTTATTTATAACTGAACACAGTAGGACAAAGTGCCACATTACGATATGCCATCTGTTATCTGTGCTTGTTTACATCCAGATAGTGACATCCAGAGGACACAAGCTGGAGCAACAGCCCTGGCTTGTGGCTGCACTGCAACTTGAATACAACAAATGGTACTTTAGGCCTTCATTAAAAAAATATTAGGAATTCATTCACCAAATAGTAACTCTTGTATTTTTTCTTAGAGACCCACTCCGATGAAAATCATGTTGTTCTTGTTTTTTATATGTTCATATGGCTTTTTTCTGATGCTAAAGGACATATCATGAGAAAACTAAATGCAAAATTCTTCATTCAAATCGCTGTGAATCTCTTGCAGATTTAAACGGCAGGTTCAGAAACAGTGAGATTTCATATGTAACCAATCCAAGCTCCGCCCCCGGAGCCTGGTATGCACTCTGCATATAGAGGAGAAATACAGAGGATGATCGCAGAACAAGCTTGTGTGTTAGCGGCTTGCAATTCTTGTAAGAAAGCTAACTATGATATCAGCTTTCATCTTGTCTCGAAAGACATTTGTGTCCGAGAGCTGAATAGCTCCTATGTTACCTGCCACTTCTACTACACCGGTAATGTAAGGCTGCAAGCTAACATGAAGAGGAGTGTGCAGAGAAGCGCTGTCTCCACCCACAACTCAGAGGCAAATTGTTTAAGATCTGCTGGAGCTCTGCAGAAGAAAAACCCTTGAGAATGACACCGATGATGCGATTTTTTGTAAATATGTCATAATCACAATTTAAAGACCACTGAGAACACTTTAAGTTGTAAAAATAAACAATCAGAGTGGGACTTTAAACAAAGTGTTTCCTCTATCCTTGGTTTTCCGATTTTGTGATGGGATCCTCACAGCAGAACTCACATCATATTGTGCTGTTAATCATCATCCCAGACATCCAAGTCCTCAGGGCAGGAACCAACCAGACCACACCTGGTGAGCCTTGACTTATTCTCATGTCTGTGCACTCCCCAGACAGTAGTTTTATCACTGACTGCGCACAACAGGGTTATTCAGGATTAAACTCATCTCCAACTGTGAGATGAGTCTGAGCTTGACTGGTAAACAGTCTCGGTCTCTGATCAAACACAGAGCTGCAGATATGCAGGCTTTACAGCAAGAATGCAGGTGGTGCAGGCAGAGCTGTGGGTTCCTGAGGCATTCCTCACTGCAGGGCGACCACTGTGACCCAGGCACAGTGAATCTAACTCTCAAACAGCCACTCCAAACCACAGTGGAATGTCTCATCACTGTAGATTCTCACACACGCTCCACATTATGGCTTTTCCACAGCCGGGCTATGGTCATTTTGTGGTTTGAAGTTCACTTACTTATAAACTTGCTCCACTTTCTCTTTCAGGCTTAGAAAAGTGGGTCTTTATCCAACAAGAATGTAGGCTATGAAGGTTTTGAGTATCGTCATTTCTCCTGAAGGATGGCTGAGAGGGAAACTACGATACTACAATGGAGAAGTGGAGCATCCTCCTCCTCTCACTCCATTGTTTCTATCTCCTCTACCAGCAGGCTCTGACAGACAGGACTGTAACAGGGAGAACAGTGGCTGAACTCAAAGTGCATACCAAGAAGTTTTATAGCCTTGTGGAATGGAAAGAAATATTAAGTACGTCTTTGGACCTCACAAAAAGCCCCCACAACTTCACCCTCTCCTCTGTCTCCTCTACCTCACTTAGACCAGAGAGCCCTTATATGGACACATGTATGAAAGATTCTCCCTCGGCGTGCAAACACGGAAACTTCTAGCCCTGTGACATGAGGGGCTAAAGATTGAAAGCAAATATTTGAAGAGGACGATCAACAAGATGGTGGGCAGCTGGAGACTCGGATACAAAACCAGAAAAAGCAAGGACCAATTATTACAAACAGGGAGCATTTAAGTTAAAGATTTAGAGAGATCTCTCTGCAGCCCTTCACCCCCTGAGGGAAGAATTTCTGAGCAGGACACAACTCTGATGGTTTGGAAGGAATCCCTTATCTGGAGCTGGAAGAAGTTCAAGCTGCCTGTAAACAATCATTTACTCCCCGCTTCCCTCTCGACATGCCCTTCACTGTGTACAAATAAACATGACCGAAGTGCAAAATGGGCTGTTTTCCTAAATTGAAGACAGATTTAAATTACAGAACGTCTCACAGATGGACTTTTTCTTTGCTAGAATTTGTGCTATGACATGTTTGAGAATTTAATTTAACACTCGGATTCTAGCGTGGCATCCTGCATGAATTTCAAATGAATCGTGACAGTTCCCCTCCAATGCTCCCCCCTCCTCTTTTTCGGTCTGCGCTGACTGAGCAGCATCAGATATGGCTGACATTCTTCGCCTCTCTGCGTCCCCATCTGTAGAGGGGGAACACAAACAAACAGTCTGGGAGGAGTCCTGCCGAGGCCACAAATATTCCTCCATTATCCCACATTTGTGTTTCCAGTGCTGGAAACCTTCACTTTTGGTATTTTTACTCCACTTCTCAACTTCTTTTCTCTGCTGTGACTCTGACTTTGGTAACTTTATTCTTGGTGTAAATAACTCAAATTTGACCATTTGAATGTTCAACACTGACTTTTAAAAGTTTCTTCGCTTTTCCAAAACCTCAGCAGGATGATTTCTATAAAGCCAAAGCAGACTTCAGTGTCTGTGCTCTGTTCTTGGCCTGTGACGGGTTATCACAGGTTTTTATAAACTGAGATGACAGATCCTTTCATTTAACAGCAGCTACTCGTAATGTGGCAAAAACTTGGCTCACGAGGAAATCTGCCCATCTTCAATGGAGCACCTGCGGCTGAAATATGTGACCTTTATGGTCCTGGAATTTGACTCTCCAAATTATTAACATGGTAAAAATTCTTATTTTTACAGGCTGCTGATGCCGTCTGACTTTCCAGTGACTCAAAGGAAAGTTTAATTATAATAACAGCTGACCGACGGTCACTTTTTTGGGATTTACACACTTAACGACAGTTTTATCATTCGGCTGGACTGTGTGAGTCAAAGTGTCACAACCTTTTTGCAACTATCCATCATTTAAAATACTAGCTGCCTGTGCGCAGTTAATGTGGTTAATGTCCACCTGTGCTTGCTTATATTCTAGTTCGGGCCTTGCAACTACCAGTTTATGCCAGTGGAACATTACAGTGAATAAACTCAGCTGCAGTAGGCCATCGCCCAAGCTTGGGTTACAGCTCTGGTTCCAACCCCCCCTCCCAGTCAAACCCCCCCAGCCGTACCCCCTCTTCGTTTTTGCTACACTAAATGATTATGCCCCTGCATGGAGCTATCTAATCCCTAGGGTGCAGTCTGGAGGAGTCAAGGCGTTCTCTCTATATATATCTGGTTGATGTCTGCAGAAATCTTCAGATGGTATTTGACGTGGAGCATGCCAGCACAGAGCTTCTCAGAGTTTCACTCCGTGGCTGTGCGCTCAACAGTAAGAGGGACCAACCCTTTAATGTTCCCCCCGCTGCTCTGTGTGAGTTACAATCATTAGAAATCAACCACAAATATGTCAGAGCACTTTAGCTTTAAACGGCTCCATTTTGGTCAGATTTATCTCACTTTAGTTTCCGACAGGGATTATCAGAGACATCGCAGCCATTGAGAGAACCTTAAATGTCCCTCCCCGGGGTCTTCTAATGCAAACATGATTTCAGACACATGTTAAGATCAGCCCCGCCCCTCGGCAGCAACTGAGGAGGGCATTCCTGATACATAGTGAGTTGTCACTGAAGGCCTAACAGATTAACTAATACAGCGTTGAAGTATTAGTGCTAAAGCTCCTGTTAAGATAGCTGTGACTCTTCAAATAGACAGAGGACTAACAGCAAAATTAGGATCACATAGTGACACAAACTGAAGATTGGGAGTTCAGGGGCTCAATTTCCTAAATACCCAAGAAAAATCGGATCATCTTCTCACTTTTTTGCACCCATTAATTACTCATTTTATCTCTGAGTTTCATATGATTCTATAAACCAGAATTTTTATAGCCTTGTTTATATCCATGGCTGTCACATAAGACCCCAGAAAAGATAGTGATAGCACAGCGAATCTGAATATGATTTCTGCTCACTTCACTTCTGCACCTGTCTCACTCAGCTGTCGCTTCATGGAGACAACTGAATCAGGACAGAGGAGTCTAGTATTCCAACATGTTGAAGAATCTCTGATCAGTCCTGAGAATGGGCAACAGTAGTCAGAGAGCAATTGTGTGTTTATTATGAGCTCCCCTCTCAGCTATAAATATTGAGATGATCCTTGTTTTAGACTTTAAATCCTTAACAAATTTGGCTGGTGGCATATACGAAAAGCAAATGTCCCCACCAGTTAAAAGCAACAGCAAACTAGGGCGACCATACGTCCTCTATTACCCGGACATGTCCTCTTTTTTGGGGGCTGTCCGGCCTTGCCGGGCTTTGTCCGGGGGAGTTTATAATATCCTTCAAATGTCCACGGTTTTGTATGGAAGTTTTGAGTTTGTGTAGCGTGGACTTACTAAGTTAGAAGCGCTTCAAAACATTCAACCTGACCTGAAAAACTGCCAAAATTAACTATGCGCCACTCCGTGACTCCGTGACTCTGTGACTCCATAGTTGTGTCCTCTTTTTTGGTTTCAGAATATGGTCACCTTAAGTAAACAACTCGATGCACTGGTTGGAAGGAGAAGACAGGATTATGTATTGATAAAAATTTTTGATGGTAAAAACTTGTCAAATGGAGGATCATACTTATCATGCAACATGGGACCTTCTTGTCCTCTGAGGCCACCATCATTTCACCTACAGGAGGGTGGAGCAGGGGAGTGTTTTAATCTCCTGTGTGTGTTCCCATTTCACACACTGTACCTTTAAGAAATGCTAAGATATCATGTTTTAGTTCTCAGTCAAATGCTGCAAAATGTAAGTGCTAAACCATTGGCTTCAGTGTTTTTGAGATGCTTTCATTGGCTGTTTTGGTTGGAGGCTTTGGAGGCCTTGAAAAGTGTTTTTTTCTTTTCCTCTGAAGAGAATAAAATTATATGTCTAAAGCAGCCCTGAAAGGGAAATTTTCTGTTGCTGTGACAGATTCAGAGGTCCACCACAGCCTGAAACCGGCCTCCAGTATTTGGGGAGTTTGCCTCTGCCTTGCTTTTCGAACACAACATAGCTAATTAAAGACATAATCGAAGCGTCATGTCTTTTCGCTCAGTCTTATTGTATGGGTGCCTTTCATTTTCCAGTTGGACGTACGTGGGAGAGCAGCGGCTTTCAAGAACATCTGGCCAGAGAGAGACATTTGTTACTATTTCTAAAATGTGTGTATTGAGCCCTGGGCTATTTTTACTGTGCTACTATGTTGAAGGAAAGCATTATAATAGAGCTTCCTGTATTTTCATTCCTAGCATGCCACAACAAATCCAGTGTGCCACCATAAACCTCCCCTGAGTCCATTATGCAGTTTGAGATAATTAAGATCAAATTGCAAATAAAGATTGAAACCATACTTGACAGTCTGTGGTCAGTACATTATGAATGGAAGTATTGCCTAATGAAAATACTGAATAGAGATTGACTAAATGTATCCTAAAGCCTGTATCTATTTGAGAAGTTAATATTTAAAGCCTTAAAATTAGTTGTCATATCAAGTAGTCATAAATCTTGATACATTCAGGTGCGTTTCTGTGCTAAAACAACTTCAAAGATACTTAATTCACAGAGGTCAATCTACTATTACGGACAAAACGTTTTTAAAAAGTGGGATCTGATCCTATAATTAAAATATTTCCCAGGAATAATCTAATCCAGAACTAGAGAAAACTGGCATCCTGGGGCCCAGTCTGTGACCAGTATTTTTCACGCCAATCACAGTCAGTGTATTAGAACACGGGTCCAACTGAGACTATGAAAACACGCTCCTATTACTGTACTTGTCAGTCAAAGTCTAAAACAAGGCTGCTGCCCGAAATATCTTGTATTTATTCAGCAATGTGAAAAATATGAACACTGTGTGATTACTCTTCTGAGAAGCATGTTTTTCTTCTGATAGAGGGGGAGTCTGTAGATTGAGGGCATTTGCGAATCTGCCAAGCGTAGCAACAATAATGTACAAAACAGACGAAAGTCATAGCAAACCAGGATTATTTTGGGGACATATCTAATAGCATTGGACCTTGGGCTTTTGGCACAGAGCCTGGGATCTATATTACAGACCAAGGCAGGTGCAGGAAAGGGAAGGAGATCCTAAAAATATCCTTGAGAATCTTTGGGAAGACACTTAGTGTGTCCTCAGTTGCAGCAGTTTGTGCGCCTTAGTTCAGATACAAAGTTAACAGAATATTGTTGCACACAGAATCAAACACTTTCTTCAGATTTAAAGCTTCTCAAAAATATTACGCCTCTAAAATTATGCTTTTAAAAGTAGTTTGTCTAGCAGTTAACATTTCTGGCATTCCATGTCAATCAGCAGGGTCAGCTGCAGTAATTGAGGAATAAAACCACCCTGTCCACCCTGTGCTGGACCCTGTGCTGCTTCCGTCACATCACACATCAACAGTTTACATGGAAGCTATCTGATACATTATCAGGTAAACACTTCCCTGTTTGAGCCCCTGGACTGTGAACAATGCCTCATGGGCTTGCTTGGCTTACTGAAAGCATCCCCTTTCAAATAGCACACTTGCTTTGAGCTCCAGCAACATCTCCCAGAGGCTGTCACTCTCATCTACCCACTTGAACAAACTGGAAAACAAACTCAGACAAACTGAGACACGGAGAGTGAGCTGCAAGTTGACAAAAGCTGGCTCAGGGTGTTGGATTGCAGTCCTCTGTGGTCCCACTTCCAAGTTGTCACTGGGGAAAATAAGACATAGGAACACTGTCACAGGGGAAACATATGCTCCATGTCAGTGAAAGTAGTTAGGAAAAGTTTACAGAAACTCTTAAAAGAAACTGAATGGTGAAATGATCATCTTTGCGTGGAATGGCTTCAGTTACATTAGTATGAAGAAGTCCTCTCGTGGGAGCTGCCTGCTTGTCCATCACAGCCCATATACAGACGTATCAAAAGTCAAATGTTTGAGAGCAACGAATCACCGAGCAGAGCCTTAAAAAACGCCCGGGCAGCCACACACGCCTCCCTCCAAAAAAGTATTGGATGTCCAAAGGAATCCGGTCTCCCCCCTCTTGAAAGTACATATTTGACAGGGCACAGGAAGGCAGAGCCTGCACTCCAGCTTAGTGTTCAGTTAGGCACAGACGCCCTAAGCCCCTCTCCTCTCCTTGGTTTTCATTTGGACGTTTTGTCGGTGCAGCCGAACAGAAAGAAGCAGCCATGGATGCCATCAAGAAGAAGATGCAGATGCTCAAGCTCGACAAGGAGAATGCCTTGGACAGAGCTGAGCAGGCCGAGTCAGACAAGAAAGCAGCTGAGGACAGAAGCAAACAGGTCGGAAGAGGTTTTTTTTTTCTTTTTTGTTTGGTTTGGTTTTTTCTCCTTAGGAAAAACCCAAAGATAGGAGAGCAGGAGTACCAGAAGCCGATTAAAATTGCTCATTCTTTAATGGATCAGCCTCTAATTGCGGATTAATTATTCTCATGGATAATCTCGAATAAGGATTGAATTACTTTTTGGATGCTGTAAATCCTCCTCTGAACTGTTATGGCATTTGGTGATGTAAATATAACCAAGAAATGAAAGTGGATAATAAAACTGTGGATGAGAGAGGATAATGCTAATGAAATAAATAATTGCATGTTAATTTAATATTCTGTATAACCTTTAATGTCTTCTACATGCATGTGTAGTTAGAGGACGAAATCAGAGAGTTGGAAAAGAAAATGCGCGTTACTGAAGACGAAAGAGATAAAGTGTGTGAGGAGTTCCAAACTGCTGAGGAAAAGCTGCTGACTGCGGAGGAGTCCGCCACCAAGGTATCTCATCCTGACGTGCACGAGCTTCCCTAACTTTATTTCTCTTTTCTCTCTCTCTCTTTTCCCCCTGTTCTGTCCTGTGCTGTCCTCTCCTGTCCCGTGTGTGTCTCTGTCTCTGTCTGTACACGCTCTTGCGCCTTTGCGCGCTCACGCACCTCCATCCCCTCACCACGCTGATCACCTCTGAATCCTTCTGCGCACCGAAACTCACCTCAGCTTGAGGACGATTTGGTAGCTCTGCAGAAGAAGCTGAAGGGAACTGAGGATGAGTTGGACAAGTACTCCGAGGCTCTTAAAGATGCCCAGGAGAAACTTGAGCTGGCTGAGAAGAAAGCCACAGATGTAAGTAAGGAAGGGCTTCACCAAGGCACCAGTCCTCCTGCACCACGCTTCCTCACACGGTCTTTTCTTTGAGCACTGTGAATGTAAAACACCAGTTCAACACAACACATATGACACTCCATCTTTGTGATAGCTCTTACTGACATCATTGTATCTCCAAAATTGTTGTGTGTCTGTCTGTGTATGTGTGTGTGGATGATCAGGTTTTTACGCTCATCTATACAGGAAAAATATTAGGATCCTAAAACTTTAAGTTACCAATGAACTGTTGACTAATTTAGTTAAAGGTCACATGTACAGTCACTTAGTCTGCCCAAACGCTTTCTAATTGGCTCTTAGATTTAAAAGACAATCATAATTAATCTTAATTTAGTTTATCCATGTCACACAAATACTTTAACTCGACAAAATATAGTGTTTTAATGCCCTGATTTTGCTCATTGGTGTGTCCCAGTCTGAGAAAGTCTTTTCAGTCTGAAAAGTGAAGTAGACTAATGTGCAGTGTCCCTGGGAGCGCAGAGCCAGAGCGTCTGGATAAATATAGCCCAGTGCTTTATATGGTCAAGATAGAGCTCACATCTGCAAGCTGCGCTCTCTGCTTACCACTGGGGAAAAAAACACTCTTTCCCATCAAACAGTCCTGGGCAGAGCACTCATTTGAAAGATAAACACATGCAGCTCATCCTTTGAAAATGCATTGTATTTTGAGATGATGCTCAGGTTGGCTTTTGAAAAGATAAATACCAGGAAAACTATGTGAAGAATTTTCATTTTAGGGAATTTAAAGGTTACGACCTGCTCTAGGAGGGGAAAGATCATTACTAATACTCATATTTTATTTCCACTATAAACAATCCAGTTCATGGCCAAGTCAGGGTCAGGTTGAAGTGGGGACACTTTGTTCTCATGAGTCAATCAGACAATCCAATTTAAGTTTGCTTAAGTTTCCTTTAGGAAAACCAGTTGTAATAATCCTTTAATTGGATTTCGCCGGGGAGTTAAGCCATATTGAGTCTCTTTATAGTCTGCTGAGTTTTAGCTTATCACACTTGATGCTATAGGCTATTGAATCCCCTTTAGGAAAGTTTCAGAGTGGCTTAAGTCCGGAAATGAATTCAAATAGTAGGATGTTTATTGTTGTGTGACCTTTTACCCTTTCATATTCTGTAAACGATTTATAAGTCCAAAAGAAAAGTTTATTGCATCTAGTAGTAGGATTTAGGAATGAATTATATTTGTACTGATAAACATTTACCAGCAGAGGGCGCTGTGACTCTGTTTTTCTACTAGAGTGGGTTACTCATTACTGTATACAGATTGAGTATAACAGTGGAAATTGAGATTTATTTAATGATTTATTGATTTTTTTATGAATTAAATTTTACATTTCAGCTGTGAATTTACCAGTGTGATAGGTTCCCAAAATGTAGCGCAAGTCCAAACTTCACTTTTCAGCTCTATTTTGAAATCAGTGGCACTTCCTGGACAAACGACATGGCATTGCAAGTGCGTCTCCAGAGAGCTCGCGCACTGTTCAGCCTGTCTTCACGCCGCCTTCTCCGCAACCCTTAGACGTCATCCCGCTGCTTGATAATTTCTCAGAAATTGTGCAGCAGCCTTTGTATTTTTTTTTTTACATGAATAGTTTCCCTGCGCCAAAAATGGCTGGGGCTGCATCGCTAGAAGCAGTCAAACGAAAGATCAAATCCTTACAAGACCAGGCAGACGCTGCTGAAGAAAGAGCCGAGAGATTACAGAGGGAGCTGCTGGCACAGAGGACAGCAAGGGAGCAAGTAAGCATGTTTACAGCGTGTATCCTCGCATAGGAGCGGAGAAATGGACGTGAAATGAGGCTCCTCTCTTCTTTGCATGTGCTGTGTTCATGGAGGGGAGGGAACTTGTGTCGAAACGCAGCGAAAAAAGCAGGATTTCTCTTGATTCTCTGCAGTGCTACAAGCTGAGCTGTACACGGCTCCATGCTGTGCCAACACTAAATACTCTTAGTGAGGTTTTTGGTAGCCTGGTGCCTGCTAACAGCTTATTATAATTGGTAACATTAGGCCGCTTTTGCACAAGTCAAAAGAGCAGAAGTACCGTGGTTCATTGTGTTATTGCTCCATCTCTATACTCTCTCACACTTGTTCCTCATTTGATGCTCTAGGCTGGAAGGAGAATATTAAACCTGTTTTTTTTAAGTTGTTCAGCTATTTTCTTGGCAAGAAATACTGAGAACAACATTTAATTTGACAAGTTTCAGCAAGCAGGAAGTTACCAGGCAACATTTAAGGTGCAAGTCCTCACAGTGAGTTTGCTCTTTGACTTGCCCATATAAGGACAACAGGTTTTCACAAGTGTGAACATAGCGGTAGTCATCTAGACGGGAAATAAAGCTTTGTGCAGAGGCTTAAGGCACTCAGAGTAGATATATCAGATCCAGTCTGACAGTGTGTGATTCGTGTTCATCAACCATGTGGACTTTTCAATGAACTTAACAGCAGTTCTCCACTTTTTTTTAGCTTATCAGTAACTTCCTTGTCATGCACCACCACCTCAGATGCACTTTGGTCTAACACTGCACTTTGTTTCACATGATCTGCAGGAGAGTCGGGCAAACCTCGGGTTGTAATTGTAGTCTGTTTTCAGCGCGCGTTTTCAGGGCAATGCAAATCTCACCAGGAAGCAGAAGTCGCCACAGGTTTGAATAATCTTAGAAAAGGCTCAGCTCTTCTCTGATCTGTCAAAATAATGCATTTCAGGTTTCCTTTTAAGATACCTCAATTTTTTCTATAAGACTGGTAAGATTATAATTCAATATTTCCAAAAACTATCCAGGGACTGTCCTCTGTGGTTGTGCACAAACTTTATGAGCATTCATTTACCCTCAATAGTCTCAGGGCCTTTGATACAGGCCTTGTTAATTCTGTCTCAGGGGCCTGGTAATGAGACAGGGTATTAGCCCTGCTGTCAACCTGGGACATTGTTATCATTGTACAGTCACTAAGGAGCGCTGGGAAGCCTCCTAACAATAGTACACAAATACCCTTGGCAGGTTACACTGTTAGGGCATCACTATCTCCCTAACCACTACTCACTACCACTTTAAAAAACAAACAAACAAACAAAAACACCTCGTATGTAGTCAACCGTTGTATGTGCGTGTGGGTGTGTGTGATGTCCGTTTTTTGTGTTCCGGATATTGTTGAGCTCCAAACACTCCTGACGTGCTCTTCTTCTCTCCCCAGGCTGAGGGTGATGTCGCTTCTCTTAACAGACGTATCCAGCTGGTTGAGGAGGAGTTGGATCGTGCTCAGGAGCGTCTGGCTACTGCCCTGACCAAGCTGGAGGAGGCTGAGAAGGCTGCTGATGAGAGTGAGAGGTGGGTTCTTAGAGAAAAACATACTTTGACTCTCTGATCTCTGACAATGTTGGTCTGTTGATGAAAGAGTTCGTCCCCCATCCTTTTTTATGAGGTACAAATAGGGTCAGTGTACTTGAGAGCTGTATGTCAGATAATCCAGTGTCCTTAAATTCTGTATTTTCTGCCCGTTTAATGTTGAAAACAAGTCATGAGTATCTTCAGGGTGACTGTGATCTTTGTGGCAGGTCTCAGATCTTGGTGCTTAATGTCTTGTTTTATTGTTCCCTCTCTCAGAGGCATGAAGGTCATTGAGAACAGGGCCATGAAGGACGAGGAGAAGATGGAGCTGCAGGAGATCCAGCTCAAAGAGGCCAAGCACATCGCTGAGGAGGCTGACCGCAAATATGAGGAGGCGAGTTTTTTTCAGTCCCTCCCTGGCAGCCCCCTCTAAAACATTCTGCAATAACAAACACACTATCGATACTTTTCATCTGGCCTTTTGTAGTTGTCAATACAAACTCTTAAATATAGTTATCTCTTTTATTTGTTATACCATATGACATTTAATTTACACTTAAAGGAGCTGATAAGAAATATTTTATCAGCCTTCATGTTGTACCTGAATTAAAAAGTTAGAAGACAACATTTCAGTCTACTTTGACATTAAAAAGTACTGAATAGGTATACCTTGTGTCTAATTCAAAGGGAATGCAGGATCCCTTCCTTAAACATTAGACTCTCTTGGTATATGTGATACTTTGTTTTGTAGTAAACCACCCAACAGTCAAAGCAAGAAAAGCTTCAATAAAAAGTTCATGAAGTGATGGATAGGAACTCAATAAGAACTAGTCCTCTACTCTGATGTTTGATACACATTTCACATTTTATAAGATATACTTGCGCACATTTATTTACAAAAATCTAGAGGATTTGTCGTATTTTAACACTTTGGTCTGCTACACCTAAAGGTCGCCCGTAAACTGGTCATCATTGAGGGTGATCTTGAGCGTACAGAGGAGCGCGCTGAGCTGTCAGAAGGGTAAGAAGTTTCCCCTTTGCCTCTACTTGATGTCAGCTTACTCTTGCATGTATACTGTCACATCACTAGTCTGAGCTTTTAGCACTAACAGAGAAAGATTTGAACTTGTATCCATTGGAACAATGTGTCCTGTGTTCTTATCATTTATGCTGGTTATTTGCATGCTCTCCATGGTCTGAATGGTCTTGGCTTGCACGTGTGCGCCACACCCACCCACAGACGAGCTCGGATAGCGGAGCATGAGCTAGAGCTTTTGGAGCAAAGCATGAAATCACTAAACGCAACCGTTATTCAGGTACTACAAACTAAAACTTTACCTCTTTGATACGTGTCTCTCCCCACTTTGATTCATGCTGCAGAGTGGTGTCTCTGCTTTGCCTGCTGTGCTTGTTCTTTCTTCTTCTTTTTTTGCTCTTCTTTTCTTAGTTTTTCAGACTCTCTCACGCCTCTAACATGGCAGAAACTGTGCAGAGATAACCCATTTTAAAGAGAAGCATGATCTTAATATGTGGAACAACCACTCACCAAATTATTAACACTACAGTAACCCATGACTTTTGTGATAAAAACGACACCAGCACTGCTAATGTCACATTCCTGCTCTGTTAAGGCTCTTCAAAGGTACTTGGGTCCCCTCCTGGTTTAATCCCTGTAGTTCTTATTTATTTTGTTTCCTCTCTCCCCCTTTTCTCCCTTCTGCTTTGTGTCCTCCTCCGGTTCTGCCCATCCTGGTTTCCCTCCTTCCCCTTCTTCCTCTTTGCGACTTTACCTCCTTGTCTGAAACACCAGCAAATGCTCTGAGCTTGAGGAAGAGTTGAAAACTGTGACCAACAACCTGAAATCACTGGAGGCCCAGGCTGAGAAGGTAAGAGTGACTTACTGGCAGAGTGCATGCTGTCAAATCCTACAGCTCCCCACTAGAATATGTGGAAGAGGAGCAGAAAAGTCCGGGGACCCCTTATCTCTTCATAACAGATTTATTTCATACTACTTATCGGTTTAATGTATTGGCCCAGGAGTCCAAAGACTAACTCCACGCACATGTGTTTGACACCTTTCATCGTTCTCGTCCCACAGTACTCACAGAAGGAGGACAAGTACGAGGAGGAGATCAAGGTCCTCACCGACAAGCTGAAGGAGGTAAGGTTTCACGAGGCCTTGTGTGAACTTACCCGATAAGTCAAGCAGGTCACAGATCTAACTCATAAATCTGCCTCTGTGCTATAGGCTGAGACTCGTGCTGAGTTCGCTGAGAGATCAGTAGCCAAGCTTGAGAAGACCATTGACGACTTGGAAGGTATGATTTTTTGGCCCTCACCTTGGGGGGCTCTTCTGGTTTTCTTGAACTGCCTCATGAGTTATTGAGGGTACACGTCAGAAAGGTCTAATCCTTTGCTTTCCTCTTAAACTTTGTGTCTGTTCCCTCTTGACCTTACTGCGGTTCTTTTATAAACAACAACATATTTTAGTTGAATTTACTCTTCATCTCTGGAGTCCAGTTGGTTGGTTTTTGAGATTTAGGACTCAGATGTTTATCAGATACAGGAGTGTGGCGATGAGGGACTGTCCTCTTTTCTTGTTGAACTCTCATCTATCTTTTTCTGGTGTAACTCTGTTTTCCTTTTTTCCTCCTGTCTCCATCTTTTTTTTTTTTTCCTGTCACCTCCTCCTGTCTTGTCAATGGTCTGGATGCTTCACCCTTCACCTTTCTGCCATGTGCTCCTTCACCTTTGCTCCCTTTCGCTGCAACCTTCCCTCCCCCCACCTTGCAAATCTCCCTGGCCCACCAATAGATGAGTTGTACGCTCAGAAACTGAAGTACAAGGCCATCAGCGAGGAGCTGGACCACGCCCTCAACGACATGACTTCCATGTAATTTTCTACCTCACTGTGCCTGCTCATGCTACCGTTGGCTTTTCCCTCCCGTGCACGTTCCCCCCCTTACATTCCCTTATACCGTCCTTGCTTCACTTAAGTTATATTATTACAGAGTTTTTATGGCGTCTGAAACATTAATGTCTGCAGGATCACTTTAAATAATTTTAAGTCCTCAGCTTATAAAAATACTTTATGATTCAAGTATCATTCCAACATTTTAACCAAACTTAAAGGCACTGTAAGGAGATTTTAACCCATTTAAAAAAATCATACTGTTATACTGATGTCTCTTCATGATCTACACAGTTGAATTAGATTATTAGCAATAAGACTAGTTATTTCTTTTCACTGAATTTTTATGCCTTTGATAGGGTCAGACAGAAAAGTTGTGTTAATAAGCGGGACTTGCCTGAAAGTGTCCATGTTTACCTCTCCACTCACACAGTTTTTATTGATCTTTGACACCAAAGAGTTCAACCATGTGTGTATTTACATTATCCAGATGTTTAGTGGGACTTAAGAGCACACATTATGACACCCAGGCTGTGACTGGTAACACTCAACTGATACACCGGGTCAGCTTGTGTGCACTAACTAATGATAATTAATCAGAATTTACAAGTCATTTTTATGTTATACCTGTCAGTTTAATGTAGTTCCACCTTGAAATATCACCTCATCACTCAGCAAGGGAAAGTAGCTCTTAAAATATCTATATTTCATTGATTTGCTTCTCTACATCTGTAGAAGAGTAATGATGGTGCTCATGGGAAATGCAGTCCTTATTCAGGAAAAATGAACCTAATTTTGTCCAAAGAAGTCACCAGAATCAACACATCATGAAATATCCTCACTGTGCCTTTCAGTCGTGTTATGTATGAAAAAACTCAGCATCAGTCCCTGCGTTTTTTAGCTGATTTACATGCTAATGTGTTCCCTCTTTGCTTTTTTACTAACACAGTCTACTTCAGTTCAGAAGAAAGACACCTCCGTGTGTTTGTGTTTATTAGACTCACCTGTCATTTAGTCATAAAGGAGATTCGCGGTCGTCTGCTTGCCTCTAGTTTTCCTAAACAAGCGTTTCCACCTTGACATTTGTCCGTTGCAACATTACTGTATGCTCACTTTGCGTTTAAATCAGACAGGTCTACATAGGAAGGATTTTCTCCGTCCTTCAGTGTGTTCTGCCTCACAATGCATTTCCATTGTGCAGTGCAGTTTTGTGGCTGTGGTGGCGACTTGTGGCTTGTGTGTTATTGCAGTGCTTATCTCAACATATTCGTAGGTCCCTCATTGACCCCCCTGGTTCACTTTACTTCTGCTTTTCCACACAGATAAATTTTTTACACCTCATCAAAGACGTCTCCTGCCGGCTGAGCGGCATCTGTCTGCTCTTTCCAGCCTGCTCTCCATTTTCCCTTCCCCTCTTTCTGTCATCGCTTCCTTCCCTCCTCATGTCTTCATCCTCATGACGTTAAATGCATCCCATCTCTTGTACAGAATCCTAGAATCTTTCTGCATTGTGTAAAAAATAAACACCCTTCCTTCTGTGTATGCTGTATCTCTTTACTCTGCCTTTTTGTTCTCTTTTTAATTTCTATTTATTTTAAGTGGCACTAATAAAACTAGTTATGTTTTTTTATTTTTTTTTCATCCCAACAAACCATAAGTTGAGCTTAACCCTATTAATTTTCTTTTCTTCTAATATTGCATTTTGAAGTTGATATTAGGAATATCACAGTAGTGCTTTAAGCACAGAAACTTAAAACAGCTGTAGGTACTTGAAAGCTGAGCCGAGCTGTCTTCTCTGATGCATGCATGCACTTTCCAACATTTAGTGTTAGTGACAGGATGAGCTGAAGTGAGGGATTTGAGAAGTGGAAGGAAATAGTGTTGGATTGTTAGGAGGAAGATTCAGGGAAAGAAAAGTTAAGGATGCAGCAAGACAGAAAGTAAGATTTGTTGAGTCTCATCTGGTTTCTGGAAAATTTGGATGACAATGCTATCAGTGATAATGACTCGTGGGCTTTGTATGATACACGGTATCCTGTCATAAATTTAAATAAATGTACAATCTTACATTCTGAGTGTTTTTATTACAGTCATCTCCATAAATTCAGACACAGAAAGATAAGAGGAAGTGAACTATTCATTTTCTGTTGTAGCCTTTGTAACTGCAGGATATTAGTGGAGCTATGCCAGACCAAACTTAAGCCACAAAAGTATATTTTTTTAACGTCAGTTCTTTCTTTATCGGCTCTTGATCAGCTGAATTTGTGCTTATGATAAGGTGCGCCTGATAGAGATTGTTTTGATCTAAGTGGCTGATGTAGTATTCGGTAATTTCCTCTTTTTTGTTGCCACACTGTCCACCTTTAAACACTACATGGAGGGTTCAGCTCACTGCCACTCTTCTTTTAACTTTCCAAACTTATTCCATCTGCTCATCCTCTGCTGTAACTTGACACACTCTTCTCTCATGTTTTAACCAAAGCAGGAAAAAATCTAAGCTAGAGATTTCCAAAACCTGCTCTCTAAACAGAAGATCTATAAAATGAATAATGACATGTAAAGGCAATCCAGTTGCTGTCAGTGTGATTAATCGAGGTTTGTTAGTCCATGGAGAGTTATTCTAGAGGAGGTAGGTATCAACAGGCTCTGCACTTTCTCTTTCTTCTGTTTTCCTCTGATTTCATGTCCTCTCTCTGTTTTCCAACTTGCTCTCTGACTGCAAAGATCGCCTCTTCCAGCAACTTGAGAAACACCGTCTTCTCACTAATGAACTGCGAGTGGCTCTGAATGAGGACTAAATTGTGTGAATGTGTCTGTTGTGTTATTAAAGGTTTTTGTCTTTGAAACCTGTACGACAATCAGATCTGGCTCCAGATCCAAACCTGTTTCATTTACATTGTTCATGTCCAATGCCTGCACTGCTTGAAACTGTGTTGCTGTTTGTGGAGGTGTGACTATAATATAGAGAACAAGGAAAATCAGGGATCTTTTCAAATATATCGTTTTCTATTCGTATAACCTAGATGTAACCATCCTACAATAATCACTTTTTGTGTTTTGCTGTTTTTTGTGCATTATTAAGAGCTTTGTTGTAACCTGTTTGCATGGTTGCCTGTCATGTTGTTTAGTCAATGTTTAACTCCTGTTTTCTGTCAGTGATATATGGGCCAGTTATGAGAGTAAATCCATTCAATTGGCTGACCTCTGTTGTCTTGATCATTAATGCCAGCTAACCCACTGACTGACTTGTGTTTGCTTTGTGAGATTAAAACTTGTTCGTTTTAATGTTCTAACAGAGAAACTATCACATGCTAAAGAAGAGAACCTCGATATGCACCAGATGCTGGACCAGACTCTAATGGAACTAAATAATTTGTGAAGGCATGGTCCAACCGCCCACACACATTGTGGTTTTGGCTTTTTGTACTTGCACCTTGCTTACCATAAACCCCTCTTCTCGCACCATGCCCATGGTGGAGATGAAACAGCCAGATGCTCTTCCTAATGCACCGTCCTGCCTTCAGTGAGACTCGACCAAGGAACAAGGACCATTCCCTTTGATGAAGTCTAAACTGAAAAGCAAGATCACTTTTGCAAGCAAGTTTTAACCTTGAAATGTTGTCTGCCTTTTTACGATTCTTGATATAGCTTTTCTCTTCTTTTTTTGAAAAGTCATCTGGTATAATGACATTTCATGTCATTGGTTACAAAGATTTTTTTTACATCTGCATTGCAGCTGATCTGGTACGTCCCATTCCACCGTAATTATGCACAAACCAAAGGACAAAGTGAGGAAATTTTGCACTTAGTTAAACCTCAGCATTATGCACATCTTGCATTCTTCAAAGATAAACTGCATTTAAAAGGACAAGTGTAAGTATACATGGGTTATACCCGTCGTTATGTATACTGGTGCTACTACTTTAGTTTGGGTATTGCTCTTAAATCTAGTGCATCACAATACACTCTTTTTTTTTTCCTTCAAGACCATGGTTCAAAATTGATCATCTTGTCTTTTTAAGTCATCTGGTTGTGCAATGTGTAAGCATTGTTTTAATATAGATGTTTCATATGTTTATCATATCTGAAATGTACAAATTATAAATTTAAATAAAAGCACGTCTTGAAAGTTTTTTAACTTTGTTTGTGGTTCGTCCATGGTCTTCTTCCTACCACAGGTTTTACTTAAACTAAGGGTCTTTATAGCTTTTCTGATTTGATGCACAGTTAAAGACGAGCTTTTAAAATAATTATTTAAAGAAACTATATGAACCTTTTATGGCAGCTTTGTTGTAGTAGTACTGTGTTTTTTTTTTCTGTATTTTGCTTGACATACAGTTTGACCTCCAGCTGCGGAGGGAAAAGTTATTTACCTTTCGTTTGCTTACCCTCAGCACAGGTATATATAAGATTAGTTCTGGAATAATCAAACATCAAAACTCTCTTACGGTCTGTAGATTAATAAAAGTACCAGTACCATAATTGAGAAAAGCGCTGAGAGTTAAAGACTGAATTTGATTTGATTAGATAAACTCCTTCCTCTGAAGTAACATGGCTCTTATTTTTATAGAAATGATGGTATGATTTAATTTCATCAGCCAATTTGCCTTCAAATTGGTGTATATTTGGATTTCCACAAAGGAATGTGCTGCATGCTCCTGAATTAAGAGAGAAAAGGATTTGACCTGCCATAACATCCTGGAAAGCAAATAATCCTGAACAAGTAAGCAGGTTAAGAGACTACATTGTTTTTGTTGTTGTTAAACATCCCACCTCATGGGTGGCTGATTGTGGGTTTGAATCCAGCAAGGGCTTTCCTTACTAGAGCTTGATTATTCTCAATTTAGTTACCAAAATGTACTGAAAAGTGAATAAACCAAAATAAGTAAGCCCTGTGTAGCACAACAATATTGTTGGTGTAAGCCCTGACAGGTCACTGTGTGAAGGTTCTGAATTCGAACCCTGAAGGGCCTCCCTGTGTAGACTGAGTAAATCCTGAATCCCACCACTGGGGGTGGGGCAAGTGTTTGAATCCCATAATCTGACTTGATAAACCTTGACTAAATCTTGCATGATGGCACTTTAGAGTACGGGTTAGCACTGACATCCTTTCTGCCATACTAAGCCTGCACTGTGGCAGAAAGCACTGATGGGTGGTGGTTAACAGTAATGCCTCTGAACAGGTTGTAAAACATTGAATATAGGTTCAAGGCCTTGATTTACAAACTATATTTATTTGTCCTGACTCTGATGGAGCTGGGGTTGTACCTCACATGCTATTAAGTTTAGTTTCCGCACAAATATTCATGCATCAGTGTTTGTGGCAGACAATGGGCCTATTCTTGATGTGTTAATGATAGCGGCTAAGTGGTCAGGATGACCTCAGTAAAAGGCCTTTCTTGCACTTTACAAGAAGGGGTTATAGGCCTACACGAACGTGAGAAGGTCTGTGGAGTAAAGCTTGTGTGTTTGCAATGATCAAGGGGAAAATAAATTTTAAAAGGACCTTATCACTTTATTTTCGGCTTTTTAAACCAGATTTATCCATCCAAATAAAAAAAAAATCACAAATTACTGGGCCTCAAATTCCTTACAAGTACTCAAACCTTATGTTGTCTGTCAGTCAAAATCTAAAAAATTGGTCAAGTATCTTAACAAAAATCTCCATTTCAAAACATGACACACAAAATACACGCCTGAGGTGCTTGGAGTGTCTGTATGCAATTTTCTTTTACAACAGCATCACTGATATGACATTTTCTATGTTCCAGGCAAAGAGAATACAGATTTTCAGGAGGGAAAAAGCAGAATGTCACATGGTGATCTGTACTCTCCAAGCAAAGAGGTCACATTTAAAATACTAAATGACATTTATGCATCAAACCACTTCCTACATATAAGATTTAATTCGGATAACAATATGTGTGAATTTTGTGGTGGTGACATTGAAACAGTTTTTTTTTTTTTTTTGTATCTGCACTGTTTTTTATTTGAAGTGAAATTCAGTTTCTTTCTCTTTTTTTGCATCAGTAACTTCTGTTGTAGTTCCTTTTTTTTTCATTCTTTTTTTTTTTTGCAGCAGTGACGTTCTTTTTTTTGCATTATCATTATTATTTATTTTTTATTTATTTTTTGCAGCAGTGGCGGTTCTCGGCCACCGTAATAAAACGGTTTTTTTTTGTTTGTTTGTTTTTAATAAAATAAAATAAAAATTAAATCTGTACTCTCCACGATCCGCTTTCGATCGACGACGCTTTAATCGTAGCTTGATTGGTTTGGCCTGGCTTGGTTTGGTCTGATGACGCATACGGAAAGCGAGATGTTGTTTACCCGGGTGCTAACATGCTAGACGGGTTTCTTCAGAAGAAAGAGTGCTGCTGTATTTTAAACAATGTTCCGACTATTTTTGCCAAATCGTTTCTGTGCCAAACGTAACACTCTAACAGCGCGCGAGTTTTCGTTGTTTACGCCGCGAGCCAAGCAGTCGCCGCTCAGTGTTTTTATTCAACAACAAAAACGACACTTTGGGAGGTTAAACTCCGCCTTTTTAAAAAACAGGCCAAAGTCCGGGATTTGGATGTGTGGTGTTAGTTTGGGGATTACTTTAGGTGTCAGTCTGAAATATTACACGGACTCGGCCACCAGTGTCTGTGATGAGAAAGTGCCAAAGCCGCAGAAAACGGATCGATACAGTGATGCGATCGAAGTTAGCAGAGACCTTCTGGAGCGGATAAAGGTAGGCACAGAGGTACGCCTGCAAGTACCTGCTGTAAGAGTGGGCTCTTTCTCATTGAAAGCATCTTCATGACTGCTACTTTCACTTCAATGCCACCTGAGAGTGCTGCTGAGAGTTTGTGTCTATCTCAGGCTGAGGTCGGAGCTCCGGGGCTGGTGGTTGGGGTCTCTGTGGATGGTGCCCAAGTCTGGAGTGAAGGTTGGTGCCTAGTGGGATAATTTTCACGTTTATTATTCAGAAAATCACGCCTAATGAATCCAATATCATTTGGCTCTCTTGCATATCTCAGTTTTGTTGTCTACAGACAGACTGGTGTAAAACCATAGACTGTATATAAGATGGACAACTTGGTTCCGCCTTCCCCCTGTATACGGATTTGAAGCCAAAAAGCTCTTGGTAATTCCGGGTTTTTCTAGCCTGGCCGGGCCATACTGTTGCGTGAATCACGTTCCCGAAGGAACGTCAAGTGATTCACGCAACAGTAAATTTTAAATTTTATAATTTAACTAACAAAAGTATATTTTTACCCAGGCATTTCAATGATTGCCTTTTTATATTTCTCTTATTGCAAATGTTCATTTTAATCAAAGTTCTTAATGTTTCTTTTATGTCATTTTATTAATTATCTCTGTTCTTAGTCTTTTTCTTGATTCCCATCATAGAGGTTTTTACGTCTTTTACCCCTTTCACATGGTAAAGAGCTCTTACTTGTCTGTTCATTCAATATTATTTTCTTGTTTTACTCTTTTTTTACTCTCTCATCCAGCAGCCAAACAAGCGGCTGATGGATGAGAGTAGGTGAGTTGTGTTTAGTCTATTTGTTAAAGAAATTAGGTAAAGTTAAAAAGATGTTTGGTAGCTAGTACTGTGGGTAGGACCCTATATGTACTGTTGATGAAGTTAGGTGCTGTTCTGAGCATTATTTGTGGCTTTAGAGTGGCGTTTTGGTTGAGGTTTTTTTATGGCTCCTCAGACCGCTGTGTATTGCTATCATGCGGTCATTACTAAAGTTGGTATAACTAGAGAAGCAAGCGGTCAGCAACATTCATCTCTCGAGGGGTTGTCTACCTCGGTGTCATGGTTTGTTTGACCCTTAAACTAGGCCTGTACAGAATAATCCACCCAAACTGAGTGAAATGTTAAATTGAGCATTTTCATGATTTATAGTTATCACCTTTTCTATAATGTGACTGGAAGAATATTTTCGATTGCAACATATAAATATTGCAAATCGTTCTTAAAAAAAAATCATATTATGCGTATAGGATCAGGCGTATTTAAATTCTGCTTGCAGGGATCGGTTATGCTGATTTGGAGAACCGTGTACCATGCAACCCAGAGACGATGATGCGAATTGCCAGCATCAGTAAGCCCCTCACATCTGCAGCAGCTGCACGACTGCGGGAGGAGGGGAAATTGGATCTTGACGTCCCTGTCCAGCAATATGTCCCGGAATTTCCTCAGAAACAATTTGATGGACAGGATGTAAGCCTCTTGAAACAGATGTCAGAGATTTGTTATCAGCAATTGTGTCTTTTTCTTTTTCTGTGCGTCACATAAAAGAATTACATCTGTAAATTATTCTGTTCTTTCAGGTCACGATAACTCCTCGTATGCTCCTGTCTCACCTCAGCGGTATACGGCATTATGAGAAGGATGCGAAGAAAGTGAAAGAGAATAAGGAGAAAGCTAAGCGACTTTTAAAGCCTCAAATTAAAGAGAGAGAGGATGAAAAGAGCTCATCTGAAAACAAAGGTAAAACCACTGCAACAGAACAGAACAGCAAAAGCAAAGATAACGCTCAGACTCAGAGGAAAAAAGAGTTTGAGCAAGAGGAATATTACTTGAAAGACAACTTTGAAAGTGTCACTCAGGCCCTGGACCTCTTCAAGGACGACCCACTCATTTTTAAACCAGGTAATGCAAATACATGTTAATAAACTCTGAAGAAAAAAAAAACTCAAATGCATCTGTGATTTAGATCCTTTTTCTCTATGCAGGCACAACCTTTCTGTACTCCACCCATGCCTTCACCCTTCTTAGCGCTGCTATGGAACGAGCTGCAAATCAGCGCTTCCTGGATCTAATGACCAACATGTTCCGAGAGCTGGGAATGCTAAATACTGTGCCTGATGAGAATGATCCTATCATTTATCACCGTTCTAGGTAATCTTCCATCAGTGATGTTAAATTTTGTCCAAAATATTTTGACTTATCACAGATTAGTGCAGGGGAGATTGGACAGCAACATTAGAACTTTGTAGAGAGCTCTTAAGTTGAGGTTGTTTTGAACACAACTGTTGTGCACATTAAATTAGAAGTTTGATAATGTGTTCATAATGTTCTTGTTGATCCATTACAGAGCCTACAATTTCAACAAAAAAGGGCGTGTTGTGAACTGTCCATATGTTGACAACTCCTACAAGTGGGCTGGAGGCGGCTTCCTCTCCACTGTAGGTGACCTGCTGCTGTTTGGGAACGCTCTGCTCTACAGTTACCAGGTGGCCCACCTGAAGGACACTCAGGGCTTGCTCCCTGGCTTCCTCAAACCCTCAACAGCCAAAGAACTGTGGGCACCGGTTGACCTGACAGAGGCCAGCTGGGATAAGGACGGACTGTATGCCCAAGGCTGGTTAGTTGTGGAAAAAGCACAGAAATATGGCCAGTGCAGGAAGCGCAGACACTATGTATCGCACACTGGAGGAGCTGTAGGGGCCAGCAGTGTCCTCCTGGTGTTACCCAGTGTAGAGATAAAACAGCACCTAGGGCAGACCTCACTCCTCCCACAGGGGGTGGTGGTCACCATCATGACTAATATGCAATCTGTGGGACTCAACAACACTGCACTGAAAATTGCTCATGAATTTGATAAAGCCAGAGACCTGTGAGCTTTTTTTACAGCAATATCTGAGTATACATTCAACTGATTTCAGTTGATTTTACATAGTTTTGATACAGCTTTTTAATAATTCTAAAGAGTGATTGGGGAAATAAAATAAATCTAAATACAAATAGTTTTCATTTGTTTTATGTAAAAAAGAAAAGTACTCCATATTACTTCCCACAACATGTCAGTGAAGTCATTTAGCCACTAGGTGGAAGCAGTCTACAGAAAGAAAGAAAGAGAGAAGACAACAACTAACTGACGACATTAGTTTGCTGGTCGAACACAGAAGTTAATATATTTATATATTTAAAAGTTAATTCAGTGTTGAATACCACTTAACATCTCTGTTAGAGACATTTAAAAGAACAGACACAAAAGGAAAAAGGTAATTGCTTCTCAAATCATCGGTACGTCTAAAGTTATTCTGTCACACAAGTTTTAGGGCCCACCCAGCGCAGATATTTCCTCATAGCTACATGACATCTTTCAGGCGATACCCTGTTGTGTGTTCACCTCATACTGTCGGCCCGACAACAATCAGTAGGCTAATGTTTGTGAAAAATACTGAACTGACTTCTCACACCTTCCCAGCCAAGATAGTCTTGATTTGAATTCTTTAAAGATTTCAAGAAGTAGCACAATGTCAGAGGAGGAATCTTTCTTTATCTGCCATGGTTGGTTAAAACAAACAGTAGGAAAAAAATGGAAGCTGGTCAAAATGAAAAAGAGCTTATAATATTAATGTCATCCAACAAGTACTAAATCTCTTCTAAACTTGCAGGATTGGCTCTTATCTGATGCCACCATTCTCATCATGAAACTCCTGGGATCTCCTGTGCCCCTGTTTTTAGATTTAAGGAGACTGAGGAATGGCTTGGGATAGGCTAATTATACAGCCACCCACACACTGCGGATCTGTGTGTTCCTGCATGTCCAGCTTTGTGAAAGTCTATTTCAGCTTTAAAACTGAAAATTGAGGTCATCCTGACCAGCCTGTACTACTTTACAGGGCAATTATGGTTCAGGGTTAACATTAGATTTAGTCTTAGGCGATGGGAAGATATGGCTGAGGTTAGAAATGAAGTGCAGATGGTTAAATTAAAAAACGATGGGAAAGAGTCATCTGTCATGATCCTAGCAAATACAAAAATGTTGTTTTGTGGTTGTGTGTATGTGGTCTGTCAAAGATTACACATTCAAATCAGTGACTAGAGATCATTCCATATAATTACACATTTAAAAATACTTACAGCAGAGTGAGCATTTGTACAGGGTTTCATTTCTTAATCCACAGTACCAGTTAAATATTAAAAATATTACTTTCTCTCTATACTCATACACAGTCTAAATAGGCTTTATAAAATCCAGACAAAGCATGCAGATTGAAATGTGACTTAATACGAGTAACAACCGTGGTGCCACAGAAGCTACATTTAAAAAAGGTACTATTCAGGCTGTTATTAAATTCCCACCCACTCACACTTGTGTCACACCTGGTATGTGTGTGTGAGAGTTACACCTTTTTGTAGCGAACACAAAGGGTTACAGATGAGACTATTAATGAGCTAGCAGCTCTTTACCTGCTTTGACTGCATAGAAAGTTGGTGCAGCAGTTTTCCAAAGTCTAGTCAGTGATCGTCTTATAGTACTAAGTCCAACAAGGCAAGCAGCTGTCAACTCTGAAAGTTATTTCATCATCCCATCCAACACACATGCAGTAGAGACGCACATCAGAAGAAAGGTCACACTCTTGGTTTCACTCGCCAATACTGCTGCTGATTTTTTTGTTGGCTCTGTCGCTTGGCTTTCAGCATCCTGAGTGAACAAAAAAAAAGGGCAAATGGCTTAAAAAAACAATAGAGGCTGTATTACACAAAAATGACCATATCCTCGTGTTATTTTTAAACACTTTGACAATGCTGATAATCCCGAAGCCATGAAGTACTCACTTGCGTACGTAGTAGATAACAAACACCAGCACCACTAAAATGAGGAGGGCAACAATGATCACAGCTGCAATTAACCCGGCCTCCCCTGCTTTGGAAGAGCTGCTGAAGAGCTGGAACTGCTCACATCTACTGCCTTTGTAATTGTCATTGCACCTGGATAAGACAGCAAATCCAAAAAAAGTACTTGGTCATGAAACTTGACATGTGGCACCAAAAAGTTCTAACATAGATGGAGAAATAAGAGATTCCCAAGGGGTTACTTTTCCAAAAAAAGTGTTTTATTTAACTTACACACAGGAGAGAGTATTCATTGAATGTATTTTATAGCATGTCCCTCCGTTCATGCAGTAAGTGGCTTCCTGTGCATCACAAGGGGATCCGTGTTCTACAAAGACGCACAAAATCTCAGGAAAGAAATCTCTCAAAACTGAATATACTACTTTGATCAATTATCCCAACATTTTTATAATTACCTGCCATCATGTCACTTTTCTTTTGCCCGTCTCTGAGAAAACACACACAAAAAACATTTTTGTCACACAGCCGCAAAGTAATCTCTCACTTTCTTGGCGCTAATGTCCTCACCATGAAGTTTTAAATGCCAATAATAATAACAAACACATTTTAAAATCTGAAAAAGAGTCACAAACTGTCACAGAGTAGTAATAGTATACTATCACTTTTAATGATTTAAATAAGAAGTCTCTCCTTACCAGCTCTGGAAATCCTAGCTTTCTGTCGTTAGTTCAGGTAATGAGTCATTGTGACGCCTCAAAGTTAGCTAGATCTGCTTTTTGTTGGATCTTTGCAGCCATGTGGGCGTGTTCCTCCAAGAAAAATGTTGAGATTGCAGTTTGTCCACATTGTAAATGGCAAGCCAAACGTCAGGATACAAGGTAATTTTTAGTATGTCAGAGTGTGATTTGATGACGTGAGCTACACAGGTGAGGCTGTCAAAGGTCGAAAGTGTCTTGAGGACAATCTAACAATGTGGGTGTCTGCGTCTTTGCCAAAAGAAGATTTAGGCTACTTTTGTTTTTGTTGCAGCAGATTTAGTTGTCTCCGACTGGGTGAGGAAGTCACCTGTTGTGCATGTGAGCGCAGCGTGTTTGGGTTTGGTACGAAACTCTTGAATGACTGGTATGCAGAGAAGGCATGAATGGAATCGTGGGAACCTTTTTGAACTCTGAATGCTCAACACACCACTTCCTCTGGAGAGGTGATTACGCCGGTATGCTGAAAACCGTTAGCTGACTCATCAAAGGGTTCCTATTCATAAATTTAGTTTCTTTGACGTTGTGATTTCACAATCAGGGATAGGTCAGTATCATTAAAGCAATGTGGAAGAAATCAGAATTTGAGGGTTGTTTCTTTTCTTGCTTAAGGCTCTTGTGAGGAACTTTAGGTTTGTGTCAATTTTGGTATTGACTTTTGACCTAAAACCTCATCCTGCTTATATTGGACAGTAAGATATATCATTTATCAGGTGTAAATTAGGTGTGAATATTAAGGTGTAAACTGTCGGACCAGGGCTGTTTCCTATAGCTGCTTGACTGTCACCTACCCCCTTGTGTTGGCTTGGGGCATTAAATTTTACAATATAAAAATCATCCATATTTACCCTGATGGTCATGTTTGCTTTTGGATATCATGAAAAAACATCTGTTTGAATTTCTTTGTATTGTATTAAAGGGATATTCTGGTGTAAAATTAAGTTAGGGTCAAACACACTGTAACATCAAGTTAGACACCCACTCGAGAGATAAATGTTGCAGACTGCTTGCTTCTCTAGTACTTTAGTAACAACCGCACGATAGCAATACACAACGGTCTGAGGAGCCATAAACAAACCTCAACCAAAACGCCACTCTATAGCCACAAATAATGCTCAGAACAGCACCTAACTTTATCAACAGTACATATAGGGTCCTAGCCACAGCACTAGCCATCAAACATCTTTTTAAATTTACCTAATTTCTTGAACAAAGAGACCAAACACAACTCACCTACTCTCTTCCAGCAGCTGCTTGTTTGTAGCAAGACCTCAGGCCAGTCCATTATGGACTGCTGCGGGGTGACGCAGCTCAAGGAAGAACATTTATGATCATTACTTTATCATTTCCTTACAGTAAAAATCACCATATTAATAATTTTGTACTGCAGACGTGGTAGTTCTTCTGCCTTAGCGTCTCAGTCTGATTGCATTTCCATGAAGAAATAATTGTAAATGTTCTTTCTTGAGCTGCATTACCCCACTGTAGTCTGTAATGGACTGGCCTGAGGTCTTACTACAAACAAGCGGCTGCTCGAAGAGAGTGGGTGAGTTGTGTTTAGTCTCTTTGCTAAAGAAACTAGGTAAAGTTAAAAAGATGTTTGATGGCTAGTGCTATGGCTGGGACCCTATATGTACTGTGGATAAAGTTAGGTGCTGTTCTGAGCATTATTTGTGGCTATAGAGTGGTGTTTTGGGTGAGGTTTGTGTGTGGCTCCTCAGACCACTGTGTATTGCTATTGTGCGGTCGTTAGAGTAGCAAGCAGTCGGCAACATTCATCTCTCAAGGGGTCGTCTAACTCAGTGTTACGGTGTGTTTGAGCCTAAATTAATTTTATGCTGGAATATCCCTTTAGTGTCAAAAAACTCCTCATAGGACCTTTAAGTCCCTCACTCTTAAGGCCTCCTGTAGCCTACAGAGTGACTAAAAATGACTTAAAATGTGGTTTGCAGTTATAACTGAGCACATTACAAAAGTCACTCATTATTTGGATGGGTAATTTAGAATTAAATCTTTCACTCTCCTTGTTGGTGCTTCCGGGGCCTAATTTTCCCGCGTCACATTTGTAGGACACATCTTTAATATCTCTCCGAGTCCATCTGGGAATACGAGAGTGACGGTGCAGACTGATAAATGGCACACAAAGATATTGAATCCACGGCTGAGCTCTACAGAAACACTTGAGGTCACTGTTTGAGTGTGCTCTATTATTTTTCGCGCGGGTGGGTTGATATCGCGAGGAACTCTGACGCTCAAGAGGTGAAGGGAAGCGAGAGTGTTTTTCTACGTCGACGCTGTCAGGGTGGCACAGAAAGAGGGACGTAGGATAAGAAGGTGTTATCGTAGCCTAGTTATGCTCTGTATTTGATGTATTTTTGTCCCGGGGTTAATTTTTTATCCATGAAGCACCGTGTACCCCTCGTTGACGACCGCCCGTCACACATCTGACGCCGCTGGATCCCAGTTTTCAGCACCTGGACAGCTCCTCTTCTTCTTCTTCTTCTTCTCCTCATTATTGGGCACATGGAGTCCCTGGTGTGATTGTGGGGGAAGCCCTGCGAGCACATTATGCCTCCCTCCGAAATAGACGTGGTTTACTCCCCGGTTCAGTGACAGCCTCGTCGTCGTCGTCGTCTCTGCTGAAGGATGCTGCTTTCAGTCCGGAGGTGGTGTTTTCTTCGTGCGCTGTCTTACGGGTGCTCGACCAACGCAAATTTGGGGGGAATCGCAGCCTACTCACAGCCAGATCCGAGCCTCCCTCACACTGATCATTACCATCATCATCATTATCATCATCATCATCATCATCGGCGAGGAGGGAGATATTACCATCATCTCTGCGAGGGCAAAGGAGTCACGACAACACTTTGCACGATGTAGAGCTGGAAAACACAAGAGGTTAGTGTGTCTTAGGGCTTCTTTTTGATGCATTGGTGTTGGTTGGAACATGGATGAGAGTGTGTGGCCTCTGAGCACAGTGGGAAATGTGAACAGCACCACAACTGCTCACTGAGACACAATTTCAATGACTGCAAATGCATTTTTATAAGGTTTTAAAGCATAAAGCGTAGGAAATAGCCTTAAGTGCATTCACGGGTAAATGAAATAGTAAAAGATTTTGCCTCATGGGCATCCAAAAACATTAAGGATGTACTGTATACTTTTTTAAAAGTTGTAACTTAATATGCAGATTGTGAAATAAATCCCCAAGCCCAGCTATTCTTTGCTCTGCAGTAACACGCTCAAACCCACCTTTGTTCCTGCACACCTCCATCAGATTTTCCTCATGGAGCATTTTGTCTTTTTTAACCTCATTAGATTCCTTACCTGGGACTCTTTCTGAAGACCACATTATTTGGGGAAGCTGCATTAAAACAGTGTCACTCTCAGCCCTTGGGTGACCTAAGTCGATTTATCCTGAGTAGCATTTTATTTGCTGTGCTACATGACTTTGCTGTGGTCTCCTGCGGCTATGAGTGCTGACTCCTCGCCTGTCCGCTTTTGAAGGTTTCCTCTCTTCTCCTTTGTGTCACACACTTCCCCCTGAGTTCATGAAGGTGTGAACACAGGAAAAGTGTAATTCTCACAGTTATAAATCATCTCTTGCTGACAACTGGTTTCAGGAGTATAACTTTGCAATCCTGAGAATTGCGCTTGTTTTACTTTGGAGTTTTAGACCGTTCACTATTAAGTAGTGACTTTGTGTTTGTGGCTTTCTGGTCTGCTCATGTCATGTCTGTTCTCTGCAAAGCAGCTGGAGCGGTGCTGTCATTGAATGGACTCGGACATCAATGGCTCTCTATCCTGTGGCACAAAGAGCTAGCATCCTAATGCACTTGCTATGCAAGAGGTGTGATGTTCCTCAGCCCTTGATTCACAGAGCGGAGCGTGTATTGGAGGAGATTTAAAATCCATTACAGTTTAGTGCTCCCTAGGAAAATAGTTAAACAGAGCAAAGCAGAAGTTAGGACAGGGTGCCTTCAGGAAAAGTAAAACTGCTTATACTTTATTCATAAAAATCTGCATGCATTTGTGTTCAATTATTCAACTGTGTATAGATATTTTAATTTTGTTCACAAATGATGCTTTTCACCTTTTCAACAGCAGGAAAACCCTCCCCAGTTTGTTGATTGCAGACCAGGAGCTAATCATAATCTGACAATCTTCCACAGGTGATGGATTTGCTTCACAATTTCCTTTTCTGTTGTAATAAAAGGGTCTTTTTCCATAGGAGTGGAAGGAGCCAGGTCTCTGCAGTGTTGAAATCCCATTTCACACTTTGGGTCGTTTACCGTGGTCGTCAATTTGAAGGAAAGAGACCTCAAAATGAGCAACCCCCAGTAAGTACAACACAGAGTTTTGTTTAGCAGTAAATGACACAAAGATCCAACATTTTTTGGAGCTTTAGTCTGCAGATGTAAAACAGGCTGCAGTGGCTGCTGTGTGATTCCTGTTTCTTTAAAGTAACAAAGGCAACTAAGCTCTATTGACAAAACCAGTATTTTTACCTTGAGGAACACAGGAGTTGCTTGTCTACAACTGCCTCTAACAAACCAACATCAAGCATTGCTCCTGTGTTCTGCCAAATAAAATCACTGTCAGAGGAGTGTTTGGCATCAGTGATGCATGGCTGTTTCTTGAATAAAAAAACCAATGCCACAGATCTTTTCTACAACGATGCTGGCCCCGCAAGTTAAAAAAAGACCTGTAAGTAGGCCCCCCATGAATGACCTTTAGAGATCAGCAGGAAAGCCAAACTCAGCCTTGTCCAGTATCTCTGAGAGCGAGAGAATGGCCGGCCAGCTCCAGTCTCCTCCGGCATCTCTCAGCATTCAGCGGGGATGTTCACTTGTCATCTTCTCTTATTAATAATTACTCCGTGTGTGGTCCTCCAGACAGGCCCTGCATTCTGATGGCTGTATGGGTTGGGGCTAAGAGAAGGGAAAGAGAAGGAGCTGGGGGAATGGAGCGGGAAGAGTGGAGGGAGGAGGTGGAGTGGAGAAGAGTGGTGTGGTGTGAAGGGTGAATGCAGAATGGGTTCAGTCAGCTGCATCTTCTGATTAAAGGCACAGGATGCTGCCTCCAACCAACTCAAATTCTCTGTTCAGACTTCAGACCACCAAGTTAGTGCAGCTAATTGTTGATCACAAGTCCATTTAAAGAAGGACAGAAGAACCTAATGGAAAATGTTTGAATGCGTAGTCCCTTAAAGGCATGAATTACAGTTTTTCTCAGTTGCTTTGGGGCATTTCTCACATCACTGTTTACATTTGTACAATAGTGAGTGCATTTCTCAACTGCAAAACCTAGTTGATGACCTGCAAAACATGTCACTTACTTAAAATAGATAGTTTGTTCCTCAAAAGCAAATATTTGTGTAAATGAAAGTGTCAGATTTAAACTCCTGACACCATTGTTTATGAACCAGACAGTCGAATGGCTTTGTCATGTTTTCATTATGACAGTTTACTTTCTAAGTGTTTTCAAATGCAAAAAAAAAAAAGGCAGATCTTGGTGATACAATCTGAAAATGCTCAAGACAGCACTATACTCTATTTGCACAGCCATTTGAAAACTACAGTAAAGTTACACATTACTGTATTTAATAACTCTATTACAGCTTTTTGTATCTCTCTCAACCTTGATGCATTGTTTGCAATCGTCATTGCACAAATGGCTTCCTCTTGTTGTGGAGTGAAAAGAGACCATTTTCCATCTCTGTGAGGTGCTTTTGCAATCCTGTGTGGTGCAGAGTAAAATTATGTACAGTAAACGTAAGATGTACTGTTTAAACCTGTATTTCTGTAGAGTACAATAACAGTTCTTCCCACTTGTAAAACGCTGCAGTACAGTCCCATACTGTAAATATGGCAAATCTTTATTGTAACACCACAGTGCAGTAAATCCGTGCTGGAGTAAAGCTGTGAGTCTAAACTTAAAATGTAAAAAGTGACAAGTTCTTGTCCCACTACGAGCTTCAAATGTTTGAATAATTAAACTTACAGTGTTTCTCCCAACATTTGGCTGCACCCTTCGACCAGCCTCAGCCACTGGGGAGGCCATGATTGACAACGTGGTCCATAATTGTAGCCATAATCTTATCAAGAATCCACCTATGTACTTGGCCTCCCCTTCCTCTTCCCCTGTTTTGTCCCCCTTCACCACGCTGACCTTCATTTCTGTGTCCCAGTATTGTAGAAGTGGTACACAATATGTCCGGCTTGGTTTATGCGTGCTAGCCAAGTGTGGCTTCACAGGATTCAGCTCTGAGTAACTGTGGAGAAGTGGCTCGTCATTGGTTGTAACTAATGCTTCACACAGCCCTCCTCATCAGTGAAAGCTGAGGTTGACCTGAGAGAAATTGTTTATTTCAGGAGACATTTTGAGAAAAAAATGATAAAGAAATGGTTAAAATTTGCTTGACAGATTTTGAGAACTAGTTTGACATTTTTGTATGAAATGGCTCAAGCAATGAGACGAGGACTCCTGCTAATAGAGGGAATGACTATTCAGCATTCAAAAGTATAGTTCATTTTGACTATAAACAGATGAAAATGTTATAAAATTGCAGAGAAATGTGTAAAAGCAATTGATGCATGTCCAAAAGCATTTGCAATTTGATGAAAGGAATGAGAAACTGCTGCTCTGATGTGCACAAATGACTAAATGTTGTGGAGGTTGAAATAACTGTTGTGTAAATGTTAATAGTGATGTGAGAAATGGACCAAAGCGACTGAGAAAAACTGTTATGAATAATGTAAGGTGACGAGTGAAAAACTTTTGCAAAAGAAAGGTCTTAGGAGATATTTTCACCCCTGCTCCTTTAGACCTGATAACTACTGCTGTAAATACTCTCTCTTTCACTCGTCCACAGCCGTCCATTTTAGCCCATGAAATATCCAGTCCTACTGTTACACAGGTTGACATGTTCCTCCGTTAATTTGATCATGGTCACTGTTGCTGCTATTAAATACTATCTGGTCTATCAAATATCCCGACTTGATGCTGAAAATAGTCCCCTACAAATGCATTCTCAGCAAATACAATTCCCATCAGTTTGGAGTAGTTTGTCATTTAAAGCATAATTTTTTTAAAACATGTACTAGAATCCATTTATTTTTTACAGTTTCATTACCAGAGAGAACAATTGGACCTGGGTCTTCTTAGTCTTTTTTCAGTATTTTCAACACCAAGATCAGCATTTGACAAGGACTAATTAACCTTTGAATTTCTATTTTTAAGACAAACATCCTAAAGGTTGTTTTATTTCACCCTAATGCACAGCACTTTCTTTGGACAATATTGCAATACAGACAATAAAAACAATACAGAATAACAGAACAGAAAGCAAAGAGACAAAGAAAACAACAATTTTGAATTTCCATTAATGAATATTGTATTTCGATTTTTGTGAAAGGTAATACTTTCCATGCAAAGTTAACAGATTTAAACAGCCGTTTCGGTAATGCAGGGTAAATCTATACAGTGTACAGTACTTGGCTGCATTTACCAGAACTGACTTGGTAGAAAAATGAAATATTATATTGAAAAGCATGTTCAAATCAGTTCAAATCTTCTCTTTCTCGAAGGCCACAGTTGCATTAATGATAGAAAAGGTGAGTAAGGTAGCATTTTATCAAGACTCTAGCGGACAGATATTGCGGAATATTCCCATTCCAGCAATCAGTACCTTTTACTGTTTCAGAAGTCATCCCATTGTTTGCTAACTGAAGTTAACTGGACAAAAAACTACAGATTCAGGGCTGTAAATTAATGTCTCATAAGTCCAGCAAAGACCCCCACTCTCTATTCATGCAGCAGAATTGTCAACTGCTGTAATTTCCTCCCCAGACCTTGAAGAGTAAACACTTCCTAGAAGATCTGATCTTACAAATGTACCACTGTGTCAGGAGCTCGTGCCAGCATTGCTGCTGCTGCTGCTGCTGCTGTTGGGAAATCTGGCCGGTGCCTGTAGAAGTGATTTGGCACATTCGTCCCAGCCTTCCTGATGATATCAGGGCAGTGAATTGCTGTGCACCAAGGAGCAGCCAAGTGTCCGTGTACAAACTTATTGGGTGAGACAGAGCGACTGGGTTGTAGACAGCTGGCTGAAAATACGGTAGCAGTGAGCGCTCAGAATGACAATGATACTGATGCCCTCTGCAAACCTCTGGTCTATGCTGAGGCAGCACTTTAAAACCCACTGAAGTGACAGAAGCTGAGAATTTATTGCTCAGAAGAGATGATTCATAATAAGATGAGACAGGCATCAAACACACCACTTATCAGTTTGATAGAAAAGCTGCATTATAGTCCATTTTACCATCGATTTGTCCTGTGTAAACATAGAATTATGATGATAGAATTATGTCAAAGCTAAGTTTAACCTTATTTTAATTTAACTGAATGATACAATCTGTTAGTGCAATCCAAGGGCAGAGTTATTTTGAATGAACATTAATCTGTACCTATAAACATCCTTGTTTTAGAGTTACATTCCCGAATAAATTTTCTGTTTTGTAACACGCAAATTATAAACCAGACAAGGTCCCACTTGAACCACAGGGGGTGCCAAAATCAACACAAACGAAAAGTTCCTTGAAAGAGCTTCAAACAAGTAAAAGTAATAGATGAGACTTTTCTAGATAGTTTAACTCAGATTCAAGTCTCAAACTGGTGTCTCGTCTCAGTGACACATCTGAGCTGCAGTCCTGGAAGCCAATGATTTCCTTACTGAGGTATCTTATGTCTGCATTTGATCCCCCTTTATGTACTCTGGTGTTAGTTTGAGTAAAGAGACATAAATGAGTTTTGCTTTCTGTTGAGCTCAGCTGTATTGAACGTCAGTGGAACTTGAGTACCTTTCTCACAATGAGCTGCGTAAAATCATAGCTGAATAGATTACAAGTAAAGTATGTTAAAACTTCAGATCTTTAGAGTATGAAGTCTTGTCTGGAACATATTCAGATTATAATCTTACAAAAAGGGTCTTCAGCCAGTACTGAAAGAAATGTGTAAATGGAGAATTTCTGAATGTAATGGCTGTGATAGAAAATGAGCAACATTATTAAGATTATTTATACTAAAACTATATATACTTGATCACGTGTCCCTGAGGTTATTTACTATTGCACCTGCCATGTTATGACAAACAACTCTAAAGTTTTGCAGTCAATACGTGAGAGCTTTGTATCTATTGATCACTGCATGGTGATTTATGGCGTTTCGATGTAATAATGCTGGGGAATTGAATATACACTACATCCCTGACCATAATTATGGCAGTGCTCCTGGAAAATAGTGTTTTCCAGGATTTATACGCTATGTTCTGCAGATTCTGAATATTATATATTATACAAATATTTTATATCATAATAAAGGAAATACATGTAACTAAATCTTTAAGGTGTGACCATCTGAAAAACATGCCTCCCACGTTAAGACCAGCTCAGTATTTAGAGGTATGAGTGGCTCCATCGTTCCCACGCCTTTTGGGCCACTGAAAGCATTTGCGCCCACCACGCATGGTTGCAAGATTACCCCTCCCAGCCATGCATGCCCTATGTTAACCTTTCTTCTTCCTTGTAGCATTTGCTAATATCACACGCCTCTGAAAAGACACCAGCCTTCAGCGTGCCCCTGGCTGTCCTTTCCTGCATCATTGGAGGGAGCAAAGTGCTCAGATGTGAAGCCTCCCCAGGATGGCAACTAGCCACTCCACTAGGCTCAGCACATGATGGCTCCTGGCCCACTCTGTGATTGTCTTGAAATGTGAATTTGATGCACTAAACAGTTTGTGTCTGTCATGACTGATTAGTGTCCTTGCTGTGGTCGTTCAGAGGTGCCAAGTCCACGAATAACACTAGGATGTGCATGTGGGTTTCTGTGGCGAGCATGCTAATATGTGAGTGTTTGACCCTCAAGCTAAGCAACATATCCAGCTGGACTTGTATGACAGAACATCAGATATTTAAAGAAAGAACAAGGGCAGGGTATGGTGTGCACTTAGGACAGGAGAATGAATGATTGCTAACCATGTTGGAGCAATAGAGTTGGAGCGATTCCTGATTTCCGATGTGAATGATGAAATAACCCTACAAAAGAGGCCATCAAGCTGCTCTCAGTCAAAAAGTAAGCCAGGAAAAGAGGAAAGGAAGGACCTATTTTCCTTTCTAGGCCTGTCTACATGAACATTTAACAGGAGGGTGGGTCTGCTCATTGAGCATCTACAAACTGTTTCCTCCCACTTTGTTTCACCTCCAGCACAGAGGTTGGAGAATCCGCCAGCCTGATGGCCTTTGTTCCCCTTTTGTTGTAATCAATGCCTTCCTCCTCTGTTAAGCACTGGAGTTATTGATGCCTCCACACTGGCTGCACTGGGATGCCTGCCAAGTCGATGTGTGACTCCTGTTCCAGGGTGACTTCTCCTTGTGCGCTATTGGCTGAGCTTGTGTGGTCACAACCCACCCTGTGCTCTTAAGTTTTAGGACCTCAATGACAGAGAGATGATACTTTATCAGGTCCTGCCAAATATAGCAAACTTTGCAGGAAAAAGTACAATGTTTTGTCAAGACAGCAAAATTATAGTTGCAGAAGCTTGTTTTCAAACTAATTCTGAACTTGAGTACAACAGTGAGGATAGCTGTGGTCTTGGTAACTGCAGGCAACTTCACAATTACTTGATTTGAAAGAAAAGGTGCCGAAAGAGTAGTGACAAAGTAAACTACCTGGAAAGGGGAGTTCAATTGAAATGAACGTTTTCTAAAGGATTGCAGAATATATGTGCCTTGAAGTCAAAGCTTAAAGGTGCAAAATTAATTTAGGGTCAAACACACTGTAACACCGAGTTAGACACCCCCTCAAGAGATGAATGTTACCGACCGCTTGCTTCTCTAGTTATACCAGCTTTAGTAACAACCGCACAATAGCAATACACAGCAGTCTGAGGAGCCACACACAAACCTCAACCAAAACGCCACTCTATAGCCACAAATAATGTTCAGAACAGCACCTAACTTCATCCACAGTACATATAGAGTCCTAGCTACAGCACTAGCCACCAAACATCTTTTTAACTTTGCCTAATTTCTTAAACAAAGAGACTAAACACAACTCACCTACTCTCCTCCAGCAGCCACTTGTTTGTAGCAAGACTTCAGGCCAGTCCATTACGGACTGCTGTGGGGTGTCTCGGTCTGATTGCATTTCCATGAAGTAATGATTATAAATGTTGTTCCTTGAGCTGCGTCACCCCGTAACAGTCCGTAATGAACTGGCCAGAGGTCTCGCTAAAAACAAGCGACTGCTGGAAGAGAGTAGGTGAGTTGTGTTTAGTCTCTTTGCTAAAGAAATTAGACAAAGTTAAAAAGATGTTTGGTGGCTAGTACAATGGTCTGGGACCCTATATGTACTGTTGATGAAGTTAGGTGCTGTTTGGAGCATTATTTGTAGTTATAGAGTGGCGTTTTGGTTGAGGTTTGTGTGTGGCTACTGGGACCGCTGTGTATTGCTATCCTGCGGTTGTGACTAAAGTTAGTATAACTAGAGAAGCAAGCAATCGACAACATTCATCTCTCGAGGGGGTGTCTTTTTTGTTTTGTTTTTTTTCAAATCTCCTGGAAAGCAAATTGGCATATTTCCTGTGGTTTGAGACGTGCTCCCCTGTATTCTCTGCTAATGAGAAATGCAGATCAACTTGTTATCACTCGCCAGGTAAATGTGTCCTTGTTGAGGATGCCAGCAAACACTGAAAATGAGAAACCTCCCCCCGTGTTTGTGTTTTCATTCATCAAAATTAAGCACGGTCCCAGTGGTTATTATCACACTCTACAACCTTGTGCATTTTCCAAGTGGTGGCAAAAGCTGATTCAAATTAACCGCATACTTACATACAACCTTGCTCTGCACATCTGTCATTTGCTGCGATATTTCCACCCTTACATCATACAGATACCAAATTTAAGAAGAGAATTCGCTATACAACATCTCTAATGTTGCCATGGTTGTCATGTGTGTGTGCTTCACAGGGCTCCTCCCCAGGCCCGAGCCTCAGAGCTGGAGGTGATCTCTCAGCAGGTGGAGGAAGACAACCAGTGCGCAGCTCCTGTCCAGCTGGTCAGCTTGGCCTACAGAGACTTGCCTTTGGCTGCCCTGGATATTTCCCTGGCTGGATCCCAGCTTATCTCAAATCCAGATGAAGAGGACAACAGAGAGGGGTAAGTTGCATACAATCACCCTGTCAATTCACCCTTGATAGTTTAACTAAAGAAAAGGGAACAATTCCCTGTGATGTTCATGTCATACGAAAAAATTGGGCTTTACAATAACTTGAGTAAAGTCCTGCAGAAAAGGTGTGTAGAGTTTAGGATTTGGCTCTCAAACTTTCAGTCAGTAACAGCATCATATTGCACAGTTTTAGTAAGCCTCATACTAAGTAGTAGCATGATTATTAATGCAATCTCTATGTATGTTATACCTTTTCGGATGGTAGATAGTGTGAGTGGAACAAGATGTGAATTCTCAAAAATGAGGAGAACATTTATTAGGCCACATCAAAATAAGACAAAAAATGTCAAATTAATGAAATACTTTGCAAAAACTCCCCTGCAGAGGAAGAAAAATGAAACATCCGTCCGACATAAGTCCAACAAACTGGCTCTCCTCACAGCCTCCACACACCCCTGTGCATTCAGAGCCAAAAACCTTAAATATACTTTTAGAGTGAAATGTAAAAATCATATTCATTTAATATATGCCTCAAACCACTACTGCTTGGGGGCTAGAGGAATGTGCACCTTCCTTTAGCCTTAACAATACTTGGTTTGGACACTATGGCCTCATAACGATGTAATTAATTGTAACAAAGGAAACAAATGTGTAAATAAATTAAACTGATGGTTCTCATTTTTACTGACACAGTTAAATCATTTTAGAAATATGTCTTCTTTGACATTGTGTGTGCGTGTTGTGTGTAGTGCTGCACCTCTATGAAGGCAAAATTACAATTACCACAATCTATAATCTACCCTGGCACAGGAAAGCTCTGCCGTCGCTCAGGTTATTGCACATGGTAATTACACCTTGCGTTTCAAATCATGCTCCTGTTTTATATTAGAGAACGGCAGTGGAGGATATTTGCCGATGAATTTATCAGTGTCACCATGTTAAATGAACAGTGTGTCCACTGATGTGTTCATTTCAGCTCCATGACACAGCAATTTCTCGCCACCAGACAGGCCTTTGTGCATAATTTTGATTCCTGGCAGAAAACAGAACTCGTCGTTTGCATCCTAGCTTTCCTGAAATGTCACAGCCCTGTGGTGGTGCTTTTTTTTGCATGTATATGCCTCGTATTGTTTTCTTATCACCATATCACCATGCTTCAGGCCCAGCACTCTTGGGACAGGATGCACCCTTACTCAAGCCCCCCTGTAGCAAGTGCGCATGGCTCTACACTCAGGAAGCGTGACTCACAACCCTTTGGCATGCTGCAACTTTGGCATCCATGCAGAGAAAGTCGACAAACAGCATAAGCTTAATTAAAGCATCCGGCGTTTCGCCATCCAAGGCCCTCTGTGTCAGCTGAGCGTGTCCGGCTGGACTTTGCCCGACCTGGCCCAATCCAGGACCGTCGCTCTGTGGGACTGAGGGCCGGGACAGATGGGTCCCGTCCCAAACACCCACTCTTTGATTCTAACTCAGATCTTTTTCACGCTGTCCTGCCCACTAAAAGGGCAGAAAACACACGCATGGCAGAACCACAGCAGAGGGCAGGATCTGGCATTCCTGTGAAATTATTATCACAGTTTGGGCCCTCTCACACAGACGCATGACACCCTGGTGTCCTGGGATCTGGCATTGTGAAGTGGAAAAGTCATGCAGTGCCAAAACATGTTAAATTTATTGAGTAAACAATGCAGATTTTCTTGATTATGAAAACAAAGATCTGACTAGAGAAAATACCTCCTCATTGTCCAGGAAGCTCAGAGGAATGCAGCCAGTTTGTAGAAAACAGTCATCCATGTGAGTGTTACAGTTTGTTCGTGAGCTTTTTAGATCGGAATTCCTGATTTTCAGGTCACAGGCATTCCAAAACATACCTGTCATCACAGTTTCGTTAACACCTTCGTTCTTTGGAAGAGCTCTTGGAAAACGCAACAGAGCGAGCTCGTAGCCATGAGCTCTGGCTGCCTCTGTGACTCATGTGTTTAATATCAGAGGACCGACACCAAGGTGGGATGTGTTGTATCAAGCAAGATTGTAATTTGTAAAGATAATCAAGGGCCCTCCTGGCAAAGTAATTAAATAAATGATTTATTCGGGGAATTCAGTCACTATTTTTGAGCCTCCTTACTTTGGCAGAAGCATTTTAGTTTTAGGTTATTTGTCCACCTGCCACAGTCTTGTCTGTGAAGTATCATTAACATTAAGAAAGTCTTCAAACTTGCCTAAATGTCGACAAAATCATTAACTAGAATCTTGAGATCAAAAATTAAGGCTGAGTAACTTCTTGAGAAATTAATTCTTCCGTATCTGAGACATTATTTGTAACCATCTACCACAAAGAAGATGTCAGAAATACTTTGCAGAAATGTCTTCAAGGTTTGCATAAATATCGACTCAGGAGTGATGTTAATTTGCTTGAAGGTTAAGGCCATCTCACCACATCTTGACCCTTTATTCTTGTGGTTTTATAAAAAAAAAAAGGTGTCATGGAAATCTTGGAGAGAAGTATGGCAGGAAAAGGGCAAGACGTGTAAGAAAAAGGTCTCTTGGGAGCCGTATAAACGACTGGAAAAAAAGTAATAGACCTTGACTCTCTCAAGACTTATCCTTCATATTCGGCCTTTCCTTTGAGATGAGAACTAAACCATTCTGGCAGGTTGTTTTACATTACAAATGTACTTTACCGTGTAAAGCACTTAAGACAATACTGGTTGTTTATAAATCTGTTATATAGATAAAGGTTGACTTAATTCAACTCCTGTGAATGATCCAAACTCACTTATTCAATCTTGGCTGACTTTCAGAAATGCACTGATCCAGTTTTTTAAACATTAATACTGAGGGCTGATCCAATAACATTGTTTAATTGATTATGATTTCTATCTATGAGGATAACACTTGGGTTTATTTGTGTGTTAAGCACCGTTAGTTTTTTCTAATCTACAAAACTAAATACATAAGTATATGTTTATTAACTTCATGTATTATTATCACATTCTACCCTATAGTCAATCTTCCAAAACAATGTCCAGTTGTCCAAAATGATGAACAAGGTCAGGATGTTTCTCAAATACCTGAAGCCGACAAAGTTAGCTGCTTTGTTTTGCTTCCTTTTTGTTTGGTTGAACTTTTTTTTTTCTTTTTATGCATGATGTCTGAAAAAGTAAGGTGTGTTGTATTCTGGCACCACTACTCTCTTTGAAATATTAGCTCTGCAGATATTAGCTATACTCAGCCTTTGTTGTTCGCTTCCCTTTCAGCTTTACTGCTTACAGCGAGAAACTGTGGATGACAAAGGATGTATGCATGTAGTTACTGTAAGCACAGAATACCACAGAACTGAACTGAAAAGATAAGCTTTATGGATTGGCTCTTCCTCACGAATACCTGACCCAGCTTTTTGAGTCAAAATCAGACAAATAGGTTTTATCAGTGCATCCATTCTAACCTGTGATTTTGCGTCGTACAAAGGATTTTTTTATCGTTTTAAAAATTTCTAAGATTTCTGTGATTGGCCAAAAGTAGTCCTCATGTTTATTGTACGGTAAAGTCCACTTCGATTGCCCTGCATCCAATACGCAGTGTTGCAGCATTTCAGTTACTTTGATTTCTTAATCAGTTTGTTTTTTGAGGCTGCTGTAATTCTGAGATGTTTGATGTTGTAGTTTTGACATTTGATGAATCTTGCAGTGTTCTGGAGAGGCTTTCATTTTGATCTGAAAAATTACTTTTTCTCTCTCTCTTTTTTTTTTTTTTTTACTTTGGCCTGTGCTTTAGTTTGGATCAAGACATGGTAAAAAAAAATCACTATGACCAAAGTGGTCAGAGGCTGCAAATCTAACAAGTTCTTTCTTGTGAATTTGGCCTTAATCTTTGATAAGGCTTTTGATTTTGTTTTGTTTCATTTGTAAGTTAAAAAAAAAAGAAAACAGGAGAAAACAAACCAGTGATGCACATTTAGCCTTGCATTGCAGCTTCTTGTGGCTCTTTATCAAAAGCCGTGGGCGATCATGTAGGAGGTGGATGTTCTTGCGGACTACAAGGGGCACACACAGTACTTGCAAATTCTGTGCAGTGGTGAGCTGGGTGAGAGTATTGATAGATTTTGGCAGTGCCATCTTCTCTGGGACTTGCAGGAAAGTTCGAAGTGAGGGTGGTGTTATTTCAAATTAGTCACTTAATTGTATTATTGTATTATGTAATTTTAAAATTCCTGTCTTTTTTATAGCTTCTTTTTTTTTCCTGATTTTTTCCTTTTTTTAATACAGTGAGATTTCATGTTTCTATCACATGGATAAGCAGGAAAAAATAATGTCCACAAAAGATATGCTGCACTTACAAGACTCTTTGAATGATGCAGTTAAAAGAATGATAGCATTTTTTTGGTGCAACAAGATGATATGATGACATCTTCCAACACCTGATCGTGACCTCTATACTGAATGTAACATCCAGGCCCCCAGCGAACACCTCCTGCATATCCTGCACATGTCCAAGTTTATTATCTGCAGATCATCCTTCCGCCCACAGCAGCAGCAGCAGCATATGCTGTTGATCTCTGAGGGCTCGACTGAGAGGTGTGAGGCTCTGCGTCAATGACAGATGGTTCATATGGGTCAACCTGCCGCTTTGACTGGAGAAGAGAGGAGGCGGGCGGAGGAGGGGATAAAGACAAGGATGGAGAGGGAGGGGAGGGGGGGGACAGAGCAGGCAACCTTCCTCCACAATTTCATTCACAAAGCTGCAGATCACAAGGAAATGGCTTCATTTGATAAATGCCATATCTGTCCATGTTCGACTGTAGCATTGCCTGCAGCCTGTGCTGTGCTATGTGGTGATAGCTACAGGTCTTTTTTTTTTTTTGCTGTGAATTGACAGGTGAAATGTCAGCTATGAGATAAGCTCACGTTAAGCCTCGATTGGTTCGTTACTCAACATATTGCTCGCATTCCCCGGTGAAATAAATCTCTCTGGCAGCTTTCCTTCTCAATTTGTTAACCCAGCAACATGTAATAATCAAAGCCATGTTGACAACAGTGTAGTTTAAAGTGGATGGTATAATTAGAAAAATGTGGACTATAGAAAATAGCTCTGAGAGATCTTGCCAGATTCTAGTATGTATTTTGGCAGCAGCAATATTTCACAGGGCTTTGGAAGCAGAGCCATACTACACCTGTTCTGTGTTGATGGATGTCTGAAAAGAGAGAAAAATCCCCCTACCCCCTCTATCCCTGACTCTATTTCAAACATACAGAGCAGTGAAACAGTCCTCTCCATCAAATTGTCTCTCCTGCCCGGCACCATGTGCGACACAATAGATGACATTTGAGTGCAGGGTTTGTTAATATTCACAGACATGCAAAGTGTGAGATTGCTTTTTAGGCTGAGAGCGAGAGAGATCAAGTGTCCTGGTGAAAACCCATTTATCAGGGACAGCTTGTCTGCTGCTCCGCACATGGAGCCCCATCCATCTCCATTTGCTTGGGATCTGTGGCCCATTTTCCTGGCAAAGACCAGCTCTGAGGCCCCCTCTGCTTGGGTTGTACTGCCTCGAAGGATGCGAGAAGCAGAGAGGTGATTGCTGATCGGAAAGGTCTTGTTACCCAGGAAAGCTGCTTGCATTTTCATATTAGGGAAAACTAAGAGGGAGTGCCAAAGCTGAACAGTTCTTATTGGCATCTGTAATTGATTAGCCCTCTTCATTTGATCTGTTTATTTGCTGCAGAAATGTTTGTCTATCCCCTGGGTGTAGGACTTGGAGAGATTAATAGCGATGAGATGTAAAAAAAAAAATCTAAAAAGTACAATTGATTGCCCATGATAGCTTTACTTTATTCAGCATATTTATTGCTTAGCTGGTTTTTAAATCTCAGGGCATCTTCACTTATTTTTGCTGTGGCAACACAGTTGACTTGGCAGCAGTTTCTCAGGGAAGGATTTATCCAGTAGTTATGATGGCATTTGTCTTGATTTTCAAGAACCCATAGACAGATGCCTTTTGAGGACTCAGGGTGCTTTTGTAAGGCCTTACAATTGACTTTAGTAAATTATCATTTCTAAGTATAATGGAAGTTAAGGAATAATTATAACAGAGTTGGGATTAAGTCCTCCAACCTGCTGTTCAGTTGCCTGCAGGTGAGGAGTGTGGCCATTTTTTCCCCTGTCTGAGAAAGCTGAGTTTATCAGAAAAAGAAGTTTGTCACATAATCAGAGCCATGAAAATACAACTAAATAATATGATTTTTTTAATAACATTAAACAGCAGCCTGCCAGACAGGATCATGTTTGCACCACCCTAACACTGGTATCAAATGTATGACTTAATGACTCCGTAAGCTAAATTATTAGCTGAGTTATTAGATGACTGATTAAAAGGCCTGACTCACAAAAGGATTGTTCTTCTTTTATGACCAATTCCCAAAGCTCACACAAAGGGTTACGCCACAGAGCAAATAGCGATTCTGTGTGTTGATGTTGTTTGTACCCATTGAACTGAGCCTTCTGCATTTATTTAGGGCAAAAAATTCCCAAATCCATTCAACTCAACTTTACTGCAGTAAGCACTGGTGCTAACGGACATGCATTCAGAGGGAAATTTACTGTCAGATGAGAGTTGATGGTAAAGTCATCAAAGGAGAGGCATTTCATAACTGAAGGCTGTTCATCACATTGTAATTTTAGAGACTTTAGAGAATGTTTGTAAAAAAAAATATCTCAGATCAATCTCAGAGGGAAACACTACTCTTCTACTGAACTCACAGACCATATAGCGAGTGATTCAAGGTCACAGTTCGTCATTTTGGGAGCATGGGTTTAATAGTATGGCTGCTACTCATAAAAGTGACATTTATAAAACATAAATAATCCCTATTGTAGCCATTATTTTCATCTGTACAGATATAAGTCTTGCACTGTCTTTATTAATCCCTTAGGAAGCAGGAGTAATTGTGTGCCAGCTGCCCCGGGTCCGTACCCCGATGTGCTGGAGTTTTTCACTGAGCAAAGTTGCTCTGTTGTAAATGTGCAATCAAGACATCAATCAAGAGTCTCCATCAATTATTCAGAGGCGGAGCTCCAAAGTCATTCAGAGCGACACTATTTTAAGCCTTCCTTTGCAAACAATTTGAAGGTGAGGCTTGTGTTTGCAGTCCTTCGTTTTCTGTTTATGTGCGTTTGTGTGTCACAATCAATACTGCAGACAAGTTGATAGAGTCTTTTCAGACTCATTACTACTGAATGAATTTCTCCCACTGCAGCACTTCCACTGCATCCTTTAACACAAGGAGCAGAGCACTACCTCTGATTTAATTTCCATTTAGCTTGTACATAATGAGTCTACATTGTATTTTATCCTGTCTCAATTACAGGAGACAGAATAATGAACGGGATGATCCTTCTGATAGGAGAGTCACTTATCTGGGGCTCGAGCCAAAACTCTGTCCTGTTTGTGTGAATGGGCCCCAACAGAGCGAGCCTTTCAGCACGCGTCCCTCTCAGGCTGATGTCTTTGTCTCTGCTCTTTACTCTCTGGCCTTCCCGCTGCAGCCGGTGTCATGTACAGCATGCCATCACTTCCATCTCAGGCAGGTCTCTATTGATCAGTCCCATGATCTAATCCCCTTGCTGTGCGCTGCTGTCGGGCCGCTTCGATCTTCCCTCACTGTTACCTCAGCGGCTGCAGGCTTCTTGATGTCTTTATGAACCTATCTGCCGAACATGCCACCCTGCATTTTCATTTCCTCCCCACATTATGATTTTTAGTGTGTGTCTTGTGTGTTTGCGTGCATGACCGAACCGTAAGTTATTGCCCATTCGATCTGCTCCTGCCATGACCCAGAGAGAAAGAGAGGTGATTTTCTTCCACCATTGAAGCAGCCTCACTTCTTTCATAAATACTTCAGGTCTTTGGCGTTCAAGGTTTAAAGTGATTTCCCTAAAATTAAGTTTCTGAGCTTGGAGTAATCCATCACTGCCATTTACTCCCTTTCCAGACAGGGTTTTTCTTTACAGGTTTATTAAATTAATACCTTTTCTCCCCGGCAGTTGGGAGAGGTCTGAATGAATTATGAGTCCACACAGTATGAGTTCAATCATGCTTTTCAGTTCTTAAGGTAACCAAGGTCCCTCTTCCACCTTTTAACTAATGGTCCACAAAAGTCTGCTGACTGTGTGTCAGGTGTATCATTAGGTAAATGTTGCTCTTTCTTGGCTCTCCTCCTCCTGCAGATGGAGTTTGACATTGTGCCTTGTAGACAAATCAGTGCAGGGGTAAGTCTCTGTGGATCCTGCAAATGACACCATCACCCTCCTCTATCACCCCAGGTGTTGAGCTCCTAATCTGTTGGCACTGGCCGGTACTGAGGGTGGGTGCGGAGGGCTGAGTGCAGTGGTTAGCCTCTGGGAGAGCACTGACACAGCGTGGCTGAGCTCCAGCCTCTGTGCTGACCTTGGTGAAGGGTGGAGAGGATGTGTAGCTGTGCCACACTGAGGTTAAGCTGCAAAGTGATAGCACTAACTCTGTATTTTATCCTCATTTTATCCCCAGAGGATTAGTCTTATTTTGTACGTTTTCAAGTGCCATTTCCATAGTTGTGATGCCTCTACCAATTTTCTTACAGAGATTTGGTTTCAAGATGGTCTAGGCAAGATGTTATCGCAACATTTTTTCTTGGTGGTTCGATTCAGGACTAAACATGTTTATTAACTGACCCACTGAGCATTTTTTGGTGTAAAAGAGGTCTAATAGACGTCTAAATGTAGCCTAGATGACTGGTCTAAAATCAGGCTACCACAGGTCTAAAAATTAAAGTTTTTTTAGACGTCTAAATTTAGCCCAAGTTTAAACCTAGTCTAAATCCGGGCTATATCTATCCTACACTGTATATTGCTTATTGGCTATCACAATTGTTTTGGTTAGTACTTGGAGTCACAGCTGCTTTTTGAAATAAATAGTTATCTGATAATGGGTTAAAGTGCAACGTCTAAATTCCGTCTAAAAATATACTGAATCTAGACGGTTGAAATTAGGTCTAAAAAAATAGATGTCCAATATCCATCTATTGCTCAGTGGGGAAAGTCAGTGAGCAAACTATGGCGGGTCTTTGAAAAGGATGTAACAGGGCTGCCAAGTTTCAGAAAATGACAAGAGTAGGACTTTAGTGTTATGATGTGTTTGGCTGCTGACCTGTGGTCTGCGGCGAAAAAAAATTGGCCTTTTCTAATGTCGATTTATACCTTAAGACTTAAGACTTAAATTTTAATAAACCAGAAATTAGAAAGCCGTTGCGTGTGAAAGATAGTTAGACGCCAAGAGCCGCCTTACGTTGATTCTGATTGGTTTATATTGCATGGTGCCTTCCATGGTTGGTTAGATTTAGGCACAAAGGACTGATGGATTGGTCTGGGATTGATTATCTCAGTCAGTCAATCAGAGTAACTTGAACTACGGCAAGCCAAATGTCAAGTGTGGCGTGTGGTGGGAGAATGGGTTAAATTGCATGACTGTCACACTCAAAGCATGACGCTTGGCAGCTCTGATATTGGGTGACATTTGAACCATTCACCGTGTTTTGTCCTCCATATAATCTGAAGACAAGACTAGGCAGTATGTCAGTTGACACAGTTACCATTAGTCCAGTTGTATAAATGATGTACCATTTACATACCTTATTTTTATCTTCTGAGATATAGATTGAAAAAAGTATTTTGAAAACTAGATTTCAGGTGATTGTTTCAGTCATTTTTATTATTTCTCAACAATCTGTAGTCGACCTGATAAGATGGCCTGCAAATTAAATGAAGCTGATATCTGGGTTTCTTATGACTGCTTGTCTTTCATGCCTCATATACAATATTACAACATTCACTTAATCCTAGCAATTAACGTTTTGAGTAGAGTGAACAATTGATAGAAACAATTAAATAATAAGCCGGAATAATCCTTAAACACAATTAGCATGCCTCTCTGCTCGCTCCTTCTCATTCTTTCCTCTCAAACTCCCCCCTTCTTCCTCCCTGGCTCTCGCTCCAGTTCACTTTTGGATGAGCCCCAGTGCCTTTGAACCTCTCTCAGTGCGTCCCCCTTCTCTAAGAGCTGAGCCAAGAGAGGTTTGGAATAAAAATGTATTCTCTCTTGTCTTCTGACAGACTTTGCCTGTAGCTTTCCTCCTGTGGGGGACAGGTGACAATGATTGGTAACTTTCACACACACACACACACATACACACCTTCTTTCTTGCTACATAAGGGCACACCTGAGTAGCGTCGATGTGGGAAGCAAGAGTCTATCAGAAAGGAAAAGCCCCAGGTGACTTCTAGAGGTTTGTCATTATTTATTGACCACGAATCCCCCAGAGTCTCTGTCAGTCACAATCTCGGACTGGAGGTTGTTAAAGTGGGGTGCAGGGGTGGATTTAAGGCGTGTCTGACACTCATATCTTTTGGCATTATGTCCCTTGACAAGGCGCAAGCACATAAGGGACACCAGCATACTCCAAACTAATGGAAAATATATGGCAATGTAAAGAGAAATGTCAGAAAGTGTAACATATTCTGGGATCAGGGAGTGCCTGATCCCATTTCTCCCCTATCCCATCAATCTTATGTTCTTTAAGACAACCAGCCAAACACACAGGTATTAGAGTACAAATATTGTTATGGAAAAATCAGCCCCTCTGTCATACTTGGTGGTGAACGAAAACAACACATGGTCACCACCCATTCACCCTGCGAGTCAGTCATTTAGACAAGCAGGTAGGCTAACTATCTGACTACCTATCTGTCTTCTTCTTGACAGGGTTGTCGCCAAGGTGAGCATTTAGAAAGACAATATTGGACAAGGTGCCTTTCCTGCCCCCTGGTCAAGCAGCAGGGAGAGAGGGAATAGTTTAGATGTGGAGTCAGCTGATTTCAACACAGGCATGCTCTGATCAGACAGATGATTCAATGCTTCTGTGGATGACAACAGATGCCCAGTGTATCTGTTTTCATTGTGGGGGTTTCACTACTTTTTACTTGCTTTGCTTGTTGCCAAGTTTCTCAAAATAGTGCCGACTAGTACTTTCAGAAGTAGCCTTGTCAATTGGTTTGTGAAACCCCTGATTCATACCTCCAATTAGTGCAAGGTTTAAAATAAAATTGATCCTGAATGCTTTGTATTCATGTGATTCAGTGCAGAATAGTGCCCTCTGCTGACCAATATAATATTGTATTATTATATGGACTTCTTTAATGCAATTACTTTAGATAAATTTGATCTTGAGGTGAGAACTGTCCTTCATTTTTTAAAACTTATTGCCTTTCTTAGTTTCCTGACATCCCTTGTGTTGAATTATGAAAGGCTGAGTTGCTTCCTGGTTTGTGTATATTTACGCGTCTTGTGTTTCATTGATTCAACCTTGGTTCCATCTGTCAGATCCACACTCTACATGAGTACCGCACGTTGTATCCCTGCCAAAGAAACCCACGATTAATCTAACCTGTCCCAGAAGCTCTTCTTACCACCTTTCCCCTCTCTCTCTCTCTCTCTTTCTCCCCTGCTGTCAGGTCAAACTGGCTGAAACCATGCTGCGGGCGCAGGGCAGCTCTGTGGCAGGTCTGTCTGCTGTCAGCAGGCTTCAACTGTTTCTTGGTGGCCTGTGTCATTTTGGTGGTGCTGCTGCTGACACTGGAGCTGCTCATAGACACCAAGCTGTTGCAGTGTGAGTGCCCTTATTCTACTGACTGTTTATATTGGGTATTGATCATGAGAAGTAGGATTCAAGGACATGACTCTGAGGTGGTTTGTAACTATACTATACTATACTATACTACACTATATTTTACTTACTTCACTATACTATTTTATGATATATTTTATACTATATAATATTTTACTTACTTTACCATACTATGATATATTTTATGATATTTTACTCACTATACTACACTATACTTAATTGTGCTATACAATTCTATACTATACTTAATTTTGCTATACTAAACTACACTATAGTATGCTTTACTATACTATAATATAATATAATATATTTTTCCTACTTTACTATCTTATACTATCCAATACTATATTTTACTTACTTTACTTTACTTTACTTTACTAGACTACAATATATTATAATTTAATATATTTTACTTACAACACTATTCTATCAGATACTATACCTAATTTTGCTATACTAAACTATACTAAAGTATGCTGTACTGTACTGTACTGTAATATAATATATTTTTCTTACTATACTATACTATGCAATGCTATACTATACTGTACCGTACTATATTGTACTATACTATACTATACAATACCATACTGTACTACAGTATACCATACTATACTATACTATATTATACTAATATACTGTATAATGTATGTAACTTACTATACCATACTATACTATATTTTACTTACTTCACTTTACTTTATTTTACTTTACTACTATATAACAATAAATTATAATATAATATATTTTACTCAATGTTCTATATTTTTCTTACTTTACCATACTATACTATACAATTATATAATATATGTCACTTACTATACTATACTATACTATACTATGCTATACTATACTTTATTTTATTTACTTAATTTGCGATACTACTATATATTATAATAATATATTCTACCCACTATACTATACTATACTATACTATACTATATTTTACCTCTTATACTATACTCAGTTATACTACACTTTACTGTATTGTGCCACACTATACTGCACTTACTTACTATACTATACTGTACTGTTCTTACTCAATATATTACACTATACTATACTTTATTTGACTTACTATACTATACTATACTATGCTTCACTATACTGTATTGTACTATGCTGTACTACATGTGCAGCTCAGAAAATACAATAGCATGAAAAGGTCAGTCATTCCTTTTAAAAATACCATGCATCTGTTAGTCTAATGAAATACACGCTACCACAGTCATGTGCAAGACTGCTGAATAGACAGTTGTCTTGAAGAGAGTTAGCTTCAGAAGGTCATTGCTGAAAAGGCGGGCTTTTCGCACAGTGCTGTATTGAAGCATATTAATGAACGATTGATTGTGAGGGAAAAATGAAGAAAAAGTGCACACAGATAGCAGAGATGACTGCAACCTTGAAGAGATTGTCAAGAAGTTGATGCTAGAACTTGGGGGAGATTAACAAGGAGTGGACTGAAGCTGACATCAGTGCATCAAGAGCCGCCACACACAGACGTCTGCAAGGAGGGGACAACAGCTGTGGCTTTCCTCATGCCAAGACACCTCTGAACCAGAGACAGTGTCAGAAGTGTCTCACCTAAGCTAAAGAGATGAAGAACTAAAGTGCTCAGTTTTCCTAAGTCCTTTTTTTTTTTTGGATGATTTTGCATCTATCTCATGAGTGAATTTTGCATTGATCAAAGTCTCAGAGTCTGCAGAAAGAGTACAGAGGAACCAATCCAGGGTGTTTGAGGTCCAATTTAAAGTTAGCGCAGCCTGTGATGATTCTGGTGCCATGTCGTTTGCTGTTGTTGGTCACTGAGTTTAAATGGAGTCAAAAGTCAACGCAATGTACCAGGAGCTTCTAGAGCACTTCACATCTCCATCTGCTGCCAAACCTTTTGCTTGAGATGCCTATTTCTTTGACCTACCACCTGCCCACAGTGCCAAAACTACAGCTAAATGGTTTACTGACCATGGTAGTACAGTGTGTGATTGGCTGGCCAACTTGTCTGATCTGAACCAATTAGAGAATTCAGTGAGGTTTTGTCAAGAGGAAGTTGAGAAACACCAGATCTGATTTCCACCAAACCACATCACATTATGCGGGAGATCCAGAAAAAAAGCCTGTATTAGGTCTTAATGTACAGACTTCTAGGCAAGTTTGGATTTACATTGGATTTACAGCAAATACTTCTAGCAAATAAAATAGTAACATGGGCATTTCTATGTTATGGTGTCACAGGACAGAACACAGAGCACTTTGGCAGAGTGCTGTCACTGGCCGCTGTCAAGTCTTTAGCCCTCCTCTGGGACTAACTGACCGACTAATGGGGCAGACGAAAGAGGAGTATGACAAATGCAGGGGGATTACCAGACAAAGAAATCAGACGATACGGAGTTGACTGGAGGATGAATAAAGAGAAGACTGAAGGAAGATGAATAGACTGATAGACAGATCACTGAACACAGCAAACAAAGACAAATGGGAAAGAGGCGGTGCATGAAAAGAAATGCCTCGACTGACAGCTGAGCACTGTTTGAGGCTATTCACACTTAGCCTCATTAATAATCAGAAAGATATCGACACATGCATGTACAGTATTTGGTGAATTTATTAATGAGTTTGCTTTATGCCTCAGTCTGTGAATTTATATATAATGAGTTTTTCTTACTGCACACTATCAGTTTGAAGCAGACAGTAACAGCTGTTAAAAACATACTTAAAAACAAATGACTGCATCAAATCAAAACCAGCTTTTTCTCTTTTAATCCCACAGTTAATAATGCATTCCAGTTTGCCAGCATCATCCACTGGATTAGCCTGGCTATTCTCTCGGTGTTCTTCACTGAGGTGAGTCTCTATGTTTCCCCCAGTTTCACTTACAGCTGAGGTAGCGGCCCTATCCATTAATGCTATGTTGTGCAGTATGTGGGGCCACTGAAGTACACCGACAGCTTCTCATTAGAATACTAATGACCCCGTGAAACGCCCCATGCCCTCTGTCACAGCTTGATTCGATTCTGATGAGGAGAGGTGAACCCACCTAAAGCCCTATTAGAAGTGTACTTAGCAGAAGTGACAGCCAAGTCTCACAGCCTAGATCCGCATCGGTGTGTAGACGTTAGAAAACATGTAGAAGTGCTGTTGTTGGAGCTGGCACAGTCGCTCCCTCTCAGGTTCTTTCATTGATTCGCAGCACAAACACTTTAAAATGCAGATGGAGCTTTTCTGTGCTGCTAGTTTTAAATAATTTCAAGGCTGCAGGTGTACTGTATTGATTTCCATTTTCTCTACGGCAAGCCACATTTGTCTTAGTTTTCTACAACAGACCACCCCACTGCTAACTTTTGTGTCGCTGTAGTTTTACTTATCAATAAAAGCCACCCCTTGGTGATACATTGACTTGGAAGAAACAGCAAAGGGGGTTGTTTTTTTTTACTTTAGTGCAACCTTGAATATGTGAAATGAGGAAGGGGGCTTAAAGGGCGGATGCAGCAGATTAATAGAGACAAAGGGAGGGTGGTTCGCCCTCTACATCCCCTGCTGCATCAGCACAAGCAGCAACTTGCGGTACCTCTAATTGTTTGGATGAAATCCTAACTGGCCACCTGCAATGAATATGATGTCTTTGATGAATTAGCTGTGCAAGGATGAAAGAAATCTGAAAGTAGTTGCAAATAGCATAAACTGCGGCTTTTAGAGATGAAAAACACTAAGTAGTGTAAGAAAGCTGTGATTTTTTTATTTTATTCTTACCTAACCTGAAACCTGCTCTCTGCCCCTGTCTTTGTCCTTCTGTCCGTCTCAGACGGTGTTTAGGATCGTGGTGTTTGGGATATGGGATTACATAGAGAACAAAGTCGAGGTAAGCTCCCATGGGTCTCGTTAGTCCTGTTACTCTGGGCCCCTTTCACTGCTGTGTCATTCCCACAATGTCAAACCACAGTGGAAGCGAAAAAGATGAAACGATATCCACGGGTGTCTGTGTCTGTCTGTTTATTTTTCAGGTGTTTGATGGAGCTGTCATCGTTCTTTCCCTGGCCCCCATGGTGGCCTCCACAGTGGCCAATGGGCCCAGCAGCCCTTGGGATGCTATCGGCCTCATCATCACACTGCGCATCTGGAGGGTCAAGAGGATCATTGACGGTGAGGCTATAGGAGGAGCTGATGTCCTAAATGCCCTTTCCTGTCAGGTCACAGCGGTGGATACTGCAGTGTGCTCTCTCTAGTATCTGAAACATTCAATCTTGAGGTTGTTTGTTTGGTTATATTTTTCTTTTTTATGATTTTGAAACAAGAAGAAAGGTGAGGCTTCATCTGTCACACTGAACCTGTGTTGAGAACTACAGCAACATGCATTCATTTTATCACACATGCAAAATACATACAGACCATTTTGTGTTGTAGGCAGAATGCTTCTTAACTAAGCTGCTCCCCCTTGTGGCTTTTAGATGTAAACGCGTGGGAGAGTAAGAGCATATGACAAAACAAAAAACCACAAACTCATACCTTAAAGCCACCTATTTATTGATTTATTCCATCAGAGACATAACTGTGCAACACATTCATAGCATTTGCCAACATATGTGTAATATACATATTTTTTTAGGATACACTTAACGACATTACACTTTCATTTTTTAGCCTATGTTCTGCAAGTGAAGGTGGAGATGGAGCTGGAGATCCAGCAGTATGAAAAAGCCAAAGCAGTGAGGGAGGAGCAGCTTGACCGTCTCACCCAGATCTGCCAGGAACAGGCAGTAAGTCCTCTTTTTTTGTTCAACATTTGTTACTGTCTTAAAATCTTTAGCTGCACGTAACCAGAGGAGGGCAGCAACGCACAACACAATGACACAAAATTCAATCTCCAGGAGGCCTGCAGAAATGATCCAATATGATCACTTGAATTTACTTTTACAGAAGTCTTTTGGATATCGAATAGCCAGCACAAAGTACCATCTTAAAGCAGTCTATTGACCACTTCCCAATTTGATAATAGCTCTTCTGTTATTGCTTTATGTCATTTCACTCCGCAGCAAAAGTGTTACTCCAAGTGCATCCACTGAGAGCTGTGAATTTCTCAGATATCAACCGATTAGAAGAGGCGCGTGTAGAAAGAAAGTTTTTAGAGTGATAATGTGCAAATGCCTGCAGTACGTGTAGAAATGATCTGGAAATATAATATGCAAATAAAATATGAACTTGAACAGGGACATAAGTTTACATCATGCTATTTTGTCATGTTGTAATTTCCTCACTTTAAATGTAAAAAAAACGTCTTTCTTCATTAATTTGTCCTTTTTTCTTTTTAGTTCGAAATCAGGCAGCTGAGAGCCCACCTGGCCCAGCAGGACCTGGATCTGGTAGCAGAGCGTGAAGCAGCCATGCAGATCCATCATATGTGGGGTAAACAGAGCAGTAGTTTCCAGGAGGTGGATGGCCTGGCCCCGGGGGCCTCAGAGCCTCATGGGTCAAACAAGACCAGAGAGCCCGGGGGGGCAGCGGGTAAATCACCTGAAGTATTTGACTTCTTTCAGTCTGAGATCTCTGTGCATCCATGGTGTGGATGGAGGGCATTTTAGGTTAGGTCCTAAAATGTCCTTAAGGCTTTCTAACCAGAAGAAAAGCAGTTTGTTCATATTTGGCAGATGTGACTGTTACATTGCTAAGATTGATTACAGATGACAAAAAATATCTCAGAAGACTGGAACACACTCAGGCTTGTTTCTGACCTCATGCGATTAAAAAACTGACAGAGAAAGTAAACAATCCCCCTGCTGTGGAGCTCCACACTGCTTTTGTCAGGACAGTGTGTTCATTGTGGACACATTGTTTGTTTCCTCTTTTCAAAATCATTCATCTTACATCCGCATCAAAATTCTGGTGCCTCACCCAGATGGACTATAAACCTCTTACACAGTGACAGGTCATAACTTACATGGCTTAAAGCAACAAAGTGCTGTCAGTGCTTGTGATGTCAGGGCTCAAAAGACGAAGGCTTTTCCTTTAAGCTATAAATCACAGCGACCTGACATGCATCTGAGCTACGGCGTTACCAGTCGCACATCCTCCTAACAGGCTGCTCTTGATGTGGTATTGATCAAATGGAGATGGTTTCTGTCAAAGATTAGGCTGCCCTAAAGAGATTAAATTAATTTGTGAATTTGAATTGAATTTTTTTGGCTTGGTTGAAGTTTATTTTGAACATATAAATAATAATAATAATAAAAATAAAAAAGTAAAGAATACAACAATAAATGACAAAAAGTTATTCCTTCAAGAGGTCGAGACTTATCTAATCCCACTCCTTCTCCTACACTATTGATTTAAATATGTATCATAATATTATATAATAATATTAATAATCACAATAGTTATAGCAATAAAAATAATCACCACAGTTAAAATAACAAAACGATAATAATAATGATAATGATAAAAGTAACTGATTGTACATCCCTGTATCCCATGAAAACATATTCTTTATATTTTGTTTTAAACTGTATGATGTTTGGACATTGTTTTAACTCCTTTCAAATCTTAATGAATCCTGTGGGAGCTCAGTGCTTCTCATCATCTGTTCCTTATAGTTTATAAATATAGATTTGCTGTGAAGCACATCATGTTTCAAGCAAAAATCTTTGTTTTTCCACATTATTTAAAACCTACTGGCATCAGAAAAACACTTCGCATTGACTTAAACTCAAATCAAGGTATTGGCATTGCTATAGAGAAATACTGCATCCACCTTCCTATCGATTCAGTTTGAAAAATGTTAAGTGGTTTTACTTTTTTGTGTCTGAGGGCATATTAAGAGTTTTTTTCCCTTCTTCAGATCACCATGGTCAAGATGACATGAATAACTACATCAGCCAGTACTACAGTGAACAAAGCAGTGGTGAGCTTCAACTACATCCTGTTTTTTTTCCTCAGCCCATTTAAACCCACAGTATTTTAGGCTCTGTGCATTATGTGTTCTTGCTTTTATAGATATGGGAATCCCAGACCCTGCACGAGTCATCACCACAGCAGCCATAGACGTGCATCTGCCCAACAACCCCAGCCAGCTTCCCTCTTCTTTAGTGAGTGCTGATGCAGTGCTCTCCAGCCGATTGCAGCGAACAGGAAGCTCGGTTAGCGAAGCCTCCACCACCACAGTGTCCCGCACCAGCTTCAGCGCTCGGCAGCACAGCATTAGCAGCCACACGCTGGGCTCCACCACAGACTGCAGCTCCACAGTGCGGGAAGCCTCCACCTCTACAGATTACAGCGACCAGCGCTGCTATCCCCCGCCCTACAGCAGCCCTCTTGCACTGGGTACTCAGCCCCGAGGGAGTCCTAGCGCTGTGGTGCAGGAGCTGCTCTCCTCTCTGTCTGAGGACTCCTGTTTGACACAGAAAGGCCTCGATCCTGTTAACCTGAAACCTCCCAGCCCTGCTGGTTCAACCAAAACCAGCCCTGAGCTGGAGCACAGGCTCAACATCTATAACAAGAGAAACCAGGACAGCAGAGTTGGGCTGCACTCCAAGCCTCTGATTCATCTGCAGAGCAATGAGCCTCTCCTAGAGGAGAAGTACAGGATGATGGAGCCAGTGGACGTCCCAGTCAACCGCCTGTCAGAAACATAAGACTGCCTGGAACTGGGAGCCTCGGGGGACTCCTCAGATCACCAACACAAATTAATGCTCTGCTAAACTCAGATCAGGTTTGGAGTCACAGGCACATAAATGACAGATCCTCTTTATATTTATGAAACGGAGAGGATGAAACTACCACAGCAGCACAAAAAAAACATGAGACTGAAGACTGGAAGAAGCAGACTTATTATGTGGCACCACTTCAGGAATCAACTTTCACAAAAACACTTTTTTGAGTTTTATGAAAAATTTTACCAAGAGAAACCAGCAAAAGGGCTCCAGCCTGACATTTTCAGACTTCTGGTTTTTGCGGAAAAATATCCGGCAAAGTTGAGGACTTTCTCTGACTTGAAGGAGTTGAAATACTGATCAGGTCTTTTATTGAAGGGGCCAGAAAAAAACTTGAATAAATTCCTCCAAGCTTCAAGGCGTGGATCGATCACAACAGCAGGTGATTCAGCTGTTTGAAAAGTCAGGGTAGTGGCGCTTAACTCACAGAGAAGAGTCCTCTTCAGCAGGGTTCATGGATCACACCTTCTTTTTCTTTGTCTTTCTATATTAGCAATGTTAACATTTCTATCAAAATTCTATAAATGGAAGGAGTGGATCAAACTTTTCACTGGTGGATCATTTGAGCTGTTTGGAGTTTTTATCTTGGTACAGAGACTAAAACAAGTGCTTACTGAGATTTTGCAAACACAGGTCCTTTTCTCAGCGATTTGATTGAAATCCAAACCTGTACCTGAGAGTTTTACCATCATTCAGGTTAATATGTTTTTTTTTTTTTTTTAATGATTTCAATGTTTGGACGCTGTGTAAATACTTTAAGATTGGTTTGATCGTTGTTGAACAGCCAAAATAAGTGAGGGATAAGAAAATGTTAAAGAAAATTCAAGCATGAACCTTCAAGATTTGCCTCCTAAATAATCAAAGAATTGTTCTGTCATCAGACGTTTTTCTATCTTAATTATTGAACAAGGGCATTAAAAAATGGATCTAATAAAAGACAACTTGGAAAAAAAGAACTAGTAATGGGGCAGTCAATTTAATACACGTTTTCACCTCAACAAGTAAAAATCAACTCGATAATCACAAAGATCTACATCAAGTGTCAAAGAGTCAGCAGTGAAGAGACAAGCATTTCTACAGATGTCCTTTACTGTACCTGAAAATTACAAACTAATGACAATCAGTACCAATACAGGCAAATCACACCCCCTTGGTATTTATCTGTAGTTTAAGAATAGCCTCCTGTTTTCAGTTTGACAGGGATGTTTAAAAAGTTATTTCTGCATGCAGACAAAGTTATGTGAAAACTCCACAGCTTCAGAAATGTGTTAAGGCATCGGCTCTGGTATCCTAAGCTTTCTTTTTACTGCAGGCCCGAGTTGTGATGTTTTGTGGTACTTTGTTTTCTTCACTTGTCCAGAGCCTCGGTCATCTCAGGAACAGCCTGAAAAAGAAAACATTGCAGAAACATAAATGTATTATTAAATGTATTGAAAGATGGCACAATGGCAGTCATGAACTAAAAAGAGCTTTTTCTTGTGTTTTTTTATTTTGTTTGTTTGTTTTTGCTGCAGATGTGTGGCAGCTCTGAAAACTCCCCTGTACTAATAAGTGCTTGGTTTTAAAAATGTAAATTCACAGTAGATTTCTTTTCAGAATCGAGATGAAGAAATACACCTTTCTGTCATGAATCCTTAACTTCTGAGGCACCTGTCCCGAGATTGATAATTGTTTTAATTGGTCATTGTTTCATTATTTCACTACAAACCATTAAGAATGCGAGAGCAGCAGCAAACAGACATTTATCACAGTTATTAGCATGGTGAAAAATACAAAGAAAGATTCTATATTGATTGGCATCTGGCTGATAATTATGTTCAAAATGTCGTCTATGAAGTTGCAATGAGGAAAAATATAAAAGTATTTTTGGTGGAAATACGAGGACAAATTTATTCTATTTGTGCCGCGTCTGCAATGCAAAATGATTAATATGGTGATTATTACTTCAAGGAAATGATAAAGTAATGATCGTAAATGTTCTTCCTTGAGCTGCGTCACCCCACTGTAGTCTGTAATGGACTGGCCTGAAGTCTCGCTACAAACCAAGCGGCTGCTGGAAGAGAGTAGGTGAGTTGTGTTTAGTCTCTTTGCTAAAGAAATTAGGTAAAGTTAAAAAGATGTTTGGTGGCTAGTGCTGTGGCTGGGACCCTATATGTACTGTTGATAAAGTTAGGTGCTGTTCTGAGCATTATTTGTGGCTATAGAGTGGCATTTTGGTTGAGGTTTGTTTATGGCTCCTCAGACCGCTGTGTATTGCTATCGTGCGGTCAATACTAAAGTTTGTATAACTAGAGAAGCAAGCAGTCGGCAACATTCATCTCTCAATGGGGTGTCTAACTTAGTGTTACGGTGCGTTTGACTCTAACTTAATTTTACGCCGGAATATCCCTTTAAGAGCTGCCCAGGTTGGGCCAGGTATCAGCTATCCATTTGAGGAAAAAGTAGAAAGTTCATCCATTTTAATCAGCCATCTGAGGAGTGAACATGTGTAAGCTGATCTCACCCAGCGGGTCACAACTCTGCTGTCGCTCGCTATTTATTACAAACTACCCTGACAGAGTTTGTGCGGACACCTGTGCTGCTCTTGCCCCACTGCTAGGCTAAATAAAACATCACCTGATTATAACCTACTAGGTTTTCACAGGCAGCACTGGACTCCACTGTTGATTATGCCAACAACCCTGGCTCACTATCCTAAGCTACCGGTAAGATACAAGAAAGCAACAAGGCGTGTAAAAGGCCTGGCAAGAAGAGACTGAACGGAATAGTGAAGCAACCTTATAAGTGCTATTGATCAATCTTTATATCTTTGACAATGCTAATGTGTTTCTTTGTTTGCAGCAAGTTCAGCCATCGCTCTCCCTTGATTAATTCAAGAACTTAATAATTTAGCAGTCGCACATTTCCATTAGGTGGAATAAATAAGGCATCGTGCAAAATTTATCAGTGAGAATCCAAATGTCATATTCTGTCACTTTGGACGCTCAGCTATGAAAACATACAGTTGAAGTTACATAAAGTGGCATGCTGGGTGATGTAACTTTGCTGTTTGGATGCTTTCTGATGCAATACAGCAGTGACATTTCTGTAACAGTGTCAACCCCAAAGGTTTACCTTGAAAAGATCTGCCACCAAGCCATAGTCTGCAACTTGGAAAATAGGAGCTTCTGGGTCCTTGTTGATAGCGACAATAGTCTGGGTAAAAAAAGGACATGATTAACACTAGTACACTTATTCCTAAAAAGATCATTAGGTTATTAGCTGTGGTGCAGACAATATTTTTAATAGAGCAAACAAAACAGAAATGGCCAAACATCCTGACTTCTATGTGTGTGCGCAGGAGCTGACAATACCTTGCTGTCTTTCATTCCAGCCAGATGTTGAATAGCTCCAGAGATCCCAACAGCAATATACAACTCCTGTGGACATGAAAAGATGACAACAAGACGAGTGTTATGTGCTTGGAGACAGGAAGTCGAATATCAGGTACACCTACGATCTACTATACAGCAGAGCTGACTGATAATAATTCAAGGGTGCACACTCTGTCAGAGGGTTGCTGGAGCACGGATGCAAAAGGGTCAGCTGCCCCAAAACCCCACAGGGAAAACCAACTCTCCGCCCTAGTTTAATGCACTGCCATATGAATATTTCAGTGATAATTTAATGCTGCAGCTGAAGCCTCAGAGGAGCAGAGCATCAATTTGTAAACACAATAGCTTTTCAACTCAGAGGAAAATGTATGAGGTAACTTCTCTGCTGAAGAGACAATGACAAGAGAATCTGCAGATTTCTATTCGAAATGACCAATTTGTGAAACTTTGTTTGAAGGTAGCTGGGAGCCTTGAGCAAATCCAGCTCAGTTTCATCTTGTGGGGCTGTTTTATTTTATTTTTTATCTTTCACCCCAATAAATATTTTGTAGCCTTCACTCTGAACACTCTTTTTACTTTGGGAAATTATAATGAACCGTCTTTGCACATTTTGATGGTTTATAGATCAACTGAAAATACAATTAGACAGTTTTAGTCCTAAAACAAATTAAATGAAAAGCTTATCTTGTGCTGCACACTCCTAAGACATTTTTAGATTTTATGAAGTTAAAAACACTGACTACATTTAAAGTACACTAAACTTGTCAGAATGTTCGGAAAATCCAATTTGGACAGTCTGGCTCTGCCCAAGGCTCTTACCAGACATCCACTGCTCTCTGCTTTAATGGGTCTGCCAAACCATTTAGTGCCCTAAATGCACCACAAAGTACACTTTGCAGGAGCCTAATGTGTGGATAATCACAGCTGGTGTAACTCAGCTGACTCACATAATGGGAAGTTAACCTTTTTAAAATGGCAGAAGATCTACTCTAATCATACTGGGTTGCAGGCACGCTGTGTAAAGGGAAGCAAGCATTTGTCAAACGCAACAGATTTGTCTACTCTGATATTAAAAGTGAGGTTAAGTGAGGTTCCCTGCCTTCCAACTTTTTTGAATGTACCATTTGACATTTTGAGTAACTTGTTCATTTAGATATTTATCTAATTTGATTAATTTTGTCTTTGATTAAGAGGACGGCCAAGAGACAGTGATTGTCAGGAGGAAGAGGTGAAGGGATTACATACAGAAAAGAACCAAATATTTCATATTCATTGTCTCACATCTATTATTTTCTTGAACAGAAACAGAAACTGAAATGAAACCTCATCATCGTGTCAAACTTACCGGTGCTACAATTTTGCCTGTCTGTCCAACTTGCATGTCATTCGGGACATAGCCAGCGTCTACAGCAGCTCTGGAGGCACCAACTAAAAAAAACCCCACAAATTTAAACTCTGTTTGATGAAACAAAGTGTTCGGGTAATATCTAACTAAAATAGATAATCCAGCCCAACCTGCAGCATTCAGCTTGTCAGCCAGATCGTAAAGCAGCTTGAAGTTATCTCCACTCTTCAAACCCCTTCCTGAGAAAGAAGAACAACATTTAGTTTTTAAAATAGCAGCTGACATACTGAAAAAAAAACAACTCCTTAGTAATCATACAGGATGACACAGCAGAATTAGATTGTTTTAATCCTTCCAATGGCACAAGAAAAAATTCTGACCTCCTGACACCACAACTTTGGCGCTGGTCAGCTCCGGACGGTCGCTCTTAGTCAGACTCTGTTCAAGCCACTCGGAAACTCCAGCGGAAGCAGTTGCAGCAACTGTGTTCAACAGAACGGAGGATCAGACATTAAACAGAGGAGCATCATACATGAATTTATTTGTAATATTGAATTAAGGCAGTCACAGATTATTACTCAACAATAATTTACAGTCCAAGAGTCAAGTCATATGTAAAAGTGAACATAAACATGTCAGATCTCTCTGGAAGTCATCGCACCATCTTCCGATGAAGCACTTCCTCCTTCTACTGCAGCGGCCTCAAAGGATGTCCCTCTGACGGTGATGACCTTGACTGGCTCGTTACATTTAACTGTGCTGAGAGCATTTCCTGTAAAACCATAATTTGATTTGTCATTAAATATGATAAGCACTATTCAAGCATTAAAAAAAGTGGATCTAGATTAAAATTTTGAAAATGATATTAGTCACTGACTTACATTTATGGGATGTGGTGAACATTTAAATACAAACTACCAACAAATAAATATAAAGACTGAACGTGAAATTTTGCTACTTCCCTTTAGTGTGCAGGGACTTACCAGCATAAATGGTTCTGACAAAAGTATCTGGAGACTTGATCTCAATGATATCTGAAACTGGGGCGACATCCAACTTAGCAGCTACTCTGGGAAGCAAGTTCTGCAGGAAAATGGTGAGTAAGGAGTTAATTATGCTCTGGTCATACAAAAGTATTGTAGGAAGAAAGAGGTACCACATGCACACTGACTGTAACATGATCAACATCAAAATATCATGCAAAAGTTTCAGACTTTTAATAACTGAGACATCAAAAGTGTGTGGTAGTAGATTATGAAAACCTGTTCAAAGGACTATTTAAAACAAATATCTGTTAAATTTTATAAATGGTGCTCACAGAGGTACTTTTTGTCTAAACCTTACCTTTCCAAAGGCAGACGCCCCAGCACAGATGTGAGTGTAGTTGAATTGTTTTTGTGTTGCAAGAATAAGTGGGGTCAAATCCTCTGTTGGGGAAGAAATCAGAACAGAAACAAATTCAGGTATTTCTGATCCTGCCTGCGACTGCAACTGATTTATGAGCACAGATATCTCCACTTACACAGCTACTGTTTAGGTGCTCTTTGGCAAATCAGGTCAATTACTGTGACAGTTTCGTTTACTGAATATACATACAGAATAAAGTAGGTTTTTGCTTTGAAGAAAAAATTCTGTGCTAAATTTATAGAGCTCCTTTATCTACAGGATAACTATGGGCACTGTAGACCTTTCCTTTTACATACCTGGCAGGGAACCTTTGTAGGACTCATGCTGGGCGACCAGAACTTTTTTCACACCTTGTACCTTGCTGATTTCTTCTGCAACCTGAAATGATAACAAAAAAAAAAAACACTTCATACACTGTTCTGTATTCTTGAGTTTCCTGCATTTTAAATCATACATTACTACTCACAAATATCCACCTTCAACTATTTCATACCCCTCAAACTGTCTTAAGTGTCTTTCCTACCTTAGCACAGTCTGTTCCAGCAACCAGACAAGACACCTCTCCACCCAGCTTACTGGCAGCAGTGATGGCGTTGAGGGTGATAGGGGTCAGCTTTTCATTGTTGTGCTCTGCAACCACCAAGGTGCTCTGAAACCTCTGAATGAGGCCAGTCTGTGGAAGAAAATGTCTCATTAGTGTATGATGCACTCGTGAATCAGTCTAATACAACACTCAAAGTATCCTAAATCCATAAAAAATGAGTGACAAAGAGAGACAAAAGTGGGGTGATGCCCTTATAATTTGACAATGAAAATGGTGTCTCTCAACCTGTTACACATTGAAATTAGCTGATGAAAATTGATCACCAAATAAAATCTTCTATGACAAAATTGTAGTAAAATATTTATTTATTCCAATGACATCAGAACAGAACAACCCACTGGATTCAACATTTATGATTATGATTTTGAGTTAGTAGTTATTGATATCAACATAATTAACATTAACATAGTCCATAATTACTTCTATCCTGATCCTGTAAACTGAATTCATTTTGTTTCATCATTACTTGCTCTGCAACCACAACTTTGCATAAGCTGTTGTTGCTGCTGTCCCCTGCCTCTCCCTCCCTCCCTCCCTCTCCCTTGCTCATTCTCTCTCTCCTTCCCTCTGTCTTGTTCTCTTTCTCTCCCCCTGCCCTCTCTCCTAGTCCCCTCTCTCCTAGTCCTCTCTCCCCCATCTCTCTGTATCCCTGTATCCTGCTTGAGGTTTCTGCCTGTTAAAAGGAAGTTTTTCTTTGCCACTGTCACTCATGTTAAATGAGATGGGCCAAATCCCATCTTAGGTTAGGTCTTGATAATTTATTGAACAATGAGCGTGGGCTAGACCTGCTCTTTTTCTTTGGAAAGCCTCTTGGGATGACGACTGTTGTGAATTGGCGCTTTATAAATAACATTTAATTGATTGATTGATTGATTGATTGATTGATTGATATTCACTTTTAAATACACATCATATTATACATGCTGTGTCAAATGCTTTAAATGCAGATCTTGAATACGGTAGGTGAGCATCTGTTGAACTCAAAGTCGGATTGAACCATTAATACTGAAAGAGCCTGATAAGAGCTGACTGAAGGTCTGTCAAAGTCCAGCAGGATATTACCAGCCTCATCTGGACACCACTGGACCCTCTCATTACATAAAGGTCGCTCGGATTGAGTCAAAAACATACAGGTTATTTATCACCTCACGTGATTCTTCACGTGAGGCGTAACCTTAAGGTTTCAGGTGACACCAAAGATTGTATCTGTGTGTGACACCTGCAGCCTCAATGACAAACTTACAGTTTCGTAACAGCTGTTTTTCTCAGTTTCATAACCTCTCGGCTAACCATGCTAACACCAGCTGAGCGTATGATAACAACAGGACCATTAAACCTCGTAGTCTTTGTTCTTTCATTTCTATAATTTCAGTCTATGCCAGAAAAAGACAACAAAAGGCCAACACACGCACTATTCTAGTATCACAGCTTGCATTAGCAGAGTCTGAATTAGCCTACCAGCTAGCACTTCTGTCCTAAAGTAAACAGACCACATATACGAGCTCACTCTTAAAATCCGCCATAGACTCGAGTACAAAACCTGCAAATAATGTTGAGTAATGACTGTCAAATTCTTACCAGTTGTCTCAGACTTGTTTTGTTTAAAGCTCTGTTCATCTTGGACTCTTGCTGCTCGCTCCTCACTGCTGCAGGGACAGAAATTGTGCCATAGGTCGTATGACGTTGCGGCTTATTCTCGCGAGATCGACGATTCAGAACGAAATATGGTTCCCTGCGACTCACTTTATCATTGACAACTGTGTTTCACTGAATTAAAAACAAAACAGTAAAAAGTTTAACCTCGTTCGAGCCTTATTTGGCTGTTACCAACAAAGCACAACTGTCAGGATTTACTTTTTAATAAAAGGGCCATTTGTAGACTACAACAAAGCATAGGGGAGAGTGGGGTAAATTAAGCCAAAGGGTAAATTGAGTCACCCCCTGTTGCTTGGAAATGGTCAAAGAAATTGATTATGTGACCAAATATTTAGTAGATGGGCATCAATTTATAAAGTCTGTGAATGTTAGAAGCACATGGGAGAAGGGGTTAGACATTTATTTCCAAATTAAAAAAAAAAAAACATTTTTCACTCTTGAAAGTGAATTTAATCTGTCAAAAGTTTGATTAGAATTGTGTTCAGACCAAAAAAGATCATTTTAAATTTGTTTTATACATCAATTGTGGTATCTATGAGCTACAACATGAGGTCAAAAACCTCGCGTAAAAGTCCACCATTTTAGCTTAGAGGACTAATAAAATCACAATAGTAGTTCTGGGGTAAGTTGAGCCAGTGTCTCAACTGAGAAAGTAAAGGAGTCTGATGAGAGGATCAGAGTTTCAGTTCAGATTGTTAAAATGTTTTACTTTTTCTTTTCAAAAATACAGCTGTGAATGTTCTGAATCACTTAAAAACATTCTCATGTTAAAATGGCTTTTTACAAAACAGCTTTTTATCAGTTATATGTAATAATAATAAAAAGAATTATTGTGCCAATCGAATAGCGTATAAAAGATGAAAATACACATGAATGTGAAGAAGTGACTGTTATTTAGGGAGAGAGAAGGTGAGAGAGGACTTAGGTGGAGAGTGGGGGGGTAGTACGGTTACGGCTCAACTTACCCCACTCCTATGGTCAACTTACCCCATACACGGGGTAAGTTGACCATAGGAGACAACTTTTTTTGGCATGCTATATAATCAAGACAGTTATGTTTACACTCATTCTGTTGGTTTGCAAGGATAAACAACATCTTGAAATATATTCAGATACACTAGTTAGAGTCAAAACTATGATTACCTTGATGTAGTGATCTGAAATATGAAAAATGGCTCATCATACCCCACTCTCCCCTATAGAGTAGGCTTATATAAATTAACTTTTTAGAAAATGTATGTGTCTTGTTGGATTTCAGTAGGCTATCAGGTTTGACCTGGGATAGGTGATGGGGGTTGCTTCTATTTCATTAACTATAGCACTGCTTGGAAGCAGAGATTAAAATATATAAATATATTTTCTTATTATTTGATAAATTTATCCAAAAATGTAAATGTAACTGTCCCCCAGATAATGAGAGCCTCACTTAAAAAGAAAGAATCTGTAAACTTAATAACTTTTGATGCTCTGTAAATTTCTCCAGATAGCCTTTAACTTGCTGTTTCTTTTCCCTTTTTTATACATATTACTGAGCTTCACTAGATGATTCATATAAGGAACTCAAGAGCAGTAAATCCGGATATATAAGGATATTTTTGGATCTATTCATCTATCTATTAAATGAAAATAGTTTATGGCCAAATCATGGTATATTACTCTTATTCTAAATACTGCAATGAGGTGATTGCTCCCTGTGTCAAAGGCTTACAAAAGATCCCAAATTCATCCAGTAGAGGGCTCTCTACAACAGGACGACACCATTGGTGACCCATTACGCACAATACAATATAAATAGCCTCAATAAAACAAATAAATAGATAGTATTGATAAAAAATGTAATGGTTTTTTAAAATGAAAAGTCATGCGTACTACAAACACGAAACCCCAAAGAAAACAGCGATGAGTAAATACAATTTTTAATATGTGAGTCAGAAAATGACAACCACCGATCCATACATTTTTATTTTTCATTTTTACGCCTATATCGTAAAAATCCAACAAAAAATAAAGAAATAAACCTACACACAAAACTCACCACATAACTGTAAGAAATCAGCACTTCAATTTCATAGACCTGAATATTTAAATGTAAAAAAATACAATCAAAAATTGTTCCGATCGTTAATTATTAAATCAATTTAATAGAAGGTGCAAAAGCAGCATTCTCACAAAATCTTGATCCCTCTCAGTAAGTACGGGGTTTATTTACAGAAAGTACCTTCACACAGTAGTATATGGCAAAGAGACAGACAGGAAGCTCAAAAAGGATGAAAAAAGAGAAACTTTCAAAGGTGGTCTATGAAGAAAAAAAAAGAAAAAAGAGAGAGAGCAGGGGTCCAGGGGGAGATTTGTATGGCACCCTCTCTCCCTGGACCCACAGAGGTCCAGGTCTGCAGACGTCACTGGTCGAGAGGATCTTTGTTTTCTCTCCACCTCTCGGTGGAGGAAGTTTCTCCACAGCCTGGGACGGGACGGTCTCCTCTGCCGCTCCTCTCTTTCCATCTCTCGGCTTGTTGGCTCCTGCGCTCACTCTCCTGTATGGTGGATATTCTGCTTAATACTTCTTTCTTGGATGATATGGGGGATCATTCCAAAAGTAAGTTCCTCACTCTTACAGCCTTCTCTTTTATTGCCGTTTTCTTTACTCCACGGCATGTCTTTTTAACCTGATGGTTTATCACTATAGTGCAGTTTGGATACTATCAAAAACTAACAAAAAGCACTGTAACTAATAATCTCTAATATCTCCAAAATATCCTAATTTAAACTTGAAAATTATCTGAGGTGACCTTTGACTATCCTGATCTCCTAATTCCTCGATATTTCAGAGGAGGCCCATCAAAGCTGTTTGTTGTGATCTAGCATTGAGTCTAAGGTGGGGGGTGAACTGAAGGGGGTTTAACAGGGATGTCTTGGGGATTAAAAGAGCGCGTGCAATGTTGCATTATTGCATTCCCCCTTTATACTCATGCAGAGAAGTCGGGAATCGCAATGTGTGTGGGCTGTGGAAGTCAGATACACGACCAGTACATCCTGAGAGTGTCCCCGGACCTGGAGTGGCATGCAGCCTGCCTCAAGTGTGCAGAGTGCAGCCAGTATCTGGACGAGACCTGCACGTGCTTCGTCCGAGACGGCAAGACTTACTGTAAAAGAGATTATACAAGGTAAAGGCTTTTATTATAACTCTTAGAGACTATGTTTTGCAAATGGAATATAATGCAATTATATTATATTATATTATATTATATTATATTATATTATATTATATTATATTAAATATTCTCTATACCATATTCTCAATAAAGGTGTGGAATTCAGATTCCTCATGGTTTTCTTTTCACATGACTCTCAGTATTTCTGAGTATGACACCACTGCACTCTCTCCGTCCTTATTTACAGGCTATTTGGCATCAAATGCGCCAAGTGTAACATGGGCTTCTGCAGCAGCGACCTGGTGATGAGAGCTCGGGACAGCGTGTATCACATGGAGTGTTTTCGGTGCTCGGTGTGCAGCCGACACCTCTTACCGGGGGACGAGTTTTCTCTGCAGGACGACGATCTGCTGTGCCGGGCGGATCACGGCTTGTTGTTGGAGCGGGCCTCCTCAGGGAGCCCGATGAGCCCGGAGAACATCCACAGCAGACCGCTTCACATCTCCGGTACGATAGAACACACGACTTGCACGACTATAAACAAACTCAGAGGAGTTCTTCAAAAATTTATAAGACGACCAGCGTATTTCTTTCCCTTCAAAACTTTTGAAATGTGGGGTAAATGTTAAAGAAGTTGACTGAATAGTATAGTAATAGTATTTTTTAGGAGGAATGGCCCTGTAAGATAACAATGGTAGTCTAAATACTTCCCTGTTAAAGTCGTCCTACAACTTGTCCTTATGTGGTTTCTGACGTTTTAGGCCTGAAGTGTTTTTGCAGGATTTTAACCCTTTAATGCCTTTTGTATCATATTTGATACATACTTTTACATACTTCTATCACTTAAAAAAAAACCACCTTAATACAGTCTGATAAATTATAAAAATGTCCTCTTGTAGTTTATCAGTTTCCAAGAACATCTAATGTATCAAACGAGGTAAATAAATATATTTGTTGAATTTTAAGGACGTTTTGGTTTTTTGGTTTTCAGTAGTAAGTAAAATAAACATTTCAGCTCCATAAAAATGTGGAAATTTCTGGCGATAATTTGTGGTGTCAGGTATTTAAGGGCTACAGAATAACCCCAGCAGCCTAAAGTCTATGTTTATTGGCTACTTCCAATGTTTTGAAAGAAGTTAATCCATCTGCCACATGTTGCCTTTATTACCAATTTTAAAAAGCATAATAAAATCATTCATTTTTTTAAATCAAACTTAATTTCTTTGTGTCTGTGATCTCCTTATTCTCTCCAGACCCGGTTTCGGTTCGACATCCCCCTCATCACAGGAACCACGTGCACAAGCAGTCAGAAAAGACGACCCGAATCCGGACGGTGCTGAACGAGAAGCAGCTCCATACCCTGCGGACATGTTATAACGCGAACCCGCGGCCGGACGCTCTCATGAAGGAGCAGCTGGTGGAGATGACCGGCCTGAGCCCCCGGGTGATCCGGGTCTGGTTCCAAAACAAGCGCTGCAAAGACAAGAAGAAGTCCATCCTGATGAAGCAGCTGCAACAGCAGCAACACAGCGACAAAACGGTGAGAGAATTACAGTATTACTCTGTGAAAATGAAACCGATTAGGCCTGAAGATGCCACACTCAAAACCAGTCGTTTCAGGTTGCAGAAGTTTAGTTTAAACCTGCTTAAAGTGGATAAAAATATAGCCGGTTGTATAGCAGTTAACTACTAGGCTTTACTGTTTATTTGCCTTAAAACTCGACAGCAATATAACGATCAGGATATGTGCACTTGTGTTCAGCAGAATTAAGAAAATAGTGATCCTTTATGTTGGCATTATTTTATATGAGATAGCCATGACAATTTTGAAGGCTTTTGTTATTACACTGGCACAACATAGACTGAAAAAAATACCAAGTTAAAATGTTTCTTGAAAAGTTCTTATAAATATTGTCTTATTTTTCATTGACGTTTCTCCTGTTTCTGCAAAATATGTCTATTCATTAGATTTATATTACAGGCAGTTTTATACATTTTTGCTATTCCTGAAGAGAAAAATAAACAATGTTCAGAGCAGTACGTTCCTATACAAAACTGGATTAGATTTAGGCTAAAATATGTTTTTTGTGCATTTTTTTTTTTACCAATTAGTCATATGGATTTTCCCTGTTGTCTACTATTCCCTTACGATAACCCATGCCTCTCTTGCATGTGTCTTTATTAAGAGACAACATCTGTCTTCTCCCCTGCAGCAACTCCATTCTGTGTCCATTCTGCAGATTAGGTTATGGCTATTTGGATGAGCTTGACTGTTTTTCTCTCTTCCTGCAGAATCTGCAAGGCCTGACAGGCACAGCTCTTGTAGCAGGGAGTCCCATCAGACACGACAACACGGTGCAAGGGAATCCTGTGGAGGTGCAGACCTACCAGCCTCCGTGGAAAAGCCTCAGTGACTTCGCCTTGCAAAGCGACCTGGACCAACCCGCCTTCCAGCAACTGGTGTGGATAAAATTCATTCTCAATAATAATAATAATAATAATAATAATAATAATAATAATAATAATAATAATAAAAGACGATATTCCCCAATGGAAGACAAAAGGGTGAAAAAAGAGACGTTTTTGTTCAAGGCTCATTGATACTATCTCAAGGCTCGTGGGCTAATGTATGTGCAATTCATTAAAAAAACAGTACTCTGTAAGTACGAAATTATTTATTAAAACCTCAAAATTGCACCATAGCCTGAATTCTATCATTTAAGAATATTTAAGTGCAAACGAGCTTCTGCCTTTCCCCAAACTATTTCTCTATCTCGTGCAGGCCCCCATGCACATGAAGGAATTTGATGTGAGTCAAGTACGATTTTAAACCCTTAATATTGATAGGCTATGTTTATGTTTGTTTTAGCTTATACACTCGGTGTGGGAGAAAAAATCATTCACAAGTATCGCGATTTTTTGTTTTACAATTTTTAAATCAATTTTTATGTTCAAAACTCGATATTTTTTTCAAATTTAAAAGTAAATCTTAAAAACTGACTTACATGTGATGTGGATTTTTTGGGGAAATATGGTTCCTGGAATAGTCAGTAGACAACCATAATCATTCAACCGTTTCATTTGTTTTAAAAATGCAGACTAGATATCGAGAAAATCGACAATATCGTAGAATCGCAATTTAAAATCGTAGAAGAATCGAATCGGGAGAAAAGCATATGTCCCGGCTCTACTATACACGTCCCTAATTATCTAAGAAAATGCAAAATTGGTGAATAAAACATTATCTTTTCAAGAGTCAATATTGTTGTAGTTGCGGCATGGACATACAGTATGTTAGCACATTCTCATTGGGGTTTCCTCAGACACTAACAGGGACACAAACATTTAAAAACACAACATTAATGTGTACTAAAAATCATGTGTTGTAGATCTGAGTGCGTGTGTTTGTCCCGGCAGGTGTCTTTCTCTGAGTCAGGCTCTTTGGGTAACTCTTCGGGCAGTGATGTTACCTCTCTGTCATCGCAGTTGCCGGACACACCTAACAGCATGGTGCCAAGTCCCGTGGACACGTGAGGAGAGGTCTTGAGGTCAGGTTGAGAGCCCCTGGAGCTCGCGCCTGCGTCTTCCACGTCAGGGTCGCGCGGAGACCTCAGAGACATTCAATCAAGAAAATCGAGAAACGGAGCTGAATGGATTTATGCTTGAGGAGACGTTCACGGTCCAACTGCAGGATAGGAGATGTGACGGTTGCCCTCATATCTCAGCATTTAATCTCTTTTCTTCACGCTCAAGGACAACCCGACTGGACACACAGCTGATGATGGACATACGGGCTTCTACCTTGTCTTTCACCACGATGCCATACCTGAACTGGCCATTACCTGGTTAACATGGGATTCATTCACACACGTGAGCCTATGTTAGACTTTAAGCCTTCTCCAGGCTGTAGACCTTCTGACTCAGTATTTAACAGTGTAAACATGCATGATTTGTAAGTTTCAGTATCAACTCTTGTGAATGGATGAAACAGATGAGACGCGCTTGGTTCGCCGTTTTCCTCAGAAAATAAGTTATTATTATTATTTATTTTAAGGGCAGACATATCTGATCTTATCAATAAAAAACATTGTTCTGACTTTTGCATGAAGAATCAATTTGTTTCACAAAACTTTAAACGAATTTGAAATTATATAGCCGGAAAAATAAATCAGTTTCAATACAGAGGAGTTTTCACTTAAAACTTTGAGCTGTAGGCCTGAGGTTAAAAAAGAAAGAAGTGTTGAAAAATATAGGCTACACATGTAAAGACGTTTGTAGCTTATACTAAAATTGGAAACAAAATTAATGCCCCTCTCTTCTGACTGAAGGATAAATTAAGTATGGTGGCCGAGAAGCGCCATTGCTGCAAATAAAAAAAGAATGCAAAAAAAAAAAAAGTCACAATGGAAGTTACTGATGCAAAAAAAAAAAAAAAAAAAAAGAAACCAAAGCCTGCTGCAAATAAAAAAAAAGAAGCCGGGCGGATTAAAAAAAAAAAAAAAGAGCCACAACAAAAGTTAACGGCACACACACACAAAAAAAGTGGTAATAGAAAAAAAGTTACTTACTGCGAGAATAAAAGGATGCAAATAAATAAAAAACACCAACGTAAATAAGCTGCCAGGGACCAATAATGATGATGCACCAGGGTTTTATGATCTAGGCACTGAAGGCGACGTCAAAAAGACGAGCAAAAAAGTCAGTGGAAAGGTGATTTTTTAATTTTGCTTGGTAACCTTTTCAATGTGGTTAGGCCATGTAGCGCTTGAGTCAATATGAAGTTGATCTAACCACACTGAAAAGGACACGAAGCAAAATCAACTAATTTTCCACTAATTTCTTTGCTTGTCTTCTCACCATCTTCTAATGTGTGTAGATTGTAAAACACCAGTGCATCATCATTATTGATCCCCTGCAGCTCACTTCCATTGTGGCTTTTTTTTTGCGTCGTTAACATCTGTTGTGGCTTTTTAATCTGCACCGTTTCTTTTTATTATTATTTGCAGCAGGCTTCAGTTTCTTTTTTTTAATTTTTTTGGCATCAGTAACTTCCGTTGTGACTTTTTTTTTTTTTTTTGGATTCTTTTTTCTTTTATTTGCAGCAGTGGCGGTTCTCGGCCACCGTAAATGCCCCTCTCTTCTGGATAAAGGATAAATTAAACGCCCAAACCCTGAGAGAACAAAGCCTGCTCAAATTTGTCTCCTCTTAGTTTTTAACACAAGTGGACCAGTGACTGATGGCTGAGGAGATGTTAAGCTATCAACCATTCAGCCCCCATGTCAGAGGTGAACGGACGAGACACAGTGGTCTATGAGCTGCTTGATGAACCCAATTCATCTTGCCAGAGCTGATACATTGCAGCTGCATACATTTTTATGTCTTTTCAAACTTTTCCCCCCAATTTTAAAACAATCCAATTGGTCTGATTAGGACAAAAGTCACATCGCCATAGCAACCCGAGGAGGCCCATGGTTACAAGTCTAGACAGAGGACAGGCAGCGGCGGCTTCTTATCTGCCTCTGGCATCACCTGCAAACGATACACTGAAAGGACCCAAAACAAACCGCTCAGCAGCAGCAGCACACAGAGGGGACTCCCAGCCTGCGGACTCATCCTGCCGTGTCTTCAGTTTATTTTCATTCCAGTAGGAATCCCGATCGACTAATAGCCGCCGGACAAGAGAGCATACAGGTCAAGCCGGGACTGACACACTACACCTCAACAATTTGTTCGGGAGGATCGGCTTTATCACTGACGGAAACGGACTCTCATTGAAAGTCAAAATCCTGCTAATCCTGAAGACATGCTGATACAGGCGAGACTATACTGAGCAAGAGGCGAGAAGAGGCGACGACAAATTCCTGAAAAATGGAAAGAAATCTATCTCATTATACGCAACAAAACTCCAAAATTGTATTAGAAATTAACTTTTCCATTATTAAAAAAATGCTCATTTTCGAAGTTCCAGGCACTATAAAAATCAGAGGTAACCTACTTTTGCGCATTTATACTACTTCTTTATGTAGACCTCTAAAGTAGTCCCTGAAAACTGATTTATTTGTGAGCATGCGCAGACTTTACTGACAGCATTGTTGCTGCAGTGCTGCTCCAGTGAAAATATCAAAAATAACAACTGTTTTGGAGATTGACTTTATCATTTTTAAACATTTATTTTTGAGAAGCAGGGTCTATTTTTTGTCTCAGATAAACCGATCAGTAAACTTGCAATAATCACTACATGACAGGTACAGAGAACAGAGGCTGTCCTGAGGCAGACACACACACATACAAGTGGTGTCAAAATCTGCTAATCTTATGAATTTTATTATTACATCTGTCTCTCCTGAGGTTGTCAATTTGACTGAATCTGCAAGTTTACTCTGAAATCCATGATTCTCAGGGAATCAATCTTATTTTTGTACAAATCCATCAAAACGTAGACCAAATGATCATAATTATTACGTTTGTAATGACCCAAATGACTGAAACACAACTTATACATATAAAAAAGACAAATAATCACAGAGGTGCTGATTTTAGTAAAGTTATCTTTATGATTTTAATCCAATTTTAACAGTTTAAACAGAATAAAACAGGAAAAACAATGTTACCATTTGTTTTATTTGACAATAAAGGTAAATAGCGTAACTCAATAAATTATATCAACTTTTAAATGCCTTCTAACAGAAAAAGAAAGAGCTTGAAAAATATGACTCAACATATAATTGCAGTAAAGGCAGGTCATATAACTCGTCACTGGCTTTATAAACTAGAAATAACATTCTGGTCATTCACATTCAAAACAAACATAATAAGTTAACATAAACAGTATTGTGAAAAGGTTTGGCAAATTATAAATAACAGTGTAAGTATATATTTCAGGTTTAGAAAGGGTCAGTTTTTCGTCTTCAACAGATACAAGAGAAACAAATGGCTTGCTTTGACATTAAATGGAATAGTTGTGCGTATTCTAAAAGTACAAACAAGACATCTTGTGCAAAATCCTCATGATCAATATTCTGATTTCTAGGAAATCGAATCAAATGCAGGATAAGGCTTCACCATCTTTACATTTGAAGACTATTTACTGATGTGCAGAACTACAGCAAGGAACCAAAACAAAAGAAAAAAGAATCTAGTTTCATTTTTGATCCCAGTCTTTTGTAGTGTTTATACTGTCCACATCCAGTTTTAGGGACAGTGTGCAACTCCATCACTCGTCTTGTTTCTTCAGAAAAAACTGCAGCGCTGAATCCCACTGGTCTCTGGGAAAGCGGTTCGACAGCTCACAGAAATCCAGGGGTGGAGAGACTATGAACAGAAACAAACATACTTAAGATCTCTATTGTATTTGACAAAGGATTAAGAATATCTATAAAGTGTCAGAACTATCAATTCGATTTGTCTTACTGGTTGAAAATACTGTGATAACTCACCTGCTTGCTTGGTTTTGTTGTCTTTCTCATTAGAGGCGCAGTCCTAAGAAATAAATACAAAGCGTTCATGTCTGTGTGAACAATTTTCCTCATTCATCTAGTTTTAATTCAGCCATCCAGATAAAACAGAAAATCTTACCTCTAAACTTCTACTAAACCAGTGTGCTAAGTTTTATGTGCCACAGGAAACGATCTTGAATCAAATGGTCTCACTCTGAGGAATGGTCATGAGGTTAACTCAACAATGAGGGTGGTGGGGCAGGACACCATGCATTATTGCTTTGTTTGAAAGAAACGACAAAGGCTTACCTCCCTTTGAATGGGAGTTAGTTGGTATCTAAACAGTGGTGTTTGCAGAGTGGTGTGGGGCGGCTTGTCAGAGGAAGATGAAGGAGACAAGCTGTTTACTGGGAGTTGAACCAGTGGCAGGTAAATCCACTGTGAAGGAAGCCATTTATCTTTGTAAAAGCCCGCCTGTTACAGATTCACCAGGGGCCCGTGTGAGCAACTATTAATCAGCCGCTCCTGATGCGAGGGACTTTTATTGAGTTTGGAGGCTTTGTTTGGAGACGTGGAACTCTTAAGTAGATGTTTTTGAATATTTTTGTCTTTCTTTTTATGTCAACATTTTCGTTAACTCCTCTGGTTGTATTTCTTTTTGCTTTATATTATGCACTGAATCCTTCAGCCGTCATACATCTATCTGTGTATGTGTGATCACACTCTCATATTTACCTGAATGAACGTCGCCAGCAGCACGCAGCTCATCTCCTGCTGCAGGATCACCTTGTTTTGAGAGTTGTTGTAGCACGCCGAGATGAGGGAGGGGAAGAGCACTCGGATGAGGCGCGGGTGACTGAAGTACTGGAAGGGCAGCTGACACAGTTTCTGCAGAACGCTGGGCTGGCGGCCAGACTGCACTATCACCTGGAACACACAGGGAGCACACGGCCAGTCAGTCACTAAGCCAGCCAGGCGGCCAGTCAGAGGCCCTGCTGCTTGTAAATTACCGCCCTGTGCCCCTCCCACATGTAAATCTGCCACTAAAACAACACACAAACAGCCATTAGGTGGAGACTTGCGGGGCACAGCCTCCCACCGTGCAATTATAGGCTATAAAACACAATGATAGGATGTTTTGTTCTTCCTTCATACTAATGGCAAAAGCAGAGCTGCTGCAACGAAAGAAGGAAATGAGACCTGATGTCAATATCTGCGAATGCAACTTCACTTTGAGGGTCTCTTTTAAGCAACATGAAGGTAGAGAAACTGGAATAGTTTGTTGACGGGTGAAGCTCAGGTTGAGAGGGTATTCACAGTGCAGCGGAGAGACTAAGAGGTGGGGCGGTGGATGAAAAGCAGGGTGAGCAAACCTCTGCGATCAGTGTTGCCACCCCCACTTTAAGAAATGAGCAATAACATTAATGGCGTATTCACCCTGCCGACATCCTGCTCTCCGTCACAGCCCGTCAATCACACAGCATCACATCCAAGCCTCCAGTATTACAACCAAATCACCCCCAGACTCATTTGATTAGCAAGGGGGCTGTGGCAAAGGAAGGGGGTCCCGGCCCTAATGCTCTGGTCATCTCCCCTGAGTCTGAGAGGACCATCAGCACCCGTCTGAAAACCAGCAGGTCAGCATACTAAAACCCTGCTGGAGAAGAAAAGGAAAACGCTGATCTGCAGCGCAGGAACAGACTAAAGGGCGGGGGGCTCAGAGCCAATGGAAACCAGAAGGGCAAAGTGAGGTCTCCGAATCACAGTGACATAAATTAACAAGATTTACAAGATTTTAAAAATACACCCTCTAATACTCTCCTATTGGCCTGTCCTTTGATAATGCACTCCAAGTTTGCGGCAGGATAAACAACGCGATAATTCATCGCTTTTATCAGTTCAAGGTGAAACTCCTCAGAGCTGCCCTCTACAGCGTCGTTCAAAGGGACAAAAAGCAGTGCCATTTCCGACCATGACTTGTTTAAAGAAACCATGCGGACAGTTCAAACAATCTGAACTCCGATGCAATACAAACACTTAGGCTTAAGAAGAGCAATGAATTTGTCAAACTGAGATATAAGTGTTAAAATCTAAAGATAAAAGGACAGTTTGTTTCCGCTCTGCTGTGTCTCACTGAGTTACAGAATTCGAGACAACTCGAGTGCGTTACAAAGATGAAGACTGCGGAGAATATGTGTGTAAAAGTGAAAGAGAAAAATCCCCCAAGTTTCACAGACTCAATGAGTGTTTTTTTGAAAGGAATGTGAGACTAGGACAAATTTATCCCCTGAAGAAAAGGGGAAAAAAAGACAAGATCTGGTTGTTTTCAAAAGCAGAGCTGCTTATTTTCAGTGCGTGTAGTTTTAGCTTTTACATGCTACTTTCCACTAAATCCTACATCTTCACATTTATCTTGTCAGTTGCAAAACTAACAAAAGACAAACTGGTATTGTGGGGCTGAAGATTTATGCACCCGGAATGATTAGAAAGCCAAAGACATGGCTATGCAAAAGCTGTAATATTTATTCATTCTTGTGTTTTAATCGAAAACATTCATGGTTAAGGTGTCATAATTCAACACCATAGCTGGTGTAAAATATTTAAGCTAAGGCTCTGAGAAGATCCAACCCACAAATCACCCGGTGAGCTCATAATCCTCCGCAACGCAGTTTTATCCTTTCACTGCCTAAACAAATTGTCCACCTCCGAAAGCTGGACGCAGAAAGACATAAAACAAAACTTGGTGGCAGCGAGAATCTGAGAGTATCGAAGACACCGAGTGCCCCGCCAACTTTCTGCACCTCAATCAGGTGAAGAAATGCCAGAGCTCACGATGCCTTCCAACTGGAGCTTATGCTGCAGTGTTACTTCTCCCGGCTCAGCTGAAGAGTCTGCAGCTCAAACGCCTGACATCATAAAACTAACAACAAGCATCTGAACTCATACATCTGGCCCGCGGTATCACACAGACCCTGTAAAAACTCAAAAGTCTTGGCTGCTCTGTTCTGCTTTAAGTCCAGAGACCTGGCACTTTTAAACAGTGCCAAGTTTTATGATGCTTCCATTACATAACTTCCTCACTGTCCCTCAACGACAACAAAGAGTGTGTAAAGTTAATGTACCGAAACGCAAACAAATTCCTGGGAAAAGCCCGTGTTGACTCAGGAAACCAAAGTTAAGGCAGGTTTGAGAAGGCAGGGAAGAAAACGTCTAAATCTCAGTCAGCTTTAATACTGCATGAAGCAAAGAGAAGTTGATTTTCTTCTTTCTGCAAAAAATCTAATGAAGCAAAGTGACAATCTAGTGCATGCAGAGGAATCTCAGGTCATCACAGTGTCTAGACAGCCTGATCACCAGTGTCAGTGCAGGGCCATATAGCTGACACTTGAATCCACTATACAAAGCAGATCCATCAGAGTGGAACCGTCTTACTGATAAGGTGTGTAGCACAGCAGACAAAGCAAATCCAGTTTAGAAGTTTAGTGCTCCTTTACAACTTTGACAATGCCTCATTGAGTTGTACGCTCTGCAAACCGCCTTTGACAATCACGTTTTAGCTTCGCAGACATTGACAAAGACACTCTAACTTGACTTCTCAGTCAGCTGTCTGCCGTTTTCGAATCCTGCTATTATTCGCACAATAAAGCTTAATAACTCCTTATTTATCTCTATGAGCTGACGCTGTCATTCCGTACCAGATCTTACAGCTGATAATTGTGCTCTCAAACCGACCTGATGACAGTGTTACAGACTAATGGAAACCCCTCACTGAAAGGTTTGTGGGGATAAAAACATCCTCAGCTTCACTTAAAGTTAGTTGGACCCGTGTTCACCCTTGAGGGGCGGTGTAAATCATCTACTGAGCTAACAACAAGGCCCTCTCCTGCCAGTCAGAGGAGAGTGTGTCTGTCTGTGTCTCTCTAACTCTGTTTACTCTGCTGGGTGATACAGAGTGTGCATTCCCCCTTGCGCTGGCTCCCTATGGTCTGCACGAGCTGCACTTACCCCGCAGGCACTGAGGGCCTGGCTGTCTTGGCGGTAATGGACTGCTGAGGGGAGCGTTTCGACATCAGGTTAACAGGAATTACAGGCCTAAACCCTGGCTTGGGCCTGCAGGGCAGAGGAAACGCCCTCATAGAGGATGGGAAGAAGAAGTATGACCCTACTGATAAGGCTGAGCTCTGGAGACATGTGAGGGATGTTCACACTACAATGTGGACTACAGTTGTCTGTCAATAATATACACAGGGCCCTGCACCATCTTGACCCCAGTTACATTTCTGACCTCCTTGTTTCATATTCCACCGGGGTTTTCTTTCTACATCCATGCAAGATGAAAAACAAAAGATGATCATGCATTTGCTTTCTATGAAATTTAACTCACATCTGACTGTGTGTGTTGCGTTTAAGTATTTGTGTGTGCAGCTAACTCTCTTTGCGTGTGTGGCAATTTTCCGAGCCCTGAAAAAAGAAAAAAACCCTGGCGTTTTCTTAAGATTTCCACACTCTCAAATTGCTTGTGTGTTTTCTGAAAAGCGCGCAGGAATCAGGTGGTTTAACATGTCAACAGTTTACAATTACAGCCTCATCTCCTCAAAGATTCAACAGATCATCACAGCGGATGATTCAGAAATGAATCACTGCGTTTAAAGACAGGGGAGATTACCGGTACAGGACTCTTCAGGCAGAAAAAACAAAAGAAGAAGAAGAAGAAGAAGAAGAAAAGCTTCATGTCAGTTAGAAGCTAGGTGTCATTTGTTCTGCTTTTATTGAGTCAAAAAGGTCTCTACAGGGACAGACAATGTAACATATGGCTGCATGGCTCAGTGGCCCCATGAGCAGGGACGCACTTGAAAATACACAAGCCTACATATGTCACTCTCCTGATGGCTTTTTGTGTGACAGGGTGAATTATTCATGCCTCCAGAGCAGAGGGAATACATCAGTACGTATAGTGCTGCTTCAAAGTTCTGCTTTTTATGAGCGGCCTTATTTCTAGAGCATATATATAAACAAAAGCTGGTGTGCCGACAGTGAATCAGCAGTCCTTCTGCGACCGCATAGGCCCCGGGTCGGGCTGCTTTCGTGTCCTGCCAATGCTTACATTAGCTTGAGAAAAGCTCAAGCTGCTCTAAATATTCTCCTTAACGCCATCCATCTCAGTGCAATATGGACGCATTCCAGGATCTGGACCACTGGCAAAAACCAAGTCTAAATCGAGGTTGTGCAGGATCCTGTTTTCCCCCCATCCTTTAATACATTTTTCAAACTAACAATTTAACTCAAAAGCAAAGTATAATTTTTTTTCTTCTTGTTTTTATAAATAAATAAATAAAACTTAAGCCGGCAGTGCCCTGGGTACAAAGAAATGGAGGATTTTGCATCAAATTCGCAGCGTACACAATCTTTTTTTCTCAATGCAAACACAGTCAAGCATGGCTGCTCTGCTTACATGGCTGTGGGTGAACAAGAACGAATAAGTTGTTACTCCTTTAATTTAATCACCTACTCTAATTCAGTGATTTCATTTTTATGCAAATTGGATTTATAATGACGAACAAATGCTGTTTTTATACGTCAGATTTGTTACATAGGATGGAGGCAGAGAGAAAAGGGAGCTGCAAAAGAAGGGTCCTTGAATTTAAAGAAGTAAAACGTAAACTAGAATCAGACTTTGAATCGGTCCGTCTGTGATGGCATCAACGTGAATGACGTATCACAGGTTCGATATTGAAGCCGCTGCTGCCTGTGTGGGTCCGGCTTAACATAATCGAAGCCCAGCCAAGTGTAGCGCGACTAATCAGTGGCCCACTCAACGGGCCACGCATGACAGCCACTTCCACAGCAGCCCGGTCTGCTCCATCACTTGGTGCTCACTTCTACAGAGAGCCCCTGAGTAGTTGTAGCAGCGCGGCCGGCACGCTGCTCTGCTTTACCAGGAACAAAGACTTGCTCAGAGGGATAATAGAGGACAAGCAGGCTGAAAGCAGGAGGGTGCCAAGGCATGAATCTTTAAACAGGTGCTTTTTGTTACGATAACAAAACTACACCCATTTTCTGACTAATAATACATGAACAGAACAAAAGCCAGATGATGTTTCTGAGCTTAGCAGACAGCTTTTCTGGAATGAAATGTTACTACTTCAGTGATAATGTCAATGAACCGTTAAACCAGTGGTTAACTGAAGTCATGAAAATATTAGAAACTGGTTTATTCTTTTCAAAAGTGCATGAATTGAATAACTAAGCACCTTGGCACGTAGAGAGTTAACAGGCAACTACTGTAATATACATTTAAATATTACAAATTTATATTTAATTCACACATATCTTGAACAAAATGTTACAAACTACAGCCATTGTTCGAATTTTTAATGTACTATGTGTTACCGTTTAATTTACTGTTGGCGCCATAAAATTAGAAAAATAAGAAACACCTCATTCCAAGAATTGGGAATCTTCTCACAACTTAAACTTTTAGTGTATTCTGCGTACTTATGAATTGAATAATTAACAAAACCAGTTAAAAACAATAAAGTTTAGTATCAGAGTTCATTAAAAAATGTAATAAACAAATATTAAGAGTAGATTTTTGTTGAACTAAGTCAGCACATTTCTGTGTGTTCAGAGCAGCATGTCGCTTGTTTACCTGGTTGTCAGGATGATTGACTGTAAAATATCCCACACAGATGATGACTTCATGCAGCAGCTCCTCAGAGGAATGCTGGGTACAGTACCAGAGCAGTGAGCTGACGATGTGTCGGAAAGCAAGAGACAAGCCTTCAGCTCCTAGGACAGACTGACAGGTCACAGACAAAACATATAAATATTTAGTACAGCAAATGAAGCATAAATTGCTTTAATTGTGATTACAAAGAGCTCAATACCAAACAACATGAGGTAATAAAAGATTAAATGTTTTGCCAAAGGGAGGATATACTGTGTAAGGGTATAAACTCAAGCAGGGTCCCACAATAAAACACCCCAGCACCACTTCAAATTAGACACTAGGAGCAGCCCACCGGCAGTGTTTGATAAACATGTCAGTGTGACCGAGCACCAAGAGATCATCACTACTCCACTCAGAGTTTGGAGACGTTAGCCACTCTGAAACATCCATAACACAATACCGAGGGGCGTATTCTGTTTTAACTTTTACATGTAGGATAAAATACTGAACAGTGACGGTAGTTATCTAACAGAACTAAGAAGTAACTTGGTATTTAAAAGGAAGACAGCTGTTTGGTAAGGGAAACAAATATGGTTTAAATATGAGCTTGTCAACCTCAACCAAATTTGGTTATCTCTCCTCATATTTTACATTAAAGCGTTGTTGGGTACTGTAACTGGTAAGTTAACAGCCTGACTCCTTAACACTTATCCACTGCAGCACGTTTTAGCCTGTACTATGAGGTAATGTGAAACACAAGGTGATTACAACCCCCCCCCAACAACAACAGAAAAAAACGAAACATTATTTAAACGCTCATAAAACTCTGGCAGCAAAATGCTTTGATTTCCAGCTGTTTCCACTTGCCTGAATGTGGTGGGTCACTGAGAGGAAGCCGCTTCAAAGTAATTACCGCGAGGCATTAAAATAATTAACTGCATTCTCGCTTTCTCTCGTCTTGTTTCAGTCTGTGTGGCAATTTAGCTCAGCGAGGCGATTGCTCTCTCCTTCCCCTTGCTGAGTAATGTAGAGCCCTGCTCAGAGTGTTAGTCACATGTGCTGCGTCCTAACTGCTGACCCAGCCAGCGCAGGTCAACCCCAACAACTGATCAGGGTTAGAGGGGACCCGTGTTCCTATCAATAGGTCAGCTTTGACTTGACGATATTTACCACTCTTCTAATGGCTCAAACAAAGAAACCAGCATCAATCTTCTACAAACAGACATGTTCATGGCCCTATTTAGTCTCTTAAAATACAAACATCAGATAAAGAGTCACGCAGAAAAAAAACTCTGTCAAGCCCCTTAACCGAATAGTTTGTTTTTATTTAATGAGTTAAAGTGAAAAAAGGATGAACATTGGATTATTATTATTATTATTAATACAAATACCTGGAAGGCGGATAGGTCAAGCAGGGCAAAACTGTTGAGGAAGCGAATGCCCTGCAAGGCCACTTGTATGACCCCGGGGCCGTACGGCTCCTGACTCTGGGAGGCAGACTCTGGCGCGAAACTGTGCAGCAGGATACAATACAGAGTGTGCACCACTCCCACCAGGTCTGTGGACTGCAGTAGGGCCGTAAGTCCGGTTGGGTCCTGACGTTTATTGTCAAATATACTCGGAGCGCTGGAGAGGAGGACAGGGGGAGTGTACAGTCAGTAAAAGAAGAGATAACTGTCAACCATCATAAAAAAAGAGATATGATACTGGGAAAGACAGGCTAGTATTGAGTTTGTTCTGTGTCATGTGTGCTACTTGTTTCATGATTGATTGATTGATTGAAGTTTATTTTGAACATAAAAGAAAAACAAAGTAATAAAAAAGTTAAGAATACAACAACAAATGATAAAAAGTTATCCATGCTAAAAAAAGGAGTGAGAAGAAGTTGAAACTTATCTAGTACCACCCTCTCTCCTACACTAATGATTTACATTTATATTATAATATTATATTCCTGTGAACAGGAATGAAAATATAGAAGATTTCTCTCTTATTTGCAAAACAATATTCTCTAAACAAACTGTTTTGGATTACTATTATAGGGAAGACTGTGATTGTCCTTTTGAAAACTTAAACACAGTTAAATTTTGTTTAACGTATTTAATCACCCTCTATATAAGCAAGATTCAGTATTTCTGTGATGTTAGAGTGACATGTTTAGTTTTGCATTAATGTGAATTAGAGTGTATGTTTGCTATGGTGACTGTGACATTACATTTATTAAATCAAGGGATGCACTCATGTAGAACTGAGAGAAAAAGAGAAACCACATTTTTTCAGTCACAATATCAAACGACTGAGGATGCACATGAATATTAGTCTGGACCTTGGGGGCAATTAGATACCCTCACTAGACCAAGACATAGAGATTATTTAACCTTGGACAAGAGAAACTGCCTCATGTTCTCTGACTGACTGCGGTTGTGGAAAAGCACTTAGTTAAAAAAATGTACAACATACTGATGTGTTTGCTCACAGCTGCTCTTCAGTTTGGTTTCCCCTCATCTTGTGCATCTTTTGTTCATTCATGAAATGATTATATCTTCTTGTTTTTGCATGCATGAGCTTTCACATTGTTTCCCTTTAGCTGGTTTGTTTGAATAAGATTTAAAATCGGCTTTTCTGCTCCCACTCATGCCACGGTAAACAAAGTGATGCCAGGACTTGAAGCTCATGGCAGCGGCTTCAGACCACTTGACAAGGTGCTGAACGTTTTAGTACGATTTCTAAATGCTCGCATGAGACAAATGAAAGTGATATGTTTGATGACATCCAAAAGATGCCACCTGGTTTGTGCGTAGAGTCTCAAATGTAACATTCAATGAAACCATGATGATGCCAAGGCTGTTAACCAAGTTTCTTTCAATGAAAAATAGGCTTTGTTTTTTTTTTGTCGACGGATTTAATTCATTCATTTTTAAATCTTTTTTTAATGTAAAAAGCACTAAATTTAGAGCGTTTTGCAAAATAATAGTTTAATGTTTTTTAGTGGTTTTGCAGATGACTCTTGGGAAAACTAGTGCAGATGGACAGTTTAATAGCGCGGCAGCAGCAGTGGCTGCAGCAATGATTTGCAGCCATGCAGAAAGAAGGGCGTGTGACCTTTGGATGGATCCTACAGTGCATGCTGATACTTGATGTTAGCCAACAGGCTCTGTGTGAAATATGCTGCTAGGCAAGAACACAACCTCTAATGCCACTGTAATCCCCTGAAACAGCAACTGGCATGGTCAAAATATTCAACAAGCCTACCGAGCATTCATGTATATGACCCGTGGAGAATCCTGGCAGGAAAAAGGCTGCCAGTCTCGTTCAATCTGCAAAGTGTGGAGCTTTGTTTTCTCACAGATATTTAGTGACTTAGTCTTTTTGACGCTGCTCGTGACTGTCACTGCAGCACCTTGCAGCTGCCAAGATACAGCAGCAAGCTGGGCAACACTAAATACGTAATGACACAAGTATTGAGTAATGTGCTGCCAAGCAAGGGCTTTTTACAGAGGAAATCATAATTGACTTCACTGGTACGTGGATCAAACTGTTCAAAGAGTCAATATCAAAGCATTTCTGGCCTTCAAGCCACGGTCAGCTTTTTTTCTTTTTTCCTCTTAAGTGAGGAATTGGGTCCCTTGGTGTGACTGTGTGCTTAGCCTCTGTCAGCCGTGCCACTGAACCTCTCTGTGCGGAGGTCACTGTAGCACACGTGGGTGGGCTCCCCCTGCGCTGCAGGGCTAAGGTTTATGGTGAGTGACAGAGCGCTGGGTCAAGTAGATGCCTATCTCTATCTGCAGTAACGACAGCTTAGCAGGCTAGCAGGCTGGAGGAAACGACCTGCTTGCTGATAGCAGAGGAACCGCAGTCTTTGTTGAAGTTAACGGCTTCTTTATGTATCCTTGTGACAGTGACTCAGAGACGGATGCGTGTTTGTGTGTCAACTGAGGATCAAGAGATCACAGCAGTGATGGTGGTGTGTAACAGAGGAAGAGGCGTGCTCACCGTCCAGTTACCACGAAACACAGCTTGCACATGCTGTGCAGGAGAGCCGAGGCTTGCTGAAGGAAAGCAGACATCTTCGGCTGCTCATCCACAGGACCTTGGACTGACAGGAAGCATCCATACAGCTTGTCGATCAAACCCATGTTTACCACGTAGCTGGAAGAAATGCGCAAGAAGAGACAAATCAAGACATGGTGTTGTGAATTTCTCCTAAAATGTGCTTCCTTAAAAAAAATATCTCACACAGGCAAACAAAGGCCTTCACTGTGCATACTTCCACAGTGCTGCAGCTGAAAGCAGATACCTCACCTACGCCCTTCACCCCCTGCTATTACTCTGATATCTCCAATTTGTCTTTGCCAATGACAGGTCTCATGATCATGTTCCCTGTACCCTTTTAGCCACAAACCACTGCTAATAGTGTCATTAGAGAGCCGCTGTGGCCCCTGTGCCAGCATGGCTCTAGGTCTTCGAAAGTTTGCTGACCTAAGGCGGTCTTTCTATAGCTCAGGTATGTCGCACACCTCAGGCTCAGCTCAGGCAGCAACAGCTTACTTAAACCTATAGAGCACTACACCTGCCAATCAAGGCTTTGGAGTAGCTGATGTGGTCACTCTGAAAGCAGTGCGTCCTCTTCTCATTACCGTCAAGACTCTCGGCTTCGTCCACATACTTTTTTTGTTCGAACTGTCACTCACTGGAGTCTTTTCAAAACAGGTGATTATCGCTTTTTTTCAGCCTCTGCTGCAGGTCATCTGACACTTGAACCGAGTCCCATTGTTTTGACTTGATCCTCTTCGACAGCTTTACTTTGGCTGAAAGGATCTTTCCTCGAGTTCGGTGCCTGCTCTCACTTCGACGACCTGCTTGGTGGTCGAAGTTACCGCTTGAAGTGTCTTATCACATGAGCATGAACTGAAAACATGTATGAAAATGATCGGGGGCTAAAAGCACTGAAAGCCAAACTGAGAAAATAGTTTTGCTAGAAAAGGAAATTGTGATCTCCTCTTTTTTGTTAAATACACGTTTGCTCAGTGCCAAACCTGAATTCGTTTTGATCTTTCCTTCTTCCTCAATCGTTTACAGATTGTACGAGGCAGTTGAGGTAAATCTTGTACTCGGGATGTACTCAGGATTACAGTCTGACGACACCATTTTTCTCAGGCCTCCCCCCCGTCTCCAGGGTTACGACTGGGTCATTGGATGAGAGTGGTGGGCCTGTACAGCTGCTCCGTCCGGATGAATCATGGCTTGTGGGAGGGATGGTGGAAAGGCTGCACTCTTCCACAAGTCTTCATCAGGGCGGGTCTGCCTTTTTTCACAGCCCACATTTCTCCAACACAGCCCAGACTCCTACTATCCAGGCCAACACAGCTTGCTCCAATGCCAGGTTCAAGGAGACCTTTCAAAGCGTTGGAAGTGCTCTATGTTTATGCTACTTTAAAATGTTTTTGCTTGAAATATGGCGCTAAACCTGCGGGGGGAAAAAAAAAGGCCAAGATGGAAAGATGCCAGAAAACAAGCTCATTCTCACACTACCTCTGCTCTAACTTAACACCAGTTGGATCACTTCCAAGAGATCTGACATTTTGTCAGCCTATTCTTTACACAAGGCACGCTATTGAGGAAATCAGGTTGACCAACTCTCAACCCAGTCAAGGGGAGTAAAGCAGAGATGTAGTACAGAAGGTTTAAAGGTCAGGAGATGAGGAAAAGAGGTGCCATGTAGGAGGAAGAGAAGCAGTGTGAGAGTAGCGCAGAGCTTTAGAAGGAAAATACCTAATGAGGTCTTGTGTGCGAGTGTTGAAGGACTCTGTGGCAGAGCTCTTGACCTTGGCATCTGGGGAGGAAATCCATGTCTTTTCACCTTGTCCAGCGTCTGGGATCTGAGGCCACAGAGACCCCAGGATGGTAGCGATGGTCTGCAGCAGACCTGTCGTCAAACCCTCAAAGACTTGTTTGTTCACGCTGCGGCCAAAGATGGATTTGTCCTCTTCTGGAACATACAGCTGCAAGTAGGAAAAAAAAAAAGAAATGATTTAAGAGAAGAGGACAGGCTATCTGCATATTAAGCAATAGTTACGCCTGATAATGACCAACTGCATCGGAATCCTGAGAGCATCCAAAACCATTAGATACAGTATCCACAGTATCTAATGGTTACAGTAAAATACAAACAAACGAATGATCCTTGTAGGGTTCATGTAGGGCTGGGCGATGTGGGAAAAAGTTTATCACGATACATTTTTTTTCATATCAGTCGAAATCGATAAATATCATGATATCAAAATTTAACAGTGCTTATTGGTGGCATGTCTTTTGCAATACAATAATACTGCATCTGTGAGGTCTTTGTGTCTCTTTGACGTTTTGTCGTAAGGCGTTGCGCTAGAGAAAGCTGACTGAATGGTCGGCTGTTTCGGCTGCGCAGGCGCCATGGGCTTATGGCATTGTGCGTGCTCTGTTGCGTGGTGCTGCTTCAGGTGGTGAAAAAGATTTGAGGTATTCCTCTACTTCTCAAGAACATATACTCGACATAATTTTCAGTGCACATTACTCTGCTTCATGTCTGACCTCAAAAAAACTAAATACCTCCACACCACTGACGTTTTCGTGTCAGTGTTGTCGACGATGTCATCATCAGTTGAGCCTTCCTCTGCATTTCTGCCGGGGGAAATACTCATTTTCTTTTTTTCTCACCAACAGTGCTGTCGTCTTCACGTGTTAAAGTGCTGTGGTTGCATGTTGTTTGCTACTTGGTTCTAATTCAGCACATGATTGGTTCAGTGTGAAGCGGACCCAGAGCAACTCTCCTTTTCATTGGCTATTCGTATAGTCTACCTAAACATGGGATAATGCAGACTATTGAAAAGCATGCTCACCATGTTTTATATTGACATTGAGGGAAATTAATTTTCAATATTTAGCGTTTTATCGCCCAGATCTAGGTCCATGCAAATGTCAGCATGTGAATCTACTACCATTCATTATCATGTTAACTCAAATTAAACATCCTATTATTGTCCTGCAAAAAAAAATACTTTACTGCACCGCACAGTTAAGTAAGTGTATTACTCACCAGCTTTGGGGCACAATTTATTTGATTACTCTGTGAGCTGACTATGGCTGTATTTCAAAGATATCTAGTTGACATTTCATTAGCCACAGATATATCAAAAAAATTAATGTTAACAAGTCAGATGTAGAAGGAGATATTAATATCCAAGAGTGTGGAAGCTACAAAAAAGCAGTAGGAAAAAAAAAAACTACAAAGTATAGCTGCTGGATGAGCATTTTTTCCATTTCTAGTTCAAGACAGACTTCACGGAGCACTCAAACAGAGGTCCAAATCAAGTTGTGCACTGCTACCATGTAACAAGGAGAACCTTGCAATGATAAAACCCCCTCATTTGGTGGGGTGAACGCTGACAGCAAAGGTAAATCCACCAACATTCTCCGCAAATCTAATTAAAAGAGTACATACTCGTATGACAGAGCAACCCCCACCGCTCCACTTAACTGCTCGTACACATACCAGGAACAGAAAAATGAGCATGTTCAGCTGATGGAAAGTGCCTTAAACACTGAAAAATTGTATAGTGTGACATGAAGACTGAGTTGTAAATTACTTGATATGGAGACACGTAGATTTTTTGAGCCCAATTTCTTGATTTGAATCGAACGAAAAGAGACCAGCTAGTTTGTCTCCTGCAGTGCTGCTAAATATGTCAGTCAGCAGAACAGCTGCAGGGATATGTTTTATATAAACTGAAGCATACAGGCAAACCTCTCCCTGCGTGCCCTCAGGAAATATGACTGCTCTGGATTGGAACTCAGCGCCTGAGAAGGAAGCCCCAGTAGAGTTCATGCATGTACCACAACCCTGCGCCTGTGCCTTGTCCTGTCTGTGCTGCCTGTTAGTGTAGGCGGCCCCAGTGCGCCGCCACTGTTAGATGTTTGGAGTGGGCCGATGTTTACAGTCCTTCTTATAGAGTGCTGAAGGATATGGGCTGACATGTCGCCGCAGTACGGACTGCCTGCAAGCCCGACTATGCTCTCACATTCCCTAGTCTGTAGGCATCTGCGGAGAGGTTTGTTTCTCGTTGGCTTGCGCCTTTGACTGTCTTTCATTAACATTGTGGCAAGAGCAGACACCTGCAAAAAGGCACAGTTTGCACAGTGGTTGAAGCACTATATATCAACAGATATATGTTACGAAAACAGGGGGAGTTCAATAAAAAGCTACGTTTATGTCTGGCTACCTTAGAAAAATTTTGATCAGGCCTCTTGATGTATATCTTTTACACTTATTGTGATTTAAGGAAAGATAACCGTACTGGCACAAATTAACAAGTTATCTCATTAGATTGTATCTTGACCATTTGACATGTAACTCCGAGCACACCTGACCATGTCCTAAAAATGTCAAATTATCAAGATTTTGAAGAGAGCTTCTTACTTTGGCATGCAGCAGTTAGGCTAATCAGAGGTTCTTCTTTGTGATATAATTTCCTGTCACATGGTCTTCTTACACAAATGAAAAAAATCGCTCCTTGAATGTTAGTTACACCACCTTGACAATTAAGAAAGTTGACTTGACAGACACAATCCCCTAAGTAAATTATAATATTCAAAAACATGGTGTTCCATTTAATTTATTTATGGTTTAACAACACAAATGTAGGATTATGCCAAACTAGTTGACATTGTGTTTTCCTGAGAATTTTTCCTTTTTTTGAACAAGTTAAAATATTTGGTACTGAGTTTTTATGGTTACACCACATTGACATTTTTCCCATTGTTACCTGAATATTCTCTCAAAATTGATAAAATCCAGAAATTTTAGACTAGGTCTTCCAAAAGAGAATGTCTCGAAGTAATTAGTGAATTTATTTTCGAATTGTAACCTTCTTAAATTTAACTAAACCATGGTAACATAAAAAAAAAAAAAAAAACTGTGTCACGTCATTGACCCTCTTATGTCACAGTATGCTTTGGTCATGAGCTGTAAAGCTTATACTTACTGTTAACTGATGCAGCAGCAGGTCCATAAGGAGGGCTATTTTGTTGCTAAACAGCACATAGGAGCAGTTCAGCGGGCTGCAGGAACACGCCAAGTAGTAGGTGTTTGTAGCAGCACAGAGGGATCTAAGAAAGATGACAAAAATTTCATTCATCATATGTATGTTAAAAAAAACATCAAGGCAGGCTGCGCCCCTTGCCAGCTACTCGCCCCGGGCATTGACAAGACTATCTGCAGTCATTAGGAAACCAAACACACTTGTCTGTATTTGTAGTTCTTTAAGGACGTAGTTAGTCTTCACATGTCAAAAAAACATATCTCACTGACAGGCAGAGTAAGGAAGCAGATTTGAGAAATAAAAACACTCGTATCAGCTACTTTATGTGGATACTCCCTTCACTACAGCCACCGTCAGAGGAGCTGATCGCAATCTCAGTCCCATCTTGGCTGGGATGGTGCAGCATTTCTGCCGGGGAGATAAAACTATTCCTCTCAGCAGCTCCTGAGGGCCGCCAGGCTGCATCTAGAGCTCAGCAAGTTCTGTATTATGTCTGCTCTGAAACAAGCCTCAGAGAAGATTAATGCTTCAGATAACTGACCAGTGGTTCTGCTGTGACTGCTACTCCCCCTCAGCCTCGTTTCATCAGTTAATATTTTCTGACAACTGTATATTTTAGCCATTGGCGGGATGGCGTGTCCTATCTGCTCACTGCAAGAAAGGAATCTGCCTCTCTAGTGCCTTAAGTAGGCCATGTTTATTTCAAATAGTAAACATTTTGATATCTACCAAAACCTTCACATCTGCTGTACGTTTTCAGTCAAACCACACTGGCATAATGCAAGAAAATAGATTAGGCTGAGGCAGCCCAAGTCTGTCAATAACTCCCTTTTTCTCAATGCCTTGCAGTCACTAGTGGGCACATCAGTCATCTTGCTGCATCATTATTGACATTGCAGAGTTAAGCTGTCAGACGTGGAATGCGGTGTTAATGTGAGAAGCACTTTATTTTGAATGATCGGATGGTGTCCTAATCTAGCATCAAAGCTGACTTCCGTCCACCTGAAAACAATAACAGCACAAAGGCTGTCTGAAAATTGATAATGTCCTATATGGCAGCTTTATGGACGGTAATTTTATTAGAGTATACAGACTGCATAAAAAGTTAAGTGCACTGATAGAACCGGCAATGTAGAGAAAGAGCTCGGTAACATGAGATCCCAACCAAAACTATGTTGCGTGCACTTATGCTGCATCAAGAATCAGGAGCTGGCTTTGTCCCATGTTCAGTAGAGAATCTGAGCAAATACCAAAATGACATTTCAACTACTTTTTCTTCAAATATCTGTGTTTCACTGCATCCTGAACACAGCTAATGAAATTTAAGCTTTGTGCATTCCTCTGCAGGACAGGAGTTTCTTCAGATGCCTTTAAGTCACTTTTCGGGTATTTTAAATCATGTCGAGCACAATGGTAAAGATATCATATGACCTATCAGAGATAAATGACAGCACAGGATTGACTTGATTACTGTCAAACAGCAGGATAAAGTTCTTCTCGGTCAATGGAAGCACTCAGATTACAACTTTGACAAAGGAGATTCAGTGTTCGTCTCCTGCCAGATTGTGTTTGTTGTACAAATTGTTAAAAGTTCTCCTCAGTGTCACCCGTTCTTTTAAAAAGACTTCAGTGGGCTTGGAAAAGCTGGGGTTTATGTCCTCAACTTTGTGCGTAAGGAAAATAAAGTGGTCCCTCTTAGTGGACCACAAAAAAAAGAAAGAGACAAAAGCAAAATTAAAACTAAAAAGAAAAGGACAAATCAGGTAGAAGTTTGAAATCTGCAGACTTAAATAGCCTCACAAAACTTTGGACTCAAACTAGTCTAAAAACCTTGTTCACTATTCAAATGTACTCATAAGCCTTTTTAGATAACTTCTCAATGATATCCTTTTGAATCGGGGAAAAGTTTAATTTCATTTCTAAAAAATTCCGATACTTTGGTTCACTCCAAACTAAGGGTGTCTGGATACGATACTGATATTGGTCCGATATCAGCAAAAATTTGAATATCGGATTATATTGGCCTGCATCTAAATTCTGTGATATCAGCACTCCGATACAAGTAGTCCATTCCAGACTCCGCTCCAGCACCTCTATCTAGCAGCACACATATCCAGCATGTAGAGCCCATGTGATCACAACAACAGTGTTCACTAAGGTACTAACAAAGTAGCAAGGAGCAGGAGTGATGTCGGCCCTTTGGCAGTATTTTTCGTTCAAGTCCGAAAAAGACGTTGCAGCTGAGTGCAAAATGTGTCATACACAAGTTTGTGCTAATATACGATCAATATTGGTTTCGGCCAATATTGAAAGCTACTATACCAGTATCGTATCAGAGGTTAAAAAAGTTGTATTGGGACACCCCTACTCCAAACAGAAGAAAAGCCCGCTATTTTTCTTTAAATCAACTTCAAGTCATGGCTTTTATTCTCCCACTGACCTGTTTATTCTAATTAAATAACATCACTTCTGTCAGGACGGATCTGCCTCCTTTGACTCCACGATAAACTCACTCAGCTGCTTATGTAATGAGCATGAAATTGCTTTGTAACAGAGCTAATCAGGCATGTCTTTGGTCATCTCTGAACAAACGAGGAGGCTGTCAAAGCCATGTTTGAGTTATGCCCTGACAAACTAGCCTGTACAATGAGCCATCACAGTGATCGGTCTTTGGTTTCCACCCACCTAATTGAGCTTGATGAGTACGCCACCTGATAGTCCACCCTCTTAGGGAATCTCACTGTCTAAAAACCCTTCAATGACAGCTCCGGTGTAAAACTTTGAGGAACAGTTTGGTAAAGAGTAAAGCCAGATCAAAACGTCCTGATGACTGATGTGTGCAAGTCTATCTAGGCAAACAGAAATCCTTCACCTACACCGTTTTTGGGTTATGCAATCAGCAAAAACACGCTAGCAGCTTTAATTTACCTGCAAAGCTATTTCAGTATGCAGAAATGAGGCCAAGAGGTAGAGAAATGGAGCGCATCTGATCTTGAATTGCCCCTCTGCAGCTCTCTGAGGCTCTGCTTGGGTGGCCAACAAGCCCATGCACAATAAGGAAGGTGCAGTGAGGATATATTCAAATATCACTTCATTGTAAGAAAATAAAAGACTAGCCACAAGAAAAGGAGAAAGATGATCCCGACTTCACTGCCCAGGTTAAATTAAAGAAATACACACAAACAAAGTGTGCACAGTAGAGATTGTAGAAGTTGTTTAACCTTATCTATTCATAGTGGCCCACAGCCAGCTCTCAATCCAGTTGACAACAGAAAACAAGCCCGTAAAAAGCTCCCTCTGCTTTTTGTCACTGCCCGGAGTTATCAACCCTGAGATCTGTGCTCCTCAACCTGAGGCTCACATTTCTCGCCCTCTCAGTGTGTTTCCTATGTGCCCAGTCAAGCCTGACTAGAGCGACGCTGCAGAAATCTGACCAACTTCCAGATCAGGTTGAGTCCCTGCCTCTTAAACAGGGTAAATTTGTGTTCAGGGGAAGAAAAAGAATCCTAAGCCAAAATAAAAGGTGAGGAGCAAATCCGTTTCCTTGTGCTGTCAAACAATCCCTTCATTCAGCGCGATCTAAATGACATTTAATTTGATTCTGCTGTTGATCTCCCCGATACCCTGAGTGCTTCCAGGACATCTACTCTGGCTGTCGTGCCACACCGGCCAGGTATGACGGGGAAAGAAATCTGATGAGCCGTCACACACCATCACGCACAGAGGCATGAGTGTGTGTGCACACACACAAACACAAATGGTGGAAAACATCCTGAAATAAATCCACAGGTAGCAGGTTTGATTTCACAGGATACGCCAGGTCATGTGAGACAGAGGTGGAAATACAAATTGGGTTATCACTCAATGTCCAAGGCCTTCTACACCCTTCTCGATTTATCACCTGGGACTTGTTACCGTGGACTCGCCTCTGTGTCAAAATCAGTGGAAGATGTCGACACGGGAGAAAAATTAAAATATCAAGTTTTTTTTTTAAATGACTTTTGATTTACAAACCATCACTGACATGAGACTTCAATAGAAGACGCAGAAAACAGCCAATGAAACAACTTGTCATCTTTGATACTGGCCTTGGGTATAAGAATCAAACTACAGATATTACAGAAACAAAAAGCGGTTGTGTCATTAACATAAAAAAAAAAACATATCAGCGAATTTGTGTCTTTATTCGTTTATTTTTTTCAAACTAGCGTAGTAAATATAGAGACAAAATCCTCAGCAACGTTATAGTGATCTATGATTCCACTGACATTGTCAACATTATAGGTTAAAAAAAAGGGCCATTGCAAAACAAAAAAAGAGAAGATATTTTACAAAAAAATGGAGACTGATTTGGTTTTGTTGTTCAAGTTTCTTCATAAGCAAAGTGCATCTAGTGTATTTAACTGAACCAGCATCTCAAATAAAAACAAATATTAAGGAAATCTTATCTTTATCCACCAGAGAGAGAGAGAGAGAAAGAGAGAGAAAACAGGCCAACAATAATCGAATAAATAAAATTGATTAGAACTAAAGTCTGTTTTGTTGATAAAAACCTACAGTCCATCCTAACATTTGAGGTTCTCTGTGACGTGGTGTCGTCTTTGTGGCTGAAGATAATGACTCCAGCCTGATCGAAACATTCCAGTGACCACAGGGTTACACCAGGACACTGGCCAAGCTCCGCAGGGGAATTAGCTCATTAATGTAATGGTAACAATATGGAATCAGCCTCCCCAAGGGGGGATACAACAGGAGCATCACCACAGCTGCCTTTTCTGTAAATCACTCTCCTTATCTGGTGGGAGGAGGTGATCAATACGGCAGCATCACTGTAAACAGATAATGTAGCGCACTCTGGGTCTAGCGTCTGTCCATCAGCCCATTATGCCACACAGGGATCCAGATGATGGATAGTGATAAGTAGACAGACGGCCTGTGTCTTTGTGTTGCATCTCATCACCACCAACCTGTCTGAGCTGGATTACAAGGTTGAGATGTGAGACCTCTGAAGCGTTTGTGTGGTTTAAAAAACTTTAAGAAGGGAGGATAAGTGTCATTTGTCTTTGTATGTTGTTTTTTTTTTTTTTTTAACTGCAACTGAATCCCACCAAGAAAAAAAAAACACTTCTATTAGAAAAACAGGAGCTAAAGCTTTCACAGTTACTGTTACTAAAATGGTTCTTTTTTTTAATTTGACGTTTATTTTCTAGACAAAAAGCCAAAGAAAGAGTTTTTAAAATCAAAACTAGGTAAGGCTGGGTGATATGGCCTCAAATCAATATCATGGTATATTGAGCAGTTCAACTCGATAATGATAAATGGACGATAACTACTCCACAAACTGATCACCCCCTCCAACATTAACTTTGTCTACTTCAGCCACCACTCCAGCCGCTACAACTTTTGCACCGTCCTATATCTCTTCACCTGTTTTTCCCTCTTTGTTATGGACTGGATGGGGTGGAGTCACATCTCTGACGTAGGACAGCGTCTCAAAGGGACATGAGACCATAGCCTACCTACATACTTCCAAAACCAACTTTTATATATATATTTTTTTTGACACTGAATATGCCAAAATGGGCAAAATGACATCGGTTATTGTCGTAAATTTCGCTATCGGTACATTTTCTGTTTATCGCCCAGCCCTAAAACTAGTGGTTATAGCTGACTCCACACGTGGTCAGGATGAATGTTTCCACAGTGCTGCATTAATGTGTTCATCAGGAGTTTATGTTCTCTTCTCAGCACTCAGCAATCTGCTATCCAGGGTAAGACAACATTAGCAGCACAGGTGAGGAGGGGTACCAAGTTGATTTCTAAACAAGCTACAACAACCTATCAGATCTTAGAGTCACTTGACTGTGTCATTCCTATTGGTGTTAATATAGCATAATACCCTTTGCAAAGAAACATGAGGTTTATATATATATATATATATATATATACAGTATGTATGTATATAAAAGCTAATAATTAAAGTGGCCTCATATACATAAAATAGAAACAACCTTGTCCTCTGTCACGGTATGCCAGATATCTTATGCCATTCAGGTTTTATGTGCAATTGAGAAAAATACTGTCACAAATAAGCAAACACTCTCTGCTTCTAGTCTCTCCATGCAAGATAACAATTCCTGCTAAAAAAGAAGTCTGCTCAAAATTCTCCCAGATCAACAATGATTGAAGAAGAGAGAGCACAAGAAAAAATCAATATACATGTGATGCCCTTTAAAAGCCTTATAAATATAAGAAGCATTTGTCCATTAGTGGAGATTCAGAGACCAGTAAATGCTAATGAATGGGAGAGCAAGGCCATTCCAGTCCATTACAGAGTCCCACCAGTGAATACAGCTGCCTCTCTGAGGTTATCTACAGGCAGGCCATGCAAACACCAGACCCACAACTCAAAAAAAAACTCTGTACTATAAATGATAGATGAGACACGTGTGCTTTTTGTGTTTCCAGAGAAAAGAACAAACATAAATCGATTACAGGAAAAGAAACATATTTCTTTTTCTGGTAGGGCAGTGCTGTCACTCAAATGTGCATTATGAGAATATGTATATGGATGGAGTGATTATAAACAGTGGAGATTAGCTAATTCACATCATGTTATCTCAAAAAACATAAACATGGGAAAAAAAGTGTGTTGTCAGTGGGGTCAGAGAAAGGATAAAGAAGCCTGTTTACAGCATGGTAAAAATGCATTAGGTGTAAAGATGTTATACAAACAAGACTGGTCTGTGTAGAGGCAATTAAAAAATTAAATCTGTGATACCATTTTCATCTGTTTGATTCCCACATAAAAAAGCTTAGAGTGTTTCTGTACAGAGAGACAGCAGAGACTAATTTTTGTCAATACTTTTGTAAAAATTATTTCCTGTATTGTTTTTAAGCTATCAGTCTGTATCAGTGCTTTTTGTGGTCTCATTCAGGCAAAAGAATATAAAAGACAACGTGTAAAAATGTCTTAAATTAGATGTGATTTTATGTTATTTTAATTCAACAAAATAAATGTGTGATCTAAGCGAAGAGCTGTTTATCTTACTCTGTGGAATATCTTTTAGTCTTGAAAATGACTCGATAAATACCTTGACAGAGGAGCTAAATTTAAACATGTCACCTTAAGCGTCAAACACAACAACATTTGATAAATCAAACTGACTCAGTCACAAGTTAAAGAGAGAGCTCACCCTGCTGGTTTGAGGCAGAAACTTGACAAAGTTATGATAATGAACTGAATTCTCTTTCATTTTTGGTTGTCAAACACCTGAACCCTCTGAGCGTTTAAATGCATGAATGTTTACCGATATGTGAAAGAAAATGTCTCGTAAGGTTTCAAATTTGGAGCCAGTACTCACTTGTGAGGAATACGAGGAACTGCGGTGGGTGTGGAAGCAGCAGTGATGACCTGCAGAATTTGTTCCAGCGCCGACAAGCCGCCGCCCACTTGGAAGGCCACTTGGTCTGCATTGTTCTGTTGACAGAGGGGGAGAGAGACACGGTGAAACAGGGGAACAGGGGGGACAACAGGCAGGCAACAGGCTGGGCGAGGGATTACACAGCTCTCACCAGAGAGGCAGCCTCTCCTTTCTCCTGCAGGAGCAGGGGGATTGAAATTTGACACAAAGTGATCCCAGAAGTATTCCTGTTCAATCTCAAAAAGTGAACAACCCAACTCCGCCCCACAACAGTGGTGTTTCAGTGTACGGCAAATGCTCTGCAGGCTCCAGTTAGCGCCAGGGTGGTCTCATGATGACCACAGTGGAGCGTAACTGAGAAAAACACCTTTTAGCCAAACTAAGGCCAGTGAAATCAAAGACCTTTTAAAAACTCTGATATCCCTCTGTAACTTTAGATTCAAGATATAAAAAAATGTTTTAATCTAAACCTATTAACCTTTAATTCTGTGCAAACTTACACACATGCAGATGAAATCCTCTTTTACTTCTAAATACATAGGTTTGGACATTTTTCAGTTTGTACATTTTCATAATAACCTCCTTTCACTTTATTCCTTTCCTATTTTTTCACTTATTTTATTCAAACTAATATATAATCTAGTAAACACAATATGCATTTCATTTTTTATGTCAGTGGCAGACTAATGCTTCTCAAAAATCTCATACATCAAGATGCTGTAAAGTTCCTGTACTTGATGTTATTTGGTTGAAACAGCCGGTGAATGTTTATATTTTATGTTGAGAAAAATTCTGTTGATGACTGGAAAATACAAAAAAGTTCATTTTCTACAGGTGATAAATAATTTTTCACAAAAAAGAAAATATAACTGAAAATAGGACAGAGTTTTAAAAATGTCTGTAAACTTAAAAACTTCACTAAACTATAAATTGTGTAACCTTTAATTCCCTGCCTGTAAATACAACAGGATATAGGTCACTAAATAAGTAAATAAAGGAGTTTTATGATACGTTTTTTTTGACTGTCAGTCTCATTCATAGGTTATTTCCCCCCCTGAAGTTTGACTCTCTCTTTTCTCACTTCACCAACACTACAGTTCCTGGGATTTATGAACACATGCAAACAGTTAGGTCCTGCCCTCCTGTGATGATGGAGTAATTGGCAGTGGGTCAGATGCTCTTGCTACATTGTCTTATAAATCAACAAGTACAAAGCCAGAAACGAGTGCCGACTCCAAGGCATGTTTGTGCCTGGGCCTACCGGGAGCTGCTGATGGACGGCCTTCCTCGCACAACTACACAGAGCTGTGCTACACTGCAGGTCACTCCTCAACCTAATGAGGTTACAGGCTCCTCCGGTGCTGTGACAGCACTCAAATCCAGCCACTTCACAGCGCTTTTGTTCCAAAGATGGGAAGTTGCCAACAAGCCTGAACACATGGAGAGGGAAGCGCTTTACTAAATTACAGATAAGCTCTTCATCTGTCATTCATGCCCGCTGCTGCTGCTTCTGCTGCAGCTGAGGTAACTGCTCCTCGATTCCGGTGTTAAGACATACGCAGACGAAGCGCTGAAGTGTCTGAAAACATTTACAAACACCGCTGAAGACCCTTTACCTTTGACATAATGAGAAGATTCAAAAGACAGTTTCAAGAGTCTACAAGGTATTTATTCAAATTACTTGCCTGCAGTTTCCATGTCTAATCAATTGGTTGTCAATCGCTGGGCTCACCTTAACCCCCCTCTCTTAACCCTCCCATCAACACACCTACCTAAAAGCTCCTTGGCTAAATGAGAAAAAAGCAGCTCTTTCATAGCAGCTTATCAAATGGTATTAGAGAGGGTAACTAGGACCTGCCCAGTCCTGGCTCTCTCCTGTGAAAACCAGACAAGAGTTTCTTGGCTAGTCGCTGCCTTCTCTGCTCTGCTGACAGATTTATCTGCTGTGATGATGGAACAAAACAAGTGAGGAGGGTTAAGTTTAAACTACATGACAGTGCTATCTTGTGTCAGTGGTTTATATAAAACAAAGGAAGCGCCTGACTATCACTGTGAGGACACCCTCTTTAACAACAACAGCGTCATTCCTGGGTTTGTTTTGCACGATGACAGCTCAGAGGTCAGTGATTGTTGTGCAAAGTGAGTCTAAGCAAATGTACCCAGTGATGATACATCCTTTTATAAAGCCAATGACGCAGGGCAACAGAAATCCTATTTGTGTGTAATTTCTGCATCAGTGTCTTTACACAGCCAGCTAAATTTGAATACAAACCGAAGAACATTTCAGTGCTATTAAAGGGATATTTAGAAATTATTTGATGGACTAAGACACAGCTTTGTGCAGATATTTTGCACAAACAAGAGACTTCAGATCTCATGTATCCCCAGTGGCAATTAATGGCAATTAGGCCTTAGGTTGCCCATGTTCTTCTTTGCACTATTTATTTATTGCATTTTTGCACATCCACATTTTGCACTTTTCACAGCTTACTAAGGCAGTTATTTCCAGTTTTGGTATTGGCTCTGGACTGAACATTATTTTTTAGTGATCTTGTTTGTATGGTGTTTCCTTTGTTGTGTTGTTTTTCCTTTTTATCATGTTGATTTTAAGCCTATTCTTACTGTACCGTCACTGTGTACCCTGTCTTTGTGTGCTCCAGCTGCAACACTAATTTCCCTTTTGGGACAATAACGAGATTCTGTTTCTTATTCCTGCTTCCAGATGGATAGAAACGATGGCTTTTGTGTTCCCTTCACCTTAATCTATGAGCAGAAAACTTTTCAAACTTAATAAACTATTTACTGTTTGTTAACTGAAATATAGAGTCAGAAGAATCACAGAAACACATATTTTTTTAATGAGGTGAACTGTGTGACAAGACACCATAATTTAAGTGCTACAGAGATATTTAGGTCTACAATCTTTAATCATTTGTGTCAGAAAGATTAACACAAAAGAGTTGCTGTTGAAATTTCAGACACACATAAAAAGTACGGCTCCTGCTTTATACAACAGGGTGAATCTTATCCAATCATTGTCCACTGTCACCCTCGCTGATGGGAAGCCTAAGCAGCTGGCAATTCCTGCAACAGTGACTGACCAGCAGAGCGGCCAGATTGCTCTTAGTCGTCCCCTCCCAACAAAGCAGAGAGCAGGACGCAGCTTCAGCCGGCCTACTTCACTGACAGATGGAAAACAACTGTTCATTCAGGACTGCCTTTAAAGTCTGAGCTGCACCTTTAAGTCATGGGTCCAGCCCTTAACAACTAAAACCCGACAGTGACAGGGAGGAGTATGACAGATCACTCTCTCCTCATATTCATCACAACTCAGCTTCACAGAAAAGCTAGGGGGGAGTGGTAAACAAAGCCCTGTGGGCCGAGTTGACTGTAAACCACAACAAAGCTGCTATAGTAAACATTTTCAGGTCCAATATAAACGTCTGTGTATACAAGACATAATGGCGTATAATTTAGAAGACAATGTGAGCGTGGGGCAAATAGGGGAGCAGATTATTCGACAAACTGGGATTAATCTTTGTACATTTTACTGGATAAACAAAGGTTGGTGTGGCACAAAATCAGACCTGCCGCAGAAACCACAGACAGACGGTTTTTGTAACTAATACACTAAGAAGCTCTGAAAAATCTCACTGCCTATTTTGTCTTGTAGTGAGGAACTGTCAATTGGAAATAAATGGTCCCTGAATGAAAGAGAAAACATTGATTGTGAATCCTGTTTTCACTTTTTCATCAATGTGCAATTTTACATTGATAATCTAATAATTTAATAACATTTAAAGATTGACAATACATGTATGATAAAAGTTAGGTAGTGCCAGGAGCTTAATTTTGAATGCACAAGTAGCAACATATGGAGAGAGACCAATGATTTCTTAATAATGACATGATTGATCATCTCATCAAAACATGCCCAAAATAATGACAGAGCCAGTACCAGAGATGAGACTCATTTCTTTACTGTCTACTCGATGAAAAGTATGTGTTAAATGATAATAAAGTCATGAAATACCTTTCTTGGGTAGTTTTGCACAAAAAGTTTTACTTTTAGTGATTAGTGGTAGTCACTAGGGGTGGGAGAAAAAAAATCGATACAGCATAGTATCGCGATATTTTGTCTGGTGATATATCGTGTCGTCTGATTGATCAAGTATCGATATTTTTAAATTAATCGTTAATATGAAGTTGAATTTATGATAATGGAAAAGAAAAATCAACTGTTTGTCCAGTGAGGTTTGCAGAGGTGACATCATAGAGCAGGACAAAGTTAGTATAACAAATATACTGTATATAAGGTTTGCAAGATGTGCCACATGAAAATAAAATACTGTGTTGATAAAATTGTATAGTTCGCTATATATTGTATCGCAATACTCACTGTATTACAAAATGTTAAAAATCCCAATAATATCGTATTATGGCCCAAGTATCGTGATAATATCGTATCGTGGGGCCACTGGTGATTCCCACCCTGTGAGTCACACAAGAAAAAACAGGAATATGGCCTTATGATTCTAACATGTATACACATGGTCTTTAAATGAGAAATATAAGTTTTTAAATGTAGCTTTGCAGTATATTGTATGGCTCATAAAGTTTCTGAGCTTACAGACGTAATGTTTACCTTCTCTCAGTTCTATTGACACTATTGATCTGAGCAGTGCCTGTCAGTCTGCTCAAGGCAGAGCAAAAAGCTATTACCCTTCCAGTCTACCCTTCACCTCCCTTAAGTCCTCAGCTACAACTCCACCACTTCCCAGACCTGTCCTCCATATTGACATGCTGAAAGACAAGCCATAGAAATACCCGAGCAAGGTGTGCAGCAAAAAGAAAAAGAGCACATTTAGAAATCTGTTCTTCTCAATTGCGGAAAGTAGAGAAAATAGGTTTGACACAAAATAAACCATTAGAGGCCACAGAGGGAGAGACACGCCGAGGTCAGAGACTAGACATAACCTATAAAGCCAAGGAGAAGTGTGGGGGGTGGGACCCGAACAGACGTACTGCAAGAGGGGCAGTGTCGGGTGTTGTGTAAGGAATTAGCTGAGAAAGTGGAGACTGAATCAGATATGGGGGAGAAAAACAAATCTTTAGGTGAGTCAATGACATGAGAGATGCTTGTTAGGTCAAATAATCTAAACGGCTCTGACTTGAAGTGACTCAGGGGCCAGACAGCCATGCTTGACGGAGACTCTGTTTATTTGACTTTGTCCAGGGATTAGAGAGTACAGTGTTCCCCCGGCTGCCTCATCGGCCAATCACTTTGACCCACTCAGCTCTGACTGGATGTTCCTCTAAAGAATCCGCTCCAGCAAAACTTGACAAAGCAGTTCATAAACGTGCCTCGAACTGAGCTGAAAGAAAAAAGAAAAGGCACCCAAGCAGGGCCTCCTTGCCAGTGACACCATGTTGAATGGAGCACATCTCCTGTGGCCCACTGACCTCTGACCCCCCTCTGGGAGTACTCGGAGCCGAGGGGAGGAGCTCTCATGTAGTGACAGCTTGTGAGCTACTCACATCACACTGGTCTCCTCCTCTCTCCTTACAGGACGCCGTGCCACCCACCACCGCCACTTCTTTCTTGGCCTCTCTGGGGAAATTCAGTAATAGCCTCTCTAGCCGTCCCCCTCGTCACTGATGGGACACCATAATCTCTCTATCCTCACGCCCAGAGGCAGGCACAGTGGGATGTTATGATGGCTCCAACCACAACTTGGCAGGAAATTTATGCCTCATTACAGGAAGTGGGCTGTATATTTTCCTCATCATAAACACAGTGGCAGGTGTTTTAATTCCTTCTCCCTGCCTCAAATTGATGTGGGTTTTACTGTAAAAAAAATAATAATAAAGCTTCATGAAACGAACCCTTTGGGATTGATGTTTCAAATTAACAACAGTTAAAAATGTCTGCAAAAGAATAAGACAATCATACGTTTTGATGCAGCAGTCAACAAAAGTTTCAAAAAATTATGTCGATCTCTGAAGAAAAAAGTCACATGTGCTTACTTCTGTCAAATTAAGTCTTGCATCAATGGCATTTCATCTGGAAATCCAATTTACCATTGTCTAAACCAGTGACATCTGAGTCGTGCGAGCCACATGGACAGAGACAACGCCGGCTCTCGTACTGGGAAGCCCTCTATTGGTACCATGTGCACAATGAAAACACAGTTAATGTGGTCTTCATTAGCCAATAACCAAAGGCAAGTTGGTGTGGAGTAAGTGATACTCTACATTGGGAGGGTGAGACACAGGGAGGCGCAGCCAAAAACAACTCATCACTGAAAAGACATGCCAAAGGGCTGGCACGACCTGAGCACTGCTGCAGACTGTTCATGCAAAAGAGCGGCAACAAAGCAGAGAAACTTCTGCTGTGCGGCGTTTAATACAGCTGAGAAAAAGTGCTGTCAAAGATCCTGTACTAAGCAGGTTTGTGGACAAACATTAACGAGCTGGTGAATTAATCATCTAATCCAAACATTTACTTCTAATCTCTTGAAATTTGAATTCCCTCATCAACAGCAACAACGTCGGTCTGATCCATTTGTTTCCCGCCTACCTGTTTCTCGAGGATGCGTGAGATCTCCCCCAGAGTTCTGTCCAGACCGGACACCTTGTTGTTGGCCCACTGGCCGCTGTCTTGGCCCTGCAGTTGCTTTAGTAGATCTTTCACCAGGCGCTGCAACCTGAACAGACAGGAGCTTAACAGTTATGATAAATCTGTTCATAGAGAGCAGTTCTTAATCCATGTTTGAATGATACTGCTTCCAAATGACTGTGTACTTCCAAAATTTAGGTTTCTGACTATTGGTTTACCAAAACATTGAATATGAAGCTGGAAAAAGACAAACACAAATACTCTTTTGATTATCTAATGTTTGAAATACAAGCACAGGTTTCAGACATTGTAATGAAAGCATCTTTTTAAATTTTTTTCAATAAAAAAATATATAAATTAATAAAAACGGTAAACCCGTTCAACAATTTTTCATGTCTAATATTTTTCCCTGTCACTAATTTACAGATAATATGATCAATACATTGACTTTATTAAACAATGGCAATGTTAAGAACAGCCCATCAACTCAGCTCTATTGTTTTTAAGAAATATATGAAAATTAAAACAAACAAACTGTGAAACCTGAATTTCTGGGTTAAAAAAAAGGAAAAACACGCACTTGGCCTTGTACGGGGAGTCAGGGACCTGCGTCTTCGCCTCGATTGATGTCTCGTATTCCTTTGCCCTGCAGAGGGAGAGGTAGGAAAAAGTCTTAGGATTTAAGGAAAAGAATCTTTGGCCTGTCAGTACAGAACACGAGGGATGAAAGCGTGAAGAAAGAGAGAAAAGTTCAAACTGAGTCTGTTTATTTGGCCTGTCAACCGTTCACCAAGTAACTCAGCTTAAAATAATCAGACACCGGCTCTGTGGGGATGGCGGTTTGCTGCCATCCACTCATATTATGAAGACATTTTTTCTAGCTTTAAATTCACCTCGCTTTGAGTCATCTTAAGAAGGGAGGCTCAAGTTCTTCACTTCTTGCCAAATAAACAGTTAATGGAGGTTACAAGCAGCACAACCAGTGTTTTGAGTGTGTGACCTCCAAAAGGCAATGGTCATTGGGGTTCTGTTTTTTCTGCGGCGTTACTCAAACAGTCAGATTTAGATTCAGAGAGTCAAGCGCTGTGTGTTTGTGTGTGTGTGATTTTATCTGTCAATCAGGCATTCCCAGACATGATAAGTAACTATTGATTTGAGTGAGATAGAGCGCTTTCCGGCTACTCATATCTTCTCTGCGCACCGATAGGATCAAACGCTTCCTGGAAGACGACAGGTGGGTTTGACCGAGCAGTCACCAGACATGGAGCGACCCAAGCCTCATCCTTTTTAATAGTTTACCGATAGGACCAGGAAATAACCTGTTATTGTGAAGGTGTCGCTTTAAGCTTTATCATTTTATTATTCTCTTCTTATTGGTTTTATTTGCTTTATGCAGTAAAAATGCAATTCCTGTATTGTTTGTCTGCAAAGAGTTTTGAGTGAAACACCTTCATTAGAAACTGTTTTAGTACCTGAAAGGAGAGAAAAATACACATGATAGATGCATTTATTTATCAGTGCCAGTATATCAGAGTTGTGAGCCAGGTATCAAAAAGTGTTGGTGCAGCTGTCTGTGAAAAGGGCCTGAACCGTATACGACCTGTACTTTATCAATGATGTTACATGATTAATCTATGACAAGTTTAACTAACCAGATTAAAAAGGAACCAACGACTGCGGCTTCGATAGTTGATCACAATAAAGAAGTTCATTCATTGTATGCTTACTACTCTTACCAAGTTACAAAAATCCATTCATACAATTACTACCAAACACTCAATGCAGACCAAGTATAAGTAAAAGAAACCAGGCTCTATAATGATACCAAAATCAGATATTTCTAAGTACTTAAATACCATCTAGCATTTCTGTGCGACGTTAGAGATGTCTCTTAATTTATGAGAAGGCCATTTAACCCTTAATGTAAGGAAGCAGATCAGGTGAACTGAGTCAGGGCCTTGTTTGCCGACATTAACTGTAGTCTGCAGCACTCTATACAGGAGTGTCTTTGTATGAATATCGCCATCTGGGGTCAACACACATAGACAACGACACACTGGCCACTCTGTTCCCCTTATTTGTTGCTTGAACCAGAGCACAAGGGGAAACTCAGGTTCAAACCCAAAACCTGCAGCTGGCTGCTTTTACGAAATTTATACAGGTAATTGTATTTGTAAAAACACTTATTAAAGAAAGTTAGTCATGTAAAAGAGTAATGCAAAAATAATAAACTCATTTAAAACTGTGTAAACAAAAACCATGACGGTTTAAATGTGTGTGTGCACTGCTTTATGAGCGAACAGAGCTGTATTTTGGCCCGGTGAAAAAGTCGAGTGAGAACCACTCAGCTTTTACAGACACCATACAGTGTTGCAATAAAACGGTTCATTTCCACCCAGTGGTGAAGCAGCTCACCTTTATGTTTACTGGGGCTTTGTGTTATTTATGACCTCTGAAAGCCTGCTGCCTTTGAGAGCGGGTCTCAGCAGGGCTGGTGAAAGAGTGACGGTGAACAGAGACAGATCGTGTTGTCACTTTTTTAGGACTGCTGAGCCCCACAGAGCCAAAACTAGCAGCATTGAGAACACAGCACTGTGACGGAATGGGACAACTGCTTGTTGGTGCCTCTTATTTCTCTTTTGAGGGTATAAAAATATGCAAATCTATCAGAAAATGTCTCCTCCTGTGACAAATACATATTTCAGATTCTAAGCGCCGCTTCTAGAAAAGCTATAACAAGGAAGTGGCTAAAACTAGAAAAAATGACTGTGGACGAGTGGTTTGACATTATTTACAACATTTTTAAGATGGATAGAATTACTTTTGCTATGAGACTAAAACAGGGACTGTTTTTGGAAAGATGGGAAAGATGGATTAGATATGTCGCTCCCATTTGTCCACCGTGTGTCTAGTACCAGGTCTTATATCCATTTCCTTTTTCATCCATGTTTTTCTTTTTCAACCCTTATGCAAAGGTATATATATAGTTTTCTCTCTGTATTATAACAGATTTGCACCCCAGCATTCTTGTTCTAAGGAGTTAAGTTCTCAATTTTTGAATTTTAATAATTTCATCATTTGTGCGATTGAGGGAGGACCAATCACAATAAAAACAATTGGAAAAAAATATATGCAAATTTGAAAGAAAAATCCCACCATAGGGAAACACTGTTCTTCATACTATGCTGATTCAGTGTACAGTTTATAGTATTTGCAAATGTTTTTTGAAGTTAGTAAAATTAATTTATGTCCAACCTCTGTTTGTATTGCCCTTTTTTAGTTTCAGAGAGACAAACTTTTTAACAGTGCTTCCTGTTCACTCCTGGACGCTCTGAGGGTGAGGATGGCCTACGGGGCAATGAGAGTAGTTTCTAATTCTTAAGATGCCTTATTTTCTGGATGATAGTTTCTGTATATGTTAAGGTGCTATAGTGTTAAAATTGTGTTTTTTGTTTGTGTGTGAGTTCCAAAAAGATATGTACGGGCAGCCAGAGGCTTAAACAAATAACAAGCTAAAGAAAACAGAAAAGCAGCTCCTCAGTTCAGTTTTCATAAGTGATGATGATGTTTGGGCGTTCATGTTGATCTCCTGTCGAAGAGTAAGCATTGTCAACACTGTGTCTCTTTCCCGTACTCTCCCTCCTTGTTGTGACAGCCTGTTAAATAGATTGAGCTCAGGTCCAGGATCTGACACACAGTAGCTCTACCTCCTATTTGTTGATTACTATTGATTTTCTTTGATACTTCATTTAAAAATCAATAGCTCAGAAGAAGAAAAGAAGGAATGGCTCATTCATACTTTAACATATATCCTGTTCACTGCGGAGGGCTTCAGATTTGGCAATGCCATGGCATCAATTTGGAGGAAAGCTCTTTACAGGTGAAAGTCGAGGGAGCTACAGATCGATTTTCAGTTTTGCCGCCCAATCACAGAAAGTGGTCATAAATTAAGCTCATCAGTGTTACCTTGTGGACAGCCAGGATGCACATAATATCCTCTTCACTTTCCTTGTAAGCCATAAAAAAAAAAACCCTGGCACAGTTTTGTCTGCTGAGCCTCTGGGAGGATTGAGAGAAAGTAACCAAGAGAAGGAGAGGCAGACAGAGGGGAGATTTATGTTTTACCTGGAGTTCATCCTGGCGCGGAGTTTCTTTGCCTTCTTCCGTGCCTTCTGCCTCTCCTCTCCATCCTTCATGCTCTCAGAAGACACAGAGCTGTCTGTCACGATGTCCACAATGTATTTCTTCAAGGAAAGATGCTCCTAGAGTTGCAAGAGAAATACAAAAATCAATTGTTGATGTTGGTGATTGTTTGTTACAATGACATAAAAATAAAAAAAAACTACTTATGTACATAGGCCAAAACTATCCAACAATTTAGAGGTAGACATTTGTGGCCTATTTTCTTGGAGGATACACATGTTCTTTACAAGCTATCTCTACTCCACGTCATTTACAACTAAAGGAAATTTCTCAGCTAAACCAAATTAAACAAAACAAAATCTAGAATCTGTGATCATTTCATTAAAAAGGACATGGATGATGACCTCTTTAAAAAAGGCTGAAACTAAGATATTACGTAAAAACATCTTCACCTGAGGCCCATGATACACTGACATACTGGGAACATATTAATACACAAAGGTACAATATAACAAGTGTTGAATGTAGCATAAAAGATTTCAAGATCTTTTAAGTCACTATTCTGAAAATAATAATGGTAATATTTCTGCACTTGTAATTTGGTAAAGGATCCTGTAAAGGAGCCTGAGACTGAAGCGCTTCCTTTAATTTATGTTTTCTGTGCAATCTTTATTATTTAGAACAGTTTTCTTCTTTTAAGTGAGAATTAAAATAACCAAAATGAACAAAACCGTACAAAACCAACAGAAGCAGAACTTATTTAATACTAAATGCTAATGTGAAATGTTTGAAGTAACAGACTTGTGATCGTGTGACAGGTAGATCCACGCCTCTCAGTAACACCTTTGTTCCCTGTAATTATCTGTAACTCCTGGCAATCTTTTAAAGCCACTCACCTACAGACGGGCTAAAAACCTGGAGGTGTTGCCTCCTGTCTGGCCCTGTCAGATGATTCTGATATTTCCACCCAGAGACAGGGGGAAGTAACCCAATTTGAAGAACATGATGCATGTGCAAGAAACCAATTACCCAATTATGCTGTCATCCAGCACCCCGGAGAATAGGATGGTTTCACAGATAAAGGGTTTCCATTCAGCAGAGCTAACCCGTGTGTGGGATGCTAGATACCCTTTGGTTACAAGTGTTGTCGGTGCACCTGCTGCCTGAATGGACGTTTTCTCGTCATGAAAAAAAACAGGTGTTCCTAAGTGAGCTAGAGTATGCAAGATGAAAACAAAACTGGTGGAGACATTAAAACATGATTCATTCTGAGTTATTGGGTTAGATTGAGCAACAATGGCACAATTTTGATTATTAATTCTCATTATTTTTTTCACTGTAAGCTGTACACCATTGAAACAAGGTTATATCACATACAAATGAGTGCTCATCATAGTCTGATCGACTTTTTAATCTGAATCTTTATGACAGCTGTGAGATTACCCGCCTAATACAGCTGGAAATGTCGATCAGATGTAATCGTGTCAAACCAAATACAAATGGGTTTTGAGTGAGGTTAATAGTTTTGGTAACAATTGCATGCATTTAAGCTTTTTTGGATTTTTTATTTCAAATTTCCACCGTTGCTGTGGTATTGAATAGTAAGTGTTACATTTTCACATGTCAGAGTGGAAACATGTTGGGTTTTCAGGAGCTTTGGTACTGATCAGTTAGTTACCTAGGGCATAATTTGGCATTCCTGAAGGAAAAGTTTGATCTAAAAGCAGGAAGTAGGATAGAAAAAAAATGACAATTCTAATAATAAATGTGAATAATAATGATAACGAAGGGAGGGCACATTTGTGTTTCGATGTATGCACACACTTTTGCCCTCTACTCTACAATAGCACAGGTCAGTTATGACTCATGCTGTAGCTGTCCCTCACTTTGTGATTTGCTGTTGTAAAGAGGCAAGTCTAAATGGACACTGTGAGAGCTAAAGAGTTCTTGAGATAATCAGAATTGACGACAGAGAGTTGTCTAGCTAGCAGAAGCATAGACGCTTGCCTGAGGATATTACTACCCCACAACATGATACATGTGACTCCTGTGGGGGTAATCTGACACCACTCTTAACATCTTTGCCTTTCCCTGACACAAACAGATCTAAAAAGACAGCCAACACAAATCCAGATTTTAAAGTGCATGTTTCTATCCTGAGTCTTCTTAGTCAAAAACTAAGCTTGAAGGTGTAGACTCTCCATCTGGTCTGACCCAAAGAGCTGCAGACCATGTTAGCTACTAAGAAAGATACGATCAGACTAGATTCACACAACCTTTTCCAACTGCATCCTAAATGTGACATTTCAGAAAACTGGAATTATTCATTCGGCTCTTCGGACAGCAGTCTCGCTGCTAGACAAACGTTAAATTGCAAAAAATTGTCAGATTCAAAAGCTACAAAAGATGTCCAGAGAAACTTCTGGCTGCTGTTAACGAACTACTATTGTGTTGTTTTATCTGTGAATTCTATTTCTGTTCTGTTCAAGTATTTTGTGGTTGGATACGTTTTCTGCTAAAAATACAGATGAGGTCTGAGCTCTCAACCAAAATCGGATATGCAGGTAATTATAAAATCCTTTTATGTTTTTGATATACTTTTAATCGTACCATTTGTCCAGAATTATTTAATGTAATCCACTTTCTGTGATTCAGTGCAGTATTGTGTTCATTTTTTAAATTTGAGGTGGAGGCTTCAAATAAGCTCTTTCTGCCTCCTCCTGCACTAACTATTGCTGTCATATTCAGTATTTTTTAACTGTGCAAAATAAAATAAATAAAATAAAATCTTAAACAGTGAGTTCAGGGAGACGCTCACTGCAGCTGGAGCTTTAGATATTTCATCAAGTTTCTCAGTTTGTGGCGATCAAACAGCTTTTACTACAACCATACAGTGCCTTTTGGAGGTCAGCTCTGACAAAGCCCAGTGACCCTTCTCTTGGCTATACTTGAAAAGCAGCGGTGACAAAGCAGACAGATTTCTTTGAGATGTGAGGTGATCAACTAATAAAATCCAGAAATCAAGTCTTGGATGCGGTCTTGCAAAATACTTGCATCCTCCCAAACTAGGACTGATGGTGAGTTAAAAGAATGAAATGAAATCTCAAGCGCAAGCTCAAATGAGAATAACTATAACAGTATTTTTAATCTAATTTGCTGGTCAAAAATGACTTAGAGGCAGAGAGCATTTATCCCAGTCTTCAGCTTGGAAACGATAACGCGACCTCTGCGCAGTTGCACCAACTGTCTTCATTTTAATTAAAAATCTTTCAGTGCAGGAGAAGTTATGGGGGCACAGCCTGGAAAATAGTTGGCAGTGGTGTGAATAAAGAGGCAGACTCCCAAATTAGCTTTGATATAAATAACCAGAGGCCTGTGAAGTCTAGCTAAACACAGCCTACAGACTGAGACCACTTGAACTGTTTGATCAGCTATCACGCAGAATGAGTGACGGTAATTCTGAACATCTAGGAATTCTCTTAAAAGAACTATTGCTGTGACTGATGGCTCAGGTAAAACATTTTAACTTGGAGTTAAGCAGCAGCTTAAAATGAGGCTAATTTGTGATTTAAAAAAAAACTATTATTAAAAGTGGGAAAACAGAAGAGTCTCAACTTTACGGTTTGTGCTAAAACTGTATGAGAGGTGGTGCTCTTATATGGACTTTTACAGTGCTGTATTTGTTAAATGCTTCTCTCCATTGCCCTGTTTGTCAAAGTGTCAAACAGAAAAATGTGCTGCGTTTGGAGAGGAAATGATTTAGAGTTAAAGAAAGGAGGGGGGTATCAATTATTGCTCACTGAAAAAAGCTTTGAATGAAGGAGCTGCAGGGGGGCAAAGGTGCTGCATATAGCACCAACAGTTGTCAGCCTCACAATGAGCACTGCTGAAAAGCCAATCTCATATTGCAGCCTGAGAGGTTACCTTGCATTAACGAGCTGCCTTCCCATGGAAAAGCGCTGCGTGACAAAAACAGCCCGGAGACAAGGGGGTGATGTCACCCCTCCACTGAAGCGCTGAACCCTAACTGTGTATATTCCCAGGCTTATTTGTGATCTGACAAAAGCAGCAACGGAGCCATGACAGTATCTAAGAGGATGCATAAACAATAATAATGACCATGTCATAAAAGGCAACCGCTGTGTCTCTTTGTCTTTTTTTACATGGCTCAGGCTGCAGCAGCAGTGCAGCTTTCTTTGACAGAATGAGTGGATGTTAGTTCCTATCAGAGTGTGTGCATGTGTGTGTGTGTGTGTGTGTGTGTGTGTGTGTGTGTGTGTGTGTGTGTGTGTGTGTGTGTGTGTGTGTGTGATACGCACCACTTCCTCATCAGAGAGCTCCCGCCCTTGGATGCTGCTACTGTCTCGCACGGCCTGTTGGTGCCTCTTGCCCTTGGTGTGGCTGAACAGGTGCACCTCAGAGGTGATCTGCAAACACAAACACAGCGGTCAGAGGTCACTGCTGTGGACACAAAGGAGACAGAGGCAGGAAAGGGTCAACAGGGCCCCATGGGACACTGGTAAAATGATATACCACAGCGGCTCTTCAATAGGACATGACCTGGCTCTCCTGAATGTAAGCTTTAAGCAAGGACTTAGATAAATGTGGTTAATGTCACTAATTGCAGCTCTGTCTAACTTGACTGAGCAGTCCAAATGCCGCTTTTTTTAAAACAAAATCATCTTGCAGCAACAAAGTGCAGCTGGACAAATTAAACAAAATGATAACTCTTTTCAGAAACTTTAAATACTCATAAACTTGAAGATAATATCTGACATTATAATTTTTGTCAGTCCCAAAATGATGCAATCAAGTCAAGTGTGGTCAAATAAAACACAGGGACATCACTGATGTCAAAATAAATGTTTCAGAAATCTAAACCATGACCACAGCAACACGCAGGTGCGCTGAAAACAATGGTGGTCGTCTCATTTCTGGAAACAGGCCCGTTTTGACTGGTTTGTGGATAATATCATTAATTTAAGTGCATGCAGCTGACCAATCTGTGATCTCTGGTGTCAGACGCTGGCCAAGGTCATCGAACATTTAACAAGATTACCTCTTTTTAGCTCTACAACAACCCTCCACCCCCCACTACACACACAGACACAGACACACACATCACCTTCTTTGAATGATGCTTATTTGAGAACACAAGGTGTCTTACTATAGTTGCTACGGTAGCAGATCATCAGAGATAAATGTGTCTGTTTGTGGATTTGTTGCCTTACACCTGTAAAAGCTTCACCATGCTCAAACATAAATCTCAGTTTAAGAGCCCCTGTTTATAATTGATGCCGTTAAATCCTTATTTAAATGTGCCCTCTTCTTAAATTCCCCTCAATCCCCTTCCTATCAGCATTTTATACTGAAAGAACTTATCCCAAAACAGGGAGGAGTTACCCAGAGCTTATTTTGCTGCAGCATCTCTGTTTTTCTGATGCCCATGAGTATTAAAGGAAGAACTAAAGGCCCTTTGGTTTCCATTGGAGTTGTTTCACATGATGTACATACCACAACGCAGCACAGGGAGCACTGTTTCTTGCGTTCATACGGTGTCAGTTTGGGTGCATAGTCTGTGTTAGCATGTCGCCCACTGCTGAGCTCAGCAGCCTTTTCCTTCCTCTGCTCTATTTGCTCCATATGTCTACGGCTGCTCTCATCGTGCTGTGACAAAAAAGAAAAAACTCGGTTCAAATGGGAAAGTGGGAGTCCTGTATAATGCCTGCTTGAGATGCAAGGTCGCATGATTTAAATGTACCTTCATCTGAATTTTCTTCTGAAGCTCTTCCATGGCTTCCTGTTGAGCGGCGCTGAGAGCAGCCAGGCGCTCCTCTCGGTCTCTGCAAAGATAAGAGCAAAACAGCCATACAAGTCTTCTGATCGGAAAGAGTGACCGAACAAGTTAAGATTGGTGTATTAAACTGGATATACACGACCATATTGAAGGGTTTGATACCACATACCTTGCTCTTTCCCGTGCTGCGTCTTCTCTCGCTTTTTCTTTCTCCTGCCTCTGCTGTTCAATGCGAGCCTCCTGTTCCTTCCTCCGCACCAGCAGCTCCTCCAGCCGTGCCTGCCGCTCAGCTTCCAGGATCCGCTTACGCTCCTACAGAGGCAGAAAAAAAAAGAGATTGCAGATGCTTAATTAAACAATTAAGGGTCGAGTAAAAACAGCATTTTTTTTTTTGTTGTTGTTGCACCTGAACAGCCTCGTCTCGAGCCTGCTTTTCCTCCTGCCTCCTCTGCCTCTCCTCCTGCAGCTCGTTCAGGCGCTGCTCGTACTCATTTAACTTGGCCAAGGCATCATGCCTCTTGTTCTGGGCTTCCAAAGTGTTGATGAATGCAATTTCATTCACCTGTACGGATTCATACAACATACTGTGTGGAGTAGATGTAGACATGACTTTAAAAAAGGTTATCTGTTGATAGGAATGTTTTGACCAGAAGCAGAAAAAGAACACTTTTTGAGAAGGTTCTGTTGTATGTAAGTATGTATATAAACAATTTCATGTTCAAGGATTAGAGATGTCTACAAATATCCTGTAAAATTCTTCAGCTGCTGTACAATGTTGCACATTATCACTGCTTTACAGGGATCTCCTCCTCTACCTTTGCTTCTTCTTCTTGGGCCTTCTTCACGATCGCCTGTAGCTGCAGCTCTCGTTTAAACTCTGCGTGCAACAGCTTTTCTTCCATCATCTTGCGACGCTGCTCCAGCAGCTCCTCCTTCCATTTTCTCACCTCCTTCTCCTGCACGAAAAGAATAGTGAGAAACAGGAGTGGGTGTTTATTCGAAAAAAGAAAAATAATTAACATACTCTAGAAAAACACAGACAATAAATGATAAATTCATCTTTTTCTGCTCTCTACAGTATGACCACATGAGAATTAATGCCAATACACACCACTTTATGTATTTATGTGGTTAATCCTGATTTATTCTAGGACTCTCTCATCTTTCCATGGCCTGAGGAACAAAAACAAACTTCATGATAGGCTGTTGATTTTGGCCAGGGGTCTCTCTCACGACTGTCTGCGGCCAGCTGGCCTGGATGCTATTTGAGGGGGTTCTAATATTTTTGATTCTATCAGGCGGTGCGCTGACAAAACCTCTCGTTATGAGCCAGGCTAAGTTCAACGTACATGGAGTTTTTCTTTTTTTTTTTTTTTTTCCAAGCATGCTTTTCATCAGCTTTGCACTTCTTACTCACTCTCTCAAGGAGCTTCTGCAGTTTGAGCGTCTTTTCCTCCCGGAGTTTGTCCCTCAGCTGCTGCGCCTTCAGCTGTTTCTCCTCATGTTTCTTCTTTGACTCTGCAATGGTTCTGTCAAATAATGGAAACAAATCATTTATCACCTGCTGTTTCTCCCTTTATCAGCTATGAAAAAGGCAGACATTTATTCTGATGGACTCTGTTTGGGGCCTGTTTAGATGTTGCGGGTGGTAAACCAGTCAGACTCAGAATGCAGGTCTTTGACTCGCAGGATTCTGGGTCAAAATGTCAAAGTGAAGTTATGGCTGCTAATAAGTGGACCTATGCGCTGCCAAGAAAAGCACTGAGAAGCAGACCAATCCCTGCATATAAAAATATTTCCCACCTTTTGCGTGATGGTGAGGATAATTTCTCGTGCATGTGGATCCCGTGACCTGGAGGCCGAGCAGGTTCCTCTTCTACGATGTCCCCCCACGAGGTGCTCTGACGCCACGGCTCACGAGCTACAGGAAACATAAGCAACGAAAAATAAATAGACTCCAGTTTAATGTTTGCTATTACAACAAATGAGGGCTCCGTTTTCATTCGGATTTTTGACCCCTTACCGTCATAGTCTGCCAGCATGTCACTCCAATCCATGTTCGTGCCACAGCCCCCATTGCTGATGCTAGCCTGTGGTTAAGACTCATGTTTTTACATACGTCAACATAAATTGAAATCTGGAACTTTAAATGTCAAGCAAAGAGTCTTACAGAGTAGTCACTTTCGTTGTCAGTCTCCAGGTCGTTGTTTTCAGCCTGGATCTCTCTGGTCAGCTGCTCTTCTTCAGCGATGGCGCTGGCTATTGCCTCCTCATTGGCCTTCTCAAGTCGGTCTGCGAGCTCTTCCTTCTTGGCCAAGACTTCTGCCATGGACTGGGGCTGAACACATGGCATAGATACCACTTCACACACACAGGAAATTTTGACTTATGAATGTGGGGTTCAAATTAAGGACCATAGGGAACCGAATAAACAGAAAACTGTTGAGTGTTTTTCAGAGACAGTAATTTGACATTTAGCAGTAGAAAGAAAAACACCTGCTCAGATAGTACAACTAATTATAGTTGGATTCTTCTAACCACTTCAGTTCAGTGTGAGGGTCTTGGTATTATGCATGTTTGCTGAGGTTTGCCAGGGTAGAATTACATTATCTGTTTTTTTAATGTTTTAATGATCCTTGTATGTAAAGTTATGTTGGCAAATAATTTAAACACTTATTTGTATAAAGAATTGCAGGACTATGATGGAGTATTAGGGCCACATTAAGAAAAACAATTAAAGACTGAGGTTAAAGTCGTTAAATTATGAGATTAAAATCATTACTTAGGAGTATAAAGTCAATACTAACGAGAATAAAGTCGGAATAAAGTCCTTTTATTCTAACCTGTTGTTTAAAATGACATCAGGAACATCAGCACCACATTATCATGAGTATCATAATGATTTTACCACAACTTTATTCTTGTTACTTTATCACGACTTTATTCTCGTAAGTAATTACTTTATTAGTAATGACTTTATTCTCTTAAATTAACGACTTTAATCTTGAAGTCTTAATTTTTCTTTTTTTCTTAACGTGGCCCTAATACTCCGTCGTTCAGGACAAAATACAACAGGTGAAAAAAAAAAGATTCTCATGTCATTTAGTCTAAGATACAAAATGCGTCACAAAACAATTAACTGGTAAAAGGCGTAATTAAGAAAGAAGAAAATCATATTTCACCATGTGATCGTGCAGTTGATTGATGTGCATGATTTTAAGGCTAAAGGGGGGGGCACCATATTCAACCCAATCACAGTTTATACCACACAATCACCACAAGAATCACAAGTGAGGAAGCATTCCAGAGTCATGCAAGGCACGATAACTGTGAGGATGAAGAGATGGTGGAAGGAGGCAACTGATGGCTTTTTCTCTGAGAAACTACTTACGTATTACAGGGATTGATGTATTTTTATGACATGGCAGTTATAACAGAATGACTCAGCAGTTACTCTACAGCAGAAAGCCTTTTACTTGAGGTATGTATGAGAAAATTTTAAGTCCTGCGGGCCTACATCTTAAACACATGGGCGTTACCTTTGCACGGTCAACATCTAAACTAGAGCTATATTTGAGGCCAAATTGCTTTCACAGTAGAATTGAGTTCATAATATTCCACATTTTCATCCCCTACCTGTCAAAATTTGACAGTGTCCCACTAAAAAAAGTGAAGTCATCCTTGACCGCGAGTATGGCGCTCTGTTTTTCTGAAATTCTTAATGCTTCAAGTAGTCATGAAATCTGATTTAGATGGACAGAAATTGCTTAAAATCTGACTCTGGGTTGGATATAAACTGGAAACAGAGACCACAATTCAAACTTTTTGGGCATAGAATATTAAAAGTGGCTAAAATAAAGCAAACAAGTGGAGAGATCAGTTATGGCCGACACTCTGGGAACACTTGCTCAAGTACAAAAGCCATCTACCCACAGCTTTTCTTCACGGTAAACTGTGCTACAACAACACTACACAGAGCTATGCAGTCTTGCCCGCACATTTGGTCTGGCAGTTTCTTAAGATTGACTTTGTTTAGGCGGTGAAGGACCCTCAGGGACCTCTTGCTTGCCCCCACCCTCCCCTCCCTCTGCTCCTCCATCTCTCAGCACTCACAGTAGAAAGCTCTGTGGGGTCCAGCACACTCTCCAGTTTCACCGCTGCCATGGGAGTCCCAGTCTGTCCTGGAGCAGATGTGGCTGTGCCCTGTGACGCGCCCCCCTCAGCCCCACTGTCCCCCAAGGCCAGCAGTGCGCTGAGCCCATCCGTCTGGGGAAGGTCTGGGGATGGGGAGAGGGCCAGAGCTGGGACTGTGGGGACCGATAAGGTAATGTCTGTTGGTGGGACTGGGGCTGAGGATGGGGTCAGCTCTGGGACTTTGGAAGGGGTAGGAGCTGGTATTGGGGGAGGCGCGTCTTCGCAGGGTGAGTCGACACACTGCCCCGAGTCTTGTACACTCGCTGTTGGGGGCTGCACCGACAGTCACACACAAACACACGCACATTCAATTAAATACATGCATATTTCAAGCAATTTATGACAGCAATAACAACAAAAAAATCAAACCAGTCAATACTCAACACAATTCAAGGCTAAAAACACAAACCATGCAGGAAAGCTGATACTGACATGCCCTAAACATCCAATTAAGATCAGTCTAGGCTGAATGATTGGAAGTGCTGATTTGTATCGAAAGCCAAACGGCTGCTAAAAACACACACACACTTCTGAAGTGTGTGAGAAGGTACAGAATGAGTGTCTAGATCATGAGAATGAAAATGGGTTTTCTGCCTCTGAAATGGCAGTGTACCATCAATCCTAAAGTTGATATGCCAGTCTGGGTGGTATGTCTATGTAAGACAGAGAGCCCAAAAACAGAGCAAATGTGGCTGATAAAATGGTCTGCTTTTACTCTGCTCTTCATTGATAATTGAGAATTGATATCCTGGGAAAGCTCTTGAAAACAGAAGTCACAAAGTGTTGAAGTACAGTACCTCCATGATTTGCTCATTCTCTGGATTTTCAACCTTCTCCGGGGGGTCGGGCTTTGCGGGAACTTTCTGCTGAGTGTCTGTTGGAGTTTTGTCTTTTTCTGGGGGACACTGGGGTTGGAGTTGTTGCTCCTTCTGTTGCGGAAGTTGTGGCTGGTTAACCTTGGCGTTGTCCTGTCTTGGAGTGACATGAGCCAAGACAGGACTGACTTTGGCAACCATAGCAGCAGAGCGAGGTTTGGCAGTGCGTCCTCGCTGGACCGTCTCCCAACCCTCTGCGTCTTTTTTGCCTGGAGGACGGAAAAAAACGCGTGTCAGTCGAGGAGAGAAGGATGCATTGCTTTGCTCTGTAACGACAGAGATTTCTTACCCAGCTTTTCGACAGGGGAGTTGGTCGGCTGAGTGGAGCTCGGCGCTGATTGAGTGCACTTCACTCTGTCTGCCCAGCTGGGGCCTGTGTGGGAGAGCCGGGCTGCTGCCAGTGTAGGTGGAGGGCCACTAAAAAAGTCACACACACACATATCATACAGTACGGGGAAAACGATGAACAAATATGCACCTTGACCACGAAGTTTTAAATGTCAGCAAATGATTTTATTTAACTTCATTTAATGTTTTTATTCAGGTCAGAGATGCCTGTCCAAGTTATTTGAACAGCCTAAACACAGAGGTAAACACCCCAGCGCTCTCCACTCAGAGATCGCACAGGACTGGCCTTTTTGGCCTCCGTCATGATCAATATCCATTTCCTGTAGCGTCTGATTACAGATCAGCGTGCATATTGAACCAATGCTTCAGCAGTCTTTAACTGACACTTTCATCTACACCTTCCACTTACTCTTGTAGCCAAAGAGTGGAGGACTCAACAAATTGCATTAAACAAATGCTCTACCATCACTGATCAATGGCTGCATGGCGAGATAACATAGGCTGCACTTTCTAACAGGAAGGGTGTATCATTTAAAATATTGATTGGTTAATAACTAGATGCATTATGGTTTTAATTCTAATCAATTAAAATGTTGTGTTGATCTTTATAGCTGAATCAAATGCTAGAGGATTATGGGTACAGAAAACAGGCCTCAAAGCAGGAATAGAGAGATGACAGTGGGACAGAGCTCACCCAAAGTTGAGGGTGCGACGGGCGCCAGGAGAAGGAACCATTCTGTCAGCTGAGGGGCTTGGCATTACATGACGTCCTGGGGACATCTTGCGCACCTCCCACGCCAAAGACGTGGGCCTGGGAAAGTGAAAGTTGCAGAAATTACTTTAATAACACTGGCCACAAAAGAGCTGGCTCACTCTTTGGTGAATCGGTTAAACGGCTGATTTACCGAATGCAATTTCTGCTATAAATGGAACAAGTTAAAGCTGCAGGTTGTCTTATTGATTAACAATACGGTGTAAATGAACAAACTGGGCAGCAGCAGAGAGAATTTCATTCCTTAGTCAATTTATGATTGCAGTGGCCGCTGTGATAAAGACAGGCCAGTAATTCAGCTCATGGGTCTCTTTGAATTAAAGCCAAAGCAATCGATCTATTCTGTGTGAGACTCAAAGCCAAGGAACAGATTCCACCACTTAGAGATTTACCTCAGGGATAAACTCTCAAATAGTGAACTAGAGGTAAACAAGAGTGAGACATGAAGAAAATGAGAGAGTGCATCACCTGTTCTGAGCATCTGTTTTCTCCAACTTCTCCTGAAGCTGGATCCAGTCAATAAGAGCTTTAAAATCCCGGACGTAGTTGTCCAACATCATCAACACCTCCTGAAAACAAGAAGAAGAAGAAAGGTGAGAACTAGTGGATGCATGTCTCTGAGGGATAATTATCAGACAAGGTAAAGTGAAGCAATGAGTTCAGTTTCAAGAGCCATAAAAAGACCAAGATTTTTCATATTTAAGATTCTGAAAAAAAAGAGATTTCAAAGATTTGTCCAAACATATCTTTATCAGTTTTACTGGAAACATAAAATGAGGAAACATATTTTTTGTGAGGTTGGGAAATTAACCAAAAACAAAAAGACATTATTTCACCCTACAGTAAACTATCATTTTTTCTGCTTTTGGTAGCATATTCAGAGCCCAAACCTGCTACTAGAGTTAGTCTCAAAACTTGGTATAGTGTTTGCTAATAGGAAGAGGTGGGCCACACATACGCTCAGACAAACCCTTGATTGGACCAAAAGAAAAGGCAAACTCTGAATTGCACACATACTTTATCTGCACTTGGTCAAACTGGCAGTCTTTGTTATCAAGAAGTGGAGGGCCATGTGGACGCTTTTCCCACTGCTCTAATGAAACGAACACAACTGATTGATGGGGAGCGTGAAGGGAGTGGTAATTGAGAGTAAAGCTTCACAGTGCTTTTAGTTAATAGACGAGTCAGGCTGGTGAAAGATGTGTCCAGCAGCAGGTCCGCTTATTACAGCTGGTTAACAGGCGAAGACTGCTGCTATGGCGTGCTGTTCATTTGGTAATGAAGGCCGAGATGGAGAGAGAGAGAGGTTTGCTGCTCCTCTGACTGATAAACCAACAGTGACTGAAGGCATTGTAAAGTGGCTTTCGACATGTTAAAAGGCTTACTTACCTAAATACAACCATCACATAAAATTTCATGGGGATGACAAAATGTTAAACCCTTACAGAGGCATTGTCATCAAGCAGACAGGTTGTAAAAGGTTGTGGTCCATACGAGGGGACAAGAATAAACAATTACAACCTGGATCAGGCTGGCTGACCTCGTGTTAATGATTCACATTCTTGACTAATTTCATTCTTAAAGTTAAAATTGTTTAAGATTAGGGTAGCCACTTATAAGTATTATATAAATATAAACCTAACTACTCCCAAACAAACTGTAGTGTCAAATCCTTTTCTTATTGATGAAATATGTCAAATACAGCATAGATAGGAAAAAAGACTATCAGGACTGATGTTTCAGAGGTGTAAGCACTTTAAATTGGCTGATATGAATCACTCTGCTGGATTAACAACATACCTCTGAGTACTAAAATATAAAACAGCACCAAGGCTCTCGGTCAAAATTACACAGAGTATTACAGTAGCACTGCAGGGAAGCTTGAAATACTTGCCACAAATACTTTAATACATTTTTATAGCTGGTTGTCAAAGTGCAAATAATGCAGCTACTCTGGGGGTTCGTGGCTGGAGGAAACCAGAGCACTCTGCTTCCCCTCCGGATGACTCCATCATCTATCAGTGTCCATTAAGGCCAAGCTGGGTGGGAAGAGGGATTATGTACAGCACCCAGCTTCTTGGCTATTAGGTAGCATTAGGATGTGGAGAGATACAGTGGCAAGAGGGGAGAAAAAAAAAAAAAAACACTCTGGCCAGATGTCAGCCACAGGCTCACTGACAACATGCTGATCACGCCATAGGCACTGACAGCCAGCCACACCACAGGGAAATGGGCTGGGGTACTGACCGCAGACGGTCACCAGAACCATGTTCGGCATAATGCAGCATGATAGAAGGATCAATAAAACACAGAGCAGTGCATCATACCAACAAAATCACAACGTCACACCGAGGATTCTCTTGTGCTGAACATTTTACTCATGTTTTAACAAGAGTTTACTTGATGAATGATTATTGTTTTTTGCCATCATAGTTCATTGATGAGGTTTATACTGTAAATATGCTCAGCTATTACAGCCAGGATTTATTATTAGTAATGATCATTTTGATATTAAATAACTGAGGATAAAAAAAAAGCCGACATATTTATCAGGGATATGATTGGCACAAGACAAAAATCTCACAATGTTTCACACATAGTTTGAGCTAATGTAAAATGATAATTTCTTTAAACCACTTTAATTAGGCATATGACAATCATATTAATATGGTTTTAAAAATACACAATTCTGTTCAGTGGTCTTTAAGGACTTCAGATGTTCTGTTGTTAAAGGCTTCAAACAAGCAGCTGATTAAGTTGAAGTACAGTTATATAAGATGACTGTAATTTTCTTTTTACATCGGAAAAATTTGACCTTATCATAAAACCCGTAGACTGTCACACATGATATCAGCCAGACCAGTCCATGCAGCAAAATTAACAATCTATTGGTTGCCTTCAGCTGCATCCAAAGCAAACATTACCATCCACGTGACAGAAGCATTGCAAAAATACTGTTAACTGTGTGAGCAATATGCCATACACCAAAAAGAGCCAAAACAACCCAGTTTTAATTACGGCAATAGCTCAGTGACAATTAAAGTGCTGTTTTTGGTTCACGATCATTATGGAGTCGCGTCAGCCCCACCAAGGAGGAAGGTCTGTGATAATTCTGTCATCAGCGAGCCTTCAGAGAACCCCTCTGACAAAAAGCAGAATTCAAGAGGAATGCAAAGAGGAATGGAGGAATTGTTGTGGTCTCTATGTCGCCCTCTAGTGCTCAAAAATCCAGACCCTTCAGGTTTTCCCACACAAACCTTTAGATTCAAAACAAATATTGGAAAGTCTCTGCATGTATGTGCGACTAACCCTGCACTCCACGACGCTCTGATCGGATTCACAGGTGACATAAATCTCATCCACGGCTCGGCGCAGGTTGTCAAAGAGGAAAGCCCAGTAGCGTGCTCGCAGATCCACTTTGCGGGGCTGCCTGGTTTTGGTAGGGCTCTTCTCTGGCCCCTTGTCCAACAAAGCGCCGGCGGAGTTTTTAATTTCAACACCAGCATTCTGTAGAGACAACGCATGGAACAGAAATTATAGCAACAAAAAATCCGTCATAACAGTGTGGGGCATTTATCCAATTGGAGACACATGGTTTTCACTGACGTATGCCTGATATCACTAGTCAATATAGTTTATAATTTATAGCTAAAAAATGAAAAATAAGTGAATTTAATATTCCACTAAGAATGACTTAAGATGATGTGCTGCTCGGGTAATTTGGGGTTTCATGCAGATTTCACAACCTCAGATGCACTTCAAGAGCAGGGTTTAATAAACAAGAGTAAACTTGGTCAATGCTGCCCTCTAGTGATAGAAGATAATACTGACCTGTTTTTTGTTTCTTTGTTGCCCAGAATTTATCCTCTGAGCTCTGGAACTGCCACTTGAGTTGCTTTTAGACTTTGCTTTATAGAGAGGGAAAAAAGGTGATAAACCGACTCATAAAATCAACAATCACAAAAATCTTAAAAGGGAACAACCAGCATGCATCTGTTGACCTGAGACAACTGATGAAGTAGTGGTCACAGTGGGGTAGTTTTAAATGACTATGATATCCAAACACCACAAATGCCCAGCAACAGGAAGTGGACCAACAGTAAGCTTAACTGAGTGTCAAGTGTAAATGATCAGCTCATTTGATAAACATCTACAGAAGGCGGAATATGAAACCTTAACTGGAACATGGCTGTGAAAAGATCTCTGGAATTCATGGCACAAACTCAAGAGAGCAAATAAGCTTTGAATAAAATAACTGCTCTGACCCACAAAAGAAGAGGGAGAGCGAGTGTGCAAGTGAGACAAAGTGAGAGGCAGTGAGAGGTGGGGGTGTCTGAGTAGGATGGACTGAAGGAAGCTGTCTTTGGATACAACGCTTAAATAATGTAACAGAGGACTGCCTGGATACAAAAGAAAATACATTCAAAAACTGGACAAGTTAGACACTGAACGATCATTTTCTTTCAGAATGAAAAAGCAAAGTTTGGTTTTAACTACTTGCATGGGCTCACAGACTTGTAAAACACACAGGAAGTTCACATGAGTTCAAATATCTACAAGTGACAAAGAAGGTGTAAGCAACACAATCTTTCACATCACAGTCTTTTTTACAGTAACAACTCGTGTGATTATTTGGCGGTAGTGAGAAACCACAAAGCAGAATAATAGCATATTAGCATGCAGCTACCAACCTTCCTCCTCTTTGTTCTCCAGAGGTACACTCCAGGCGATGAGGTTTCGAGCAGCGCGGCCCTCTTCTGCGACAATCTTCCTCACTTTGTCGAGGCTGTTGGAGCGCTGAAAAGAAGCCTGCAAGAGAGAGAGAGAAAGGGATTCAATTCATCAACTTTTGCACTTCATCTGGAAAACCAAAAGAGGAATGGCAGGGCAGTATGACACCACTGAAAGTTTTATTTAACCTTCAATTCAACAACAGGCTCGAACGAGCCAAAACTCTGCTGCTGCAACACATTTTAGTTTGTTTATGTTCTCACATTCATTAGATTCATCGAAAGTGAAGTCTGCTCAGCTCAACTTTCTCTGGCTTAAATTTTGTTTGGTCTCCTGCTGGGATGAGTTGACACAAACAAAATAGATTTACTGAGCTGACTGGTAACACAGCCCAAGGCTATAGGCTATAGGCTAACTGTTGCTACATCCTGCTACTGTTGTTACCTCCACTCAAAACAAATTCTGTCCTGGATTTGTGCAGAAGTAAAAGTATTGTGGATGGTCGACTATATCAGCCTTTAGAATGGCGCTATATTTTAGATAACTTTACATAGTGTACTCTACCTTCTTCAGTGCATAAAGTGCTGAGGACTACAAGGCATGTAGTCCATATAAAGCCTACTGTCCAATCCTAAAACCTAACTCAGTATAAACAAAAATACTTTTTAACATCTTGACCTAAGAAAGACACCCTTGTCTTGTGCTTCACAAGTCCCTATGCTCCAAACTGCAAACTATATTTCAAGCTCTTGTGTTACACTCTCTGTTTGTGTTGATTTTGGTAACCCCTACAGACGAAGCAGAGCCTCTCAGCTGATACTGTCCATCTGTACGTGTCAAAGAAGTGTTTCCTGACTGTAAAATCTCATCCTGCTGTCTTGTCACAGTGAAATGAAACTCTCTCTATGAGTAGCTACCTTAGGAGAAAGTGAAAGTCGGCTGTTTCTTTAGTGTGCTGTAAATCATCTCAAAACCCACCCCCTCACACTGGTTTGAGGCATTGAAAAGTACAGAATAGAAAAAGACTGTCTTGTTGATGATGGTGTTGTTTGATTTTGTCGGTCATTAAGAGGCAACACTGTTTGTTTTATAACCTGTCAAAAACTCAGACATGTTTTTGAAAAATATCTGCTCTAAATTCTCAATTCTCACGTAAAAAATTCTGTTATTTCTCCCATGCTTGTTTTGTAGTGGTGTGTCGTGAGTGCAGCCACAACACTGCACACATTACGTCCACAGAGGAGAACCACTGGCACACACTGTGACAAGAAACAGCTAGAGGCAGAAGCTCTGCACCCGCTTTGTGCCCAGCATGCATCATGGTTGACCTACACATTGAATATGCATCAGTGAACTTGACTGCAATCTGGGGCGAGGCAGAGACACTGTGAGCTAAAATAAATATCCTGAGAAATCACATCTTTTATATACGGGACAATAAGATGCCCGATGATCAAACGTGGTTTTAGCATTTCTTTGCATCTCTATCTAATGGAGGATAACTCTAATTTGGCAATTCTGCTAAAGGCTCATGCATTAATGCACATAGTAAATCTGATTTGCACCCAATGTATGCACAACATTGGACTTCAACTTATTCAAGAAAGCAAAGCAGGCTTTGTATCCACGTTTGCTTGATATGAATTGTCTGTTATCCTGTGTGACCAAATAATCAGACTTCCCACAATCTATTCATACAAAAACACAAAAGCAAACTTACTCTTCCCCCTCTTTCTATAGTGTCCACAGATGATGTAACCTAGTGTTGACAACTCCACAGCAAACTTGGCTATTTCTGTCATGTAACTATAAGATGCTGTTTCAGACTAAGAATACATTGTTACCTAAAACCAACATAAAAATCAAGGCCCAACTCCACTCTTCATAGTGAATGAGTCATGGAACAAACTGTTCTCTCTTTTCCTGGCTGTCTCTCACCAACACCAATATTCAGACTATAAATTTACAGCTAAATTATTCATCCACCACACTTGCTCGCAATTGCAGAGACCGGGGACACAAGTTTTTGTTTTTTTCCCTGGGCTTTGAGTAAACAAATAATACCTGGGCCTAGCTCCATGCTGCATTAACATGCAACAATCTCTTTAGACTATCCTTTACGGCGAGTTGTATAATGAGCGTGATGAGCATGGCTCATTAGGTGTTACACATGCAGAAACAGCATGCGTGTATCAGTCTGATACTATTTAATGTCCCTAAGGGAGATACCCAGCTGACCTACTTTTGGTGAGTGAAATTCTTTACATGTCGAGTGGCCTGGGCTTTATTTGGCCAAGTAGAGAAGGGCCACAATGAGATAAAAGAACATCAAACAACAACACAGGCAGACATTGCAGAAATGAACGAGCGAGGTGGGTCAGTACAGCTGCATGCACCTTCTCCTGCTTAAAAACAGTGAATATTTGATCTCATTGTCCTTTGGTTTGGTAGCGACAAGATGACGGACTAATGTTGTGAGATTATCTTACCTACTAAACTATTGGCTACCTGTGTTCAGCAGTAGTAGCAGCCTGGGGCAAAAAGGGCTTACAGCAACATTCTCTTGATCCATTTAATTAGCTACAAACAAGCCGTCTCATAGACTGCACTGTTGAGGAACAAAACACAATGTGGAGCCAATCTCTTAAAAGTTCCCTAGCCCACCAAGCCTTTCCTCATGCACCACAGTGAGCTCTTACTTTCTAGACCGTGCTGAGTAAGGAGCAAGTGTAGGGTTTCCCTTTTGGCAAGGCCAACAAACAGATGCAAGTCAGACACCGCATGCAGTCTGGGTTGATCTAGCTCATTAGTCGAGACACAGAGAAAGAGATTAGAGGATACATACACAGTAGAAGTAGAGTCTGTAAGCAGGTTCTTCATCCTTCTCCACCCCTGACATACTTTTGGAGCCCACTTTAAGCAACCTGTTCCCCCTCACCAGCACGACCACTTGTGCAAGGTGACATCGTCATCTGAGGGTACGACCAAAATAGACTCCCACTGTGTAGTCCACAGTGTCATAGCAACTTGCCCAGCTGTGTCAACTCCTCTCCCAGGGCCGGCTAAGACAGACAAGTGCTCAGTAGCTCTCCAGTCCCGCCTTTCACCTAAACTATCCTGTCTGTATCTCTAAATGCAATCTAGCTTGAACCCTCAGAGCTCTGCTGAGTTAGGCCTGCTGTCTATATGCCCACTACTCCCTTCTCCTATATTTGCAGCCTCTCTCCTCTTCTTGCCTTGCTCTTCTTGCATCAGAGCCCCCACACTCTCTCTCTTTCTCTCTCTCTGTTTCTCATCTCTCACTCTCCTTCTGCCACAGCACTGCGCAGTCATGTGCATACAGCAGGCCTGCCGCTCGCTCTGCCCCCCTCAGCCTGTGCTGCTAGAGATGAGTGTTGCTGCAGGCTCAGAGGCTGCGTGCATGAACCATGCAAAGGGATGATGCTCTGGATCTGATTTGATGATACAGAGGCCGCTGCGGGACAAAACACATAAGCCCACATGGTTTGACTGCAAACTTAAAAAGAAAAAAAAACGAGTCACACATTAAAATATATATAAATAAATTCACTAATGGTTCAGCTTCCAAAAAAATACCACCATTGCAACCTGATTTGAGAGGCACCCCTGCAGTGAAATGACCACCTGGGCAGTCAGCACACCTGCGGCAGGTAAAGTCCATTACTTTATCTGGACTGTCTTCACTCTCCTATCAAAAACTAACAAGTAATGAGGCAAACACGTACCTTCAATGCGGATATGGTTGCATTCTTGCTTTTGCCCCCTCCATGCGAAGAGCCAGAGCTGTTGCTACCAGACCTCTCCCTCCCGTCTCCTCCTTGGCTAACTCTCGGGCCGAGACGGTGCTGCCCAGCGCCACGCCGCCGTCCGTCATGGCGGTTGTCTTTGGACATCGACCCGCGTTATTAACAATTATCAGTCGGTGAGAATAACTAATTCAGCGGAAAACGTTGTCTGGTTGTCAGAAAAACATGTCAGATAAATACATGACAGTGAGCACAACCTAACAAAAGCAGGAAGTCCGTTCAGGTTATATTTTTGTGTAACATTGGGATAGTCCAATCAACGCTCTGGAAGATAGAACCAACATGCGTGATAGCCAATCAGATGAATTGAAGTCTAGGTCAATGGGCGGGATAGATAATCCTTTGGGCGGGACTTGATACTGTCTACCATGGCAACCATGAGGATCGGGCGGGAGGTTAGGTTGATTTCTCAGGATTTGTCAAGTTTTCTATAAAACTAAGGAAACCGCGGGATAAGTGAATCTGACTTCAAAATAAAAGCACTTCATAACTGACATATTTGCTCTTTAAAAGTAATAGTATGAAGAAAAACTGCATAACCTGGTACGAAGATATTGTTACCAGTTAAAGTCTAGTGCTAAACCTGGTCCGGAGGATGCACTCGTAAATGTGATAGTAGCTCCATGTTGAAACAAGTACCAACATTGCTGTAGGGTATCATTTTGGGGGGCTTACCCAAGACGGAAAAAACACTTTTTTCATCAAATATGTGTGATTCGAAATACTGGGCCATTACGACTTTCGTCCTTGCAGTACTCATGTATTTTAACATTAAAAAAGTTACTCTGAATTTAAATCTCCTTAAAATGACAATAACTTCGTATTTATTTTGAAAAGGTCCCCGGAAGTACGTGTCTAAATCTTGTTTTGTTTTGACACTGACGCAACCCTGGCACGGAAAACTTTTTACGGTAGAAACAGCTCTTATTGAAATTATTTTTTAGCTCTATCGGAATCTTCTTTCACATTAAGTTACCTGTATTTTGACGTTGAATTATTAGTTAATTAATTATTATTAGTTTTGGCTGCCGCTTGTGAATTTTTCCTGTCGCAATCTTACCCTCACAAACCAGAAACCATTAGATCATGTCAAGACGTGGAATCAGCTTTCTCCTAAATTAATGTTACCACTAGCCTTCCATCCCAAACTTTATTGTTTGTGTTAAAGCTACTGCAGGGATCATCATCATGCATGTCGAGGCTGATATACAAAGTCCTGTTTGTTTGAACCTCCACCAGCTGACCACAAGGTCGCATAGTTGCAGACTGGAAGTTTTGCCTGATCATTTGCAGTCTTGAAGTTTTGCTCTGATCATCTGCAGTCTTGAAGTTTTGCTCTGATCATCTGCAGTCTTGAAGTTTTGCTCTGATCATCTGCAGGGCAAAGCAGATCTTGGAAGCTGACTGAAAGCCTTCGTTGTATTTTCCCTTCATTTTTCTAACTACCTGTGTTGTTTGACAGATGACTTCGATTTCTGTGCTGTTATTGCTGCTTCTGCAGTTTGGATTTGGGCAGAGCTTCCAGAAAAATCCTTATGAAGCTCATTTCACCGGCAAGCAGCACTCCTCTGAAAATGACATAAACATCCTCATGGGAGATCCGGTCTGTATACTTTTTTACCCTCTATGCCCAGTTTGTGCACATCTGCAATCCCTGCTCACTGCTCAGATCTCTTGTTGTTCGGCATCCAGGACACAGAGGAGTTAAAGAAACTCAGTCCTGCAGAGCAGAAGGAAAAGATGATTGAGATCGTGAAAAGGATTGACACCAACGGTGATAGCCTGCTCAGTGAAGGTAAATATGTCTCAAACTTTTTAGACAGGTTTATTCAAAAGAAGTGATTAGAAGTTGTACTCAGTGTTTTGGCATTTTGTTTTATCATCAGAGGAGATTACACTTTGGATCCAGCGTGTTTATAGAACATATGCCCTGGAAGATGCAAAAGACCGATTCCCTGAATATGACACCAACAAAGATGGTGTTGTAACATGGGAAGAATACAAAACAGTTGCTCATGACCAAATCATAAGTTTCGACGATGATGATGATGATGATGATGATGATGATGATGACCAGGAGGATCCAGAACTAGGGTCTCTCAGACAAGTGGGTTCTATTTTATTGTCTTGTTAATAGTCACTTTAATGTCACAGCATTTTAAGTTGTAACACATCAATATAATGTTCCCATTAGCTCCAGCTGAAGGAGAAGAGGCGCTTTGACTTTGCTGATTCTGACAGCTCATCGGGGCTTAATGTGACAGAGTTTCTTGCCTTTACCCACCCATCTGAAGTGGATCACATGGCTGTAAGACAAATCCTACTCCTGCAAAACCTGATAAGATAATTCATTTCTGACGATAGTGTTTCATGTGAAAATAGACCAATTTACCTTTTTTTTCTTGCTAGGATTTCGCCATTGAGGATGTGTTAAGTGAATATGACACAGATAACGATGGACTCATTAGTCTAAGTGAATTCATAGGAGATGTTCGTGGGGAAGGTAAGACCACAGAGGTTACTTTAAAGCACAGAATGATGTTTTTTTTTGTCATGCCCTACTTCTTGTATGGCTCTAATATGTTTTGTTTGTTATCAGATGATTCCCCTTCACAGTGGGAGATTGAAGAAACTGAGCGTTTTAAAGACCTCTATGATCAAGATAAAGACGGCAAGTTGAATCGAGATGAGCAACTTCGCTGGGTTGCACCTAACAGCTATGGTGCAGCAAGAGAAGAGGTGACAATGCAGCTGTTGCTTGAAATTTGTCAAGAAGTGTATTTGCATGCTCTAATATGCTGTATATTATTTCCCGGTAACACTTTGTTTGACGCCTATCTCTATAAACCATTATAAATGCATGTATAATGCGTTATAACCATTTTATAGCACTGTATAACTATGGTTATAAACACTCATAAATGATCATAATGCTTTATAGCAATAATCATAACACATTTTAAGGCATTGTATCATGAATTATAAGGTCAGGTATTATAATGTGTTATAACTGTGAACAACAGTTGCATTGCATTATCTATGTGAGCATTGTCAGTGAGTTGTTAACAGTTATAACACATTATAATACCTGACCTTGTAAGTTATGATAAAATGCTTTATAATGTGTTATAATTATTGCTATAAAGCCTCATGATCATTTATGAGTGTTTTTAACTATGATTATACAGTGCTATAACGTGATTATAACGCATTATACATTATAGAGATGGGTGTCAAATAAAGTGTTTCCTATTTCCCTTCATGATTGCTCAGCTGCAACTCTTTTTCTTTGTCTTGCCAGACTCTTCATCTACTCAAGGAAATGGACCATGATGGTGATGGTCGGATCTCAGAGGCTGAAGTTTTGAAAAATCAAGAAACATTCATGAACAGTGAAATAACAGACTATGGCAGACAGCTTCATCTATCACATGATGAATTATAACCGTAGCAAAACCTGCTGTTGATTTTTCTCCATTCATTGCCAACAGGATGTAAGTTCCTGAATTGCACTTTGAAGTTCGTCATCAGACTGTCACTGATCTTATTTACCTACAATGAAGGTGCGGTTGTAAATGAAGATGTTAAAATAACAGAAAACCACATTATTGCATAACACATCATGAACTCCAGCCATTGCAGGGGTGTTTCATCAATCTTTAATGGAGTATCAGTCTAAACATAATGCTGGGAGCCTTATAAAAAAGTAATAGGACATATTTCTGTAAGACATATTGGTTATTTTGTCCACACATACTCCTGAAGAGCAGGACAGATTTGCTGGATTAAAGATTTGACCACTTTTATAGATACTGGGCAGAGTTTATAATAAAAAAAATGAGATATGACTTGATTGTCTCTGACTGCATGTCATCACTGGTTGTCCTTTTTACATGTGCTAATGAGGTCTGACATGAGTCCTTTTTCAGTAACCGCTGACACGCTTCAGCTCTTCCTCATTTAAACCAAATAAGCCAGTTACCAAGCGCTGCTGCGCTGAGGTCGTTTCCTGTAAGTGTCATGATCCGTTTCATTTGCATTGAGTGACTGCCTGGTACACAGCTGGGTGTTAAACGCGAGTTCAAGTTGAGTGGATTCTCTGAAAAGGACGTTTATAAACCTCAGCCAAGATGAAATTAGAATTTAAAGATGCTTTCTGGGTGAGTGAAAGTGATGCTATCGATCCTGTGTATTCTTAATGGGTTTTTATTCAGGGCTGGAGCTGAGCGTTACACTTATCTAGGATGTGAAGTTAGTGTAGACTCAGTATGTTAACTTTTCTTTTTTTTGGAGGGGGTGTTGCAGGTGTACTCATTTGCCTTTCACTCCTGTTTTTATTTCATTGTTTGTCCTATTTCAGTTATCTGTTGGGTGTTTCCCTGTTTGAGGACTTATGATGTTTGCTTTTTAACTCTGTATCTCACTTTGATTCTCTCTGAATTGATGCTTTGAATGAGACATGAACCCAAACCTAAACTTGGAAAAACAGACATTAAACCAGAGATGTCACACACAAAAATAGTCCATTATTTTTTAAAGCAAAATCTCCAAAAGTAGTGCACAGAGGGCAAAATAATGTTCTTGTACAGCGGGGTGATAACAGAAACTGACATTTCATTACTGCTCAGAGAAACTGTTAATATAACTGCATTAATGCAATGAGGGGCAAAAATAAAGAAGTTATTGGATGTAACCGGCTGCCGCAAAAGATATCCAACCGCAACCACAACACAAGTGCCAGAAAAACAACATTGGCTCAAGTTTACAGTGTGAAATTTTTATGCTCTCTTTATGATCACCCTGTTGTCTGTATTTAAACATTTGACAGATTTTCATTTAAAGTATGAATTAACTCAGAGATTTTTACATCAGTGATGTTCCTCTCACATTAGTCCTACTTCAGCAGACTGAGAATGCCTTCACACAAGGAGGGACTTTGTTCTCCATTCAGAGCCCTTGGGATAGTGAATACCTGTATTTTCGAAGTTTAGTCTCGTAATCGTGTTTTTGATGATGGTGATTTATGTGATGCATTTATGGCACTCTATAAACTCTGGTTTGTATGGGCTCTTACTATAAAATCTGCTGCTAAATTACAACCTTTTACTCCCTTACGAATTACCTGGTTAGACAAGAGTTATTTTTTAATCATATTTCCAAAATTATTGTCCTCTGTGAGCTCAGCTTATACACTTTGACAAGTTTGACATTATTTCCATGAGTCAGCTCACAGAGAAAAGACGTTCCACCATCTACCCACTCTCTTGCCTTGTCATACCTGCGACCACTTCCTGCCACGGGTCGTTTAAGTTTAGTCTTTCTAAACTAGCTACCAGCACCTTTAACATACTGTTCTCAAGCTTACCCACACTTCAGTTTTTGTTCAGACATATTCCTACAGTACTCCTTTTTACCCAGTCCCATTTTCAGCATTTTTAAACATTTTAAGGTGATCATTGCTGGGGTGAATTTTATAAATACAGGATAGCTCTCTTTGTAATCAAATGTTTTCTTCAAATTGTACATCAAATGATTAGAAAGTAGAAATGATAATTCTTGACTTTAGGACTATTTTTTCAAAATCTAGCATGAGGTTGTGAGGTTTTTCTTTGGCTTCAGTCTTAATCCTGGATCCAAAAGTAAAAGCGGGTGTCATGGATGGTATCTGTGGTTTTAGGGGTCAGACTTCATCAGTAATGTTGGGTGTGAGACCATCTGCCAGAGACTGAACGATGGTCGACGAACTTGCAAAGACATGGAGGAGCTCTTGAAAATGAGGTGGGTTCATATATGTCTTAAATATAGCAAATGAATTAATAGAAGGATCTCATTAAATTCTGCTTAGATTGATACTATAATGTTATCCATTAGGGCATCAGCGGAAGAGAAATACGGAAAGGAATTGGCTGCAATCGCCCGCAAAGTTGGGGGTATATATGAGATCTGGTAGGTGTGTGTGTGTGTGTGTGTGTGTGTGTGTGTGTGTGTGTGTGTGTGTGTGTGTGTGTGTGTGTGTGTGTGTGTGTGTGTGTGTGTGCATGTGAATTTAAACTCTCAGACAATCTGTGATGCACATTTCGGTGCATAGAAAAGACACACCCTAAAAAGTAACTCTCATTCGTTTTGGTTTCACAGCACTTTGAGAAAATCCTTTGATATCATGAAAACACGTAAGAAGCCCAGAGTTTATTTCCTGCTTTAATTTTTTTTTTGTTGTTTGTTTGTTTAAGTTGCATCTTTTGGTATTTTTCCAGAAATTGAAAACGTAGGAAACTTGCACATTCAGCTTTCTGGATTCCTGAAAGAGGAGGTGAAGAGAATGGAGCAGTTCAGAGAGAGACAGAAAGAACAGAGAAAAAAGGTGCCAATGAAAATAAAACTGACTGTTCTTCATTTGCATAGGGAGGAAATCTAAAAAGAGCTGCCTCTCTCTCTGTGGTTTTGTTGTGATGATGACTTCATTCACTGACATTATCTTGTCCTTCACTTATTAGTTTGAGTCCATCATGGATAAGGTCCAAAAGGCCAAGGTCTCTCTTCACAAGAAAACAATGGAAGTAAGGCCCATTTGTATACTTATGATCTTCTACAGGGTCCGATTTGATGGTTACGGTGTCTCTTGTTACCAGTTTTCAGCCACAGTTGTACTGCTGTCTGCCGAATTATTAATAAAACTCTTGAAGTGCCTGTGATGAAGTTATCTCAGGTCAGTCTTAGTGTAGCTACATCCTGCTTTTATGTACACAAAGAGTGCATGCAATGCTGCAAAGCTGCTTTCACAGAAGTAGGGAAGCATTGCCCTAAATATCTTGCATGTGCAAGAGGAAGATGGTTACGCAAGACAGTAAGCAAATCCAAGTCCTAATACCAGTTTGATGGACACATTAAGAAGCTCACACTTCTCCATCCTTAGAAGAAGGAAGTAGAGTCAAACTTGTTGCACTTCTTTGCAAATGCATGTCCCTCGTCTCTTAACCCCACCTTTTTCCTGACAAGGGGTTCATAGAGCCATGACGTTTTTGACAAAACATGAGTGTTATGGTTTCACACCTCTTACGTTCTGTTTCCTCAAAAGTCTAAGAAGTCCTATGAGCAGCGCTGTAGAGACGCAGATGAGGCAGAGCAAAATGCAGAGAAACTGGGGAATGCTCCAACAGCCACTCCTAAACAGATTGAGAAGGTAAATCTGAGGTGGTACTCAATAGATGCAACAACTTTTGGAGACAGTTTACAGCAGACATTTGCCACTACTTCTGATGAAAAGTGAAAGCTTTCCAAAGCTGCCCTCTATACCCACAGAGACTTATTCTATTCAGTGAATTGAAAATGTGTAAATTGATTTTAAAGCTTCAAATCAGATTAAAAATGTAACTCACAAGGGCAATGTTAAACACTGACGCAGTAAACTAAAATTCTGTATACTGAAAAAGCACAAGTTTTAAAGATAATGTGTCATTCTCTCTGTTTTTGAATAGATGAACACCAAATCCAAACAGTGCAGAGAGGCTGCAGAAGAGGCTGGTAGGGACAAATAATGAGTTCAAGTTTGTCTGAGGAATCATAGTTATTTCTCCACTGTCTGTGCCAGAGTTCTGGAGTTTGGTCATATTCACTTCTCTCTCATGACTTCTTACAATTTCTCTAGAAAAACAGTACATATCAAACATTGAACAGCTTGACAAGACTAGAGAAGAGTGGGAATCAACACACATCAGCACATGTGAGGTAAAGTGCAGCACGAGACAGGTTTTGTATTTCTGAAACACTTTGATGTTGATGCATGGTAGAACAATAGTGGCAATATCTGCAGTTTGTTTTGTCAATGAGGATGTGAAGTGCTTCCTACTGGCGGAGTAAAGTGAGTCTCTTATCTGAATGTTTCCATGCAGCAAAGTATCCCCCCATGATTACATCTACAAAGCAGAGGCTCATACCTGTACAGAAAGTTCAAATGAAGTCGAGAGTTCATGTTGTCTGGATCTAAAATCTCACTGTTTTGCAGATTTTCCAGCAACTGGAGGAAGACCGTCTGAGTATACTAAGGAACGCTCTGTGGGTGCACTGTAACCATTTATCGATGCAGAGTGTGAAAGATGATGAGGTGTGTGCAGCTGTTCCCACATATCTACATAATAAAAGCCTTCCAGTCTCCTGAGATGAAAATTTATTATTTTTTTCAAAATAAAATTATTCTTCCAGTGTTACGAGGAAGTGAGGATGACGTTGGAGAAGTGTGACATCACCCAGGACAACAATAGCTTTGTGGAGATGAAAGCGACAGGCTCCACCCCTCCAGGTAGGGTCTACTCACTGAACAGGTTTCCTGATTTAGATTTGAATATGTTCCATAATGGAGATTTCAATATTATCTTCAAATGGCTCCTACAATTTGCAACTGAATCGTTTTCTGAAACTGACTGGTTCTTCCACAGCTCCTATTGAATATCAAAACTTCTACGAGAGGGACAATCTCGGCGACAGTAATGGCAGTGCTGGGTTTGTGGGAGGCGTCATGAAAAGGTTAGAGTTACACAAAAGGAGAAACCTGCTCCCAAGTCAATAACTTCATATGATGCTGAATTTTACATTATATTATTGGTCTTCACAGTATGTCTTTTTATGAGTTTCAAGCTGATGTCTTTCCTCTATCTGTAGGTTTACAAATCTTCTACCGGGGAATATTTCCTGCGGCTCTAAGCTGAGTCTCAATGATCCAGTTGCACAGCCTCATGGTAAAGCTCTTAAGTAATTCAGGAACTTTTCCTTTTTTTCAAACATTATGTCAGGAACAATTGTGAAATCACTCTTTTGATGCAACACACGACATAGATCATTGTAGTTACTCTACTTATTCATTACACCAGTGCTTCTCAAACACGGTGGCCTTGTTTAACTAGTATGCAAGATTGATTATATCAAACACAGTTGTTTGAGTAAATATTAACATTGGATAGGACCTCCAAAAACAAATATGACTTAGCCCCGCCTATAAGAGACATAGCTGCAACTTTGTAGCAGTTTGTAAAAGCTTTAAAACTTTTACAAGTGTTGGGATCTAGAGTGTGAACTATAAATAGATTCAAAAACAGCTCATAGGTAAGTAGAGATTTATATCAATAACAAAAAGACTGGACGCAAGTATCCTCGATCCCCCCCAATAGTAGTGCAACCTAAATTCTAAAACAGTTTGGGAATAAAATGTCAGAACCACCACTTTGTGAGAGGCTGTGTGAGCAAATGGTTTAATAATTTCAGGATGTTACTCAGTATAAAATCACTTTAAAATTAAATTTGGGGATTTCATCATCGACTGTACATTTTATCATTGTAAGATCCTGAGTATCTGTAGAAATCTCCCCACAGAAGGAACAAGGCAGAAAACAAATATGGGATGGCTGTGATCTTTGAGTCTGCAATCAGCACTGCATTAAAGACAGGCATGACTCTGTAGTAGAAACTACTGTATGGGCTAATATCACTTCCAGAAACTACGGTCTGTAGACACAGTTTGTCATTACATCCACAAATGTAGGTGAAAGTGTTTCTGGAGGTGCTGGCAACTCCTCTGGGTGTGGGCCCTATTAGGGTGGACCCACCAAAGTGGGAAACTGAGTTGTGATAGGACAAATCAGAATTTGGCACCATTAATGCTGAGCAATGTACCGTGTGTACGTGTTTTAAAGCAATATGTGCTGACATCTTGACAAATTTCAAAACTGCTTCAAACTGGACAAAAAAATTTAAGAAACAATTCTACACAGGGACACAACTTTTTTGTTATTGGTTTTGCGGTAATGTAAAGTGAATACAAACTTAAAGCTCCTGGGAGGCACTTTCTGTCTGTGTTAACTTTGGCGCCCCCCTGTGGTCAAAGTGAAAACTCTTAAATCACTGCTGATTTCAGCTCATCATTGAAAGTGACAAAAAATCTCGTCCTGTTGTCTTTTAATGTTGAATATTGTTTCACTCACTGCCAGTATTTGTTTTGAGGATGGCCTCATATGGTGCTGACCATGTCTTTAACTCCTCAAACAGAATCATCAGATGGAGTTTATGCATCCATTCCTGGACTCAAGGGGTCCCAGCAGATCAGTGAGGAGTACAAGGTCATTTATGACTACGTTGAACAGGTCAGATATCTAACACGAGCCACATTTACATGTTCTAATTCTTGTTCACATTAGAGGGGACGTCTGCTCACTGAGTTTCTGTTCTTTTTTAGGGTCCAGATGAGCTCTCTGTGTCTGTTGGGGATGTTGTGATTGTCACTGATAAAGGTGAAGACGGCTGGTGGACAGTGCAAAGAAATGGCCAGACAGGATTGGTTCCAGGCTCCTATCTCACCAAAGAATGAAGAATTTACCAGACAGTGTAAATGTAGGACTGCAGAGCTACTACAAATATCATGAAATATTTTGTTGAAGCCTTATGATTATCAAAGCACCTTACAGCTTTATATGATCAGCTTTACGAATGTGTGTTCATGTTCACATTGCAGTAAAAGCCCTGTGAGCTGGATTTGAACAACTTTGGCGCCCTCTAAGGGAGTTATATGGATACAACATGAGAGATTTGTTTTCCCTTGGATATCTTTTCTTCGATTTCCAGGGCCTCTTTATTTGTACTGCAACTAAAAAGTCAAACTTCTACATAAAAAGGCATGTCAGCTGTCAAAAAGAGTTGAAATTTATCAATAAAGCATTTTTCAAATACCTACATTCACCCAGAATGTTGAAAAAATACATTTTTCAAACTGGAATGTGGTTTCAAAAGTTATATTTAGGTCTATGTGAGGCTGTTGTTTGTATTCTAGATGCAAAAATATGTCAGAGAGAACAGCCGACTTGTACCGTATGAATGTTTTACTCCAATGTTTTACTGTTTCATTTCAGATTTTTCATGAAAATACTGTTAAGAATGCACTTTGCACTATTTTTCCTGATAGGTCTCATTTACTGGAGTGGATGTAAACTTTCATGTTGGTTACTAGAAGACCACAACAATCTAGTTAAGTCACTGAAATGCAACCAGGTGCCTTAAAGGGTCATGTGCTTGAGCTCTACTTGGTTTAAACATATCCAGTTACTCTCCAATGGGTGGTGTATTTCTTACTCTGAGTCTATCAAATAACCGTCGCTGAATTTTTACAACAGTCTAAGTGTATATATAATGGTTGCTCAGTTGTAGTAGGAAGTGTCAGAGTTGTCTGGGTTATATTTTGACGGTTACCTAGAGCCTACCCTAAAGGTGCAGACACTAAATATTTGATTGACCTTGCAGACCCTCTTAGACTCAACTTTGACCTCTATTTTTAAGGACAGAGTTGACTGATTCATTCAGTGACAAAAGACTGTTGTCCAAACAGAAAAGAAAATTCACTTGTGGGAAATTCAAACAAATAATCAGAGTGCCCACATGTTTTCAAACTTTTCAAATCTTTTATTTACATCTTATCCGTTGCTACATGTCGGCAAATCAAGTTCTAAAACTACAATCAGTATACTATTGAGACAAAAAACAACAGATCAAAATTGATCTAGAGTTAAGAATGCATCTCTACTTGAAAATTCCACACCAAAGGGGATAGGAAGATTTGCCTCTAAGACCAGAAATCAGATTAGCAAAAGCCAGCAGAGTTACATATTATACACATTTTTCTGCGCAAATGACTTTGGTTGGGGTGTTTTTTTTTTTTTTTACTGCTGGTGACACTGATTTTTAACAGCAGTCATAGTAGTAGTGAAGTTATAGTAGTTATAGCAGTAGTAGAGGTACATATTTAAACCATACCGTCTTTCATTCAAGTATGTGACAGATTTAAATAGAAAATAGGCAAAGCCATACACACAGTGCAAACTAACTATGAGGAAATACCCTGTCCACCACTTACTCCATACATGACTAACAAAGTCTGAGCTTGGTCAGAATGAAGTATTTCACCCTCATACTTTCTTACGAGCTAAAAAAAAACCCCTCAAAAAACACCTTACATCTCATTTATATTCACCTTTAGAGTTTGGTAAGTAGCTTTCTTTTTTGGGGGCAGAAACAGATAAAAAAAACGTATCACTTAAGTGTTGTTAGTGTTACAAGGTTAGCGTGGTAATATGCTCATGCTCTCACCAACAACACATGTAAGTTCTGAAAGTTTGCCCTTTGCTGACAGACGTGCTCTCCTTTACGCCACAGTGCCTCCTGTAATAAGGAGCTCATACGCAGGATCTCTGCCTCTGTGGCAAAGCACAACACATGCACACAACATCCCCAGCATCTAGGAAAAAAGACAGACATCCCATTAGTTTGGAAATGCTGAGGTCAAAGCAGTTTTCTTCAAATCTGCCAACAAGTACTCTTAAAGCTTATTTTTGTTTGTCAGGATGCCTATATTAGCAACAACAATTCTTTCTGGGGTCCAAAACAGTGTCTTGACTTTTTACTCAAAAAATCAACCTGTGACAAGATCTGACAAACAACATTACAACTTTTATATAAAACATAAGAGACCTTCATATATGTTAACACATGGACAGCTTCTAGCAACAAGATAATATGATGTTATATAATGTATGTTGTCATCTCACTCATACACAGAAGCAAGTTAAAACTACAATAGAGTATACTTTTTCCTTACGAAAATAACGGTTCAAGAAAACTTCAGCAAAGTGGTTCAAACAGAAGTACTGGGGAACGATACAAATACAAGACAGACCTACTTCATTTTGCTGTTTTTCCAGCAAGTCAGACTGACTTGTTATATTTTGTCTCATGGACTTTTGGTGAGACTGTGTTTGAATACAATGAAGCAAATACTGAAAACCCTTAGAGTTCAAGGACCTTTGAGCTAATCCTGGCACCTCAACAGATCTGAATCAAACTTTGAGTTTAACTCTACTTGTGACTTCATCGCAGGCCAAAATGAAGCATGACTGTTTAGTTTGTGTATCCAATGAAAACTGTGTCAACACTTCTTCGGGAAGAATAAGTATTATCACATTGCTCTTCAATTTTGTTGTCTCAAAAACACATTAGTAATGATGTGTTAAGCCAAAAACATGCAGGATCCGTATTGAGTGCGTTCCGCATTTGTTCCGTAGAGCCACATTGGGTATCGCATACAGGATGCGTATTTGGAGCGTAGCAGCAGCGTAGTGCAGCCCCGGTCAGCTGGGCTCAGTGTAGAGGAAACAACATGCTCACAACAGGTTGTTTATCCTTTCTGTGGTTTATTTCCTGCTAATTTGGATATTATTCAGTGACCGTTGAGCCTCTACAGTATGTGAAAAGGCAACGTGATTTTACAGTTTCAGTTTTTGCAGGTTCACTTGCGTATAATAAAGTGAACTATGTTCCTTTATGATGTGCTGTTACCTTCAGATGGAGTTAGCAGTTAAAAGTCCTGTTGGGGTCCGCATGGATCAGGAATTGACCATCGGATTGTTCTGTGTTACTGATAAATCCATAACCAGAAAGTATTTCTCATCTACACGAACTGATACACAGTCGGGCGTTCACATATGATGTTTTATTTTAAAATACCCGATGACATGTGGTTTTCGCGCTTGACTTCCTGTCTAGGACGATCTTCTCTGAGTAGATTGACATGCATTGGAAGCGAAGAGCAGCAAAAATAGACTCGCCGCGTATTTTCAGCAGTGCTGCTCATGATACGATGCTGCGACGGAGCTGATACGTGTCCTGTATGCTTTGCTGCATTGATTAGAATGGCAACCTATTTACTGCGTGATGTGCTACACTGCTGCTATGCTCCAAATACGCATGTTTTAGCCTTTAGGGTGAAAAAAGTTGGTATCATCTTTACCAATCCTAATGTTTTTTTTTATTAAAAACTGACACTGACTGGGAAAGACGGCATTTGCAGAACACATACATACCTGTGCACAGGCAAATGTCAATGCAGTCCAGATGACATACATCATTATCTCCTTCAACTTACTCACAACCAGAGCTTCACAACCCTGTGTACACACAGAGACAAGGAATATTCACAAATATGGAATTGTGACTGAATGTTGGTATAAAATTTCATAAAACAGGTGGTTGTTTTACTTCTGGGTAGAGATCCTCAGGCCGGGTTAGAGAGCCTGTGCAACCTACGACATTAGTTTTGCAACAGCTGATGGGTACACTGTTGTTTTTGGATTCTTCATACCAGTGTGTATTCTGCCAGTCTGTGTAGGTGTGTATCCCACAACACTGAAGCTGTGAAAAATGAAAGAAACACAGTTGGACATACAGCTGGACAAAAATACAGAAGAACATTATCATATATTTTTGTCCTCACCTGTCTCTGAACATAGTCGATGGCACGACTCTGGGCATTGCTGTTGGTGCCATTGTACTCATCATAAATTTTCTGGATAGTAGTATTAACTTCATCTTCGACCTAGCACAGGCAAAAGAGAAAAAAGAGAGAGACACTAAACAACTGGTGACGCATTCTCTTTGCCCGGGTGACAATGAAAACTGGTTTTGAGCAAAGAAAGATTAGATAGTGTTATCAGTGGTTGACAGATCCTGCTCTCTTTTCAGTGTGTGATCTACTTGGTAACACTTAATGCTTCAATTGGGGCAGAGAAAAACAAACCTACTCTGACTTATGTTTGACTTTCGTACCTTTGCTCTGTACACGTATCCTAGAACCACCACTGCCACTTCTGTCATGAAAACCAGCAGGAGGATGACGACAAACTGTGGATTGGATTTCAGGATCAAAGATGCGCAGTCAATAGATACTTGCAAATTAATAATTAATTGTCAGACACTTAAGGGTTGGGAAAACAAGAACAAGTTGAATGTCCTACTTTTCATGCACTATGTACATTGTATGAATCAGTTATTTAAATCTTGAATCTCCTGTTTATGCCAGTTCATTGTATTTTTCCAGGTATATTCATATACAAAAACAGACAATATATGCTGTTTCAATATGCTGAGATTTCAATACACACATCATCTTTTATTAATCCGATACCCTACAAGGACCTAAGTGATTTAACCCATCTGCTAAAAACTTGTTAACTGCTTTACTGACCGTTGTAAGCCCACAGTAGCTCTCTCTCACTGTGGCACAGCATCCGATGAGCCCAATAACAAAAAGCAGGGCTCCAGCTGCAATAATGGTGACAGCTGGGATGAGGGTGTACACATCTTCAAAGAAGTGATCATAGTCATCATATGTGATGAAGACATAGGCTCCCACATAGCACAGGACACCAGCAGCAGCCTGTAAGTAACAAAACAAAAAGTTCAAATGTCATTAAAGCACATCAACATGGGGAAACAGTCTGTTTTTGGAAAACTATGGTTAGTTTCCAGCCCTTCAAACAGCACTAGACAGTTTGCATTTATGATTGCACATATATCCTCTTGCAGACTGAGTTGTCAAGTACAGCTCTTACGTCCCATCCACCATCCACTAAATCAAGTTTTACATGCATTATCAAACAACATGAGTTTTTTCTGCCATAATACATAGAAAGACTCAGATAGACAGTTATACAATGTATTTTGAACTAGTTTGTAGACAAGCTCACACATGAAGCCTCAGCTCGTTGGATTAAGGTTAGCCCTCTGCGCACTAGGTGGGGGGGTCAAAAAGTGATAGTCTGACTTAAGCGAGCATTTATTACGCATGAAAAAGGTCTATTACCCCGAAACGTCAAAAAGTGTACATCATTCTCGATGTGTTGTCAAACCTTACATGTGTGAAGGAATGCCCCTCAAATCAATCCCTCCCTTAACACAAAGGTCGTCTGCCGCAGCTAACAGAGCAGCTGTTTGGGACCCGCGGCTAGCTAGCTCACAGCTCTGTGACGCACGTCTAAAACTGTGAAAGACCTCCAAACTTACCCAGAATATCAGATTCAGAAAGACCAGAGCCGTCTTCGACGACGTGATGCCGCAGTGCCCCATCTTAAACGCCGGGTTTTAATGCAGTGCGTGTTGAAGAGTAACGTAGGTTCCTACTCAGACATGTTCCAGCCAGCTCCACCGCTCTCTCTCCATACCTTTACTCTGCACCAGCGGCGACGCAGCGCCACCAACACACTCAGGTTAACAACAGCAAACCACCAAAATAAAAGACCTCAAACAAAACACGCATGTTTTATTAAAGTAAATTCAATATTTTAAATCTGTCATGCATTTGTAACTGTTAGTGTTGATGTGTAGTTTAAAGTTTAAAGTTAAAGTATGAATCAGTGGGAGTTGGGCTGCTTTGCTGACATCTAGTGGTGGAAAAATATAATAACAGACAAACCGGGATGCAGCAGACTGCTACATGACATGCTTTTGAATCACCACAATGTAATATAAAATATTATTTTTATTGCAAGATATAATCTAAGTCTTTAAGCTTTTATTGGAACCTTAACCCTCCTCCTGTGTTAGAGGCTGAACCGACCCGTTTTTTTTAATGATTAAAAGAACCTCTATTCCAAGAAAAAAACAAAAAAAGACTAAATTATAAAATGCTCTTATTAAAATTATGGCTCTTGCCATGTTAGGCTCGCTGTTGACCCTGTTAGATTAATATCTAATAATCAAAGCAAAATCTGAAACCATAAGTGCACTGTCAGCTACCACACTGTTAGTCACATCCTCTTCCAATCTTGTGAGATTTAGGAAATTCTCTTTTTGTCATGTTTTTCTCTGCACAAAAAACAGCCTCAGGCATGTCCAGACATGTGAGATCAGTTCAGTTTGGATGTCTGTGTGAGGGGTATACTGACAAGGAAAGGCCCAGAGGACCACTACAAAAACTATTAAAAGCAATATTTTCATGGGTAATGAAGCCTAACAAGGTAACCTAGAGATGAGAACCAAATTGGATGATAGATAATTGGTTTTAGTGTAATTTACAGCTGATTTAAGACACAGGTCAAAACTGACCCTTAACATGGTGGGTGCATAGTAAAAGTTAACACAGGAGGAAGATTAACCAACTAAATGTATGGATGAAGTCATTTGGCTGTGGTGGCTGACATCTTTTCATGGTGCCCAGACTTCCTGGTGAGGCCCAAGACCATAACCCTGACCCCTCACTCCAACCCAGATATAACCATGTCTGTTGTAACAATAGAAGGGTCCCAGAGATGCTGTCTCTGAATTGTAGCCCTGAAACTACAGCCTGTTAAGGCAGGACCTTGCCCTCATACATAAAACATTTTGGAAGATCAGTACCACTGTGGGATCACTGGTCAGATTACAGATTACCTAAAAGAAAGAAAGGCTTATCTGTGTTTTGATAGAAATTCAGAATAAGTTGTCCCTATGTCATTATCAGTTGCACTTTAATGCAATTTGTATTGTAAATCTTGTTTAAGTATATGAATACAATAACACCACTGCAAGGCAGTGATCAATACTTGAGGTTTTTATCATTTGTCTACTTAGTCAAGTAAATAAAATCATCTTAAAGGAAACTGTATTCTAGTAAAGAGTTGAAAAGTGGCATAAAAGATGTTTAGTTTATAAGAGGAATGAAATGGAAGCCATGTCCATGCTCTGTATCCCTTTCACAGTAAAGACACCAGACGTATTTAGAAGCAGATGCATTAAGGGAATGATTAGATTGTGCACATTGTTTAGACCATCCAAGAAACAATGATTAGTTGTTTGGTTTCAGTCACCATTTTTATTTTTAAACCCAATGCTGTTACATTCATCAAAATATGTGTCACCCTCTTCACTTTCTGCCTTTCTTTATATATATATTGAATTTTTACATACACACACAGACATTAAAGCACAGGAATCTGTTAATCTGCTACCTTAGGTATCATAGCCCTCTACTTCATAGCAGTACAAAAGCTGAAATCAGCATGTGTACCAAATATTCTATCCCAGTGGCTAAAATGTGGTGCAAAATTGGTGTTTGGTTTCTGATGGTGCACATCATGTTTGCTTGGCCCTCCATACATGCCAAATGGTATCAGGCGTGATGTGGACCAGGGGAAATCATAGCCACAGTGATCCTCGATAGAAACATATACATGCACTACCATGAAGGCCCATGTAGTGAGGAGGTGGCATCTCAGAATCACAGGATTCAGGGTGGTCCAGAAGCCGACTGTGATCAGCTCCCAGCCGCCAAGACACTGAGTCGCAAGTGCAAAAGGTGAGGAGTAGTTATGATGGATTGCATGGAAAGTGACATACAGCCAGCGGATCCTGTGGTGGAGCAGATGCCAGATGAAGTACTGGAAGTCAAAAAGCAGAAGGTTCGCTATCACTCCAGCAATCAGCTCCTGCATAGATGGGGCAAGGTCTGGCAGGTCCACAGGTGGCCTCCATGCCCACTGAGCCACTGATGCTGGCAGCACAAGAAATATATGGTTGTACAGGGTGACTCCAGCACAGTGCAGCAGTGTGGAGGCTGTGGGACGGCGGCTAGGTTGGATCTTGAATTGTTGCACCCATGCCAATTTTTCTCCCATGATGTCACAAAAAAGGAAAGGAAGGCAAAGAACAAAGTACGAAGACACAGTCAGGACCACAGGGAAGAGTGGAGATCTCAAATAGTCTTTGTAATTGAGCCGCAGGTGGTCCCACAGAGGTTGCAGCAAAGAATCGTTTCCTAAACATCTTATCCATAGATCCCTGCTGGTATCTGTAAAATCCATCTTGAAACAACAAATCACAAGGTCAGTGTCTGTGGATTTCTTGGTAACAAGGATGTTCCAGCAAGAAATAGCAGCTGAAATAAAGCTTAGCCCAACAAGTTAGTGCTTATGCTTTGCTCACACTGTGGTTTCAAGTGACGGCTGGGTTCAGTGACACAAATTAACAAATTATTCATAAACCTTGTCCACCCCCCACCACCACTACTTCATTCATTAGGTGGTCATGGAAATTTTCCAAAATCCGGATTTGTTTTTATCCTAAGGGATCATAGTAAATTGGTACTTTTTTCAATGAGCTCTTTAAGTGTTTGCTGGTTGAGTTTAAAATCAAGAAAACCCTCTGTATTTGACTCCTTTAATTGTTTTCCCCAAGTCTAGAATGGATTTTAAGCCAAAGTTACTGGGTTAAGGGGGAAAATGACATTCATCTGGTGAGACATAAAAATATCCAATCCATTTTTTCAGGCATGAACCATTATTGATAAAAATCTGGTTATAGTAGAAATTCCAAGAGCCAACATTTTATGTGGGCTAGATAAATGTAAGAGAAAGTTTTTTTTTATTTTTTTATTTTTTTATGTTTTCCCAAAGTTAAAAAATTCAAGAATAAACTTTTAAATTGGGGGAAAAGTGAACTTTCAGAGCTCTTTCCTCTGATTGTAGAGGGTGTCAATACAAAATTCTAACACGTGAGCAACTGAGGGCGTTTATTTGGGTTGAGGCGAATGCATGTAACATATTTGGCCGACAGTCTCGTTTTATTTATAAACAAGATAGTGTCCATGGACAGCAAGATACGTACACAGATATATAGGCTATAGAAGACGAGATACGCCAGCGTCCAGCAGCAGCAGCTGCAGCAGCCCGCTAAGCGTCGTGCCTACGTGGAAGCCATCTTGGCAGGGGCTAAGTTCCCCTTCAAAGGCAATGCATGTACATTGAAAATAAATCATAACTTGCTCATATCTTAACCAATTTTCATGCCGTTTCCTTTATTTTCAATGTCAAATACGTTTTATTAATGCGGGACATTTCATTAAACTGTTTTAATCTATCACATTAAATGGTCTGTATTGATAGTATTTGTTATGGCAATGAAAATAAAGTAAACCGCATGAAAATCGGTTGAAAAATGACTAAGTTTTGAGTTATTTTCAATGTACATGCATTGCTTCTAATGGGAATGTTGCCCCCACTAGCTTAGCCTCGCCCTAGGTATGCAGCTCAAAGGGGCATATCGTCTCTACGTTTTCAAATCTATGATTACGTACCCCAAACAGCGGAAGCACTTGCATCTACGTAATTACGCACAACTACTGCGCTTGCGCTCATGTTTCCACACACCACTGCCCTGTAATAACCAACGGAACAGGCACTGTACAGGTAACTCATGCAATTAAACTTTGGTTTATGTTAGTTTTTCAAGTTTCATCTCGTGTCTCTTTAAAGAACAGCTCTGAATGTGACCCTATGTGTTTATCTGAGATAATGTCATACCCCGGCAAAGTGTCATTAGAGCTACATAAACTCATTTAGCTCATGTTAGCAGGGACTCTTCCCCTGTTTATTGCAGAGATTGTTGATCAAGAAACTGGTGACCCAGGTTGATTTTCGGTTTTAAACACTAGTTGACATTCACGCTAAATAAATTTCATAAGAGTTAATTGTCTGAACGCACTGTTTTATTTACTTTATGAATGGTGATATCGATAATTTTACCCTTTTAAAATCTGACCTCACGTGCTGCAGCAGTAAAACTGGATCATATCCTGTTTTTTGAACTTTGTACGTTCAAAGTTATTCAATGATCAAGAAGTGATGACAGATTTAATGTGTTCCTCTAAGTTTTAACCTGTTGAAACTACTAAAGCTTCTGAGGTAGTCTTGTACAGTTAGGGCTTAAATGTTAAAACAGGTAGATAGTCAGGAACTCCAGCCACAAAGTTTGGGAAGAACCATTTTGACCAATAGTCATTTTCAAATTTATGTCACTAAAATTGGGAAGTAATGACCAGATTTAACCCCAACATTTCTAAACCTGAATGTCCTTATCGCCCTGCATATCCAAACTTTAGCAAAAAGTCATCTTATGGATGAATATTTTTGTCCACCCAAATTTTCTCTGTTGTGGATAAAAAGCAAGAAATAAGTATAACTATATCTCTCTGCTATGATGTTAGCAGTGATGGAGGCTGGTGATGGAGAGAAGACAGAGGAAACACAGCTAGTGCTTCAACCACAGCAGCTGTGTCGCTTCTTCTCTCAAGGAAGACACTGCAATTTTGGCAGGAAATGCAGATTCCTACATGTAAGAGATAACACCAGAATTACTGAGAGGCAAACCAGGACACCCAGTGAATCAGATGTCACATCTTCAAATTCAGAGACCCCTGCGGGAAATGTGGGAGACAGGCCCCCTCCCAAAGACGCAAGGGCTGCCCAGACTGCTGTCCGCCGCCCCTGTCGCTACTTTATCTCTGGGAACTGCATCATGGAGGATAGATGTCGTTTCTGGCATCCACCGCAGTTACTCAGTGTGGGTGATCAGCCGCCTCCAGACCATAACAGAAAACCTGTGCAGAGAATGCCCCCTGCACCCCGCCCTGGGATCCCCCAGGAGGTCAAATTGTGTGATTTGACAGAAAACGTCACCAAGGAACTACGAGATACAGAGATCAGGCAGCTGAAGAAGCGTTTTCCCAAAGACCAATTGATCATTCAGGAACGAAGCGATGGAAAAATGACATATTACAGGGTAACTGTAGAGGCCAGTGACCCAGACTGGGTAAAGATTTTCTCTACTTTCTGTAAGAACTAAAAATACACTTATTGGTGTTGTTATTTCATTTATATTTTTCTTTCAGTCATTTATGAACCAAAACTCTTGCACTTGCTATGTTTTGCTTAAATAGCTGCTTCTCCACATAAATATCTGTTAATGGACTAACCTAGGTGTCTTATTTTGCAGCCTTTTGACCTAAAAGAAGTAGACATCATGGTGAGCTTCCCAGAAGATTACCCAAAGGAGGTAAAGACAACTGCTTATATTTACCGGTCAGGTTCTGCTGGCTACGATTCAGTAACTTTGCATGTTTGAGACAGTTCCTTATCATCTAAATACATGTCTTCAGGTTTTCACATTGGACATCCCATTGGATCAGGATCTCCCATCAGTAATGGCTCGGTAAAAACATTTACAAATTGTATTACCACCTTATCTCCCTCGTCTTGACATTGTTTTTACTCTGTGACAACAAAGATATGTACAGCAAGCGTCCGTAGAGTGGCTTCAAGCTAAGCATGCAACCAATCAGCTTCTGGGAAAGGTAGAGCTGCTCTTCAGGCCTTTTCTTCGCTGGCTAGATCGTAGTTTGGAGAGACTGTTCACCGAGGGAGCCAGACAGGTGAGACTTCACACTGCATTCATAGCATCAAGTGGGTTTACTTTTTAAACTGCTTTATTTTGCTAATGTGCTTGTCTTGTTTTAATTTTTTTTTTCTGCAGTTGAAAAAAGACATCGATTTGGAAAAAGCTGGATTTCAGTTCATAACGTACCAAGAACTTCAAGCTACAGTTTGTGAAAAATCTGGGACTGATCATTCATCTAACTCCGCCCCTGACGAGGCAGAAGATGATGTTAATAATGAAGGGAAACTGGGGAAGACAGAAAATGAAAGAACGGACAAGGGAGGGAACCAAGAGGGTACTGGCAATGAGAAAGAGCAGCTGCAGGAGGAGGATGAGGAGGAGGAGGCCACTCATTTGGTGGAGAACATCAAGATCAGTGATCCACGCAGAGGCACAGAGGTAAAGCTACTGGGACTGAGGCTGGGAGAGAACACTGCCACTGTGGTTGCCCAGCAGATCACAGTTTGTCTTCAGTGCAACAGGTAATATGAAAAGCTAAACGACAGGCTATTGAGGCTACATGTTTGTCTGTTTTTGTTGAAAGACCTGGAAAGATTTTCCAAATGTGAACGGTCTGCAGGTGTAAGGTGACAGCAGACCTTAGCTTGACTGGAAGGACACCCTGCACAGCACAGTGTGAAAAGTGCAGTGCAGACATCAAGGCTGCATTCAGGCCCTGCATGCTGCACCATTACAGCGATGTCCTGGGATACCTGGACCTTCACAATGCTACTCCTGCTGACTTGGTGCTCCAGGAATCTGAACTGATTGTGGGCTGCCTCAGCTGCTCCCAGGAGGGCCCTTTAAAGGTGATAAAAGCAGCTACACATACTCTTTGTGTGTGTGAGCAACTAACAGAGGTCTTGATGATGACTTAAATTAAATTGCATTGTTTGTCTTTATTTTTCCCCAGAATGTGTCCTATGGTCAAACAAAGGAGTTCAACTGTGAACACTGCCACAGCAAACTCAGTATTCTTTCAGAGAGCACGAGGTTCCAGTACATTCAGCCACGTAGCAACAAAACAGGTCAGAATCTGCTGACATTATCGTCAAAAAGATCGGCAAAGGTTTGAGATTATGAACAAGAAACCGCCTCATGTTTCCTGTTATTGATAACTATTGATGTATGCAGTCAGTGTATAAAAACCTTCATATGTGAGGATTTATAGTGGTACTAATGTAGTTACTTTTAACATACTTGGACAGGCCAGAGGAGATCATGTGATTTTCTTTGTTCCTCTTTTTTCCCCCTTTTTTCAGGTCTGAGTTCTGGTACTGTTAATCACAAGACTTGGAGAGACCCTGCTGTCCAAAAGGGAAAGCCCCTGCCAGAAAAAGGAACTTGCAAACATTACAAACAGAGCCATCGCTGGCTGAGGTATGATTATCACTGTCCAATTACAGTTTGAGAATTCCAATAGTTTCATGTAGAAAGATTATGACCATAGATCTGTGCTACCCCGAGGTTTCCCTGCTGTGGCCGGGCTTACCCCTGCGATGTATGTCACGATGAGGACCAGGACCACCCCATGGAACTGGCAACCCGGATGATCTGTGGCTACTGTGCCAAAGAACAGGTGAGTGATAGGAATAGCATGACACTGCATATTATGTCAGACATAGGTCTTGTTTTGGTAAGTTTTAACCAATCAAACTGCTTCAGCAGTCGCATGACCCACATTTTTTGTGGTTTTTTTGTTTAGCCTTATGGTAATGGAAAGCCCTGCATGAGTTGTGGAAGCATGATGACCAGAGGCGCACGCACCAGCCACTGGGAGGGAGGACTGGGATGCAGAAACAAAGTCAAAATGTGCAGGTACACTAAACAAAGTCAAGATTAGACACATTGCTTACTGGAAACATTACTCATGTAAACATTTTAAAGGAGATATTATTCACAGTAGAAAACTGACTTTATGTTAGCTTGACAAAAACTTGTAAGAGTTGTCATTTGTCTTCCTCTTCAGAAATGACCGACAGAAGTATGCCAACACCAACAAAACAGTTTCAAGGAAGGCAGCTGGTGACAAGAAGTAGGAGAAAGATGGATTGATGCCTTTGTCTTAAAAAAATAAACCTAATTTGATATAATTGCAATGAAATTCTAAAATAATGCCAATAAATCATGTTGTTTATGATCATTCAGTGTGAGTATTGATGTTTTCATCTGATATTTCAAATACAAACTGGAGGATTCATGTTTGAATTTAAAACTTAGGAAGAAAGACAAACAACTGTGTGGAATAAATACACATAGGACTTAGGAGTATATTACATTTCACATATACACAAGGTATTTCTGCCCTAATTAGAAGGATAAGCAGTGAAGAAAGATCTCATCTTGCTGTCATGCAAATTTCTGTACTGATAAGTTACAATAAGTCTTTGGCCTCTTACCCATAGATTAAGGTTTTAGCTCAGATTCTTGGTCCCAGTACCTTCTACTGTATATCTTCACCTGCTGCACTATCCGCCTCAGAGACAAAGTCACTGATAGCCTTCCAACTGAGGAGAGACCCTGTTGCTGGGCTTTGTATACACAGTATTTAAAAACAACCTGGCCGGTTCAAATAAGTCCCCGTAAAACAAAAATACATCATGCAAGACAAGAGGAGGAAGACATATCGAATATTATATCTGAAAAATATCAACGCATATATGTATATAGTATATGCAGAACCTGCAGATGTAGCCTTGTGTTGGTGGACGAATAGTTACAAGCTTATCAAGGTGTTATGTCTACTGCATGTCCTTGAACCATGTTAATCTTCTTGTGAGGGTTGGTTATCGACATTGAGCCACTGGAGGGAAAAAAAGGTGGGTCTGTACAGACAGAGAAAGGTTCCTTCTGTTGAACATTCCCTATATAAACGCACAGCTCTAGTTGAACTCTGAGACTTGTAGCTAAGACCTTTGGCGGTACAACAAGATGTTGAACCTCAGCGAGCAGACACCTCCTCACCCCCTGTCCTCCAGGGCCCCTGATGGTCTACTGCAGCCTCTCTGGGACTATCTGCTCCGGCACCATCTGCCCCTCATCTCATCTCCTTTTTTTCCAGTCCTGCTCGCCTTTTCCACCTATTTCTTCTTCAGTATACCTTTCGCTGTGCTGGACCTATTGGGAGACAGAGTGCCTTTCTTCTATCAGTACAAGATCCAACCCAACAGGCAGCCAACAGTAGGGATGATGGCAAAAAGCGTCATGACAGCGCTGTATAACCATGTATTCTTTGTTCTGCCTGCTGTAATAATTGGTATGTTCATCCTGCCTCTACCAACACTGCCGCAGTATGCTCCGAGTCTGTATGAGTTTTTCATTGATGGTCTGGCTGCGCTTCTCCTCTTTGACACTCAGTACTTTATTTGGCATGTCATACATCACAAGCATCCCCAGCTTTACCGCTGGATCCATGCAGTCCATCATGAATATGTGGCTCCTTTCTCCTGGTCTACGGAGCAGCTCAGCATCCCAGAACTGATGACTGTTGGATTCTGGAGCAACCTGGACACAATCCTTTTAAAATGTCACCCGCTGACCACGTGGAGCATCACTGTTTTCAGTGTTTGGATGTCTGTGGAGGACCACATAGGCTACGACCTGCCATGGACCCTCAACCACCTGGTGCCTTTTGGTCTGCTTGGAGGTGCACCTGCTCATGACATGCACCACCAGAAGCCAAGTAGTAACTATGCTCCTTTTTTCAGCCACTGGGACAGGATCTTTGGCACCGCAGTTCCTCTGAAGAAAAAAAACTGTAAGCGTATAAATAAGGGAAAGTAATCTTGAGTTGCCACAGTTATTTTTACACACCTATAAATAAATTCTTTTACTTTTGTGTGTCTATTATTAAGCTGCCTTGTTACTGCTCTTTAATGTTTCTTCATGAGGCTGTTTCGCTTCTTTGACAGACGTACCTCTTAAAACTTTAAGTTGTTGAATATTCACTTTTTGAATGGCTGTTTAGTTAATAAAAACTGTTTTTCTGTCATCATTATGCATTTTTTCTGTGAATAAACTCTGTTTTGAATATTGATATTTTAAGTACATAATTCTGTCAAGTCACTCCGGTAAAGTAACCAGCAGTAATTCAAACAAATTCCTCAAAGCTACTTCCTATTCATGCTTTTCCCTTAATCTCCTTACATAAGTCTTTTGAAGGAACTTTACTCAGCAATATTTTGCTGACAAATATCATGTATGAACAAGGAGCTTTTACACTAGAAAGTAAATACTGTAAGCCGGCTGGTCACTCAGAGGTCAGCTACAGCACTGGTGGACATATGTTAAACTGTACTTAACCGCTCAGCTTTGACTGGACCAGGTAAGCACTTTTCACTGACTTTAAAGAGGGTACTTTGTGTAATTCATGACGAAGCAAAAAAAGAGAATGTAAGAAATAGGCAGTCTAGGATAAGGAATGCAAACATTGACTGAGGCAGTTTTTTTTTCTCCAAGTTATCTTCAAAGTTCCTACAGTTAGTAAGATTTACCTCTAAATAGTTGTGTATAGTAGCTAGGATCGTTGTGTGTTTGAAAAGGAAAAATACTCGAAAAATTATTGAAAACGTTTATTTGTCACCGAAAATAAAATACAAAGTAAAACAGTGCTTTAAAAGTTCAACGAAGACTCTTGTTTAAATACTGCACGAACATGTTGGAAATCTGTCCCGTGTTCTCTGTCGGGTGCATCTTGGTGTAGCTAATGAACTGGCGCCGCAACTTCCTCAGCTCTGCCATGTTGATGCTTCTGGTGAGCTCGATGTTCAACACTGAGTTAAGGTCAGTCAAGTACAGGTTGTTCTGTGTGCAATGTGTCCTCTAATAATAGAAAAAAAACTTTGATTCAAAGTTTACACAGAAGAAAAAAGCGATAACCAACAAAGTCCAATCCTGCCTGTGTCACTGAAGACTGACCGGTGTTCAAAAGAGCACATATCAAAGCATTTGCTTCTGAAGAGATCTAAGGCCACAGAGCTGCTTATAGATATCTGCTCATTTGGTTCTTCCGCACGTGTCTAACAGAATATTGTTACAGCGAAGACCTTTCCAGGAAAAGGTTGCTTTGCCTTTCGTTTAACCTCTCTGATGAATGTGCTTTCATCTGCCTCACCCTGCAAACACTTTGTTTTATACGGTACTCCAGGAGGGAGGGAGGAAAGATTACTATCTTAGGAGACTGACTGAAATACAGCAGCACAAATAAAAAGTCTCAGTTGGACATTCACTTTGAGGAAAATTGCTTCTAACACTACTGACTTCCCTCAAGAAAACACCTTTCATTAAAAATGAGTATGTGGAAATGTAAACATGTTAAAAAGGATATTTTTTCTGTGGCTCCTGGAACTGTTAGAAGATCCCCTGGAACACTTGTCTTCTGTGCGTTAAATATAACCTGAAAAATATAAAAAAAAAAATAAAAAACTTGTCAACATATAATTAGAAATGTTGCTGATGGACCTGCACTTACAACTGGGAGAAAGAAAGTTTGTTGATCAGTTTAAGTTATTTATCGTGAAACAGAATGTACTACTTCAAATCACTGGAGGAGAACCATTTGAAGAATTACAAAGAAAAGAGAAGATTGATTCTCGTTGACTTAAATCAATTAGGAGACCAAAGCGATGACGAAAAAGAATAAAGAAGTGGATAAACAAGTATGAAGGCAATAGTATTAACAAAACAGGGTACAGAACCAGGTGATAATGACACCTGTCAACAGTGTACTGAAGAAGGACACACTTGTGACGATAACAACAGGGTCAAAATGACAGATCCTATCCACCTCCGAGAGTTGTCTTACATACTGTCCATGTAATACTGGTAGAAAGATGTGTCCACAACACTTAAGCTCCCTCACTGTAATTATTTGACAATGTAATGACTGTACTTAGCAGCTGTTGATCAACAAGCTACAATCTGCCCTTTGACCTGCCACTCATGGGGTATCCACGTCATACAGGACAAAAGGAACGCTTTGTACAGAAATCTTTTTTATAACCAGCAAAGGTTATCTGACAGATCCTAAAACAACGTGAATTCAGCACTAATTCAACTGCAAGAGTGCTACAAAGGTTATAAAAAATTGTTTTCACTTTCTGCGCATTGAAGAATGATAATACTTGGGGGGAAAAATGCAGGCACTATTAACTATGACATTATCTTGTTATAATAATTAAAGTGACATAAGTAAAAACAGAATTGATTGAAAAAAATCCTTGAATAATATGCAGACATACCATTAACACTTCTTGTGTGATCTTGTCCAGCTCATACAAAAAGTTAGTGGAAGACAACGGTTGCTGCAGAATGAAGAGCATCACCATTATTATCTGAAAGCATGACACAGCATATTCTGTGTCCACTGAGTACTGTTTGATTGTAAAACATGTCCCTTACACTCTGAGTGGACTGGTTAGGAGGGGGTGCTTTCCTTTTGAAAAGTGCATCAGAAATGGCTTCATATGGCAGGGTGTCATCTTTCAGTATAGTGAAGAGAGGACTGTCCCATCTGTTTCTGGAGTCTGGGGCTTCAAATCTGAGCACCAAAGCGTCAAATCTACAAAAAAGAAAACAAAAAAAAAAAAACACCTGTTAAAGGAATATTCCGGTGTAAAATTAATTTAGGGTCAAACACACCGACAGCCACTCGAGAGATGAATGTTGCCGACCGCTTGCTTCTCTAGTTATACTAACTTTAGTAACGACTGCACGATAGCAATACAGAGAGCCATGTGCTCAACTAAAACGCCACTCTATAGCCACAAATAAAGCTGAGAACAGCACCTAACTTCATCAACAGTACATATAGGGTCCCAGCCACAGCACTAGGCACCAAACATCTTTTTAACTTTGCCTAATTTCTTTAGCAAAGAGCCTAAACACAACTCACCTACTCTCTTCTAGCAGCCGCTGGTTTGTAGTGAGACCTCAGGCCAGTCCATTGTGGACTGCTGCGGGGTGACACAGTGCAAGGAAGAACATTTATGATAATTTCTTCATGGAAATGCAATCAGACCGAGACGCTAAGGCAGAAGAACTACCACGTCTGCAGTGCAGAATGAATAATATAATTATTACTTCAAGGAAATTATAAAAAAATGATCATAAATGTTCTTCCTTGAGCTGCGTCACCCCGCAGCAGTCCGTAATGGACTGGCCTGGGGTCTTGCTACAAACAAGCGGCTGCTGGAAGAGAGTGGGTGAGTTGTGTTTAGTCTCTTTGCTAAAGAAATTAGTCAAAGTTAAAAAGATGTTTGGTGGCTGGTGCTGTGGCTGGGACCCTATATGTACTGTTGATGAAGTTAGGTGCTGTTCTGAGCGTTATTTGTGGTTATAGAGTGGCATTTTGGTTGAGGATTGTTTATGTCTCTTCAGACCGCTGTGTATTGCTATCCTGCAGTCGTTACTAAAGTTGGTAAAACTAGAGAAACAAGTGTTTGACAACATTCATCTCTCGAGGGGCTGTCTAACTCGGTGTTACGGTGTGTTTGACCCTAAATTAATTTTACGCCGGAATATCCCTTAAAGACAAATTATCAAAACCTTGACGATGTTCTTTTTTTCACTACTCAATATTTTACTAAGGTAAAGAAAGTTGCACAATGAGAATAAACATGTTCTTTTAGTGTGTATGTAAAGGCTTCTTACTCACATGTCCTGGGTGTACTGCTCAGCAGTATCTCTTTCTGAATTCCATGCTGAGCTCACTTCACCTGATGTCAAACAGTAGACCTTTATAAAACGACACCAAGTTATTTTGACTCTTGATTTATGCCATATTATTCTGTTTATGTATGATCTAAAATATGGTCACTCCTCTGAGGTACTTACCAGGCAGTGAGGCGTCTGTGTGTGTTTGATGAGACAGAACAGTTCATACCGGTAGCCTGTAAAGCATTTGAACTTGAACATGAAAACGTCTACAAATCATACCTTCTGCAAAACACACTGCTGTCATTAAGACTTACCTTTAATGTAATTTAATGAGTCCAAGATCACGACATCATCTTTGTTGACTTTCCTGAAAAAACATACAGATGATGGTTAGAAAAGCTGTAACTGCAGAATGTCTGATTAATCTTTCACACGTACAGATCTAACCTACCTCTCCACCTCAGCTTTAAGAGCTGCTCGTACATTTTTTTCCTTTTGGGAATCTGCAACAAAATTCAACAAGGTTAGACAGAAAAACATGCATCAGTCTAAAGATAATTTTCATAAATCATTTTTCTTAATTTATACAAGATACTAAGTTTTGTTTTGCAGGTATGACAATTTCTACTTTAATGCAGCTTATTCAGTGCCAATACGTAATACATTTTGTAAAATAGAATTTTGATTAGACTGTTTCTTTTGTCAAAGGACTGTGTTAAATCCACATTTTTAATTGAAATAGCAATTGAGGCGTTGTTATTGCCTAAGTATAAATTGAGTGCGCATGGACCATTTAAAAAGTGCAAAGATGACAAAACATTTAGCAAAAAATATTGAATTACTTCACACTGGATATGCCCAGAGTCAATATCACTTCACATACTACTGCTGTTGGTTCACTCAGAACAATAAGTAAAGGAAAACATTCTGGTTAATGAAGGAGTGTCAGGTTAGTTCGGCGTTCAAATACCATGACATATGCAGGATTTGACACATTTTCGACCAAACCTCGGGATATTCTCTTATTTAAAGCCGAAACGCCTCAATGATAAGCGTCTTTATGACTAAAGCTAAAGCTAGTTTAACTTGCCTGCATAAACACTGTTTTTGTCCACGTCCAGGGCTCCGTCTCCCACCACATAAACCTTCCGCTCCGTGTTTTTCTCAAAATAATCCTTCAGCTCCTCTGCCCGTCGTGTTTTACCACAACATGGGTATCCACACATCACTATTAGAGGCATAACCGCTGGATTTTTGCAGACAGAAAAGAGCTAAAATGTGTTGAAAGCATGTCTCCACCTTCACCCGGATATGATTTGAATGGATATTTGCTCGGTACGACCAGCAGGGGGCGCCATAACTTTGCAATTCTTCGATCTCAATTTTTACTATCACTGTATTTATGTGCCTTTTTTATTTACAAAAAAAACAAAAAAAAAACAAAGACCTCTACTTAAAAACAAACAAACTAATACTTGTTAACTTATTGAAATCCTTTTAAAAATAAAAAATAAGCTGGACAGATTGACAATTTATGGTTGACAACACAAGTTTATTTACAGGCTCAGTCAGGCAAATATTTAGTTCAATACCTAGATTCAATAAATAATCAGTGCATGTCATAAACAATACAACAAATCACATTAATATTACATTCAAAACATTAACAAGTTTATATTGGTGCCAAGTTACTTAAAAACCACGTAATTCGGCAAGGTTTCACATTGTGCCAGTGGTGGTCAGACAGTCAAGCAGCATCTTCTCCCACTCTAAATGGACAGAAATACAAAATTGATCAGTTTGACAGTTGCTGGGTTATTATATAAATGACAATGAAATAAGTGGTATTGATTGACTGACATGTCCAGTGCCTTTTTCTGTTGTGTAAGCTCGGCAGCTTTCAATCGGTGAGTGAGCCATTCCAGCAGCTCTTCTGCTCGGTACAGAGAGTTAACATCTTTAACTTGAATGGGGACATCTACATCTTCAAAAGAAGACTCCACCAAGGAACTGTCCACAACACTTTTCTTTCCCATAAAATGCCCTAGTTAATACAAAACACACTCATATTATAGTCAATCCAAAATCAAATGAAAAATTGCCAGATTATTATTTATCTTACCTGTGGCCCATAGATTTCCTCTTGGATTCACCTTGAGCTTTGAAACTTTGTTTCTCAGTTCAGTTAAATCAAGAGTCATTGAAGATGCCATGGCTGTGTATGAGATGAGGATGAAAGAGGACAGGAATCCTGCTCTGCAGATCTTTGCCAAAGTGCCAGTCATTCCTCTGATGTGTTTTGCTCAATTTAGTGCCAGTTCATTGAAATCTCATTGCTCTCTGTCACTTAGGAGTCATGCAGTCATACTGAGATAGGTTGGGCTTAATATACGGAGAGGTTGGAGTCAGCCATCTGGGACTGGTTTCTTATTGGATGAATGATGCACATTGGGGTGCCTTGTGCCTCCTGATTTGTGATGGTGTGTAAAGCACATGACCTCGCTGCCAAACCTCTAATTATGACATACACATACAGTTAAATACTTCCCCCAGATCCCCCTCCTTTCATACACAAGCCAATCAGTCACACTAAAGACAAAGCAGATGTTATTAAATGAACCAATTTTAATTTGAAGTACTTTATGTAAACATTACAGCAAGGCACATGGGCCACTGCATGCTGAATAGATGTAATTGCTTGAGAAATGCTGCGGATCAAGGGTTCATTGGCTACTGTATGTACACAGGTTACTCTCCTATACGAGTCCTCATGGTACACAGTATCAAAAGTACAAATATCTTTGAACAAGCAGTAAAAAATATGGTGTGAAAAGTAAATTTCCTCAGCATCTGCAGCTGAACATCTGCAGTGTGGTAATGAGAGGACTTTACATAACAGAGAAACCAAGAGATCTTAGAGCACTTAACATAGAAAAGTTCACTTGCTGAACAGTCAATATGACCGTTTAGCCTCAATATCCTTCCCAAAATAATTTATAAAATTTAAGAACGTGGGATAATACACATTTACATACTATTTTTTTTACATTGCACTGAGACAACCTGCAACCAACTCCTCAAAGCCTTTCATTACCAACAATCACGGCCTTTGTCCATGGAGGTAGGAACTGTCATGTATTCAACATAAAACAACAGGTGCTGCTTTACAAATCAAGACCTGCATACATCAAATAAAATGTGTTCCTCTCGTGTTGATTCCTACTACATACTCCTTGTGTTATTCAATAATCAATACTAAGAAAATAAGCAGCTCCATGTTGACAGGACCTAATTTATAAAACAATTTCCCTTTCAAACTTCAAACTTCACTTTCAAACCGGCTCTAGATCATCTTTAACAATAAACCCTGATTTGACATAACATTGCCTGTTCACCTACTTGATAAAATACACTTCTGGCAATTTGAGGTATTTTTCAACACTGCTGTATCGCACATCTAATTCCTTTCCATTTTCTCACCTGAACAATGAATTAAAGAAACATCATTAAAAGAGGCAAAATCTTGAACAACACATGCATCAGAAAGTCCAACATGTAAACAGAAAAAAAGCATTTTTGAATGCTAAAATATCCAAATGAAGGTTTTATAATTAGCCTTACTTCAACAGGCTGTGTTAAGTGAGCCTTTATTTGGACAGAGAATATTATTACAAATTATGGTCAACCAAGGAGAAGGAAATAAGGCTTTTAAGATAATACTGATTAATATTTTGATTTGTTGCAGCTTAAATTGAAGGTTTGTGCAGCAAAGTTATTTTCAACACAGTCGTGTCATAGAAGCTAAAAGCTGTGTAGTATTCTGGTTATTGTGTATTGAGTGTAGTATCAAGAACTTTAGACTAAATGTAAGCGGTCAAAAATGAAAATTGAGTACAAAAGCGAGAAGAAATCAATTTTTACGCCGATCATTACAAGAGCTAAACACTAACAGACATTCCTGAGTCTCTTGTCGAGCTGGATGAATCAATGAGGAAATAAAGAAATATCAAAACAAGACTCTGCTATAAAACGTGTGCAGTTGTGTCTGGGAGGCAAGATTAATATATTATCAACATGCGATGTTAAATAAAAATAATTAAAAGATAGTAATAAATTCACGAAAGTATTGTCCTTTACTAAATGTGATGGCTCTTTTTAAATATACTGCACAGGCTCTGAACAATGAGAAAAATAACAAGCCCAAGCACTTTGTACCACCTCCATGCAGAACATCAAATGTTCTGATAGTGTCACATGAAAACTGACGACATTAAAGCAGCTTTAAAGAGGAGTTCAGAGAGACTGCTTCTTTCTGAGAGTGAGTGCTCAGTTTCAAATTACTGTCTGCGGTCCTGTCACAGTGCAGACCTGCTGGCTCATCTGCCTGCAAGGGCTCAGGTTCATTAAACTCCGGTAACAAGTCTTTGACCTCATCAGTATCTTCGTATCCGTCTGGCTCACTCTCTTGCTCCTTCTCCCTAACCTTTACAGTTACCGCCTCCTTCTCTTCTTTATCCTCTTCCTCAGGTTTCTTGATTTTGTGCACAATAAAAAGATGTCTGTTGAGAGACAGTACAGATGTGAAACACAGGCCACAGTGAAGGCACTGAGGAGTGTTTTCATCAGTTTTATGCTGCGGTATGTGCTGCTGGAACTTTGTACTGTCATCTGTGACAAAGCCACACTTTGAGCAGCGGTAATGAGTTTTCAGACGCTTTGCAGAAGGAGCTTCAAGACTAGACGTGCAATCCTGCCCCCCCTTCTGGTCGTCCATGGCAGGTCTTTCTAACACATGCCCCTGCAAATCACAGACATGCACACACATCACACATGCTGTAAGATCAATACTGTCAACGTTTTAGCCTTTTATTATTGCTTTGTTGTTTGTGTTAGAGGAATAACTACCTTTCGTAAAGCCTTTTTTGATTCCTGGACAGCTGTTTTTGGCATTTGGCTGAGATCTGGGTTCTTGATTCCATGCATCAGACTGATGTGGTTCTTCAACATAACACTTGTTGTAAATATTGTCTTACTATCTGTGCAATACCTGAATTGTGAAAAAACAAAAACATGGAATGTAAGTGAAAGGTGATCAAGTTTTGGTTATACTTGATAAGCCCACAGAGGGGCAACAGTGAAATCATTTTTCACTAAAATCTTACCAACAAGTATAGATTTTCTTTTTTCCATCATGGTCACTGCGAATATGCCGTCGCAGACTGGTTGCAGAGTTGAAAGACTGCTCACAATGTCTACAAGGATACTTTCTTATGGACTAAGGGAGAAAAAAACAACATCAATGAATTTTCTATTTACAAAAGAGGAACTTTTATGATTTTATTGCTTTAGCACTTCTGGTAATAACCATAAATAATTGTTAATCTCAATACAACTCCTCTTAAAGTTGTATTACAGTAACCTCACCAATTTTACATATCCATAATTGTAACTGAAAACAAATTTGAGCTAGTATTCATGTTTAGAGTGAGCACTTAAATGTTCTATCAAACTGACTTTGTGTCCTCTCACCTTTCCATGTTTGGTCTTCACATGAGAAACATAAGAATCTCGTTCAGGGAAAAACTGGAGACACTCCCCACACGTCCAGCCAGTGGGCTTCACACGCACTCTTCGCTCATCCTGCTCAGTCTTTTTTCTGGGATTTTCTGTGTGTTTACTTGGACTCTTGTGTTGTTGGGAAGAACGCACATCCTGGTGCCAGTCAGCACGGCTCGTTTGACTGCTGGGATTCTCTGATTCTGCTGTGATGGTTCCTATATGAACACCCTAGAAAACAGACATTACTTTATTTAAAAAATCATCATAAAAGAGACCTGGCTGTTTGTCCTTGTAAGTCATGATTTGTCTTGCACATGGGTCTTACTGACATATCCAAAGCCAGTATGGTGGAATAAAAGAAAACCCACCGTGTGGATTTGTCTGCATCATGTGCTTATTTTTTTTTTTAGACAAAAGTATAAAAGTGATCAAAAGATGTACAAAAAAGGACTAACCTTGAAGTGCTGCATTAACAGCTGCTTTTGTGGAAACACCGAGTTGCATTCTGGACACTTGAACACACACGTAACTCGTTTGTTGGCATTCTGATGGAAATGCTGCAACAATAACTGCTTTTTCTTGAAAATTGTCTCGCACGAACACTTAAAAATTAACCTGCAAATAAAAAGAGGAATAAGTTCAAGTGACCCATAAAAAGGCATGCAGATCTTTCAACTGCTAGGTCATGAGATGTTGACTCACTGGGGGGATGTTTTGCTGGCATTGTGTTTAATGTTTAAATGAACTTCGCAGCTGTCAGGGGTCTTGAAGGCAACCGGACAGATGGAGCACTTGTAAAAAACTTCACAGTGTTTCTCTTCAACGTGAGTCTTTTGTCCTTGGAGGGTTTTGAAAACCATATCACAGTGAAGACATCTAGAAAGGACAAAAAACATAATGCTACTTTTTCTTGGATCACTGTATCGAATGTTTTAATAAAGCTTTCGTTTTTACAGCAGTTACTTACTTGTACCAGGCTTTGCGAGCGTAGTGGAGACAGTTTTCCTTGACGTGCTTCTGTATGTCTGCAGAACGACTCACGGCACCACACTCAGGACAGCAATAGGGGGACTTATGCGAGTGAATGCGTCCGTGAGCTCTGAAGCTGCACTTGTTGGGTAACAGCATGGAACACACCTGACATGTCTATTCGATAAAAGAAAATAATGAAAGAGAAAAAGAAACATGAAAACAGAATCCATAGTTTATGAACACTTATGTATTTATTTAAGTTATTTTGGGCTTCATTCAGCATTTTCTTGACCTGTTTGTGTAGTCATAACTTTCAATTGACTGTCTCATCTACTTGAGTTTTTACACAAAATAATTTAAATATTTGTAAACCCGTGTTCAATAAAACAATGGAGTGCTTAAGTTAATTAATACAGGTACTTTGTGTACTCTAGCACAGGTTTTATAGCTCTATAAAATATTTATCATTTTATATGAACCATTTATAAAACTTTATGCCTTCAGAGAAGTTAAATGGACTCGGGTTTGAGGTCCAGTGATAAACTGGCAAAGTCAGATTAAAGCAGAATTAAAGAATATAACAAACTTTTTCCAAAAACATGTACTCACTAGTCCTTCCACATCTTCTGACGGCCTCTGGTAGTGGCCTGCAAGTGCTTTGTGGTCAGGTAACTGCTTGTTACACTCTAAACAGCGGAGTCTGTGGCGAGTAGTATGGTCAGGGTACAGAGGCAGGACAGGTTGACTTTTGAGCAAGGGTGAGGGTGAAGAGTCCACATTTAAAGGTTCGGCACTTAGGGGAACAAACATTTGTTCCTCCGCTATGGGCTTCATATGAAGTTGTGTGCACTGCATCACCATGCCGTTGCTCTTGTGCTCCCGTGCATGAGCCAATAAGGCACACTTATTGAAGAACACCATTGTCTTTGAACAGTGCGTGCAACCTACTTCAATGTGAACACTCCTTCTGCTGTAATGATACGTTAGACTCCTCTCCACCCCAAACGAGTCCCCGCACTCAAGGCAGCAGTATCCGCGAGGTGGAAGGCTTATGTTGCTCTCTGCAGGTGGGTTCAGGTTGGGCACGTATGTTGGCAAGGGATTGGAGTTATTCAACAGTCTGTTTAAGGTTCCTGCTGCTGTATTGTGAATGGACGTGTGAGGATAAGGCTTGGCTGTTTTGATCTGATGTACCAGTGGGACAGTGCTGTATACCGTAGAAGAGAGTGTGTGTTTGCTTGGATGATGAGAGGAGGATCGTGCAGCAACTGAAGCAGCAACACTGTGGGGGACCAGGTTAAGACTGGCTAAGTGCATTGCTTTGGGAAGGAAGTTAGTGCCGGTTGTCTGGCTCAACGCTGCTGATCCCCTTTTTGTTTTCTGCTTATGATGCGTTGAGGAAAGTTTGACAGGACCACTTGTACTATGAAATAATGTTGCAGACTGTGATTTGCTTGTCTTCCTTGAGTTGGCCTCGGATCTGTTGTTTATAACTTTTTGTGAGGGTGCACTTGCTGTGAAAACTTTGGCCTGTGTTCCAACAGTGCTGTCACTCACTGCACCATGAGACTGATGCGGAGACATATTACAGTAAGAATCCTCACTAATCATACTCTGTGATGGAGAGGATTCATACGCAGAATGAATGTCATCTGTTTCTGAATCTGGAAGCACACTAGTGACTGTGCGCTTGATTTGTCCAGAGGTGGTTTTGATGGTTTTAATTCTGACCCTGGGTATAGCAGCAGGTGACCCTGATGCCACTGCTGGGGAAGCCTTGCCACTACTGTCACTACAGATGCTTACAGGACTATCAGAAGGTTTGACTAACCGTTTCACAGCTTCAAGTGGACTTCTGGGGCTTCTTGGGGAAATGGGCACGTTGGGGCTTGCTTTCATGCATTCATTCTGACCTGTTGACGGCTCCCTGGGATCTTTTCTAGCATTCAGAGCCACCAGAGCCTCAAGGCAAGAGGATAGTTTGGATGTCTGAGATTTGCCAAGAGCACTAAGAGTATCTACTGTGGTTCCTGGACTGCCATTAGTATCGGTAAAGCTCTGGGTACTATTTGGTGGAGGAAGTGCACTGTGTATTCTGAGTGTTTTATCCATTTCATTATCAGCTGAGATGTCAGGGGGCTCCTTGCTCCCATCACTTTGTACTGATGTCCTCTCTTTGCTTTTGAGAATATCAGAGGCCTTGGGACAGTCACCAAACATGCTAAGGTCCAGATTTTTTGAATGATCTGCAACTAAGGGTTCCACCAAGACTGAAGTCTCTGGAAAACAGGGTTTCTCTTGATTCGGGTACTCTTGAACTCTGCTACTCTGAGCATCTTCGGACTCTGGACTGGAGATGGGACTAAAATGAGAGCGTGACTGTGAAAATATTGGCGTCCCATCTGGTTTGTGCTGAATGGGAGCCTTTCCAAGAAGTCCTCTTGGATCCTCCCCATTCAACGCAGAGACAAACGATTTGGATAAAGCCGTGTTTGTCGTCCCATCACAGTCATTTGAGGACTCTTGTCCCCTGAATCCATTTTGCAGTGCCGGTCCAAACCCCTCCAAAGACTCCTGGCAGCTTGTGTTCTTCACAATAACACTTACAGCAGGAATATCTGTTGTTGGGACAGATTTGCCCAGTAAGCTGTCATCCAGGCATATCCCTGTGTGTTTAAGCTGACTCTCTGTTTCCTCATGACCACCCTGTAGGGGCTCTTTGGCATCCAACCCTGTGGCATCTGGGATGTCAAAGGCTGCCAAAAGATCATCAAAATCTGGGGTTTTCATGTCACCCATGGCTGTCCAGTCTCATGAACCTACAGAAATAAACACACAGCTGGCTTATTATTCCATCTCTTAATCAACACAGAAAAAGGTATTATTGTCAAAGACTTTACTCAGCTGTCACACATTATGAATAAACCCAGTATAGAGGCATGGGTTTGCCCTCTCTGCTAGTGTTAGCTTCAGCTAACTGGTCCTCATCTCGGAAGCCTCCAGTTTTGCTGCAAAGCATGCAACAACATGCACCGAAATAGGCAAACCAAAACGGTATCTAGACCTTCAATATCATTTTTTCACTCAATAGAGACATCTTCGTACATTGAGATATAAAGTACTCTTATGGTAGCAAACACATAAAGCAACTATGACACGGAGAGCTGGCCGAGCTACATAACGGAGCCCAGGCAATAGATTAGCTTAGCATTATGCTACCGCGCAATTTATAAAACAAGCTATGAAACTCGTGATATATCAATGCACAAGTGGGCTTACCATTTGATCCAGTTACTTTTAACATTTCTCTTTTAAAAGCTGATTATTCCATTGACTGTTGGTTCTTATTGGGTCAGAAATGTTTGTTTGTAGCAGGGTTTCATAGCTAGGCTACAGGCTACTAGCGTTTACTTCGTTTTCTTTTTCCTGTTTGGGTGTTTGAAGCCCTCGACGCTGTCTTGCAGACAAGAGGCGGCGCCAGGGACGCTTATGCTACAGTTCCTCTAGAAAGGAGAAATGAAATGTTGATGTTTTGGTTGGTGGCAACTGGAGTGCATTACACTGCAGGTATTCATAGTATTTTGCTTCCCTCATTTTTGTTTAAGAAGAAGACAAAATATAAGGAGCACCTGTCTTTATAACGCTCTCCATCACAAGACCACTACATCCTCGTTGACAAAAATCTGATCATGTCAAGAAAGATTAAAATGATTGTATCTTCCTGAAAGTATATTGTGGAACTGTAAAGCTGTTTTTATCAGTTGCATTAGATGAGGCAGGCAGGTAGGCTATCTAGTTTATGCAGGACTTATAACTTTGTCATAAAGGCTTTAAATACAAACACCATTTATGACTGGAAACATGACAGAAACTGTGAGGGACCTGAATGCAGAATGATTGCTGTATGTTTACAGTTGCTTACCTACTTTTTAACAGGCACTGTCAACAACACTTTTTTTCCCTACTGTCCTGCCTGAAATATTGTGTTAAAATGATCAAACATCAAGAAAAGTGTGCTGTATGCAGAGCTAGCCCAAGCCTCAATGGGGCCCTAAGCAAAATTTGATTTTGGGGCCCTCTATTTCTGCCAATAATATTGATTGTTGATCATTCACACACCTCTGCAGTCAAATCTCTTTGATTAATATTCCATGACGTGCAAACATACCTTCATCTTGGCATTTTTTCTCTTCTTCCTTTTTCTTCCTCTTTCTGTCCTTATTTGCAACATTGTTTTGCCCCACAACTACCTGTGCTTTGGATGCTCAGTGCACATTGCACAGCAGAAGGCACATAACGGTCGCAGAGCTTTAACATATCGGCAGAAAGAATCATAGGCCTACATCAGCAGCAGCACTAAAATGTTTTTACTTTATCTTATTTTATTTTTACAATAATATAGATTTGATCATACAGAAAGCATCACTCATACATGCAAAAAATAAAAAATATTAAACCTTTTTTTTTTATTGCTCTTGGCTGCGGGGCCCTAAGCAGGCGCTTAGTTCGCCTATGCCTTGGGCCAGCTCTGGCTGTATGTTATGGAACTCTCTGAAGCATCTTGCTTCTTCCCTTCAAAGCAATAGGCCTACATATTTCGTATTCAGCAAAATACTTCCCCCAGAATTTTGAGGCCCCTGCTCACTCTTAGACCAAAATACATTTTGGTGAAAACGTTTTCACCTGGTGATACAAACCCAATCTGAAAGCTCATTAGTATATCACTAAATAAAGTTTTCATTATAAAAGCCAGACACCAGTAGTTTCAAATTAAACCAAATAGCAAGCATAAAAATGATAATCAGATTGGAGCCAACTAAGAGAGGGCTCCTGTTTGGAATCCTGTAAGACAGAACTGAGGGTGTTAATACATAAAAATTGCCCTTCCCGCTAGGCAGGCTGTACAGTGGTGTCACAACTTCCAGTTCTGTTTACAGTCACACAGGCCTGCTGCACTTTGGTATCAGCCTAACCTACAAAGAAAGTTTATCAGCCTAATTTTTAACTGAACTGTGGTAATGTAATAGAACTACACAGACATGCTGAGTAACAATGATAGTGGTCACAGTTTGATGTAAACAAACCACTTCTGCTTGAAGCTTCAGACTCTTATCGTTTTGGTCTTCTCTGCATAATAATCACACCTCTTGATACATGTTTCATGTGACTAAGCTTTAACTGTCACACTAATTCTTATTAAGAGTCTGATGGCAAACAAGTTGATGGTGTGTCTTGTGTGATTCATCCAGACAAGTGAGCCTAATGTTTCAATTTGAGAACCTGTTTTGGGTCATTAACCTAATGAACCGCAGGGTACACATATCGTTCTGGAAACATTGTGAACACAGTTAGGCTGTAATTAGGCTTTAAAAAATACTTAATGTTAATATTCAACTCAACAGACGTGTCATGAGCCATAGAAAAACACAGTTACCTGAGGAATCTGAGAAAATCAATTTCAATCTGCAGCAGGTACAATTATTGACTGCCATTTATGAGTCACCGCCACAAAAACTGAAGTACAATTGGCCCTGCACCGTAGCTAATGGTCCAGATAACAGCTTTAACTGATTTTGAGGCTATCAGATTTTGTGGGGCTCAGAGTACTTAAACAACCTCTTTAACAGGTGAGATTCAGTCATAAAACATTCATTAAAACTATTGACTTTGACCCGCAGTAAATAGCCTTTGTGTATTGCAGAAAACATCTGACAGACAAGAGGTGGTACAACATAAACGTTCACATTTCACTCATAAATCAAGTGATTCATCACAAGTCTACTGTTGAGACCTGTCTGAAGTTACTTTCCGCCCATTTGTAATCTAAAATTCATAATAATCTGTGTACAAATCTGCGTTACAGATCCTTATGGCTGCACTGACCATAATTTGTTTATGTTTTGTATAAGATACTAATATTGGTGGCTGAGAAGCTGTGCTTGCAGTTACTTTTGCCAACATTTTGAGATTACAAGTCTTCGATAAGTCAGCAGATCAAAGGATACCTTTTATTGATCAATACATATTATACTTTGATCACTGCCTGGTTATTACTCCTCCCCATGTCCATGTGTTTGCATGATCAACACAATCATTTACTAGGTTCTGCACGTTTCTTTTTCTTTTTTTGTAACGGTCTTGAGGAAACAAAATTCAATGTCTTGATTTTTTTTCTCTCATAAGAAGTGAAAAGTTAACCAGTCATCCTTGAAAAACTTGGTTGTAATATTGATAAGTAATAAAACTTTGTACTTTCAATGAGATTAAGTTACTGTTAGATTTTTAACCCATTCTTTAAATATTTTAGTTATGTTTTATGTTCTCTTTTCTCAAAATAATAAGGTCTGTTTCCTATGTAAAACAAAAACTGTTAAATAGAAATAAAAATAGTTGAAGTAAAGAATAATATTTAATAAAATACTATAAACCAAAACTAACATATAAATGAATATCTTATGGTATTTGATTGAAGTTTTAATTTGATCCATTTACCCTCGAAAGGATTTACGAAGTCATTTACTTTCCAATATAACTCTTAGAAAATTTTGATAAAATAAAAACTAAAATATTTAAACATAACTAAATAAAAATATTTTAGGAATAGGTGAAAAATCTAATGATAACTGGATCTTATTTATTTTTCATAAAAGTAGGAGACAAAAGGAAAGTGCTCTTGAGGTTATGTCATATTTTATTATATTTTATATCATATTCATATTTTACATTATTATTGATCATTAACATGAGTCTTTGAAACTTATTTTGAGGAACTTTCATTAACATAAGATCACCAAGACTGACTCTTAGGATTACATAGCTTGGGTGGAGCCCAGCCTCCTAGAGATAAACCCATTCATGATGAATCCACTTTTTATCATCACATATCATCTTATCATGGACAAAGTCAGCCACATAGATGTTGTTCCTAAGAGTTTTATCACATGACATGGGACAACACTACTTCCAATCAAATGCTGCTGTAAAAGGTCCATGTTATCATTTTTGTCGTGCTATCACACTTCTGCCCATCCTGTTCCTTGTGGGACAAATCAGAGCAGTAGCTTACGTAGGTATCTGTTAATTAATGATAAGACGTTTTACAGAGGGCAGAGTATTTTCTCCTGCTGTGGGATTTTACTACACAGCATTTGACAGCCTGGAGTAGGAGGACGCACAATGAGTAAGCCATTAGCTCTGCTTTTTCCTTTAATTAAGCTGTTTGTTTTGCACCTGTGAACCAGTATTCCCGTGCACCATGCTTTAAAAGATAAGCCGCATGGACTCTGTGGACTTATTTTAAGTTTTCTTTTTCTTTTTTATCTCACAAAGTACACAGAAACACAGCTTGTTATGTGTTTGGCATTCCTGCCTGTTAGCGTTGTATCTGCTCTCCTCAAGGCTGCTACATGTTAGAGTTGAACAATGACTGTGTTTTTCAGTGGAGCCCAACGGTGTCCAGCTTAAAAATGTAACCAACAACAATGGAAATGGTGTGGACAACCCGGCTTTTGAAATAGAGGTACGTTTCACTCTTGATTTTGAAAGGCATTTGGCTCAACATGATCTTCTTTTGAAATAAAGTGCCTTTACTTTCTTAGGCGGACAACATTTCAGATACTAACAGCATCAAAAACAAGACTAATAAGACTAAAAGGGGAGTGGGATCATACCTCAGGTGTGTCTGCTGGTGATTTTCTTTCATTGTAAAGATGTACATTTTTGATTATGATGAGTGTGCTTCTGAGTGTGCACGTGCAAAGCAGAAATTCCCTGCTAAAGTAAATGCACTAAATGTGAGTGGTTACCATACTGTTTGTGCCATAGAATGTGTGTGCTTTTTTCCCCTGCTCTAACATTCAAGATTGTAAAAAAATAGGAAAATAGGTATCACGTGATAAAACTAACTCTATGACTGCATTTACAAAGACATGATTCAAACAGAGTTGTATTTTTAAAACATTTTGACCTTGCTTTTTTTTTTTATCCTGTCCTCCAGCAAAGTTGCAAAGCCCATAAATGCCACAGAGGATTACATCAAAGCTCACTCCAAAACCTTCAAATATGTTGTTTTGGGCCTACTAGGAGCAGGTAATATCAAAACCCTGTTTGTAGTTAACTCTCTGCAGATGTTTATTCACTTGTATCCTCTTATTTTTGTTGAAGACCATCAAAGAAAATAGTTTTCATGTGACTGGTGGCAGTCATTGTCTGTCTTCTGCTCTTGTATCCCTTCTAGGTTATGTGGCATACTTTGTTGCAGCCTGTGTTTTGAATTTCGATCGGGCCATTGCTCTCGTCGTCCTGACTAGCTTGGCTATTGTGTTCAAATCATACGAACTTGTGAAAGAGTACAAGGGAGAAAGCATCAGTCAGTGTTTCAGACCTGCGGTTAAATGCTTTAAAAGAAACTTGAAATGGATGCGATGGTAAATAAACTTCATTTTTCACACAGTGCTACAATGAGCTGTGCATAAATAATCTTTCAGAAAGTGAAAATGTGTTTTATTTTGTTTGCAGGGTTTTTATTGTAGTGGTTCTAGCCCTGTTTGTGACATGGCTTGCCGTAGACACAAGCAAACGCCCGGAGCAGCTCATCTCTTTTGCAGGTGTCCTCATGTTCATCCTTCTGATATTTTTGTTCTCAGCACACAGGGCGGCGGTGAGTGTTGCAGAGATCGCGCTGTAGATGAGTAATAACTCTTATGACAGCTGTTTCGAAACATTCTTATCTCTTGACTTATCTCATCCCTGTTTCGCTAGGATATTATTTGTCCTTGTAAACCTGTCATTAAAAAGGTTTAGCGTAAGTGTTTCCTTGTAATAACAAGGAGCCTCTCTGATATGGCTGTAATCTTAGTCCTTCCTTATTTTTACAATTCTTTTTTCAGATATCATGGAGGCCTGTACTTTGGGGTCTTGGGTTGCAGTTCTGCATTGGCCTTTTTGTCATACGAACACAACCTGGACTCATAGCCTTTGAATGGCTGGGAGATCAAGTGAAGGTGGATGTTTTGTTATGTAATCTAAACGATATCTCTGATTAGATTATCAGTATTTTTTGTTGTACAGATAAGCAAGAGAAAATGCAGGTATGCATCTAAATTTTACACTATCAATGTATGTGTACGTCATCCCAACTGACTCATGTGTTCTTAGGGTGTCTGACTAAAACAACACATGATCGTTGTTGCAGATTTTAGATACTTTATGACTCCAATTACAAAATAAGTTGGCAGGCTGTGTAAAATGTCGATTAAAAACAGGTTTGATGGTTTGCTTATCATTCCAACCAAGGAACCAAAGAATATCAGATGGGCTGGGTTCACATGGAAACTGTTGTGGTCTGACAAATCAAAGTTGACATCTATTTTTGGAAATTGTTAAAGCATCTCCCTCTGATTTAAGAGAAAAGAATCATTATATTGTAGTAGAAGAGTCTGGGGGTTAAAGTGGCTTGTCTGCAGTCTCGACTTTTCTTTCACTGAAAACATTTGGTGCATCATAAAATAGGAAATGACAAAGGAGATCCTGAACTAAAGAGCAACTGAAATCCTCTCTATCAGACAAGGGCAGAAAAACATGTCACTTTAAAAACACCAGAAACTACTTTCCTGGGGTCTCTGACACATTTCAGTGGTGTTGTTAAAAGACTGGGAAATGCAACTCAATGCTGAACATGCCCCCGTCCTAACAATCAAAATACGTTTTAGTGACATTTGACATAGCATTGTAACTTTTTGAGGTTGTATTAATGTAACGTAATTGTGAGTCATATGCACAATTCTGTTTTTTTTCTTAGGCTTCCTGTGAATCACACTCTGAGTTTCTTATCCACCAGAGTACATTACTGTCGAACTGAAGGCTTATCTTTAGAGCTACTTTATCAGGCCATTTGACCTATTCATAGGTTACTCAACGGTTAGGTTAATTTGGGAACAGACGTGTAGCCTTTTAATGACCTTTTAATGTGAAGTGCAGCCCACTGTGTCTTCTGGTTTGTAGATTTGTTTGCATGAAATCTAAATAATTAAGTTGTAGTGTCTTGGGATCTAAAATGAATGGACATAAGAAAAATAGTGATAATAAATGAGCATGTCTCCTCTTTCTGCTATGACAGATTTTTCTTGATTATACCAGAGCAGGGTCATCCTTTGTCTTTGGTGATAAACTGATCGATGAAGTCTTTGCCTTCCAAGTAAGTCACCCAGTGAATGAATGAATGAGTATGTGCATCTTCTTACCATCGTTATAAGTTTTTTTTATATTGAATGTGTTTATAACTTGAGTTTTTCTTCCTGTTTTCAGGCTTTGCCAATTGTTATCTTCTTTAGCTCAGTGATGTCTGTCCTGTACTTCTTGGGGATCATGCAGTGGCTCATTTTGAAGGTAAAAAATGGGTTGTATATGCTATTTTAGGCTTGCATGTATTTTTCTTACACATACAGTGATGTGCGTTGACCGAATGCCATGTGTTTTTCTCCACACAGATCTCATGGGTTATGCAGATAACGATGGGAACTTCACCCACAGAGACCTTGAGTGTTGCAGGGAATATATTTGTTGGACAGGTAAACTGTTCAAGTCTAATACTGTTTGGAACAGTATCTGCACTGTAAATATGAAACTCAACAAGTGTCACATGCTTTGTATCAAGGCTATGATAACATTAACAATAATCAATGACTGATTTTGAGTAAATTGAGTCAACTCTACTTGTGTAACTCTGCTTCATGTTTTTCTGTGCATCAGACTGAGGCTCCACTCTTAATCCGCCCCTACCTGAAGGACATGACTAAATCTGAGATCCATGCTGTTTTGGTTGGTGGATTTGCTACAATTGCAGGCAGTGTCATGGGAGCATTTATCTCATTTGGGGTGAGGCAATGCTGCTTTAATTTTACCATATCAGGCACACAGAAAATTTCAGACTCAACGTTATGGGGCCTAGGGATGAACCTTGGAGTGTGACATACGAAATGCTCATTTTCCCTGAACCATAATCTGTCGCTGAAAACCTTCACGACGATTAGCGTTGTATTTCATAGTGTATCTAATCCAATACCATTGTATGCTGTAAATGCAATACATTTGGATAATGACAATTACCAAAGATAGATTATCTTTGCTGATAGTTGTCTAGATGTAACCGTCTGCTACATTAAGAATAGTGTTGTGTCGTTCTCGAATGATTCATTCAAAAGAACCAAATCCTCTAAGTGACCGTAGTGAATTGAATCATTTCCTCAAGTGATTCGTGTTGGTGCGTGTGAGGGACTGAATGCACCAACACCTGAATCACTTTGTGAACGAATCACGCAGTGAGCTACACTCTCCGGAATCATTTTTGTCTGAGGGATACACTTTCATGGCGACTGTTGTTCCCTGTTGTTTTAACAGATTTTGTTCCCTAAAACTAAACAAACTTAAAAAGTGTTAGGCTGGCAGTAATGAGGAGAGAGTGAGACTCACCAGCTGTAGCAAGCTCTTGAAAGGAGTGACGGAGGGAGACTATGATCTGAACTGATCCCTGAACCGTTTAGCTGTGTTTCAGTTCAGGAAGTCGGAGTCGAATGATTCGGGGATTCAGGAACGAATCTTTTGAATGAATTGATTCTAGTGATTCAGTACATCTAAAAGAACTGCCGTGCCCATCACTTATTAAGGATATAAAGCATAAACTTCTAATGTAAAGTGTTAAATAAAACATTGTTTCCGTGCTAGCAGGACTTCTTTAACAACATACACATCTTTTTATTGCAGATTGATGCCTCCTCCTTGATATCTGCATCTGTGATGGCTGCTCCTTGTGCCTTAGCCATCTCCAAACTGTCTTTCCCAGAGACAGAGGAGAGTCCCTTCAAGTCAGAGAAGAATATCAAAGTAGACTGTGGGTGAGTATATCTGTTGCGCCATTTATTCGCCCCATTCACAATATTTCTGCTTGCACTTATGAGTTAAATTACATGTCCATTTGTTTTACTCTGCATAGAGATGAACAGAATATTTTGGAGGCTGCTAGCAGTGGAGCTTCTGCATCTATAGGACTTGTTGCTAACATTGCAGCAAATTTGGTTGCCTTCCTTGCCATTCTTGAGTTCATAAATAGTGCTTTGAGTTGGCTCGGAGGTATGGTGGGATTCCCGGATATCACATTTCAGGTATGTTAAAGCAACAACTATATAAAAAATTATAATAATACCACAAAACATTTTGTAATCTTGATATACTCAAATTTTATGTGTTACTTATGCATCTGCTTCACAGATCAGGCTGGCTTTGAAAGATGAATTCCAACAATATCTAAACCTTTGTCCTCTTGTATTTACAGCTTATTTGTTCGTACGTGTTCATGCCCATTGCCTTTATGATGGGAATACCATATGACGAAGCTTTCATCGTGGCTGAACTAATTGGCACAAAGCTCTTCCTCAATGAGTTTGTTGCCTATGAGAATTTATCTGAGCTACAGCACAAAAGACTCACTGGCGGTGATGAATTTATTGATGGAGTAAAACAATGGATATCTGTGAGTGCATGTTCTGAAACTGAGTTTGGATTTGTTACAGTCAAAATTCATATGCATATTTATGTAACAAAAAAGAACTTAGTACACCACAGGATTTGGGACATCGTTTCTGTTCTTGTTTCAGGTCAGATCAGAAATCATTACCACTTATGCTCTTTGTGGATTTGCCAACTTCAGCTCACTGGGTATCGTGATTGGAGGCCTATGTAAGCAGTTCAGAGTTTTGTCCTGCATCATAAAAAACTAATCAGCCACCTGGAAATATTTTCCTAAAACAGAGTTGTTTTTTCCCCCACAGCTTCTATCTGCCCGTCCCGACGAGGTGATGTCTCAGCCCTGGTGGTAAGAGCTATGATCACTGGGACTTGTGTGTCTCTTGTCAATGCTTGCATTGCAGGTAGGAGCTTTTGGATTACTCTGACAGAGCAATATACTGTTTTCTCTCTGCAGTTGAACTAATTTGTCTTGATCTATTCATTTAGGAATCCTCTTTGTTCCTCCACCACTTGACTGTGTCGGCCTGTTTCAGGGATCTGCTTTTAATGCCTCAAATATAGATATACAAACATGCTGCAAAGACCTCTTTGCAAGGTGAGTAGATATATATTTTTTGGCAGGATTTAGACAGAAAGGAAACATTCATTAAGAAGATTTTAGATGTGCACTTCATATTTGAGTACTTCTCTTGCTGTGTTTTATTAGATCTTATATCATAAATCAACTCTTTTACAGCACTGTGAACAATGGGACCTCGTTTGAAGGATCTTGGAGCACAGTAGCGAACGTAACTTTGTTTTTCTCCGAGTGCTGTAAGTGTTGTGGTCTATCTGAGGCAGTTTGTATGTAGTAGGGATAAGTGCACAACACTTATTTTTCTACTGTAATAAGTTTGCGTGTTTATGTCCTCATTGTAAAAATACCTCTGTAAATAAGTCTCCTCTAAGATGAATGTAAATTTCATGTTTTTATTACAATTGATTTCAGTTTAACACATTAAGCAGATGTTCTTTCAGACACATATACCTCAGCAAATACTCAGGCATGAATGTAAATATTTCTCATAAATTGTGACTGATTTTTATAATAACTTTTTTTAATTACATGCTAATTGGCACAGCCAAAACCTAAAAGCATGAGCTATGTTAGATGCAAATACTCTTTTATTTAAAAACTAACTGATATCATTAAAAAGACAGGACACTGGGAATCACATTTATTATTCTTTCCAGAGTACTCATTCATTTTCTCATTCACTCGCTCACAGTTTTAACAGTTTTTGTTTAAAAATCAGGTATGTAGTTCCTTGACTAAATATAACTATTTATGTACACATAAATACAACAGTTTGTTTGTATGACACAAAGCACCTACAAGTCTGAACTGTGACCCCTTTTGAATGTACTTTGGACTTTTCTGTCATTAACAATAAATTGTTTTTATAGTGATGGCAGATAAAGTTAAAGAGTGGTGTTTTGAACTTATCTGAAGACTTTGATTTATCATCAAACAACAATACTTCCATAAACTCTCAAAGGATCTGAGGTATGGCAATGGACTTCTGTTGAGATTAAATCATGGGTAGATGTGCCAGAATGCTTTCATTAATGTTGCTGGCTTTGTGACTTAGAATAAGATCTAAAAATTGGTCGGCTTATCAAGTCTGCATGAGCAAAGCCTCCTGCTTCATTACATAAAACTTATTTTACACAGGGAGCTTTAGCCTGCTTTTACAAGGCGCCTGAAGGTTCTGAGTCAGCTTTTCGCTCACAGTCCAGAGGTCAGTAATTGTGTGGAACTCACTGAGCAGCTTTTCTTGTACTTAGGAAAACATTTGCATGTCAATGAGCATGAGCATACCATAGTTCAAGAGTTTACTAGTAAGCTCCTTGTTGCTTATTGCTTTGGACGAGGCATTCACCACTATATTTTCTGAAATACTATAAGACACATAAAAGTACTCAAAGACATACTACAAAACAACACAAAAAAGTGCACACAAACATCTCTTACCAAAAAAGGGAGCTGTATTTTAACAGCATGAGCTCAACTGTAACGTGAAAGGAAATGTTGGGTAATCGGTTCTAATGCAAACTATAAATAGCATTTCCAAAATAAACTTTATGCCCTTACTCTAACATACTGTACATGACACATGAGCATGCAGCATCTTATAAAGACAAATTACCACAACCTACCCGCTGACGTTTGTGCTAAAATTTTCTAAATCAAACAACCTGTGTTTTAAAACAAAATGTCACTGCAAATTCTATGGTGTGATAAAAAGTTCAGTGATTTTTTGAGTTTTGCTCGGAAAGACATTTGTGCAGCTGAAATGATACTACCTTAAGGTGTTTTAAACCATTTTATCAAAGTGTAATGTCCAATCTGGTGTGGACTAGTGTTGCTTTTCTGTGCTGTAAAAGTTTAAAAAAAGAAAAAAAAAAACACTGATATAGCTGTGTGGTGTCTGTGACACAGCAATGTGAGCTATAAAGCCATTAAACCCATGCACACTGCTCCAAACATCCTCATAAATCATTTAACAACAGAAGGAGGATATTTGTATGCCTCATACTGTAACTGCAATGCCAACAGAAAAAATTCACAGTAATCTTTTACGACAAGTCAGGTCTTCAATATTTTCCCTTTCTTTTAATCTCACTCTTCAAGTCTTGCTGGCTTTAGAAACTGGAAAAAACTGGTAACACTTAAAAGCATTAAAATTTTGTTTGAAACCATAAGACACATTTTTCTACCTCATTTCCAGAGCATCAGGAGTTTCTACAGGCTTCTGTTTGAGGCCGGGTTTATTGTCCTCAGTCTCTTGAACTTTTTTAGATACCTTTGGGCTAGAATTTGCCTTTCTAAGCATCTGCGGGCTGTGTCCTTTCCGCTGCAACTGTGGGCTGGAGCCCAACTTGCGGTTAAGCAGAGGGCTCCGGGAGCCCTTTGTCTTTAGAGGGTGCAGGCCTAGAAGTCCGCAGTAGTAGTTGCACTGATGACTTGTCGGGAATTGTTCGAATACTTCTGGAGAGCCATTCTCTGTTAGTCCTTGGTATCTAAATTACAGAGGACAAGTATTATTTCAGCTTTTTAGTACAAGACAAATGCATATATCTGCATGTATCTGCTAGCCTATGTATACAAACCCTTTTGACTTGGTCACAACTCTGACATTTGTCATCTTTGTTTCAACACCTAAAAAATAAAAAATGATGGCACAGAATAAATTCCTCAAAAATCTCACAAATTGATGTATTTTTGCTTTAGTCATGAATTTGCACGTCTTACCCTCCAGCCGAGTGACCAGCAGATTCCCATGTGTCCATTGATGGATCCAGTGTTGGAAGGTGCTGCATTTCTGCTCCACCTCAGAAGAGGTTTGAGTAATCAGCTTGCCTTTAGAGTCTATTGTGCAGTAATTTTGGAAATCACCCGTCAGATCAGCCTCCACTGTGGCGTATGGCACAGAGTTTGCAGGCCGGTACATGAGATACTGAGGGATAACTCTGCGTGCATAACAAAAGAGCCGTATGTTGATAACAAGCAATATTATACATTTAAATAAAAATCATTTATTTCAGCTGCTTTACTCACTCAAATGAGGAGCCAAAGTTTTCAGTGACTCTTGTTTCAGCTGCAAAGATTTTACAATACTCTCGGATCATGTTTTGGACTTTGCATTCCTGGCAACACAGAGAGATTAATGAAGCAGATTAATGCACTGCAACTGTAAACACAACTTTATTGGGTACAATTTGACAAAGATTCCTTTACTATAAATCCACCACTCACTTGTTTAGTAATTTCTAGGTTTCTCTCTGCAAGGTTGCTCTCCTGTTTGGTCCCGTAGGCGATGGGATTTTGGACTTTGATGACACAGGCACTTCCAGACTCAAAGATTGGATCCAGGCCATAAATGACTTTTACTTTGCTCGCCTTGTGGGCACAGCCCTCTCCAATGTTTGCTGCCTCAGTCATGATTCGGCCAAAGTACTTGTCACCCCAGTTACCACTGTCAGCCAGACCTCTGGTAAACAGCATTGGAGTCATCTCAATCTCCTCTCCAACTAACGCAAAATGGAAACAGATGTTTTCGTGAGTGAAAAGTGACGGAGGATAAAAAAAAATGTTTTACAGCTGACTGAAAAGTTTACCTTCCAGATCATCTTTAAGGAGTATCTCAGATAGAACTGTAAAACACAAAACAAATACACTCAGAAGGGTTTAATTGAAGGGTGGATTTAAAGTGTTGTCTCACTTTTTCATACTGTATCTTACTGTCTTCACTGAGCAGGAAGTCAGTCATATCACTTCCATATTCATTTTTGATGGAGCAGCCGTAAACTCCACAGTCTCCATTTGATGCTAGAACAATAGCCAGAGCGACTTGGCTCTCATCTCCACCACTTGAGAACAAACAAAAAAAAAAAGGGAAAAACAAATAATCACAGATTTGTCAGACTTTGCAGAACCGTTTCTAACCTCTAAGACTCATCAACAACCCACAAGGTGTCACTGTGAGACAAGCATTAATGCTGTGAGGCAGCAGTCTGCTGACACAGCAGTCAAAGCACATATATAGACCTTTAATGCCCCCTGCAGATGGGAAAAATACTGTGTCAGGTTACAGTTTCTGTGTCTAGCCAGAGATTCACCTCTCTGTGTCACAGCTGTGGGGTTCACAGTCACATGAGCGCGACGTCTCTGCAGTGACAATATGAGAATGACAGAAGGCCATGGGATGCACTCTGAATCCTTGTAGCATTATTGTTTCATATTTGGAACCTGTCCATTTTTACCAGTCATGCTGAGCTGGAAGTCTTCAACACAATAGCAGCAAAAAAGGTGACAAGTTGTAATGTCAACACCTACAAGATATTGAATGATATGATATGTTTCACAGGTGGTTTGAATAGTGTCAGCCGTAGTGTCAACTGAGGGGAATTTACCTTCTCTTCAGCTCCAGTATTTCCTCCTCATCCCTGAACCACTTTATGGTGGAGTCACTGAGCACATTGAAGAACTGGCACCACAGCTTCAGGTGTCCGGAGGCATCTGGGAATGGCTCCCCCCTGATCTTTCGGATGACCTGTGGAGCTGTAGGCGCGTGAGAGAGGGGTAGAGGAGCCCAAAGTAAATATATACTGTACTAGAGAGCAGTGACCTGTTTATGTTACCTCAACCACAGCATACTTATCAGACCTTTGTTTTTCGACAAACAGTTCATATGTGAAAATTACACAAAGGGTGAATCAAACAAGTGAGGTATGTTACACTTTGGAGTGCTACCTAAAAGCTCATGAATCTATTTTTTACATAAGTTTTTAATTTTGTCAAAAGATCAGATCTTCTCTTGAAAAAAATCCTCTTTCTCCATGTTTCTTTTTTTACCTTTTAAAGGGTCAAGCTTCTTCTCTGGTTTCTCCTCTCGTTTGGTGCTGGTTTGTTCTTCTTTGGGAGTCTCCTCCACGACTTTTGGCACCTCCAGGGTGATCTTTCTGCGGCTCAGCAGTGGTGAGCGTCTCTCCATTGGCGGGGTACTCTGTCCCGTGGGAGCTTGTAGTAATGCTGCTCTGCGGGCCTGGCTGGGAGACATATAGGGGCTTTCTTTTTTGCCCTGAGTATCAAGCACACCAACAATCGCCCCTTCTCCATCTTCTTTTGGTTTTGGGATGAATATTTTGCGGCGAGCTCCAGAGGCTAACTCCTCAGGTGTTGCAGATCTTATAAGTGACAGGCTGTCTCTGCGTTTCAGCCGGGGACTGCTTTCACAGGAAAGGGACGATGTTGGCGTTGAGCCTCCGCTTAGATCTTCATCTGCCTTGTCGCTCTGTCGGTCACTTGTCGTGACTGTAACACTATCTGTGTCTGAAGCTGCTTTGGACATGAATTTTCGCAGACTGGATGGGCTCAGTGATGGGTATGTGGGGGGTTTAGAGCAGAGTCTTTCACCAGAGGATCTGTTCCTTTGCAAGTCCTCCAAAGACACGTAATTCTCTGTCTTTGTCTCTTTGAGGGATTTCAAGACAATGTTGTCGTCTGCTGTTTTACTAGATAAAGACCCACTGTCCCCAACCTTTGGCATCAAAGCTTCATCTATCAAAGAGGGAATTTTCTCCTCTATACTGTTATCTGTAATTTTTTCATGATCAGTGGTTGTACTATTATTGCCAACATCACTCTCTATTCCCCTTTGCATGACATTTGGAGTTTCTGTTAGTGTGTGTTCACTTTGAGTGGGCTGTCTAAGTACAGGATCACTTTCATAACAAGTAACAGAGATTGGTGGCACCACAAACAGGGGCACTGTTGCTGTTTCAGAAGGCTGCTGTGGATCTGACACATGGCTGTTCACATACACGCCGTCGTCCTTGTCATCAGTACATAAAACATTAATAACAGGAATGGATGTCAATGCTATCTGTTCACCGCTTGTCATGGGTAGCTGCTCTCGCTCAAACATTTCTGTCTTGTCATACAATTGCGCAACTTCCTCAATTTTTTTTGTGGGTGAGAGGTTATAATCACTCTGCATACCTATCTGCGTGGGTAACAAGCTTTGATAATCAGTGACTTTCTTGTTTTGGACTGTTTCATCAGCCACGCAAGTCGTGTCATGGCTTTGCAGAGTAGCAGGCTCAGATTCAAGCTTAGTCAGCGCTAAAATGGTTAGTGGCAGGGTGCATTCTTTGAGCTCAGGCTCCATGACTTCAACTTGAGGGATCATAAAAATCTCAGTTGGTTTTATCTCTGGGGTGTCCTCAACGGTAGATATTTGTATCTGAGGAATATTCTCTATCTGCTGCCTCTCATTGTCATCTTGATGTTCTTCCACAACATTCACATCAACCTCCTCGTTTCGCGTCACTGAAAGGTTCCCTGCTTCTTCCAGCTCCTCTACCTCTATTTCACTCTTCATTTCCGTCCCCACCTCAAATGGTAAACTCTCACTCCTTGCTTCAGTGTTCTCAGCCTCTAAAATTTCCCGGTCTTGTGTTTGAAGATTATTGGACAGCTCTGCTCTCTCTAAAACAGGACTTTCTACATTACCACAAAAACCTAAGTCTGAACTCTGAATCACACTGACATTTAGGATCTCTGTACTTTCCTCTTGTGCAGGAGATGTGTACTCTTGCTGTATTTCTAGGTCACCCTTCTTTAGACTCTCTGGGGGCAAACTCGGCGGATATCCTACATTCATTTCCTGAGGTGAAGCGTGTTCAGATTCATCTTTTACATCTTCTCTTTCTTGACTGTATGCTGTCACTGCATATGGGGTTGACAGCAACTGATCTGGCGTTTTAGGTTCACGTGGCTCTATTCTCTCTTCCAACGAAGATGTTGTCAGTTCAGTAATCTCAGATCTATTCACGTCCAAGCATGGGGGTTGGTTTAATTTCGCTTCAACTTTCTCTTCCTCATGTAACTGATTGAAGGAACAGCTCTCTTCTGTGCTAGGCTCACTTTCTTTGTCCATACCGTCAACACCCAGCTCTTCCTCTTGCGTAGTTTCAGAGGGAGCCTCCGCAGGGCTGTGCCTGTCTGATGATAAGATAACACTGGGAGGGGGAGTCAAGCTTTCTTCCAAACTAGAGAGGGTAGGGGAGGACTCTTCTTCAATAGAGGGTTGAAGATTTGGCATGACAGGTACATCTCCTGGAAGTGAAGAGTCATCTACCACTGCCTGGTGATTGGGTAGTGGTGAAACTTCTGGGGATTCAGGTTGTTGCTGGAGTGTGGGACTGGCCTGACAAAATAAAAGAAACAAAACAATAAAGTTTAAGCTGTGTTATGTCTTTTGAAATACAATTGATTAAACATGTCTTTACATTTAACCTTGATTTAAGCAGGAGAAGCTCATGGAGATGAAATATCTTAGTTGAATAGTGTTCCGGCAACAACATAGTTTATAAAGTTTCTCACAGTCAATGAGCAGCCGTGCATAAAAACATAATATAAAGTCAATAAGACATTAAAAAAACATGTGATAACAGAATGAGACAGCAAATGTTTGTCAAAATCAATCAGTCATGAGTATACAAGCAGAATACTTTTAGATGGATCTCCTTCCAAATTCTTGAACATCACCTAAAACCACACAAACCCAGGTTAATTTACCCGCTCTTTTCGCACTTCAACCCAAAGTAAAGGGAGCAAATGTTTTTTCCCCTGTCAGTGCTGACCTTTGGAACAAACCTCAAGAAAAGCCCCTGGGACCAAAGGTTATAAACTATAAGTGTAACTATAATTGAGAATACTGTAGTGATTTAGACTAAATGCAGACACAGATGACTCTACACTTCTAGTTTTTATCTTTATTGCTGCAAAGAGCAAAGAGACATCCTCCTGGGGAAAACATGTTGAGGATTTTAAAGTGTTTTTTAGAAGCTTGGAACAAGTAACTAGCTTCTGTGACCTTTGACAGTGTGACACCACAACACTTTTAGACTGAGACACATTTCCCTGCCATAAATCATCCGAAATATTAACAATGACATCCATGACAAACTTAGTTTTCACTGTAGTGTTATACAATGACAGACTGTTAGACCACAAAAAAGTTCACCAATTACTTGTTCATTTGCGGGCAGTTATTCATCCAGAAAATATGCAGAGCAGCCAAGGTAAGTCAATATATCCCAGTGTTTTATGGCATGTCAGCTTATTTTAGGAACTTTATTACGTCATGTCACGTGCAAGGGAGCTGAAGCCGAATGTTTACACTGACATGGTTCCTGTTAAGTGTTTGAAATGACCCTTAACCTTATTCAAGCGGTTATCTGTATCTGATCAACTTCTTCTTGACTGTGTTTAAGGTGCTTGTGTACTGACAAGGATATGTTTGAGCAGGGGCAGGGTAATTCCCACATGAATAACAAAGGTGTGTCCCTTTTATAGAGAGCTGTCTGGGAAATTAATATATAACAACTCCTCTTTCTCTCTGCAAAAACAAGACAGTCATTCAGTCTTCGTGTAAATCTGCTGTTAACACTCTCATAAATAATACTCCAAAAAAGATATTTAATTTGACTGAGAGAAGACTCATACGTAAGGCTTAATATAGAGGTGTTGTTGAGTGGGTCTTTCCCCTGTCCGTCCTTTAATTTTAATTCATTCAGAAGAGCAGCAGAGGCGCAGTCTGCCTCGTGACAGCCTGTTTAAGCAGCAGCGCCTGCAAAGAAAAAAGAAGTTGCTGCTTTCGATGCAAGGAAACTGGTAGGAAACATACAGTCTAAAAGTGAAGCTGTGGTCGTCACTACACCTTCACATGTAAATAAATATCACAGTCACGAGTTTAACATTGTTCAAAACGGGGCTTGACTTCCTCCGCTTATCAAATTATGAATGTATTGGAAGTAAAGTTGTGGTTCCACATGATAGAAATACAATAGATCTGTAAATGGATAATGACTAAATATAGATATTTCAGTTCCCTTTTCTGTTAGTTATTTTGTGTCACAAATTGTATGGCTGCTTCCTTGGCAAAGAGTCTCTTGCACAAGAGATGTTAAATCTAAATGGGACTCTCCCGTTAAATAATGTTTGAACCAAAATAGAAAACTGTGTGAAGTTGTTAAGCCATTATATTTGCTCATCATCATTATATTCGAAGCAAAAAAGAACTGAACAATTACTGAAACACAGAATACAAAAAGATATTGTTTTGGGTTTCAAAAAGATATTGTTTCATGTATGCACTAACTTTCTCATCTCTCAGATGACTCAGTAGAGTTCAATCTTATATGGCCTCTCAGAAACTGTTTGATGACTGACAAATTAATTTGATTTTTAATTAATTTTAGATAAAAAAATGAATGTTGTCTCTTTAGGGCACAGGAAATGCTCCATATAAGGATGTATACTGCTGTATTTCTGAAGGATAAAAAAGGTTTGAACTTGTTCACTTCAGAAGATATGAATGAACACAATCATATAAATAAGCTGAGGCCAAAGCAGTCAGATTATCAAACTGTGTTAAGTCAATATGACCCTAAATAGAGCAAAAACAATAAACCACCTGATATCATAATAAGGTTTACTACTGTTCAGGCATCCACCTTATGGCACATCAGTCATAAAATGATTAACCAAGTACCCTACACGTGACAGACATAAAACAACGCTCTGAGCTGAACACATAGGTGACAGGAGTACAGCCTTTCCCCTTCACTGCGACAAGAACAAGAAGGGGTTTATTTTAAGATATGGGGGGGCAGCGAGGAATTTGTTCAATGTGACGAGGCCCTTCTTTCAAGCTGAGGCCTGCCGCAGAAGTTTCTCTGCTACCGTTCATCCAGACCACACAGTCGCCTGTCATGCAAAGCCCTGTTTGAAACGTGAGAACTACTCCCAACACTCAAGTTTCATCATGATCTGTGACGCACTGATGCTTCACTCATCACAGTCTATATCTGAGATACCCCACAACCTGTTTTACAGTTTTCAGCTCAGATATGCAATACCCCATCCACCCACATATTTCCGTGCAAAGAGCCTAATTCTAATGCTTCCCCTTTTTTTCCCCACATCAGCCTGTCTTTTCATGCCTGAGATGGCAGTAAAACCGCAGTCACACATGGCCACACTTGTTCACTGAGCTAGTCCCTAATCACTGATATCACAAAGTTGTGCCGTCCAGCTAACACAAACTCTCATGATTAAAGCGCCAAACTTTATTTTGTCATATGCTTCTTATTAATGCAGCTGCTCAAAGACTAAACTGTGTCAGCCATAGCTGACATAGTTCCGGCTTGGGCCCTGAAGTAGCTCGTCTTGTACTATCTTGTCACACAAATGCAGTCTATATATAACTGTCAAGTGGAAGCCAGCTGCCCTGCGCGACCACTGCACGTACCTCAGTGAGAACTTGAAGCCCAAACAATGACATTTCTGCAGCTGGACTGCTGATCTCTGGCCCCACAGACACCTCCATGACCTCCTCAGCATAATCAGCCCCCTCCACATGCAGTCCTGTGGACTCCTCTGCGATCTCAGGTGGCGTTAGCTCAGTGTGTGGAGCGTTGTCGTCTTGTTTGTGCTCATGTAGCCCAAGTGACACTGTTTCTAGGGGCTCTTTTGGTTGATCAATTTCCATAGGTAAAGTGTCCTCTGTGACAGCATCGCACACTTGATTGTTCTCTGATCGCAGCCGAAATGATGGTGGTGTTTCTGGTTGGAGAGGCCCATGGTCAAACTCTCGTTCTTGGCTCACCGTGTGCTCATGAGAGTCCTTTTTACTTTTTCCAAAGAGGAAGTCTTTGACTGAGTGGAACATAGAGCTGATGGATGCCTGTATCTTGTGGTGGTCATGGTCCTTGTGAGCCTTGCTCTGATGTTTGACATCAGAACCATGTTTTGTGTGCAACATCGTATGCAGCTTTTCCAGCTGCCTCTCCTTTTCCAATTCTTCTTCCGTCTTTTTCTCTCTCTCACGCTCTTCTGCTGGTACTTTCTCTTGTTCTTCCTTCTCTCTCTGCATCCTCCCTTGTTCTCTATCGTTCTCTTTACCGGCACTTACAGTAGACACATCAATCTCTTTGTGTCTCTCCCCCCGAGGTGAGCTCTGTTTCTCCTCAGTAGCCTGGGACTGAAGAGTCTCTGCGAGAAATTGTGCCAAACTGATTCCTCCATCGTAACAATTTTCACCTCCGTTCCCCATAACAGGACTTCTGGTAATGCTGCTATTGCTGCTAGCGCTGCTAACTGGAACATCTATGCCATTTGAAATCTTTAATTTCTTTGTGGCCAAGCTATTTTCAGATGGAGAAGTCTCCACTAGGTCTTTGTTTGTCACGGCAGCTGTTCCCTTGACTTCAGTGCTAACTCCATTTGATTCTGCCGCAACTCCTTGTCCTTCCACAGCCTCAGGCCTTTTGACTGCTGGTCTCTCCTCTGATTGTTGGATGGGACGCTTTCTTGGAGGCGGTTCTGGGCTACTTTGCAGTTTCTCCGTCTGTATGACAACTTTCTCCTCCTTTTTGTTCTGTGCATCCATTTCATTTCTCTTTTTCTCTGCCTTCTGCTTCAGTTTGGCAAAGAACCTCTGGTGAATCTGGTACTCATTCATGGTACCAACCTCTAAAACTCCTGAACAGGACACAATACCTTTGCTATTGCTGGCTGAGACCTGGTAGATGGCTGCATCATCCAATGTGCAGCTGAAAACAAAAACTCTTATCAATCTCATGTCATTAGTATTTTGAGAAAGCAATACAATATCAATACAACTGCATTCCTATTAATCTGAATGAATGAATGAAATACAGTCTTTCAATGTTGCATTACTGACTTGTAAATATGGAGAGTGTGGGTCTTTCCATTGCGCCGAATTTCATATTTAGGCAGTCCACAATAGCGATCCATTTCCATGTCGTCTTTGTACCATTTCAGTTCTGGAGCTGGGTAACCTAAACACATCATAGTATATAGTGAGCTAATTGCACCTTGGATACAAACATTTCCCCTCCTAACCAATAAGTTCTTTGAATCAATATTTCCTCTAAAATGATGACTGGGAAATTAAACAGAAAATAAATAAAGCATATAAGCTTGATCCTGAATCCCCTCTAGACCCACCTGACCAATCTACCTGCGGTTAAAAACAACAACTAATGAAACAAGCTTGAATAATTCATAGTCTGTGAGGTTAAAGGGGCTGTTCAGGAAGAAAAGGGGGTTCATAAAGTGAATTCTGTCCATATTTTCTGATATAAGTCATATCCCATCTCTTCACAAAGCATTGAAGCTTTGTTGTTAAAGCCAAACCCACCTGAAACCACACAGGAGAACTTCACATTACAGTTTTCTGACACTGCTTTGGATTTTAAGGTGGTCTCAAAAGAAGGCTGGATGTCCTCAGTCAGCTGGGCCATGACACTGCACAATGTGCTCCTGGAAGTAAACACAAATGCATAAGATAGTTGTTTTCATACTGACAAGACAGTGTTACATCTCAGAGTCATTGCAGTGACCTCCTCACTGCTGTGCAGTACATTCCAATGACTTGCTTCATTAAGAGGAAAGGATGTTAATGGGAGTATCTGGTAGTGACGAGAGTGTGAAAGAGTGAAACGGGAGACTTGTAAGACGTCAAGCAAAACAGAGCTGTCAATACAACACTAACACCGATGTTTATCACTGAAACTGAACGAAACACTGGACAAGCCAGACACTTACATTACAGTTAAAGTGTGTGTAGGTTTTCATTCTTGGGGTAAACCAGTTTTTGTGGTTAAGATGTTAGTTGAGGGGAATGTTTTAAAAGTATGGATTACCTCGTTGGTCTGTAGTGAGAATACCTTGAATAGCTATTCAGAGAAGAGGCAAATGAAGGGATGTCAATGATTAATCAGATCTCAGTAAGCGGAGCTCACCCAATTAAAATGGTTCATGATTTTTCCTCTTCTTCGACAAAAGAACACATCTTTATCTTTGTTGATTTGAAACACACAACAGCATGATTGAAATGACAAATCTGAATTTTGAACCGCAATATGATAAGGAGACAATATGGGAAAAACCCATCATTTGATGCATTCCTATTAATCTGACTGAACCGCAATATGATAAGGAGACAATATGGGAAAAACCCATCATTTGATGCATTCCTATTAATCTGACTGAATGAATGAAATACAGTCTTGCTTTCAAGACTTACAGACATGCTTTCAAGCATAAACACTCCTGATATACAGAAACATTTATTGTTATGCTTTGGGATTTTTCTAATCCAATCTGTCTGATCTGAATTGTTTTCAACCACAAGCAATCTTTTAAGCGATTTTTTTTTCAAATAAACATTTAAATCTGAAATTCAAAGAGCTACTTGCTGTTTATAAATGGGCTGTGAATAGGGTTGTCTACCTGTTTTCCGGTCTAACATTGGAGAGGTATGTATTGCGGGTTTCTGAGCGGCCATTGGAAGAACTGCCCTCCTCTTCACTGAAGCTACTTGTCCTCCCATTGCCAGAAAAAGAGCGGGTCATTGGCCTTCTGGAAGTCATTGTCCACTGAAGTGATTCACAAAAAAGGTAAATTTCCGTGGTAAATGTGTCACCCAAAAAATAAAACTATGTTTTCAAGTTGTGTCCACAGCTTGTTCAAGATTCAGGGCTCAGTTATAGCAGTGTTATCCAAGTAAAAGCTCCTGCAGAAGAGACAAAGAAAATGCTTTGGTTTAGTAAGCTGACAGAAAGGTACAACACTCTGAGTTATATTGCATAAAACTCATAGACAGAGTTCAGACCTCAATGCTTGTCCTTTCTGACCAAGCAAAGCTCTTGCATTGGAGCGAGTTATAAATAGTATCAGCTATCAAGTTTTGGAAGGGCTGTTAGTGGTCAAACACCAACCCAAGACCTCGTTGTTTACTTGTACATGTTTGGAATATAATCTGGTTGATTCTTGGTCACATTAAAAATGGTTAAAATTTTCCAACTTACCATTGAGCTGTTGTCAGTGCCGCTTTGGAGCCGAGGTCTGTGGAGAAAACCTCAGTAACTGCCTATCATAGACAAGCATGTGTTGCCAGCAGGGGCCTATTTATAGCAGCCCTACAAATAGGTGCAAGAGGACATCAGATTTTCCAAAACTAGATTTCTTAAAAGACTGTAAAATATTTAACTAAATCTACATTTAAATTATGTAATCCTTAAAATTTTTTCCATTTTCTGATTTGCATCAAGAATTTCTCCCTGTATGTATATGGGTTGAAAAACAGGCGTCCGATCCCAGAAAGACACTGTATTGAAGTGGATGTAAACTTGAAAAACATGTCCACAGAATATGGTTTGTGATGTAGCCAGTGACAGCCAATGGCCTGTGTCCTGTGCTTTGCTAAAGAGTTGCCAAAGGACTGCCCCCCAGACTTTAGGTTGCAAAACATGGTAAACATAGAGAGCCACTAGCTGCTCAAGTTTCACATCAATTAGACAAAAACAGGCTCAGCTGATCAAACCAGCAATTTGGTAAAGGGTATTTCAGGATATTCAGGTTATCTTAGGTTATAGGTCTGTTTAATGATCAAATTTATCTGATTTCTCAAATCAACCTCCGAGAAAATGTGCTCATGGTTACAAAATCAGATCACAATTCCTATTACTAAAGCAGGCCAATGACACTTTTATAAATATTATGCACTCTTTGAAGGACTGTATGATGGTACATCTCCAGATGTATGAGTAAACACAAATACTGTGTTGTGTTTTTTTGCCCTTGTACAATAACACACTTCAAAGATGTATTTCACACAACAATTAGTGTGTAGGGGAAGTGCGCTTGAATGGATCTGTGTCTGAAGTCTGGTTTCAATGTAATTGAGAAAAGAGTAAAATAATCAGTGCTGACTAAAAAGAGGCAGAATTGTATTGACTTGTTGTTATAATATAATACTGAACCTAGTCTAAAGCAGAATAGGTGATACTGAGAGATGACACTTATTAAGCAATGACCAATAAATAAACAATGACCACTCTTATCATGTAATTGTTTGGTTTTACAATCACAATGTGTCTCTACCTGTCTTTAAAAAAATCAGTAACAGGAAAAGGGCCATATTCTTCATTACCGTAATACTGTGAAGTGGCACGCACCCCTCTCCCTGTCATGATTCAAAGCGACTTCATCATCACATAATATAAGGATATTTTGTTAATTTAAACCTTTTCTATTTTTAAAATAATCGTGTTGTCCTTTTAGTTTAAAGCGAGTCATCACGAGGTTGTCTTTACGCTCACTGAGAGCTCAGAGTGCTTACGTATTACAAGCTTTACGGTATTTAATCAGTACACAGCCTTGTTCCGGGAAAGGGAAGAGTTTGGTCAATAAAGTCGAAGTTATGAACGCTGTGAGGGACAAACATACTCTGACTGAGAGCCGACAGCTTCTAAACTGGTATATGGCTGAAAGCAGGTATGTTCCTATATCCAGGGGAACGCTTTTTGTTAACTAACTGTTCTAATGCTTGAATGGGACACGTTTATATAAACTAACTTTACAGCATATTTCAGTGCGGTTTACATTTAATAAGTTATTAGCGAGAAATCAGAAGTCACGAGCTGTTTGTCGGCCGTGTTGTCCGAAAGCTTTTGTTTCGCATTTCGTTTGTATCTATCCATGATTAAACGGAGTAACTGAAAAAAAAATACAAATTTTAAACTTGATTTAATATCAACAGTCTGGCATAAGGAGAATAGGATGCACTGCTGACTGGATCTCGCCCCAACCCTGTCGAATAATGATCAGAGGTATGTTATTGCGCTGCTCTACACTGCACCAAACCACACCACAATAATGTCTTGATGTACCGTGATTTATTAAAACAATTAAGTGCAATAGAGTATTATGTGAGATGACTGAAATTTTCACCTGATTCATTTCAGATATTGTCATAGTGCTGCATCCTGTCTGTGTGTGTGTGCCTGTGAACCACAAGGTGACTCTGAGTGTCTGTGCTGAGGGCACAGGTATCCTCAACTATCAGTGGTTCACTGTTGGTGAGAGGGAGGTGAGTGGATTTTACTGTTGGCCTACTGGATCTGTTTAAGTAAGAAGTATGTCCAAATTCATATCAAAGGAGTTTAAACAACATTGTGAAACATTTCCAGTAGCACCTGTTTCCTTAAACATACCTTTTTTTCTGGTCAGCAGCTGTCTGAATATATATATATATTTGTAATAAAACCGCCCATTTTAGCTACTTCAATGTAAACAAGTTAATTTTTTGTCTATGAAAAGGGTCTGCGCTTATATTCTCTCCTGCACTAACCTGTTGCTGCACTTACAAATCATTATTTTTGTTTTGTTTTAAAGGTCCCTGGTGGCATCACAGCAGAATTAACCATCAGAGCGAAACAAACTCAGCTATTTGTGTGCAGAGTGAGCGACCACTTTCGAAACTATGTGTTCAGCGACTGGGTAAAAGTGAAGGTGTTAGATGTTGATAAATCAGGTACGTCCTATGCCATTCTCAACACCGTCTGAGTTTTTGTTGTGTTTAGAAAATGATTAATTAAGTTTGATTAATATCTTTTCTTGTTCTGTATTTGTGTCTATTTCTTTTTCGTCATTATCAGGTTTGCCAGTACATTGGGAGGGTGAGCCACACATTGCTGTCAACCCTAAACCCCAGACAGTCAGAAAAGGTGCAAAATTCACTCTCCACTGTTTGGCTTTTGGCATCCCAACCCCTCACTATCAGTGGTACAGAAATGGACAGCCACTGCTGGACAAAACCAGTGACACGTTACAGGTGAGCCAAAAGGATTGAATGTTTACTCACCTCAGTGCTGACAGTGATTGTTTACACAGTGGCTCATTGAGTTTGCAGTTTCACTTACTATGAATCAACCTTTTCAGGATGTGTTGTTTCATACACTCATGTTTATACACTCATGAGATTACTATTGCGTATGAATTCTTGGTGTTTCTGTGCCCTATTTTAGAGACATAAACTAATACAAAATAAAAACTATCTTTACATGTGCAGGTTGAATGTGCTTCAGCTGATCATAAGGGATCATATTTGTGCTCCGTATCTAACGTACTTGCAGAGACATGGACTGAACCAGTCGATGTTGACATTGGTAAGTCATAACTGAAACAGTTTTTATCCGTTTGGTAAAAATCTGTTCACTCAGTGAGATCACCACCACATTTTTTAACACTTCCCTCTTTTCCTATGAAATGGCTGTGAAAAAAAACAGCTGTGTTCTGCATGCTTAACTCATTCCACTGATTTTGCACTCAGGCTTTATGTTTCCATTATGCTGGGGTACTTTCCAATTTCTTCAGACTAAAAAGGAAGTTGTCAGACTCCAAATAGTACTTGTCCGAGCATTAGACACAAAACAGGAAAGTGATGTAAAATGAAACTAGATCTTGCTGCATTTATCCGGTTTGAGATGAATTTAGTAGTATTTAGGCTACAATACATATAAACAAGAAGTTATTGGTAAAATGCAGAACTGTAGTGCAAGCTATAGTACTGTGTACTATAAGCTTTGTAAGTAGAATAGTGGCTCTTAATGTTTTTTTTCTTACACGAAAAGATAATCAAGCGCTCCTTCTTTTTTATTTTCTGTAGAGCAAATGGATCAGCTTCCTCCTGCCGCTCTCACAGGTACAGTTCATTTAAAGACTCTTTGTTTTATCTAACTCTAAGGCGAATGAGCTGTCACAATTCTTATCAGATTTCTCTTTTGTGTTGTGTCATAACTTGTCTCTGATTTTATGTTTCAGCCACTGACAAAGTTGCCCTACTTATTGGCAACTTGAATTACTCAAACCATCCTGTCTTGATGGCCCCCATCATGGATGTGCACGAACTCGCCAACCTCCTGCGGCAGCTCGGCTTCAGAGTGGTTTCACTACTGGATCTCACAAGAGAGGAGATGTTGGCTGCTATTAACAAGTTCATTCAGCTTCTTGACAGAGGAGTTTATGGTGAGTGTGTATTTTTGTGAAACTAATTTTTATCGCCAGTTGGTTGATTTTAAGGTTTTGAAATATAACACTGACGTTTCCAGCATTGTTCTGTTGCTATTGTCCTTGGCTGTCTATCATTGGATATATATCTTTGGTTATTGTCATGGGTTGTACTCAGATAGAGCCTCTTTTCACCTTTAACAACAGACAGACACATGTGACTCGTTACGCTGTTTTTTGAGGTTATGGAAATGATGAACTCAAAATAACCATAAAACTGTACCACTGTGTCAGAGTCGCACTGTCTGATTCAATTCTCTAAGTTTTGTTTCTAATAATAAAATGAAAATCAGCCACTGTGAGAAAGCATGTTTTTTGTGTCGTAGAACTACAAATGTCAGGCATTTTTTGTACACCTAAAGAAACTATTTGAACCTCAAGTGCTTCAAAAATTACATATTATTCATATCAGGATTACAGTGTGAAATTTAACTGCAGTTACAATCAAATAAAAGTCTTCTTTGTTGCAGAAATAACAACATGCATGTAATCTCCATTTACAGGCCTTTTTTACTATGCTGGTCATGGGTATGAGTGTGCTGGGAGGAATTACCTGGTACCTGTCGATGCTCCACAACCATATAGACCTGAAAACTGCGTCTGTGTGCAGAGGGTCATGCTCAGCATGCAACAAAGACAGACTGCACTCAGTGTGATCTTACTGGACACCTGCAGAAAATGGTGAGTGCAGTTATGGATTTTTTTATTCACTAAAACTTTTTACATACATTAATACATTAATGGATATATATTTTGTTTTCTGAACAGTTGATTTAAGCTTGTCACATTACAGTTGATGAGAATTTATGCTTCATCTTACTTTTACTTTTATTTGGTGTCATAAAAGGTACAACCGGGATTGTATTCCATCAGTCATCATGCCATTGGGACCCAGTGGGAACACTGTTTATGGTTATGCAACGTATGTTCCTTTTTATGTATTCCAACTATTGAATTACAATGTGTAGTCCAACCAAAAACCATTATAAAACCATGATAACACTGACCTGCAAGACAGCAGACTTTAACATTAAAACTTAGGAATATCAGGAAAAATACTTTGCTTTCTCTTTGGATTTATGTTTTTCTCATTGACTCATTGACTGTTGCAGGTGTGAAGATGCTGAGGCTTTTGAGGTGCAAGATGGAGGTAAAAGTACTGGAATCTTCACAAAGTACCTGAATGCTCACATCCTACAATCTGAAAAAGTCACACACGTTTTGGAGAAGGTGTCTGAAGGTGAGAATTTTCAATAAGTTTGTGATTTTTTTTGTACCACTTCAATAAATATTGACACATACGTACAGGAATTTAACTCAAATGGTGCTGTAACAGATGAGGATTTTTCCATGATGCGTTCCTTTTTTTATAGGTTTAAGTTCACTATTAAGAAAGTGGTTGTTTCAAGTAACATGATTCATGGTCACATGTATGATGCACCTCAAGAAGCACTGAGGCTTTTCAGCTTTTGTTCTTTCAGTCGGCTTATAGCTCCTGTGGTAAACAGATCCGATGGGAACAGGTTGTCCTCTAGTTTGCTGGGTGGCACACAGACATGTTTTATCATTTTCGTGTTGTTTACGTAGGACTTGTAAATCTAGCAGTAACTGAGCCGGGTTGGTGGAGTTATCAAGATGTCTGTCTTAAGACTGTGTTTGTCTGCTTAGAGAGTCTCTGGTAGAATAATTTTTCTAGGTACCATAAGCATGTGACCTCATTCCCTGGACATTTACACTGTTGGCTAAAGAACAGCAAGAAACCTGAGAGCTGCTGGGTGCAGGACAGCTGCTGTGCTTTTTGGGTACCCCTTGCCTCTGCTCTCATGGGTTCACTCACAAATCAGCACCGGGACGACAGGGAGCCTTGCTGACACATTATGTGAATGTACATTTTAGATTAACGAATAAGTCAATGTTGGTGACTTCTTTTTAATAAGATCTCTGTTCTTCTTTTTTTTTTTAAAGTATTTTAACAAAATGTGGGCAATTACCTAAATCTCCAAGCCTCCGCTTTCATATCAGGTCATCTTGTTGCTGACATATTTAGCAATGGAAAAAGAGATGTAGATGATGAGCCACCGGTTGCTCATCCATTATGACAAAACAGTGAAGACAGCTTCCCTAAAATATCCCTGACACCAAATCCTCTCAAATGTTAAGCATGGATCTATATTAATTCATTTATACGTGGCAATCCACCCTTATAACCCTGGTCATTATTTGTATATTATTGTGAATTTAAGCCTTTTAGGAAGTGGTTTACCACTCACATTTGATCAAGAAAACAAACTATTATTTTCAATTTCCCAAAGTTTCTCAAAAGCCACTCATATGAACCTGATGAATCTCTTTTTCTCCTGCTATTGCAAAATTCGGGCAGCCCCGTCATCAAATTAGTGTGTGCAGTGACTGTTGTTGTGGTTTTTGTTTTTCTAGTGATGAACTGAGTTGACGGTGGGAGAAAATCCCTGGGAAATTGTATCCTAAACTTCCTGTTCTTTTGAGACATGATGTTCACCTGCTTTTCCACTCTCTCTTTTACTCCAGATCTTGGAAGAGACCCTCTAGTCTTAGGAAAGCAGGTAGTGGAAATCAAACACACCCTGAAGGAGCCCAGATCACTTGCGGACACAGTTAGGACCACAGGCCACACGAGAGAACTTCACTTGCGAGATGTCTGCTGGAGACAAGCAAATGGTAAGTAAAGGGAATTTCCCCAGATGAACACGTTTTTTTTTCCAGCTTGTTGAATTCCAGGTGAAATTGAATTGAAAAGAGAATACAGAATACAGAACGGATATAGTTTATTTTCCATCAGGTTAACCACAATGCTGCTGCTCGATATGTTGTGACCTAAAGTGAGAGATAGTGCTCGCTTTTTTTATTCCCCTTCACACCTCCTACACTGCAGCATGTGACAAACTGAGCACAGACACTGTGGTTTGATGTTATTTTTAAGTCCATTCACAACGCCACTCTTTTTTTTTTGGTAATCAAACAGGGAACTGATGTTTTTTTTCTTCAATTTTCTTTGCTGTTTAACGGAAGAAAGACATGCTACAATTTCTGAAGTTCCTCAATTCGACACCAAGACTTTTTTAATGTGGAATTATTCTTATGATTGTGATACCGGAAACTTCACCCGTTGAGGTTGATAGATAAACAGTCTGTGGTTAAAATAAGTAGATAAGCTGAAAAGTACTAATATGGTTCATCAAGGGATCTGTAAAAGTTTAAAACCTGATCTCAGAAATTTGTATTTAAAATGAAGTTGATGTTTTTAAGCTTCAATTTGATGGATTTTTTTTTCTCTTATTTCAGAGTTACCACGGAAGAAGCAGCTGATGTTTCTTTGCGGTGTAGAAGTGGAAGTGAGCTTCTCGGCTTTGTTCTCAAACGTTATGGTGGCTTTTGCTACTGTGAAGACCACAGGACCTAGAGCCCAGGACTGCACCATCTCGCTGAGTAGCACACCTGTAAATAATATTTACTTTAAACTTTGAACAAGCCTGTTGAGCTTTAGATTCATTCATGTGTTCTGAGTTCAGATAGAGACCAGAAGAGATCAGCACAGTGAGATTTACTTGACCTTGACTTGACTTCGATTTTTGAAGGGTTATTAAACTCCATATGAGGTTTGAAAAGTGTGACTTGTATCTACTACATAATTTCCATGTTGCTCACTGAAGAACGCCAACAGTTTCCATTAGCCAGCAGGAATTTCTCTGTGATAACCATTCAGCCCCACATTTCATGTGAGAGGAAGTTCTGCCCATATATGGACTTCCAGGCTGCAGCAACCACTGACAAAGACAAAAGAGGAAGTAGCAATAGCAATGTGATCTTCTTTTTTGAAACACGTGCACACTTAAAACTTTGACAACCCTGCCACCTAGAGTTCAGAGCATTTCTGATGAGTCAGAGCCAGGCTTGTGTAACAACAGAGCATAGTTTTATAAGTAGACTGACATGCTTTATTATACTTGATTAAAAACTGTGAAGACTCTGACAATCTTTCCTGCTCTTGTTCCTCAGTCGATGGAAGACTTGTTTTCTGGCCCGGGCAGGTCAGAGGAGATGGACTCTCTGCTCTTCACCAAATCTCGTAACCCAGACTGTTTTCTACGACTTTGTGCTCTTCAAAAACTTACGGTATGTTGCACTGAATGTCTGTACTCATGAACTGAAATCTTGAAAATGAGGAGTTTGGTACAATGAATGTGGAAGTGTAACTATTTTTATTACTTTCCTTTTGTTAGGAGTCACTGGTCATTAAAGTGGATCTACACTATACAAACATGGACAATGGTCTGCGTAGGACAGAAAGTCTTACAGTGGACATAGGAAAGCCTTTGGTGGCATCTTGTAAACTTCACAGGAGGAATCATGAAGCAACAGCCAAGAGGAAAGACGAGGCTTCAGCTCAAAGTATGGGCAACATTTCATGTGGCAAATCACAGCTGCGTAAGACTCTGGCCAGTCCATGTCGGCCTTTCACCAGAAAAGCAGAGTGTGTTCCTAAAGTTGCAGGTACAAGGAGCAATGAACCTGAGGAGAATGATGAAAATGAACTGCAAGAATACGCTCTCTGCCATTAGACCTGTTGGGCCCACATATTGTAAATACTTTATTTAAAAAATGAATGTTTGTACTGTTGTGATTATGAAGCATTCGGCTTATCACTTGAATGTGATTGGTGATGATGAATGAATGAATGAGTGAGTGAATGATGGAGGTTTTAGGCCCTTAATTCTGAGCTCAACACTGAATACACCATAACACTGAATTTCGCAAACCACTGATTGTATCACAAAGTGTTAAAGTTTTCCAAAATGTCACTTTTTAATCAGTGGAGAGATGAATTACATAATTAATGAAATCTGAGGAATGGAAACTTTAGGCTGTCAATTACATTATTTCATAAAATCAACTGAATCAGAAGAAAACCATTGCTGCCAATAAGTTATCCAATAAAAACTACTTTTGTTTTTAATCTTTGAAATGTGCCAGTCCGTTGTGCTTGCACTTTGTCTGTTATTCTAAAAGTCTAATGTTTTTACTCTTTAACTAGTTTGCCATCAGCAATATAGCCATAAGAAACACCACAGTGACTAATTATGAATAAACTCAATGTAAACTTTCACAATCTAAAGCGCCACCTACTGTCAGAGGTGGTTTTGAAGCAAAAATCCTTAAGGGCGGGACCAGATCCCGTTAGCTCGCCGTGATCGTATAGTGGTTAGTACTCTGCGTTGTGGCCGCAGCAACCCCGGTTCGAATCCGGGTCACGGCAGGTCGTACATCAGTACCGGTACTGTGTATTTTCAGAATTATTAAACACTGTAACAAGCTTAACGCCAATACACACACAACAATTTATCTATCTCTTTATATAGACTATGTTTTCATCTTAAATCTTCAACCTGCATAGCCAAATGATTAATCCCATTACACTGAGTTGTGTTTTATTTTTACTTTATGTAAAAACCGAGAATGTAAAAATTAGTTTTGACGTATGTTGGTTGAATGCAGAGAAAATGAGAAGGCTCAAGTCAACTTTTGACATCAATGGGCCCACATTCAAGACGTGAATTCTTTTATGCTGCCGAGAATAATTGTAGAAATAAGAGGAAAACATGTCGACAGAGCAGTGAATAAACAACATGTTATTGGAAATCCTCTAACACACTCCAGGGCCCCCAGAGACCCTTGCATAACACTGGAAAGATCATTATTTCACACAGACTGTTGAATGCGCACTAACGTTATCTTGCCAGCAGGTGTCAGTCGAGTACATCTAATGATCACCTGCAGTGGCACACAGTTTGATCAGTCTGTTATGGTATTAAAAAACAAGCAAATAAAGTACGTGAGGTATGGCATCCCGAAACTCAAGATATAGCAGCTTTATTTGATATTGATATCACAAACGTAACACTGAAAATTTGCAGCTTATTTTAGCGCCAAAACGCCCAAAGCTTGGGTGTTCAAAAGTTTTTTTTTCTTTTGTCAATGTGGTAAAGAAGTGTAACCCTACATACAGCCTTACACATTGCAAGTTAATGGTGAATAATAATAATAATAATAATAATAATAATAATAATAATAATAATAATAATAATAGTAACAATAAAAATAATAAAAAAGAACAACAACAACAATAATAATAATAATGATAATAATAACAACAACAACAATAATAATATGAATATCTTTATTTGTATAGCACTTTTAAAAAACAGAAGATTACAAATAGGGCTGCACCTAACGATTATTTTCCTATCAATTAATCTAACGATTATTTTTTCGATTAGTCGACTAATCTATCGACTAATTCATTGATTATTCAAATGATAATTTTTTTATTAACCGATTAATATTACAATGAATTTAACCAAAACAGCAAGTAAAAACTTGTCCTATTAGTATTTGATTCATCGATTTAGTCAAGAATCTGTTGAAATCAAACACAAGCACTTTGTAAATTGCTTTGACATGTAGTCATAGAGCAAAAAGACAGATAAAAACAAAAAGCTCAGTAAAAACGTGATTGAAGGCCATTTTCATGTCATAAGGAACCCAGACAATACAAGAACTATGCAACATAAAATTAGACCAATGAAAGCTCACATGAATAGGTTTATACTTTTTTGTGGTAGCCGTCATTTAGGGAAAAAATGTGGTGTTAGGAACAAAAAAACAAAAACAAAATTTTACATTGAGGTAGAGAGGAAATGCCATACTCCCATTGGTCCACTTCGACGTCAGTTAACTTTAGGACCCGCCCACTCGCTCAAGTGGCGGCGGTGAATGGTGAGAGATAATCCTCGGTTCCACCACAGACACAGTGGCACACAACACGGCTGAGCTGCCGCTGGATCTGGATGCAGGCGTCCCTGGATTCCGCTCCTCTTAGTCCGGGCCCGTCGCACTAACAACTTAAAGGGACAACAATGGTGCACGCCTCGGCGGCTGAATCCGTGGCTGCTGGTCGTTTTGTAGACCGGGGATCGCGGTCAGTGTGACATCCACTTGCACGTTGGTGTTGAGTTTATTGTTCTGGTCCTAGACGCAGCAGAGCAGCGTTTCTCAGAGAAGATGTTGAGCAGATTTAAGAGTGGAAGCACCAGGAATCTTGAGCGGGAATACAGCTGCACCGTCAGACTGCTGGATGATACGGAATATACGTGCACCATTCAGGTTAGTCACCTGTCGACCACAGTTTTCCCCTCACTCCGCAGAGACACTGTTTAGCGCTGCAATTGTGTCTGACCTGGCAGACAGAGAGGCGAGTGTTGGAGCAGCAATGGGACTGCGAGTGCCTGCTTGTCCCAATGCTGGTGCCAACCAAGACAAACATATAGCAGCTGAATGCAAACGTACAGAGTTATATGTCATTTCAAACATCATAAGAGGGGCCTGGAGCAACATATTTCTCTCACATGACCCACTAATAGAAGAAAACACGAGTGGTTTTGATAGCAGGCTGTGTGGGACGTCAAGGATCTCTGTAGGACAGACATGACATTTCCCCCAAGCTCCGGTTGATGGAGTGTCAGAAGCACTTTGCACTCTTAAGTGTCTGACTGAAATGGCTTTTATATAGTATTATTTTCCATAATGCGTCTCTTAGCTCGAGGGAGTGTTGATAATAGATTGCTGCTCATTGGCTCATCATTGCCCATGCAGTTTCCCTTGAACCTTGGCATCAATAATGCACATGGGGTATCCCATTGCTGCTCTGGAAAACATGCCTGTGAAGTTTCAATGTAACCTCTGTAGATCTACACTTGTGGGAGCTAATTTATGTCAAAGTGGCCTATTATGGCCTTCAATGACATTTTCTTCAGTATACTAGATGGTACTGTGCCACAGGGGAAGACAACACAGAGTTGTTTTCAAAGAAAGACAGCTAGTTAAAACAAAAACAGCACCAGGCCCTGATGTTAAAAAATCTCTGCTGTTTTTGTTTCCCAAACAAGCTATGCTTTGATAACTGTGCAGCTAAATGTTCATGCTGGTTTCATAAAAAGTAGGTGAGGTGGCCTGCCACATCAATTACAAGACAAAGATATTATTTCCTTTGTGCAGGCTCAACAGTTGTAGTTGAAAGGAAATCCTCAAAGAATCCCCCTGACTATTCAGCAACATGTGGACACATCAACTCTTTCTCAAAATACAGAGAAAATATACCATCTGAAATGTGATTTGGAAAATATGACATAGCAACAAGGCAGGTATGATTTCTATCACTTTGATACCATCAGTTAAAATCAGCTAAAATGCAGTTGCATCTCTTTTTCTCCCACACACGCAAGCGTGAAACAGATACTGCAATTACTGTGGGATGGTGACTGTGTGCCCAGGTTGTAAACAGACCTGCGTTTCTGCTCAGAGCTGAGCCAGAGATGGAGCTGGGCCAGATGGACTGTGAAGCCAGCAGGTGTGCTGCTTGCAGCAGAGTCGTGTGGTCTGGGTGGCTGACGTCAGCAGGCTGGAAGAAGGGGAGTGGAGTGAAAAAGAAAAATGCTCCGGCTCTGCTGTGACTGTCTGACAGCCTGACCATCTTTCTGTCCTGCCACGGCCCTCAGAGATTGCATGCTAATCCACCTGACATTGAGTTCAAATGTTGCCCTTCATTCATTCCTACCTGCCTTGCAGGCCTCATTTTGGCTTGCAGAATTCATAATCACCCAGGATACAGGACACCTAGACTAGGGAATGCAAAGTAAGAGGGATAACTAGGTCACATGTTCTGAGCCTTGATCTCCTTCCACCTCCACTGTGTCCCTGTGTCTTCTTTTTTCCCTTCTGTTGAAGTGTGCTGAGATTTTACTTCCACTGGATCTGTTCCCAGAACACTCCGAACCTTTCCCTAAATTGTTAAATATCTTTAAATTTAGCTACCAGCCTTTAAAAGGACATGGACATTAGTTAATATCAACCAAACATGTGTGTGCTACAGCTGTGCAGGAAGAAACAGGACAGGAAGTGTGTCTGTGTTTCTAAAGCAGTAGCAGCTGTTAATGCATGAATTTAAGTTTTCATTTAATGAATTATGGATCCTTCCACCATGTTTTGGGGGGTGGGGGAGAGGAAGAGAAAAAGTGAGCACTCATCAGCACACTGTGGATTTAGCCCCCATGTAGTGAAGGGTTGATGGAAGTGCCTGAAATCCTGGGCTGCCCTCAGGCTTCTTCTGCTCTCTGATTCGAATTTAATGCAGTGTTGCAGCAGAGAGTCAGACTAAGACCAGGCCATACATTAGCTCTGTTATATGTATTTTTGCAAATGTACAGATAGATTTGATATAATAAAGATACCACCCATCTGTTAAAGACACAGCATCCTCTTCCTTTGTAGGTCTGCTCCTGCAGTCGAGCATTTTTCTAATTTAGTTCTGTCCGCTGCATTATTGATAAGTCTCAGACATCTGAATGCAGGTTGTTTATCCCTAGTTTTTATAAAGTCCTGTCTCCCTGTTTGAGCGGCTAAAACACTTCAAATGTAACTTCTAGACAAGAGATGGAGACGAATACTTGAGTGTACATTGTTCCTGTCAAGAATTGGGGATTTGACCTTTAGACATGTAGTAGAGATGAACGGCATACTGCAGAAAAGTTAGGTGACCGGTAAACAATGTATAATTTGCTATTCCTAGATCGCTGGTTCATAAATTAATTTGATCACTCAAACATGGGGATTTCTTGAAATGCCATTCCTATTTTAGACTTTCAGCTCCTTATATTCTTGTACCTCTAAAGTGTCTGCATGTCTTTTTCATTATAACATAAAACAACAAATGAATTTTGAGCGTGTAAATCGAGCAAAAAGGTCATGAGACAGACATTCTTTACATGTGAGATCTTGTGTTTATCTCTAAAACATTGTCCTCTTCTTTTTAATATAAGGAGTCAGGTGTGTTTTGGTTTCTTTCCACCATAGTCATACTTTTGATAATTTACATTTCCGTATGTTTTCCTTTATTTATTTTGCAGATATGAAATGTCTTTTTTACTGGTGTAAACCTGTTATGCGTTCCCCCAGTGTGTGGCGATTGGGTTTGTAATTAATTTTGGATTCATCGAATGGCTGTCAGCACAATGATCTGGCCCGTTTTATTCTGGAAACGGAGTTAATTACAGTTTACAACCTGAGGAACCTGTGATTTCCCTCGGCTTTCTAATGACTGTTTTGTTTGAGGAAAGCACCACCAGCATTTGGGGTTGTTCCGTTTGTACATCCAGGGCTTGCAATTATCAATTTTTTCATTATGGATTCATCTGACATTTATTTCTAATGGCTAGTTGAATGTTTTTGAAAAATTATTAATATGATGCACATTGTTGTTTTGGTATCACTATAAACAAGCAATTAATAACTGAAAAGCATTTTTTTTACACATGCACTCTCAAATATATTGTTGAAAACTTCATACAGCTTGCCCCCTGAATGTTGCTTATTCACACATGTCCCTCACACATACATGTCACCTTCACACATGCTCCTCCATGGTTAAGTTGTTTGCCTTTTGAACTCAAGGTAGAGTATTTGCCCCAGAATGCGTAACTCGATATGAAAAGGACGTGGCGGTACTCACTGTAAAATGTTTACAACATATCCAAATTGGCTGGCTAAGTTAAGCCTAACTCTTTGATGATAGTTTTTTGCTTTTTATCCAGTGTTATATGTATTGTACATATTCACAGGGACAACAAATCAGTGAAAAGCATCGTTATTTGCACTAAGATCTCACAGGTAATGCAGCCGTGGCATGATGTAAACATCATCACCCATACCCACTTGTTTGCATGGAATTCAATTTTCCAAAATTATACTTGGTCCAGTCACACAGCCTAATTATAAAAAAGGATGTGCATTCACACATGCAGCTCACTCTGTAAATTTCTTGAGTTGTGAATGAAGCAAATATGTGAAGACTCTTCGTTTTGGTATCATAATATCAAAAATCTGCAAATCCTTCGATTTAAGAGACTGGGGACGAAATCAAATCTACAACATTTTTGATCAAGACTGTATCAAATCAGTAAATCTATTATGGAATAACTGATCCGCGCTCCGAAGAGAGAGCACCAGACTTTGTATCCTTTCATGAGTGCTCGGACTGAGATCAAGGCTGTATACTTTCTCTTGAGATCTTTAGTCCTGACATTATGTTGGGGAGACTGCCGGGGGATGGGAGCCCTACGTGTGTGTGTGTGTGTGTGTGTGTGTGTGTGTGTGTGTGTGTGTGTGTGTGTGTGTGTGTGTGTGTGTGTATTTAAGGGCTTTATTTTGAAGCATGGTGCCAGGGTCTCAGCTGTTGCTACGGTGACTCCCACAAAAGTGGGATCAGTCACTGGTCAGGATTCCCCTTCAGAAACCTTACAAAGACTGCCCTCACAGAAAGGTGACATGTTCCCTAAATGTCTTCGGAGGTTATGAGTGCTGAGGTGACTGATGCCATGCTTTCACCAGCGTGGATTAACTTGGCACTTTACCGCAGTTCCTCGTGTGATATCACTATCCATAGAGATAACCTGCTGGCACTGGCCGTGTTTCATGTTGCTTTTACTCTCGGAAAAAGGACGTATTACTAAAAATGCCACTCAAAAAGGAAAACAAAGTAGAGATACTGTAATCTAGAAAAAATGCAAACAAAATTTAATGCCTGACTAGACCAGGGGTCCGTAACCTTTTTGGCTGAGAGAGCCATGAAAGCCACATTGTATTTCCGTGAGAGATAATATTTTTTAACACTAAATGCAACTAATTGTGTGCAGTTTTAAGTAAGACCAACAATTTTAGAGTATAATAAGTCTCTGAATTTATTCTTTTTAATAAGGTTGTTCTACTGAAGCTATCCAATTATAAATAAAGTACTTCCTACCATTAATGCGACTTCTAGTGCTGCATGGTTTTGCTGATGGCTGTGTAGTCTGGTTGATACATGGTGAGGTTAAACTTCATGCAGGCATTGAGGCCTCCATCCGTTAAACATGATTGTAGGTTGGTCTTGATGTTTTTTAAGATGCGAAAATGACTGCTCACATGCATACGTAGAGCCAAACATGGTCAATACAGCAATACTCACATGCTGCAGTGTGTGGTATGTGACAGGAAGCGCATTCCAAGTTCCAACAACCAACGCACATTGCTGTGCAAAAGTGGATCGGGATAATTACTCCCAACTTCATTCAGCAGTGTTTTAAACTAGCAATCATTTAAAGCTCAGACAACAATGAAGTTGACCACCCAAATGACCAGCGACATCACCTCACCAAGCTGCTCGCCACACATTTGAGTACAAAGCGCCTCCTGGTGTAGAATGCATTGAAAACTTCAGATGGGTTTATTTTCATCGGTAGATTTTTTTCTAGATTCAGCAGAAAGTATGGCACAGCATGGTCAAAGATGCTTTAAGCTTCAGCATCCAATATGGAAACTTGTTGTTGACTTAAGTTCCGTACTTAGTTCACCCTGCTAGGACTCCAATTTTCTCCTTCACCATTGCGTTCAGGTCTACTGTTTGTCAGACTGGGTTAGAAGGTGCATACTTCGGTTTAAGTCATCTCCAAGTGTGTGCTTTGAACTCATGGCAGCTGACGCACTGTTGCCTGTATGCCTGATATGAATGATTAAAATGTATGCTAAGTCTGAAAGTTGTATGAGGAGTAACCTCAGGAGAACGTCACTTGTGTTTATCAGTGTCACGATTGGCTGGATCTGTGGGCGCATGGCTGCGGGATTACATCACTTATCAAGACAGCAGAACAAAACATGGCAGGACAGCACCCCCTTGCAGCCCTTTCAAATCAATTTCACAGGGATTTGATCTGTGGGAGCAGCCAATGCCACTTACACTTTTATCAGCTGCATCTTGTTGATAGTGAAAGGGCTGCTGCAGCGTGTCACAGTTGTAAAGGGCCGTGGTCTTTAATCTTCACCCTTGAATTTCCACGCAGTCTCTGTCACAACCCTGATGTTACAGCAGAGAATTGGAGGGAAATTAGTCGTTGCCTGAACTGCACTGGCTCACTGGGATTCATGAAAGAGCTTAGCTGAAGATGAGAAACCGGATGACTCTTCTGTTATGAGCTCAGTACTTTTCTCCCTTGGAAATGTCATTGGCTCTCTCAATCTGCAATATCAGGAGACTGAGGCTACTTAATGTTGCTTGTTTGGATTTGTCTCACCGAATGGCCCTCTCATATTCCCCAGTGTCTTCTTGTGTGTGTGTGTGTGTGTGTGTGTGTGTGTGTGTGTGTGTGTGTGTGTGTGTGTGTGTGTGTGTGTGTGTGTGTGTGTGTGTGTGTGTGTGTGTGTGTGTGTGTGTGTGTGTGTGTGGGCTGGATAAAGAGCAGGCAGGCAGTCTGTCAGTGTGTTGGTAGCAGTCTGCTGAGTCCTCTATTGTGCTCTCTTGGATGTATTGTGTGACAAAGAGAAGCAGAGCGGGGGCCTATATGCTCCACCTGGAAACATGAATATTAAACCTTCGATCGTAGCAATATCTTCCTGTAGTGACTGTTCTGTGACCAGAGCAAAACATGCTGGATTACCTTATCAGGCTGAGGTTCACTTTAGAAGGAAGCAGCCTCCAGCTATAGTAACAGAAACAGATTGCACAGCTTGTTGGTGATATTTATATACTCCATTGGCCTCATAAACGGCTGAATGTGGTGTAAGCAGAGAGAAGGGAAAAAGGAGAACCTTACTCTGTCTTGATAAGCTTTGATCAGATTCAGATAATGAGCGGTTTTAGTGTGATGCACCACCTGGAGCCAGAGAGCAAGTCTGATAAGAGCCGTCTTCAAAAGCTGACCTCAAAAGTTTTACAGTATAATCTGATATCAAACAGAATTTTTAATTGCAGCATTTCATCAGGCTCAGCATTTACTGTTGGAAGATAATGTGGGACCCTCAGTTAATTTTGGATGTTAGGTTGATGCAAACACTTTTGGTGCAGAGCACAACAACACCAATCATTGTTGTGTAACTACCCTAACATTTAGTTTTTGGAACATAGCACACTGTATCAAGCTTTATTGACATCTGCTATGGGCTATGGGGGGCACCACTCTGTGATTGTATAGCAGTTGTGACATAATGAACAGATTTCTGAATCTGTGAGCAAGGCAAAGGGATTTCTTCCCCAATGTTTAGTAGCAGGAGTACAGTCATATCATGGCATAATTTGTATGAAGAAAAACAGTCTGACTGAAGAAGAAACCAGTTGTGTTTTGGGTGAGATACTTAGAAGTTTAGTTATGTTTGTAAAGGGATATTACCAAAGAATGAAATCTATCATGTTATCTAAAATCTCCACCTCCTTTCTTGCAGCTTAAGTTGCTTTTTAGACTAGGATAACAAGCACATTGAAAGGGAATTTTATGTTGATATTTCTTTATTTCTTATCCATATTCTGCTTTCAGTTGCAGTGAAAGTCCAAGAAAATCCACTTTCATCCTCAGAAACTTTATCGTTTTATCTGAGCATCCCCTTGACTGGCTGTGGTCTCAGTTAAAACTGGTGTAACTGTAGTACATTTCTGATCGGTTTGCTGATGTTTTGAGTTTAATTTAGCTTTTGATCAAGAATTTCAGACAGCACAGAGTGCAATGTTTGGAAATCTTTGTCTTCAGAGAGAATCCAGCGCTGCATTTTAGACAGATGTTTATGTTTAATTTATTTTGGTGCTCTCTCTGCACTGTGGTAATCCTATCTTGTGCACCTCTAAATCTTGGTTGGACATTTTCTTTTCAAAGTCAGACTCACTTCTTCCGTACAGGAGAATCTATTGTTTGCCTGGATCTGTACTTCAGGGCCCTGTGACTGCAGACTGAAACTAGCAATGAAAAAAACAAACAAATACAGTGATTTGCATTGTGTAACCCATATCTGGGTGTCCCTGTGCTCCATCGTGCTGGTTGAAGTTTTTCCTTTCCACTGTAACTTGATAAGTGCTGCCAAGTGCTACACTCATGTGGTCTAAGATTGGATGGTAGTGGGTCTGATCTTACTAGAGAGGGCTCAGATTGGGTCTTTGTAAATAGAGTATGGTGCTGACCAGCTTTTTACTGTTCAGTGTCTTGGGATAACACTTGTCTGTGAATAAAGATTGATTGATTTAAATCTTAATCCAATACTAGGTATGCGATACATATTTTTAATCACACTATATGTTTTTAAGATCAACAGAAGATGCATTGTTTTTTGTCTCCTATAGTCCAGTGATGTTACTCCTTGGCAGCACACTATGGTGCAAAAGTTGCTTAGCCATTGAAATTAAAAATTTCAAGAGTGGCATCAGTACTCCGATCTTAAACCAGCTCAGACCAGAGATGGTCTGATAGTCTTGACACACTTATGTTGGCCATCAGAAGAGTAAAAGTCAGAGAAGAACTGAGAGAAAGTGTGAAAGAGAGATAATTCAATTCTCAGTTCCTCTGTTCATTCTTCAAGGCATCACTTGATGTCCTACAAGGGAGTGTTTTTCAAGAGAAGGAGTGGGGCATTTTATTTACAAGACATATGTCTCCTTTCTCCCATAAGTCCCCCTGCTACTTCTCTCTTTTATAATCTGCTCCACAGGTCATCTCTTTCTCTCTGTTTGTGTCACCAGGCGTGTGGTTCATGCAGCATGTGGCCTCGCTGCTGGATATTTCGAGCTAATGATTGCAGTTTCTACCCTCTTTCTTCTCCCTCCTCTTCAGTCTATGTTGCTACGTGTCTTTTTAGCTGATTTACTAGCTTGGACGGCGTGCGCTGTGGGGTATCGCCTCTGTGGTCAGCGCTCAAGATGCTGTTGATGGGGTGTTGTTATTGGTTTGGAAGAATATCAAGGAGACACCCTTTTGTTTGCTGTTCTCTAAATGAGCCATTATTCATATTTTTACTGTCACTGGAAGGAACAATACACTGCAGTATGACAATAGACATGACTTTATTCATGCTGATTTCCTCTAACTGGAAGTTTTTCTCTTACCCTGTAACTTCTTCTCGCTGTCCCCTGAGAAAAGAAGCATCACAGCTCATTATAGAGTTTTCCACGATTAAGCCGAGGCTTATTCTAGGGTCAAGTGTAGCCTCTTGCTTTTAGTGTCCATGATAACCAGATTTGTGGTGTGGTGGATTCTCGTGTGGCCGCTGGATTCATGGATCCTGTCTGTCTCTAATCCAATTTACTGGAGTATCTTTTTTTTATTAGAATGATGACTTTGGTTCACTGGATAAAAAGTAGAAAGATTTTCAAACAAGAGATGCTAGGCCCTTCAGACTTTGAGTGTTGCAGAAATGTCATATTCAGGGACAGAAAAGCATTTTTCTCCTCAAATAAATGCTGTACATACCCAGTCTCAATATCAATTTTGGAGATTGTTCTGTTTGAGAAAGCAGCTAACTTCACCAGGCAGTGAGTCATGTATAAATAAAGCAGAAGTATAAAGCACACAGACAGAGTTGAGAAGTTCAGTAACAAACTTAATAGTGCACATGAATTCCATGTTTGAAGGAATGTTTTATGTATTAGGAAGGATGCTGAGAGGAGAACAAGACTTTCACATCATAGAAATGTTTGGTTTATGAGATGTAATCCGTCTAAGCATATTAGTTTGCAAAGAGTGGTGGGATAAACAAAACACATGAGGTCAGCAAAAGGTATTCACTCATGAGGGAGGTTATGCAAGTTAAAAGCTCGCTGCAGAAGGTGATTTGCATAAATGAAGCTCGCACAGCCTGTCCACTGCAGCTTGAGGGGACACTTGTCCTTAGGGGACATAATAAGTTTGCCCTTGTAGCTATAGATGGGTTTCTGTGCAGGTATGCGCATGTAGCCAGGGGGCAGAAAGCGGGACTTATCTTATTTGTTTACTAGCGGAGTCAATGGAGAAATAAAATGACAAGGAGCTGTTGTGTTGTAAACCGCACGAATCAGCGAAAGGATGGATAGAAACTGTTTAACATCCAGAGGAAATCTCATCCTTTTGCCAAGAGAAGAATAAGATTGTGGCTCCAGGCTATTAAAAGAGCAGATTGGGGTCCTGAAGGTGCAGGCATCGTAAGGTTTAGCCTTTAAACCCTGAACTCGTGTCAGATAATTGGTCTGAGCCATCTCTGTAAAGACCGAGCTAACGAGCTGTCAGACTTGTATATTTACAGTGGCATTTGCAGGTTTTTTAAAATGTTGGCAGGCTGTGAAGTAGCCTCGTCGTAAACATTTTTACTCTGACTTTGTGAGCATTCACTTACATTACGACCCAGTTCCTGATATTAGAAACATCCAAACAGCCTGGTAAGTTGAGTGAAATTCATGGACATTTCAAGTGTTTTTCTGATTTGTTATGCAATGAAAGACAAAGCGATTTTTCAATGAAATGACATTTTATTGCAATTGTGTCAGGGAGAACTTGCAAATAATACGGCATCTTCATTGATATCAGTTCACCCCGAAGCAGGCTTTTCCCCCCTGGTTGTGCGCACCTAGTATTGTTTGTACACAAGAAACCCGTCTATGAACAATAATATACAATTACAGGGAACAGCTGAAAAGCAAAACCCAAGACAGAGTGGTTTTTATTATCGTTCAGCTGTAAATTGTTGTTCATCTATGCTTGAAATTAAACTGAGCTGTCCTGACACCTGCTGTGATATCAGTCCCTTGGCTTCACCTGGCAATTGTCTCTATGCATGCTTTGGCTGAGATAAACGTCAGCATAGGTATTGCAAAAACCATCTGAACCTCTGTAATCTACAGTAAATGTCCATCTAAAATCACTCTCATTCAGCCCCTCACTTAAACACATAGAAAAACGGACAGTTTGGGGCAGTCTGTATATGTGTCACATCACATTACTGTCAAGTTTACACATGCACACACATTGTGATGTCATTCACGTCTGTCACAGACTAGACAGTGTTGGCCTGCTCCTCTACGTGCTCGTCAGTGTTGTGGGCAAACGTATGGATGGTGGAACCAGCAGGGCCACAGAGTGATTATTTTCAGCGTCTGCACCTGCAGCGCACGTACATGGTAATGATGAGAAAGTCAGGCCAAAGATGACAGTAAAGGTTGTCATTTGATTAGGATCTTACGGTGCAGATCAAACATCATTTCTAACATGGCAGAAATGATTGATTGTGTAAGTAAGTGGATTATGTAAGTTTACAGAGCTCCTCCTCCTGTATGCTCGTCCTCTGGTGTCAGAGCTGCAGTCAGAGGGCTGAATAATGTGTGACACGAGGAGGATAGAGATTTGATTTGAAAGCAGAAAGTGGACTTAATAGTGACAATGATTGCGTTGTTGAAATTTCAATTGTTCCCAAGCACTTGCAATGAGTTTTATCTGTCATGAGTTTTTGATATTTTAAACATTTTGTTTATCGATTTTTTTGCACAGTCAGATAGACATGTTGATTATGATTTTTGCTATAATGAAGCAGCCCTATCATGGTTATATTTGGCCTCATATTTTTACAATGAGAGGAGAGGGAGACGTGCTGTCCATATTTATATGCAGTTGAAGGCAAATGCACAATAGTCTGGTCGGTATCTGTGCTCACATGATCCATGTTTGTTGCATCGGTTAAACAGCTGTAAGGTTTTCAGCCAATATGTCTTTTGAAACAAGTCAAGGTTAAAGTCAGAATTTTACATAATGGTAATGTTTCCTTTTGTCTTTTATATGTAATGTTTTGTAGTCACATATTGGGCAATTTTGTGCTTGAAACAATGTAAGGAGTAATTTTTCAGTATAAAATGGAGCTGGCAGCACGCTATCTCTCTGTCTCCTCTTGATATTCATAAGAATAAGATAAGAGAAATCTTCCACAAAGCAGAAGCAGCTGGCAGAGTGTTTTGCTTGTTTCTCTGTTTGCCAGGAGAGGGATGGCTTATCTTAAGTTGAACAGAGACTGAGGAAAGCCATTAGCGCTCTCACAAATGAGTCGAGCTCTATGAGGAGTTTTACATTTGGTCATCTTTAACGCTGATGCGACTAGGTGCCGGTGAAGAGGGCTACTTGAGAGGGCTCCATTTTCTGAGGGTCTAACTCCTGCCTTTTATCTCTCCATTCAAAAGAGCAGCACCACTGTCTCTCAGGTGTGCCACAGCGCACAATATGAGCAAATCCTCTTTAAAAAAACTGAGAAAAGAAAGAGCCATGTGTAGTGATGCAACGAGACGTTTCCATCAGGCAGACGGGTGGTTGTTTTGGTATTTAATCTTGAAAGGTCAGCATTTTACTGTTTAATTCATCAGTGTCTAATTTACCACGCACTCTTGATAATGTCCTCCAGAGAGGGAGTTGTGTCTTCAACTGGATAGACAGATGCCTGGCTGGGTTGCATTATGATAGCAAGATTTGTGTATGTTGGTACTATACATATACATGTCCTTTATCAGTGTGCATATTTAAATTTACGCATATCAACATATAATCCATCAGCGATTCCATCTGATGCCCAAAATAAAGGCCTGGGTGGCTCTCGTTGTTCCAAGTGTGTCTGGGCATGCAGATTACACTTACAGCTATTCATGCATGCAATCAGTCTCCTCTGCTTTTGTGTGTGTGTCAGCGCAGCAGTCAGAAGAGATAAGTGTCTCTGGAGAGGAGATAGATGAACACACACTGGGAGACAAAGAGGCTGTGGCCAGTAGAAATACACAACAAATCGCACACACACATACACACAAAGCCAGCTGTCCACTGCAGGTTCTTGGATAATTTAGTTAATATATTCTTGAAAAACACAATAATAGAGATGCAGAGATTGCCAGGATTAATATATTCAACTACTGCAGTGATATTTATTTTTTAACTACACTGTTCAATTTAGTTTGTGTGAAACACTTTCACTAGGCATGGTTTCTACATGAACTGCTGTGTTTTGAGGTCTCAGATTTTCACCTGGTTCTCATTTTCCTCTTTCTGACTCTGTGTCTTAAATTGGTTGACTGGGATGTCATCTCCTGCACCAAAATATTCTGTTATATTACATATTTTCCATGTTGGATATCTATTAACTTCCAAAATATTACGGCACTGTAAGGTTGTTTCATTTCTGTTAAGACAATATTGTATTCGATTTTACTCCATTGTAGCTCTCTTTATAATCAATAAAAAAATGTTATATTAGGTCTTTATGTATTTAAGATTATAGTTATGCAGCAGGTTCTCTCATTTGTTGAGCAAACACACCTGGTATTTGAGGAGTTTTGCCTCCCAAGATTGAGAATTTACATTTTTCTGTGACTCTAAGCTCCTGTAAGGAGTTTTTTGACTTATGTAAAATAGACTGTAATTCATGTCTATTCATTTTTGTGATATTCAAAAGCAAACAAGACCATCACAGAGAGGATTGACAGTTCTTATAGCTTGATTTTAATGCCTGATGTGAGCAGATTGGTGTCAGCCAAGCAGCTGATGAAACAGCTGTTTTTACAATTTATGGATGAAATATTCTTATTAGATTTACTTGACCATGCATTGAAAACTAGCAGGATGAAATTTGTTTGTCAAAAGTCACTACTTAAGCATGCAGAAGGCAAGTTGAGCAAAGAATGCTTTGTCCACAGGGGGCACCAAATTTGACACTAACTAAAAGTTCCTCACAGTAGCTTTAAATAATGTCAGACAGATAACTGTGAAATTAGAGGGATTTTGAAATTCCACTTTCAGGCATTTTAAGATAAATTTGGCATTTTCTTTTAAACAATTTTTAGATCGGTTGTGTAGAAAACAGCTATTGATTTGAGGAAACAGCCAGGCAATTTTTCCTTTGCAAAGATTAATTTTTCAGAGCTTGAAGTCTTGCTTTGTTTCATGTTTCGCCCGGTCACTTAACAGCATAAACAAATGAACTGTGGGTATTCATTACTGTACCACACCACATCACTGCCCTCCACTCCTCTGGAATGTTTCTCCTAGTCATGTATGTGGTCTCTGCTTGATAACCTGAAAACCAGCCGAGCAGGTCTCTATGAATAGGACAACCACAGTCTGTTACTCCATATCTCCCTGGGGTCTTAATCCACACCAACCGATGGGAATCAGTCAAGGAGCAACATTCCCAAATATCCCGGTTCATTAGACAGCGTGTTTGGACACAGACAACAGGCCAAGATAGTAACCTATTATTTGAGTGTTTCCTCACATATTTTTCCTCTCCTCTTCCCATTTCTGGAACTAGAAAATCTCATTAGGAACAGCATTAGTGTTGAACAACTGTGTTGCTGTCTTGAGGAAAATGGGTTTTTAGGCCAAGTAGTGACATGGGTCTGAGTCCCTCAGCTGTGCTAATGTTTGTCAATGTGAACGAGTCTCTGGAGTATTTTTGTCAGTCCTGGCTGACAAGAGTAACTGATATCTTCTGCGCCACTGTTTGCACTCTCCCGCTCTCTGTTACTGGATAGTTGTTGCCATGGCGCCCTGACTCACACTTTGTTGTACACCAAATTTCAAATTGAGATTTTTCATTGAACGCTGTCTGAAGTCAACATTGTTGTGAAAATGCTTGTTTTCTAAGTTATGTATTGGTACTTGAAAAATATTCCATCATTGTTTTTACTTTTATTAAAAATCCTCATTGTTAGTAGGGATGTATAGAGGACTAAAGAATTTGGTATTATTACTCTTCTAGTTGGCACCAGAGTTATTGGTTGATCAAAGGATATATAATATTTTTTATGTTGATCAGAAAGTGCCAAATGAGATTCAGGAAATCAGTGAACCAAGAGTGATTCACTCCCTGAGCACCATAAATGTTGGTACAAAATTTCATTGGAGTTAATCTATAGGTTGATGGGATGTTAAAGCTGTAAAAAGATCAAGCACCAGAACCGCACATTCCCCCCAGAGCTTTTCAGTCGTGATTTTGTGCTTTTAAATGTCTGAACCTACACTGAGCAAAAATATAAACGCAACACTTTTGTTTTTGCTCCCATTTTTCTCAGACTTTTCCTATGTACACAAAAGACCTATTTCGCTCAAATATTGTTGACAAATTTGTCTAAATCTGTGTTAGTGAATACTTCTCCTTTGCCAAGATTATCCATCCACCTCACAGGTGTGGCATATCAAGACGCTGATTAGACAGCATGATTATTGCACAGGTGTGCCTTAGACTGGCCACAATAAGAGGCCATGCTAAAAGGTGCAGTTTTATCACACAGCACAATGCCACAGTTGTCACAATACTGTCGGATTGGCAAAGGAGAAATTGGTCTTTTGTGTACATACAGGGAAAGTCTTAGATCTTTGAATTCAGCTCATGAAAAATGAGAGTAAAAATGAAAGTGTTGCATTTATATTTTGTTCAGTATTTATAAAACTAAAGGGGGGCTAAAGGTGATAAAATGCTAACATAAAAATAACTTATGAGAAGAACTTTATTTATCTCCAAGGGGAAATTCCATGGACTATTATATTATTATACTATATGGTAGACGATTATAGACTGCCTTCTTATTTTAACTTCATACATAACAATATACATTATGCTTCGATAGCACTGAAAACTGGCGGACTCTTCCAAAGAAAAGGTTTAGGAAATAATTTCCCCTTTTGATGGAAGCCTCTGCTTTTGTTTCGCTGGGTACACAGACAGAGGTGAGCCATATGGCAGCTGAATAGCAGTCTGGAGGGGATTACTTCAACAGTGGTACTTTCCTCTCAATAAATGACGGTCATGGAGCTCCCCACTGCCCCCGGGGTAGGAGACAGGTGCCGCTGATGGTAATAAAGGGCTCTTTGCACAGCAACCCAGCACGTCAGTCTCACAGGCCATTTGAAAGGGAAGGGGGATTGTTTGCCCTGGGCTTGTATGGCTGTCCATACAGTGCAAGAGAAGAAGGAAAGCTTAAACAGAGTGATACAGACTTGTAGGAGTAAAGTAAACCAGCTTTGGCACAATGTTTTTTTTTTTGGGTGTAAAATTATAATATCGAATATATTAAACTCTTGTTTTCTACAGAGAGAATATTTTTCAAATTTACACTGGCTAGCTTAATATACCAAAGGTGATATACCTGTAATGAGGCTATAAATCTAAACTGCTTGTAAAGCCTGTTTTTCCTATAACATAACCACCTTTGTATTATATGAGCTATCTTTAAGTGGAACACAATTTACTATGGCTCAGTCTAATCGATACAGGGATCAATTAGGTATCCTGAAGGCTTGTCCAATGGGCTGTGGGGACACCAATGATGCTGATGATGCAGTGGTCCTGTTTGTGGTAAGCTCAGCTATTTTTAGCACGAGTCATCCCTCACTGCAGGTACAGAGAATAAATTCTACAGAGGAGTTGGCCTAACCACCTCCTCCCACATGCTGCCTCAAGCACAATGTAGAGCTAATGAATCATGAACAGATTCTCTGACTATCATTAACTGATCTGTTGGTGCCCCACCGAACAAAAGCTCAGGGAAGATACGTACATGTCAGATTGATTGTGCTGTTTATGCTATGCTATAGTTTTATTGCCTTTTAAGACAAAGGCGTTGCACATCGTCTCTAGTATGAGGCTAACTACAACACACAAAAGAATTGCTTTAATGGCAGTTTTTAAGGTGATCCAGAGACAAAAAATAACCATGAGTTAAAGCTCCAGCGAGGTTTTTTTTGGCCATTGAGAAATAAACTGAATTTCTTATTGATGCCTTTTTAATGACATTTAGAAGCAAACGAGACTATCAGTGACAAGACTGACAAAACTGAATAAACACAGTTTTGTCCACAGGAGGCAGCAACTCTGATACAAACCAGAGAGTTGCTTACAGGAGCTTTAAAAAAAACATCTGTCATTTTGATAACATGACATTAGATGTCTTTATGCTGTACAGTTTGGTTTGTGTAATATTGTTTTCCTATCACAGAGCACTAAACAGATGTGAGATGTTTACCCTATTGGTGTTCTGTCTCAGCGTGATTAACTTGTAGTTCTTGTAGAAAAAGGTTGTGAAGTGTCCAAGAAAGAAACATCTGCAGGAATATCTTTAAACTAAGTAGGTTAATTTGAAACAGGCCAGTAACACGATTGGATATGGAGAAGAATATTCCAACGAGGCTGAGCCACTCGGTTGGAGAGATGGAAAGAAGTTCACCACTTTGATTGTGTGAGTGAAAAATTCAACAATTTCAGAGTGATGTTCTTCAGCATGTGGCTGTAAAGAATTGCGGAAATCGATGCACACTTTCACAGTCTACTAGCGGTGAGCACAACTTGGCGCTGCAGGGACCATATGTAGGTTAAAACTGTGCTATTTAAAGAGGAAATAAAATGTAAACATGATCCAGAAACGCAGGCAACCTCTCCAGGCCGGCCCATTTCAGAAAGTAGAAAACTGCCCTGTGGTCTGACGAATCAATCTTTTTGAAAACCATGGATGTTACGTCTTTCGCTCTAAAGAGGAAGGGGACCACCTGGCTTGTTTATAATGTGTAGCTGAGAAGTCGGCATTCATGAAAGTATGAGGATGCACAAGCGCCCGTGGTGTGGGTAGCTAACAGATTAGTGAAGGCACATTCAATGTTTGATTGTAAAGAGACACAAGCTGCCATCCATACTGTGCCTCTCCTTTTCACTCATGTACTTCACTGATCTGAAAAAGATACTTATAGATTGATCTGTTTTGAAGTGTTTTGATTCAATACCTGCTGGCTGTCTTCAGCACAATGAATTATTGCTTTTGCTTTTCTTTGCTTGAGAATCTTTATTGACCATATCTACCACTCTGGCTCCTATGGGCTTTCCTCTTATATAGCAGGCATTAACTGCCCTCTATAATTAATGAGGATAGCTAACTGTGGAGTGGCAGCAGAGGTTTATAGAAAAACCCCCAGGAGTGCCTTTCAGGACATCCCATTACCCCTCTCCTCTGGAGAGAGCAGACGTTTGCTGCTTGCTTGGCGATGATAGTGTGATATCAGTCATGGCTGAGGAGTGCTGTGTAGGAGGCACAGACAAGCTGGATTATTCCTCATTATATCAAACAAACCTTGTGTTAGCTGCTGCCAGGAAGGGATGGGCAATACAGTAAAATGTGTTTGCAATAATTTATATCCATATTGATTGATACATACATACTGTGATGTTTATGTGTTGCGTTGTGATGCTGCCTGTTAAAAGAGTATCCTGAGAAAGAAGCAACAGGGACACAGGCATTAAAGTCACTATTTCACCATCAGAGTATGATGGAGTTTTAAGATGATGCGGTACAGTCTGTATTATTCTGCATTAATTACATCATTGCCTCAGCCAGACTTAAGCTGCAAGGAGCTAAATAATAGATGAGTGAATAATTGAAGCATGATTTTTTTTTTCAGAATACTGGAGATGTTTGGTGTTTTTTTTGCTGTTATCATACTATGAAAGAATAATCTCCTAGTCATGTTAATGACACTAGATGTAGGTGGCTTGTGCTTGACTAAAGCCATGTTAAGTTGTTGCTAGTTTGACAAGTGATCAGCATATGGTTTCGCTTATATTTTTCACTGAGATTTCATCTTTCATCTTTCTGAACCCTGGTGTGAGTAAAAAAGAGCGTTTGAGACTCTGCCAAGGCGGTGTCCTTCTGTGAATGGTGGAGTAATTACGACCCAGCTGTCAGACCCTGTTTGCTTTGTGACAGTTTGCAAGACTTTGCAGTCAATACTTCACCTCCAATTTCATTCACTCCCAACATCACCTTGATTTGATTTGTTGTTTAGACTCCTGTTTTTGATTCAAGGCACTTAAGACTAAGAATGCAAAGTAACAGCAGAATTATTATTATTATTTTTTTTAATTTGGCTTTTAATTTTTACCTGCAGAAAATGTTTTTTTTTTATTTTATTTTTTTTTATTATTTAATATTTTTTTACTAAAACTCAACCAGTTAGATCATTATCATTATCAATCATTGTCTTAGCCTGCATACATTGTAATGGAAAACTACTTAAGGGTTGAAATAACAATAAGTTTTCCCTCAGAAAACAGTCGATCAAGAAGAAAAAAATTGTCACATAGTGGAAGCAAACATTCCACTAAACATTTCTGGATCCATCTGCTCACCTTTTTTTGTATCTCTATGTCATGCCAAATCATCTCCTATGAGAAGTTTGCTCAGACCTCTGCAGTTCAGTCAAACAGTAGGTATCAAGCTTATCTTTATTCCTCAGGTTTTCTGCTCTAGAGGGTTAAAGCTTATAGATACACAGTTGTATTAAACGTTAGACAGAGCATCCAAACTGATTACTTCATCCACACTAGTAAAAGCTGCTTAGCCAGCAGATAGCATTTACTAAATAGGTGACAGTCATCTCTTTCTTGCTTGTCTATAATACACGTGTATTAGTGAATTTTTCCAGTTAAGCATGGATGACAGCTGGCTAACTTTACCGCAGGTCAATAATGTATTGATACTTTATTGCTGTTTTTTGAGTTAAAATGAAGAACTCTTCCTTCTGGTTACTTTTTTGCATCTTCTCTGAAACAACCAGGTGTTCAATACATGCATGTTTCTCTGTCACAGTTCAAACAGGCCTGGTTATTCATTGCATTAAAACATAGTGTATGCTGCAGATGCCCCACTTATATCAACTTCTTGTCCACTACACCAAAGATGGTGACTGCTTTGACTGTTCTCTCTCCTCACTGATGATTATCCTTTGTCATTTTAGTACAAATGTAAATATATCAGTTATACTCTTAAATGCAGAAATTACATGAGGCTAACAAGTTGATGAACTGGAGCTCATGAATATTGAACATGTAAATATGGTAGAAAAAACACAATTATTTCCGTCCTCCCTTTCTATTACTTTTGGAGATTAAGGTCACTGAAAGGCAGTAAAATTTTAAGTGAAAGATAATCAAAAATGCATGATATCCAAAGCTGGTTAATATTTAACCAAGACAAGGATTTGACTGATCAAATCCCATAATCATTTCACAAAGTAGACTTCTGTTCTCCTTGCTGTCCATGCAGCAGCTGAAAGGCTGTTGTAGCCGTGCAGGTGCTGCTTTGCTCTCCATCTCTGTGTTTACATCACAACCTTCACATCCTGCAGGTTTATTTCTCCGTGACCCTGCTCTAATATCCAGTTGTGGATTAATTCTCTCAATCAAGATGTTTTATGTAACCACTCGCCTGAGAGGATTATAGGAAAACATTCCGCTTTTAGATTTAGCCCAATGAACCATGAAGATGCAGCCTTACTATCTCTTGTATGATGTATGTGAATGATAATCCTTCTGATGTGGAATTTCTATCTGAGCATCATTTAACAGGTACTTAAAAATATTTTTAGGTTCAAAAGACTGAAAAAAAAACAGATGGAAATTTCATGCATTTTACTTGACCAGAATGTCTTTAAATCTACACTTTTATCAGCTTGATAAGGGGAATTCGCTTCTTTCGCTGTTAGGGTTTTTTTTCCATCTTTTTTTTCCCTGAGTGTAAGCCAGAGGAAAGAAAAAGAACATTATTATGTTCTTGGACTTCTGGGATGCTGTACCACCTCGTCGCCATGGCAACAGAGCATTTTGTCATCACTCCTCAGGTGTGCTGTGTAATGTGTACCCCATCTCTCTGTGCTCCCAGCTTTGTCTCACCTTGTGTAACACCTCCCTGCTCACCTTGTGTAACACGATGATACGTTTAACATGACAGAGCAGGATGCTAATTAAATTCATCTATGACGCTACCACATCTACAGTGAGCTCTCACTGTACCACTAAATTTCCATCGTTGATGTGTGCGTTCTGTACCAGATTCCTTATCGCTGAGATTTTTCATTTGGCTCGCTGTCTTCTCTTCTTTTGTTTACAAAATCAGCATGCCAGTAAAGAAAAAAAACAACAACAGTAAGTGGCGGCACATCACAGTAAGCAATACAGCCTGCAGATGAAAATCCACTTGTTCTGGTACAGTAATTAGTGCCTGAAGGGTGCAGCATTAGCACACTCTGCTAATCTGGCGCCTGTGCTCCATTGGGCTCAGAGCTAGGAGAGTAGGACTGAATCCTAGTGGAGCAGATGGATGACGTGATCCATGGGTGGCTTGAAAGGGGGCCCTCATCATTAAAAGGGCTGATTACATGGTGGTAATGAGATCAGCATTTTGGGGTCAAGGCTGGTGGTGTGCCAAAGATCCAGGTCTCTCTGGGCGTCAGCTGAAAAGCTCAAATGACTTTTGTCTTCAAAGGATTTTTCAGTGGTTTTACTCAAGGTTGTTGGTCTCTCTGGGGGATTTGTCAGCCTTGGCACATCGTGTTGTAACACTGGATTCATAATTCTCTGCCACTGTCAGAAGTAAACACATTACTTGTCTCCTCCAGCTGCTGTTATGACAAATTTATCCTTTGATATTGTAGAGGTCTGCATGAAGGAGATTATGATGAGACGACTCATAACTGACTCTAAAATGAGTAATTATACATTAAGTCTATTGATATTTTGTTTTCGTAATTATTATCAATGAGTCACGTTAAGCAATGATAACTGGTCTTTAAATAGGCAATGCATCATCGTGAAGACCTCTTTAGCGTAACCTTCATTCATCACTGTCACTGAAACAGACAGCTGGTTACAGATGGTTGATGTAAGGCCTATGCACGTGCGTGCGTGCGTGCGTGTGTGTGTGTGTGTGTGTGTGTGTGTGTGTGTGCGTGCGTGCGTGCGTGTGTGTGTGTGTGTGTAGAAGGAATATCATGACTTTCCTAAAGCCTCCATAGATCAACATTTTCCATCCTCATCCTGTCATTGATTTTCAGTAATAACTAAAACGCCGTGTTGGCCCTTACCCATTAGAGAATTGGGATTACAATTTGATTACAAGTATTTATTAATTAGGGAAAGTCAAAAAGATTGAAAGCCGCGTTTGGCAGGATTAAAACAGATTAAGTGGCTGTTTTGTTGTCTGGAAACAATTCAGCCCTGTGAATATTTCTGGATGTCAACCCAAACCCTTCACCCAAAAATCACCTCTTTTGAGGACTGATCTGTATTTATAGAGTATGGTAGCATGATAGATCCTCTGAATCTTAACTCTTGGCAAATCTTCCAAACCTGAATTGGATGGCTTGGCTTTGTGACCTGAAGTGCGTTATGCCTGTCCTGAGGTGCATTGTAGATCACCTACAGTCGTAAATTCAGGTACCCTGACAAATCTATTAGCATACCTCCCAGTTGCAGTTTTTCTTTGCTGACTGTGACGGTCCTCATTTTATGAGCTGTGAGATTTTACAGCAGCTCATCCATCTAAAGACGAACAGCAGCACAGGGGGCAGGGAAGGCAGTGATAATGTTGGGACACTACTTTCGTCTCTGGGACCATTATGCATTTCTCTGAGGAGATGGATTTTTTTTTTTCCCTTCAAACTAGGTATTAATCTGGACAGAACTCACTCCTGACAAAATGTGTAGACAGAGTGATCTATTCAGCTGCAATTGTTGTTCACACACTGTCATTCTGTGTGCAGATGGATAAGTATCCCAATGCTTTCCCACTTATGCTTTATTTTCGCTTATTGCTGTTCTGTCCTTCCTCCTCTGGGATTTTAGGGAACTGTTTGTGCTTATAAACAAACAACAGATACAAACAGGTTGAGGATGACTTGGCAAATTCTCATCAAGCTCGGAGTACATGAAGTAAACACAGGAATATGTGAACCTGTCATAAATCTTTGCATTGTATTTGACATTAGGCTCACCAGGGGGGGCTGCTCACTGCCTGCTGAGCTTCATGACATCACTGCGGTTGCTTAATATTTGCTGGGAACACAGGGGCACAAGGCCTGCAGCAAAAAGTGCCGCCTCCCATGCTGCCCCAGTCGCAGTCACACTAGACCGCATGCCACCCTGTGCAGCCAAGCCATGCCATTCTAGCTTCCCCCTGGGCAAACAAAGACCCCATTCAGACCAGTCCCTACTGTGATCATGCAGAGCAGAAGCAATCTGTTCCTCTTGGCTGCTCACTGTGAAGTGACCCAGCCTTGTCTTCACCACGGTTTTGCCGATTTGTGTTGTGCTCAACCAGGTTCTTAAATCTGCTTGTGCCTGTTTGTTTTGAAAAGGGCACGGAGGCAGAGTGAAGTCATCCCCTCAAGCTCTCAGGGCAGTGCAACTGTGTGTCCAGCATTAGTTTTGAGAGGGAGAAGTTTCCAGTCTACCTTCAACAAAACAGAAGGAAAATTTAAGTTTTGGGGTTTTGTTTTTGCAGCTCCTGGTATCTGTTTGTTTGTAGATGAAACAGATAGTGAACACTGTGATGTGTGCTCTTAGTCACTAACTGTATAGGAAAATTACAGGTGAGAACAAGTATGCTAAGTTGCATTGTTTTGAAATACTCATCATTTCTTCATAGAAATGCAATCAGACTGAGACGCTAAGGCAGAAAAGCACAAAATGATTAATATGATGATTATTACTTCAAGGAAATGATAAAGAAATGATCATAAATGTTCTTCCTTGAGCTGCGTCCGCCCGCTGTAGTCCGTAATGGACTGGCCTGAGGTCTCGCTACAAACAAGCGGCTGCTGGAAGAGAGTAGGTGAGTTGTGTTTAGTCTCTTTGCTAAAGAAATTAGGAAAAGTTTAAAAGATGTTTGGTGGCTCATACTATGGCTGTGACCCTATATGTACTGTTGATGAAGTTAGGTGCTGTTCTGAACATTATTTGTGGCTATAGAGTGGCGTTTTGGTTGAGGTTTGTTTATGGCTCCTCAGATCGCTGTGTATTGCTATCGTGTGGTTGTTACTCAAGTTGGTATAACTAGAGAAGCAAGCGGTCGGCAACATTCATCTCTTTAGGAGTGTATAACTTGGTGTTACACTGTGTTTGACCCTTAATTAATTTTACGCCGGAATATCCCTTTAACTTGAATAACAGTGGCTGCATTGTCGAGCTGATGCTCTTTTACCTGCACACTTGCATGATATACTCTCAATAAAGGCTGTTCTCTGTAGCTTAGTTTGTTGAGTTACTCCAATGCATGTGTCAGATTAAACATTGCTTTCACGCTAAAGCCTGCAACCATGCACACAACCAAAATGGCAATAACCCTTGCTGTTGAGCCGAAGAACTGATTTTGCGACTTAATTTTCATTTGCGAGAACTTGACTTAAGTACTGTAAGTTTGTAGTCAGTAAGAAAAAAGGAAACAACACAAGTTTTAAAGACTAAGACAAACTCTGAGTTTAAGACAAACGGCCAGAATGAAGAAAATCCTAACCATCATGTCTTTTTACTCAGAGGATGTTAATTTGTAAAATTTTGAGAACATTTCTTCTGTATGTTCTCCTCTCAAAATCCAACTGTATTTCACTGCAACCATATAGGATGAATGTCTTACAATATATGGTTCCTGGTTTTTAAGTTGGTTAAAGCATTGTCTCCTGCATTAGTGTATTCATTACATATGCCAAACATCACATATGTCATCTGTATCCTGCAGCCTTGGCTGATGTGGATTCTTTTAGTGTAAGTGGAGCAGTAGCTGAGGGGGCTTTGTTGATGTTAACTTACCCCTCTGAGTTCATCTTCTTTGTGATGGCTTAGGACGCTCTCGGGCCAGAACGCTCTTTGTTTGACAGATGAGGTTCTGACTGGGCAGCCTAAACCAGCATGCACCTGCACTCCCATCGGCCCCTGGGGGGATGTCACATCTCCACTCTGTCAGTCAGCAGGCACCCACTTCTCTCTATCTTCCACATCAATCCGCTGGCCTGATTCAATCAGGTGTTCAAGATGCCTCAACCTAAAAAGAAATGTGGAAAGCCCTTTTAGCCCCTGAGACATTTTTAAGGTTATCAGGAAGCTTTTGTGTGCAGTGGTATGAAGGAAATCAAAGCCTTGTGTAGGGAGGATCACGTTTTAGTTGGCAAAGAGAGAAACTGACATTTCTAGTTATGATACTATTGATTCTGACATTTCACATGAAGATGTTCAACTTTTCATTTCACTTAATTTATTCCTTCTCTTGTCAATAGTTTGTTTGCCTTTTATCTTTTGAAACACAACCAATCCCTGACTGACTTGTTCATTTAGAAACAGACTCTTCTTACTTGTGTATGTGTGACTCACACTTTTTTCCTACTGTATCCCAGTGTGATAGACAAGAATCTCCTTTTATCCAGTGAAGGACAGGCTCTTGTAAAGATGTCAGTTTTTGATTGTAAGATTAAAATGTTTTAGCTGTTGCAAATTTCTAAAAATGAAGATTTTTGTTTTCAGAAAATAAAGAATAAGTCATCACAAAGTGGCTTATCCCATAGGATCCATGTTGAACGCGTTCCGTCAGTGTTGCGTCTTTGCTCCATCGGGCAGTGCTCTTTATCACTGATCGGATGCTTATCTGGAGCCCTGGTCAGCTGGGCTCAGTAAAACAAAATGTCCCAACAGGTTACTTTGCCTTTCTGTGGTCAATTTCCTGCTAATTTAAAAAAAAAAAAAAAATCTTTTTTAATGTGGTTTGACAAAATTATCGCTGAAACATGTCTGACATTTCTAGGAAAACAAAAAGACTTGCGTTTCACTTTACAGTACCACATTGTTTTTATTAAAATGTTAATTTTTCCTATCATTTGATTTAATGTGCCAATAAATACTTTAAGGTTACAAACACAACTGTTTACATTAGGCTCATCATTCATTTGGAGTGGTTGTTCAGCTTTTGTGGTATGCTTACAGTATCAATACCACATTTTATTTTCAAGCGAACAGCTGGGCTTGTTGCATGTTGCTTGTGTTTTGTCTTTTGATGCATTTTTTCTGTGGTATTTAAAATGCTCTCAAAGCTGTACCTTAAAGTTGACTATATAGCTCAGTGTTTAGACTTTATTTTGATTTGATTGGATTGTTTAACCAATTAAGGGGTGATACACTCCTCTAGTAGATAAAGCATTTAACTCAGTGATAAATGATTACTCAAATTGACTTACATTGTTGTCGATCTTTGATACAGATTGAAATGTTTGGCTCTGTTTCTCGACTTCTTTTTCATTAAATGAACAAGAGCAGTCTCAGAGTTATCTACTTTTTTGAAGAGGCGTATTATAAGTGAAGCTTGGTGCCACATTGTTTTGCTTAAGACAACCAAATTCTCAGACATCAGTTCGCAGTCATTTTACACAGTAGATTTCAATGATTATGAGTCAACTTTCTTTGATAAGATTTAAATATATTATTGCTAAGCTATTCAGAGTTGTGTCTTACTCACTTGTTTTTCTGTTTGAAGTCTGGCACACTCAGATCAATACCTTATGTAAGCTGTGTGGGAGACAGCTGAAGATGAGTTTGAGACTCACTGAGTGCTATCTTTACATTGTGTATGTTCTGCAAGAAGTCGCCTACCTCCATTCAAAGGGCATGCATTGAAGAGTGAGGCCCTGAGTAAGAGAGGCTTGTAAGAAGTGCTGCTCATAGATCCTGCTGTTGCTATGAGACTGTCGGAAATGCGTTTGAAGCACATCTCTGTGTTGGGGAAAGTTAAATTATTTTTAACAGCTAATACTAAAGCCGATGTGCTCCAAAATTATGCTAAGCCCTCTGCTTTTAGCATGCAACAGTCTGTCTTTGAAGGCAGTGAGAATAAGATGCCTCTCTGTAAAGGTGCATTGTATGTTGAGGGTATTCTCCACAGCTCCCTGTTATAGCTCTATCATGATGTTTTTACTCAGCAAGAACAACATGGAGGAAGGCCATGTATGTCTGTTTGTGTTAAGTTTTGTGGATGTTTGCAGGAAGTGGTTATGGTAATACACCCAGATATCCAGTAATGTGTTTGGAAAGGGCAAAAATGGGCTCACATGAAAATAAAAACAATAGAAACGCCTGTGTCTGCTTTAAGCTAAAGGACATAGTTAATCCTCTGCTTCTGTATGCCACTTTTCTTTTTATATCTGCTCAGCATTATGTCATTTTCTTGCAGAAAAAAAACTGCTGGCAGCTAGCAACATATCCAAGCTGTACTTGTCCTTACCTCATAATGATGCCATATCCTTCACATTGCATGGGGGGTTTCTAACCCTCAGTCCCTGTGGGGCCATAAAACAATCAGCATGTCTTCTAAGAGGAGAACAAGCTAAGCTGCATTGAAGTGAGCGTGAAAGTCGACTGAAAGAGTTCTCACAGCCGCCTTTGAAAGCTATATCTACTGCTCCACTTTTCCAGATTCATCCTAAGAGGCTTAGTTTATATTAACTGCAAAATCAGATTGCTCTCAAAATACCAGTTTCTAATTAAGCCGACCAACCAATTAAGTTGTGCACTTCTTCATTGTCCCCTTGATTAACCTCAGCAGAGGTTAGCTGAAGAGGCATCCACAGTCACAGGGTTGGTGTTGAGATTCACATGCTTCACTGGATGAAAGGGAACAGAGGGACTTAAATCATATCAGCCCACTGACAAGCACTCAAATTAATGGGTGCTGTGTTTGCCACATGGCCACCTCTTTAACCTCCAGGCAAAGACTGTGCAATTTATGTCAAAAGACGTAATGCATCTGTTGTCACACGACATCTAAGTGTGTTGCCAGTTTCTCTGCAAAGCTGACATAATAGTTACACAGAAGTTAAGGCATTTCATTCGCTTTTCCAACAGTTTCAGGATAACACAATTAAAATATATTCATGTGGCACACTTAATTAAGAATATTTCATTGGATTTTGTCTTTTTATTTGTCTGTAGAAAAAAGAATCTCAGTTTGGTGTTTTTTCATTTTTTTCTGGGGTTTTTCTTCAATTTCAATCACATGATGAAGAAAATAAGCGGCAGTGTTGATTGAAGAAAATGTTGGTTGAGAATGAAATACGTGTTTTTAGATGCCACTTAATGAACCTTTTTATAAATCCTGTGAAAAAAGCAAAAGTAATATGTTTTTGAAATCAACTAGAGATATCACAACAAAACATAATGCACCACCCTTGGGCACAGCATCTGGAAGGTCAGGATAGTTGATGTTGGATCAGCAGATGAAAAAGCAGAATATGATATTAAACTATTCAGTGCTTTATAAACCAGCAGTACTAATACTTTAAGAATACTTATCTAAACATCTCCAACCATTTTTAAAGTACTGAACCTGGACAAATGTGATCCACTCTCCTTGTCTTGTTGAGAACCCTGGCAACAGTGTTTTGGCTGACCTTTTAGAGATGCCTGTGGTGACACTGTAGGAGCAGCTGAGCAGTCTTTACATGGATGTTTACATTCACCGTAGGTCTAAGTCCATGTTCATACCAGGGCTTATGTTGGGGAGAGCATAAGTGCTGTGAAGATAACATCCTAGGCCTGAGAAGGGAGCCTGGGGGAATTTAAATGCCAGTTTGGGTGTGCTCAGATGAAAAGAAGTAACACAAAATAAATGTTACTGAAAATAGAAATGTATGGTTTTAATTGTGTGTGTATCGCTTTTGCACACAGATATTAGAGTGTTTATCTAAATTGGACATTTTGTTCAGCAGATTGCCTCTATGGTAACGTTTGTCCTATTTAAAACTTATTTAAAAAAATATTTCCAGTGTGTCGAATTTAGCTCAAACTGTTTCTGGGATTAGGCGATCTGGAGACTCCTCCTTGAAGACTTAAAAGTGACACCACACTAAATCTCTCTGATAGGCTGTCAGTCCACATCTCCAGCCAACAACTCAACAGCACTTTTTTACTTGTCCTTTTTCACTGTTTGGCTGCCAAGAAGAAGAACAGTGTTTCACAAACAGCAACCCTCGCCATTGCAGTTTGAGTCATGGCTGTCCTGCTGAATAATCAAAGAAAATAATAAAATTTTAGAGAAAAGTTTCTACCTTCTATTAACTCTGTAAGAAGAGAGTTTCTGCACCTTTAGTCCAACTCAGTTTCTACCAAATCAAACATACAAAGCATCAAACAGAAAAAAATAAAACAAAATTAACTGATGGTTGTTGTGAGCCTGCTCATTATCTTAAAACACAAGCGATGATAAACCTGGTTGGTTTTGTAATAAAATGTTTTCCCACACCTCTGCATCTTTTTTTGCACTTTCATGTATTATTTTGTGAAAAGAAAAGACCTTTTTTAAATTAAAATTTGTCAGGGCAAGAATTGCAAAATGGTCATGACAGTGAATTTGATGAGGTCTAATGGCGACAGAACAAGTACTTACTGCAAAGTCTTCTGGGAGTGTGTAAAGAAAGACAGCTCAGTATTGCAGGCACAGGAAAACGTCGTGGCATGGTTCTTTGTTTCTCACAGTAGGAGATCCAACTGAGTGTGACCAAAAAGAGAATTCTGTTATTTACCAGCCTGACAAAGTCCTTTGATCCCACAGTACTTTTCAGATACACAAGAAAAGGAAACACAAGTCTGTGATGGAAATAGACAAAGACTATACAAGGCAAGAGGCACCTTGAACTTAAGAAAGGTCGGCATATACAGGCCAACGTATGGTCAGCAACCCAGTCAGTTTTTGTGTTTAACTTCTCGGGAGAGTATTTTTTTCATTACATACCCAGATGTACATGAATACAGAAAACATGTGCTTGCTTTATGGTGAAAATGCAAACATAACTGGAAGATAATTGAGGATATATAAAGCTTTCAAATATTGAAAGACTAATATGAAAGTAGACAATAAAAAGATAAAGAAACTATTATCCCTGCTCTTTTCAGACATTGCATGCATTGAAATGTGAAATGTTTTCTTTATTTATGGTCACTGGAACAAAATTAAAGTTAAATACAGTGAAATTGTGCATCACAGGTGACATGACCTGATCACTTGTTCTTCCTGCCCAGCGGTTTATGAGTTACAAAAGTCAGTTTTGAAAAGAAAGGGAGAAAAATCAGAAGAGAATCAATGAGCTTTAATGATTTTTAGCTTCATGATTCAATGTTGATCAAAGTTAATCCCAATCAGTTTCCTGTCAACTAAAAATCCTTTAATTCATTGTGTGGTCATGTTTTGCAGATGGAGGTGTGTGTGTGTTTGTGTGTGTTGGTAATACAAACAGTGTGCCGTGGTTGATTACAGCCTGAAACAAAATGACATTCTCACCTTTTAATCGGTCTGTGCTGAACTGTTTCATTCTGCTAAATTGAGTGCATCATCCTCTCAACTATTCAGAGCGTCTTTCAAGGGCAGGAGCAGGAAGTTCGCTGACCAACCCTTGGCTAGATTTACCCTTGTCATAACGAGGTGGAAAGATATTCTATGAAATGCTTTTTTCTCTGAATCATTTATTGAGAAGATTGCATCTCCCTTGGGCCTCCATCAGAGTGGTGACATGTGGGGCAGTGGTGGGCGTTTCACGCCTGTGTGCACAGGCAGCTAGTCTTCAGGGCCAAACAGTTTTCTGCATTTTTATGGCTGGATTCACCACTGGAAAGTGATATTTCCTGGGGCTTTGGAGACAATGAAGAGGGCGAAGTGGCATTACAGATGGCCCCACTGCTCAGTATGAGATGTATGAAACAGCCAAAGAGTGACAGAGAAATGGAGGACTCAGGCAATCCTGCAGCTGATCTGTCAGTCACACAAGTTCTGTTACACCTCATAAAGATTTGAAATCATTACAGTAAATCCAGCAAGTCTGCTAGATGTTATGTGGGAGCTGTTGCTCTGTATTGTAGCAGCAGTTGTTTACTTCAGAAGACTAAAGAGGCTCTGATTTACAGTACAGTGAGTGCCTCTGGCATGTTGGAATCGGACACAGCAACAAAATATGTGGGAGGTCATCATGAGAACTGAAGAGACTCTGAGTGAAATCCAGGCATTACTACAGTGAGGAGGCAACTGAGTGCAGTTTACCAAGAAGTAGTATTTTATTATGAAGAAAATCTTTTAATCTTTTTTTCTTAATTGAGGAATCCAGAATTTTGGACAAGCCCTCCAACCAAACACAACAGACAATCTTATTTATTTTGTTTTCATTTTGTACTTTTTATGTTCAGCTGTCAGATGGATTGAATTGTCTTTGTCCAACCAAAGAACTCTGATGTGAATATATGTTGTGTACAGTGCAGACTATTCTGGGGCTGCTGGGTGATATGTTGACGCACAGAGAAGCATTTAGTTCTCTGACACAGATTTGCAACAAAAAACCCGTCCCTCTAATGTCTCTGGCTGAACAAGATAACTGAAGTTAATGTTTTATGTGCTTTTTCAGTTGTTGATTTGGATGTAGATTAACACCTCACGACATTAGCCACTTCTATTCATTTTTTTGTGTCATAAACCAGGAAGGATGTTACTGCACACTGAAAACATCCCATCAGCCTGCGGTACATTTATTATTTGTTGCTACCAAAGACTAAGACTTCATCTTTCATCTTTTAATAGTTATTTTTGGTTGACTGACAACGACTTCCTTCGTGAGTCCACACTGCGAAGTCATCAGCTGTGCCAGAAAAACCAAGCTCCTTCCCACCCACTCACTACAGAAAAGCTTGAATCCACTCAAAGGGATTCTGCTGCCTTCACTTCTTCTTGGTCTCATTAATGTTTTACCTCAAAAGCATCAATATAATCTAGTGCCTCTAACAGCATAAGGGCAGTTGACTACATTTACTTTATCAAATAATAGGTCGATGTATTTTTCAGGCTTCTGTCTTTTCATTTGCTGTAGATAAATATATTTATTGCAGTTGAAGGGGGAGAGCTGGATAACCTGTCTACATTAGACACTTTGCTGTGATACACAAACATCTTTCACTCCACAGCCTTTTGCACGGCCTTCTCTGAGGTGATAATTACTCAGCGGTGTTCAAAAGCACTTAATTATGCAAAGGGGAAAATCGTCTCTCACTGTGCGCTGACCGCACACTGTTTGAATCATCTTTGCTCTGCAGATAAACCAGAGACAACAAGGACAACAGAAACAAAGAGATCTTGCCTCATTAGTCAAACTTTTACGTTTTATTGGTTTGAAAGAATTAAAGTAAAAATAAGAAAAAAAATATATGTGCAATATAAAAAGATACATAAAGTGTCTCAAAGTATAAGAGGACATTTGTTTTAGTCCTTCTTGGGTCAACAGAGTTGAGCTTAAGAGCGTAGATGTTTTCTATAGAGCTCAGACTTTAGCTTCTTTCTTAAAGGGAGAAATTCTGATAGAGTTTGGTATTCATTCTACTACCAAGGGACAACAGAGGGGAAGAGTCTGGCTTGTGACTTAAAGTCCAACTCCAATCGTTTTTTGTTTTTTTTCAGTGGTCTTTAAATTGTTATTATAAGGTTTTTAGACAAAATCGCGTTACATGTGTCATTTTTAAGCGCTTTTCTTCTGCAGAGCTCCAGTAGATCATTAGCAATTTGCCTCTGAGTCACGGGCTGCTCTGCACACTCCTCTTCATGCTAGCTTGTAGCCTAACATTCCAGTGCAGTAGAAGTGGCAGGGTACACAGGAGCTATTCAGCTCTCGGACACAAATGTCTTTGGGGGCATGGTGAAAGCTAATGTCATAATTAGCTTCCTTACAAGTGTTGCAATCTGCCTTGCACACACTTGTTCCGCAATCGTCCTCTCTATTTCTTGGAGTCTGGCCTGCAGAGCGGGGCTCCGGAGGCGGAGCTTGCAGTTGTGATGTAGGAAATCTCACTGTGTCTGAGCCTGCTGTTTGGGTCTGTGAGAGGTTCACAGCATTTTGAAAGCAGAAATACTCAGAAATGCAATTTTGCGCTTACTTTTCTCATAAAATGTCCTGTAGCATCAGAAAAATACCATATAAAAATGTAGACAACAAGAAAAACAGGATTTTCATCGGAGTGGGTCTTTAAGAAGCACCCTGATATGACCGGGAGCACCAGGTACCTTTCACTGGCAGGGACTGTATCCAGTTTTGTTTGCAGTACCAGGAGATGTGTTGTGTGCTCTGTCAGGTTGGGTGTGATCCTCCTGATGTCTAATGGCATGATTTGATACATCGGGATATGAAATAAATTGCATAAGACTCAAATTGTTACACTTTATTCTCCATGTAGGCAAATTTATCTCTTAAATGTCTTCACAGATCAAAAATGTAAAAAATGCTCTGGTACAAATACCATTTTCTGAAAATTTTGCCGAAATATCTCATCTTTTTTTTATTGCTGTTAGTATAAAATATGAAATGAAAAATTTAGTTGCCATCTCAACTCTAATATATCTTTTGAAGCCTTTCATTTTGCACCCAAGCCTTGTCAATGCGCCTGTCATCACCTCTTTGGTCTCTTCTTGTTCAGGGCTCTCAGACGATTGAATGTTTGAGACACGGAAGCATCAGACTTAAGTTAATGTGACAAGGAGGAGGTGAATTCAAGTGTCAAAGCCCTCTTTAAAGGGAGCTCAAAGCTACTTCACAGCAACCCAGCTGATTCAGACGTACAAAACTAGTCTTCACAGGTGTCTGCAAACAAGACAAAGTTATTATTCTGTATTTTTTAAGAAAAGTGCATAAAGTTTTAGGAATAGTTATTACTTAATATTGTGATGTAGTGTTCAAGATGTTGAAAAGTGAATCCCCACTGACGTCTTCTCTTGTGACTTCACATTCAATCAACCTACCCTACAAAAATAGCAGAGACTAAGGGTGGGAAATCTCCCTTTTTGCTGATAATAGAAGAAGTCAGAGAATTCAGGAGAGACGCCAGTTTGACAATAAAAAGATATCTGAGTGAATTATCTTGTTCTCAAAAGGCTTTCTTCTTTTTGCCCTCTGTCTTATCTAGTTTCGCTTTTCATTTGAGATCTGACAGACGCAGTTTAATGAAGGAGGCCCAAATGCTTTCCGGTTGTTTTGTTATTGTCAACAGACTCTTTAAAAAGGTTCAAGAAGGACAACTTTGCAAGCTTACTGTGAAAAATGATAAAAGCAGAGAAACCTGAAGTGTGTTTTGAAAGCTAAGTCGGTGGACGTTCAGATGAATTGCGCTGATGCAGGAGGGCAATAAACGTTCATCAGGGTACAGTCAGAGGGAGAACTTTGTGATGGAACCAGCAAGTGTTCGCCCTTGCAGAAAAGGGTTTAGCATTATCATGCCAAACAGAAGGTGCCGTTGTTGTGGAACAATTAGGCCCGATGGGTGTCCATGCATATTTTAGAGTCGGCAAGCTGGAGGGACAGAGCCAGTGATGGAGACTGCCTGGTAAGCTCCAGCTGCCTCCTCCTGACAGGGGGGTTAGCTTTGGCAAAGGGGATGAAGCTGGAGCTCGGGGAAATGTTCGCCTCATTGTTAAGAAAAAAACAAGCCCAGGGCTGAGACACTGGGATTTATCACTGGGGACTATTCAGCAGCTTTTGACAGGAACTTTTAACAATGAATCTGCTTGGCATAGTTTTTTTTTGGGGGGGGCTGATATTCTTAAATGCCTTTTATTGAATTGATTTAAAAAAAAAAAAAAAACACTCAAGGCTCAGTTGCATTAACAGCTGCTCCGCCAAGAAATTCAATTATGCTGTGCTTACGGTTATTGATACTCAACACATTAGTCAGTGCATGTGTGAATAAGTCTTCACATCCAGTGTCGGGATTATACATGTAAGCCAAAACTAGGTTCAGTTATGATAATACTGCATGTTGTATGACTGCCCTCTCTGTATCTTATGTGGAGGCTGAAAGTGCACGGGAGTAAATGTCAGGTCTGAGGAGTACATATAGTCTGAATTTGAGACACTGAGTAAGTGCCTGACAGTCTTTGGCTGCACCGAGGGAGGCTGAACTGCTACATTACCACCAGAGCTGTGCAGCTGCCAAAAAATGAAGCATTGTTTGTATGCTAATCCCAACCATGACACCAATTGTGTTGCTCTTTTTGCTGTAGGGGTATTTGTCACACTTTTTAGCAAGAAAACATTACCGCTGTGCAAGTATAGGGAACAACTCCAACATCGTAAACACAGTCGTCACAGGTGCAGATGGTAGACATAATAACTCGAAAACGGTCTAGCTGGGTTACATCTCGTCTCACCCATGACTCTGCATAGCGGTCTGCAGGGGGTTAACTTTGAAACTGTTCCCAGCAAGCTCAGCTGTGAGTGCATCAGAGAGATGTGACAGAAAAGCTACTGTAGCCAGACTGGCAGTGAAATCCGTCACTGGTGGGCTGATGGAGTAATGACTCAAAAATCATCAGTGGGAAACATATTCATTTCCTCCTGTCTGCAGGAAAGTGCAAATTCTGCCAGGCATGTGTTTCAAGCTCTCATAAATGGCATGTCAGTCAGTCAGTCAGTCAGTCAGTCAGTCAGTCAGTCAGTCAATCCACTGCTCCAGACTGACCAAGGATATGCCCAGCAATGCAGAAACAGAGAACTCATGCCGCCCTTGGGATAGTTTACGATTCCTTTAGTTCTCTTTTAGTGCAACCAGCAGGGTAAAATTTTAATTTGTGTAATATTCTGGGAGTACTACAAATACTTGTAAAGCTATTTTTGACAGGATGTTCTGTTTAGTACTAATCAGCATTGTTTGCAGGTCATGAATGAATACAAATTCAGCTTATATAAGGTTACATTTTGGTTGAGGTTCGTTTATGGATCCTCAGACCGCTGTGTGTCGCTATTCTGTGGTCTTTACTAAAGTTGGTATAACTAGAGAAGCAAGCAGTCAGCAACATTCATCTTTTGAGGAGGTGTCTAACTCGGTGTAACGGTGTGTTTGACCCTAAATTCATTTTACGCCGGATACCTCTAAGGCTTTGAGCTAGCATGTAACTCAGATGCATCCAGACTGACCTTTTTTGGGGGGGATCCCAGTTTGAAAAGTTTGGGAACCCCTCATGTAAATAAATCTGATTTGGTAGCTTAAAAGTGCATTTCAAGCTGGTCTAAGACAGGTTTCCACTTTAGAAATTGAAATGCAGAACAATTCGGGGGAACATTTATCAAGCTAATGTTACAAATGTTTTGTGAATAAATGATAAAAGAGTTTCCCCAGGATTTGTCTGAGTATAGCTAAAGCAGTGGAACATATTAGCATACAGGCCCCCTGATACACGTTTCAGACAGCTGATGAACACACTGTTGTCTTCAGATATGTAACACTTCCAGCTGAACGGAGCATGTGTCAGACAGTTGTTTCTTTTATGGAATCATCAGACGGTTAATTAACACATTTAATTGGACCATTTTTCTCAAATAATTACTCAACATCCCATTTCTCTACGCATTAACAGACAAACATTATTTTGGTATTATGACATGAAATGTAAACCTCATTCTGATAGATAAGCGACTAAGCAGTCCTAGGTGACAGGCAGGATTCAACATCAGGATATCATTTAGTCTCTTGTTGCATACTGAGTTCAATTTTGGCCATATTTCAGTGATCATTGTATGTTTGCAGTGTGAAGCATGTGGGTCACAATTTGACATATCAGATATTTGAAGGGGAACTCCAAGGACAACTCTTCTTTTAGCTGGTACAACATTATATTCTTTTTTTAGAATCTGTCAACTCACTTTTCTCCTATTCAGATTGTTCTATCCCTGCGAAGCTTCCAAAGCAATTATCCATATCGCCATATCCACAGCTCTATTCTGCTCCCATTATTCCTTTGATTCCTTACATTTCTCGGGCTAATCCTTTAATGTTCCCATCATGCTTTGATGGCCCACTTCTCGCCTGGTGAGATGGCACTTCAGACTGTCTCCTTGGTTCTCAGGACTGTCTAGTAAAGGGTCATCAAAAGGGCATCATGAGTGCAGTTACACAACTCAATAATAAAAAAATAAAAAACAGAAAACCCTGATGTTTTCTGGCTAAGATGCCCATGTCTCAAAGGTTAATATGGTAATATCTTTAAGTATGCGATGTATTGACTTTACACTTTCTAATTTATTCTTCCCTGAGGCGTCACTCTGTCACAGAGACGTCTGTGTTGACATTGGCCTCTTGCTTTTACACCCCTATTTCATGATTGATGATTTTAATCATTAATGATGAAGCGTTTTAATCACTCTTAAGATATTCTGTCACTATCCATTACTTGTTCTGTGTCCTCCTCAACTGCTAAAGCTTTCATTTACTTTAACAACCCTGTTAAAATACACCCTTTGGGCCACAGAGGTCAAAACATGCGCTGATAGATTTGTGTTACACCTCAGGGAGAAATGCCACTTTCTTTGATTGCATTTTTGCACTCAACATGTCATATATATATGCTGGTGTGTATCCGTCTTTTGCTGCTGATTGCACCATAACATGTCTTGTTTAATTTATTTCTATTATATTTCTTAGAACCAATGGTAAGACATTTTAGTCAATGCAAAAAGAGCCTTGACTTGATAGTGTTTTGTGTTATGGGCTGAATTTAGCTTCACTGTAAGTGGTTGTAGGTTGGCCTGTGTGTGCTCTTGGTCCCAGCTGCAGTGGCCGGATCATGACTTAAACTGCATGCTGCTTCAGTCAAGAGTCTGAGTCGCTCTGCCTTATTAACCAGTAGAATCACTCAGCCTCCTGGGACAATAGAAAGCTATCTGCTTATGAAACCAAAGAAATCACCTCCGGGCTTTTCTGTGTACCTTTAGCCTTAGACACACTGCTGCTCACAAACACAGATGCAGTTGGCATCATAGTTCCCTATCCTCCCACTATAAAGCGTTTCAATCTTTTATTAATGGTTTGTGCTCCTGGGCTGACATGGAGACCATTTTAATGATTAATCCGAAAGGAAAGTGTCCATTGAACACAGATCCTGAGGGAGAAGCACAACCACTGTGTTGATCCTTGTAATAGTTTAATGAGCCAATCAAACATTTCTTTTATATTCAGACTGTCTGTGCCAAAAGCTCACAGGACAGACATTAAAAACAATACAAAATAATTCATCAAAATTTGATCAGAGTGACTGATGCTCTTTGCTGTTTTTAAACCAAACTGTTTTGTTTGAGCGGGACAACATAAAAATAAATAATCGTGCAAAAGTGCTATCATGGTTCAGCTGTTTCTGGATGTGTTTCTTCTCAATAAGTGTGCAGTAGTAGTAAAAATATGTGACGCTCATTTCAGGGACTTCCAGTGTTGTTGATTTGGGCACCCCTTGTGGACAAAGTGATAGCTCTTATATCTCTTTTTATTTCAAATGCAATGTCCTAAAACCATTTTAAATACACAGACTTTTTCTACATCTACTTAAGGTCGTGATTGAGATGCCAAGAGAAAAATGTTTATGATTGTTGATAACTAGAAATTTCAGAAAATCCTGCTCCGTTCGCTTCATTTTTAACATAAAAAGTGAGGTTATAATGCAGTTGTGCTTGGTCGGGGCAAAGACAGAGATGGGGGGCACTGGGGTAGCAGAAAGTGGGTGGGGGGGTTGGTTGGGAGTGGTGATGAATACTAACAGCCCAGCACTTATCTCACCACAAAGGAGCAGATGTCTGTCCTGACTAAGCGTGCCCTCTCCAGACAGGACTGTTTCTTTGGTGGCTGTCTTTGTCTTTCCCAATGACTCCTTCATGCAGTATTTTTGACATTGACGATGTATACACCAGGGGAAGATGTTGGCTTTTTCCAGGACAAAAATTGCACATGAGGTTTTAAATACACAGAATAGTGTTTGAAACCAGCTGAAATTGGGTCAATATAGAACTACAACATCTAATCAAAACAGTTGTCTTCAAATTACTAAACACAAACTGATGCATTTCTTTTTATTTTAGTTTCAGTTTTTCAGTCATGCATTTGTAATCCTTTGAAAAATGCCTCTATCTGCCCAAGCATAAAAAAGATCCTTCCCTCCTCATTTTCTTCACTTTATTGTGGCCCATAAGTGAGCAGGGATGTCACATCCTGTAGTAATGTTCCAGGGAGAGAATAATCCCAAAGTGACAGTGGCGAGATCCATGGTGCCCATCGGCCTAGCTTAAGAAAGGCCACTTACCTCCAGGTCTGAGCTCCTATCAACATTTGTTCTTGGAGTCACGGCAGTTAAAGGACAAACTCGACATTGACAGGCCTCAGTCCTAATGAAGAGGCTGTTATCTACAGCCTGAGTGCTGATACGGAGGAGAGCACTACCAGTGACACTCCTGTTTCCTTTCACAGACTTAACTAGTGGGTGTAGGGGCACACGGTCCAACCTTGATCCAAGCTGACCTCTTCAGACTATGTTATGAGAGCTAAGACCAGAGTGCCCATCACAGCTTGTCACAGTCTGACAGATCTAACGAGTGAAACTGACATACACTGTGAAATCCAGAAAATAAACTGCAGCGGTATATACAACATTGTCAACTTTAGGGAAGATGAAAAGGGAAAAGGTTTCACTGAGTTCCAGGACCTCTATTGTGTTCAGCAATGTGCAGTTTCAATGCAGATGTGTAGCTTTTACTAGCACCAGCTGTTATTGCTGCCCTGCCAGGTACCTATACAATAGCAACAAGATGGTTTTGGTGGCTGTGAGATATGGACACACTGACTGTGACCAATTTACTGAGACTTTTTTTAGATGATGAATTAGGTATAAAAGGGGCATTTAAGCTGCAGGTTTTATGGTACATGAGTACTTCTGCTGTATCTTTAACTGAACCTGATAAGTATACAGGTCAAACAGTTTTCTGACTGTTTTACACCCAAGCAAGAATGGAATTTTTAAGACTGATGCCGATGATTAGGATTTTAGAAAAGTTCATCTATTGCCTCTGTTGCTGAAGATCTAGGAAATGTTTGACTTGGAAATAAGAACTGAACTTTTTCATTCTGATCAGTTAAACTGTTGAGTAAAATCAAGCTTCATTTTTAAGAATAAATAACTTGATTATTGTATATTTAAATTATTCCACTATTCATTCCACTATTCCACTTGGTGTGTGCAGGAATAACAGTCCATGTGGAGAGAAAAAGCAGGTGTAACACATACTGCCATAATGACGTCTAACTTTCACTGACAATTGGTAAACTGACAATGCTTTATTTATCTCCATAAACAGATTTCTTTTTGCAGCTGCAGCGAACAGTTTGTTACCAGTCATTTCTTGAATCCAAAGTTGGGTTGCACAAATCAATCAAAATATTTTTTTCTTCTCCTTAAAACGTTTGCATTTTTACTGTTATAAAAAATCTATCTTGGCATACTCAAGAGCCTTGAAGTGTAGGTTTCTTGTTTTACTGCTGATTTCAGATTAAACCAAGAGAACTGATTTTTATGAACAAAGGGATAATACAACAGGAATTCATGACCACTGTGACACATTACTGCATCTACAGCTGAAAAAAAGATGTCTTTTTACCCAGCCACAGATTTATATCTAACTTTTACAAAGTTTTTATGTCTTATGCGCTCTAGATAATTCACTTTCATTGGTTTTGACAACTTCCTCCAAATACCCATGAACAGTGTGACTCATCATGGGTGTTTGTGTCTGTGCTGACTGACCACTCCACCAAAATATCCCTCATTCAGACAACTCCCTGCTAAAGCGCTCACGGCATGAACGGATGGGAGACATAACAGCACTGCAGTGGCTCTAGGTTTAATGTTTGCTGTCTTTCTGGTATACAGATCCAGCACACCAGCCTTTTAAATCTTCAGTTTACTTGTAATATGTTTTCATGCAACATTTGGTTTTAAAAGTGTCCAAAATACTAAAATGGTTTTACCACGCACAGTTTGAAGCCCGTACCCCACTTTCATTCATGTGCAGCGCTCCACCTGCATCATCACTAATGTTCTTATGCAGATTATATCTGCGTCTGTCCTGGGTTTCCCTAAACTCTTCCAGAGGGGAAAGCAATAAATTATGCTAAAAAGCAGCGCTAAATACGCTCCTGTCCTGTCATCTTTTGAGAGGTGTTTTCTATGCTTTGGGGTGTTTCAAACAGTATTATGTGCTTCTTTTGGCTCCCTACAAGAAAATTAGTTCCAGTCTGATCCAAATGTTCTGCTTTGTGCCTGGATGCTCAGCAGCGTTATGCAGATATGATGTTGTGAGTAGAGGGGTGGGTTTATGTATGGGGCTCAATGAAAGACGCCCGGGCTTCTCTATGCACTGCAGTACTCAAGTGTTCCTCCAAGGAAAGCTCCATCATGAGGTTCAGAATGCAGGGTATTAGCAAAACCCCAGTGAGATCTCAGCATATTTAATCCATCCTCTCTTTAAGCTCCTCTTCTAGCTTGTGGACGGGGTTTATTCCTGACACTTTAGACGGCTCCAGCTGTGTATTAATATTGAATGAAACTGAGATATCTCTGACAGGGTTTAAAAAAATCTGAAACATACTCTGCTAGCAGGAACTATTCCCATCTCTGAATTCAGGACAGTGTCCTTTCTTTGTTGAATCTTTTTCTGAAACCTTTTTGAATGTGTTTTTGACTTGTTGTGCCGGGCATGTTGGCTGAATTTTTCTTTTACTCTTTTTTATTACAGAGGGATGCAAAGGGACAGTATCTGTTTGACCTCATCTGCCACCACCTCAACTTGCTGGAGAAAGACTATTTTGGCATCAGATATGTTGATCCTGACAAGCAGCGGGTAAGTGTTCACATGTGGGAGAGGGCAGGACTGGGGCTCTTGTGTTAAAAGTTAAAGTTTTTTTTTATTAAATTCTATTTTAGTTTGGGTAGCGAGAGGTCATGTCATGCAGCATATAAGGACCAAGATGGAGCAAACTTAGTTGCTACTGTAAGGATTCATTCCTAGTGTGTACATGCAGAAACACAAACATATTTATGAAGTCTGTATTTTAGTGAACCACGTCGTTTTCAAAGGTGAGAGAAGTATTTCCTGAAATGTTCGATATTTCCTTCTATAGCTGGAGGACCTGCGTGGATCTTGTCCATACAAAAGCATAAACAGAAACAGATGGCTTTACTTCAAAGACTAAACAGATTTGATTGAGTCGTTGAATGAAGAGCAGAAAACTATTTCTATTTGTGGCTACCTTTCTGACTGTTGTTTATCTACCAGGCTGTTCTGCAGGGAGGCATGTTGTAGCACTGCTTTGATTCATGAAGTATTCACATGTTCACAGATCATGTTGGTGTCCTGCAGATAAGAGCTAAGACCTGCTGATGCTGCATTTTCTATGCTGTCGCTCAGGACTATTCTGGTGGTTGTTACCGTGGGTCGGGTTGGATTGTTGGGAGAAAGGGAGAAAGATGAAAAGAGAGAAAATACATCCACTGGGAATGAGGAATCTGAATCTGGCTGTTGATTCTTGGTGTCTTCATATCTATCTCCACCAGCAGGAGCTCACTGATCAGATCTATGACCAGAAAACCGCCTTACGGGAAACTATCAGTAACAACTGAATGTCACAGCAGCAGTATGGACAGTGTCATCTGAGTGAATGCAGCTTACTGTAAATAGATATTAATGCGAATTGTCTGTTTCCTCTTTCTAATGCAGCACTGGTTGGAATTCACAAAATCAATTGCAAAGCAAATGAAATGTAAGTACATTGATTTTCTGATTTTTCACCATCAGGTCTGCTCTTAAGTTCATGAGTAATCTGAAATGCATCTTTTCAACTAAATCTTACATTACTGACATAGAATTAACATGAAGACGTATGGCTGATGAACAGTGTCAGGCATTTATACAGTGTTAACACCAACAGTGTTTTCTTGTCATTGTCTCAGAGCACCAGTAGTTGAATGTGAACCATTTTTATAACAAACATTAAGAACTTATAGGAACTTTTAATACCAGTAAACTCTGCTTTGTCTTTTGTTTATATGACACATTTGTGGCAGGTATTGTTCTTTTACTCCTTTCATCACGCAGAAGACAATTTTACCAGAAAACTGAGATAAACTTGTTGATAATGAGGCCTTGTTATGGGTCGACTGACTTTCCCCACAGTATATGAGGAAACTCTGATTATCTCCTCTTGGCCCAAGTACTTTGTAATTGCTGTTTACAAATACTGCAAAGATAGAGGTAAAAATCATCACCTAATATATGACATAATAAAACACTACAGGAGCCAGTTATGCATCTTTGATTATTAATCTACTGTTTTACCTTTCAATTTAAAGGTTTAATTTAATTAATTTAATCATAATTTTAATTAAATTAGATTTAATTCAATTTAAAATGGAGTCTGTGATAATTTTCTACTATTAAGTATCAAGTAAATGATCTAAATGTAATATGAGCAATGCTGTGAATGTTCAAAATTTGTGTTTGTTTGTCCTAATTATTGTAAAAAAATGTGTACTGTTAACCAGTAAACTTTGGGACTTTTAAAATTAAGACGACACAATAAAGTATAGTTATTTATCTGTGATTATTAACACAAAGCAGCTCATGGTAGTTTACAGTGGTTGTTTGTAAAGAACAGAAAAATGCTTTTGTTTTATTGAAGTAATAGATATACAAAGACATTAAATCTTCTAATTCTTTGGGATAAATCAATCAGTTCACAAATCTGAACTCAGCTCTGCCGTCTTCTTCGATCTTCTGTTGTTTATTTAAGCTCCCATAATGCAAAGCTACAGACCATTTAACTGTTTTGTGTTTATTTCCTGCAGCTCAGCCTCCATTCACCATGTGTCTAAGAGTCAAGTTTTACCCTCCAGAGCCTGCTGTTCTCAAGGAGGAAATCACACGGTATGACCCTTCGATAAACGGATAAACACGCTCCATTTCCCTCTCCTAAAAAGCTACGACTTACTTTTTTGCCACTTTAAAAACAAAGAAACCTCCATCATCATGCTATCGACCTTTGAGGCACCTCTGCACCTTGTTTATATTATTATTTTTCAATATCAGCCTCTGGTTCACACAGTGACAGCGCTCCAGCGTTTTTAGACAGAGCATACATGTCTCTTTGTGAAACATTATTTATGAGCCTCCATAATTAAAATGTCTGAGTACTGTCTAAAGCATTATAATAAATATTACACACGGCACAGTTTGCAGAAGAAGTTGTGGAGCAGGGAAAGGTGTAGAAGCCTGCCTAAAGCAAGATAACACACTAAAGAGAATATAGTTATTCTTCCTAAATTGGACCTTGCAATAACACTTAAAGCAAATAGTGAAATAAATATTTCACATTATTTTGCAGGAAAGGGAAAGTGTCCAGCTCAATCCAAGAGTAAGCAAAGCTGAGTTTGTGCTGCAGCTTCTGCACAAGCTCATGCACAGTTCCCTCATAGATTTATCGCTCACTACAGTTAGTGGAGGCTATCCTTTCTTTCTCTCTCCTCGAGGTGTAATGAGATCAGATGTGCGCCACATGTACTGCTGTTAGTGTGTACGTAGAATAAATGTAAAGCAGAGAGAGAAGATGGGGGGCAAAGGGCTCTGATTGAGAGTAGAGAGGAAAAGAGGGCAGATAAAGGCGGGGGTGTGAGGGGTGAGGAGGGGAGAGAGAGTGATACATGATGATGAGATTGGAGAGGGCAGACCACAGGAGGAAGGAGGGGGGTAGGGTAGAGAGAGGGCAAATAATCAATCACACCCACAAGGCTCCCTCTTGCCATACTGTGTAGAACATCAATGCCAAAGGAAAAAGGGTAGACACCAAAAACAGAGTGATTTTATGCTAAATTTATTGACTCTTAACATTAGACGATTTAAATTAAGATACCGCCTTCTTACCAAACACTGATGCGGGGACTTGCCTGGTAGATGTTTTACTGTATAACCACTTGAAGCTGCCATGATATTGATTAAACATAGCATAACATAATAACAATGAAATTGAAGCGGTTTGGATTTTTTGTCAGCTCTCTCCCTGTGCATTTGCCTCTAGTGGTCATCAAAGGAAGTTCCGGTTTTGCCACTTCAGTGTTGGCTTCATTATTTAACTTCTGAGGTCGCTGCTTGAGCTAGACCTGTCTTTCAAAAATGATAACTATCATAATAAAAAGCATGTATTTTTCATTTATTTACTTAATTTAATCTTTATTTTTAATGACAAAGTTAAGCTTTTTGGGTTTAGCAAACAGTTCAGTACAAAAAAATCACACAAGTGAAACAAATTAACATTAACGAGATTATATTTCATCCTGTATGTATGGTATTAAATTATAGCCACTAAGCAGTTGTTTATTCTGAATATATTAATCAAATGATTGCTCCTGAATATATAGTTAAACTTGATTCAGACTGTGCCGCTTTTCCACACATCCCTCCATACAGGAAGTGTTTGGAGCGTGTGAAGGAATGGCCTAGATAGAGGAAAGCAAGTCTGCTTCACTGTTTGAAGAAAAAGAAACAGTGAGATAAAAATATATTTTAAAAATTGGTCATAACTACAACAACGATCATCATAATTGCTACAGCCATGGTCATTTAGATTCTTACTGTTGGTTATTATCTCAGAGAGATATCAGGCTTTAGGAACTGATTGGTTGAAGGATACTGAAACTAGGCTGGAGGCTTTAAGAGAAAAAGAGTGTCAGTAGCAGCTTTTCCCTCGGGGTCTTCTCATCCTCCTTTCCCCCAAACAAAACCCTCATTTCAGTGAAATCAAAAAGAAATATTCAAAGCACCCATAGCGAGCGAGAACTGCACAGACTTTGAGGTTTATCAGGTTTGTTGTTTTACTTCTACTTATTTTATTCCTTCTGTGTTTTTACTGAAAAATGGTTTGGGGTACTTATCAATATCATCAGTATTCCAATGAGCAGGCCTGTCATACTGTTTGTGATTTTTGCCCTTTCCTTCGCAGATATCTTGTCTTCCTGCAAATCAAGAGAGACCTCTACCACGGTCGGCTACTGTGCAAAACCTCGGATGCGGCCATGCTGGCAGCCCACATCCTTCAAGGTAATGGGAGGTGACAGATGGAAATGACTTACACCACTCTGCTTCACTCTCTGTTCATGACCTCTGTTTAACTATGTCCTGTGGTGCTGCAATCTGAAAAATACTGCCAGCAAAGAAAACAGATTTATTAATAATGAATTAGACTGAATTATAAGTGAAAATTGAAGGTCTAATTATTTGTATTTTTTCTCTTTATTCATGCATGAGATTGTTAAAGACGAAGATGATGTGATTTTTCATACTGATATTAAAGTTGTGCAAAGAAGACAGTTTCTCTCTATGATAATTACATAAGCTCTCTGCACACTCCTTCAGCTAATGCTACTTTATAAAGTATTCAGTTGTGGTTATCTGCCATCTTATCATTTTTTCACCATACAAACACAAACAAACGTAGACACGCAGACGAAAACAAACACAACAACACGTAATATGCTGGCACAGCTAGCATCACAGATAGCTCTGTGTTTGAGGAGAAGCAGGTCCTCAAGAGGAGGAGCTGATAAATTAAAGATGAGCTGCATGGTCAGCTCCTCCTCGCAGATAGAAATCAGTATCAGGGTCATCTGAGGAAGTGCAGTGTGGCATGAAGGAACAGAAATAATCCAGGATTCCTCTGCTAGTCTACATGAGTGAAAGCACCACTCTGTTGAAATCATTTGATGACATTTACTTTTTTTTAACATACACATTCTTTTCTGACACCCCCCTCCCCAGCTGAGATTGGTGATTATGACCCTGGAAAGCATCCTGAAGGTTACAGCTCCAAATTCCAGTTCTTCCCCAAACATTCAGAGAAGCTGGAGCGCCGGATCGCAGACTTGCACAAGACAGAGCTGATGTAAGAGTGAAAAAATCACACTGACCAGTATCAGTCTTTCTTCCTCTCATATGCCTGTAGATCCTGCACTCACGCGTGCTGAACGAACACCAGACTCTCTAGAACTTTTACTGTATGTAGTTGACTGTAGTAAAAGTACAATCGCTTTTCTGTATTGTTATAGCAAGGGAAATAAACCCCCTTTATAAGCAGATAACAGAGAAAAAGCATTCAGTCTGCTCTTATAACAGTTATTAGCTGTATGAGTTTAGTAGTGACCAATTCAGCTGGACAAGAAGAAGATTATAAGCTAATTATGGCAGCAAGGAAATAGCAGATCCATACACACACATGTACATACACACATATAGACACTCTTATGGACAGACAGAGAAATATTAAACACCCAAATCACTGATGAAGGTCTTCAGGATCACAAAAATTCCACTAAAATAAGATCTAAAGTCTTAATTATGTAAATTCAAGAATCAGATGGTTGATGAAAATCGCTTAAACAAATAAAGTTGAAACCAAAGAAAATAAAAAAGTATTTTCAATGATACACAAGGAGTCAAAAAAGAGATAGAAGTCTAATTTCAAAACTATTGGAGCAGTTTTAGAAAAAGTATGGAACTCTGCTGCCCACTAGTGGCGTCTTTTTCTCTCACCATTAAGTAATCCCTGCACTTTGCCATAATGATTTATGAATTGTCAAACCTAATGTAACAGAGTTTAAGATAAATAAACAATAACCACGATTCTGCATATTTTGCACCATTTCATCTTCTACAAACTTGTTTTACTTTAACTTTTTCTCTATAAATTAAAGTGCTTTTGTCAGCAGAATTGACTGGCCTTTTAAGACTTTGTCGTGCATTGTTTATGTTTGTCGTGGACTGACACAGATGCTCTGTGTGTTATTACCTCCCCTCAGTGGACAGACACCTGAAACATCAGAGCGAAATTTCCTCCAGAAAGCCCAGATGCTGGAGACATATGGCGTTGATCCACATCCGTGCAAGGTTTTTCCTCTGGACTATTTTCAAGTGCAAAAAAGAAAAGTTCTGTCAAACTTGGACGCTGAAATATTGTGATTTGTTTTACTGTACATGCTACAACACATGTCTGGTTTTTGGCCCATTTATATGTGCGTTTAAGTTCTCTTCTCTACATTCTTCTAGGATGTGTCTGGGAACCCAGCCTTCCTCGCCTTCACGCCATTTGGTTTTGTGGTGCTTCAGGGAAACAAGAGAGTTCATTTTCTCAATTGGTGAGCCAAATGTGCAAATTTATTGCATGTGTTCACTGGAAGCGAAAAAGATCAAGAGTGCGCTGCAGGCTTTGAATTTACCTCATTTGGCTCCTTACATGCACACCGTTCCACTTGAAACAGCATGCAGAGTACAGCTGGTTGTACAGTCACAGTCAACAAAGCTCATCCATCTGCTTCTACCTGTGCGAGGAGCCGGCAGCTAGCATGAGCACAGATGGCTAATTATACCAGCTAGATTTCAAATAAGGTCAATAGCTTGATTCGTATAGGCTGTACATGTATTAGGCGCCCACACATTTTTAATTCAGGAGGATGCTTGAGTAACGGCTTGAAAATGCGAACATGATGTGTTTGTATTTATCATGCGTTGTTTGTTTGTAATTGAGGCCCCTGTATCGTTTACAGTATTTACTCAGCCTTCAGCGGTGCTCAGGTTCACCTCCATTCTCCATCCCCAGTCCGCAGGGAATAATATCTGTTATTTGTTTTGTCAGGCGAGCGCAGCTTTGTGGCTGTTTATGTGATCTCAAAGTGTTTGTCATGAATATTTAAAGAGGCTGTGGCTTTTCTGTTTCTGCTTGCTGGTTAAGTATGTAACTGTTGCTGGTGCTCTCTCTCTCTCTCTCTCTCTATCTCTCTCGAATAGGAGCGACGTGACCAAACTGAAGTTTGAAGGCAAGACTTTCCACGTACATGCAAATCAAAAGGAGGTGAGATAATGACATGTCGGCATGGAGTAACTGTTTGTCCAAGTTGGAGGATGGTTTGATATAGTTTCCTGCACGTTTTCTCATTTTCAACGTGCAGGAAAAACAGATCATCTTGACGTACTTTGCGCCCACTCCTGAGGCGTGCAAGCACCTTTGGAAGTGCGGGGTGGAGAACCAAGCTTTCTATAAGTGAGTCTACAAATTTCTTCCCCCCGTGTAATGGTTTTCTGTCAAACTGTCATGATTTAGTCACGCCCTCTGCATCCCTGAGTGCTCCTGGGAAGGTTACTGTCACAGTACAGTACCCCCATGCCCTTAAAAGCCCTTCCCTCCAGGTTGTTTGTCAGCGGGAAAACGAGGTGTGAGTTGTTTCTGACCTTTAGTGAATGAGAGCACGCCGGCACGAGACTGCAAGTACAGCACTGCTCCTTCCTTCTGAGATATGGTTCCCCTGTCCCCACCATAAAAAAACAGTGTGGATCCCCTTTGCTCCCTCTAGCTCAGAGAGGTGATTTAGAAAAAAAAGACAGGAGCATGTGAGCGCATAGCTCCAGGAGTGGTGTAATAATGACTAGAGTTGATTACTCTGGCAATAAAGAGTGGGTGTGGAGGTTAGCAGATGGAAGAGGGGGAAGAATGGGTGCATGAGAAGGGCAGAGCATCACAGGATCATTGATGGAGCTAATATGAAGTGACCTCAGTGTGACTTTCTAAAGAGGCGGATAATATTTTATCAGCCTCCTGCTTATTACGATCTCACTGCAGAGGGGATGTGTGGAACCAAGCAGACGCAAGATGCACACATATCCATGAAAAAGGACATTAAACATTCATATATCACTTACTACGACAATACAAACATATTGAATACTGTATGGAGCCGTGTCGATGCAGCCCCTTATAGCGCATGCAGAGAACATGCATAATTCAATAACCTGGTATTCTATCCCGCTTCTGCTTTGTCATGGGATTCAGACCGCAAAGATTGAATCCATTAATGCTTTTTGTTAGGAGCACATTCTTGCAACACTGAGCTGCCATCCTGTTTGGTTTTAGTTCATTTGTTGATTATTTTTTTTCTCCTTGTCTCATTAGGCTGGAGAAGTCGAGTCAGGTTCGCACTGTGTCGAGCAGCAACCTGTTCTTCAAAGGCAGCCGTTTCCGATACAGGTAAAGAACTCGCTGAAACGTTATGACTCATGACAGGGGAAGGGGGGGACACTGCAGAGAAACCTCTCAGCTTAAGGTGGAGAGTGAAGCTCCCTGGAGATGTGGCTCCTTGGATTTTTGTTTCTTTAACGTTAGCTTGTTTCAACAGATAACACCCATAACTCAGAAGAAAGGTCAGGGAGGAGGAAATAAAGGGAAATGAGGCATTATCACCTTGTGTGAGCTTGTTTCTGATTGTTAAAGAACCATTTCAACCAAATTGTTTATACAACAAACAAAAAAATCAGTTTTCAGCTTATTAAAATTCTAAACAATGTTTATGTCTGATGTCTAGTTCTCTCTTTGCTCTTGAGATGAATTGAATTTGTGTAAAACTCAGTATTATTTAGGCATTTTACTGACTCCAAGTCTGTCTGTGAATCATTTTAACCCTAAAAAACTGTATGAAAAGAAAGGTCTTTGTTGGAGTTTTCACAAAACACAGACCTCTAAAAACTTCAGCTGCTAAACCAAAGTGTCTACATAGCAAAATACCACTTGAAGTGTTAAGATTCTCTATTTACATTTGGATTGATCTGTCCCTTTTTAAACAGGAGTCGCTTTATTCAGTCATGGCAAGTAATTCAAATTAAAAATCAATAGTAGCATTCAGAGATGAAAAAAAGAGTGTATTTGGAGTTCAAGCTGAAAAGATTGAGCTGCTGTGGAGGGGGTTATCATGATCATTGTTTTGATATTTTTGCCAGCACGTCTGTGTGTGCACTTGTATGGCTGTTTATAATTAAGTTACACGAAGCTGAATTCATCGAGTTGATTCAATCATGATGCTTATGTTCTGCATTCATCCACTGCGCTGATGGCATTGGATGACACCAGTGTGCCTGGGTTTTTGTGTGTTTGCGTGTGCGTGAGCGTATGTGAAACTCATCCTGAGCATCGTCTCTGTGCTTTACAACAGTGGACGAGTGGCAAAAGAGGTGATGGAGCAGAGTGCCAAAATCAAACGTGAACCTCCAGAAATACACAGGTAGAGTTGTAAACTCAGGACAGGTCAGAATGTTGTCAATCACATTTTTCTTTATATTTATTTTTCCATTTTCTTGGGCACCAAGCAAGTGTTGTTTTTTTCTTTTATTAGCTTCTACCTTCTGGCTGCTGTAGAAGTTAGCTCCGATCACAGCTGACTCTCAGCGCATTCATATTTGTGTGTCCTGTGTGCTTTCGTGTGTTTGTTTCTGCAGGGCTGGCCTTGTGCCTAGCAGAAGTTGTCCATCCATCACACACGGGCCTCGCCTCAGCAGTGTACCGCGCACGCGTCGAAGAGCGGTGCACATATCAATCATGGAAGGTAAGGACTGGACTGTACCACCACACTTCATCAGACGTAAGCAAGCGACAAATTCTCAGTTGGTTGCAGAAGTGATGGCGGCTACATAACATTTTGTCCCTTAAGTGGTTAGTACAATAATAAAACTTAAGTATCAAAAGTCTACCCCTCCAACACTCATACATAGATATTCATATCGTAACTAGAGCCATTTGCCCCGGTTCATGACTCCAGGGCTGGCGGGGAAGCTTCAGGCATGTGCGTCAGTCAGCCCGCTCCACTTCAACGCAGAGTTTCAGGGCTGTCAGCGTGTACTTTAGAAAGAAGTCTGTTAGTTTTTCCAACTCAGTGGCAGCTAAAGTCACTTATCAGCCCACCTGCACGGTTTTGCTCTCGAACAGGTGGCCTCGCTTTTCTGTTTCTTAGACAGACACAGCAGATGTTCCGCTCAGCATGGCTCAGAGTAACACTCGCAGTCGGACAAACTTGAAGTCTTTGTACGCTGCGGTAAATGGAGGTCAGAAGCAGGTGCATTTAAAGGATCTGTTGGTGGGCGTTCAAGAGAGCCATAACAGCTTCCCCCTGTGTGTGCTGACTGGGTGTCTTGCAGTGGTATTAATACCCCAACTGAAAATAGCCCAGGTCTTCTACTCCATGTATGTCTGTGGTCTGGGTGGAGCCAAATCAGGCCCAGCCAGTGTTGCTGAGTGTAGCACTGCTGCACAGTCCCAGGGCTTTACCTTGCTCACTCCTCCTTGTAAACTGCAACCAAGGCAGAGCCCTTAGGCCTTGCAAGCTGACGGCAAGACTGTGGCCTGGACTCCGGGACAGGGACCATAATAAGGGGTTAAGTGCGTGCATGCTGCAGCCATGGTGAAGTGTCTGATCCGTATCACCACTCGGGTGAACGTCCACTTGCGTATGATCAACCACTGTTACCGGGATGTGAAGGTTCGCGTGCTGAGCCTGGGGCCTCGTATGCTGGGTAAGGCCCTGGGTATTCTGCCCCTCTACCCGGCGCTGACAGGACCACAGGGGTCTGCCAGTGTCACCCCTCTTCCTGGCACTCCACTGCCTTGCCTTCAGCCTTCCAGCAGCTCTCCAGGTAAACTTCTCAAAGACACAGCCAGGCTTGCGCTCTACATGGTGGTGGCCTCTGCTCTCTCTATTTTAGAACAGTCACATTGGGGTTGGCAGGGAGGCAGAGACCCCATTACTGTGGTTGTTTGTCCCCCATTGGTATCGGTGTGGCATTTTTGTATGTGTTTTATGAGCTTTCGTTGATTTAGTTTTACAAGGCAGTCGCCGTACTTACAAGAGGCTTATTAAATTCAGAGAAATGTGGATTTTTCTGCCTATTAAAACTCATTTGTGATGTTTTATGTAAAGAACATTTTTGTTTAATAAATGGATTTTTGGTAACAAAAAAACAAAACAAAGAACACTGAACAGGCAGAAAGGTAAAAAGCTTTTAGTATCATTAAGCAATATATTGGTTATTGTGATCAAACTACAAATCCAAAACCTCTCTGCTTGCTTCCTTATTGCGAGCAGAACACGGCAAATGCTTTTGCTGTTTAAAACTAAGTAAAGATGTTTGCCAACACTCAGTCAGCCTCTGGATTTCCTTATTTCCCCCCTGACAGGAGTTTAATGTCAGCAGAGGCTTAGACGACAGACATAATCTGTCCTACTTTTCCTGCATTCTTGAAAAAGTTCCTCACTTGATTTGCTTCTCGGTTCAAAGCTGAATTTTAATCCCTTTTCTTCTGAGTGGAGGTGTAATGTTGCTGCTTTGACCCTCTGGAGAATGTGATATGGTCAGCAAAGGGCTCAGCCGTAGCTCACATCACCTGCACAAAGCAGTGAGAGGCTCTCCTTCTCTACAGCACAGCATTTCAGAACCAGTGAAAAACCCCAAGAAGCCTCTGCATCGATGAATAATTGAGGGTTGAAATGAAACTCCAACTGTCCCTGATTTAAACATGATTTCACCACTGAGGCAGCTACATGAAGGAGCAGTACTGACTTTGATATTCAGATTGTTACGTAATATTATCTCTTGTAATGATTCAAGTCATCAAGGATTGCTGCTGCACAGTAGTTAACATATCTGTGTGATTTTGCATCAAGCTCATAAAGAAACGTGTTTGAAAAATAAATTAATCTGTTTAAAATAGACTCATCATTTTGCTTTTTGTCCCCACATAGATTTGTTCGAACCTAATCACTTTTTTTCAAGACTACACCTTAACACTAACACACTGAAAACTCTTACTTTGAAACACTTACTGTTTCAGTTTCTCCCTCTCTAAAATGGGAAAACCAAAGAAAACTATTTATTGATTTAAATTGGAACCATTACAAGCCTCATTGTAACTCCAAATGAACATAGATTTGTATTTTGGCTCAAAACAAACCTAAAAAATGTCTCTCCCTGCCTTTTATTATGAAACTGCTTTTGGAAAATTCACGTTTTTGTGGCTGTATGGACAGAGCGTTCATGTCTTTTGTTGATGGGTTTGAACTCTCTGTAGGTGTAAATATTCTCTACACTTATAATGCAAGTAGAATAAGATGTTTCCTCCATGAGGGATGGTCATTAGGCATCATATCTGTCAGCCTGCAACATGGAAAAGTTCCTTTCTGTCTGCTCCACTGTTGGGTAAACATGATCAGATTTCTGCTCTCAAACTGGAGTGGATATGTCCGTGTGCTATTACAAACTTCAGCCTGACAAATGGCACAGTGAGGAGAAGCCCCTGGGATATTAGAGCCAGAGCAACTCTCCTTGCCTTAAATCCAGGGGTCAGTTCATAGATTTTCTAATAGTCTAATCTGTTTGCTTTTCACAATCCACTAGGTTTGGAGTCATTGCGCGACAGTGCCCACTCTACACCGGTACGTTCAGTGTCCCATGGGGAATCTTTCATGCCTCGCTCCCGGAGCCAGGCCACAGATGGCAGCGAGGGCGCTGCGGTGATCTCGGATGAGGCCTACAGCCCCTCCGACAGCGTCCTGCCCACCCCAGTGGCTGAGCACAGCATGGAGCTGGCTGCGTCACGTCAGATCAACGGGGCCCCCTGCAGCATCGAGGAGGAGAAGGAGTCAGAGGCGGGAACCCCTTCACATGGGGAAGGGGGTGACTTTGATGTGGATGGTAAATCTGCACAGGAAGGTGCTGAAGGGGACTCAGCCCTCAGCGAGGTGGAACAGGTGAATAAATTTGTCTTAAGTGTCCTCCGTTTGCTCCTTGTGACCATTGGACTCCTCTTTGTCTTGCTCCTCCTCCTCATCATCCTCACCGAGTCAGACCTTGACATTGCATTTTTACGTGATATCCGCCAGACCCCCGAGTTTGAGCAGTTCCATTACGAGTACTTTTGTCCCCTCAGGCGGTGGTTTGCCTGCAAGCTCCGCTGGGTGGGCGGGTTGCTCATTAACAAGTGAGAGTGAGGTCGTAGAGTTCGTAAGCCTGTTCGGGGGTCTGGGAAGACGGTTAAGACTCCAGAGTGATGGAGGGCAGCTTCGTCCCACCCATGAACCCTGCTTCTCCCATCATCCTCCTGCAGACATACAGCTTGGACCACTCCTGGTAACACTGAGCCAGGATCTCTCTCTCTCCCCCTCCTCCACTTTGAGTTAACCCACCCACCCACCCACCCAACCACCTCCTCGTTTCGCTTAATTTTTTTTTCTACAAAGCCAGAAGACTTTTTTTTCTTTTGCATTTTTTTTTTTTATTCTATTTTAAGTCATTTCAGGTATTTTATTTTTTCAGATAATGCAAAGTAAAAAAAAAAAAAACTGAACTGAAATCAAAAAAAATTTGGGCAGTTCCTTTCGCAGGAACAGAGGGTTATGTTGTACCAGATGAGCGTTGCCTGTGTTTGTTATTTATTTCTTTTCAACAGGTATTTGCATAAGGAGAGAGTACAGAGTACAGAGTACTCAGAGAGAAAGTAACTGAGGAAGTTTGATTGTTATTTAAATGAAGATGGGCATGTGTTAAGTTAAAAATGAAAGGCCTACTGTTGTTATGTATATGCCAGGCAGAGAGTAATATATTTTGATATATTTGATCTTCATCCAAGTTAAAACAGCAGAGCACCTCATGAGTAAAACAATAACTGTGAAAGGTGAATGAAGGCGAAAGTCAGAGTGATTATCAACTGCCTTTATTGAGACTCACTGGCAATTTTTAAATTTTGTGAACGACCTAAAGATAAAATCCAATTTTACAGTTGGTGTGAAGAGAAGCAATGAAGATCAGAGCTGCCTTTTCAAACTTTTTAAAGGTTCGAGTTGAAAAAACAAACCAAAAAAAAGCAGTACTCAGTGATTTGTTCCCCAGTAATGTCAGAGAAATAATTATAATGTCAAGCAATACCCTGGCCCTGATAGGTGGTAGTCACTGCTCTTATGATGATTATCTGACTGAGTACCTTTGAATGTGCTCATTTGTTTGCTTGGTCTATTTTTCTCCATTTCATTTGATTTGCATTTTTCATGAAGTTTATATTCACTGAATTTTGATCATTTCTTTTACGAGGAGTTAATAATTTGATTTGGTTCAACCTTGCTTTTTGTTTTTCTGTATCATGCTATATAATTATTGTTAGAAAAAGAATGATGATGTACTTTTTGTACAAATTAGTTTGTTTCCTAATATATATTATCAGGTTTTTCATGTATATTTTAACAGAACTGAAATGTTATTTTGTTATTGAAGATTAAATTATACCTTTTTTAGCGCTGTGTTTCAAGTTAGATCAGAAGCATTTATGGAAACGTGGAAGGGGGAACTGAAAAACAGGGTTTTTATCCAGATCCACCCAACACTGACTGCATCTCTCACTCCTCCACCAGCAGCAAGTTAATCACCAGTTTGCACAAACATGAAGATTTCATCAACCATCACAGATACCAAATAATAACCGAAAAACACATTTTCATCCTTCAGAATTTAACAGTGTCTTTTTTACTTGAAGAGTTTGGAGAGGTGACTATGAGCCTGACCGTTACTGGACCTACAATTAAACCAAACTCCACCTAACTAAAGTGTGTTTTCAGATATTCGCACCCAGTAAACAAAAAATTAGGCAACAATTTGATCAAATTCAATTGGCAGCTATTTGGTTGAGAACTGCATATTTTTTCACCAAAATAGCAATGTCTTGCTCCACAATGAAAAATGTATTAAAAAGGATGTTTTGCACTAGAAAGTAATCAGCAGGTGAATCATTTCATCGATGAGCCAGCGTTGGCTCTTAGATTTGTTGGTCAGGCTCTAGACTCTTCTGCCTCATAGCTCCCGGGAGCAATAACTGTCATGGCTGCTGGATTCTGGGTAAATTCTGTTTTTTTGTCGCAAGTCTTCCTCCTGTACCAAGTGCAGGTGTAAGTGTTAGTGTGTGTGTGTAGAAATGGAAACTTGATTCAAGGTGAAAGTTTAAGTTTAGACGGAGAGGAGTCATTTTTTTTAACCTTTGAAGAGAAGGAAGGAAGAAAGGCACAGAACAAGAGGAAGCAGGAGGGAGAACAAAGGATTCAAGAGGCTTTTGAGAAAAGTTAAAAAGAGGAATTTAAAAAAACAAATTAAAAACTGGAGGGTACTCATCACTCGAATGGCTGTACAGGGTTGCTTGTTGGACTGCTCATTTAAAACGCCACACTCTTAAGACCAACACCTGCAGCTGCTCTGCTGGAAGCCCAATGGTGCTACTGTCTTGTTTTGCTCCTTTGCAATTTGTGTGTGTCAGTCTTTGGCTAACTGATAGTCCTGACCACAGAGTAGCATGGACTTTGCGTTGTGGCTGGATCCACTCTGTAGCTCATTATCCCGACCAAACTGCAGGTATCTGCAGTAGAGGAAGCATCACAAGGTTCAAGGGAATAACTGATCATTAGAGCTCTGACGACGAGAAACCTGCTGTACATGTGGTGTAGGAGCCTATCTATAATAAGTTAATGTTATTTTTTAAACTCTGATGCACCTCGCAAGGAGCAGATGTAAAGATGAAGCACATTTCTTTACCAGGGGCTGGAGCAGGGCGGGTGAGGAGGCATAACTCTGTACATTCATACTTTATATTTCTAACTTATTTACTCATACATTCAGGCTGAATTTTAGCAGGACTTCCTTTTCAAGGTCTGCAAGGTTTTTCTCATACATCTATCAGCGCTATGTAGCTTCAGTGGTCTCTGTGAACATGCAACAATAAGAAAAGAAAAAAAGGCAGCACTATTCAAGGAGCAATAATCAGTTTGAGTCCAATGAAAAAAGAAAAAGTCCTTAAATGTCTCTGAAAAACCACTTAATAAATTGCCATTGGGCTGACTCTAATAATGATGTGACCACTGAGATTCTTACTGTTGCATTCATTGTTAGTATTTTATAAACAAAAATGGATTACTCTGAGAGACCTCTCGTGTGGACGTTCTGCCGTTTTCTTTGCTTTCATTGTTAAGAGACAGACTCTTCCCTGTGCCTGGATCCGAAATCTGCAGTCTACCAAAGTGGCAAAGATAAAGGAATGGATACAAAAGACACAACATCCCTGACAACTTCACAACAGACTGCGACAGACTCTTTTTATCTCCCTAATCCAAAGGGAGAAAACTGTCAGAAGCTGTTTCTGTACACGTGGCAGCCTGTTGAAATCTGTTGATTTGTCTTTGCAGGCATGTTTCCTGTGACAAAACTGACTTATTTTACATGTTGGTTGCTGTTTCATGTTTACATCATTTACTGTTTTACTTTTACCTCATTGGAGATGGCTTCAGTTATGGCCAGATGTGTAAATTATAAAGCGTGAATGTCATCTGTGGATTAGACATCAGACACAGCGATGCCGTCCCTGAATAATAGGAGTGAAGGTGAAGCCGTGCAGGTACAAAGTGGTTCATTGGAATGTGAGGCTTGTGTTTTATCTTAAATTTGCACAGAGAGTGGGCTCAATTATAGCAAAACACCCACACTGTACAATGCATTATAAATCTCAGAACCTATTTCTACATTGGGAAACTAGTTATACATTTTTACAAAGATAGGGAAAATCAAATTTAGGGTGAAATTGTCATGTAGACTGAACCTGACTGTGAGGTGTTTTTTTGCTAATGTCTTACTGTTTTCACACATTTTCAGAAATCAGATATCCTATTTACATCCTCCAAAAGCTATCGATGACACAGACATCATTTTCGAATTGTCATTTACTGCCATTAGAATGTGTTTTGTAAATATTTTCATGGTTAAAAATACAAATTAACAAATCGTCATGACCAAAATGAAATATTTACCCATAATTGGCTTGTTAAGTTTAGTTTCTGTCTGAAAGCCCTATCCTGTCAAAATTGGTGGTGCGTATAAAACTAAGTAGTCGATGGAAAGTTAAAGAGAAAGTCATTACTGAAGACATCTTGATCAGTTATTTTGCCCCTTTTGCCCAATAGACAGACCTTCACATGACCGTGCATACGCGTCAATCAGTGTATGAGCATATCCACGTCTGGTGGTGTGTTACATAGTCTTCATTGTTCTATCCTGGGACTGAAGATTGCTGTTTAATTATGTTATATACACAATATTTGAATATATACATACATATATATAAATTCATGTGCCAAATCCAGTTCTTGTTCAGTCTGATCCATTCCAAACCCATGTTTGTACTGTAGGAAACCTTCTGTACAAGTCAGTATAAAATATTGTTTCTCTCCAGTAGTCCCTTGTAACTGGTGCCATTAAACAATACTATTCAAACTTGAAATAAACATTGAATAAAAAATGTGATATGACTCTTGTGGTTTTGTGGTACAGCAAGATTTTAGCAAAATATCTTGTCTTTAGAGATCTACACTGAGGAAGGTGGAGACTATTCTAAAGAACATGGATCACCCTCTTCACAACACCTTGATGGACCAAAGGGCCAATGGTGGTGGACGGCTCGTCTCTCTTCACTGCAGGACAGAAAGATTCAGAAGATCTTTTGTACCAACAGCCATCAGACACTATAACTCTTGTGTAACTAGTAGATAACTTTTGGAGACATATGTGAGACAACAGACAATTTAATTTCCCTAATAAAGTTCTTATCTTGTCTTTTAATAGCTCAAAGAAAGATAATAGACCAGCTTCTATTTCTCGTCTTTATTATGAAATTGAAAGACAATAAAATTTGACAGTGTACAAATAAATAAACAAAAAATCTTGACAGTTACCACGACATTAACTATACATAAAATCTACAAAGAATTTAAGCAGTGTCAGCAAATAACCAGGAAAAGGCTCATACTTACAGTGACCTGGTTTCGTTATGTAGTTGAAAACTAGTTTCTGTTCTGGAGTCAAACCCAGAGGTCACGTTTAACCAAAATGTGAATAGGTCGGCTTTAAAAAGGGTCTGTGATTGGTTTGAGGAGTTGGAACCGAGAGGAGGCCTGGTCCCCTGCCCGCTGATGTGGCTCCTCCTGAGCTCCTGGACCCTCTTCCTGCAGCTTTTGATCCACCTCTGGAGCTGGATGATGACCAAGATTTATTGCTGCTGTAGCCACGACTGTATCCATGGCAACAACAGCACGGCAAAAGAAAAGAAAAGGAGGAAATTAGACTTCAGCTTTGATGGACAACTTCATATTCGACTTGAACTCATATTATTTAACAAAGCATGCCACAGTTCCACTACAGACCCTTTAGAGTTGGTACTTGTGTTGCTGTATGATTTCCTCTTTTTGGAATACTTGAAGAACGGAGCTTTCTTTCGTTTCTTCCCATGTTGGGCCTGATTATGGAAGTAGGAGGAAGACTCTTCGTCCTCATCGTCATCATACACAACAGCTGTGCGGCCTCTTGTTGTGTCGATCCATCCATCTCCCTTATTGTCAGTCTGCTCCTCTGTGACATTGACAATGTAGGATAAATACCATAAAATCTATGAAATCAAATTGAACTTTAAATATTCCCTAAAATAAGTTAGGTCTCTTACCGGGCTGCTGCCATTCTGCGTACTTATCTAGCACCTGAATGACTTCAGCTCCATACTTTTCCAGTTTGTCTTCAGTCACACCATCGATTGTTAGGAGGACTTCAGGATCAGAAGACAGTTTCTCTGTTCATGAGGGGAAAAAAGGGTAATCATTTACATTTATCATAAAGACTGTTGTGGCATTTAAAATACTGAGCTGTTTCAAGAATTACCTGCTATCTTTTTCAACGTAGCAGTGGAGAAGATGTTGTAATAATGAATGCCAAAAGCTTTTCCCAACTGCTTGCACAGATCAGTCAGCTCCTTCAGACACTCCTGGACCTTCTCCTCTCTCTGCGAGACGTTCTTGGCAACAGAGGCTTTGTGTTTTCTGATGCTGGACGCACTCTCTGTCTCGTAGAACTCGACCTGTGATGAAATTTTGAGCACAGAGTGTTTCAGACTTTCATTATTACGGTTTATCAAAAGCAGATTTGTGCCTAATGATGCAGCATTAAAGCAGCAGAGGAGATCTGTGCTGAGTAACTAGTGACTAAGCTGAAAGTAGTTATCTTTGAAGTCTAAGGAACAGTTTTGTAAGTAAAAATACTTCGTTAAACTCCAACAAAAGCTACCTGTATGTTTCCTGACAAAACATTCATGGCTTTTGGTCCAGCAGAGACATAGGACACAGTCTGGCCGCTGTTGGTGATGTAGAGATTCTCCTCCAGAATGTTGTCCAGAACCAGTTTTTTGAAGAGACGGTCTGCGTTGTGTCTGGAGTAGGCTCCCCCCATCCCAAACATCCCTGTCTGTACCTTGGCAGATTTAGATCCTGACGGAAAAGCAAATAATTTTCCACATTTACTGACAGCTCTGCATGATGTCCGCACGAATCACGATTTTAAGATGCCAAAAATCTAAGTGTCACTTACCTATGAAGATATCCACTAGCATGTTCAGGGTCAGTCGGTTCTGCTGGGCAGTCTTGCCAAACTTTGCTCCGACTTTCTCACAGTTCTCCTGGACAAACCTCACGATCTTCTTCACATCATCGCTAACATCTCGAATCTTGTATTGCTGTGCACAGAATCATTTAAGGTTGCATTGTTGCACATTATAAACAGCCAGGTCGGCTTAGAGAGAATGAGCGGACACGTGACTCGATAAAAAGGAGGTTCCTACTGTGGGTTTGGAGCAGTTGTCGCAGGTGACGTCTGGATGGTCCTTACAGAAGCTTTTGTTGAATTTCAGCTCCCCAAAATATGCAAGCAGCTGAATTCTTCTGCATTCTGCCATGTTCTCGCAGAAGTGCACCATGCTGTGGAGGTTGTTGAAATGAGTCGCTTTGGCGTTCTTGTCGCCCTCTCTGTCCACTAGGATAAAAAAAAAGAACCATATACTGTATAAACCAGCTACTAGTAAACAGACATTTAGACTGTATACATGCTTCCTCAAAAGACTTCATTCATGTGAGGACTGATAGAGAAAGGAACAAAAATGCTTCTAACATTTCAAAAACAAAAGATAAATAATAGTCTATATTTTGCACATACTGCTGATAATCCTCTTGATGCGCTGTACATCTGAGTAAGAGTAGAAGAGAATACAATGAGAGATCTCCCCGTCTCTGCCTGCTCTGCCAGACTCCTGGTAGTAACCCTCCACTGACTTCGGCAGACTGGCATGGATCACATAGCGCACATCGGGCTTATCAATACCCATGCCAAAAGCTATGGTAGCGCAGATGACCTGGCAGACAAAAAAAAGAAAGTGATATAAATGTAGAGTGCATTTGTAACACACTTTGTCGACCAATTAAATCCTTCCAGGAATCTTTTAGATGTGACCGAGCGACGATCTTACTTGGCAGCCATCCTGATTGATCCACTTGTTCTGCACGTACTCTCTGTCACCGTCACTCAGGCCCGCATGATAAGACAGAGCTAATATCCCCGCTCTCTGCAGACTCTCGGCCATGGCGTCACAGTCATTACGGGACAGACAGTACACAATGCCAGAGTCACCTAAAACATGCAGATGCATAGGATTACTCAAAAGACAGATTCTTTAAAAAGGGGTAACATCTGACATAGTTTACAATTCTTCCTTTTAACTCAAGGTTTCTCTCCCTAACAGCATCGCTCTGTTATGACAGACTCTCAGGATATGTCGTGAGCTAAGTTTGAACAAAACAGCTACAACAGAGGCCTAAAAATAACCAGGATGAGAAAAACTTGTTCTGAATTATTTACGTGGGTAGTGCTTCTTAATCCAGCTGGTACAGTCCTCATCGACCTTTTTGGGTTTCTTTGGCAGCACAGCGTACTTCAGGTTCGTTCTGTTGAAACTCATGGTAAACCTAAAAATTCATCGCATGGTTAAATTCATGACACCAAAACAGAACTTGTGTGATAAACTGGGACAGAAGCTGGGATGGAGCACGTACACCTGCGGCCGAGTCATGTTCAGCTGGTTGAGGATGTCTTTCTGAACACGAGGGGTGGCGGTGGCTGTCAGGGCCATCATCGGGGCATTTGGGAACTTCCGACGTAGCTCGTGCAGCCTCTTATAGTCGGGGCGGAAGTCGTGGCCCCACTGAAAGAATTAACATGTGTGGATGATTCACAATGAATTCTGCTTAAAGGAAAAAGACATGCAGGAGGTTGTGTGTTGTGAAGAGGAACACACCTGGCTGACACAATGGGCTTCATCGATGACAAATCGGGCGAGGAGGCCTCGCTCGTAAAGATTCTGCAGGGCGGAGATCAGCCTGTTGCTTGCACTCACCTAAAGAAGAGGAACATCAGCCATCAGTCTTGAGTGAAACCCTAGCTACTGTTTCTTTTATGTACAGCAAACAGGAGCAATCTTTTTACTTTCTCAGGAGTGACATAGAGCAGTTTAATGATGGGGTCCTTCCGTGACAGCTGCATGTAGATCCTGCTTGCCTCACTGTCACTTTTATCACCAGATAAACTTGTTGCTGGTATCTGAAATATGAGATATTTCAAAATTACCAATACACTTTTTCAAATACAACACATTTAATAATCAAATCAAACTTGATTCTTTAGCAGGAGCAAACATACGTACATCCAGTGTGGTGAGTTTCTGAACCTGGTCTACGATAAGCGATTTGAGAGGGGAGATCACCACGGTAACTCCCGGAGACAGACAGGCAGGCAGCTGGTAGCAAAGACTCTTGCCACCACCTTTGGATACAGCAGATACACAAAGATGTAAGACTTTTTGAAGTGCATCCTTAAAAGGGATATTCCACTGTAAAATTAAGTTAGGGTCAAACACACTGTGACACCAAGTTAGACAGCTCATCGAGAGATTGAATGTTGCCGCTCGCTTACTTCTCTGTTTATACCAACTTCAGTAATGACCGTACAATAGCAATACAGAGAGCCACATGCTCAACCAAAACGCCACTCTATAGCCACAAATAATGCTCAGAAAAGCACCTAACTTCATCAACAGTACATATAGGATCCTAGCCGTAGCACTAGCCACCAAAAATCTTTTTAACTTTGCCTAATTTCTTCCATTGGCTGCCTGTTTCTTTTAGGATAAATTTTAAAATTCTGGTTTTAACTTTCAGAGCCTTGCATGGTCAGGCTCCAACCTACATCAATGACCTGATCCAGCCTTACACCCCAGCCCGGGTTCTGAGGTCTGTGGGTCAGAATCTTCTGATGGTGCCTCATACACATTTCCGGACCAGAGGAGACCGATCCTTCCAGGCTGTTGCTCCCAAGCTCTGGAACGATCTTCCGCCTGCTCTGTGTTTGATGGAGTCTGTGGACTCCTTCAAAAGGAAACTAAAGACCTTTTTATTTGTTCAGGCTTTTCCCTAACTGTCTTGGGGCTGCTATGGTTGCACTTGGTCTGTGAAAGGCGCTGTATAAATAAAGTTTACTTACTTACTTACTTTAACTTTGCCTAATTTCTTAAGCAAAAGAGACTAAACACAGTTCACCTACTCTCTTCCAGCAGCCGCTTGTTTGTACGGAGTATAACTAGAGAAGCAAGCGATCGGCAACATTCATCTCTCCATGGGGTGTCTAACTCAGTGTTACAGTGTGTTTTAACCCTAACTTTATTTTACGCCGGAATATCCCTTTAATCTATTGTTGTAGGGTTGAGATAAAAGGTTTGACCATTTTTATCTCTGTTTACCTGTGGGCATCAAAACAAACGTGTCTTCTCCTTGAAGACTCGCATTAATGGCTTCCAGCTGATTGAACCTGAACTGATGGAGACCAAAACGCTTGTGAAAGATCTTCATCATTTCTTGTGAGTATGAGAAGTTGAAACCTCTGAAGCGATCATGGGCTGGGTTTCTGAAATTTGGCTCTGCAACAAAAGTAAAGATGACAATCAACACTCATCTTTATCGATGAAAACCATTACTTTATCCAGGTCATGCTGAATTACCTGGAGAGCTCATGTTTGAAGGCTTCGGTGCAGAGACAGGAGTTGTTGGTTTTCTCTCCCATGAAGACGTGCTCGGCCCCCCCTCTTTCACTGTTGTCGTCACTCTGCTGGAGTTTTTTCCTGGCACTGGTGCCGCTTGCGGTTCGTCAAAATAGTCTGGGATATCTGAGTCATTAAAATCGTCTATGTCGAAATTGTCGTCATAAAAATCATCTGGTTCCATGTCTTCTACTCTTGGTATGGTTGATGAGGAACTTAATTTGCTCGGAGCGACAGGCCCAGGCTTCTTGGGTGAGAAAAAGAGATCCGAAGCATCGAGATCTGAGTTTGCTTTCCCAGAGAAATTAAAAGATGGTTTTGTGAGGTCGTGGACGCTTGGCGAATTGTGGCAGAAGCTCTCATTTTTCATGAACGATCCCCTGTTGTCTGAGTTTTTCACAGGTTTTACATCAATAACACTGTCAGAGTGATCAGAGTTGTAATCCACAGTTATAACTGAAGACCTCCTGATCTGAGGAAGCTTCCTGGAGTCCACAAGAACAGAGCTGCTGGAGGACATACCATCAGACACGTCATAACTGGAAGATTTTTCTTTAAAGCTGGGCTCAGAGATCACAGTGCTGTCAGGCTGCTGCATCCTCAAACTGTCACCCCCCATTGCAAGAATCCTCTTCCTGTGTGATAAAGACATGATTTTAACTCAACTGAGGCGTCATCATATTTAAAGATCATTCACAAAGCTGCTTCATACTCAGCCGTACACACCTTTGAGCCCTTTTCAACAGAAGCTCATCTCCACAAGACAGAGCTATCAGTTCATGCTCAGGGATCAGATCAACTAAAGCACAAATGGAATCCATGATACTGAATAGCTGATCACCTGTAACAAGAAAATGGAACACAGATGGAAACAACAATTGAACGCAAAAACAGGGAACCATTCAACCAGGTGCAGATGGACACATTCAAAAAATAAATAAATAATGAAACTTAATGAAACCCACTTGGTTTGTCTTTGAGTTGGTGATCTGAGCGTCCTTCGAGTGTTGGCTTGGGTGTCTTTGATGTTACAAGACTGTCTTTGCTTGGAGCATCAACGGATTTTGATCTGATAAAAAAAAGTTTAAAAATTATTTTATTGGTCGAGTCTTTATGACAGAAAGTTCTCAGATCCAGGGATGGGAAGAGTAGTGAGATAATCCAGTGCGATAACTCTAATGAAATGTTACTGTGAGTGTGTGTGAATCGACTCAAACAAAAGTCACATGTGCTGGATTTGAAATTTTCTTGGTTTAATACTGTATCAAATTTTTTGTTGCATTTTTTTGTTTTCATTATTTCCATTTGTAGATAGTCCTTTTGCGGTCAAATGACAGCAGTCTCTGCACAGAGGCGAGTGTAAATTGGCTCGTACTGATTTAAATCAAGTTGTTGCATTTGTCTACCTTAGTGAGGAGAGAAAGCGGTGCTGGGTTTGTAAAAGCAATGTTCGACTGGTGAGTCATTGCACCAGGGAGGCTGAATCTGTGAATATTTTCATCTTTCTTGACTTGACTCTGGCACAAGCATGCAGGTTCTTATTTTCTACAAGTTCACTTGCATCAACATTGCTGATTGTAAAATTGTACCTTTTTGCTTTTGACACATTTTACTTGCAATAGCTGCTATGTAAAATGTAGTAGTGCATCTTTTCCTTATCTTTTTTCTTTGCAGTTCAACACATCAACCGTGATGATATCAGTAGTGACAACTGAAAGCTGAGTTTATGAAAGTGGCATAACTCAGCTGTTCATACAGAAATGTTTGTGTAAATTCTGGTTAAAGAAAACAAAAATCTGACCTTTTGTTTTGTGTAGAAGTCGTGTAAGAAACCTCATCAGAAATTGGAGATGGGGGGATGTAATCAAGTTCATCCTCCAGTTCTGAGTCATCTTCGAGCTCAATTACCTTTGGGTCAATCAATGTTTTCTTGTCTGTGAGACAAAAATGTAGTCCATATGCATAACTCTTCAACTGAACACCATTTTCTGCTCCACTGTGTACAAAGACAATGAAATGCTGCAACAAAAAAAACTGTTACCTGTATTTCCTTTACATGGCTCCTGCACAACACTGCTCTCGTCTTCACTGTCACTAAAGACAGACTCCAAGGGAGCTGGGAAATGTCTTCTGGTTACTTTAATGGGAGAATCCTCAGGTTCAACCTCATCTGGGTCCTGATTGAGTTTAGGTCCCGGGGAGATGGCTTCTTTTTCAATACTGTGCTCCACTTCAGCTGTTTCCAAACCAGTTTTTCCCTTTCTGGAAGGACCATTCTTGTTTGTGCTGTCCAAACTCCCTTTGAACTGTTTTTTGTCTTTACTAGAAGGTGACACAGAATTGCTGCTCTTCCCATGTGCTGAACTGAATGAGTCATTTTTTGTTTTGTTTGTAGTTTCAAAATCATCAAAATCATCCCACTCCTCCATCGGAAATCCAAGAGATGCATCAAAACCTGAGGAATTGCCTCGTGTGCCGCTAGCAAACTGGCTGTCAGATTTAGTGCGAGCTGTTGTCGCCTTGATAGCAGACACTGCTGGAAGAGCCTGGCCTACAGGAGAACAGTTCCCAGCTGAATTGTTGGAGTCTGACTTGTCTTTTGAATTTGTCGTGAAGAAGCTGCTGATTTTGGTTTTCTGAGATCCATCAAGCTTGTTTGGAAATGTCAGAGTAGATTTAGTCACCAATTTGTTTTTGGGGATATTGCCATCCCTGTTTGCCAAAGGATTAGTGTTGATTACCTTGGCTGGGATTTCAACTTTGGTGGTACCTGATGAGGTCTTCTTTTTGAAAGAAAAGGCCCTACAAGAAAAAAAGTGAAATTATGAAAATCTTACAGTTTGAAAAAAACAGTGTCTTACCTGTACAAGTTGATATTCAATTGTTTTTTAATTCATTAAAATTCAGGAGCAACACAAAAATATGGGTCCTGATCCCATGCACTTTATGGGCTCTTTCCAACATTTAAAAGGATATTCCAGCGTAAAATAAGTTAGGGTCAAACACACCGTAACACAGAGTTAGACAGCTCATCGAGAGATTGAATGTTGCCGACTGCTTGCCTCTCTAGATATACCAACTTTAGTAACGACCGCATGATAGCAATACAGAGAGCCACACACTCAACCAGAAGGCCACTCTATAGCCACAAATAATGATCAGAACAGCACCTAACTTCATCAACAGTACATATAGGGTCTCAACCATAGTACTAGCCACCAAACATCTTTTTAGCTTTGCCCAATTTCTTTAGCAAAGAGACTAAACACAACTCACCCTCACTCTTCCAGCAGTCGCTTGTTTGTAGCAAGACCTCGGGCCAGTCCTTTACAGACTACAGCGGGGTGACGCAGCTCAAGGAAGAACATTTATGATCATTACTTCATGGAAATGCAATCAGACCAAGATGCCAAGGCAGTGCAAAATGCTTAATATGATAAATATTACTTCAAGGAATTGATGAGGAAATGATCATAAATGTTCTTCCTTGAGCTGCGTCATCCCACAGCACTCCGTGATGGACTGGCCCATGGTCTCGCTACAAACAAGCAGCTGCTGGAAGAGAGTAGGTGAGTTGTGTTTAGTCTCTTTGCTAAAGAAATCAGGCAAAGCTACACCAGCGCCATAGACTGCTGTGTATTGCTATCGTGCGGTCGTCACTAAAGTTGGTATAACTAGAAAAGCAAGCGGTCGGCAAAATTAATCTCTCGAGGGGGTGTCTAACTCGGTGTTACTGTGTGTTTGACCCTAACTTACTTTTACGCCGGAATATTCCTATGTCAGCTCAATGCTACCTGTTAGCTAGCTTGACTTGTTCCCCTGCTCTTTCTCGTACCCTCGGTAAACTTACCCCGTTTTAGGTTTGGCCAGAGATAGTTTGCTCTGAGCAGCATTGCTGTGCTTCGCCAGCTGTTCTTCCAAGTTATTTTGCGGGAAAGTCGTCATTATGAAACAGCAGAGATATCCAGTGTTAGCTGAAGAGAGCAGTCTAGGACTCAGTTCAGAAAGCGGACACCAGTTCCTTTAGCATAGCTCGTGACACAACAAGTGACAACCGCCCGGTGTCTCGCGCTGGCTTAATCTCGTCTCTGGGTAATTTTGCATAAAATTTCAACGAATTCAAACACAGTTTTTCGATTTACATTACCGCTTAGTTGACTGGAGTACACAAACAACAGATTTAGCGCCCGTTTAACAAACTGACTCCTCATTGGCTATGATTAAGGAAGTGCGAGAATGTTCTTCTTTTCTACTTTGGTTTTGGCGGGCTAGACGCATCAGAGGCGTATTGCTGCCCTCTGCTGTTTCCGTGCCATATCTGTTGAGTGCATGAATGCTGGGAAATGTAGTTAAAACATGAGTATGAAGGTATTTTTAGTGCAAAAGGTTTGTGCATCTGTAAGATGTATTTTGTTGTTGTGTACAGTGATTGTATATGTGTATTAGTAAATGTGAAATCCTCATTCTATGAGTACCTTCATACATGAACGTCATGCTTAATTTCTGTGAAAAAAAGTTGTGTCTGCAGTTTTAGGACCAGGATACTAAGTGATAGATCTGAGACACACCATTTCATCTTCATGCTGAGCATAAAAATGAGGCGTCTTTGAAAACAAAAGGCTTTAGAATAGCGACTCCAGAAATGCGGTACTAAATGGGGTCTGCAGGGTCATGCTGCTATCAGGAAATAAACATATAGTGTGTTTCAGTCCCTTTTACACTGATAGATTATCATTTTGTTTTGTTTGTTTTTATTTATATGGAGAAAACAAACTTTGCATAATTTTAAACCACACATACGCACAAGTGTGAAATTGCCCTGACTGTCAGGAGGTATGGCTCCTAACAAATGTCAATGAAAAAGATAAGAAATAATAATCACAGTATTCCACTAATGTTATTCATAAAGGAAAATAAGATAATACACAAAACCTAACAGTTATTTTTAACATTGTATTTTCTCTGCTTTTGATGCTTTACCATCCTAAGGAAGGCCCCCAAACAACAGTCATTCTGCTCCGTTTGTTTGCCATCACACCCTTATCTGTTTTTAACATTCTCAGTGAAATAATTGTCACATATGGCATATATCTGTTTTCTCAGGTTGTTTAAAAGAAACTTAGTACATGTTGCAGTCCACTACGTTAGCCTTTATTATGATAAAGACACAAAGAGATCAAATCGATTTTATTTGAAAGTATAATCACATTGAATTCAATCATTTTGCTCGAGCAATAGTTTTATTTGTGTCGATTAATCTGGATTTGACTTGATCCATCCTGTGATGCATAATTCATCATTTTAAAAATTCAAGAGTACACTAAAATATAAAATGCTGATCAAAGTGAGTGTCATAAAAATATGTAAAAAATGTTTTTTTTTCCTCCTTCAGCCCTCCGGTAGTCTGGCAGCACTCAAAGATCACACCTCTGGAAAAGATGAGCAGGCAGCGAGTCCACACATATTCTTCCCACGTTCAATGAGAAAGTACCTGTACAAAGTGAGCACAGTAAGTATCTTTCCAAAGCTAGAATAAAATAGGTTTTTCCTGAATGTGATAATAAAGAAGCATTACCCATCAATCCCCCAGATTTTTCCCCATGAGTTCTTCACTATCCAGTAGGCAGAGCCGTTCTGTTGCCCGTATCCCACTGCTAGCACTGCATGGTTCACCTTGTCAGCAGTTTTGTGGCACATAGTGCTAAAATGAGGAGAAGAAAAAGAAAGATAAATCCATTTCTGTCTTATACATATGGAGAGGGACAAACTAACTCTGTCTCCAGTTTAACATCTCCACTAACATAAAGTTTTTCAGATGTGGGTTTCACAAGCACAGAACAGAAAACATAGATTAATATAGAGCTTTAAAGATCTATATGCACTGATTCCAAAAGAATCCTTGATTGTTTCCAAGTTTTGAGGTAAGTTAAGCTTTGTCTCTTCAATTTTATCCCAGTCTCACTTTTGTTTTTAGTTCAGTATGCTTGGAAAAACAGATCCTAACCAAATCATCTACTTGAAATATGAATGTACATTTGAATTTGTGTGATTGAATCACAATACGTAGAAGACGGAGGTATGGATTTGATAGAGAAGATATCTACTGGGATGATTATGACAAACTTTGACACAAAATTAGATGAGCTTACTTTAGATCTGACAAATATCAATGAAGTACTTGGCTAGTCTATTATATAAAATCTAACTTGGTTATGAATTATAAAGATTCATGAAAAACCTTGGTTTACCTGTAAGATGTTGTCATATCATAATAAAGCCATCTCAGATTTTTTTATTTTATGGTTTTCCACATAATATATATGTTGTTGCAATACTTTATATTAATTTTTCTATTCTGCTAATAACTTATGTACTATTTGAGCACAACAAAAGCAAAAATGTAATATACACCTTCCTTACCTGGTGTACACCCCCTTTGAGTAATGCATGAAGTCAGAGGTCACCTCAAAAGCAAAACTGACGGGATTACGAGTGCCGACGGCATCTACCATCCCCATCTCATCATTCTGAAACAAGAAACCTTCATCACTCACCGGCTTTTAATAAAGATACAGATTCTGAAGAAAGACTCTGGTGTTCACTCACTGCTGTGATATTCACCACATCCTTCACAAACGCTGCAGCCAGTTCTGGTTTATACACACAGACACCTTCCTGATTCAACAAAAACAAGTACACCTTAAATCAGTTTAAAAGTATTATTTCAAAACCAGTTTTACATATGATGAAGTTTCTTTATAGTAAAGGATTGCATGGGTTGTTGTTGAGTTACAGTTGCTTTGTATGGGTAGTCCTTCTCTGTCATCAGTCCCTTGTTGTACATGATGTATTCAAACGCCTGACTAGGCAGCCCTCTAGACAGAAAAATGAGATTTTTCTTTCAAAATTCAGCCTGCAGTTGAGTACATAACAAGGAATTAGGAGGAAAGATAATGGAGACAAATTTGTATTCACCCATTACATCCATGGTTGTTGAAGTCCTGGGCGCAGTCAACCAGCTGCTGTTCTGACTAAATCACATGAGAAAGAGTCTAAAATAACAAAAACCTAAACCCGCATTATAAAGGAACAAAATATATCATTTGTCAACACTCTGAATTTTAATAGAGAAGTGAAAGAAGGTCACCAGTGGTACAAGCTTCCCTGTGTTGATTGCAGTGACAGACTCCAAACAGCCGGTGGTGGAAAAAGTCCAGCAACTGCCGCAAGGCCCCTTTAATAAAAACGAAGACAAAAAAATATTAAACAAATGAACAACTGGTGTCGAAGGCTAGCTCTGTTCTAGGCTGCTCTCTGGACCCCGTAGAGAGATACCGCAAGTCCCTCATTCCTTCTGCAGTCAGTCAGACTATTTATTTAGGTCTGCTCCAAGTAGTCCAGGAATTTTGGACATCGAAAGAACAATAACTCAAAGCTATGTGCAATATTGACAGGGTAGATATTTATTACAATTGCAAATACCAACATTAGTTAAAATTCTTTTCTGTTTACTGTGTCACATGTTTCGCACTCTGTTACTTCCTGTTGAAGAGCGCATAAATATAGTTATTCTTTTCTTAGCTGCTGTGAATTCCCCCTCCTTTTACTTTGTCGAATTTTTTGAGTTTGTGCTTATCAACTGCCTATTTTATATACCTAATGTTTTTTTCACCTCAATGTGCATACAACAACACCTAAAATGCTTTAAAATGTTACATGGGATTTATGAGACGGATGTAATCTCTGCAACCTGACTCAAAGTCACTCCAGTTTGCACTTGATTAAGATATCATACTTGCAGTATGCAGATATTGAATTATCAGCATTAATGTTTAGGGACCTCTCATGAATGAAGCAAATAAATCAAAAATATTAGAGAGCATGTTTGAGCAGTTACCTGATTCTTCACATCAGTGACAAAATTCCCTTTCTTTCTCCAGTCTATGGAGTCTGGAGAAGGTCCGTTGCTGTAGAGGTAGGTCCCTTTTGTGGCAGAGCAGTTCTTAAAAAAAAATACACAGTACATCAATAAATAGCTTCAGAAAAACACCCCAATTATGTATTCACCTGTACTTTGTATGGGTGTCAGTACTGTGGCCTACCTGTGGCTCAGACCAGAGGAAAGCTTTGCGAAATTCAGAAAATGTCATGTCTGAAAACTGGTTCAGACTCACTGCAGGAAGAAATAAAACACTGAGACTAAAACACATTTTAACGACCATACTGGAAAAATTAGAAAGTGCAAAACCAGATGTTCCTACTTGAGAAGGAGTAGTTTCCTGCATTGTGTCTGTCAATCTTCCTCTTGTTTTCGACAAATACTTGAAGTCGCTCATAGTACTCTTTATTGCTGTACTCTTTGTTGTGCTGGAGAAGTAAAAGGTTGATTATTATGTGTCTAAATGGAGTAAAAGCTGCTTTAACGCTACCTTTGTTTGCGTGACACTTTCAGTTTAGCAGAGAATAACAAATACAGTGGTAGGTATCGGGAATTACCGTGCTAGTAACTTCCTCCTTTGCATTTTACTGTTCTTCGTATTATCATAATGAACACAAATGTTTGAATGGACAGTGTCCTACCTGTTCCATCCATGATTCGAAGTGATTTTCATCTGAAAATAATGCAGAATAATTGCAAAAGAGATCATTAAACCACACGATAACGGAAACAATCCCGGCAGATTGTGAAAGTGAAAGGTGGAGTTTACACAAACAACAAGAAAAGGCTTTTGTCCATGTATTATCACTTCCACTATAGTCAAACTCACCTTGTTCGGACACGCGGAGGGCTGAACCTGCAGACAGAAACGCAAAGACGAGTAAAGTGTTCATTACAACCACTCATTCGAACCTGAGTCAGTGATAGTGACTGAAGACAAGAGAGAAGTGAAGCAGATCAAGAGTCACGAGGTGAACAACTGCCGGATCAAGTTTCCCTGATGATATAAAGAAATGAATTACTCTCCAGTCACTATCAAGTCACACCCACAAGTCCCTTTTTTCTCCCCCTGCTTATCAGAGGCTATCTCGAACCACTGAAATGATCAGCATGCATAAAAGATTCCTGAGTAAACCAATCAGCTCAAGTTAAAAAAAGCTTTTTTTTGTTTAAGGCAAAGTACACAAATTTGATTATGGTTAATTTGCACATAACCCACAAAAATAGCGCGTTAATCTATCAGTCAAGGCGATGGTATCTGCAGTGCTTTTTTTGTTTTTACAAACATGTAGTAGCGATTTTAGTCCAGCAGATGGCAATAGTGGCGCTGCAGAGGGTAGTCATCATAGGCTGTATGTACAGTTGAAACCAGAAGTTTACATACACTATATAAAAAGGCACATAATCTTTTTTTCCCTCACTGTCTAACATTAAATTAGATTACATTTTTCCTGTTTTTGATCAATTAGGATTACCAAAATTATTTTTATTTGCTAAATGCCAGAATAATGAGAGAGAGAATTTTTTACACAATATTTTATCATTTTCTCGAGAGTCAAAAGTTTACATACATTTCATTAATATTTGGTAGCTGCCTTTTAATTGTATGACTTGGGTCAAATGCTTTGGATATGTTTCCTCAAGCTTCTCACAATAGTTTGCAGGAATTTTGGCCCATTTCTCCTCACAGAACTGGTGTAACTGAGTTAAGTTTGTAGGCCGCCTTGCTTGCACATGACTTTTCAGTTCTGCCCATAAATTTTCGTTAGGATTGAGATCAGGGCTTTGTGATCCTTACGCCACTTTGTAATCAGTTTGGCAGTATGCTTAGGATCACTATCCATTTGGAAAACACATTTGCGCCCAAGCTTTAACTCCCTGGCTGATGTCTGAGATATTGCTTCAGTATTTCCACATAATGTTCTTTCCTCATGATGCCATCTATTTATGAAGTATACCAGTCCCTCCTGCTGCAAAACAACCCCACAACACGGTGCTGCCACCCCCATATTTCACAGTTGGGATGGTGTTTTCAGTTTTTTTTCCTCCAAATGTAACAATGATCATTATGGCCAAAAAGTTCCATTTCAGTTTAATCAGACCACAGGACGTGTCTTCGAAAGTTAAGGTCTTTGTCCCTGTGTGCATTTGCAAACTCTAATCAGGCTTTTTATGTTTCTTTTGGAGTCATGGCTTCTTCCTGGAAGAGTGGCCTTTCAGCCGTTGTGGGTACAGAACTCGTTTTACTGTTGATAGTGACACATTCTTACCAGCTTCAGCCAGCATCTTCCCAAGGTCTTTTTCTGTTGTTCTTGGATTGATATTCACATTTCGGACCAAAGCACGTTCATCTCTGGGACACAGAAGCCTTCTCCTCCCTGAGCAGTATGATGTCTGGACATTCCCATGGTGTTTATACTTGCGTACAATTGTTTGAACGGATGAAAATGGCACCTTTAGGTACCTGGAAATTGCACCCAAGGATGAACCAGACTTGTGTAGGTCCACAATTCTTTTCCTGATATCTTGGCAGATTTCTTTTTCTCATGATGTTACACAAAGAAGCAGTGTGTTTCAGGTGCGCCCTAAAATACATCCACAGGTGTGCCTTTAATTAACTCAAATGTTTTAAATAAACCTATCAGAGGCTTCCAAAGACATGACATCATCATCTGGACTTTCCCAAATTGTTTAAAGGCATAGTCATCGTAGTGTATGTAAACTTTTGACTCTTGGGAAAATATAAAAAAATTGTCTAAAAATTTCTCTGTCTCATTATTCTGGCATTTAGCAAATAAAAATAATTTTGGTAATCCCACTTGACCAAAAACAAGAAAAGTTTTATCTGATTTAATGTTAGACGGTGAAAAAAAAAAGGTTATGTGCCTTTTTATATAGTGTAAACTACTGGTTTCAACTGTAGAATCACCACAATATCGACTGGTAATCCACAAAAGAACTCAAGACAACAAGACCCTGATATAAAATGGGTTTATTAGCAAGAGGTAACAGGGAAACAATAATTTTTTTAATTTGTTATTATCATCATATCTTTCTTTTCTTATGTTTTAGTTTATTTTCTTACAAAACTGGTGATATTTCTTAAGGTGTGGAAACATGAGGGTTGAAAGATAATTTTCATACCACTGGGTATTGCTAACAGCAAAATGTTTATTTGTTTATATATCTTGTAAGAGTATGTGCATGTATAAGTGTATAGAGTATAAGTATAGAGTAATATTCTGTATGTGATGGTGTTGCATGCCTGCCATATGAGCTTTAAAAGTGTATTGTACATACATAGTAAAAATACATACAAATATTCACAGAATAAGCACTACATTACTATATTCCTGCTAACAGAAATGGTTATAAACAGGATTACAGTATATGCAAAACACTTTAAATTTGTCTCCTACTTCTAAGTCATGGTTTCAGGACCACACTGTGTAACATTTTGTGTTTAAGCTCGAGATCCGACTTTTTGTTTGTTTTTATTTTCTGAAAGGATAACTAGATTCCACATTGAGAAATATGCAGGGGTGTGTGTACAAAGTGTACAGCACATCTCAGTGAGGTGAATTAACATCAAAGTACAAAATACTTTCCATGTTCATATAAAGAGCAGGTCACTGTCTCTTGTACTACTACAAAAATAGTGTTTGAATGCTGCAGGCAGAGGTCATTCACATACAGTTTATCATAGTTTGAAACAGCAATGCATATAACAGAGTGATATACAGTCACGTTCCACAATCACTGGAACAGCAAAAAGGACAGATTGTCTTTTAATTACAGAAGAGCAACATCCTCGACAGAAGTATCCCCAAACCTGAAGGTGTAATACTTTCACTACTTGTGTGTTTTTTTCTTTTAAGAAACATAAAATTTGAACATAGGAGGAAAAAAAACTGGGCTGTACTTATGTGTGACAGTAAATCTGTTTATTTGTCCCCGTAAATCATTGCAATCTAGGGGGAATACAGCCCCTTTATATCACAACCTATAATGTTATGCAGCCTGAAACCAACAACAAAACGTAACTGTTGTGCCAACGCTGGGTTTGTGCACACGTCATGGGTTTCTCTCTTTACAGCAGGTCAGATTTATGTTCATGGAGATATGTGTTTCAGAGCAGGGTACCAGACCTCTGATGCACATTACTGACTATCATGACGCCACCATTGCTGCATGACAAAGAGGCTGCAATGCTAATTTGCTGGTTAGTGATCATAAAAGAAGTTCATGTAAGAGGAACGTTAACCAGTTTGTCAGCACATTAGGCCTTTATCTAATTTTCTATATCAAAATGATTTGCAGGGGCCAGAAGCAGCTCCATGACGAAATAGTTTTCAGCAGAGGTGAAGAAAAAAACCCTCATGCTTTGGTTTGGAAAACACAAAGACAGCCTTGTTTCAGAAATCCCACTGTTGTCTTCTCCGCTCTATGTTCTTTGTCTTTAAAAGCAGTTATATTCTCTGTGCTCTTTTACCTGATTTGTTACAGTTACATTTTTACAATGCTACATTGGTTGCAGAGAAACTTAGTCATCGATAAAAATCAAGCAAAGAGAACAACAGCCAGCAGCACTAGTGCTTGGGAAGTGCAAAGTCGACACAGTATGAGATGATGCAAAATAATGTCATTGGTCACTGAACAGACACAGTTGTGTTTTTCCAATGTGACCTCTGTTATTATGCCTGAAATACCCCAGAAAAATAAAAAGCAGTCGGCGTCATGGCACTGGTAAAAAATCAAATTAAATCAAATTAAAAGAAAAAGAAAAAACCTTAAAAGATGATGCGTCAAACAACTTCAAACATCTACTGTACAGAAGAGTAAATATCTTAAACATGTACAACTATACAAAAGTGGATGTGCATGTGAGCTTGTATAATATTAACAGAGAAAACCATGTTGATAACCAACTTCCACTTCAGTTTGGCACTTTGGGCTCAATTCTGAGTGAGGATTCGTACATGCTTTCTTCATCCAGAATAAAGCTCATGTCCAGCAGATACTGGGCTACCTGAAAAACAGGAAAGAAAAGCTTCTTGATAAAATCCTTTAAAGTAAGAAGAAAAACAGACAAACCCCCTAAAAAAATGTATACTCTATAAAAATATAGAAAACAAAACACAAAAGGTGTCACATTATGTTGACTAAATCAGCGGTCCACCTGGAGACCCTTTTTAATTAAAGGGTTGACCTCTTATAAAAAAACTGCAGTATTTTCTTTTTAAACATTTTAGATACAAGTTTAGATTTAGGTGCAACTAAGAGCAAAAACTCCAGCTGTAGAAAGACAAATAAAAAAGCATGAAAGTCTCAAAAGGTGATCATTTATGAGTTATGATCTTGTTTAGCGCAGCAGTGGTAATGATCCCTCCATTACTAACCATTGTTTGTCACCAAATCCATTTGATTCTAGTCATTTGACTTAACACAGAGACTGATCATCTGCAGGGACCATATCTCAACCAGAGAGACCTGGAAACAGTAATCCATTCTTTTATTACTTCTCGCTTGGATTACTGCAATTCCCTTTACTTCAGAATTGACCAGGCTGAGCTTAACCGCCTGCAGCTCGTGCAGAACGCGGCAGCTCGCCTCCTTTCTGGCACCAAGAAGCGCGAGCACATAACTCCAGTGCTCTCTTCTCTACACTCGATTTTAAGATTCTTTTATTTGTTTTTAAATCTCTGAATGGGCTGGCCCCAGAGTACCTTGCTGACCTTGTTATGCTACACCAACCCTCCAGAGCCCTTAGGTCTGCTGACCGAGACGTCTTAGACGTGCCTCGTTCGTTTTTAAAATCCAGAGGGGAGCGAGTGTTTGCGGTTGCAGCTCCTACTTTGTGGAATGCACTACCCCTAAGTGTGCGTACTGCAAATAGTCTCTCTACTTTTAAAACCCAACTGAAGACGCACTTGTTCACCTTAGCTTTTGACGGAGTATGATACTTGTATTGGTTATATATTTGTTTTTGTTCACATTTATATGTTACATGTCTGTTGTTGCTGTTTGCTGTGTATGACTTGCTTTTATTGCTACTGCTTCGTTATTGTAAAGCACTTTGGTAGGCCACTGGCTGTTTAAATGTGCTATACAAATAAACTTGACATTGACATTGACATTGACATAAGTACATAAGTTGAGAGATGTCACCCATGTTGTGTTTATAAAATTAGCCCAACTTGAAAAAATAGACTTAAGTCAGTTTCTCTTGGTGAAAGAAGAGTTTCTCCATGTGCTCTGGTGGAGAGAAGCTCTGAAATTGTTATCAAACTCTAAAGTGATGGTATGGATTTGCTTGATAGATCATAGCTTTAACGTTAGTCCCTGTGGTGTTGCACTATCCTACTAAAGAATTGCTTTTTGTGTTCAAGCAGTTTCTCTATCTTCAAACTGCTTCAAAGGCGGCTGTGAGAGATCATATCTATCTCTGCTGTCGTCAGAAAACCTGGAGAAAAAGTAATGTTTATGCATGATTCATCATATATGGCAAGAGACAGGGTACATAACTGCTTCCTGAACTACTTACTGTCATGTGGGCACAATATAAAAATGATTTCCTTTGAGGGACTTTGGGGGCTCTGTAAAAAATACATATCAGTTTGTAATGTTTTTTAAAGTGGTTTTCCTTCCTGGTACTTGTCAGAAACCCACATTTTCTACCATCTATGACTTGCAATATCTTGAATGTGAAGATTGCCGCTATTGTATCACGAAAGGTTTGAGGGGTTGGGAGGTTTGAAAAGCAGAAAAGTACTTTTTTCAGAATACAATGAAACAATTTCCCTAATCTAACCTTTGTTGGGAATCACTGGAGAATTTAAGCCCCACAGAATTATAGAAACAGAACAATAAATCATAGAGATTAGATTATAAACATGTAAAAGTTTGGAACCAACATGTCTAAAATATTAAAGTGGTCAAAATAACTTAACGTCTCCCATGTTTTAGGCACTGAAAAAGCTGATGGAGCGAGCATACTCTCCATCTTTCCAGTGTCCCAAATCAAATGGGAGGAGAGTAGCTCACCACTCATTGCCTGTTTTGAAATCCATTTACCTTTGGTTGCATGTCAATTTTGTAAGATGTTTGCTGAAACTGTCTGATCTCTCTGATGATGTGAGAAATCTGAAAAACAAAAAAAAAAATTTTAATCTGACAGTAATAAGAAAGACACAGCTGCACATAGTCTCTCTTTCGATAGCAAACATCTCACCATCCTCATCTTGGAGAAGTTGACCAAGTTGTCCTCAGTGTAGTTTGGTGTCCCCTCCTCAATGAAAGCCAGGTCAGTGAGGTACATTCCCAGGTAGGGCACACAGGGAGGATCGCAGCTAGTGGTGGGGATACAAACACATCATTATAGTTTATATATTTTTTATTGATTCTGTCCAAAATGTTGTCCTTAAGGTGAACTCACTTCTTCAGAGCCTCTCTCAGGTTTTTGAACCTCCCTTCAGATGACACCAACTTCTGCAGCTTGTCAATCAGTGCTTTTGTCTACATGAAAAGAAAACAGAGACTGATGACAGGAGGCACCTTATCAAAGACAAGCAGTGTAGGGAGATACATCCTGTCATGTCGGTTATGTTTCCTTTTATTTCTGTATATTTATTTTGGTGAAGTGTCCTTTATTTTGGCACATTCATGTTTTGTTTCTTGTTTATTTTGGTAGTCCACTAACCCTTGTTTTTGTCTTTTAGCTTTGTTCCTGTCTGGTCTGCCCTGCCCCCGTCTCGTCACAACCTCATTACCTCTTGTATTTCATCTCATGTGTCTCACTAGCCATGTTTACATGTGCAAAATTTCTTGATCCGATTAAAAAATCTGAGGGATCGGACAATCTGAATCCACTCTTTATATGGGTGCAAAACCAAATAATCCGATCATGACGTGCGTATACATGCACCAAATTTAAAGATTATAAGCATTTGGACATGCCCAGAGTTGTCAGATTTTTCTAAAACAACCACAGAAGAAGAGTTGTATTTACACCTTTGCTGTCAACAAACGCAGTAGTTGCTACCTCCATCCAATTCAGGAGTTTTCCCCTCTGTTAAATGTCGTCACTAGATGGCGCCCTTGCGTACTTATTTTACTGTTCTGTCAAAGGTTGCACTGTGCGTGCAGATGTGACATCATTATGTACGCTTTGTTTTGTTACCGGAGGAGCAGACACGGCACCTGGTTGTGTTTTATGCCAGAGTGTTGATAATGAAACCTCCTGAACTGTACTCGATAAATAAACCAAAGACTAAAGAGTGAAGACCGAGTCAGGGAAGAGAGTCACGATCGGAAGAAGTGTTTACATGGACGTGTTTAGGAATAACAATCGGCATAAACTACCCCTCTTGAACAGAATACAATGTCTATCTGATTAAGCTGAATTGGATCAGAATCTTCCGATCAACATGTTTACATGACGCATTTTTATTCCGATCGGGCATTTATTCCGATTATTTGTGCCCATGTAAACACAGCTACTGTTTCGTTGCCGGTTTATTGCACTCTCCAGTCTTCATTCCAGCAGTCATAGTCATGTTGTGTATAGATCTTTACTTGGTTTTTGACCTTGCCTTTGTGCCTCAGCCCTTTTTGGATACCTCTGCCTCTGCTGTCTGATTTACCATATACTGACCTCTGCTTAATTTATTAAACTTGAGTCTTTTAGACCTACTGGAGTGGTGTCTTGCATATGTGTCCACACACTCTGAGTCCTGTTTCATGACACATACCTGTTTGGAAACCTTGAGCCAGGTCTTCTTGAGACGGAAGACAGAGCTGCGGTTGAGAGAGGAGGTGATCACGAGCACAGCGTTGTAGTTGTGGAGACAGCGACAGATGTCAGCTACAGCCACCCATTTCTCTATGACGACAACACGAGTGACCACGTCCTCACAGCGCAGGATTTCTGTGGCAATCAGGTTGCTTACCTTGCAAAGGGAAAAAAATGTCTAACTCTGCTTGCTGTTTGACGACTGACAGAAGAAGAAAAATTGTGTGAAATGCTTGTTGAGGAGGACATACATCATTGAAGTGCTTTGTAGTTCTCATGATGTATGGCGTCTTCTCGTTTTTGTCATTCTTCATCCAGCCTTGCCCAAAGAATTCCCTGTGAGGCGCACAGTTCAATAAAATGAGTGAGCCGACAGTGAATTAATCAACTTGGTCTTCATGTGCGCAGCTCAGATATGACGGCACTCACTCATATGGGATGACTTTAAACACCAGGTGGTCCAGCAGAGTGAGCTGTTCGGCTATCTCCAACGCAGAATGGCTCTCAAAGGGGTCTGCCCTCCCTCCTCCCATCTAAGATACACAAAACCAACCAAAAATGATTTAGAAATACTCCAGGGAACTGAAAATAAAGTAGCAAGTAGGTAAAAAAGAGCAAAATGAAAAAATTGCTTATATGTCGAGTATGCTTTAGTACAGAGAGGATTAGGGCCACTAAATAAGAGGTCAGAATTTTCTTAATATGATGAGATTAAAGTAAAATTCTAACCTATTTAGTCAATTCTGAGGTCCATAATTTTGACTTTTCTCAGAATTCAAACTTTGATCCAAGAATTTTTAGAAAAAGTCAGATTTTTTTCATTTATCTCAAAGAAAAAAATCAATTAAAAAATGTACCTACACTTTTTTTGAGTGGTCTTAATCTTCTTTCAGAAGGACAATAGTTTCCAATGTTTTTATCTTATTTGGACTGGAAAAATGTGCCCTGAAAACATCTGAATCTGACTAAGTTGGTACAAATCTTTTTGCAGTCATAAGAGCTGGAAATGACTTTATGATGAATAAGATGAGTCAGGCTTTAGCAAAGGACAGAAGTCAAATGTGAGTCTCTCAGATTTATCAGCCTCTAAATGGCCGATTAATTATTCAATGAAGCAAAGGATTATCCTAAAGGTGGATGAAATGTTAACTTATGTTTGTAGTTTTAAATATCTCTGTGTCACAATTTTGCTCCTGCAGCTTTGAAACTCCTCAACACCACGTTGATTTTCACTGTTAAGAGCAGGTGATTCTGACTTCACTCACCAGCGGAGTCACATCCTCAAGGGTTATCTGGCTGTCACCGTGATCTTCCTGAGTTAGGGTCCTGACACACAGTAAAGGAGAAGTCAAGCTTTAAATTAGGTGCACTGTTTATGGCATCTTTTAGAAAGTTGCGCTTACCCAGGAACATCATAACAAATCAAACAGTACCTGATAATGTTTGCTGCTGCTTTCCTCTCCTGGGTTAGTAGCTCAGGGTCATGCATCACCTCATCCAGGAAGGCTATAACTTTTGTTTTTAGCTCATTGTTACTTTCAAAGTCCTGGAGAAGGAAAAACAGCACACCAACAGATGGGTTAAAAACAACATTTCATCACTATTCAAGCGTAAAATTTCTTTGTTTTCTTTACTCATTTTATTTTGATGAAAAATCTTAAAAAATAAATATTTATTTAGTTTTTAAAGTTTTCAGAGCTTTTGCATACTCAATTTTAAGACGCCAGCAAAACGTGCATGAAATCGCTTCAGCTAAAAGCCCCAAAATCTTATTTCATTATATTTTAGGCATTTTAGGTTTTTTTGGGGGGTTGACAGAAACAGGATTCTTCATTCAAGTTATGGCGTGACAAAGCAGATTAGGACATTTCAACCAGTTTAGGAAAAAATGCTTATTCAATACTTATTTACTAAAAAAATGTAATTAAGAAATGTTAAAAGTCAAACCAGGATTGAATTGGGATATTTTACCGGAGAGTGTTTGGACACCCAGTGCCTCAGGACATTCAAGACTCTGTTGGTGGCAGCTCGTCTGATCACAAACTCTTTGTCTCCATTTCTCTGGTCTGTTGGGAAGCCTGAAGAAAAGAAGTATTTAATCCATTTTTAGGAAATCAATGGATCTCTAAATTCAGAGCAAACATGGCCTGATATGCAGCAGTTCGGAGATGTTTGGTTATAGCAGCCCTGCTCATTAATCAGAATCAGAAATACTTCAATAATCCCCAGGGGGACATTGCTTTTGATGCAGTAACTCCAGTGCAAATAAAGTAGAAATAGGAGATAAATAAATAGATAAAATAAGAAAAAATAAAGAAATAATCAAATATGCAATATGTATACTGTTTTACAATGTACAAGTATGTACACTATATACAACACAAGATAGTAAAATCGTATGCGTAACAATAACAATGCATAACAATAGTATGCATTACAGTATGCATTACAGTAATGATGCGAGTGTGTGTCTACCAGTACTGGCGAGGGACATCCGACGATATTTTTCCTTGGTAGGCGTGCCCTCATTCGCCCCGGCTGTGGCAATAGCAAAGGCTGAGGCAGCAGACAGGGCACTGCGGTTGTTATCCAACTCTCGACATGAAGGCATTACCATGCCATTGTTGTAGGAAAACAGAGAGAACTCTGCAAAAAGCACAGTTATAGATTGATTTAATGGTGTGTGAATTAAATGGGTTTCCAGTTTAAGGAGAAATAAAACAACAGAAAGCTTTTACATCCAGAGTAACTGAAGGTGTTAAAAAATTTAAGTGCTCTTTATCCAGTAGAACAAGATAAAGCTAAGTCTGTACTGACTGCAAAATGGTCCACTTTTGGTTGCATACATATCCACTAGAGGGCACTAGAGGACAATATCACAGCTCCCCCAGACTTTACAAGAGGCTTTGATATTCAAGATGGTTGCAGCTAAATATAGCCACCAAATATCAGCATAACAGAGGAATAAACAGATTCTCTGCAGTCTGCTATGTTTCTGTCCTGCATGTGTAGACGGATCATAAGCTGTTAGGAATCCTTAACCACGAGCAGAGAGGCAGTCTCTGCTACACGTTTTCATTTATTTCTTCCCCTCACACAATAGAGTTGTGTTTTGTCATAAGATTTAGAAAGCACAGATAATCTTGGCTCAAATGAAACAGCCTCATTACCGGGGGCGGGAAGGAAAACACGCTTCTGATGCAGTTGCTATGACACAAGTTTCCCTAACACCCACTGGAGCCAAGCATTGGCTTTCCTTGCGTGATTAGAACCCATCTACAGCATAACATTTTATGTAAATTGTGCTTTACAGTTTCTTTTTTGTCCTGTCTGGCACAAGACATTTTAACAAATTAACAACTGCAAACTATCTCGAGAAGAAAGCAATAACTCACACACAGTCTAGCTGACATCAGAATATGTTTTTTCAAACTTAGAGTATTTATATGTGGTTTTATGAAAGTAAAAGGGACCCATGAAAGGACGGGTTGGTTGATTTATCATAGTATGCAGTTTACAAGCTTGGGTATCGATATGAAACCATAAAAAACGCCACTGCACATCATGAGAACACTGTGTACCTGAGGAGTTTTTGCATTTGATATTTTTTGGTGTGGTGGGTGACTTCGTAGGCGAGGCCTCTGCATCCCCGTCATCACTCTGGTTCTGATCATTGTCACTCTCTTCCCGTACAGAGAGATCTGTATCATGACAAAAAGGATCAAAAAGGTCACTGAAGGATCATTCAAGGAAGCAAATGAAAGAATTATACCCGAGGATTGGCTCCAGCCGACCTACCTTGTTTGCACACTGAAGTCTCCTCCAGTTTGTCCCTCTTGTCCTCTCCCTCATCAGAGATTTTGCTGGCGATAGGGCTGGACACATACAGTTTGTTGATGTCCAAGGTAGTCTTACTGAATGGAGACATGGATGAATACATGCTTGCATAGCCATTTGAGGAGCAGCTGAGGGCAGCCAGGTCAAGAGCTTTGCCCCCAGTGATGATGGGGATGTTGAGGGAGAGCTTTCGCCGGCGGTTTGGGGATGAATTCTTGGCGATAGCAAGAGGAGGAGGGGAGGAGAACTTCCTGCTTGCCCTAGGGGAGCTGGGAGGCTCTCCATACAAGAGTTTACTGTTCTGACTGCTTGCAAAGAATAACTCCAAGGACCTGCATCGGGGGGAGGAAATGTGCATTTGAAATTAGGGCACAGGGGTATGTTTCTTTCATATTCGGTCTATGTTGTGAGAGCTTAGCTAAATACATAACACCTCCTAAATAATTAATGCAAAACAAGTCAGCCCAGCAACCAGAAGTCTCTCTGCTGTCGCGTCTCCTTGTTTTAGAGCAGACTACAAGCTGCAGTGTTGCAGAAAACCTCTCCCTTTCTCTGCCACCCTCCTGGCGACCTCACGGGTTCCCATAAATAGCTCAGCGAGTGATAGTGCGCATGGCCACTGCTGACACAAGCAGCCGAGTGTAGGTGTCTCACAGTGACATGACAAGCACCACAGGGAGAGCTTGCTGCAGGGCGTGGGCATGGGGAGCCCTCCGTGATCTCAACCCCACAGCGAGGCCCTCGCTCATGGCCTAAAGAGTAACGACTTCGCCCCACTGCAACACTCCGTCAATATTTCACACTATGGATCTTTTTTCAGACAAGGAGAGAGTGAGAGAGAGGGAGGGAGGGGTCCTGCAGCACCAAGGTTGGTTGCCATAGAGCGTCAGAGCCCAGTTTAGACACTTCCAGGCAAGAGACTAGACCAAAATACCACCTTTGACGACAGAACATACACATAAATCCATTTAGAAACACACACACATGCACATACAGACGCACAAGCCTTCACATAGTGATACTTCTTCTACTGCTTCATCTTCTCCCTGACTGTGTTGACTCTATCACTCATCTACTCATCTATTTATCTCTCTTTCACACCATCTTACATTAACTCTACCTCCAAATCTATCACTCACTTTACCTATCTTTCTGTCCATCAATCTCATTGTCCTTACTCTTAGTGTTTTAGATTTAGCCTCTTATTTACTCTGTGTGATTGGCCAAAGAATCACCAAACAGAATTTTGCTGTGTACTTATATCTATAGCTCTATCACTTTGTCCACATATTAGTGTTGTACTCCTTTACATGCACCCTGTACCTGTTCTTAATCAGGCATGATTACTCACAATAGGTCTACTCACAAACTCATAAACTAAATATGCAAATATAGATAGAAACTAGTTATGCCACAGCAGTTAAGACTTGAAACTGCGACATTGATAAGAGGCCAGCAAAGCAATAATCATTAAAACAGGGGAATCGAGTCTCTTTGCCGCAATGATGACAAACTTATCAAACAAGACTCGTACGTCTGCCGTGAAAACTGTCAACAGCCTTCAAGTATGAGGTGACTCACCGAGCAGGGATAGCACTGATGGGTTTCTTGTAGATGGTGATGAGTTTGTCCAGAACCACATCTGCAGTGGTGAACACACGATACGAGTGCAGGAAGGTGTTGAGAAAGTCAATGGAGAGGAAACGGAGGTCCGTCAGCCTCTCCAGCAGGCGCTCAACACTAGCATAGCGGATCTGCAGCACCTTGCAGGAGTTCATCATCTTACTGAAGCGAATGTCGACATCGTCGCAGTACAAACTTGAATCTGACCTGCTCAAAACAATAAATAAATAAACACATATGTGGAAATTAATGCCAAGACAATGGGGACATCATGAAAAAGTTACATATTTGAAATCAATCAAGCCTGACTTGATCATCTGTGGCACTGTGACTTTGGAGTTGTCCTCAAAAGCGTTCATCATCAGCCCATTGCACCTGATGTTGTCTATACACTGCAGAACGGATGTAAATGACAAGAGAGGACAGAGTTAGCAAGCTCTGTTACATGCATACATCTTCAGCTTCTTCATGTGACTGCTGGGACCTCTGGTGCTCATTGACTACCTGGCTGATGTCGCTGATCCATGCAGACTTCTCCTGCCTTGAGGAGGCGACCAGGATGACTGTGAACGACTGGCTGTCTTTTGGCTCCACAATAATTTTGAAGTCCAGGTGTTCCATGTCCTGGCTGCTTTTGTCTGATTTGGCTATAGGTCAAGCACACAGATTCGATTAGATATAATTTCCTCACTTTCAGTCTGTGCATGTCTCTCATGTCACTGCATGCATTCAACACGATTTTTCCGTTTTTTAACTTTTACTTAACTTAATTGTGACATACTTTTGAAATCATTTAATGCACATTTTTTTCTGAGTCAAACACCTACACTCATCATCTGTCCCTTCAGGATCCTCCATCAGAGTGCAGTCTATGAGGGAGACCACTCCATTCTGCAAACAAGACATCATAAACATTCAGTTCTTCTTACACACCTTAAATTACTGAGTTTGTATCAACGTTATTAGTTTGAACTTTGATTGCTGAATTTACTTAAGAACATACTTCAAATGAAACAAGTGTTGTTTAGGAAGGCTACATAAGAAGCGGCCACTCAGCTGCTTGTAAATTAAACTCTGCTGAAGTAAATATTAGGTAACAGTAGCCATGTTTACATGTGCACAATTTCTAGATCCGATTAAAAATTTGAGGGATCGGCTAATCTGAATCCACTGTTTATATGGGTGCAAAACCAAATAATCCGATCATAACGTGCGTATACATGAACCAAGTTTCAGATTAGAATCGTTTGGACATGCGCAGAGTTGTCTGATTTCGCTTAAACAACCGCAGAAGAAGAGTAGTATTGACGCCTGTGCTGTCAACAAATGCAGTAGTGGCTCACTCCATCCAATTCAGGAGTTTCCCCCCGTTAAATGTTGTCACTTGATGGCGCCCTTGCGTACTTATTTTACTGTTCTGCAAAGACTGCACTGTGCGTGTAGATGTGACATCATTACGCTGTATGTACGCCTTGTTTTGTTACCGGAGGAGCAGACATGGTACCTGCGGTTGTGTTTTTTGTGAGTGTTAATAATGAAACATCCTGTACTGACCTCAATAAATAAGCCAAAGACTAAAGAGTGAAGATCGAGTCAGGTAAGAGAGTCACGATCGGTATAACCGTTTACATGGACGCGTTTGAATAACGATCGACACAAACAACCCCTCTCGATCGAAAAATAATTTCTCTCCGATTGAGCCGCATTGGATCAGAATCTTTCGATCGACATGTTTACATGACGCACTTTTATGCTTGACATAACAAGTTATGCTAATGCTAATCAGGTCAACTTACTTGAACACCATGAGGAGTAGTCACCTAAAAGACTGTCACCACAATTAACCTCTGTGTCTTTTAGCTCGTTTTCTTTTTTATAATACAGCTCTGATATGGCCGGGGGAGTAAACAATAAGTCTGCAATCACTGAGATAAAATTAGAAGCAGCAATGACTGGATTACATGCATGCATCATTTCCTGTGAATCCCTTGTGCCTGTGAGGATAATTTGCATCCAGTGGAAATAGTGGATCCCGCTACCATTGGTGAAAACCAATTTTCTTCCTCTAGAGGTGAAATTGAAAAAACATACTTTTGATAGCCAAAGCAAGTGGAGTCAAACAGGTTAGGTTTTTGAGCAAATCTTACACATTATAATTTAAAGATTTAAATGTTGAGATTAATAAACCTGCAGAGAAGTGCAACTTTTTACAACTACACAAATCTTTGCATCAAATTTAAGCTTTAATTGTTCAGCTGTAGAGGGTTGCTAATCTTTTTTTTTTTTTTTTTACTTTTTATCCTGATGTAGCATGCACTCTTAATTAAACATGATGCTATTTTCTTGCTTTCAGGGTGTGATGGGATGTTAAAAAAAAATTCATCCACCATAACTAAACAGCACATTCCCACCTTGGTGAGATGAAGCTTTCCACCTGAACCTCTGGTACAGATTATTAAGTGCTTGGAGAAGAGGAAGCACTGCCTCTCCCCTTCTTTCTTCAGAGACAAAGAGCCCAGCCGCCCACGGGTAATCTTGCCCTTCTCACTCATCGGCACCTGGATGAGAGATCCTGTATAATGTGCAAATCAAAATAGGAGGAGAAAGTGAAGAAGAAAGGAAGTAAGGTATTCTGAAAATGGAGCATAAGGAGAAACTTGATACTTTGTCAGGAAACAGTTAGCCCCATAACTGCATCATTACCAAAAACTCAAGACTCTCCTCACTAGGCAACTATTTTAATGTCAAGTTAGTGACTCTTCTAATAAAATGGATTACTGTAGTGTATGGTTGGCCCTATGTTGTTCCGCTTCTTTGTATAATTGGAGGTATTGAAGTACCAAACTTGACTGCAGGACTTACCTTGTCTCACAAAGGTCTGGCTGGTGTCCAGAAGAATTTCACAGCCCTCCACAATCATGCGCTCTATTGCCAGATTCTTCCTGATGTTTTCAGTTTCACTCACTTCATCATGCATGATCCTGCAGGAAGAGGACATTTAACTGTTGGTATATGTTTTTAAACTCATGATTTTATAATGGGTTTCATCTTAGAGGCTAAATTCATTTTCTTCTCTTATGCATGCATCCCCAACTTTTATTGAACCCTTCCTCAGTGATGACCAAAGATGTTTCAGAAATGTCTTTTCAACAGAAAATGTTCACCGGGAGGTCTTGAAGTTACGTTGGATGTTAATACCTGGAAAGTTCCTCCAGCTTAGACTTGGCGTAGTCCAGACTGTTTCTCTCGATATGTTCATGGGGTGTGTGGGCTAAGAGCTCATGAAGTGTCAGGATGTAGCGGGGAATCTACAGAGTAAGAAAAACAAGAACAGGAGGGGTCACACTTGTATTTAACAATGCATGCATCGTTAACAAAAATGCAATACACACATGCATGTAAACTAATGAGTTGTAGATCAATTGAGAGCACTATCTTCATTCATCAGCAGAAATGTATCATTAAGACAGCGCAGCCTGCTGTAGGCCCCAGTAGAGTGGACCATCAGGAAAGTGCTTGCCTCGCTAGAAAGGAACAGTTATTACAACCTGAGCTGTAAAAAACAACCGCTTTTTATAGACATGAAAAAAACTACAGGGATATTTTGAGCAACAGCAGATGAATGTTCTTGAACAGTACTGCTGCAATATGGGATATAGCTTATAAAGCAAATGTAAGCTGGAGAGGATGTGGTTTCTGGTGGTCAGGTCCTGACTAAGAGAGCCGAAAAACACAGTCATGATATTATTGCTAAATGGAAATTATTATTCATCATCTGTTCATATATACATGTTTCAGTTGATTTAACATTTGCAAACGGATCATAAATTTTAACAGGTACAACACATAAAAGAGAAAATTAGTCAAAAATTAAGGTGTGCAGTCAAAACAGCAATGGAAAATATTAAAAGATGAAAGTTTTTGATTAAAAGGTTGTTGTATGTGAGGGTTTGATCGCTTATTCAAGAGAAATCAAGAATATCTGTACAGACAGCAACAACTAGGTTTCATTGGCATAGCTAAAGCCAACAAGTATGAAGTTGTTAAATTAGGGTTAGGGTTATCCCAAGGGTAACATTTATATGTGAGGAGAACAACTTGGCCCAAAGTGGTTGTGCTAGCTCAGAATTAATGACAATTAAAGACTCTAGTTTTAAGGCTGATGCTTTGCAGCAAACAAATTGGTCTGCCTTTATTTTTTATGTATATCAGTGAAAGTGACAAATAAGCCAACAAATAGGCCAACCTGGAACATGGGGTAGGTGAGAAAGGTCTCCAGAGTCCTCTCCTCACAGTCAGGCTTTGCCTCGTACTGCTTCAGGAGCTTATCAAAGTCTCGGTTCTGCTTGCAGTGGGCCAGGATCTGTAGGCTGTACTGGTGGTTCCTCACAAACTCCTGGTAGATATTCAGCATGGGCAGCAGGATATCGAACAGGTCGGCTATGCAAAGATCAATACCAAACTACTGTAAAATCAACACAAACAATACCAAGAGCATAAAATAAGATGAGAGAAAGAAAGAGGAAGGAGGCTTACCCAGCACTAATGTTGGCCAGCTCGCTATTCTGGCTTTCAGACCCTGGTAAAATATCTGATGTAGAAACATGATGGTTTCACTGAAAGAAAAACAGAATAGGAAAGTGATAGTTGATTTCAATAAGTATAGTTTGTATTCAGAATTCTCAAGACTTTTTAATTTGTGTTAACTCATAGCTTGAATTTACAGGTTTAGGACACTTAGAGCTGGGATGATATATGGATGGATTTTGAATTGGCCAAAAAGGGTGCATGCAGATTTCTATTTTCACCGCCTGTTGGTTCTGGGGGAGATTTTCTCTGGAGGAGCACAAAATTAAATCTGGACCCTCAATCTTGATACTCTGTATGTGGATCAAAAGCAAAGCTGTTGTCTGGTGTTTTGTCTGGAGAAGCAATGTCTCTGCCTCAATCTTTCCACTACCAACAACAACGACAACTATTAGTCATCTTCTGAAACAACACCTCCATGTGATCCCTCTGACTTACTGAAACCTGTATAAAGAAGGTGTCACAAAACAGTGTCGTGCAACCTCTTCAGACCTTGCAAATAACCTTGGTGACACACATGCTAATCACTCCGAGGTGCTACAAAACAGGAAAAATAATCATTCAACCCAGCTGGTAAACCATCAGATATAAGGGATAATGTGTTGTCATACACAGAACAGCCGCAACAGAGTGAGGCAAGACGCTGACATGAAACTGACCATGATGATACAATCTCTTTGGTTTTCGTAACAATAAACATGACATCATTTACTATTAAACATCATCAGTCCTGGTAGATACTACAACAAATGATAACTAAATAGTCATCAGAAGCAGTACAGTAGGTATTAGATGTGTCGCAGTTGAGCTTGTCCTTTCTCTTAACTGCTGTATTAACCGTTATATTATAAAGAACAGTTAATCAGTAAAACAGCATTCAGCTAGTAGCTAATGCAAAATAGTAAAAAAAAAGCATGCACCCACTGGATTTTTTTTATGGAAGACGAGAACGACCATGGAGTTTTTCTTTTTTGTTATGTCCATAAAACAAAGATTGTTTTCTTGTGATAACTGATTATTATTGTTATCATGAGTAACTTTTAAAAACACCCTCCATAGCAGGATATTTCTAAAACTCTGCAGCCACTGTTGTCAACAGCAAGCTGTGGTTTTCCATGAAAATGCTGATGTCGCGCTCCACCATGTTCATTACGCTTTCAATGTGGGAACATTTAACTGCCATGCACGAATCGGTCAATAACAATCGGACACATTATTAATTTGTTTTCATGAGAAAACAATTTTTGTTATATAAACAATATAAAATAATTTGTTATCACAAGAAAATGAACTTTGTTATATTGAGGTAATGAGATGATAAGTTGTTATCATAATAAAAACAAACTTTGTTGTACCGAGATAATGATATAAGTTGTTATGAGATAACAGTGCAAAAAAAAAACAAAAAAATCCATGGCTATTCTCGTCTTCTGTAGTTTTTGGCCTTGGATCCAGCAAATAAACTAGACTCTTGGGGACATTTTTATTCATCTCACTGTGGTACGAGGTTGTTCAAAAACTGAAGTCCAAAATATGCCTAAAACTGTAAGACAGCAAGAGTTAGGATCTTTCAGTCCTTGAGTATCAAAAATGAAATATTTCCAGTTACAAGCAGCATTTCACAAAAGAATAATGAACTTGGTAATGGTGTTATAGTAAAAAATGTAGTGTTATCAAAACAAACAAAAAACACCAAAGTGCAACATTTTCAGGTTATTAAATTCCAACCTGTTGAGGAATATGCTGCTGACATCATCATGGGTGATGGGCGGTTTCTTGGAGCTGGCCGCCATGCGGAGCGGCCTCAGGAAGTTGTTCACCAGAATGTGAAGCTGCTGGACATACTCAGCCTCTGAGTCCAACATGCTGAACACAACCTGGTTCCTCTTCCTCATGCTCTCAGCGTGTGGTGAGCGGATATAATCCTGGATGATTGTCTTCCACTTCCTTCTACAGATCCAGCCACGCAGGAAGCTCTGTACCTGGAGTTAAAACACACTGTGGTCAGTTTTTTTTTAATCAAAATTAGCTGTTAAGGTAAGAATACAAGACAGCGAGGTTTACCTTTTTGATTTTTTTGATTTCAGAGTCGTCATCAGTTGGAGCGGCTGCAGGACTTGTGTGAATCTTCTCATTGTCTTTGAGAAGTCCAGAAATCTAGCAGAGAAACATTCAGAAAAGAGAGCAGTCATTGCCACTTCCAGACTGATCTTCTTCTCACTTACTGTACCAGCATGTAAACAAAGAAACAGTGTAAACAGGACAGGACTTGTCAGCGCTGTCAACACTGAGACATTCGCTTGACTAAACTGCCTGTGCTCACTTGGCTGCTACCTCTGCATCAATATTTATTTACATTGGTCATTTAAATGCAATATGTAGCAGGCAGGCAACAAGATAAACAAGCTGTAAACAAAAAATACAGTCTGGAGCTGCTCTGAGCTGTTCGAAGCAAAGTGCTTCTCTTTACTTTGTGGACAGCAAGGGAGTTAATTGTCATTGGGTTTCATGGAGAAGATGCAATTTAACACTCTGTTTGTGCATATTTAGTACATAATTTGATTTCAAGCATCACATTTGCACATTAAAGTGAAAAGACTATTTGATTCAGAGAATACAACCTGGTTGGATGTATTGTTTCTCAGAGTGGAGGGTGGTTGACTTGAACACTTTTCTCTGAGACTGTGCAGTTTATCCAACCCATTCCATTACTTTATACACACATTAGATAAATCAAACAATTATTAGCATGACATATTATTTTTGACTGATTCACTTATTTGTAAAGCTGGCTGGATAAGGCAGATGTTGGACCCGGATGAAAATTAATGACTGATGTGAGACCAGCAGAGGGGTAACATAGTGTCAGGTCTAGGCTGTCAAGTAACAACAGGATGCTGGAAGTGGCTAATATATAATATATAACATATGATAGATAGATGACATAATATACAACATATAAAATATTTTCATGAGACTCCATTTTAGATGATCATAAACTTGTTTTGAATCAATTCATGATTAATGTTCTCTCAAGATGCAAAGAGCAGGTCTAGACTGAACTCCAAAGACCTACCATCAACATAAGATAAGATCAAATGCCATCTTCTTCTTCTAAGGTTCAATCTTCTGCTAACTTGTTCACAAAAATCTAAAAGCATTTTGATCCATTCATCTTTTTATAGCCATTTTGAAGCCCTTGAGGATACCAAGCAGTAAAGCCTTATCTGAACTGAACAGCAAATTAGGGATTATTTTTAAGACATGATTTGAACCTTGATATCTGAGTAATAATTTAAAATGACTGTGTCTTTCTGTGTTTTGAATCAAAGTCTGTTTGTTCTCAATTCTGGACATTGGAAAAACATCTGATATTGATTTGTCTGTAAGGACCAAATTTAGCTGATTGTAGGAGGCTGAGGTTAGATTGGAGAAAGGTATGACTGAACAGAAGAGGTGTGATGTTTGTGGCAAACTGTGTCCATGTTTTAAAGGACCAGGTTGTGAATATGATTGCAAAATTTGAACTCTCCTGGTATCTGTTCAGAGCACATTATCTGCTCAAATCTGACTAATTTATTCATACTTCATACTTGTTTACATCAACCCTTCAGTGTAAAGGCATCACAGCGAATATTACCTCTGACTTAAGCCTTTCAATCTCTATTTCCCCATCTTCTATCTGTTGTCGAAGTTGCTTAGCAACTGTTTTCTCCGTCTCCACAATCTGAAGCAGATGAAGATACTTCTGCATGAGAGTCTCATGCTCTGTGGCCAAGTTTCTGTAACTGTAACATATGCAAACACAAAGACACACACACATGGTTTTGTAGTTTCAGTAACAAAATAGACATCAATATGTTGTTTTATTACTCATCAAATCAGTCAGTTTTTCTTGTAAGTAAAACATTTTTCAGTCATTTCTAAAATCTAACCGTAACATGGTAGCATCCTTCACTTACATACTCAACTTCTATTTGCCATGTCTTCATGTTTCACTTGTTCGTGCCTTTACCTGGCGTGTGATATTGCAGTCACCCATTCATCGCAGTCCTTAACATCTTCCGTGCGTAACTCAAGGGCCTTTTGGTTTTCATGTGTAAAGCTGACAGTGAAATAGTACTGAAACACATGAGGGTGGGGGTTGGGGGAAGCTTTCATTAGAAACAACAAAACTGTCGCTCACCTGACATGGTAAATATACCACACAGAAAAGACCATTGATGATTACATTCTCTCTCTAGATAAATCTGTCATATAGTGTTTTAACTGAGGCTTCTCCACTGCTTCTGTCTTTGTTTGTTCCCCTGCCTTACTGCTGCAGATATCAAGCAGGTGATTTAAAACCACACAGGGTCTGGGGAAGCCACACCGCCCTCGCCCACCATTGCAATTGATGGAGCACACTGGGGGAAGCCTCCCCCAGCTCAGTTCCTGGGATGTCTCTGGTTTCCAGAAGGTAATGCTATAAGACACGGAGGCTGCAGCCACTGCAAATTACATAACTGTGCAATACCTGTTTCCTAGCAACTGCATCTCAGCCTATTATTATTATTATTATTATTAGTAGTAGTATTATTAGTATTATCATCAAGACCTAATCGATTAAACAGGCGCCATCAACCGAGGTAAATTATCTGTTTTCAGAGTGTCGATCATTATGTAGTTTGGGTGTCCCTTATAAAGAGCCATTTAAACATGTAGTCTAAAATTTGAAAACATTTATTGTGTTTTTAAATAAATTTATATGTTGAATAGAAAACAATCTTTTGTTGCTCATTTAAGGCACAATAGTGTACCATCTTCTACATGAAAATATATATAGAAAGTATAAATTCAAATGCAAGAGTTAGTACAAAACCTGTCGATTTTTGTATATGGGAATGCAAATAATTTCCTTATTTTGGGGAGAATTTTAAAATAACTCTAAAATAAATAAAAGCTTTTTTTTTTTACTTTAATTCTTTAATTCAAGGCCTTTTTGTGAGTGCTACATAGCACAACTCGCCAGGAAAACAACAACAATCTCATGCGCATAAGTGAAATTCTGTTGTTTCTGTCAGTTGTCTAGCCATGTTCAAGGAACCCAGCCTCTAATCTTTGGCCTGCAGATGTTCAACAGGCGCCTATCAACCTGCGACTGATCATTATTCATGGCTGACTGCTCTTCCATCTTCACATTCATTAAGTATTCACCCTACCGTCAAAGAAAATCTATTTCTGGCAGAGGAGCATGCATGTTGTTGTAGTTTTCCCTCATGATTTCTGTGAGTATGCGGTGAGTGTCTGGTTTGAGGCACTGTTAAGCACACTGTCTGCTTCCTGCCTTACATTTATGGCCGAGTCAAAAATAATCCCTGATCTTAACAGTGATGCGAGTCTGATACAGAGTAGATTCAACATGAAGACTCCTGAGTTTTACTCCATCTCTAGTTCATGTATTTACTTTGACACAGATGTTGAATGTTGTTGTCACTCCTGTTTAGCTACAGATATGACTCTGTTGTAAATACTTTCTCAATTAATGGCTTTCTTTACATAATTACGATTTTTTTTTATGTTTTATGTCACTGCTGCTCATTGAAAAGAAGTCTCTTCTACTCCAGTAACACTGTTAAAGGTCTTTCATGGACTATACTCTATGATAAGATCTATACAGGGAGATGTTCCCTGGAGAACTGCAGTTATCACTGGCAATCATTTTACTTGCACACACTCTAAATTAAATGGAGAGCTTTAGTTTATCAGCGTTGTTGATTTCAACATCAACTACAGTGAAAAGTGCAGGACTCTCATATCTCAAATCAAACATCTCTTGCACTTGCAGATTTTTGTGCTCCTTGTGAAAGAATTGATGTTTCTCCTGCGAGTGAGCCTGCTGTGTTTTCTATATATGGACTGCGACCCCTGTAAGGTACAAACTTCGCTTTGAAAGCCCTCACATTGACAGGAAAGATGCGACAAACTACTTTTGTTTTCTGCTATCCTCCTCTTCCAACTGCATCATTCTTTAGGATTCAAATAAGGGTTGCTATGGAAACCTTGCGCTCAAACGCATAATCATTTTCACACTAACTGCATTTGAGGATAAATATAATGTGGGGATTAAGGTGGATTAAAAAAAAACATTGCTGTGTAACCTTAAATCCAGGTGGCTTTCAGAAGATAGCAGGTATAGAGTATTTGTCCTTCCTGAGGTTGTTTGTTTGTTTGTTTGTTTACTCTGAGAGGTATTTTTTTCAGTAGACCGGCTCATCAATCACATTAACCGTTCATTATTTGAGTTGATCTCAGTGCTCTTGATCTCTGAAAATACGTTCAAAGACACAGAGAAACAAATATCCTCTATAGTTTGTCATGAATTCAGTCCAGGATGGAAAAGATCTGTTTTTCCTGCGTTTGCTTGCGTCTGCTTATTGAATTGAAAGAAACCCAATGTTGAGAAAACGGTGCCGCTGACAGGGAAAAAAAGATTCTTGGAGACTTTGTGTGAGTATGTGTGTGTATGTGTGTGTTTTAAAGCAACTGTTTGAGCAAAACACTAGCCAGTATGCTGCATTATGCCTTGTCAGCACAAAGGCAGCTGTTCACAGGAAGAGCCTGGGCCCACTTTGGATTGCAGCCCTACCTACAGAGTCAGGCAGCGAGCCCTGGACAGAAGAGCGCTGATAGAAGTGAAGCGTAATGTTCCTTTACTTTTTAATCACAATAATCAAGATAACCTTGCCCATTCTTGTTGACATGTCTTAGAGGTATTTTTAATGATCAAAAATAAATCCTTCTACATGTCCTCACTTGGACCAGTGTGCGATAGGATATCTTCAACACAGGTCACGTGAATAATGCAAATGAAAAAATGAATCCTATTTCTCAGGTCATCTGGATCAGAGCTGACTGATCATTGGCACCCTGCTGATTCTCCATCTTTAGCTTGCCATTCATCCTTTCACCACAAGATGGAAACCCTGAGGGGATAACTTTTGTCATGTTTTATTGGAAGAAGCATTAGGTATCACTCTCCGCCCAAAATCGTCAACAGGATGATGAGTGAAAGTCAAAAGCGAAATTTGCAACAACAAAAACAAAAATCATGCCTGTGAAAACAATAGAAATATCTTGGATTCTGCAATGGTGTAATCAAAAACCAAAGAGAAAAAACAGTGGGGGAAAATTTTGCTGCAACCTGCTTGAAAACACTGTAGAGCCCATTGGCAGAGCTGCTGTAATTCCAATAGGTGTTAATATTGTTACCTCATCATTACTGCCATGCATGGATTACATAACTTGCAATACAGCAATGTGGAACCTCGTGCTGTTCTGCAGCGCTAGATTTGAGGTCATCATGCGGTTGGAGAGAAGAAAATGTGTGCAGCAGAAATGCTTTGTTCGGTACCAAAATAGAGCAAAAAAAAAATCACACACACGTCAGTACTTGTACGCGAGGGCTTGAGAAACATGAAGTAGTGAGTGTGAGAGCGTGTGTGTGTGTTTAATTGCGTGTATGTGCTCGCGCGCACTCTCCATACCTGCTTTTCCAAACACTCCTTGGCTGACAGTGACGGTTTGGGTGAAGGCGCCCTGTCGCATATGCATCCTTCCAACAGGTATAATCCCGCGGGTCGAGAGCTTGACTCGTTTTCAAAATAAAAGAGCATATTCTGTAACAAAGCGAACCACTTTGTGTGCCATTTTGTGTTGTCTGAGCTCTTTTTGCTCAAGCACCCTCGTCTCGTACCATCCTTTTTCGCCAAAAGCCCCAGGTAGGTGACATGACCATCATTAAGTCGTATTCCTTTCTGCATTTTGATGGGGGGGAGACTTAAACTGCGCAAGGTGGATTGCTTGTTACATCCTCCTTGAAGTCGCTCCAGAGAGAGAAAAAAATCAAATCAAGAAAGACGAGATGCTGACTTTCTGAATGCGGAGCACTGGCTGCAGGCTCGTCCTCTCTGTCCGACGCATTCACCGTGTTGGCATTTAGGTAAAACAAGAGGAACGAAACGAGCAGCACAAGTCCAGCATCCTAAAATCTTTTGTCATACTCCGAGAGCTGTTAGGGTCCACATCATCTAATCGTGCGTAAAAATAAACTGTAAAAAAAAAATACGCGAGGGGAGTCGAAAATAAAACAGTCCAAACAAGAGGAGAGGGGAAGAGGTTTCAGGTCTGTCCTTTTCTCACGTGAAATCTCCAGAAACCAGCAGTCTGGGTGCTGAGCTAGGCAGAGCTGGGCAAAGTCACATGACGCATGCTTGGGAAAGCAGATTTCAGGACCGTGGACAGAGATGTTTCCCCAAGATGCCGCATAAGTTGAATTTCCTCCCAGTTCAGTTGTAGCAGTCTGAGGTGATGCAACAGAAGAAGAGGTGGAAATGTGAGACGTTCAAGACAGAAAATCACACTTCAATTGAAGTCAGCTACCAAGCACGCTGGTCTATAAACGTATTAGTGTTCAACATAAAAAAAAAAACAATCTTTATGAAATTCAAGACTTACATTCAAATGAGTTCTCTGTGACTTTATCGGAGTTCATCATTCAAGTATCATCAGTTAGGGAACCTTAATTCACAGTTTCTTCAGATCTAAGATGAATTTGGTAACACTTAACAATAACCATAATTTATAAATGGTAAATAGATAGTTTATCAATGTTTAATCATAATTTTAAAAACAGTATATAGACCAATAAAAAATGGCAAATAGATAGTTTATTTATGTAGGTTTATAGTTTCTTTACCATTAACAAGCAATGAAATTATGATTAATAATTTTCATTAATTATTAATGGACTATTTATTAAAGGTTCATATAGGGTTTCAATATTGGTTGTAAAACATCTAGATTAAAATGTGTGTCAGTAGCACTTTGTAAATGGTTACTATTTGTTTTTTAAACCATCTATAAACATTACTTAGATGGTTATTGTAAAGTTAGGGTTAGGGTTAGGTTTTTAAAATTGTTAAATTTACAGTTCATTAATGGTCTATATGCTATTTATAAATGATGATTAAACATTAATAAACTATCTGCTTACCATTAATAAATGGTCTATTTACAGTAACCATAACTTATAAATGGTAAAGTGTTGCCAATAGATTCACTTGCCAAGCCAATGTGGTCCATACTATCTTAAGTATGAAGTAACTTTAGATATAAGGTTCTTTAACTGTCGATGTATTAAAGTCAAACCCATTGAATAAAGTCTTAGTGACTTCATCATTAATAATGAGCATAAGGGACAAAGGCCACCTTCTGTGTGAATTGATACATTATATAATCATGAATCATGCGCATTCTTAAGAAGTGTTTCAGGTAGGGCTGGGCGATATGGGAAAAAATGTATCACAATATATTTTTTCCATATCAGTCGATATTGATCTATATCACGATATAAAAAAATGAAATTTAACAGTGCTTATTGGTAGCATGTCTTTTGCAAAACAATAAGCTACTGCATCTGTGAGATCTTTGTGTCTGTACTCGACATAATTTGCAGTGCACATTACTCTGCTTCATGTCCAACCTCAAAAAAACAAAATACCTCCACACCACTGATGTTTTCATGCCAGTGTTGTCGACGATGTCGTCATCTACAGCCTTCATCTGCATTTCTGCCAGGGGTAGCACTCATTTTCTTTTTTCCTCATCGACAGTGCTGTTGGTTTCATGTGTTAAAGTGCTATGGTTACATGTAGCTGCAGCCTGCTACTACGCAGTCGTTTACTACTTGGTTCTGATTCAGCACATGATTGGTTCAGCATGAAGTGGACCTGGAGCAACTCCCATTTTCATTGGCTATTCGTATAGTCTACCAAAACGTGGCAGAATGCTGACTATCGAAAAGCATATTGAGCATGTTTTAGATTGATATTGAGGGAAGTTAATTTTCAATATATATCGTTAACGTTTTATCGCCCAGCCCTAGTATTAGGTAAGGGATTTGTCCCCTTTCATTTAGTGTTTCCAATTTGTCACAATAATTGTATGAACTATTTCAAGATTTTAATTAGTGGAAATATTATCAACAAAGAAGCCTTTAAAGAAATGAAAAAGGAATTTTCAAACACAATTCTGCTTCACAGAAATACATAAAAGTAACAGTGTGTATGTGTTTGTAGTAACATGCCGTCTAACTGTTATTTGAGTGAGTGTAGTTGGAAGCAGGATGTTGATAGTTAAAGATTAACTGCTTACTTGATGATAGTTTTCCTATCAAACACGTCATTATGCATCAGGTAAGCACAGGTCCCAAAGTCCCTAACGCATTAGTGCGACAATGGACATCTCAAACCCATGTTGTCTGACTGAATCATAGTTCTTGGTATTAGGTTAATGGCCAATACAAATCAACAACCAATCAACAACAGCATTGTGAGCAGTGAGGTCATGTGGGACTTGAAGGATTTGTGGGTCTCAGTGCTTACAGAGTTCCACTATAAAACATGCTCCACCACACATCCAATATTCCTCTTTGAGCACCTAATTTGTTTAAAAGGCACAGGCTCTAATCTGCTGCTGTCAGTCCTCTGGCTACTTCTCAGAAGAGAGATTTATGTATTACTTCATCTCCATTGTGATCTGCACTCTCTCTGATCTTTTCTGCCATGAGGCCCTGCAGACATTTTAGCATCCTCCTCAACAATCCTCCATTTATTCCCACTGAGGTCACTCACAAGTCAGATATTAACCAAATATTGAACAAGATAAAAGTGACTGGAGAGAAATAATCTCTCTTTTGTGGTAAAGTGGTTGAACAGTAGCTGTGCAGCAGCTGGGTAATAAATGGTCATTCGTTTGAATAGATTTGCATTGCCGCACATATGAAAGGCTGACAGTGTTACAGTCAGTGCTGTATAAGGCAAGTTTAACCAAAACAGGGATATTCACATTAGCAAGTGCAAAGATATCTCTAACACATGATTTAAAGCACAAATTTGTTGCTTAGGGTATTCCAAGTTGAACATGTAGGCTATTTGGCGCCTGGATGGTAGTTATTTTTATCCCTGAATACGTGGAAAAGTCCAAAAACAAACTAAAACAGCCCTCATGTACAACTGTCAGCCCAGGTTTGCATTGTGGTTTGTACCTGCAAGCATCCCGAAGTGTGTTCCTATCTGTGTGTTTCTGTCTGTGTGTGTGTGTCAAACATTATTTTCTGTTACAGCTTGTAGTGTTGTCAACATTAAGGAGAGAATGCTGTGTCCTGCTGAGTCGCCTATCAAAAAGCTCCCGTCCTAATTACATGATCCACCAGGCTTCTAATTTGCCATACTCTTCTTAGATGACATTTACTAATTACTCCGTCCATTTTTAGAAACAGCTCATGCTCATTGTCATGTAACGACAAGCAAGTTGTCCATTGATGCAGTCAGGTCCAATTTGATTGGAAGTAAGCAAACATCTGAAATGATTTCAAAGTAGATCTCTGGATGATCTGGGGGGTGGGGGGCACTTGATAAGCTCCCTAGTGTTCATAGATGCTTTACAAAAGTTGCATTGCTAGTTGCGTCACCTGATTGGTTGTAGTAACAATGTGCAGCCACATTTGCGCTAGATATAGATGAGTTTCTCTTCATCAGTAGTTGTTGCTTCTCTTTGTTATCTATCAAAAACAGCCAAATCATTCTCTTTTCTCCAATGCAAACAAAGCACGACCTATGAACTGATTTTGAATCATCTTGATACAGTTTTATGTCCTCTGCTTCCTGTTGAGTTTGCCTCATGTAGTTTCCCCGTTGGCCTTGATTCACACCTACTATGTCATTGGTTGTGTTGTTCTGATTGGCCCATAATAATTGCAACAGACAGAGCGTTTGTCCAACCACCATTTGAGTTGTTTTGGCAAGGTTCTGCCCTTCCTTAACATGATGGGGTTTTGCCCAGATGGATGTGAAATGGATATGTAAAGCAGTCTATCTGGCGTGTGAGGTTAACTTGAACTCAACATTTGACCACTGTTGAGCAGTTCAAGGACCTTGTGAGTGTCCATTTCAATTACAGATTCAACCCATACATGTTATTTACCTCCGCACACCAACATCCGCCATAGAAATAGAGAAGAAGTATGAACTTTGTGTTTGTTTGTCTTGTTACCAAGCCTTGCTGAGTTGCAGTACAGTGCAACATGGTTTCAGGACTTTAGCTGGGATGAAGGCTGACATATCTGGCTGACAGTCTCAAATGTGGCAGGCGGGCATTGCTCCCACGGCTGCTCTCTCTCAACTCAGGCTGATTCTCCCGTGTCAAGACCAGTTAGCTGACCTGCCATTCACAGCCTTTGAGTGGGGGAGTGGGAGAAACTGGACCTACCAGTCACTAGCTGCATAATGTCCTCGCAGTGCATGGATACTACTGGCAGCAACCCTACTGTCCAGCCCTCAAATCACATGTTTCCAGTGCAAAGCAAATTACATTATTCTAGACAAATGCACTGTTTTTGTCTAATAATCAGGGATTCAGTGTCAGAGCTATTTGCAGAAGCCCCTATCTTTCACAACTGTTGTGTAACATCATACAGAGATGTTCCAGGATCCTCGGGGCCTCTGAGTCTGAGTCACATGAAGTAAGTGTAGGTTTATGCATATACAGACAACATGTCTGCATCGGTTAGCCTTCTCTGACTGGAAAAGCGTCCTTTTTATCTACAATTTACCCTAACATTGGAAAGTCACACTTTGATTTAATGTCCAATTTAATATCCAGATTCACCAGACTGTCCATATAATCTACTTAGTGAAACAGAGGGACATATTCCTATATACACCACCTTCTAAATACAGCAGACTGTAATTTCTATTGTGTTGATAAACTCCCTTTTTTAAAGAAAATGTCCAGCTTTTTACTTCACATGCATGCTTTTATTTTTCCAGCCTCAGATGATACACTGCATACTGTTTGAGTACTCTATTTTTAGAGCAGGGCATAAATTATACAGCAAAGTGGCCAACAATGTGTATTGCATTCCCTTTTTACTGACCTGAGAGCTCCGGGAGAGACTCATGGAGAGCGTCTGTGCCGTGACAAGTGACCACGAGCTGCTTTTGGAGTGTTGGTGGGCTGTGTGATGGCAGAATCCCAGCTCCTGGCGGCAACCCAGGCCATTGTAATTTGTGCTCACTGCTGCCTACAGGGTCGCCACCTGGCTGCCACTTCCTCCAATATCCCCGGGTTACAAAGATTGCATCCACAGCAGGTCTGTAATTGAATTTCATACATGTCACAGTCGGTTTAACTGTGTTTTCTGCGAGGTGCGTGCACCTTCAAAAATCTAATCTTGATAAGCTAAAAAGCTGTCATTTTGATGGTGCCAAAAGATTTTGACCTGCAATACGTACAGCATTTTAAGGATGTCAGATCAACCTTTTTACACCTCTACATTTTAATCATCTTTTCATAAGTAGCTAAAGCCTCAACCAACTTGCTAAAACACCTTTTATTTAACTCTGCAGGA